GCAGGTGAAAGGTGTAGAGCGGCCTATCACGTCTATAGGGCGGTCATGTCCAAGGTCTGGCTCGGGAAGACGGGCGAGCAAACCCCACAGCGGTACACCATACTGCCTGCCCAACGGCCGGCAGCGACTGCGCCAAAGAGAATGCGCCCGGGGGTCTCCGCCAGGAGTATGAGGCGCAAGGGGGGTTCGGCACTGGCCTACTCTGCGCCCCGATGCTGCCGCCCTTCATCTCGGCCGTGGGGAAAAGGTATCAAACAATGGCCGAGTCGATCTGGACCTGCCGTGTCATAGTACCCTCCCTGTCGGGGTGCTCGAGCAAGAACAGTACACGTTGCCAAGAGCACGGGGACGCCAACGCCAACGCCCACGAGATAGCGGATAGCGGACCGTGGTTCGTCAACGGGAGGCCGCAGCAGTTCGACGAGGGGTGACGAACGGGTCACCCTGCAGCTACCTTAGGCTCCAGGGGGGAAGGGGGGAAGGGTGGGGAGGGGGGAAGCCTATGACGAAAACGAGCAACGGGCCAGTGAACAAGAATTTGGCATGCGAGGACGGGAGACTTCCCGCACCGAACTGCATCACGGTTAGTGGTACTGGGCAGCTAAACGAAGCCAGATCGACACACTGTCCGCCCCTTAGCCCAGTGGGGGGCGTTGGGCGGTGCAGAAGCGTGCCATTCCGGCTCCGCTATCTGTTGGTCTTGGAGGGAGTTGGAGGGAGAGAGGAAAGGGAACGCTATGAATAGTTCTCTCTGGCCCTAGTGTCCCAAAAACAGGACGACGGCAAGGCCATGTACCTGTATCCGGACGATGGATGCCACACGGCAGCATGCTGCAAGGCGCAGAGGAACCTTGATCGCGGCTGATGGGAAGGCTGCATATCAACGACCAGCATCGGGACTCGTCTGAGGAAGCAAGAACGCTCAATGCCCAGGAGTGCTTCAGAGCCATGGGAATCTCTCCACGGGGCGGCGCCAGCTCTCGAGTCTTGACCGGACTAGGATACTGGAGCATAATTCCAAGTCCGGCCCTGAGCTGAAGTAGTCAAATGCGTCGGGGCTTGGTACTTGGTGGTTCCTTGGGTTAACAAAAGCAAAGTGCCAACGACAACAAACAAGAACAACTGGTAGTGTTATCCAGGTCCCTGGGGATAAGTGACTAGGAAACCGGGATTCGATGACCAATTCCTTTTTTTTTTTTTTGCACCCACTCCGTACGCACTTGCTTGAGGCCAACAATGGGGCTGAGAAATCAGGATTTGTAGCAGAATGAAGCCGCCGCATTGCTGCTAAACGGCTTCAATATGGTGTGTGTATGAGTTGGGAGTCCCAAGAAACTCTAGCCTTCCCTCTTTGACTCGTTTCGAGGACTCAGATCGACCAATCAGCGTGCGTGTTCTGCATTGGGTTTTCCGATTTAGTCACTCGTGCCTGCCTAGAAAGTTACACGGTTACAGCCCTGGGAGTACCCTGTGGGCCCACCTCCAGACACACGGTATCCATCACTGTAGCGACCTGGCGGTGCTGACCCACACCGGCTTCTGCTCCCGTCTGTACGGATACCTCTACTAACGAGCCGGAGGTAAGTACAGATTACCTTACCTCTGGCGGCGCACATCTCCCCGTGTCTCCTGCTACTGCTACTCTTCTCCCAATTGAAGTCACGCACTACCATCCGCGCGGTTTTACTTTCTTTTCCAGCGCGGTGTACACAACTGTCCAGTGCGTAAGGTACTGATGTACCTGAAGTGGGAGGGTCTCAGCTCCAAAATGCCTCGTGCGGCCCGTTATGCAGCCAATATGGCCCATCTTTGCCGGGTGCGGACCACGCCTTCGCTGGGCCGGGTTTTCTGGCCGACTTCATCGGCACAGCCCTGCTCTCCTTTTTCGGCGCGGTAAGGAGGGCCCCCGGCCTAAAATCCGGAGCAGAGATCTCGGTCGGTCACCCCGTCGTCTGGCACCCTCCGGCCGCAGACCCGGCCGCCGTCCACCCTTCTTCCGTCTTCTCGAAGCGGTGAACATCGGTCAGAGCGATGGCGGCCTCGCTGAATTAGAATCTTCGCTTTTTGCAAAACACTTTAAGATAGGGTATCCCTCGTCTCTTCCACCCAGCTCGGTACCCGGCTGACGGTCATAGCACGCACGCTGTATCATGGCCCGACTGCGGGAGACCGAAGTCTAGTCTTCGGTCCCATGGCAGCCGAGGTGACAGGGTGGCTTTGAGGGATAGCGCAAACTGGCCTCGTTCAACTCGCCGTGACTTCAGTAGCACATCGCACCAGGTGTGCCCAACGTTCCATTGAGGCTTTACTGGAAGTAGCTACACGGCGTGGAGTCCATCCGCACATCGCCAGCGACTTGGTGGCTGGCGACCAACGCACTGCACGCGGTAACCCATGGGAGTGGCCGCGGCTATGCATTGCGCGTTTACAGACGACATCTCGCGGCGTCTGCTCTGCCACATACTCTTCGGAAGCGTGATCGTCCAACGGGGATGGGGTCTGTAGGCACTCAGTCAGACGTCCGATAATACCCTGGCGCACACAACCCAGGCCTAGACGCCATTTCGACACGGGTGGGAACGATACCGAGATGGTCTCTGGTGTTGGGCCGTAGAGATGCCAGTATCTTCGCGACTATGTTGTGACAATTGCGGGTGTCTACCAATCAGCGCACAATTTAAGCGCCAGACGCCGGCAACGTTGGTCAGCATTTTCGAATGCCACTCCACGAAGACGACATGTCAAAGTATGTCGGACGCTGTGTCTTGCAGGGGTCTAGCAATTCTCTCAAGGACAGGGTGCTTTTCGCTATCCATCGTCGCGGAGCTCGCCCTACTCGCTCTTCGGGTGCGATTCGGTCGATGAGTCCGGGTAGTGTCCGGTGCGGCTCCAAGCCCTCACCTCCTCCTCTTCTCCACGGCTAAGAACCCGAACTTGAAGTTTTGCGACGGAGTCTTGGCTCACTGTTCGTTCCAGTTCCGGCTTGGTCTACGACCTTTGCCTGCATACTGTGGTAGTCCATGAACGGGTCTCCACATCTGCAGCGAGGACCGGGAGCTCAGACTACCACTGTGTGTGCCCACGATGCGTGCACACGCAAAGGTGCTCGAGTCCGATTGGCAGGGCGTTTGCAGTCGACCGTGTTGCCACCGTGCGGCTCCCACTTATGGCGCCCTTGATGGTGCTGTGTGCTTGCCGCGTTGGATGGCGTCAATATCACCAACAGGCCAGGCTCGCTTGACGAACAGCGATTATCGGTCCTTCCCTAAGCTGGAAATGGTACCTTGGCCTTGCGGTGCCGCGCATCATCATAACCTGTTCTTGACAAGGTCTCTGCCGGGGGTCATCTGGAGAAGAAAACCGGACTCGGTCTCATTCCGGTTCCCCCGCGATGCTTGAGGCAAGTACCTCCCAGGTTCACTGATCAGCAGTGATACACACTTTGTGTCGGCCTGGGCTTTCTCTTGAAGGCCGGAATCTACTGTGCACATGACACACAGCAGCATCTTGAACAAAACCTCGGGCACCATGTTGGCCCCCATGAGTGCGCAAGTGACCCAACCTACGCCGAGGCTACGAGGGGGCCGTTGCGCAGCACGGCTGGCGGAGCAACCCAGGAGAAGGCCTACGGAGCAAGCCTACCCTGAACATTCGCCGATTCTTTGGTTGGCTTCCCGTTGATAGCCTTGCCGGCTTAATCCGTGGTGGCTTTATCCCTACTTGACCCAGACCAGTGGCCGGCACGGCAAATCAAGAGCGACTCCCCCGTTCCGTTGGGAGGGATGGCCGCACATGCAAAGGCTCAGGTGATACTGCTCCTCTGGCGGTATGCTCCAACGTCTGATGGACCCCAAGCTCCTATGCGGACGGACCGTGTTGACAAGTGTTTCATGGGTGATACGCATCGATATAGCCACCTAGTAAGCACCCACATTCTCGATGAGGCCACCATGACCGAGCTAGGTTGCGGCAGAACTTGATGGAGGGCCTGAAGGACGAAGAAACATGCACAGTGAGCGAGTGCTTAACTTGACTGCAATGTGCCGGTCAAACTTTATACATGTCTCTCAGTTCTTTGAGATGTGTAGCCAGGCGTTCACCTTCCCTTCCAAGTATTGTAAAGTAGGCGCAGGTGTAGTATTTTCTTGATTCTCTTTGCTCTGCTGAGGCATGTGCTGTCCCTTTGCCCTGAATATATTTTACTTGGAGTATATGTCTTGTCCGTTCTGTCCTGCTGTCCTGCTTACTCCCATTATCACCTGACCGGAAGCTCAGTTGCAGCAAAGCTGAGGCTCGTGATTTGCAAATGATGGCCGTCTGCGCCGGCTAGTTTCGGGTCTATGAAATCACAAGCAACAACTAAACATGCTATCTTGCCACGAGCATCTTGCAAATGTTCCAGGGTTGCTGCATGGCTGGAGAAAGTACCCGCCAATACCGACAATAGGATTGCAGCTGGTTCTGAGCCCAAGACACGGCCCCGCGAAACTCATGGCCGAGGCCATTGCAGGCATCCCGGATTCCCCGCAGTGCTTCCGATGTCCCATTGCCCGAGTCCGGTATATCTTCGCGACGTTGCCGCGTGTCCAATCAATCGCGGCCGGGTGCCCGATGCCCTGGATAACTCCCCCGGATTGAGTCCAGGCACACGACAGCACTCGGACAGAGCCGCTCGTGCTCCACATGCCGCTTGTAACAAAGTCTATCTGGTCCTGCCTTGATCATCCCATCATGAACTGATCACTCCCATCGGGGCGCTCGCGACAGCTCCCACCTGCGCTTTCCATTCCGGGGTACATACTGCTAGGAACGGATACCGAAGGCATTAGACGGATTATCTTCGCTCAGACCAATGGACCGTCCCACGTGCAGCTGTCTCTCGCCGAGAAATGCTGGACTTCCTTTCTCCCCGTTATCGAGTCCAATCAAGCAAGGGGGCCCGCCCGGGCCTTCTGATCGTCCGCACCGTGTGAAACAGTGACAGCAAGGTATCTTACGCACCCACCTTACGCGGTGTTCTGCCTGGGGGGAAGGGGGAGGGGTTGATTTGAAGGACCCTATGCGAGCACCTTGCGGAGCACAAAGAAGGAAGGAGTCAACAGGGGGGTTGACAAACTGGCAAGTGCCCGACCAAGGCTCCTTTCAAGTTGTAAGTGTATAAATTCCTTCCCACCGACTCACTCTTGAGTGTTTCCCAACTTTCTCTCGCAACTGCTGTTTATTTCTGCCAGGCCAAAATTCCAAGCACGCACAAATCTTGACCCCCCTCACAGAGCGTCAACAATCTTTCAGTCAGCCAGACTTTGCGTCCTCGCCGTCACTACTACTTCGAAAACAGTTACAGAGAAACCGCATTCACCATGTCGACCGCGACATCCCAAGAGCTCCGCCAGTTGTCCGAGCAAGCCGTGGAATTCGTCCCGGAGGCTGCCCGGCGCCTACCCTCCACCTTCCTCTCCCTGGCACCCAAGACGTCGGACTCGTACCCCCGGGCCCAGCGCGTCAAGCAGCCCCTCACGGCTGAGGCTCTGGCCGAAGCCACCAAGCAAGCCGGGGCTAGCGATGACATAACGAAGCGCCGCGCGTCCAGCCTCAGCAGCGATGCCTCCAAGCTCCGCTTCCTCAAGCTCGGCCCCGTCCACTGGGGAGAGCATCAGGATGACCACCAGGCCGACTTCCACGAGGTTGCGGTCGAGTAAGCGGTCAGACTCTTCCCCGCCGATCGACCGACGGTTCCGGGTCTTCCGCTTCGCCCGCATCTTTCTTTTTCCCCCTGTTTTCCTACTCTCACATCATGACGACGATACGAGCACCAGAATAAAAAAAAGAGTTCTTCTATGGGTTTCTACGGCTTCTTCGGGCTGTAACATCGAGGCTGTTCAACACTTTGACATTTTGATCCTTCAGGGCGGGGGGAGGGGGGGGGTGGTTTGAACCACTCAGGCGAAACTGTGTCCACTTCCGGCGGCTTCCTCGCCAACCCCGCCAACTCAGATTCATGTATGACTTTCCTCTTGCGCATCTGGCCTCCTTAGCTTGGAGTTCCTTGAGGAGGCAAAGGGTGGGGGAGGGGAGAAAGGCACTGCAGTGAGCTTCTACGCTTGACAAGGGTTCGTTTCTGGCTTGGCTTGATTCATTTCCCATTTCAGGTAACATGACGGATTCGAGAAAGCTGGGGAAGGGGGAAAATTGTCCTTGAGTCCGAGCTGGTCAGAACCAAAAACAGTTAAAAGAAAGCCCCTTTGCACATCCAGAACTTTCCTCAGCATGCAGGCTGATGGCGTGGCAGTCGAGGTGAGGAGTGTATTGTTGCGGTATCTCGCAATTAGTTGATGCTCACTGGCTTGCAATAAAGACCTCACAATACCAACCGACCAATACGCTCGCGGGGCTTATGCACGTCGTCTGTCTGGGGGGTGCGGTCTTTTCCATAAGACAGCTTACCGTGGTTTTGCAGGGGGGCTTGTCCACGACTCTGAATGGAGGAAGCGACGACAGGGTAGGTGAGATGGTCTCAACCATAACACCCAGTTGAGACCTGAACGAGGCCCTTCCCCCCCCCCTCCTTCTCTCTCTCTTTCTCTCCTTCTTCTGCATGGGACCCAAGACACGGCTCCGTAACTGCCTATTTTGCGTACTACTCCGCTTCACGCGCGCTTTGCCAGAAAGCCAACTAATCTGAGTCCAGCTGATGAATGCTATTTGATGGGAGTCGTTTTTGCGCTGCAGGCCAAGGCGGCAGGCGGCGGACGCCAAGATAGTACAAGAGATGCTGTGCGGGGAAAAGGATGGGAATGAAGGGAGATAAGCAGCAGAAGAAAAAAGAAGAAGGCAGAGACTCAGAGAGATTGTGACGGGGGGACATCTTGACGGGTGGTGGCGAAGCAAACAAGCAACATGTCTCCCGAGCGAGCCGGCCATCGTGTTGCTGCTGCTGCTGCATGTGAATCCTTCCCAAGACTCATCAGTGGAGATCCCTGAGACTCCTGAAGCCGGCGTTAGGACTCGGAATTACAGATACTGCAGTACACTAGATCCATTCCCTTGAAACCGTGAATGTTAAATCTGGCGTGCCAAAGCAGCCTCAACACTGCCAGGGTTCCATGCTGCCAAGGGACCACGGTCGTTGATAATCAAGATGCCAAAAAAGAAGCGCACCGAAATACTCCGTACCGTCACCGCCGAGTTCTTCGGATTTGTAAGGTAAGAAGAGTATCTCTCAAAAAGCTGGATCACACCATCTTAAAGCACTTGCTAAGAAGCTATTTTTATTTTTCGTCAGGTGGTGAGATCTGTCGGTTGGTATCCGTAACCTGTTGACGTTCCCCCGGCCATTGATATCCCCCGAAATCTCGGAGTTGAGAGCGAGATCCAACTCGGCCCCACCTTTCTCAGGCTGGGGCTTTGCTTGGCAGATCTTGATCAGCACGGCTCCGTCTTGGCATGGCAGGCATGCTCACCACCATCCAATTGGCCATCTGAGATGTTTCGGCCGTGTCTTGCTTGTGATTGCGTACCCCTTGGCGAGTTTCTACTGTGTATCCGTTAGGTAGGTAGGTATGCTAGCTAGAAAAACACGTAGCACGGATGAGAGAACGGCTCCCCGGACGGGCATAATTACTTTTTGTTCTGACACCCCTCGTCTACACGCAGTACGCCAAAGGGAAATTGAGTCCATGAGAGCAAGAGCAGAATCCCAGTCGTCAGCATTCTTATAGATTCCTCCCCTGCCAATTGGCCCGCAGCGAAACACAGCCTTGAGCCAGATATATCCCTCTAACTTTTGTGTCCCGTGTCATGAATCAAGATGTAAGACGCCTCCCATCATACCGCGGCCCTGCCGTATGCCGGTCCACTCAATAGCTCTAGACCGTGTGGCTTCATAATCCCCCATCCGATGCGCCCCGTATCTAGGTGGAAAAGGCCAATCCATCCATCAAGCGTCAAGTCATTTACCGCGAGGACATGGCCTTGGTAACCAGCCTCTTGAGAGCCAACTCCTTCTTCTTAAGATCATCGGCGCTGGAATCCTCAATCTCCAGCTGGCCCATAGCCTCGCTCAGCGACTGCTCGATCTTCTCCTTCTGGCCCCGCTTGAGCTTGAGGGAGAGGGTCGGATCCGAGATGATCTCCTCGACGCGGGAGATATACGACTCGAGCTGCTGCTTGGCCTCGAACCGCTTGCTGAAAGCCTCGTCCTTGCTCTTGAACTTCTCGGCCTCTGTAAACGCTGTTAGTTATGCGCTTGATATAGTGAAGCTGCAGGAGCTATGGACACATACCGCTGATCATGTTCTCAATTTCATGAGAAGACAGCTTGCCAACGGAGTTGGAGATGGTGATGTTGGCGCTGCGGCCCGAGGTCTTCTCGGTGGCGGTAACCTTGAGGATACCGTTGACGTCGACCTCGAAGACGACCTCGAGGACAGGCTCGCCAGCCTTCATCGGAGGGATGGGCGCCAGGGTGAATTCACCCAGCGAGGTGTTGTCCTCGCAGTTGACACGTTCACCCTGGTACACCGGGAACTGAACGGTTTGCTGGTTGTCGGCAACCGTGGTGAATGTCCTCTTCTTGAGGCAGGGGACGGTCTGACCACGGGGAACGACGGGCGCGAAGATGTTGCCCTCCATGGCAACACCCAGAGAAAGGGGAACGACATCCAAGAGAAGGAGGTCAGACGTGTCGGCCGAGGTGGCCTTGCCGGATAGAATACCGGCCTGAACGGCGGCACCGTAGGCGACGGCCTCATCGGGGTTGATGCTCTTCTCGAGCTTCTTGCCATCGAAGAACTCACTCAAGAGCTTCTGAATGCGCGGAATACGGGTGGAACCACCAACGAGAACAATCTCGTCGACAGCGTTCTTCTCGATGCCCGCATCCTTAAGAACCTGGGCAACGGGCTCAAGCGTACCAGAGAAGGCCTTGGCATTCAGATCCTCGAAACGGGCGCGAGTGATCTGCATGTTGAAGTCCTCACCATCGAACAGAGAGTCGATCTCGATGGTGGTCTGGGCACCGCTAGAAAGCGTCCGCTTGGCACGCTCGCAAGCGGTCCTAAGTCTCCGGAGAGCACGGGCATCACCCGAGAGGTCCTGAAAGGTTATTAGTATATGGTAACAAATCAAAGAAATAATGATTGATGCAATGGAAGAAAGAGCGAGGGTTTGTGAGGACAAAATGGCCGTGAAGATGAGTGAATAAGACGGCTCCCTCTTCTCTTCTTCTCTTCTCTTTCTCTCTCTGTGATGGGAGTTTGAATCCAGAGTGGAGATATCGTACCTTCTTGGTCTTCCGCGTGAACTCCTTCTTGCAGTAGTCGAGAAGGTTGGTATCGAAGTCCTGGCCACCAAGATGGGTATCACCAGCAGTGGCCTTGACGGTGAAGACACCGCCTTGGATGTTCAGGAGCGAAACATCGAAGGTACCGCCACCGAGATCGTAGATGAGGACGTTCCGCTCCTTGGCAGACTTGCCAGAGCCGAGACCGTAAGCGATAGCGGCCGCAGTGGGCTCGTTGATGATGCGGAGAACATTAAGACCAGAGATAGCACCGGCGTCCTTGGTGGCTTGACGCTGGTTGTCGTTGAAGTAGGCCGGGACAGTAATGACGGCCTTCTCAACCTTCTTGCCAAGCTTGACCTCGGCGATCTCCTTCATCTGTGTTCGCATGCTGTTAGCGACTGTGCCGACGCTATGCTCCTACTGAGGAGTACTGACCTTGGTGAGAACCATGGCGGAGATCTCCTGGGGGGAGAAAGTGTGGGTGCTGCCCAGATACTCAACCTCAACCTTAGGGTTGCCATTGTCATCGACAACCTTGAAGGGCCACGACTCCATGTCCTTCTTGACGGTGGGGTCGTCGAAGCGGCGGCCGATCAGACGCCTGGACAGTTTAACAGTGTCAGCGAACAGCCCCTCTCGGCACACAACAGGAAGGAGAGTCATACTTGACATCGAAGACGGTGTTTGTGGGGTTCATCGCAGCCTGGTTCTTAGCAGCCTCACCAATCAGGCGTTCCTCCTCCGTGAAGGAGACGAACGAGGGCGTGGTGAAGCTACCCTGCTCGTTGGCGATGATCTCGACATTGCTGCCCTCATAGATGGCAACGCAAGAGTAGGTGGTACCTGCATATCGCGACACCTGTTAGCGATAGCGCCCTATGTAAACCCGGCAGATCGGGCAGGTCTGTGGCCGCAGAGGGCGGCGCGGGGAGTATTACCGAGATCGATGCCAATGGCACCGTCGTAGACTTCGTCCGCCATTGTGAAGGTTGGTGTGTGTTGGATAAGGGAGAAGTGAGTTGAGAGGGTCTGGCGCACGAAGAGGGAAAGACCGATTCGACGTGGGGCAGAACTGGGCGGGACAGCCTTTAAATTTTGAAATTTTCAAATGCAGTGAACTTTTTTTTCTTCTCCGCCCGCCTTGCCGCCCGCCTCCTTCCCCACCAATCTCGCACACAGCAAGCGGCTAGGCCCCGCAGCAGACAGTTTCTTATCAACCCCGCCTCGTGACAAAGCCCGTGACTCTGAGCCGTGAGACCCTTGCAATACGGCGCTAATAAATAAAAGTTCAGGTCGTTGGCGAGACTTCAGTTCGAGGTTGGTTTGTGCAGCTGGCGCTTTTTAACCAGACCAACTGAAGTTTGCAATCGCATCCCACGCTAAGCCACCTCAACCTCTCGAGCAAGACGATTTTGCCTGGAGCAAGGTCGCTCTTTCCATTCCAAGCGGTAGTTGCAGCTTGAGTTGCGCATCATTTGCCCAGACCTTTAGCGAACCTTCGTTATCGAACGTTCCTACCTCATAGCAGGCGTCGAGTCGCATTTCTTGCGCAAACCGCTGCAGCCACGATCCTCGAATTCTACGGAAACCACAGTCCTCGCCGTCCCGAGAACCAGACATCCTAACCAATTCATCACTCAAAACCTCCGCTTGTTCCACCCAGCCGACGCATCCCACACGTCCCATCTGCGATTCTCGTCATGTCCGAACAGGTCGATCTTACCACTATCCCGATCTCGCCCACTGACGAGAACAAGCCTGATGGCACCACCACAGAGGCCGCGAAGGATTCCGGCGAGACTGTCACTGTCTTCCACGACAAGGACAATTTCAATGTCAAGCACCCGCTTTCGAATCGGTGGACGCTCTGGTTTACCAAGCCAGCCAGTGGAAAGGTACCGCCCTGAGTATGCCGCTGCCCCCACCAAACAAGCATTTCTAACCAATACTCTCCAGGGCGACAATTGGAACGACTTGCTGAAGGAGGTCATTACCTTTGAGTCAGTGGAGGAGTTTTGGGGCGTCTACGTAAGGCAACTTCCCAACAATATGTCGAGGCCCCTCCGCACAGGTTTGCTAACTTCGGAATAAGAACAATATCGCCCCAGTCTCGGAGCTTGCCTTGAAGTCGGACTACCACCTGTTCAAGGAAGGTGTGCGGCCCGAGTGGGAAGACCCGCAGAACAAGCATGGCGGCAAGTGGTCATACCAGTTCAAGGATAAACGGTCGGTCAACATTGACGAGCTGTGGCTGCACACCATGCTTGCTGCCATCGGCGAGACGCTGGAGGAAGAGGAGGACGGTGAGGTGATGGGCGTTGTCGTCAACGTCCGCAAGGCTTTCTACCGTATCGGGGTCTGGACACGCACTACGGGTCGGCATATTCCCGGACGCGGAGACGGCGATATCGCTGGGGGCAAGGGCCGGTCGGCAGAGAAGGGCAAAGAGATCCTGATGAGGATTGGCCGTCAGTTCAAGACTGTCCTCAAGCTGCCGCCCAACGAGCAGGTCGAGTTCTCCGGTCACACCGACAGTGCCCACAGCGGCAGCACGCGTGCCAAGGCGAAGATGGTGGTATGAGCTTGAAGCTGGAAGTTGAACGATTGGGCACATCTGTCGTTAACGAGGTTGGCGACCTGGTATAGCGACTTCTGCATTTGCTTATGAATTCGATACCGGTCATGCGATGCGCTAAGTGCGCAGACAGGGGGAAGCATCGGACGGGATATGAGATAGTTCCACGGCAAAACTTACCAAGATTTTCCTCCAGCTCGGACGGAACACTCAGGGGGCTTTACGACTTGGGATGAAAGAGATTTCCTAATTTGTTCATGATTAGGAGCGGTCATGGATTTGCGATGAGCCAAGCATAACATCTAGTCACTTAGGTACGAGACAACGCGGTTGAGACAACCAAGACCCTCCATTTCATTATTTCAGTGAATGCAAGCCGCTCTAAGTCTAACACGGATAATGCTTGTGTACACTTTTCTGGACCGCCCCCATACCAGTGGTCTAACAATAGAGCCGACCCCATATAATGTATCCAGTTGCCTCAAAGTTAACCCAAGCAACATGCATTTTCCCTACCGCCTAGCTCTTACAACTCGTCCCCGCTAAACTCGTCCTGAAAGATCTCCTTGACCAGCATCTTCTTGTTGATCTTGCCCATTGCGTTCCTCGGGATGTGGTCCACCACCTTCAGCACCTGCGGGATCTTGTAGCCCGCCAGTTTCCCCTTCAGCGCCCGCCGCATCTCCAGCGGCGACCACTTGCCCTCGGGCACATGCTCCTTGTCGAGGATCACCACGGCGCCGACTTTCTGGCCCCATTTCCCACTCGGCACGGCGAGCACGGCCACCTCGGCGACCTGCGGCAGCGCCAGCATCTCCCGCTCCACCTCCAAGGCAGACACCTTTTCCCCGCCGCTCTTGATGATATCCGCGCTGCGCCGCCCCAGGATGAAGTACATGTCGCCCCTGGTCCAGTCCTTTTGGCTCGGCGCGTTGCTCTTGCCCGCGCCCTCCACCGTCCTCCGCACCGCCACGTCGCCCGTCTTGAACCACTGGCCCCTGCCGTCCTTGGAGTCGACAAACTCCTTGGCCGTCGCCTCCGGGTTGCGCCAGTACTCGGCGAAGATGGTCGGCCCCCGCAGCTGGATCTCCCCGACTCGTTCTCTTCCGTCGGCATCCCGCTCCTGGCCGCGCTCGATCACCTGGTACGTGTCGACGTCGACGAGGCGCGCTTCCACCCCGGGGAGGGGCCACCCGACGGACCCATCCACGCGGTCGGCTACGGCCAGCCCGCAGCTGAGCGCCATGCCCACCTCGGTCATGCCGAATCGTTCCAGGAGCACGTTGCCGCCGCTGAGGTCGGACCAGGCGCGTTTGATCGGGGTAGGGAGGGCGGCGGAGCCGGAGATGGCGAGGCGCAGGTTGGACGGGGAGATAGCGGTGCGGGCGGCGCTTTGCATGTCCGGAGGTAGGGTCTTGTGGCTGGTAAGCAGGCGGGAGTAGATGGTGGGCACCGCGGTGAAGAAGGTGATCCGTTGGTGATTGTGCGGCGCGGACTCGGGGCTGTAGGTCTGGTCTGGCGTGAGGAAGGGCGCGGCAAAGCGTCGCCAAACAGCGTCGGCGTTGAAGGGAAACAGGAACTCGATCGTGCTGCCTGCGAAGAGCGGGGTGAATATGGCGTTGATGGTGCCGTGGATGTGGTGGAGCGGCAGCACGTGGAGCAGATGGTCGGACGCCGAGTACTCCCAAGCTTGCAAGAGCGAGCGAGCTTGCGCTGTCATGACGGATTGTGGTAGTAAGACGCCTTTCTGTAACGGGCGGTTAGCTGGTCCACTCAGGGGAGGCGGCTTTCATTAGGCTTGCTTACTGGCCGGTTTGTTGTGCCGGACGTGTAAAGCATCATGCCGGCTGACCCAGGCCCGGTCTTTTCTAAGATGACCTTCTCATGGGCACCGCCGCCTTGGAATTTGCTCAGCTGGAGATACGAGGGCGGGGCATCTAACTCCGTCTTGAGCACTTCCTCTGCCTTTGACGCGAACTTGGTGGAGGAGAGCAGCAGCAGGGCCTCGCTATGGTTGAGGATGTACTGCAGCTCCGGCGCAGGAAACGCCGGAGACAGCGGCACCGCGATGGACTTTGCCGCAAGAATGGCGAGCAGGGTCACTTTTTTGTACCCGAACCGTCAGTTACCGGTCCCCACGGAGGAAACCAGCGTCCATGAGCTGAGAACTGAGAAGGGGCGCGCCAGAGGGCTGTGATCGGCTTACCCACATAGTCATAACTGTTCTCGACCAGGAAGGCAATGCGCTCGCCGTCTATGTCGTCCCTCCCGGCAGACTCATACAGGCGGTTCCGGACCTTGCACACATCACCGAGCAGCTCCCCATACCGGAACCGGCGCCCGCTGTTGGAGTGAATCACGACGGTCGATTCGGGATCATGGCGGGCGATTGCCTCGAATACAGGCAGCCTGGGCAGCGTGGATGCCATCCTGACACCGGTGCACCTGGGTAATGGACGGATGGGACGTAGAGCAGCCGGTAGCCGGTTACCAACCCTTCTGCCGAGAGTGAAGGCAAAGGACATTGGAAAGTGGGGGGGGGGGGGGAGGGCGGAACGCCAGGACGCGGGTCGCCGATCGGCTTTTAAGGGGGACCCTTCCGGATTCGCAGTGCCGCGCGATAGGCGGAATTGTGTGGATGTCGCGACTCCTCGGCCGGGTAGCACTTGCTGCACTTGGGGTGCGATATTACAGGGGTATGAACATGACACACGAGACCAATCTTTCAAGCCGAGTTCGGCCGCATCCTATTTCTTTCGCCGGAATGAGCGCCCGCCGGCAAATTGGATTCTGGATGCTCAGTTGTGGGACCGGGCTTCAGTGTACGGATTGTGAGAGGGCGGGATGTCGCGGCGGGACAGATTTGTTCTGAGCTTCTGATCCATTCTGAGATTTTCTGTTTTGGGAGCGTCGTTCCGGGGCGGATGGTGGGGCCCGGCCCCTGCAGTCGATGAGCAGGGATCGGACTGCTGGGTCCCGACTCATTGGCGCGCCAATGGCCGCCCCACCCTCAACCGGCGACTGATTTCCAGCTGCAACTCGCCGACGACATACCATCCGAGCTTCGGTTCGCCTTGTTGACCTCCCGCAGCCCTTCGGAGTCTTGCCCACATGTTGCGCCGAGCTGCCTTCGGCCTCTCCAGAGCCATCAGACCGCTCTCCACCATGGTGTCGCCAACTCCAATGGAGGATGCGATCAGGGAGAAGGTAGTTCTGTTTTCTTTTCCCGTTGAGGGATGCGCAGATGCGCATAATGAATTTGGGGCACTGACTTACACCGCGGCCAGATCACTGCGGCTCTTCAGCCCACCACGCTCGAGATTCACAACGACTCGCACCTTCACGCGCACCACGCGCCGATGCAAGGTGTGACGTCCAAGGAGACACACTTTAGGCTCATCATCACCTCCGAAGCTTTCAGGTCCAAGATGCAGCCAGCGAGGCACCGTCTCGTCTACTCCCTGCTCAAGGACGAGATGGCGCAAGAAGGCGGGATTCATGCTCTCCAGTTGCGGACAATGACGCCGGAAGAGGAGGCGACTCGGCGTGCCCAGGAAGCCGGGAGTGAATGAGGCTGTGGATGCTTAGGTTGGCATCATATAATTAACTATGCATACTAACTTCGGAACCATGATACCCCTTCATCGGAGAGTGTGAGAGCTTGCGAGGTTAGAGTGCCATTTCAATATCGATTCTAACGCTCCTTTAACCGAGCAACTAACCATGATGTTTGCCCAGGCATAGGGTATCCGAGATTACACACCCCCGTTGACTGGATGTACTGTACTTGTACAATACATGTGCTAATCGGCCCAACCTACTGTCTGTTGGCATCATTTAATAGTAGATACGGCCACTCCATTCCAAATCCAAGCTCATATGACATACCATTATTGTTCGCGCGAACGCTCTCTCATGACTGTTTGGAGTTTTTGGGAGTAGAGCCCTGCGTGCGCCGTTGCATCACGAACTCCTTGAACCGAAGGCTTCGCTTCTCTGGGTCCTCCATTGCCTTCCGCGGTCGCTTGAAGACCGCACCAGCTTCGACTGCCGAAGATCCGGTGGAAGCCCGAGGTACAAGCTTGCGCTTAGTCTCCATCTCAGGGATGCTATCAGGGTTGCTGATTTGAGAGTGCATGGTACCGGGAAGTGTAGTTGCCACCTCCCGCTTCAAGTGCGATATTCGTGGCGCCTGTGGTGTCTCGAATACCGGCAAGGAGGAATCAACCCGACTCTGCGGGAACCCGCGGCTGGACGTGTCGTTGGTCACATTGCCAATTCTCTCGGCCACGGTATCCCCCTGGCTGGCTGTTGGAGATACAGAGACATTGGCATTGTTGTCTATTTGTGAGGGGACTTTACGGGAATCTTGCATGATGCCAACGGCCGGCCGTTGCCCAGTTTGCCCATTTTGCTCAGTTTGCCCAGTTTGCCCGGTCTCGATCGCGTGGCCGCGAGTTCTGGGTCTTGCGGACCCTTGTTGGACGGCCCGGAACTCTTCCGGGTATTGCTTTGGGATTTCCGTGAGGTTTTTCTTGTTGATGATACCACTAACATAGGAAGGTCTGGAGACATTCACGTTATACCACCGAAGTGCTGGACATGCAGCCTGGTCCACGCCTAGAGATCCGATGTAGGCCAAATAATCTCCACAGAAGACTCTGATGAAGTCGTCGTAAAGAAATTCGGAAAGCGCTCCGTCCTTTTGATACTTTAAGAGGCACTTGACCGCTCGGATGAAATCCTTCAATGTGGCTTGGTAATCTGGGTACGCCAGCTTGAAGGCGGTGAATGGCACATTGACGGGCGGACCGGTGGGCGGCACTTTGTCCGCGAAACTGCTGAGAACCCCGTGGCTAACGGGCTGCGGGATTGTGGTGACAACCGACTGATGAACTGCTGTGGAGTGATGCCGATCCTCTACCGAAACTCGCACAGGCGAAGTGTCCATGGCGTGGCGAGCCGGAGGTTTGGGAGCCGGAAGGCAGGAGGTCACCGGCGAACTGGCTGATCTTGATGAAGTAGTTGTTCCAGCCTTGGGAACCGTTACGCTTGGGGCATGACTCTGACCAACAGTGTCGACTTCGGCGAACACGGCAGCAGGATTCTTCATCCGCCGACGACGTGTTGCCCCAGGCTTCTGTACCGGATTTGTCTCCTCGGCGATGGTAGAAGGTATGATCTGAGCTGAGGGAGGAGTCGGCTCAAGTGCAGGGACGGCATGCCGATTGACCGGCGCTATGACGTCGGTGATGGCTCTTGGAACTTCCACTTCCAACCCTGTCTCGGATGCCTGGCTGCTGCTAGGAGGGAAGTCTGTCAAAAAGGCGGCCCGAGACGAACGGTTTCCTGCGGTCAGAGAACCAGCTTGCTGCGGCGAATGCTGACTTGCGGTCCTCGCAGCCGTAGCGAGCTCACGCTGCCGGTTGACCGGAAGGAAGTGGGATTCAGGTGACGGAGTCCAAGGTATGGGGGTTCCGGACGCCAGTACCTCATTCTCACCGTCCGGTTTCGCCTTTGGCTGTGTAGGAGTGCGCTTGACCGAAGGTACTGGAGATGGGGGCTGTGAGGAGAACGCTGCCCTTTCGACTGGGGCGGGCGATGCAGGTTGTCGGGAGACACGCTCTTTTCCCTTCCGCGTGTCCTGCCTACTTTCTTTTGCATGACGTGCTATCACGTCCTCCAGGACCATTGGCGGTATTGGCGGTATGGGCCCACCGGTAGGAGCCCAAGCATCTGGGCGGTCCAGGCATTTCTGCACATCCGACGGAATCTGGACAACTCGGCGACCAAATATTGCGAGGCCGGACGCAGCCAATGCTGCAGAGTTGCCCGAAGTGGCAGACTTTCCCATGTTGAGAACGTTGTTGTTCCAAATAATAATGAACAAGAAGAGGGAGAGAATCAGAAGAGACGCCGGCGACCCAGCAATTTGTGCTGATCTGACGGGCTTTTTTTGGTATCGATTTAGTTTCGGGGGGACCGAGGTGATGGTCCGGATATCAGACATCCAGTTCTGTGGGATTGAGGGAAGTGCGCGACACCGCCATGTTGAGAGCGCTGCCCTGACAGCGGTGATGATGATGAATGGAGAGAAGCCGCGGTCCAACTCGCGGGAAGCAGGAACCTGTTGCGATCCCCAAAACGGAATCCGGTTCCCGTGCTGGGAACGTTGAGGACGGGACAGTGGGCTTCAAGTTATGTATGGCCCGCGCAACAGAACCTACCTTAGCCGTGATTCTGACGCCAGATCACATGACTTGCCTACACGTGTAGGGATATTAAGGTACCGTTTGCCCCCGTTTGCCCCACTACATACCTTAAGTACCAGGTAGTAGTGAGCGGCTAAGGCGGTGGGGCAGATTAGGTGGATTCCGGCTAGTAACGGTACTTTAGCGCCGCTGTTTCCCAAAAAATGTCGCTGAAGTCCACCTCCCGTTGCCTCGGACATAGTCCCATAGTCCCATTTTCTGTAGCGATGCCTGCCGAGTGACGCCAGTCGTTCTGGAACGTTGTGCCGCGCCCGATACAGTCGCTACACAGTATTCCGTACTCGTAAGCTGATGTGACTCGAGTCACTCGAGGCAGCAGCCATCTTGTGATTCTCTCGATCCCGAATGCAGTGGTAAATTCAAATTGCGAAGGAGACCTTGGAGCTTCGGAATGCCTGTCATCGCGCTGCCGCCTGCTCACCAGCGCAAGCCTTCGCTCTGCTGTTCGTGAGCCAACGGCAAAGCATGCTCTCAGCTCTCCATTTGACTCGACCCCCGTCGCTGGCTCGTCGAACTGACCGACGCCCGTACCATGGCTGCCGACGCCAACGGGCTCGGGAAGCTGTCCCTGGGCCCGTCGGCCCCTGGGTCGCCGATAGACACCCGACCGCGCCGCGACTCCACGATATCGTTTTCCGTGTCGTCGCCCGCCGACAGGGAGCAGATCGCCCTGGCGCTGGACAAAATCCACACCTCGGCCAGCCAGTCGGATGCGCTGACCACATTTAACGACTTTGCCGATCCGCCAGCCTCGCTGCCGTCCTCGGAGAGTAAAGTGACGGCGGGCGAGCTCGTACAACAAGGCTTTAGTGGCTTGTATACACGGTTCAAGGAGGCTGTCACCGCAGTCGGCAAAAGCCCCGCGCACGAGGCCGACGATGCCAACAGCCAGGATGGCGCCTCCTCCAGGAAGAGCGCCAACGCGGCGACAGGCGGCTCCAAGACATCGCCTCTCCCAAGGGGAGAAAGTGATGCCACGACCTCAACTCTTGAAACCTCTATATCCTCGGGCCACACGGCGTCTGGCCTGTCTTCGGTCGGCGCTGTGGCTGGCGACTCGCAATCAATTGCTCCGTCAACCTCCAAAGCTTCCTCGGCAGCGACACCGGGGTCGGCCTCGAAGACACCCTCGACCCAGAGCATCCAGAGCATGCCGAAGATTGCAAAGTCAGCTCCACCAACCGCGGCCAACGCCGCCGTCGCACCGGTCACCGTGCAGGGCTTGATGGATAAGGATGCCGCTCGATCCGGAACAACGCGCGGGGAAGATATGCCTGCGCGGTCTGCAGGCCGTAGGAGTATAAGCAGGCCAACAGACACAGCACCGAGCCCTAATCTGTCCGGGAATGTCAGCCTAGAGAGTGTCCCCACCAGTGATCGAATAGTGCTGCCGAACCGGGCGAGGAGGGAAGACTCTATTACTAGCATGGACGGGGCCACCGATACACCACGCAGTCCGGTCCCGGCTTCGGGCGAAGCGCGCGCGCCCCCCTCTTCCTCTCGGCTCGCCGCCGCTGATCTCACGAGAAAGCCAGCAGTGATTGACCGCATTGTGTCGTCCCGGGGCCGTAGCCATTCGAGATCGTCATCGATGGATCCTGGTGCTGCCGAAGCCAGTCCGATCAGTACCTCGGCCCACAGCTCAGTGTATCATGACTCGTTTTCCCACAATGAACGGCCCCAGATGCTACGGTCCGGTCTTATGAAGATCCCGGGGACGACGACCAACGAGGGAGCCCCGGAAATCGTCAATGCGAGGCTGGAGCGCATGCGGAAACAAGTACTAAGCAAGGAGTTTTGGATGGCCGACGAGACCTGCAAGGAGTGTTTCCTTTGCGGCACGCCCTTTACTGCCTTCAGGCGCAAACACCACTGCCGGACGTGCGGCTGCATCTTCGATTCGAAATGCACGTCGAACATCTCGGGCCAGAAGTTCGGCGTGCCGGGGACCTTGCGCGTGTGCAAGACCTGTCTAAATGTCATCAACCGCCGCTATGATAGTGGCTCCGACGATTCGGCCGACGAATCCTATCTCCCGGCAATCTTCCGCGCCGGCCACGCGAACAAGCTCGTCCCCCCCGGCGCGAAGCCGCGGACGGACGACGAGGCGAGCATGTCGGAGCGCACCGAGCAGGCAGAAGACACCAGGACCGCGACGACGCCGATGATGGCCATCCCGGCCACGCGACGGGTTGGAGACAGCAACCGCCACTCGGCCATCCTGGAGATTGATATGCCGCAGCTCAGCAGGCCGAGCTCGTCGCGGTCGCTGAAGTCTCTCGCCACCGGCCGGCCGCAATCAGGCCATCGCCGACACCATTCCAAGCACAACTTCCTGACGAGGTTCAAGCCGCCCGCAGACGAGGGCGCACCGTTCCGCGCGCCGGCCAGCGATGCGTTGGGCTTGGGGAAGAGGTCTAACGTCAACGCCTTCCACACCGACAACATCATCGACCCGGAGCTGGCGCCCTACATGTCGGATGAATCCAGCGAGGATGAGCAGATGAGCAGCATCTTCACCACCATGGACAGCGGTGATTTCCAGCCGGCGAGCCTCGATCCCGGCCGGTCAAGTTTCGGAACATACCTCGGCGCAGGGAGGAAACACCGGTTCCGCCACGGTGGGGAGAAGAGCATCAGCGGGCTTAGCCATGCGAGCCGCGGCCTCGAGGAGGGGAGCGGCCTTCAGAATCTGTCGATACACATACGACCGCCGCGGAGAAGGAACCTCAGCATCGCGAGCGCCAGCATCCATCATCTGCGTTCTCCGGCACGGCCGAAATCGGCTGTTCACAAAGGTCCGGCAGCCTCGGCCGACACGCTCTCGATCTTTGAGAATGTCGTCGAAGCGCCCGGTATGAAGCGGAGCGACTCCATACGCGACGGCAAGTCAGGGGAGGAAGGCCTGAATCCCGCCAGCGCGCAGCACGTCAAGAAGCTCTTCCGACAGCTCCTGCAAGACGCCGATATTCCCAACCCGGCGAGCTGGGAGCGGTCCCTGATCCCCATCCTCGATCGCTGCGCCGACGATGTTGACCCGGACATACGCAACGGGGACGACATGGACATACGGCACTGGGTGAAGCTGAAGAAAATACCGGGCGGCAGGCCGGGCGACACCGCCTACGTCCACGGCGTGGTCTTCACCAAGAACCTCGCGCTCAAGAGCATGCCCCGCAAGATCCGCAACCCGAGGATCGTCGTGATCACTTTCCCGCTTGAATACCAGCGCCATCCGGAGCAGCATTTTATGAGCTTGCAGCCGGTTATCGAGCAGGAGAGGGAGTACCTGAGGATGGTCGTCAACCGCATCCTCAACCTGGAGCCGCACGTGCTGCTCGTCGAGAAGAGCGTGGCAGGGTTGGCGCTGCAGTATCTGTCGGAGGCCAACGTGGCGGTGGTGTACAACGTCAAGCCGTCCGTCATCGAAGCCGTGGCGCGCATCGTGAATATGCCGGTGATCTCGTCCATGGACATGCTCAGTCTCGGGGCGCGGGTGGGCATGTGCGAGAGCTTCGAGGTCAAGACGTTCGTGAACAACGAGATCCGGGGCAAGAAGAAAACCTACATCTTCATGTCCGGCTGCCCGAAAGACCGCGGCTGCACCATTGCGCTCCGTGGTGCCTCGACCGAGATCCTCACCCGCATGAAGCGCATCACCGAGTTCATGGTTTACGTCATCTACAACCTGAAGCTGGAGTCTTGTCTCATGCGCGACGAATTCGTCCAGATACCGTCGGAGGCGTCGCTATCCTTACCACCGGGTCCGGCGTCGGCGCAGCAGATTCAGGAGGCGCTGCCGGCGCCGTTGGGCGGTGCGGCCGACCCCTCGAGCAGCCCACCCGCAATCCTGATCACGAGTCAGAGCACTGAGGGCGAAAAGGCCTTGCAGGACACCAGCAGGACGACGGCCGCCGGGGATTCAGAGGCGGCCCCTGTGGAGCCGGCTGCTGCTCAACCCGCTCCGGCCGAGACAAGCCCGAAGTCGATTTCCATGCATGAGCTACACTCCCATGCCCAGGTGCCCGAGGACGCGCCCATGCCGTCCTTCTATAGCGATATGGTGGCGAAGTACGAAACCAGGATCCTGTCCACGTCGCCGTTTGTCAAGTTCAAGCAACCGTATCTGCTGGTGAAGGCGCGGGAGCAGGAGCGGCGCGCGGCGTACTTGAGATCGCTCCTTAAGCAGGAACAGGTGGAGGAGTCGGATGAGGACGAGAAGCCGAGGCCGGAGCCGTTCCAGCTCGTCAAACCGGAGATGGTGCAAGGGATTGAGACGAAGGGGCCCCGCAAGGTCCTTGAGGTCCTGCACGCCGTGCACGAGGCGGAGTATGACAAGGCTATGCACAGTTACCGAACGCAGGCGAAGCAGTGGGAGGCGTACACGCACGGCTGTCTCGACCTCTTCGACCCTTACTCGCACCAGAACATCGTCGTCCTGTACTCGGTCACTTGCACGGCGACAAAGATACCGTGCTCGGAGCCCAGTCTGGTCGCCATCGAGTTCTACAACGAGCATCCGGACCAGCGCGGGAACATGGACCAGGACTGCACGCTGGGCCAGTACATCGAAGACATCTGCGAGGGCGCAGAGTTCGTGTGCCACTCCAACGGCTGCGAGCGCAAGATGCACGAGCACCATCGCACCTATGTCCACGACAACGCGCGCCTGACCATCATCCTGGAGACCTCGCCGGCCTGGCCCGAGAACTTCCCGAGCAAGCCCCACGAGGCCGCTGCCGGCGACAGCGACGGCACCGGTATCTGCATGTGGAACTACTGCAAACACTGCAACAAGCACTTCGGGCTGATGCCCATGTCGGTGAGCACGTGGAAGTACTCGTTCGGGAAGTACCTCGAGCTGTCGTTCTGGAGCCGGGGACTGCAGCTGAATCCGCAGACCGAGTGTCCGCATGACCACCAGAAGGACCACATCCGCTTCTTCTACTATCTGTACCGCGACATTGCCGTCCGAGTGCACTACGACCCCATCGATCTCTACGAGATCATCGTGCCGAGGACGAAGATCACGTGGAAGGTGGACTACGACCTGAAGCTCAAGAACGACATCTTCGTCAAGGCCGAGGAGCGCTGGAACCGCTTCATGAACTCGGTCCGGGCGCGGCTGAAGAGCATCCGGATCGACAGCGTGCTTCCCGAGAAAGCCGAGGCCTGCAAGGCGGAAGTGGAGCGGCTCGGCAGGAAGGCGCAGGAGGACCAACCGGAGCTGGTCCGCGCGCTTCAGGAGGCCTACATGAACTCCAAGTACTACGAGGTGATCCCGCTCAACGCCGTCATCCGGGAAATGCTCGAGAAGGTGACGGACTGGGACGCGGCGTTTGCGGCGTTCGAGGCCGAGTTCCTGTCGGACAAGGACGTCCGTCAGTTGACCATCATCCAGCTGAAGAAGATGTTCACCGACCACGAGTCCAAAGAGTCGTTGCCGAGCACGGAGGGGTCTGTTTCGGCCGGGTCCGAGTCCGAAGGAAAGACCAGCACCGCCACGTCGCCGCCGGGCGTGTCTGAGGATGAGAAGCCGTCCCAGACGTCAGAGGAGGGCGATGTTACTGGTCAACCGCAGGAGACGGCCCCGTCTCCCACAGCGCAGCCCGCTCCCGGGGCCAAAGAAGGCGGTGCGGTCGAGGCGGAGGAGCTGCTGGAGCGAGTTGAACCCTTGGACCTGGCAACGCCGATCACACCAACAGTATCGAAGACGGTCTTCGCCCCTTCTTCGGACGCAGCAGCAGGACCGGATGTTGTTGTTGTTGCCACCAAACCGGCCACCGACCAGCCAACCACGCCGGTACCGGCGCCGGCGCCTGCCCTGGCCTCCACGGCTCCCCTAGCAGCCCAGGCTAGCGCGATACAGTCTGCACCTCCGGGCCAACAGCCACTGTCACTAAGTGAGAGGGTCGAGCAGCTGCGTAGGGAGCAGCGGGCACTGTCAAACGGCGGTACCACCACCACCGGCTCTGCGCCTGGGGCTGAGAATGTGAGCGGAATCCCACAGCCCACGCCGGAACGCAATCTACCCCGGCGGGCGGGCACGGCGGTGTCGCCTCCCATGGTCCGTGCCATATCCCAGCCGTCGGGAACCTTGCCGAGGACGCAGTCGGCCATCGGCAAGCTTCTTCTGAAGGAGCAGAGGCTGCAGGACACGGGCGCCGATACGCAGAAGGCAGCGCCAGGAGACGGCCCTCCTCCGAAGGGGGACAAGAAGTTCGCCGACCGCATTGGTCTCGGAGCCCTGAAGAGCCACCGTAAGGCAGGGCCTTCCGGGATTCCGCGATACGTGCACAAGAGGGAGTCCAAGGTGTCGACGCTCGCGCGGCACTTCGAGCAGCTGAGCCGCGAGTTCGAGAAGGAGCGGATGAAGGACCGCAAGCAGCGCGCCGCCAAGATGCACTACACGCGGGCCTTCCTGCCGCGCTCTTCCACCAAGACGATAGTAGAAGTCTACAAGGACGTGGACCAGGCCGTGCAGGAGCCGCCGGGGCCGTCGGACGACGACCAGCTGCTGCTCAACAGAGAGCGGAGCGACAACAAACCGACCGAGGACGCCTCGACGGCTGCTGCACCGAGCGTCACGGCTGTCGCGTCGCAGGAGGCCAAGGCCAAGACCAAGACCAAGGCCAAGGTTTCGACGGCAGAGCCCGGCTCGCCGCAGGAAGCTCCCCCGCAGACACCGGCGCCGGAGAAGGAGGCCGCTGCGCAGGCGGGAGAAGAGAGGGAGGACAACCGGCAGGAGGAGAGTCGGGCCGGGACCGACGACGACGAAGGCGCAGAGAGCGAAGGGGACAATTCCAGCCTCACGCTGGACGACATCCTGCCGGACGTGAAGGAGATCGCCGAGTCGCTGGAGCCGAGCGGGGAGATACCGGAAGAGCTGCCGAGGCACCAGAAGAAGAGCCTCATGACCATGCTCACCAACTTCTGGGCCGAGCGCTCGGCCAGCGGCTGGCCCCAGCTGGAGTACCCGATCAACGCCACGGACCACATCTTCTTCGACTCGGACGTGATCGTCAAGGAGGACGAGCCGAGCTCGCTGGTGGCGTTCGCGCTGAGCTCCGAGGATTACCGGTCGAAGCTGGCCGAGATCCGGCAGAAGTGGGAGACGCCGAGCGACGACGACGACGAGCCGGACGAGCCAGACGGCCACAGCAGCGACGACGACGGGCTGGAGATGAAAGGGCCGCAACAGACTTGGAAGGCGACGGAAGGAGGAGGAGGAGGAGGAGGAGGAGGAGCAGCAGCAGCACCACCACCACCACCACAAGCACCATCCAAGACGGCCAAGGCCAGCACCAAGTACAACACGGAGCTCGAAAAGAGCCTGAAGCGGCCGACGGGGATGCACGTCAAGTACCAGTTTGCCGAGGGCTCGGCGCGCATGACGTGCCAGATCTTCTACGCCGAGCAGTTCGACGCGCTGCGGCGCATGTGCGGCGTGGCGGACCGCTTCGTCGAGTCGCTGTCGCGGTGCCTGAAGTGGGATTCCAAGGGCGGCAAGACCAAGTCGGTCTTCCTCAAGACGCTGGACGAGCGCTTCATCCTCAAGTCGCTGTCGCCGAGCGAGACGTCGTCGTTCCTGCGCTTCGCGCCCGACTACTTCGGCCTCATGGCCGAGGCGCTGTTCCGCGACCTGCCGTCGGTCATCGCCAAGATGTTCGGCTTCTTCCGCGTCTACATCAAGAACCCGCTGACCAACACCGAGATCAAGCTGGACCTGCTGGTCATGGAGAACCTGTTCTACGACCGGTGCCCGAGCCGCACCTTCGACCTCAAGGGCTCGATGCGCAACCGGCGCATCCAGTCGACGGGCGAGCAGAACGAGGTGCTGCTGGACGAGAACATGGTCGAGTACATCTACGAGTCGCCGCTGTTCGCGCGCGAGCACTCGAAGCGTCTGCTGCGCGCGTCCGTCTACAACGACACGCTGTTCCTGGCCAAGCGCGACGTCATGGACTACTCGCTCATGGTGGCCGTCGACGAGGTCCGCCGGGAGATCGCCGTCGGCATCATCGACTGCATCCGCACCTACACGTGGGACAAGCAGCTCGAGAGCTGGGTCAAGAGCCGCGGGTTTGCCGGCGGCGGCCGGAACCGCCCGACCGTGACGAGCCCCAAGGAGTACAAGAGCCGCTTCCGGGAGGCGATGGCGAGGTGAATTCTCTCTTTTCTTTTGTTTTTGTTTTTCTTTTCTTTTTCTTTTCTCTCTTTTTTTTTTTTTTTTCGTCTTCTGCTGTTATACTAATGACAATATGGCAGATACATTCTCCAATCTCCCAATTGCTGGCACACCTTTGGGAGCCGCAAGATCCCCGACACGCCTGCCACGCCCAGGCCGAGGTTTGAGGAAGATCTTTGATACTAGTACCAAGGCAGTTTTGTTTCTTTTTGCGGGAGTGTGAGCAATCCAATGCATAGCATAGCGATCTTGGTTGGGGGGGGGCGGGTGTTAATTTAGGTACCTTACTGGCGCTCAATGGTTGGAGGGGGAGATGTGCATTATGTGATATGCGAGGTGTTTTTCTTTTGGAGCAATGCTGGGTTTGGTTAGGATAACGAGTAATGATGGAGTAATAGTGGTAGCGCATTGGCACACGGTATATAGCATGCATGTTGGTATTTGGCAGTCTTGAATCGACGTGTCCTTCAGAGCATCCCTCCCCGTGTTATTCATATCACATAGCAGGAAGCCCATACATACCTACTACTATGGTAAGTAGGTAACCAACTGGCAATTCCTAGACACAACTAACTGAAGTACCTATGTTAACAGATCTCCATGTTGGCGCCGGAACAAACCCAGCACAACCCGCAGCGTCACCACGGCTCTTCCATCCCGGTCATCAAGACATCTACAGATCCCACACTGGCAACCCCAACCTCCTCGTCGTCGTCATCATCATCATCATCGTCATCAGTCGAACCATCCGCGGCCATCTCGTCATCCTCCCGCCGTTCGGCCTCCCACGGGTCCCAACTCCTGGGGACGGACTCCAGACGAACAGCAGGCAGCCTGGCATCGCCGTCGTCGTTGTTGTCGTCCCCTTCCCTGACCGCAGCCGTTGACGACGGACGCGAGAAGGGGTTCAGCCTCGCTAGGGCGCCTCCCCAGGTGCCCTGTTCCTCCTGGTCTTCTTCTTCTGTGTTGTCGAGGTCGCCGATGGCTATATGGGTTTTTCTGATTATTAGTTATTTCTCATTTCTCAACTTCTTCTTATTCTTCTTCTAACACAAGGGAAGAAAAAAAGAGTTTAAAAATTTTTTTTAAAAAAAAACACAACTCACCCCTCGCCACCATCCCGGTAACGCCGTCCTGAATCACCTGGCGCTGCAGGCGCGTGTCGCCCACGGGATACACGGCTGGCCCGGGCCGGTACAGCACCTTCTCGACCGCGTACGGCTTCATCTTGGGCCGCGTGTATTTCCGGTCCACCGTCAGGTCCTGCGCGGCCGGGTCGTAGGTCAGCGCCGGGTCGACGTGTGCGTCGGACCGGACGGCGCGCTCGGCGTCGGCCGTCAGGTGGCCTGTCGCGAGCGGCCAGCGGTTGATGGACCAGTACTGCCGCCGCTGCTGCTGCCCCTGCCGTCTCTTCTTGGCCTTGGTCTTGATCTTGGCCCAGTCCCAGTTGTGGTCGCGCACCCGCGTGGTCTGGCGGCGGCCCTGGCCGTCGAAGTAGGGCCGCTCGCGCGCCGGGAAGAGCATGGTCTCGTTGGCCGAGAGTTCCGAGATGATGTTGCTGCGGATGAGGGCGAGCTCGGAAGGCGTCGGCTCGGCCGTGTCCTGGACCTGGGCGGCGCATGCGTCTTCCCATCGCTGCTTGGCCTCGCGGAGGTGTCGGTACCGGACCGGTGTAGCGGCTTCCTGTTGCTCCTGCTCGAGCATGGAGATGGTGTAGCCCAGGCGGAAGCCCAGCGAGGCGAAGAAGTTCCAGATGGCGCTGCCTTCGTCGACATCCGGAGGGGCGCGGCCGTCGTCCCCGAGGATGCTGCTCCAGTCCGCGACATAGCCCAGCGCGTAGGAGGGCCGCTCGCGGGTGTCTGCTGCGGCGGGCCAGAGCACGCGATGCTCGGGGAAGAAGTCGACCCGTGGCCGCCGCACGACGCCGTAGCATTCGAGGTCGAGGCGGAAGCGCACGTGCCCGCTCTTCCTCATCCTATCCAGCCAGCAGCAAGCGTCGGACGGCACGAACGCGCACCTGGTGACCGCAAAACGACCACCACCAGTATCGCCTTCCTTGCCGGCCCCGGCGTTGATGGCCGCCAGCAGCTCCTCGACCGTCACCTCGGCGTCGTGCCGGCTGAACAAGCCCTCCGGGTTCGCATCGTCCAGCAGCCTCTGCACCCTCGTGGCAAAGATGCGGAAGAGCTTGTACTTCTCCCTCGGCGTGTCCGGCACGAACCGCCCCGTCCAATTCTTGCGGTTGACACACTGCCCCGTGGCCAGGAACCGGAGCCACTGCAGCTCGTCTGGGTCCATAGGTCTCGGCACCACCATCGCCGTTTCCATCTCATCATTATTGTCTTCGTCATCATCACTTCCCGGTCTTCTTACCCACTCATCCCGCGCCAGCTTCACCTCCTGCGGCACTTCCACCCGCCCATCCTCAGTTTCCTCCGCAGCCTTCTTCCCCCGTTCCACCATCTCCAGCACTTTCCCCAACAACGCCCTCGGCACCCTCTTCTCGGCGAGTGTCAGCAATACCCCCACGACGCGGCACCGCCCCAGCAGATCGGCCCACCGTTGCGCGTCCGCATCCAGCATGCGCCACACAAACGGCCCGCCGTTGACGAAATTCCGCGGCAGCAGCACCGCCACTGCAGAGCCCGTAGTACCGTCCTCGCCCTCGACGCGCAGCCGCGCCAGGGCGCGCATCCGCTTGATGTGTGCTAGGCGGGCGTGGTAGGCGAGCGTGTGCCGCATCGTGTCCAGCTGAGAGATCTGCTCCGGCGTGAGCGTGATCCGTGGTGGCGTCCACTGCGGGCCGTCGATGCGTTTGCATGCGCGGAGGAGTGCGGAGGCGGGGAAGGGGAGGATGAGGCGGCGGTGTGGTGTTGTGGTGCTGTTTGTGGCGGTGATGGTGGTTGCGTAGGAGCGGAGGGCGTGCTGAAGAGCTGCGCGACGGGTTCCGCGGTCTGTGGCCCATTCTCTTCGGGGGCTTGGAGGGTCGTTGTTGCTGTTCTCTGCGGAACCATGGAAAGCGGCGGATTCGATGTAAGCCAGGTTGTTCCGCTCCGCATCGTCCTCCGCGTCCGAGGGGATGTCGTCGTCGTCGTCGCCGCCGGATGTGCGCTGCCACCACCTCTTCTCGTCCTCGACGAACTGGTCAAAGATCGGGCCGTCGTCGGGGTTGTCGAGCAGCATCCTGTTTACGGGGCTCGGGGGCCGCGGCGGGATGGATCTGGGCAGGAGGTGGCTCCGGTCGGGGACGGGGTTGTGCGACGGGAGAGGCCAGTCTTGCGTGTCGACCATCCAGCTGAGCCGGGTCGGCTTCAGGGGTGTCTTGAACGGTCTGGTGATCTCCAGGGGCGTCGGGGCGTAGTGGTGTCTCTCGAACAGCGCATGGGCCCTGGCCTTGGTCACGGCGTCGTTGAACATGGCACGTGTCTGTGGGCTGGCGTCCTGCAGCTGGAGATGCCCGTTGTCGAAAGCAAGCCATTCCAGGTACGACACGACCTCTTCGAACTTGGCCACCCAGCCCATGCACCGGTCCACGTCCTCGTCGGCGAGGAACTTGACGATCGTGTCGAGCCGGGCTGCGAGCGGCGGTTCCAGCCTGTCGCGGTACCAGGAGTCGAGGTGCCAGTCGGGTCCATTCTGGCCTGTGTCTATCGTCGCCGCGTCTTCTGTCCGAGGCAGGAGTCGGATGGATTGTAGTCTCCGGAGTAGTGCGTCGGTGCTCCGCGGGCGAGCCGCACCAGATGGCCGCACTTGGTTGCTCGCCCTTTCTTCCTCCGCCGCCCAGTCCTCGTCCTCGTCTCTTCCGGGGGAGTCCAGTTCATCGAGATCAACAATGGTCTGTCCCAGACTGGTTTGCCTTCTTGGCTGAAACTGCTTCGGGATGGGGACACTCGGCAAGGTACCGTCCAAGTTGCTTTCCGGGTACAGTTGATCATATATTGTGTATTGCCGGAGCTCGCGGAGGAACGTTTCCCCAAGATTGTAATTCCTGATCTCGGGATTGCGGAGGTGATACTCGACCTGGCGCCTGAGGTCTTCGGCCCCTGGCTTGAGCACCACCTCCTCGAGGTACGCCTTGAACAAGGGCGCACACTCGGCGTCGTGGGCGGCATAATCAATGAGAAACTGGACGAGGGCACCTACAACGCGCGAGTCAGTTTCTTTCTTTTTCTAACTATTTTCTGGATTCTGAAGGAACCACGAAATACATACCGTCGACTTCACGCCTTTCTTGCTGGTGCGGCAACGGAGGATCATCAATGGACGTTCCCCCCGACCAGTGGCCCTCGCTCTCCGGACTTCCCCCGTTCGGCGACGATGTGAGATGCGGACCAAGGAGGCCTGGGCTGGATATGCTGCTGGATTCGCTGCTGACAGTCAATGACTCGTCTTCCATGTTGTTTTTGTCCGCCGCTTCTCGGCCACGACAGATAGGAGCTGACTGGCTGTTTGTGAGGAAGAGAATAAAGCTCTCACGCACATGTCAAATAATAAACGACTACTACATGGTCAACAGAATTGGCCATATATGTCTCCCTCCCCCCCCCCCCCCCACTCATTCACCACTGGAATGTGCCGGTCGCATACATTTCGCACCGGGCCATATCACAATGGAGATTGGCACATGCTGGTCTGCACCGCCCGTCCGTTTCATCAGAGATGCAGCCACCACGCAGGTGGGAGCCGCCGTTTTCAGAATTCCGCGTCTGACAAACAAAGAAACGCGCTTAGCTTCGACAGGACAAAGCACAATACGGATTGCTGCAGACGCCTGTTGGACTGTTCTTTGTCTTATTCCCTTCCCTTCGTGGAAGGCAAGGGCAGATAAGGGTATATGATGAAAACGTGTACGATAGATAGATAGATATATGATCTGCCTGCACACGTCTTCATTGTATCTCCCGGGGGAGCGCACGAAAGAGACAACCCCTTGACGATTCATCAAGATGGAGACAGACGGCCAAGCCTCTGGCCATGTTGCCGGACTCAGGGGACGAAGACGCTCCTCTGCCGGGCTGACATCTTCGAACGGAGACCGCACGCAGGCTTCCAGGCGACTGTCCGCGACATTGAGGCGCGCTGTACGCAACACTGAAAGCTTCCACCGCAATCGTGGGAGCCGCGTCCGGAGCGTCAACGACGATGTCGCGGTTCTCGCCGCACATCGGGTGAGAACTCGAGCAATGGCGAGACGGGAGGAAGAGGAGGAGCAAACAAGTCAGATCCCAACCTCTCCCACCAAAACATGGGAGCCGTCCATCGTGATAGGCACTCCGCTCTGGCTCTCCGGAGAAGACCCCACTACCATCGAGATAGCCGACAGGAAGGTCGCCCAGGCACGCTTGCGCGCTGAGCACTATCCAGGCCATCCGTACTTTGCCCAGCTGTACCAGGAGGCGGTTCGAGAGAGGGAGCAGCTTGATGAAGCGGACGAGGCTAACTGGAGGCCAAGGTCAGTCGCTGCTACCTTATTTAGTCCAAGAAAACGAAAAAGGAAAAAAAGGAAAAAAGAGAAAAGAAAGAACTGGCAACTCACTCACTCATTGTCAGATCCACGCTCCAATCAACCCACGACAGAGCCGTCCAACAGCGGCTGGAAAACCTGCGTGCCATTCTGCAGCAGAGCAAGTTCCCGCCCGAGCGTGCAAACATCGAGGCCGCCATCGCGGGCTACGAGTGCGGCGACATCCCCTATTCGGACTCGTACACGCTCATCTGGGCCGGCCGCATTGTCGACAGCTGCCCGGACTTTGACTCGTTCACCGACGACCGCAGCGCGCGGCTGGACCGCTACCACGCCGAGCACGGTCCCGGCTGGCTCTGGTACGAGCCCCCCCTGGCCGGCGGTCGCACCTTCCTCCGCGCGCATGGCGCCACCATCCTGGCCAAGAAGGGCTTCTGCCTGGAGAACCACGACCGCTGGCGCCGCAGCACCGAAGGAATGGGCCACTACCGCATGCGCATGGGCTTCCGCCGCCGCAAGCTGCACGTAACCCGCGGGGAAGAGGAAAGCACCACCAGCCCCCTATCCCCCTCGCGTACCGGTAGTAGTAGCAATAGTAGTAGTAGACGCAATCGCCCTCACCATCGCCGCTCCTCCGTCCCGGGTCTCGACAACCACCTACATAACGACGAGATCAACAATGCCAACACCAAGACCAATACCAAGACCAACACTAAGAAACTCCCGCGGTGGCCCCCAACCGTCCCGGACCGGGACGGCCCGCGCGTGTTTTACGACACACTCCTCGACAGCGGCGCCACTCTGCCGTGCCTCTACGAGTCCGACCTGTCGGCGCTGCACATTGACCCGGACCGGTACGCGGCCCAGTCCAGCCGGAGCGTGGCCACCGCCGACGCGCTGTCGAGCTACAAGGTGTTTGAGCTCGACGTGGGCATTTCGTTTGCCGACCCGTCGAAACCGCCCGATGACAACAATAACAACAAGGATGGCGAGAAAAAAAAGGGGGGAGAAGACGGCTCGAATGAGGGAGAAAAAGAAGTAGTAGAAAAAGATGATGAAGACGAAGACGATGAAGAGCCAATGCCAACGCTAGGCTGCACCCTCCCCGTCGTGATCTTCCCGGGACGCGCGCCCAACGAGGAAAACGGCGCGGCCGCCCACCCGGAGAGCGCCCCCGACCGACTGAGCGGCATCCTGCCCTTTCTCGCGTGCTACCTGTCGAGCGCGCCGGGCAACTTCAAGCTGTGGCTGGGCGAGGACAGGCGGGACGTGCTCGGCGCGGGCCGGCTGCCGGGCCAGATGCGCTTCGGCGTGTATGAGGACCACCATCTTGCGTCTTCTTCTTCTTCCATGCAGGGCACTAAGACGAAGAAGAACAAGAACAACAACAAAAAGAAGAAGAAGAAGAAGAAGAAGAAGAAGAAGGGGGAACTGGTGCTCGGCGGGGAGGATGTTGATGATGATGATGATGATGATGAACTGCTGCTACACACGCCGAGACGGGTCATCTTCGAGCACGACATGGCCGACGGCAGCGGGCGGGTGCTGCGCGAGGAGGATGTTGGTGGCGGCAGTGTCCTCATGAGGGGGCCGAAGGGGGGAGTTATTGACTTGGATGCAGCTGCCGACTGGGGGTTGGATCCCGCTGACAAGAAGGAGGCGGTCGGCGGCGGCCTCGAGGTCGTTCGTGTCCAGCGGGGAAGAGGAGGAAGAAGACAGCTACGGCGGAGAGTGAGATAGGGGGAAGAAGAAGCCTCCTGTTGTTGTGGTGGTGGTGGTGGTGGTGGTGGTGAGATAGAGAGGATCAAGAGCGAGCCGACTAGGGAGCAACAAGCATGCATGCTACGAGGATTCAGGAGGGATGTAACAGTTAACATACCAACCAACATATAGGCGCTGCACCTTGCCATTCCTCTCGTCATGTCACACACAGACACACACACACGCACCTGACCAAGAACAAAATTTGCCAGAGACTTTCACCTCTTTTGTCATTTTCTTCCTAGCAGCTACCAACTTGCGGTGCCCTCAATGCGGGCTGAATGAGACGTAGCAAACAAAGCCTTCAGGGTCCGTCAGATGGATAGAACCGCCTAGGCCAAACTTCCCTTCCATCCCATCCCAATTGCAGGGGCCAAAATCATAAAACAGGCCAAAGCCTTCCCGGAGACGACAGGCAGAGAAAGGCCTTTTTTTGCTTGGCCCTATGCCGTCGATCAAGAGGAGACAATATCGCAAATGGCCGCAAAACGAGTAGGCTGCCCGTGGCAAAAACGCAGCTGTGGGGGGAGGGGGTGTGTTGGTGATCTCCCATCCGATTTGTTCCTCCCTTGTCCTTGGACACATCTGGGGGTATCCGACAAAATGAACAACTTTGTTAATCTTGTTGCTTTCCTCCATTCATTCCGAATGTCAAGCCATTTTCCTCCCATCCTCCTCTAATCAAGTCCCTGCTGGGTTGGGTGCCAAAAGATGAAAAAGAATCCCAGTGTGCCGGTGTGTTACTGAGGCGAGTTTTGTTCGCTTGCTCCACGCCGAGAAGGATCCCTTTGTCGCACCTCTTTTTTTTTTTTTGTAGGTTTCTCCTTGTTTCTTTTGTGACTTGTGAAAAACATGGCTGGCACAAAGTGGAGGGTAGTCGGTAAACAACCCTCGGGTCCGCCGTCTTGAGTCTGGGGGCTGCAGCCATGTTTGCAGCGGCGGCGCCAGATGGTTCCAGAAGTTGGAGGTCGATGAGGCGGCCCAGAAAAAGAGTAGGGAAAAAAATAAATAAATAGTCGAATTCAACGCAAGGGATGCCATGACGCTAAATGATCCAGTGCAAAGTGAACGAGCCAGATGATGCATGCAATCTTTTTTGTCTTCCGAATGGTATAATATCTCAAGATGCCCTTTGAACAATAAGTGGAAAAATGAACAAGCGGCGAGCGGCCCCTTTTCTTCACATGGGGAAAGGAGCTGGGCCGGCGCGACAACCTTGAAGCGGCTGCCAAATCTCTGCCACAACCCGAGTGCCACGGCAAAGCGGCCATCTCAGTACGACATATGCGATGCAGCCCCACCAAAGTAGGATGGCCCCGCCATATGTTGCTGCTGATGGTGCTGCGGTAGTAGTTGTTGTGGTTGTTGTTGTGGGAGATGTGGCTGCTGGTATGATGACGGCCCATGGCCCGGTTGAGGAGTCGGGGTTACTGGACACCGGGGCGGTACCTGGTAATCCTTGATCATCGCATTGTTCTGGCCGAAGCATGAGCCATCCGGTGTGATGGGGGGCGTCATATAACCGTCGGCCACGCCGGGAACGGCGCCCAGTCCCTTGCTGGGGGTGCTGTAGACATCGCCCGACTTGCTCGACACGGTGGGCTCTGATACGGGCGAGGGCGGTGCTCCTCTCCGGGCGATCGCGGCCTGGTGGGCGAGGAAGTCGGCCAGCTTGGTCGACACCCTGGAGTAGTACTGGCTCGAGTATTTCCTGGCCAGGGTAACGGATGGCTGGTGTAGGTGTTGTGACAGCGTTAGTAGTGTCATGTTGTCGTTGTGGTCCCACTCGCCGTCGTTGACCTCCGGTTTGCCCAGAATGGCACGAGCGAGCGCCAGCGAGGCCCTGGCCATGACCGAAGGCTTCGTCGACACAAAGTCCCGGTGGTAAAGGGCGATCTCGCAGATGTAGGCCGCCATGTGCTCCACCTCCCTGCTGTCCCGCTCCTCGGCGACAACCAACTGCGTGAAGAAGTCCACGGTCGGGTGCCCAATGCTCCAGTCAAGAGTGTTGAGAACGTGCATCTCCATCTGCGTGAACATGCCCGCATCGTAGAGTCCGCAGCACATGTTGTTGAGCTCGCTGATCTGAGGTACCCTGTCCTTCTTGTCTCCGTACTTGGCGGCGATGAGAAGCGCGGCGCAGCCGACCAGCTGGTAGTGCTGCTTGTACACGACCCGTTTCGAGCAGTACCGGTCCAGGAGATTCACTGTCAGGAAGAGCGTCTCGGGGAGGAGGGAGAATGCGGCATGGGCTTCGATCAGGAAATCGATGAGGTACGGCCGCATAAACCATTGAATCTCGCGCTGCATGTCGATGAGATTCGCGTCCGGTAATGTCTCGTCCTGAGGAAAGTTAGCCAACATTGCAATTGACCTATCTTCCTGTACTCTCTCACGAGCCCAGGAACATCAGCCTGTGTCGTACCTCCATGTGGCGCATGTGCTGCATGATGTCCTCCAGATACTCGTCACAGGCCAGCCTTGAGAGTTCGTTGGCAATCATCTCCTGCTTGTTTCGGGCAAGCATCTTGGCAGCATCCCGCATCGTCATCCGCTGGCTCGGCTCGTCCGACTCGACGAAGAAGGTGTCGTCGCGTGGATACGCTGAGCACGCCATCTTGACTGATTGACTGAGATGAGGGGTGGATTAGATCGATCGTCAAGACGTTCGATAAGAGGGTTGCTTGTTCCGAGTTCTCCAGGAATTCAAGAGGGCAGTAATTAAGATATGAGTGGCCGGTGCCTAGAGAGTGAGGCCGTCGACCGAGTACAATGACTAGTATTATTGAATTATTAACGAGTGTTGTGAATAGGAAGTCTCGAAAAGAGCGTGTGGCCGGAGAATTCGCCGTTCTTTTTGATGCACAGAATAAGAGAATCGGGTGGCCGGGGAACAATGAATTGCGTCGACCGAGGGTTTCTAAATACTGCCGAATCAGCACGGATTTGCCTCCTCAGGCTCCATGGCGGGGGGACCCGATCGACAATGCAGAGCGCGGGCCGCTTCGTCCCAAGATACACAGTACGGTACACTGCAAGACCCATATCAAGGGGTGGAAGCATTTCAGCGGCCGCGATTCGGTCAATCTGGCCTATGGAGACTCAGATCTTCCCTGGCAGCGAGAGATCTCGGCGGGGGGTTCGAGGCACGGAAGGGAAGAAAAGGATGTGTCCCTTACCGCCACGGTTGCGGGTCGTTGAAGTCAACCAAAAGGACCGACGCAAAATGACACAATTCCTGACGCTGAGTAGGAAGCAACGAGTTAACGTGTCCCACGGCAGTCGTCAATGGATCGCCGACTCGACTAGGCTTCGAGCGTGGAAAGATATGTAGCCGCGGTTGCAGGGATGCGTCCGAGCTGGCATGTATCTGTGAAAGGGGGAAACACGGGTATTGTTCAGCATTGGTTTACCTCCACACCCGTAGAGCGCTATGTAGAGAGAGAGAGCTTGCGCTTGAGATGATGACATCAAGGAAGCGTCAGGGCGACATCAGACGATTCGCACCCGGCAAGCCAGGGATATTCGGGGGGAGCAGAAATTGGGATGATTCCAGAGAGAAGTGGAGAGAGTGTGCAGCACATACCTTTTCACTCTCTCTAAGCCGCGGAAGGGGCCAGAAAAGGGGGGCTATACACCGATTGAGATCATGTAGGTGACCTCGAGTTCGCGATGGAGCTCGTGGATCGGCGGTGGATTTTCGAGGACCCGGTTTCTGGTGGGAAACGAGTTGGATTTCCCCCCCCCTCGACAACGATTACACTCCCGCCAATTGGCAACACCGTCTGCTTCGCTCGAACGAGGTCGAGGTCCGGAGTCGGTGGGATTGGAGACACGGGAATGGGGGTGGAGGGCGCTCGGAATGAAGGGAGCAGCCGGGGGAAATGCAGGATTCCTCGTCGTCGAACCGAAGAATGCCTGGTCAAATCGAGACGCAGGGTGGAAGCGGGCGAGCAGCGTGGGAAAGCCGAGATACAGGAACGTTGGGTATTTCCAATTCCAGCCTCGTCGAGACCTTTTTATTCTGCACTGCAGCTCTCTGCACGCACCAGTCTGGTCGTGACGTTTTGAATGGGCTCGGGGAATTAGCTTGTCGGAGGGGCCCAGAATCTAAATCTCCTCCTTCCCTCCTTTTCTCGGTCTGAGAAAGGGAGCCCACGGCGGTGATGTTGGAAGGGACGGTGAGGGAGAGGGAACGACTGGTTGCGGATGGAGAAGGAGAAGGGAAGGAGAGGAGGAGATAGATATTGTCCAGGTAAGGAGGAGGATGGAGGAAAGAAGAAAAGGGAGCGGAAACACGCACAGAGATTGGTTAACGGCCGATTTAAGACAGGGTCGTCCCCAGCTTGCAGCCGGAGGAGCGCTCAGCACCAAGCAGCTTGCAGCACCGGCCGTGTACTGAGGTACCTGGCCCCCGGTCTGTCGCAACAACAGGGATCGCGGGCTCGCAGGGGCAGCCGGGCCAAGCCAGGCAGCTTAGCACTCCGGTGCAGCGTAAATGCCCACTCGACCGCCTGTGTCTTGAGAGTGTGCAAGGTTCGTGTGCTCCGTTCTTCTCCTTCCCACCCCCACCTCCGTTGCGCGAAAGGGCGAAAGGGGAAGAGACAGCCGTCCCACCGGGCTCCAGCCAAGCAGCATGGAAGGAAAAGGAGCGACAATTTCAATGGGCGGTCTCCTGTGCATCCGGAAAGCATGGCCGCCTTGCGAGCCAAAGGCAGCCTTCATTAAGGTCCAGTGCCGGAGTAGATTGCATGTCACTCCTCATACACTAGTTAAGTACCACAGTCGAAGCTGTTCCTTGGCATCCAACACAGTACGGATCCGTACCTGTAACTTATTAGCGGGGTGCGGAGGTGCACTCTTTCAGGGCATCTCGCGACCAGGAAACGCGCTCCTGTCGGACTGCTTGGAGCTGGTGGTGGGCGACGGCGGAATTGAGTGGACTCATCGCCGGGCTGCGAAATTCAGGCCAGGTGGAGGAGGACAAGGATCTACGGGCTGCAAGCTGCCAAAGCAGGGCCCTCTGCTAACCCCCGTCAGCCCGCAGTCAACCACTCAGAGCCGGCGACGGTGAGAGGCCTAAGACGCCGCAGGAGGTGGACCGCAGGGAAAATTCAGAGACACGGTTCCAGAGGATGGATGCACCGGCCAAAGCGTTGCATTTGCATTTGATGCACGCGTTCGCGCGTCACGGTTTGGTGTCTGGCGTCTGATATCCGGGCACTGGCGCGATGCTCTTTAGCTTCGCGTCGTTGGAGCTCGGCCCGCATGCTGTCATCGTCCGCTGCAGTTGTCGGCCATAATCACCTTGTTGAGGCGTCGACATCGCGGACCGGCAGCTGCAGCATGGGCCGAGTAGCTGCGTGCGCTGGTGCGCGCAAGGGGCCTTCCCTCCAAACCGAATGTCCAAAGCATAAGGCGCGAGACAGCCTTTCAGCTCGAGAGACCCAATTGTTTCGTTCGACCTGCCGCAGCTCGTCCTCTAATAATGATAAGATGGTTATCAGTCTTCGGCTAATAACATATTAGGTTTCACGTGTTTGTTTGTTACTTCGATGACCCCCCGGAAGATCACCAGGCCTCAATTTCCAGGCCCTCTCCGCTTCCGAGGGCCCATTGACAGAGCAGCAACTCCACAACTCCAGACAAATCTCCAGACCTCGTTAATGGCTTGCTCCTTTGGTGGTGGTCAATCGACCGAGACACCCGAAGGGTCGGTCCATCCGTCCCGGCGAACGAGGTCAGCAGTTTGGCTAAATCCAGGTTCTTGTTGCGAGGGCCATTGAAGTGCAGCGCACATCCAGGCCATCTGCATGTAATCCGCATGTAATCTGGCAAGAATGCTTCCTCTTTGGCTGCGAATCTAGCAAACGCGCCAATACGCTGGGGCATACGGAGTGATAAGGCTGGGTTCATGGTTCATGCTTCTTCTCAAGGGCTTGCGTCACGGTCTCTGGAGAACGCCTTCATCGGAATCGACCAATTGACTCTGGGGTATTCAACGCACTGCGACAGTAAGAAGAATGTCTGAAGCACCGGCCATAAATGCTAGTCGCAACCCAAGACCGACCCCTCAAGACGTTGAAACCTACCTCCTGTACCTTAGGTATGATCAATCGGGTGCATTCGAGTTGCCCTTGGAAGGATCGTGGAGACAATCAATACAACATGCTTCTCTTGATTTCTTCGAGACGTCTGGCGCCGAGTATTATGACTGGGTCAGCTCACCCCTTTCCTTCATCGGCCGCTAATGCGGGGCAGCATCACAGTGCTTGAACCTTTCATCGAGACGGGTCCAATGCACCATTAGTTCCAAGGTTTTAAGTTTGTTACGCGCATCATCAATGCTTTGGCGTGTACGCGTTTAATGGGCTGCGTCTAGGACCAGTCAGATAAAAGCGATCTGATCCCCCACTTTCCAGGAGGCTGGCAACTGCGTGGGCATAGTTAACAGGCTTCTGACACCGCCTCCTATGTGAAGACCCAGCCAGCTCAGCAAATTAGGTGACTGATGTGAAGACAGACGCCGGAATATTTGGCCGCTTTCTCAGATAATGAGGAATTGCCCGTGTAGTTTGGCGATGCATGGTCCTTCTCGACACCAAGGCTGCGGCACCTTCCACCGAATGCGTATCTGGTAAGTCTTGACAGCCAATCAAGAGAGCAGAACGCGTGCTGCACGACTTCGGGGAACTCAATCTTAATCATGCGTGTCAACGACGGGCTCCTCCAATCCAGTCAATCGGTCGCCGGTGTCCACTCCCGGCTCCTACTGGACTAATGTAGAACAGGCCCGCCTGGAACGGCAACATAACAACAGGAAAACCAACAAACCAAAAATCCCAGACCAGTTACAAGTGTCTAACGCAGCATATCGAGATCGCCTTGCTAGGTAGGCAGCCAGCTTCTCCGTGTTGCCGTGCGGGTCGAACTAGCCGGCCGAACGCCAATGCGCCAACCCCGCCTTGGGCCTACATCTCCGCCGAGGTCTGACTGAGGTCTGACTGATCTCTGACGTCGGCATTGCATCGCAAGTTGACGCAACTACAGTACTTTAGCTCTGCGCTCTACACCAGCCATGGCGCCGTTCATTGCAGTCTCACCAAACCAGATGTGCTCGGCAAGCTCCTACTCTCTTGTGGATGTCATGCCTTGCAGGCTTCCCTTGCTGAGGCTGAAGCACAGCGGTCACTCCAACGCGGCCCAGCGCTTTCTTTGCACCATTGTTCATTGCGAAGGAGGATTGATTGCCGGTGTTCTTCGTGTGACAAGGCGACGACGGTCCAAGGGTGATGCCACGCTGTTCCTAGGATTTGTACCACCGTCAATCTCTCTTCATCAAGCTGGGGCAGGGCGATCTAGGGTCCGTCATAGCCTTTATCCGCAGCCCGCCTCGTCCCCGACCAAGACATTGTAACAGTACGACTTGCCTCATGACTTGAGCATCGCAGATTGCTACCCCCAAGACATTGACCACAATGGCATTCTGGTATTACGTGGACGAAGCTCGGCTCGGCTCCAGGTGGATGCGCAAGAAACACCATTAATGACCGAACTCGCGCGAGTACCGTGGCTGGCTGAAAGATCATAAGCGACCAGATAAGAAGCTGTTTCACGACATACTGCGTAGGTAGGTACACAGTCCGATTCGGTACACTACGCTGCCGCCAAGACTTCGAGACGTCAACATGAGAGGAAGCAGCATCATTTATTGTGCCCTGGAACTTTCTCCTGGGTCTTCCTTATGGTTGGTACGGTCATTCGGTGAACACCTTGTCGCGGGTTGGCCGTCTCATTCTGGTATTGCTGATTGCTGCCGTGCCGGGCTGGGAGAGAGTGGCTGGTAGCCAATTACCTGTCCCCCGGAGCGCACAGATGAAACTGCATTTTGCCAACACACCAAGGAGGGTAGCCGTCTTTTTGGGGTCATCTCTAATTATGGTCGTGTACTACCGAACACATGTTATCCGCGGTAGAGCGCGGATAGCAATGGCTCCCCGGAGCAAAAGTCATGGGCTGAGTGATCTTGGCGTCCTCGGGTTCTCCGCCTCGAATAGCCAGTTAACTGCGCCGCCTAAGACGATCGAAAACAAGAATCACATCTACGCAAAACAAAGGCCATGAACTGCGATTCGACTCGAAAATCGGCCTAGCTCGAAGGCGAGACGGTGAGACTTGGGGAGCAAATTGATGCACCAGTCGCCGAATCCCGCCGTCCGCCAAGGCTCTCTGTTCCTGCGGGAGTCCCGGAAGCGGGCCGCCAAGCCGACCGTTCAAGCTCCGCAAAATGGCGCCGAGATATGCGGAGCCGGGCTCTGCTTTTCGGCCTTTCGCTTTTCCTCTGGTGGACGCCGGGTGCCTGCTTTATGTAACGGCTCCATTGATACGGCGTTGTCGGTGAGGGCGCGTGGGGCGGTGAATGGGCCATAAAAGCCGGTCCCTGCTGTCTCGTCACCAGTTCGTTTGCGTCCGCAAACAGCGTTCCATCAATCAACTCCAGCACTCCACAGCGGGCCCTGACTGCCACCAGAGAAAAAAATTTCGGCGGTGTCTTTGCGGCGTGGTCCGAGACATGAACTCTAGAGCGAGAATCAACACACTAGTATCATTTTATGCCGGGCTTGTGATTGGAAGGGAGAAGTCCCCTTGGGTCACTTGCTCTTTCTGCCGGCTTCCAGCAACTCCATTGCAGCAACCTCAGTCAGGCAGGCAACAAGGGTTTCGGGATGTCCAGGAAATGCTTGCGCCAAAACACTCCGCTTCATCCAAACTGACTGATGCTATCGGTGTCTCTTCGGTATCCCGAGGAGAGTAAACAAAAACGCCAGCACAGGCCGAGGGACAATGGGCATGCCGAACTGTGGAGCCGCGAATCCGAGGTTGCTTCCAGAACATCTGTCGAAGCCTTTTCGCTTGCAGTGGTAAGGCTGAGCTGGCGGCTGCCACATGAGGCTGGTGTTAGTCCCCTGCTTGTTGGACCACCTTTTATCCAATGAGCTGCCACTTTGGAAGATCCCGACGGAGTGGGCCATGGAGTCTTTCCCAATCGGTATTAGCGTTGCTTACCAAATCCGCTAGCGCTCGGATACCCCAGACAGAAAAGGAACGAAATGCAACCTCAACAAATTCCTCCCTTTCCCTTGCGTGCCTCGTTTCTCCGAATCATTCATTGGCATACGTCGCAGAAGACCGTCCCCTAGTGTATACACAGTATATAGAGGAGAAGTACTGGTCTTTGTGGTGTTAGGCCATCATTTCCGCTCTAGACTGTGCGCGGCATCAATAAAACCTGAGACCACGGCTCTGTGCAGGAAAGAGGGCCAAAATTGCTCCATCTCACCTCACCCGTGACTGTTTTCTGCAGCCCTGTTTCACCGCATGCCGCAGCTCCCGGGTCGTTTCCGGACTGGCGGTCGAACCCCAAGCGTACCGGGACAATCATTTCGCGATGGTCGAGCAGTCTTTATCACCATCAGCATGGGACCAATCACCGGAAGTGCCTACAGAGCCAGTCTGCACATACATGGACATTACATGAATAAGGAGAACGCTGTGTGGTGCACCGCTGCCACCATGAGGTGGCTCTCGGTCCATCCGGGCTGTACTCGTATCCTCGTATCTTCGGGTGAACTGGATAAAACACTATCGACTGAACACCGCTGGTGCTCGATGAGGAGGTTCAACAACGTAGTGCGGTTTCTCCGACCTCCCAAACTGCGCACATGACGTGAATAGGGTCCTCGTCGTTTTAGGAACGTTCCCAGCCCTGTTGCAGCTTCCTGATGTGAAGCCAAGTGAGCATCATGCCCTGCACTGCAAAGCTTGGGCCCTTGCAGCCGTTACATCTCCTGGCAGATGGAGGAAGCAAACGAGCCTGATGAAGCACTGAATGTCGGATGAGAAGCCAACAAGCTGACGCGGCGACTTGCCGAGCCGGACTGCCACAAGGTTGCCCTGTTTTGAGCACCTGGAAACAGGTCTCACATCGCCGGGGGGCTCAATGTTCGTTGATTGCGAATCTGTGCCCTGATAAGCGATGACGGGCTGGCTTGGCTGGGGGGAGACATTACGAAGGTGATTTCGGCTGTAGTGGAGAAAGCGCCCGTGCTCAGGAACCATTTCCTGAACTGACCATTTCTCTGCCTGCCGGTGTTTCACGGAAATTGAATGGCACATGATGGGGAACCGTGGTCATTTTCATACACACTTCCCTCACCGGTGGTACGCCGAGGTCGAGGTAAAGCAAAACACCCCGAGAGCCGGTAGCGCTCTTGTGCAAGCTCACTGCCATAGTATTTATGTCATTTAGCCCGGCCGGACTACCTTTGCCCGGAAGCTCCGGGCACAGGGCCGGAACAAGCCGGTGCCGGATCTCATTCGCAGTCCGAAACTGTGCCGAACGAGACCTGCCCAACTATAAGAGAGAGGTACGGCTCCGTAACAAACATCTTACCCTGTTTATTAGACAGCGAAAGGCCCAAATCACATTCCTAGTTCGAAACTCAGCCGAGGAGACATATTGGGCGCTTTCACTTTTCCGATCAGTTGCCCTCAAATCCCAGGAAGCCAGCAAAAACGAGCCTAGAAGCCGCTCAGACAGCATCTCGCGAGACTTGATGACCAGTGAGTGAACCATAGGTTGGTCAATTGAGAAACGATTTAGCCTTATGGTCAAACACGGGTAACGCGAAGGACGCGCTGGTACGGGGAGTGTTTGGAAACGGCAGATGTAAACTGCGTGGAAACAGCTATGAGGTGGTTGCATGCAAGGCACGGCACAGAGAGAAGCCGAGACTTGGAGCTGCTGTGTAGGTAGTGAATGCGCCAGCCTCAGCTTCCTACTGCTGGATCCCAAATTCCCAATACTGCACGACATTCATGATGCACGACAAGCCTGGCCCGGGGCACACCAGAGGCTCAGAGCCCGAAAGATGTCGCTCCGCCTGGAAGGATTCGCTGCCAATGCTGCGCTGTCGCAATAACGACATCACGGGGTCGGCGATGGATACCGACAGTCGTCTCAACTGCTGGAAGCGGTTAATAGCAGGCCACGATTCATATGGGATGACCCTGTTCTCGATATCACGCAACTACTTAGTACTAAAATAGTAAGTGCCTACGTCCGGAGTACTGTGGTATGGCATCAATTGATCCTTGAGCGCAAGCTCCAGCTACGATGCGCATGCGCCGCGCCTCATGCAGTAATCGGGAGTAAACCGTGAGGACTCCGAGTTCGATGTAAACCTGTCGGATTAAAGCGACTGCATTGAGCGCTACCGTATTCGGCAAGTCGATCTTGCTCAGGTCGCTTCGAAAAGTCGAATCTTCTCCAATCACCACAACGCTGTGCAGCAGGCAGGCCTCCAGCGCTGCAGCCGCCCAATCCAGTCTGCCGGGAACATTTCAAGCTGAATGAGCCTTCGAAGTTCTCAAAAAAACAAACATGGAACTTCAGAGGCTAGGAGGAGCATGTCGACATTGGGAGCCAGCAACCAATCGCAATCGCCTGCGCGCACTTTACGCGTGAGGTGCGTACGATCCGCGCTTGGCGGATCGCGTCACTGCTGCAAGAGTAAGGCGCAGACTGCTGGACAATCTCTAGGTAAGGTACCTGCACGGAACTCTGCCTGGATACATTTCATTGCCAGTCTTTCAGCGGTATCGCAACATCGGCGACACTATTTCGGGGGTTGAGTTTTGTTTTGCTGTTGCCCTCAATGTGTAGTAATGGAAAGGTGCATATGGTCCGGGTGAGCAACTCGTGCTTTGAGAAGGCGGAAAACCTTGGGGCAACAGTTCAAGTTAGTTATTCGTGACGCTCTGGCTCGAACTACACCAGAGCTCTGCACGGTGCACATACAATCCTCTAATAACTAAATGATCAGCTCTTCGCTCATCAGCACCGTTTCCTGCGAAGCATTGATTGCAACCCGTGGCCGACATTCACACATGATTGCAGTTCCCACGCCGCCCGTTCCCCGAACCCCCTTCTTCCCTAATCCGGGGAAGGTCCGCCGCATGGGGCGAGGTTCCGCCCGTAATCTCGGCTCGGCGCCCATCCGCCAATAATGTTGGCTGTCCCTGTTTGCTTTGCAACCAGGGAAGCCTCAAAAGTGCAGCTGATAATGCCACACGGATACGGATACCGTTGCCCGTTCACACTCCTGACGCACAAAATTACCCTAGGTAATGAGTGGAAGTACGGGTTACGGGTGTGCCTATCCATCTTGTCTTTGTTTACGGTGTCACTTCTCGGAATCCAGCTGAAGGTGGTGGCTTGCATGGGAGATCTCGATAACTTATGATTGCGCGATCTGCGGCTTGCGGCTCGATTGGTGTTAGTGTTCGTCCATCAACTGCATCCCTAGCTTGGCTTCGAGAAGACGGTGACGAGGAGGCGGCTTTGTCGGTCCGAGTCTCGTTGGTTGGCACGGCAAAGACGCCGTCGAATCCACCGGATGGGAGAGGAGTGGCAGGTACTACGGAATACGGATTAGAGATACCTCAGCAGCTGTTTTGCTGTGTATCGAGGGACGCAGCCGTATCACGGTCCCAACCCCAGTTGACTTCAGAGTCTCTTTGACATAAGTTTAGAGCAGCCCATAAAACACATGGCGGCTCTAACTCATCAGTGTCTTGTAAACCTGAGTCATTCAAGCCCTCGTCTAAACTGCAAGATTCAAGCTTTCCGGTTTACAAACTCCCCTCTGCAGAGATATATAAGCTCTGTGGCAGAGTCGGTCTGCTCCCTAGTGGCTTGCCCCGAACTTCGTCCTAATAGTTGTCTTCGGGTTCGGTTCCTGCCACAAACAAACCGAAAACGGCAGCGACGATGGGCATATGATGAGCGTCTTATTCGCCAGACGTTATTACTAGTACTCTGCCTGTTCAGTCAAGGCTGACACGGCTTTGCACCATGTTGTTCTGCCCGACCTCCCCAGTTGCTCTCTTCGGCTTACAACATTTTCAGTAATCTTTTCAGTAATCGAACATCGGAACATATATCCCAGGCAAACAATCCTTAGACATGGGATCCCATCTGTGATGCATTCATGTTGATGCTAAGCTGTAAAAGAAATAACCAGCCGTCAACACCAGCGCCGAATGAGTGCCAATGCTTATACTGTGCGTGACAGCACCTGGTAGAGCCTTTAACTCAACGGTGGAATTCCACTCACAGACACAAGCATTCCCACAAGACATAGTTAGGCACTGCCTCACTCTTCTAACTCTAGGCACTTACATAGCTCGGCAAGACCACAGGCGATGCTGGAATAGCAGGAAGTGACCATTCTCCTGTGAAGAAGGTGGGCCGGGGAAACTGGACGTTTAAATAAATGGGAATGGCCGCAATGCCTCTAATACCTCGGGGTATATCTAGGTAGTTTACGTTGGGCACTTGTAACAAAAGGCAAAGGGCTTATTGCTCCCCAACTCGACTGGCAACATAACCATAACTAAGGTAGCAGAGAGAACAAACGGGATCGGCGAGTTAAAACGACTGTTACCCTCAGGCAACTTAAACGGTGCGAGACAGCACAAATTGACTATGCTACGGACGTATGAAGCGCCAGATACCCAACGGCTACAGCTTCTAAATCTGAGCGAGAGCTGTACTTGTACAATACATACCAGATATGTGTGAGTTTGGGGCAATCTTCACTCGCTCCTCCGCAGTCCATCTCAAAGACCCAGCGTGCCTTACAGATAGATGCCTGTATATTTTAGTTAGCCCTAGCCCTCCTAGTGACGTCAAGCATCTAGGGACAAATTTGAAGATCAGCTTCTAGATCCCCGCCCAGCACCGATATCCTTTTTCGGGCCGTCGAGGCGCTTTGGTGTTATGGCGTTTGAATGCTGGCAGCACACCGCGGCGCAGTAAGTAAGGTACTAGTACACTCAACTCGGGGGAATCACCAGCTTACGAACCGTGACCGACACGTAAGTTGGCGTCGTAGAGCTTAGTCCTCTCTACCGTATGCATGCCTGAAGCAGAACGGAAGATCGCTCACGTTTCAACTGCGCTTGTCTGCTTTGCGTATAGAACGCCGTAAAAAAAAACCTCAATATTTAGCATCATCGCCGTTGTGCTGATCCCTGTACAATACAAGATGGGTATGTATGTAGGTATGTACTTGTACACTCATCAGCATCATGCAAACATAGTTCCCCAACTCCGAAAGTCCCGCAAGTCAGCCCAATCAACACCACAATGTTTTCCCGCCAAACAAGAGACAAAAGGAAATCAATGTTGACCGCCGCGCCTTAATCCTCCATGCACCATTCCCTCCCCCCATTGGGTTGCGATGTGTCATATCGCCGAATCTGTGCTCTGGATCTTAGGTTGCTCCATGGGCAGTGCGGACTCCATTTGATTAGAGCTCGCCCTCATATAGTTGCTGGCTCTGCTACAGGCCACACCTCTCGAACCAGCTTTGGTCGAGCCTTCGATTTGATCCAGTATAGGACGGTAGAAGCGTTCGTCTTGCTCCGAGATTTCTGCGCCCAGTGGACCGCCCCGGGGACAGGGAGGTGATGCGTGGACATAATTGGTGATGTGATGACGGACCGGCGAAGCCCCGTGAGCTCAGGAAGCGTTGTGGTTCGATTTCCAGCGTAATCAGTTATCGTGAGGAGCCTGTGCAGCAACAGCAGCGACGAGCTGTATCTCGTTTGCTATACCTCTGTTCAGGGGACCGATCGAACAGCAGGACCCGCGCTGAGCATCGCACTGCTGACGGTCTGGGACGTCGTCGAACAACCCGGAGAATCGTCCTTTGGCACCTCCAACTGTACTTCAGCGCAACCTTCCAAGTCTGTCCAGAGAAGTCTAATCAAGCGAAGGTGCCTGTAACCCTTTGGCGACTGAGGTGACTGGGGATTACAGTTTCTCGGTCAAGGGCAGCCCGGTGGGGCGTGGTCCGCCACGGCGCCTCGGGCATATTCCGCTGGTTTCTGCTTGGATTTCTGGCAGCGATGTGGTGCCGGCTTCTTCCCTCGTCGATAGCATGGGGTTCGACGATCTAAGGGAAGAACATCCTGATGCATGCGCTCAGTGACTCTTGCTCATTGCTGCTGCAGAGCGCTGTGCATGCCTTGCCTCCTCCGCCTGCTTTCTTGTCACCGACGACTTGGTAGGCGCATGTCGGGGCGTATCTTGTAATGGGATTAAATTCAATGGTGAGGACAAAGGAGATTCCCCCAAGAATGTGGATGTGATGATAGTGGTTGTTGAATGATGACCTTTGTCGCTGCCATGGTTGAATTGGGTACTGTGCTCGAAGCGCTCGGAAGGTGATGAGCGTGTTTGCAACATGTAGCATTAGACATAACAAGAGGAATAAAAATTGCCGGATCGCTCCTCTGTGCGTCCGAGGTCGGGCACGCGGCTCGATGTAGTCCTGGCTGGTCAGGGGCCCAGTTGGGTGAGCTCGTCCGTCAAGCTTCCAAGCTCCCGGGGTATGATGCAGTCTTACTAGCCTTTCTTGGTTGGTGGCGTTGCCGGTAGCTGACTCGTAAGTCGTCGCATGGTTTTCGCAGGCGGCCGTTGGCGGAGGAAGCGCGGACGGATGGGGGTCATGGTGGGTGAACTTCCGGCTTCCTGGGGCGGGTGTTGGTTTTGTTGTTTGTCGGCGTCTGGGTCCACGATATTTGGAGATGATACCTTAGACCTCAGGGGAACGGTGGCCCTTGATTAGGAGGAAAGAAGCGGTTTCGCATGCCATTCTCGCCGCGCGCAGCGACCCATTCGGCATTGCCGCTCTGGCGGCCCGGAAGATCGGCGGACACGGGAACCTTAGTATCATCGCCCGACGAAGATCCTCCTCGCCGCCCCTCGCCGCTCGCGGTCGCGCCGCGTTCGATGGTCGGCACGATCTTGGTCACGGACTGCGCAATCGAAGCGACGATATAGCTGCGCAGTTCGGTCTCCTCTTTCGCGTCCTCCTTTTCAAGCCGGAAGCGCGTCTCCTTGTCCATGTTGGCCCTCCGCAGGTGCTTGATCTCTTGCATGATGTACAACAGAACCTCTTCCGGACACCGGTTGCGGTCGTTGTAGTACTCCATTTTCCGCACATAGCGCCTGGTCACGTCGGTCGCGCCGTCGATCGAGAATGCGATGCAGTACGACATCTTCTTGCCCCAGCCCTCCGTGTACAGCCGGGGGTTGTCCCAGGCCTCTTCGCAGGCGTCGACGTGGATCCATCGCTTCTGGTGCTCCGAGTAGACCTCGGTCCATACGTGGTCTTCGGCATTCCACACCCACCGCACGCGCCCGCCCACTGCCCGGCACAACATGCTGAAGCAGTTTGCCCACTCGCCGCAGCGCCCCCGCCGTGTCTGCAAAAGCCGCCAGACATCACTGTACCGGGGGAAGCGCTCATACGCCATACAGTTGGCGTTGGAACATCGGTAAAGCTCCACGCGCAACGCGCCACATGCCTTCTCTTCGGGCGTCGGCTGTGTCATGCCCTGTGCGATTGTCGGCGAGAAGCACACCGGGCATTGGGGATTGTTGACCCAGGTGAAGAAATCTCTCTTGAACCATCTGTAAAGGCGAGTGAGGAACACTCGTCAGTAAGTGCCCCGTCAATCTGGGGCGGGCCTTCGAAACGTACCTGAGGAGGGCACGGATGACGCAGTCTTGGTAACCCCATTCCGGTGTATGGCCAGGGCCTAAACTCTCGGCCTGCGCCTGCAAGACTTGGCTCTCCTCCTCGGCCTCGCTATATATCCTGTCTAGCGGGATCACTTGCAGGGCCTCGTCGAGCAGGCCGGGGTTCTCGTACTTAGTCGGCGTCGCTGACAGAGACACGAGCAGGTTTCGGAACTTGGTAGACGCGCGGTCGTCGGGCGATGGAGCGGTTGGGATCAAGGGAAGATGCCGTACGGTAGAGTACGATGGCGGTGCTTGTGCGTCGTGAGAGTTGGATGAAGCCGACGAGGAGGACTGTTGTGGATTGCCCGACGATGAGGGTTGTTTTGGCGCAGGAGAGCCCTGGCGTGATCGTGATTGAAGTTCGTTTAATCGTTTCGTCCTCAGCAACTGTTCGAACTGCGTTGTCAACCCGTGCGTCCATTCCTCGCTGAAAGGGATCGTGCCCGAAGGCAGCTCCCTCTGATTCGGGTCCATGACTTGGGAAGTCGCGGGTAACGCCGCGGAGGAGACCAAGGAGGGTGGTGACGATGTCGGCGAAGGATGCTGTTGTCGCCAACTTCCTCCAGAGTCAGGGTGGTGTGCTTGGATGTCTTGCTCGTCGGCGCGGGCCGGTTTTAATCGGTGGCGGAGGTAGTCGAGCGTCGTCGTCAAGTGGCGCCTAATTGCGGATTTGCCTGGTTGCGCAACGTTGCTGTCTGACAGGCCGAGGTGCGCAATCCCGCCCTCCTTTCTGACTCTTTCCTAAACACGCGACCTCCCTAAATCCACGCTGTCGATATGCTAGCACCACAACGGTCCGAGAGAACGGATGGGTAGGCTTCGAGATGCTGATCTACCGGAGAGATCATGCCCTCGCCAACCTGGGGTTATGCTGAGATTCGGGAATGCAGGGCAGAGAGGACTGAGCGGAGGTGGGCCGCGAAAGTCAAGGGGCATGGATAAAGTAAACTGCTAAAGATGGTTGAGGGGGTCAGCAAGGGTTTCAGAGGAGCCGAGGAGGCGTGCGGAATGCTGTGAATGGCCCTCCGTTCCAGGTTGTCACTATGTACACACTCGAGGGTTGCGTGGCAGTACATAAGCATGGCCACTCATCTCCAGACTTTCAGCCAACCAGGCAGATTCCTGACTTAGCTCCCCAGTATCCCTGACGGCAGGTGGCTAGGAGATCACGTATGTCGTGCGCAACTCACTTTCCTAGCCTGCCGTCTTGCCTTTTGTTCATTTTTTGCGGGCCTTCGCCGTCTCTCGTCTCTCCCGTTGCTCTTCGTTCTTTGGAGAGGCAACGGCGAGTGGAGAGAGGGGGTAGACAGAAGAAGACCCCGAAGTGGATGCACAAGAGAAGCAGAGAACGCGCGTCCATTTCAGGCGGCGACCAATCAGCTTCCGCTTCGGGTCATCCACGCCAATGGAGGCCCCACATATCTTTGGCCTCGCCTCAAGAGGGCCTCAGACGTCAATTCACTACGTAAATTTTGCCGGTCACTGGACCAAAAGAAGAAATGGATTTGGGCCATTCTCGCTTTGCTGAAGTCTTGACTGCAAATCCCTTTTGGGGGTACGTATGTGCCCAGAATGGTGACGTCGAGGGGTACTTCGGAAGCGGAGATGCACGACGGTATCCCGACCTGCGGCTCGGATGACGAGTCGTGGCAGGTTTTCTGCCGTTCGTCCCATCCTTGCTCCAACTTCCGATGGCTCCAACGGGCTGGTGCACGGACCATATGATTTTCCAGTATGGCCGAGCAGGCCAGCACGGCCAGCTACCTAGACGGCGAGATGGTATCATTCTACTGATAAAACGAGGTCTAAAAGTCTGTTACTGAGCGCCTCGTGTTAGAGTTTATGCTGTCTCGCTGTAAGTCGCAGAGAATCTAGGCAATTGAGGTTCCGTCATCAGTGGTCGGCAGCTCAGCCTCGTTTAGGACTTTCGCTACGTTCATGACCGCCCGATAACTCAACGTTACCATCCCTCTCAATGGTTCATCTTGCTTTCAACCGTCACCAAATTTCCGCTCTAGGATCGGCTCCGGACATACATAAGGTTATACTAGGCTAGGGCTTACTACAGAGCTGGCGCGTTGCTTTTGCCATACCGCCATACGAGGACATTCTATTATCCGTACGTCAAACAGGTTCAGAAGTTCTGCAACATGTAAACTTGTAAGACCTTCTATAAGCCATGTAATCCGTACGGAATACCGTGCTCAGCTCAGCGGCCGCCCACGGTTCGGCCAGGTGGCCGTCAGCTGCTCAGACGGATTACGCGGCGCCATCGCTTTCGTCCCGATATGACTGGTCCGATCAGTCGATTCCAGTCTCTGCCTGCGAAGTTTGCAGTTTACTCGGACCGGCGCAGATCCCGATGCAGGTGGGCCAGGCTCAGAGACCCCTGTTTTCAATGAACGTCACTCAATGGGCAAACTTGAAGTTCAAACGCCATGATCCAGTTCTTGTGCAAGTCGGATGTCCCCATCGGCCTTGGCACATTTACATTCTGCAGATGGCAAATGGTTTTGGAGCAGTTATGGATTACCCTCCCACCCGACCAGACGAATAATTCAAGCAAGCGAGGATTGTGCTGTGCTACGGTGCTACCTGGTCCGGCCATTTATTAGGAGAGGTCACACCAGCGAACTCAGGCGACGTTCACCGCGTAAGTTGAGCTCATGTGCGTCCTCCGCGAGCTGGACTACCTCAACCAACATTATAAACGTACCTTAGTGGAAGAGCCCATTACATCTCCCCGCGCATACTTCTACATGGCGACTCCCCGTGCCGCCGGGATCCCGTACTGTGCTTATATCACCCTGCATACGTAACTACTAGTAGCATCTCCGAACCAGATCCCAAGGCCCGACATCAATCCAGCACTCTGCTTCCCATACGCTGGGAGCGGAGCAGACCTGAACACCTTATCCACGTCTTCCCGCGGAAAAGACTACTAAGGTAGCGACTAAAGACTCCCGCTGTTCAAAGAAGCTATCCCAACACCCGAGGATCCCCTTGAAGGGTCCCACGATTATCGAGACCACAGGATGAATCCAAATAAAGAAACCATCCAGGTGACTCCTCAAGCCGAGTGGCCGTAACTCTGACCTCCCGGGAGTGGCGGAAGAAGGAAAGAAGAGGGAGAGGGAGGAACAGAGACAGGGAGAGAGAGTAAAAGAAAATGTCAAGACCCAAGACACTCTTGACGCGCGTCTCACCGTTCCGCTCCACCCGACTATTGCCCCGTGCCCCGTCGCCGACCGAGTAGTTATTGCCGCCGACTGACCGGAAACGCCACGGGAAGAACTGCAAACCGCTTCCTGCGGCCTACCCAACTCTCTTCTTTCTTTTTTTCTGGCTAACTGTTCACTGGGGCGCCTAGCACCTACCTCGCGAAGCCTAAGTAGGTAGGTACGTTTGGGTATACCGTTACAGACGTAGAGGTATGTGCTGGGACATGGGTGTGTACCTCCCCCCTGCTCCTCGCGCTCATCGTCTCAACCGGGCATGTGGGAGCAGGGTGGGAAAAGGTCCTCTTCAGTCTGAGCTCTTCCCTGGTTCCAGGAGAGTTTGGCGAGCTTACATCTATCTTTCTTGACGTGATCTGAACGTCTTGGTTCGGTAGGACAAGTTCGCTGATCTATCATGTACATGTACATATGTACTGTACCGCGCATACCGCAGATCGAGGGGGCTGCCGAGCGCAATTTCTTCGTATGCGGCCTTCAACGGCAGGGTAGAGGAACAAAATCCCTCGGGCCCAGTCCCATGGCTTTTGTTCCTTGGCGTCTTTGCCAAAGGGCTCATCAGGAAAGCCGGACCACGTCATCTCATGGCGGGGTGGACGGCGAACATCGGCTCAGTATACGTATGACTGCACTGAACGTACACACGCAGAGAGCCAGTCCGCTTTCGGACGACGGTAGGCATGTATGGAGGACATCCGACAAGTCGTTCGACCAAAGAAGATGTACGTATGTATGATGTACATTACAACTGCGTCAGGTGATAACGCCTTTTGGAGCTTTATCTAGCCTATCTGAATGTTTGCTCTCCGAGCGGCGTGCACTGAGTTCGCTGGCTGGCTGGCTAGTGCGTTGTTCTGCTCAAGGTCAACTCCTCAATCTTGGCGATGCTTTGGTCCAGACCCTTCCGTAGCCAGAGCTCGCTCGTGGATGGTTAGACTCCATCGATGAGCCATCCCGGATTCCACATGTATGATGATGTCAGCAACCCGGTCCGCCATACGCGACTCCCACACTTCGTGCCGGCTCGCTGACCGCTAGAAACCTTCGGAGTTGCCGCTGCGGCGCCCAGGGCCTATCTCTCCCATTCGCCCTCCCCAAGATAGCGTTCCGGCAAGTCATCGTCAGACAGCGGCCGCTCGACAAGAGCAACCTCGACAGGCGGGAATCTCTCGGTCACACTCCCGTTGGTCGAGCCGCTGGCTCCTTGCGTGCCCTCGATGGGCACAATGCCCAATATGGGACGGAACTGATATGTATGCCACCACTTCGCCTTTGTCCCCTGCTTGTCTGCATCCTGCGTGTTGCCATTGGCCCCTTGGCCGTCTCGGAGTCCTTGCAGCTCGCCGCCATCCACGTCTTCGTCATCATCGTCGTCAACCCCGCTGCTTGCGCCGATGCTCTTTTGGTCTTCAGCGTCGACCATCTCCACGTCCTCCCACTTCCCTCCGTCAGGCCCCACAGCCGTTCGAACGCGCTGCGCAGCGAGGGAGTGTCTCTCCATCTTCCCGCCAGCGCCGGCCTCACGCCCGTCACGTTTCCTCTTGGTTCCTTGTTTCTGCCCGTCTCTTCCCTCAGGCGTGTCCGTTTCCGGGCTGAAGTCCTGGGATAGATCCAGCATGAACAGTGAGGAGGCCCCATAGACCCAGGCCCTGGGGCCTTGCCAGACAACGCCCTTGACTTGATCCCGTGTGTCCCTGAACTTCTCTGGGAGCTTGGGGTATGTATTTCGCCGTGACCACTCAGAGAGCACTCCGCGTACAGGGTTGAAGATGAAGAGCTGTTTCAACGAGGTGATGACTAATAAGTCGTAATCGCCATCTTCTCGCGGGACTCTCGAGAATGACAACACCACAGGTGCGGCAGACAGCTTTGGCAGAAGTGCCGCCTTCGGATTGCGAACCCATTGCTCTCCCGGGGTATCTTCGGATTCCTCGTCCGACGATGCGCTGGACGAGTCGCTAGTCGCTCCATCGTCGTTCTCGGCATCCGCGCCATTTATCTGCTCGCCAGGGACGCGTAACACCCAAGTGTCGATGTAACCCGCCAAGTCCGAAACGCTGAGCAGTCTGCTGTCTGGTGAGAAGGCCATCTGGGCAATGTTCCGGTCGTAGGACCCAAGACCGCCGAGAAGCAGGTTCTTCGAAGTCTGGCGCCGTAGCCTCTGCAGCCTGTATGGACGCGAGATCGTATAGGATTTGGCGGTTGCAGATTCTGTGATATGGATCTTGGCAACCATCACCTTGCTCCCTTCTTCGACCCAAGATAACCATCGTTTATCCGGCGAAAACTGGATCCTTGTACCGGTGTGGCCCCCAGTTGGCATGTCTACTTTCTTGATCCGGAGTTGCTCGGTGTGCTCGCCCGTCGCGAGATCGAGCTGGAACACCTTGATATCGGTAGCAGTTGAGGCGGCAAGGAGCGTTCCGTCTTCGCTGATCGCAGCCGATGCTATGTGAGAGTCTCCTTTTACCAGGACCTGCGCAAGGAATTTCCTATTTTTGCGCAAGCTGAGAGCAGCTTGAGGCTCATCGAGCAGTTTCTGTGCGGGGCTGAGAAGATGCCAAATCCGGATCTCGTTTAGCCACCAGCTGACGACGAGCCGCGCTTTGGGTGCGCTGTGAACCGGGACGTTCTGCGGAAGATGCGGGAGCGTTCTGTGATACTCTTTGCCCGCGGCGCGTAAGGGCAGGACCACCGGGTTTGCATCCGAGCCTTCGATGTGATGTTAGCTTTGGAGGCGGAAAGACGATCTGGTGGACCTACCGCCGGACACCACAACACTCATTCCCCTGCCCTCAAAGGAGGCCATTGCCTTGACATCGTGCTGGTGGTACCGCCGGTGGAACACCTTTGACCAGCGGCCGGTTTGTCTAGCAACAGGCTCGTAGATTGCGGTCCGTCTGTCCATACCACCCGACACGATCTTTGAACCATCCGCGCTGACCGACAGACACAGGACGTCTTGTGAGTGGCTTCGCAGCTTTTGCGCTTGCGTGTACGTCTTGCCGTCCCAGATACACACTTGACCAGTCGAGTCTCCAGAGACAATGTCGCCGTTGGGGAGACACTTGACAGCCCACACAATGATGTTTTTGGACCCTCCAGATACATCGGTCCCGAGCGTCATCTGTCTCAGGAGCGTGCCGTTCCTAATATCGTACGCGCAGATCGTACTGTTCGAGCAGCCGACAACGACAACATTATGGGACTGGAACGCGATGCTGACGAACTTGGTCGTCTTGGATGGAGTCCTTATGAGAGTGCGCTCAAACTTGAGATCGCCGTCCTCAATCGAGTAGAGCACCAAGTTGCCATCCACCGTGCCGGCGACGAGTTTGCGACTGCCGGGTGCAACGGGACCCTTGTTCGGTAGGGGCTGGACACCGAGGCACCAGATCTCTCCGTGCTGGCCGCTTGCATGCTTCTTCGCCCTGGCCTTCTCCAGGTCCCACTCGGTGATCGTAGTCGTATAGCCAATGCTGAAGAGGCGCGACTTGCCGTGGATGATCTTGCCGTCGGCCAACTCTTCGTCCGGGTCTGTGACCCAGACTAGGCCGTCAACGCTTCGGTCCTTGCCGCCGGGAATGACAAGCTCCTGGTGCCATGCACCGTGGAGCGGATTCCAGATCTCAATGTCGCCATTGGCTCTGCCGATCGCCAACCGCACTTGAATGTTTTTCTGGAGATACTTCTGTTTCGCGCCAACCGACGGAAGCGACGAGTGTGTGAAGGCCACCGCGTTGATGGCTGAGGCCGGATACCGGACGAAGCGGCACCGGTGGATATCCATGGTTCCGGCGTTGTCAGCCCCGGGTTCGTGGCAGAGGGCGTTGGGTCCGATTTCCTGACCTGCGGATGGTCTCGACTTTTTTTTTCTGCCGCCCTCGGAAGTTTTTGAGAGGGAAGTCGGTCAGCCAAAACAAGCTGCGGTCTGTGCACGATGCTCACGGTGGAGCTTTCCCGTCAGAAGCTCAATGACGAACGAACCAAAATTCAGGGTCTGCCACCGGGCTACTGACGGGCATATTTTGTCCGCAGGGCTCCTCCAAGCACTTGGGGTAAACAATACCGTACACACTCACATAGCTGGCAAATGCTGTGTGGATCGGCCGGGTTCAATGCGCGGGATCCTATAGGCGGGCTCCAGCCTTTCCACCTGCGCACGGTTGTCGAGTCGGCCTCACACGTCACGTGCTTCAGCGTCAAAAGAGCCCGTTCGTCGAGGCTGGGCATGATCTGACCTATCAAACCCCGCACAAGCACCCTGCAACCCCACCTACCCTGACCTTTCCGAGTTTGTAAGGTATTTCTTGAACTGTGCGACCCCACCACCCCGCGGTGAAACGATCGCACCCCTCTCAAGAGTCGGTGCCACCCGCTGGGATAGGCTACTATTTGTTGTGGTCATGGAACTTCTGGCTTCCGAACACCACATCCATCGATCAACCAACCGACCTAGAATAACGAACCAATCATCACTTGTTGGGGCCTGGGGCCTTACTTTTGTTTGATCATTGATTCATCATATCAATCAATATATCCAGGTCATCGTCCTTTTCTGCTGGGTCGACCGTTAGAGGTGTCATTCGTTTCCGGTGGACAACAGAGAGACCGGTTCTCTCTCTTTCTCGGCAAAGTCACCTCCAAGGCAGCGTCGCCTATCATCTCCCCATCATGGATTTCAACAGTTCTTCACCATATCCCGAGGGCGTCATCTCCTTCCTCGACACCGACCTGTACAAGTTGACGATGCAGTGCGCCGTCCTGAAATACTACAAGGATGTACCGGTGACGTATGCATTCACGAACCGGACACCAGACAAGAAACTCTCCCGCAAGGCATTCTTCTGGCTCGAGGATCAAGTGAGGAAGCTAGGCAACATTTCCTTGTCTGCCGAGGAGCTCAACTACCTGAAGGAGCACTGCCCCTATCTTACGCCGGCCTATCTAGACTTCCTCTCTGAGTTCCGCCTCCGGCCAAGAGACCAAGTCGTGCTCACGTTCCTGCCCGTGGGGGATGACACCGGTGCCGAGAGCGATATTGGAGATCTGGATATCAAGATCAGCGGCACCTGGGCCGAAACCATCCTCTACGAGATCCCGCTTCTCGCCCTGACGTCCGAGGCTTACTTCAAGTATATGGAACCAGACTGGACGTACGAGGGGCAAGAGGAGCTCGCGTTTGAGAAGGGCATGCGCTTACTCGAGGCCGGATGCGTCTTCTCAGAGTTCGGCACCCGCCGGAGGCGTGACTACCACACCCAGGCCTTAGTGTTCAGGGGTCTTACCAGAGCCAGCAAGGAGGCGCGGAAGCGCGGCTTATCTGGGAAGCTGTCGGGCACTAGCAATGTTCACCTGGCCATGCGCTTCAATATCCCACCCGTCGGCACCGTTGCGCATGAGTGGTTCATGGGCACTGCTGCGGTAGTTGGGGATTACCGGAAGGCAACCGAAGAGGCTTTGTGTCGTTGGGTCGGATGCTTTGGAGAAGGCGTGCTCGGAATTGCCCTGACCGACACTTTCGGAACGCCCGAGTTCTTGAATGCATTCCGCAAGCCGATCACATATCTAGGGGAACCCTCGCCAGTGAGAGAGAGGAAGCTGAGCATTGCCGATTCCTTCATCTCGACCGAGCCCGTTGTAAGCCCGAAACGGAAGCCCAACAAGACATACGCGGATGTCTTCACTGGCGTTCGACAGGACTCGGGAGATCCCAAGGGCTTTGTGCAGCTCATGCGGAACTTCTACAACGAACACGGGATCCACGACAAGAAGGTCATCGTTTTCTCCGACTCACTGAACATCGAACGTTGCTTAGAATATAAGCAAGTTTCGGAAGAAGCTGGCTTCCAGCCCACCTTTGGCGTGGGCACCTTCCTGACGAACGACTTTGTCAACACGACAACCGGCAAAAAGTCGACGCCCCTGAACATCGTCATCAAGCTGAGCTCGGCTGCCGGACGCCCAGCAATAAAGATCAGGTATGTCACCTATCCTCAAAACCCACATGGTGGTGACTTTGGCTAAACAACTTTGAATAGCGATAACATTGGCAAGAACACTGGCGATAAGGCGACGGTCGAGAAGGTTAAGCGCGAGCTGGGATACGTCGAGAAGGAGTGGGAGGGCGGTGACGAGACCGCCAGATGGGGCCGAGAGGGAGACACGGCTAAAGCGTGAATAAGTCCATTGCATCTTTTGGTAGTTCAGTTTTCACTGGTTGGGTGTTTGCCTTTCCCCGGACGAGGGGCACCTCCAGAGTTTATATGCATGTGGGAAGTTTTCTGTGTTGGACTATTGTCGGCAGCATACCAGGAGAGAATAGAGGCTAGATAGTCGTCACTTGACAAAAATCGCTCATTCTGTATTTCACCCCATCGGACATGCAACCGCTTACAGACGACAAGCTGTTTCCATACTTTTTTTTACGCTGTCTTTCGAATTTTAATGGAAGCCGGAGGTTGTTAGAACTAAGGAAAGGACCTTGGTCACTTCCTCGGATGGCCTAGCAACCCCTATTTCGTCAAAGGTTGATGTAGGTCCTGTTGGACGCCCACGAAATTCTTGAATCGAGCTGGATCGGATTGTACTGAGGTGAGTTGGTCGTGTGAGTGTGCTCGAACCTGGTGCATCCCCCAACGACTTCATGCGATGCTCCCCAGGCCCTTGTGTGCATAATGATATAACTACTACTCTTTCGGTAGGTAACTCTTACTCATGGGTGTATGGGGCCAACTTCGGCTATTCTTGTCTTCGCCTCAAACGCAACTCACATCGCACAGAAGGTACTGTATCACAAGGGGTCCGACGTACTGTGGTATTCCGTTGTGCTCTGTACCTATCCAACATGCTTTGACTCCCTCCCTAATGAAGCAGCAAACCTACATCATCCGCGGACCTTCATTTCCAAAACGGTTCAAGTTGACTTAACCATGGTGGTACAGACATTTCCAGGGGTGATGTATGGTCGGAAGTGTTGGCCATATCCGCGCAAAGTCCTTCGCATTTGATCCCGGCTCTCGTAACACGTACTCGTCCTACGTCTTGTACACCCGTCTCCTTCCCAAGAAGAGAATTGCCACACAGCTTAGCTAAAAGGCCGCGGTGAACTGGAGGGCTGTCACATGCCCCGGCCAGAGCAAGCTAGAAACGTGACAGCCCTTGCATGAGGAACTTGAAGTATGTAGCTCAGACGGAGGGACAGGCATGTTGGGCTGCAAGCTCCCCGCTCCCAAGTCACACAACATGCCATCTTTGCATCGCATATCTGGCAGGTTCGGTTGCCAGTTCATCTAATGCGCGATCCGAGAATGGCTCGTCAGATTCGGCCCCATCGGAGAAAAGTTACGGGACAGCAGCCTACATAGTACGGAACGTCATGTAAGAGATAAGGCTTCCGCAACTCCTGTCGAAGGGAGAGCAGGTTCGATTCGGACTCTCTAACTCTTCCGACCTATGAGACACAGCGGATTTCTTTCCGCAAAAGGGCCACCACACGCTGGGTAGGGGACCCATCGGTTTGGTAAACTCCCTGCGGGGGGTAGCCTTGCCGGCACACACCGTGGACCTCTTCCATATTCGTTACCGGCCTCTCGGTTGGAAGACTCCAAGTTACATGGTACCTAAGGTACCGAACGTAAGGTACGTTACCGGTAACAGTAGCCGGTTGCAAACACCGCCCGAGATGCGCTACCTCCCTTACCTAGCAGTTCCCCGGCAGTTACCCGGGTCATGAGCACATTAGAAGGAGAGGATGCTAGCCGATCTACACGTAGCTTGGAATCTTCGGTTTGGAAGGCCTCGTATAACCCACATTGACTGGGACTTCGTCTGGATGTACTGTGTATTCTGCCGTGGCTATGGGCACAGGTACCGATGTCCCGGGACTTGGTGCATTCGTGGCCTGCAGCTCCTTGATTCTAGAGTCTGGACAGTGGAAATCGGTCGCAGGTTGGTAAGACGGATCCGCGATCGAGGACCGTCGGCACTTGTTGGTTGTGCGACTGCATCAGTCTGGATGCCGTTCGCTACACGTACTGTAATCCGTACCTACTAGTGTAGTGCTGCCTTCAAGTTCGCTGGACGGCGCTTGGGTACGTGAAAGGTACCGGATATGGCAAGCATGTCAGGGTGGGCACCTGTGAAATTTCTCCTACATGGTGGCATCAAGCTCGGCATATCCATTTACTTGGTTGCTGCATATTATAGTGTACAGAAATGGCGGTCAAACCCTGCTGACTGCGAACCTGTATGTAACTCAATAGTAGTCAAGGAGTAGAGAGTGGGCGAGGATCGTGTTGCCGGCACAGGCTCGCTCGTTAGCGGGAAGTGGGCGCAAAGCGAGAAGGGGGTGAGAAACAAATGCCCGCTTTGCCTTAAAGTGAGCCTCGCAAGCGTCACTCAACAGTCATGATACCATAGGTACCTTACTCGTGGCTCTCCAGGCTGCCAATACATCGCTTGGTGGCTTGGAGCACAAGGGAGCGGGGCGGCCCAGTTGCGGTGTCTGCTCCGGCCTCCGGGTTCCTCGCCGGTCTTCTGTTGGCGCCAGTGAGACCAGAAAAGCGGGGCGTACCAGACTGTCGGGTATAAAGCAGCCAATGGCGACGAACCCTTGAAACCTTGCATGGCAGCGGGGGGAGAAGGCTCGCTGGTACCAGGCCGGGCGTGCCGGGATACCAATCCTTCTTCGCCTGAGTCATCTCAGAGAAGCAGTTTAGTGTCGGTCATGTCGTGTAGTACTGGACACTAATAACGTTACTGCAGTACACTACTTACAATGAGGATGGGAATGAGTTTATGAGCTGCGGTTGGCCGAGTGGGTGAAACGTCCCCTCATCCAGCTTTCCTTGGGATTCCACCAAAAGCTGCACTCGACCCCATGACCGCACAGGCTCGACAAACCTATCACGCCGCCATGGCTCTTCTAGCGTCGCATATGAGACAGGCTTGGATTTGCATTCATGCGGATACGCCAAGCAGGATGAGGAGAGATGTGATCCCAGAGAACACGGTCTGCAGAATTCCAGTTCCTCTCCATGTCGTTCAGATCTTTAATGGATCGGAGCTTGAGAGACAAACGGATAACGTTAGGGCGAGCACCAGTTTGTTCGCAGTCTGTCACATGGCGTTTCGAGATTCTTTGCTTTTGGTGCTGACCAGGCCCGTGCCCTGCCTCCCAGAAGAGAAGTCAGAATGGTTGGACCCGCCATCCAAGCTCCTTCATCGGTTCTCACTGCCTCTTGCATGAAGACTGCTGGAATTCAGAGTCCCCGACAAGCAGTGTGGACGAAGGTGACCTCCAAGCAGCGGTGAGAGAAGCCCAGTACGTCAGCAGAAATTTAAATTGCTCTTTGGTCACCCCTTCGCTCGCGCTACCTCGGTGTGATTGGGTGTAACTTAGGACGTGTTCGACACCATATCCCGACAGCTTGGAACCGATGTCCAGATTCTGTCGAACGAGGTAGCTCACAGCCTGGTGGTTGGCGACAGGCTAGTGCATGTTACTCTGTATTGCGTAACCCGCGGTTTGTGCCTAAGGACTTGGCCGATGACAGCAGTATCAGAGAGCGGTTTGTTGATTCAGTTGTTGGCACTAGGTGTCCCTCACGCGACGAGAACTGTCCTCAATCACTTGCGCAACGAATCGATCTCATGGACCACATCAGAAAAAAAGAAGTCCTTTAATGGTGTGCCGTTGTCTGCCTTCTATGATCCCAGTACAAACCCTTGCGTTGTTCATACTGTGCGCTCTGTAAGGAAACGGGAGCCCAGTTGCAGATGCCCCACATCCCTTCGATGTCTTGACAATCAGCAGTACCTTCGTTATTCAGATGGAGCGGATTTACAGAGGGAGATACGAATTTTCTGTAGGGTAGGTGATATGAATATGTAGGTGGTAGGTAAGGTCCTGTATAGAGGTAGGGCCCTCTACCAGGTACATGTATTGTACATCCTGTGATAGGTTTGGCTGAGGTGGCTTGATTGACAGTGGCGATCTGATACCGTGGAAGCTTGGATGGATATCGTTAGTGTACTCCGTAGTCCGAATTTCAAGGCTTTGCCGGTGTGGGCTCCTTGCATGCAAGCCAGTGCGGCGGATTGGAGGCAACCCTACACTAGCCTCCACTCAGCTCACCCAACATCGTCTTACATTAGTGTATTAGTGTAGTGTAAGCGTCGAGCGGTAATTTCAAATGCGACGGCGCTTTACAGCGGCTGACATAACGAAGGATCCTCCGCAGGGCTCTTGAAACAGCATTTCGATCATGCAGCATTAGAGACATGACGAAAAGTCGCATCACGCGCTGCGAGTCGATAGCCGTGTTCCGTTACCTTGGGTGAGCTTCGATGGACGTAGCTTGCTGTTTGGCACTGGGTATGCTGGATACGGGAGCGGGAAGCGGGAACTAGGCGATGAATCCGGACCATCGGGACGGCGCCAAAGCAAGAAAAAAGTTGTTGGTAACCACCCCTCCCCCTCTTCGACAGCCAATGCGTCCCACTGGCAGTCCTGGGTTCGGCCTTGGTTTCCACGCAGCCCACTTTCGCACTGCGAGTTTCGGACGTGGTCTCCTGCGTCCAACCAACATCTGGTCTGGGGACGGGAACTCCACATGACCCACCTCTAGCAAGTGCGAGTCCCGCCAAACCCTGAACCCTGGGTTTCACACATGCGCTGGGAAAGCATTGTTTGAAGGGCATGAGCGGGTAATTTAGCGCTTCAAGTTGCTCAACAAAGACGATCATGGAACCGAGAGAACCTGAAAGAGCGACAGGCGTGAGGGGCGGCCTCGAACCTCGCACCATCCTCAGGCGTTACTCAGGTGGTAGGTATACACCGGGTACCTATGTACAGTGACACAAAGCAATCTTATGGCTGAGTTGCTGTACCTCGAGTACAGTGCCGACTGAAGTCCCTGACATTCCGAACGCGGTATGTACGTACATATGTACGGTACGCTGAATTTCCTTTGCTGGGGGTAGGCGGCTGCTGGCCGGTCAATGCCCCGTGGTCAATGAACGGCACCCTGGCCCTGCCGCAGCATTGCGACGTCGAGGAGATTTTAAAGGCGGCCCTGCCCCTTCCTTTCCGGTCCACCACGGCACAACCGAACAGGGCGTTGGCCTATGGCCACCCGCAACCACCTGGGCACATCGACCGCAAATTTCAACAACAGCAACCACATCCCGCTTAAGTCATCATTGACGCGAGGACTGGCCATATTTACCACCACGTCGAATGCCGGACGTGCACATCCTCGGCCTTGACCCAATCGTTCCCCGGCAGGTGAGCTTTACCTGTTCTGTTCTACCTTGATCGTTCCTTCCGAGTCTGCGACGGGGTGTCTGGCGACCCGCGAAGAGCTCCTTCCTGTTGGTGGGTTGTCTGTTGCGTCCCGTTATTTTTCAATGTCATCTACCTATCTGCCTTCCTTATCCTCCTTCGTCCCCGGAGCTCCTCAAAGATGACCTCATAGTTTTCGCGTCCTGGCTTCATTAGCAGGTTATCTCTTTGTCGCTTTTGTTGACAGCTGGTGACCATTCATATCTTGTTGTTCCGTTTTCGCTCTTTCGTCGTTGCGGTGGCTGAGCCCAATCCCGAGCCTCGTCCCGTGGATGCCTGTTTGGACCAATACCTGGAATCTAACGCACTTTTACAGTCGCCGCTCAAGCTGAACGGACACAACAGCTTCAGCCACTGTCCATGAGCGAACCCTTGACATTCTGCATTCCCGGGTTGTCAAGCGTGACGGCTGCGAGACGGGAGACTCAACAGAGTGTCTTCCGTTTATCCAGCAATGGATTCTCAGATGTTTAGGAACATGTGAGCTTGATCCTCTGTGAAGTGACGCAGCTTCGATTGGCACAGAGCCCAGTGTAAGGCTGACTAGTCCACGCGTAGCGGCCATGGGATTCCACAAAACCGGACCTATCATGAGGTTTATCCCGAAAACGGTCGGTGGTATGGCACGTACAAGAAGGGAAAGTACATGCTTCCCATCGATGAGGTGAGATTGCTCTCCCTGTCTTGTCCTCATGAGACCTTCTCGTTCCCCTCTTCGTGAAGCTGATTTCCAGTATAGACCGAGTTGGAAAGACTGGACGTCTTCCACAAGATTTTCCTTGTTGCACGCAGGGAGGTTCTTCACAGCGCCCCCCTTCACAACCAACATAATCCTAGAATCCTAGACCTAGGCTGTGGCACGGGGATATGGGGTATTGACATGGCAGAGTGAGTCTCTACACACCATCTGGAAGGCGCGGACAGTCCTGACACCTCGCCGCCGAGCAGCAAATACCCCAATGGGGTGCACGTGGGCATCGATCTAGATTATATCCAACCCGAATTGTCAGTTCCCTCGTGCTACCCTCCAGATTGCTTGTGCTTACCTTTATGCTAGTATCCCTGCCAACATGCGGTTCATGCGGCAAGATATCGAAGACCCGTGGCAGAACCTGGACCCGGGCTCCTGGGATCTCATCCACATGCGTACCCTCAACGGCAGCATTGCGAACTGGCCCCATGTGTACGCCGAGGCGTACAGGTAAGTTCCTTCCTGGCAGAAAACTGCTCGAGCTTTACCAATAGACATCTAGGCACCTCAAGTTTGATGGCTATTTCGAACAGGTTGAGATTGATTGGAACCCTCGGAGCGACGACGGTACCCTCCGACGGGACGCCTACGTCGTACAGTGGGCGAGCGAGCTTTTGGAGGCCATGGACAGCACGGGCCGCCCGCTCCGTATGGACAGCAACCTGACCAAGCAGCGACTGGCAGACGCAGGCTTCGTCGACATCGGGGAGGAAGTTATCCAGATGCCGCTCAACGGCTGGCCTGCAGACCCACACACCCGAGAAGTTGGCCGGTGGTTCAATCTGGGGATGCGTCAAGCCTGCCAACCACTCAGCCTGGCGCCCTTGTGCCGAGTACATGGCCGGACCCCGGCCGAGATTCTTGGTCTCGCCGAAAAGGTCAGGACTGAGGTTTTCAGCAACAATCTGCATGCATATTGCACAATGTAAGCTTCAGCACACCTGCAAGCCGCTGGTTGCCAACCGTAATCTGCGTGGGCCAAAGGTTGCTGACTGGTTCCAGGCATATCTTCACTGCCAGAAAGCCACGGTGAGTCTGGCTCGTTCCTTGCTATCGTCAGCCGGGCCTCGCAGGGTCACGGCGCAGGGCGACTCCTGCCCGCCGTGATCAACCAACCAGCCCTGCGCAAACGTCGATGGTACAAGCCACATTCGCATCAGACGTAGTGTTAGGGCCGAGTTGTGGGCGAATGGTTGGGCTTCCATCCTGCACCTCAAGTGTTTTTCAGGCTCATTGACGGTTCCCACCCCTATGATGATAGGGCGGACAACCATGCGACCCACAGTACACCCAACCCGATGCCCTCCTCGCGGCAGCATTCGGCAAGGAGCCGACTCCGTCAGCAGGACTGAAGAGGACCCCATCCTCATGGCATCGGGAGCACATCAGCGAAGCGTTCGCTGCACAGTCGCCTCCCGTGTCTTTACCTGAAAGTCGGGTACGGCGCAGTATCGAATCACCGTATCGCCGAGACGGCAATCGCCAGACACTCACGTTTCGTATCGATTGCGTTCTTGCTGAGCTCGATCGCATCGACCTCTTTTCGGTCTGTCGACCATGGGCCGTCCCTCGAAGAAGCATTCGGTCCGACCGCATGACAATGCTAGCGCTGTCAGGTTCCGCGGAGTCACCTTGGAGGTTCGCGTATCATCGAGCATCGTGGGCGCCCAGCCACCCGCTGCAGTTGGCAGTGACCAATATGCAGGTTGGGCCTGATAGCCGGCCCTCGAGCGTTACTAGCACGGGGCCGTTTTGGGGGCCAAGGCAGCTTGCGGCGGCACATGGACACGTCGAATTTCCGGCTCCGCGAGTCCCTTTCACTTCGCCATTTCGGTTCGTCACGATGGCATCCACGCGGGGCCAAACTACCACAGCGGCGGCCCGGGTCGACTAAGGATTCCTCCCCTGTGCCAACGTCGGGGCTTGATGGTGATAGTAGTTCGGGTTGGCGGTTTGTGAGGGGATCGTCTGGGGTTGGCTGGAGCTCACCATGCATGGCCGCGCCCGCATCCGGATGGCCTTTCCGCCTTATTATCCCTCAGTGAGGCAAGCGGGGGCTACAGGAGTATTGGGTCACTATGTTCACGTCGCCCCTAATATTTCATGTTGGCCTGGGCTTTTTGTATATGGACCGTGCCTTTTGCAAGTCCCTGTGGTCTGCTGGCATTCACCAGAACGTTACCTTAGGGTAACCCTAGGACAGACAGCAGTCATGGCCTCGATAAAAAAGCGCTGTGTTAACATTCTAATGTCGAACCAAGGATTGGTCAGGAGTATAAGTGCATGGGCTCTATTGTTCCTATTTATGCCTATGAGTGCCAAAGCCTCAAGTCCCCCTATAAACACTAGCTCAAAGTCCATTCACAAACGTGGGGAGCGATTGGAGAGCACATGAAGAGAGGTACCTGGGTAGGTAAGAGCAAACTATGTGGGGAGATGATGAGAGAACTGTAGTAGTAAAACATTGTCTCTGTATCGGGTGAGTCAGTCGGGAGATGGCAAATCAGGGGTGGTAGATGGAAGAGCACCATGCATATACCCGCCCATGAACCGCCATGCGCGAGACTGGGGCTTCATGATAACAAACACCTATAGCTGGCCATGGGGAAAGAGAGGGTAGAAGTGCTGCAGCCCCTGCGTACACTGAGCTGGCATAACTAAGACAGTTTCTTCCGGTGAGAAATAGGACCAACGTTACAAAACAACCAAATCTGTTTCGTGTTCTGACTTGTAGTCGCCATGGATCATAATCATTCCACATGAAGCCATCCACTATGACCAGACGACGACTAAGAGCTATCACCTATCTTGGACGCGGCATACATAGCCAACTCCCACACATACCGCGCCATTCTTCGAGGTCCGGTAACGAAATGCGGCACAGACCGGTCGGATGATGTAACATATTGTTGACAGGTTGCCCGCACGAACAAACAAGACTAAAGACTACTGCAACCCACCGGCCCATCAGTAGCAGCTTTGCTCTGCGACGAGCCCCGAAAAGGGTAAAGCGAGATCTGCAAGAGCTGTGCCAACTGCAGATGCACTTCCAGGGCCGGAATGGGGCCATTGGAGGATATGGCATGTGAGAGGGGGGAGAGAGAGACAGAGAGACAGCAAACAAAAAAAAGGGGGGGCGGTCCTGAGGAGCAATATATGCACCTCGGGAGGAAAAAGGACCAAGCATCAATGACACCCCAGCCACACTTCTTTGAGAATTCACTGAAAACGAGTCGAGGACGGCCAAAGGAAGCGGGATGCTACTCTATGCATTCTTGGACAAGGAAAGACAGAATCAAGGGCGGCTCAGCCACACTATATGGTGACATCACGGGCCAAGGGAGATAGATGGAAGCCACTGGACGGCAGCAGTATCTCCCGTGCGTCTCTAACCACAGGTCAGCAGCAGCAGCAGAAAAAGTTAGGTAGGATAGATACTGTAAGTTGTTACCGCCGGTTTCTTCTTCTCTTTCCAATAATACCGATATCTACCCGCACCCCCCAAACCTGAATCGAACAGGTCGCATCTTGCCATCGATCTCTACCGACGTTGCTACCGACCCGTCAACAAACCGCAGATTCCAAGCCACAATCACAACGTTCCCGGCAGTCTCAACTGCATCATCCTCCCACTTGGTCCAAGCCCCCCTTTTCGTCTGCTCCGGCTGATTGGCGAATGTTGTGGCCAGATGGCAGAGTGCAGACTGCAGGGGTCTGGTCAAGACCGCTGAACGGGGCGTGAGAACGCCAGGCATTCGAAATAGGAAGAGAAGAGGAGGCGCGCGTAATGTGTGATGTATGTGATGTATGTCCTAGAACCAAACAGCTAAAACGATAATGTGATGGCAGTCATGATTGGCGCAATGTGGGGTGTGTGCTTTTTGGAATAAGTTTGCTCTAATTGGGCCTCATGCAAAAAGACTTCAATAGTACAGGTCGACAAAGGAAATTTAGCACACGGGGTTCCTCGGCTGCCGCGAAATAGGTAAAAGCACACGATGGAGGTTAGGCGGAAAGGCAGAGGTACCCTTCGAACCCCCTTCGGCTTGCTCTGCCTCTCGTATGGGTCCCGTTACCAAGTGACGCTCTGCCCATGGGCGCCTGTCCTAGCCGGTAAGCCGAGGGGCGCTGCCAGATCCGTCTTCCTCGTTGCGGAGCAAGGGGTAATGGTACCGAAGTGTCGGCGAATCTAATATGGGAGTGGCACTTTCCCCAATACGCCACCAAGTCTATGCCCCCTGGAAAACACACATTCCCCCTACCTCCGTTGCGCCTCCCCGGCTTGCCAACCACCGGGAAATGACCGGTAACCTGGCATACGGTAGGGGAGGCGCGCTTTCCAACACGGTCCCCTTCCGACCCAATACTTCTCCGCGGAAGGAAGAAAGTCAACCGGCTCCGCTTAGTGGTGAGTAGCGTGCGTGTCGCCGTGGTAGCCAACCAGCTTGAACCTGCCAATCATCTCGCCAACGGTGAAGAAGCCCAGGCACTCGGCCAGAATCACACCCCCGGCCACCACTTGTGTCCTCGAGAGGTTCCGGACCTGTTGCGCGTTGACCGACTGAGTAATGCGAGAGATAAAGGCGGCGGGGTTCTGGAGCTGCTTCCATAGGTTTTGGAAGTAGGCTTGGAAGGTTGACATAGAACTGTGGAGCGGAGAGAGGCATGGCAGGTTAGCAATGGGCACAGAACCGACGACAGACTACTGTCCATGCGTGCATATTCTTCGGATGTGACAGGGCTGGGGGACTTACGGTGGGGACATATTTTGGCCCTTGACGACCAACTTAGCCAACTCGATCCCGACCTTCGAGTAGTAGACGACAAGGGGAGTCTGACCTGCAAGGGGGGAGAGTCAACGTTAGCCGTTGGGACCACGAAACAACAATAACCATGAAGCCCGCTGCGCGCCTGCATGCATCATCGTCATGATAGTGCACAAGCCCCCATGTAACAGAGCGCGCAGGGAAACTGGACGGTCGGGTCCACGGAGTTGGGTGCCGGGGATGTTTCCTTACGCTCAACAAACGCAACCAGACGCCCTGTCCGGCCACCCATTTTGCTCAGAGTGGTGGTCACACCCTTGGCAGCGCCGACGATAACGGGGCCGGCGGACGAAGCGACGCGCGACAGGCCCTGCGACGCCTTGCTCACGGTCTCGGACGCGGTCGACGAGGCCTTCGAGGCGGCCTGCTTAGCCGTCTCGGCGGCCTTTTGTGTTGTTGTGTTGGTCGACTCGAAACGGACCATTCGGCGGCCCATCGAGAGGCCTGATCGCCTCATGCCAAGGGCGAACGACATCGTGGAAAGCGGGAAGGAAGAAGATGGACCGAAGCCGAGATTTGCCGTTGGCGCAGATGCGAGATGTTCGGCGGGCGGAGCGGAGAAAAGGGCACGGGGGTTGCGGCCGACGAGAAGTTGCGGAGGGTGGCCGTGTTGGCTAACGGTTGTTCGTCGGCGGAAGGAACGATATCGCGCAAGTTGGACGGGATGGGGCCGGGAATCAAGAAAAATTGGAAGGCTCGGAATATTTCGAACATCGGAGGCGTTGACCCAGTTTCTCGCGAGGAGGCGGCCAATTGGAGGGCGTAATTGAGAGCTCAGACGGAAATGGAGCTTCCCCTGTCCGTACTGTACCGTACCATATGTGCGCACAGCGGTAACACCACCTCGTTCAACAAACTTCAACTTAACCTCTTTTCGTGCATTCGGAGCAACTCATGCAAAAACCACCTTTCACCTACCTAGGTACCTAGGTAGTAAATATCATAAATATTTGGAACATACCATGCGCGACCAATCCAAGATTGCCGCCTCCATCCCACGGGACCCGACATCACCCGCGCAACCAATGTGGGCCTTTACCACCCATTAGAAATCTCCATCGGACGTTGCTGGCTCGACTCGAAATTAATGGATTGGACACGCTACATCTATAGTATGAACTGCTCTCAAAATGCTAACTGACGGAGGAAAATGGTCTAAGTCTCTAATCCAAACTCTGAATCTGCACCTTGATGGCGCCAGTCTTGGGATCCGATGCCGTGTCGAAAGCCTTGAGAGCATCCTCCAGCCCGAAGCGGTGCGTCACAAGCCGCTTGAGATCGATGACACCGTTCTGAACCAGCCGGATCGCCCGCGGCCAGGTGTTGCTGTACCGGTACTGGAACTGCAGGTCGACCTCGCGGACGCTGGCGCGCATGAAGGGGATCTGGATCTCGTTCTTGCCCACGCCGATGACGAAGACCTTCCCGCCGAACTTGACGGCCCAGATCGCGGCCGCAATGCTGCTCTCCACGCCTGTGCATTCCAGAGCCACTGCGGGCTCGATGCCTCCAAAGCTCTTCACGATCGCCTTTGCCGACTCCTCGGCGGACAGCCGCTCAACCTTGTGTGTGATGACCTCCGGGCAGATCTCCTTGGCGAACTTGAGCCGGCCCTCGTCAATATCCGTGATGACCAGCGGGCACGCGCCGGCCGCCTTGGCGCAGAGCAGAGTGATCAGGCCGATGGGACCGGCGCCGCAAACCAGCACCGGGTCGCCCAGCCGCACCTCGGCCCTGTGCAATCCAGCGAGTGCTACGGAGAGAGGCTCGAGCATGGCGCCGTCCTCGTATGACATGTCTCCGATCTTGTGGCACCACACCGCCGGGTGGTTGACATATCGCCTCAGCAGGCCCGGCACGGGCGGCGTAGAGAGGAAGTCGACCGACTCGCAGCCGTTGTAGCGGCCCGTCAGGCATGGCTCGCATGCATTGCAGATGACCTGGGGCTCGATGGCGACGCGATCTCCCACTTTGAGGTTTGTTACGCTCGGGTGCACAGCGATAATCTCACCGGCAGACTCGTGGCCGAGGATGTGATCGCAGCCGACAATCATGGGGCCGATGCAGCCGTGCTTCCAGAAGTGGACATCTGACCTGCATGAGAAAGCACGGAATGTGAGCTGCGGAGCGTGACATTTGCTGGGAAGGGGGTTTGGATTTGGGCTCTTACCCGCAGATGCCTGTGCTCCTAACGGCGACTGTGACTTGTCCCTCCTTGAGCTCCTCCCCCTTCTGGACGCTTTCCAGCGTCGGTGTCGCCTCGCTTATCCACAAGTCATGCTTCGGGTTTGTGAAGACGCCGATATTCGGCTTGGACGCTCTTATTGTGCCGTTCATTGTGTTTTGGAGGGCTATGAGAGACTGAAAACGGGGAATTTGGACAGAAGTGGGCAATTGATCACAGGATGGGACGAAGAAGCTCAAGGCGGGGTAGCGGGGGACGTCGCGTCTTATACACGCATCTCCCCATTTTCCCAACGAGGGGCACGGGGGTACGGATACACACAGTACGACACATTCTGATAGCCGCCCGCGGCTGTTCTTCTGGACATGAATCTAGCAAGTGTGTTCTGTCGCGCCAGACCCACTTGGCACTATTGGTGATGCGCTTGCGCAGCGACCTTTCACGGGGCCGGCAGTAAGCCCGTTCCACCGACGGGACGGCCTCGACTCCGATGGAACGCAAGCCGAGCGTTTGATAGGTTGCGAGGTTTATTTTCCAGTCAGGTGTTCATTCTCCCGCAATCCACTCCGAAGCCAGGGGAGCATGATGGCTGCTGGAGAAACTTCGCCATGCCGCCTTGCTGTCTCTCGTTCCGTGCTTGTTCCCGCGTTCGCTCCGCCGATTCGGTAGCGGCAAAGACCGAATCCCGGCCGGGTCCCACGCGGGGTTCCCCGTTTTTATCCGCACCAATCGTCCAACGCCCTGATTAGTGGATTTTTAGATCAGCCGCCTTTTTCTCCCGGTATCATAGTGTAACGTGCATGTTTCCTCCACGTTCCTCGGATAGAACTTTAATAAGCTGAAACAAAAGAACCATTGTTGCTTGCGGCGTTTGCTGGGCTGGTTCAAGGGATCCGGATAGCTCCGCCTCATGGTGCTCAGCTGCCGCTGGATACGTAGCAATATTATGTTAAATATGCTCAGCTCCGCACACCTTCGATAACTACACTATTCCCTTACAATCCTTCGTGTGCGCCTTTTTGCATTGGGACTCGCACGAACCCCCCTGCTTTGTCTCCGATATTTTCGTACCACATCAGGCGACTGAATTGTCCCAATCGACTCCGTAACGCCGAGCCCTCTTCTTTCCTTCTTCCGACACTCCCGCCCAAGGTTTTCCTCGTCCCGGACCTAGATCTAGACTGAGGACAGAATACAGATAGATACATAGTGCTTCCTGACAGTTTCTTTGCCATCGCCTTTTTACATGCTGGCCAGATGCGCTTATTTAGCTGGCGCCTCATTCTCCCCTCGCTTCATAACTTCCGTCTTGGTTGGGCTTGGCACTGCCTTATCCGCAGAGCTTGAAGCCATTGTCATCTCAGGCTGGGGCCGTTCACTCAACGGTGTGCTGAGCGGAAGAGAAGGGTCTCCCTCTTTGCCAATCAAGACACTGGGTAGTGTATGAACTGGCTGCATCTGCGAGGGCTCTGGAAGATTGGCAATCCACTCCTCTACTGCCATCAAAGGGCCGTCATCGTCCTCGCTATCGTCCGAAATCATATCGCCCACCCCGTGTCATGAACCAACCATATATGGCGACCGGGTGGGGCGCGACCCAGGAACCCCGGGCCAATGGCCGTCAGTGACGGCAGGATCAACAAGATCAATCGGGAGCTGGTGATCCCGATGAGCGGCTCACCCATGATCACCGGGCCGAGGTGATCACTGGTGATCTAGGTACGAGGGTACTTAGGAAAGGGAGCTGTATATAGTTCTACCATTCTGTCACTCATTCAGATAGCTAGCTCCCTCAGTGAGCAATTACAAGCAATAGCCTTCATCTATTGTGCAGACATTGCAGACGCATTGTTGTGAACCTTTTGGCTTCACCGAACCTCACCCCGTTGTTAAGATACCTTCAGTTGTCCCTTTCAGAGGATTGGGGCAAGAGATTTGTCACACCCCGCCAGCGATTGCCGCAATCCGGATCAACGCCCATTGGAGCTCGAAAGCTCTTTGCATCTTTGTCGCATGCGCCGCCTCGACAAAGACATAAAAGATGTCGCCCGTCATTAAAGGATGACCAGGCATGGTTGGGTCATTCAAGGAAGGCCGAACGGTAGCGCAAACGCCCTCAGTCGCAGTTGCTACCCCTCCTGGTCTGCAGTTGCTGTGAACCTCCGAAATACGACTCTTCAACGCATCCACTGTGCGGTCGAGGACCAGGCCGTCATAATCCGTCTTCTCCGTCCGTAGTAATTGCGGCATCCTATAAAATTGGACAGTGATTTTTTTTTCTCTTTGGCGTCTCTTCCCTCCGATGTGCCGGTATACCGGAACCCAATCTTCGCCCTACTCCACCAATCATGCAGCTGGTGGTTGAGACAGAACATATTCCACGGCCTATCGCTACAACCTAAGCCGCTGCAAAAGAGCTCCAATGCATCTCCTAACTGCCACTCATTTTGGAAAAGCTTGAATGTCTCAAACAAGTTTTCGAGAATTCGATCGAACGTCTCATGGTTTCGTTTCGTACTGTTGGCTGACCATGGGATGATGTGGCAAACCTCAGGATTGGCTGTTTTGAGAACTATGCAAGCTCTGCCGTCTAGCTTGCGCCTCTCATCCTTATGCTTGTTCATCGAATGGGAAAGCCGGTCGAGCTTAGGGTTGAGCTTAGCTTATTCTCCATGGGCTCGTACTCAGCTTCGTCTGCTCCCTCTCCTGTGGAATTTTGTGTTTTCCTTTTTTTCGCTGAAGAGTGGCTTCTTCCAGTTGACTGCTCTGAGAAGCGCTTCTTGGAGGCCGGCCCAGTACTGTCTCGTATAGGCTCCCCTGCTTCAGTGTTGTCTTTCTTGTGCCCTCGATTGAAAACCAACGCATGTCGTGTCAGCTACCTCCTCCTAAGTGGAACTAATCCCTGTAGCAATTGACTTACAAAGGCGCATAGCACTCTGAATAGAGCCGGGATCAGGTATGTCTGATAACCCAAGCGCACGACGCAGGCAGGATAGAGTGCAACGGTTCTGCAGCATATCCTTCAATTCATGAATTGGCGTCAGAAGAAGAGCTACAAATGCATAATCATCAAGGCTTTTTTTCGACGTGGGGTTCATAGTCGTAAGGCGTTGGACCAACGCCTAAATAAGCTCGAGGCGGCACTCTAGCTCGTTAAGTGGTACAAGCTCTGTCGCCGACGCTCTTGGCGGTATCTCGGTGAGGAGTTTTAAAATGGACTGAGCTTTAGCTGGATTTTGGTCCAGGAGCTCCAGAAATGCTTGCTTAGTGTCATCATCCATTTTTGCTTGTTTTGTTAGTTTGAGAAACGATGGCAGAGCGAGATTGTGAGTAATGTGGAGTATCCTTGTGATGTGTGGGAAGAAGAAGAGCTTTTTAAAAGGTGGGGGAGCGAGGAGGAAAAGGGTTTTGGATTGGGATGTGGGCCCACTTTTCCGCGATTGGTGCGTCGCTCGGCCCAACTATTTATCCGGGCTCTCTTGCATCTACGCACGGATCATTCACTTCGGATGATGACGTTTGTCGACTTCGGGACCCTTGTCGCCAGGAAACAGCTAACCCACCTTGTTTCCCAGACTAACACGTCACTCCAATCGTAAGCTTGCACAGCTCCTTGCAAGCTACCAGTATTTGACTCGCTGGTTGAAATCTGTTCCCTTTCCTCCTCAAATTCGCAAGAACATAGCAACGGAAGCATCACAAAAACCGACAACATCCACAATTGAGCCCTTCAGAAATCAGCCAAGATGACGCTCTACTACACCTTGGTAGGTGTCCCCGCTCCGCACCGTCCGATCTCTCTGGTTCGACCTCAAGGGTTGGAGCCGAACTGACTATGGTCCTGGCAGGTCTTTATGCTCCTCGTGGCAGAAATGACCCTTTTCATGTTTCTGATACTGCCAATGCCCTTCCCGATACGGCGGAAGGTGTTTACGTATGCTTCTTACCGTCTCCTCGTCGTCTCCGCGATTGTACATACAGCTAACCATGGGGCCCACCAGTTTCATTTCTGAGAACCCTATAGTCGCAAAAGTCCAATACTGGCTCAAGATCACCTTTGTCTTCATCTTGATTCTCTTCATCGACAGTGTCAACCGTGTCTATCGGGTCCAAGTTGAGCTGGCAGCGGCCACTGAGAACACGGGCACCTCTGCGTACGTGCTGCCGGCGTCCCCCCCTTATCATCTCCCTCACCCAACGGGAGAAGACCACTACAACAAAAAATATAGAAACAAGACAGGCTGACCATCTCAAGCAGGCCCGCCATCATGGGCCACGAGCGCCTCGAGGTGCAAGCGCGCAAGTTCTACTCGCAGCGCAACATGTACCTGTGCGGCTTCACGCTCTTCCTCTCGCTGATCCTCAACCGAACCTACACGATGATCCTGGAGGTGCTGCGGCTGGAGGAGAAGGTGAAGCAGTACGAGGGCACGGAGAAGAACACCAAGCAGGCCGAGAAGCTGGCCATGGCGGGCGACCCGGGCGAGATCTCGCGGCTGAAGCGCGAGGTCGAGCTGCGCGACCAGGACATCGCCACGCTTAAGAAGCAGGCCGCGGGGCTGCACAAGGAGTACGACGCCCTGGCGGACAAGTACGGACGCACCCTGGAGGACGGGAGCTCGAAGAAGGACAAATAGGAAGATGGCCTTTGGGACGGCCTCGAGACCCTTGGGGCGACCTCGTCGGTGGAGGAGAAGGAGGGCGATACGCCAAAGCAGCGGAAGGCGCAGTCGCCGGAAAACATATGGTCACCTTGAAAGGTTGGCTGGCAGCTTGGTCAAGGTTGTCGTGCAGTCGCAGGCCAAGATGGACTGATGAGGTGTTGGTCAGTAGGATATTGGAGGAGAAAACGTGCCGGGGGGTAGGATTTGACATACCTTATCATATCATGGGGATTCAGCGATAACATTCAGGCGTTTTGTTTGACTCAGAAACTCTTATCGGCTGGGTGGCATGCCTTTATCGCGGGAGCTAGGTTGACGTATCTGAAACTCCGTGGCATTAAGTCTAAACCGATCTAAGAAAAGAAACACGTGTGTGTAAGTGGGTAAACGATCTCGTGACTCAAGCGTCGCAACCCTCCCCATGGCTATGTCTAGGTAAGGGAAATACTCTTCTATAAGCAACGCCCATTGTACCCGTCTAAACACCTCAACATTCACCTTCCTCCCCATAAGGTACCGCGATTCCTTCTAGTAGTTCTTTACAACATATCATACAAATCAGGAAACAGAATCCCGTTCGCCATAGCCAATACCTCCCTCTCCCGGTCGGAATCCGCCTCCTCCTCGTCCCACGGCAGCAGCCCCATCGCCCGGAGCGCCTCGTCCCCGCCGGCGTCGTTCACCTCCTGCACGCCGGGCCTGCCCACGTGCTCGCTCTCTGCGCCGCACCGGCTAACCCCTGAGAAGTCTGGCCCCGGGTAGCCCAGCAGAAAGGCCTTGCGCTGCCGGGCCAGATACAGCGCGTTCGTCTGTGTCAGCGGGCACGCGGGGAGGTACATGTATGCCGGTCTCGTGCTGTCTTTGAGCGGCTCCTGCTCCTCCTCCTCCTCCTCCTCTTCTTCTTCTTCTTCTTCATCTTCATCATCATCTGAGATGGCATGGATCAGGTCCGGGTGCCAGACCAGGTAGTCCCCCGGCTGTAGATCAGGCACCGGTACTAGGCTGCGGTTAAGCTGCAGGTGTGGGTGGAGGGCTGGGCTGATCTGTTGTGCGTAGCTGGGCAGGGCGCCGTGGAGGATGCTGGTTTGGGGCCTGTCGAAAACCCATTCGTCCTTGTTCTTGTTCTTGTTCTTGGAGTTGTTTGGTTCGGATTCTGATCTTGATCCGAGCGTTGTTGCGGTATTAGTCGACGGCGATGGTGAAGGGGAGAGGAACGGGCGGAGCAGGAAGTAAGCTGTTGCGAGGCGTGGGAGAGGGCAGACTTGGACTGAGCCCCGGCCGGAGGGGATGTCGTCCAGTGCGAGCCAGCCCTGGAACATCCGGAAGATGGAGCAGGCGCCAGCTTTGTGGTAGAGGTCGCTGGTTACGCCGAGACGGGTACTGCTCTGTGGTGGAAGGTGGAAGGTCAGGAACCAGTGCGAGGGGCGGGTGCTGGTGAGAGACATTACTAATGGTTACAGACCTCCCACGGATCGTAGTCCTCCCATCGCCCCTGAAATATGTCCTGGTATGTCCCGGCCCTGCCGTATCCGTCCGGCTCCCACCTCTCAACGCTCCCGCCGTCGACGCGTGCGTGAGTGGCACCCCTGGCACCGCTGGTGGCACCGCTCCTCACACGTGCCCTCGTCCGGTCTGCGTACGCGATGGGGAAACCTGTGGTGACTCTGGCATTGGGGTCTCTCGACTTCCATATGCTCATCACAAATCTTTGCGCTGCTAGGACGTTCGGATGAGCTCGGGCTGTGACCTGAGCGGCGCTCCAATACACGCCCGGTGACTGGGCGTGCGGGGTCGGAGCTTCTCGGGCCTGCTTCATGTATTCCTCTGCCTCTCGGCCCCAAGACAGGGCAGTGTCCCTTGAGACAACGTTTCGTACGATTCCCACGCCTCTTTTCCGGAGATGTTGCAGAAACGGTTCTGCTAGCTTGGGCCTCGCGGTGTCCGCGAAGCTGATAGTGGGTATGACTTGTGACCCTTGAGAGGATAGCAGATCAATCTCGGTGGCAAGGTCTCGCAGAAGACGCTGCCAGGAGGAACTGAGCACCTGTTCTTTCCCGGCTGTCAAGCTCTCCTTGAGAGCAGTGAACCTGGGTGTGAGCTGAATAGGGCCGGAACAAGCAAAGGGTTGCATTTCAGCCCTCTTTGCCCGGGATTCTGTATCGACCGTACTCGGCGATACCAGAGGAGGCCTTGCAGAGATGGCCATAACCGAGGACATAAAAGAACGGCATATAACGGAAATAAACACGTAGTTTCAATGAGTGCAAGCGTTGCCGCATGTTTCCCGTATAGGATGCGCAAAAGGCCAAAGGGCAAGAGTAAGAGGAAAACACGAGATATACCTACGGTTGAGTTTACCATGATAGGAGCGAGGAGGACAGCAAAGGTAAGTGATCGCTTGCATGCAAACAAAAGGGAAGCCATGCGCTCGTCATGCCGGTGTAAGTTGTGTAAGTGGTTTGGCCCCTGGCTGATAGTGAATGACAGGGGTGATGGAAGTCCGCGGCCGCGGGCCGTCAGGCCGGCCAAGCAGGTCCACAGAGAATAATCGCGGCGGCCACCAATAGGGAGTTTTTCTCAACGCATCCATAGTAGCATGCCACAAGTAGGGTCGGAAACGGTTCGGGTATCTTGCTAGCGGTTCGGCTGCTGCAACCTGTGCAGGGCTGAGGGAAGACGAAGAGCCTTCAAGGGTCCAGGCACGTCCCCGTGGCTCTCCCGAAGTACCGTGTTGTGCCCGCTGCTGAGATTACCTGGTTCAGTAACACATCCCGCGCTTAAACTTGCTTCCCTCGCTTCGAGCGTCGGACAGGTGGCTCGACAGCGGGCGCATCATCCGAAGCCTTCTTCCTCTTCGCTGGTTGCTTCTTACCCGTGGCCGCGGCCGGTGATCCGGTTGGCGGCGTGCTCGCACTCGCAGCGGGCTGCCTCATCAGAACGAATGCCACACGCTCGATGTCGACCGCTTCCACCCCGAGGCGCTTCACCAGTGCCTTTGCCCGCGCATTCAGCTCTGCATACTCCTTCTCATTGTACTTGATGGGGCCTTTTGACCCGTTGCAACAGAGCCAGTAGAAGGCCTCGTCAGAGAAGAACAAGATGTTCGCAGAGTCGTGCACCGCCAGCAGCAGAGATGCCGTGGCCGGGCCGATGCCTCTGAGCTGGGTTAGGATGTCGAGGGCGCCGGCTACGTCCGACGTGTCCCGGTAGTGCTTCACAGCCTTCTGAATGGTATCCTTGACACAAACTGGATCGTTTGACGATACCAGTTTCATCAAGGTGGGCCTAAACTTCCCGTGTCGACTGCGGATACGTAGGGTCAGATCAATCATTGAGTCGAGCAATGACGGGATTCCGTGCGCTTGTGAGATAAGCGCGGCGCCTCTGATCCGTCCGCCAAGGCTTTTCGGAGTCGCGAGTATCACAGTAGGAGCATGACGTTGAGACAGAGAAAGATCAACAAGCGACGTACAGTTTCCACTCGACAAGGATTTTGGCGTCGTCAAGGCCCATGGACGCGTCCGGATTCGCGGAACCAAAAGTCTCGGGCGCCGTCTCGTAGCGATACTGATCAAGATCGGACAACGTTCTCTGGCCAGCTTTGGCTGCGATGGTGGATCAACATTATCAGAAGCCGACGCTGTATGAGCCCAAGTGGACCTCCATACCTCCTTTCGACTCGGATATCGCCGCGATGCACGCAGGATACTTCTCGAGGAAGCTCTGAAACTCGCTGTCGGATATGCCATCCGGCGATGGGTGCCCTGTGTTGGCCATTCTGCGGCTCGTGGTGGATGCCGGGCCGGTGTTGCACCGCAGGAGTCGGCAGGGCCAACACTGTGAAATGGCAAGCTCGCAGATGCAAGGTCGGGATCCACAAGATGCACCAGACTGGATGCGGACGGATTCGAGGTCCGGGAGATCGCGCCGCCGATACGATGCCCTGGCGATGTTTGATATTGTGAACGAGCGCGGGCCAATTTCTGAAGTGTGTGATGAGTTCGCGGCTGTCTTCCCGCGTTTTTGTTACAAAAACCGTTGCGCTTGATATGCAGTGGCAATACCGTCGTCCACTACATGTTAAGACGATGGGAGGCTCATAAGCGGAAGAAAGATCAAGTACAGCGAGCCGGACTTAGTGTAGCTGACAGGCAGTGTAGCTGACAGGCACCAGCAAGTTGCGAATGGTGGTTCATTTGACCTTAGATGGCAGGTCGAACAAGGTCACTTCCATTTAACGTTATCACCGGCCCGCTTGATCCCGGCCTTGCTCACATGTTTCTCTCAGAAACGGTTGGGTTTGCGACATCACAGTATTCCGTAATGTACGGATAACGTTGCGTACCAAGTAGTCCGTAACTACCCCAGGTACATATTCAGTTGTCGAATGTTTCCGTAATACCCCAGAAGCCGGTCTCCCTTGCGTCTACAATACAAAGCTGGAAGGTTGAAAGCCTCAAAAGTAGACTACAGTACAACTTACATATCCGCTGAGAGGCAATCAAATAAGATACCATGGTTATTAACCAAGGGGAAGGGCCAAGGTGAGAGTGCATTTCCTAGGCGGGACAGAACCCCGTATGGATTAGTACACAATACCTTGCGTATTCGTACCGGAGCAAACGTCGAACGGCCAAGGGTTCCGGGTGGCTCGTGCACCCTTCCCTTGGCTCGTGCCTGCTGCGATGCTATGAGTCCGCCAACGCGACGTCTGCCGCGCCACTTTTAGCCGCTGGCAGAAAAAAAAGTCTCAGAAAAGCGGTGGGCTTCTAATAAGTTACCCGGTTGCGTTACCTACAAGCAAAGCGAAGAATACAAAGAAGATCGAATAGGCGTCGAGAGAAGATCATACCACAATGGGCGGCGGCAACGTATGTTTCCCTGTCTCCGCTGAGTTCCCCCCATTTCTCCATCCACCAAAATAGGGTGCCCAAACCGCAGATCTATCTGAAGCAGTCGGGCGTCTAGGCGGAACTTGAGTCTTGGACTGACATTTACCACCATCTTCAGGGAGCCAAAGCAGCGCAGAAGCGTGCGCGGAACCAGGAGAAGGCCGCCCCGAAGGCTAAGTCACAGCTAAAGGCCGTATGTCTGCGCTCTTTTTTTGACTGCGAGGTTGCCAACGTGCTGGAAGCTCATGAGGATCATCGTACACACAGAACGCCGCTGCCATGAACATCATCTGCGCCCAGTGCAAGCAGACCTTCCTCTCGACTTCTCGCGAGCCTCAGTAGGACTTCTCCTCTCCCGCCCCTCCCGGGGGCCCACGTAACTGCATCAGGGGTACTCACTGTTGCTCGTTCCCTTTAGGCTTACGCTGCACGCCATCAACAAGCACAACGCGACGCTTCCGCAGTGCTTCCCAGACTTCAAGATCACTGTTGCCGCCAAATGAGCGGGACGCCGGCCATATTGACCTAAATCCACGACTAGACACGACGAGTTTCACGAGAAAGGGGTCGGGGCGAGCAAGGAGTTCTTCAGGTTAGGAAGGCATCAACAAGAAGGTACCAACGGAAGGCGTTTGTAGTACGATTGCTTTGGCAAGATTAACCATGAATTTTTTTTTCCGGTTCTGCGCATGTGATAGAATGAGCGACAAACCTCGTGTGCTAGATATGCGGAACCAGTACGCTGTCTAAACATACGCGACTGCAGGTCTCGAGGGGTGGTTTGGACTGCGTGTTTGACTGGATGCTACGACATCTTCGAAGTCCAGCGAATCGATAAGTCTAGATTGTAGCCGTCATCCTCAAATCACTCCCAAAACAAACCTAGTGCGCCTCCACCGGCTTCGCGCCGGCCACAGGAATCTCCGCAGCAGCAGCAGCAGCAGCAGCAGCCGCCGCCGCCCCTTTCCCAGTCCCGCCGCTCTCCTTCAACCTCGCCTGCTCCTCCCTCACGCTCGCCAAGATATCCGGATACCACCTCTCTCCGACATCAGGGTGGCTCTTGACCCGGTTCCGCAGCGTCGCCTCGCCGAGCGTCCTCGCCGCGCCTCCCTTGCGAAACGTGAACTCGACATCGTCCAGCCTGACGCCCCCGTTCCGCTCCAACACTGCCCTCCTCTGCCCGCGCACGTGCTCGGGCACCTTGCCCACGCCGACGTTCTCGAGGTCGTCAAAGTCTGCGTCGCCGCTGACACCCTGGAAGAAGGGGATCGAGAAGCGCGCCCCCGCGCCCGCGGGCGGCGACAGCACGCGGTGCGTCGTGCTGACACACACGCCCTGGGTGAGCGCCTCGAGGCCCTGGCCGATGGCAACCACCAGCGTGCCGTCGATGGGCGGGCAGTCGATCCACTCCCCGCGCATGTTTTGGACCTGGAGGCCGCGGTGATGCGACGCCTGGAGGAGGTACGAAGACAGCATGCTGTCCTTGTGCGGCCCAACGCCCTGGTTGCCGCCCTTCCCCTCCGCGCCCAGCGTGCCCACGTCCGGGTACTTGACAATCTTCAGCTTGTGCTGCTGGTCGGAGTCGAAATACTTGTTGAATGCGTCGCTCGGCAGCTCGATGGCCTCGGCGATCAAGCTGGTGAAGTACATGGAGATCTCGCCCATTCGCTTCATGTATTCGGTGAAGACGGGCCGGAAGTTGGGTAGGGTCTCCGGGGATGGCCACTGGTTTGGCGCCAGCAGGTTATAGTACCGCGGCGCGTCCGGGCCCGGTAGCGGATGCTCCGTCGACAGATCGATCTGCTCCCGGTGATCGATTTCGCCGGCTGTGACTTCTGCCGAAAGGCGCGAGTACCCCAAGAAGGAGGGCGCATTTTTCATTTCGATCTTGAGTCTGGGCAGATGTTCAGCGCAAAGCTCTGATGAGCGGAAGAAATACAGTATAAGCCATACTTCTCCTCTGGCGGGATGTCGAAGAAAGCCTTGCCCTCCTCGATGACCTGCTTGAAGAACTCGTCTGAGATGCCCACGTTTCTCAGATAGAGGAACCCAACCTCCATCAGCGCATGTCGTAGCTCTGATAGGAACCCTTGCTTTGTGGCCGGATCCCCAGCCAAGGCTAGGTCGAGGATGGGTATCGAGGTGAAGGACATATTCAATATGACCTTGCTGAGTTTTGTGGCGACGGGCCTAGGCAACGTAGATAAGTAGCTTCACCTTGGAGGGGACGAGAAACAGATGACGGTCACAAGTGCCGCATGCCTCCGCATGAAACTGCTTGGAATTGGTGATGGCGCTGCTAGGGTATCGTATCTTAATAGACTCTCTCAGACTTTCCTAGTTGACAGTGGCCTTCGGCAAGCCATTCCCCCATCAGTTGTTCAGCCCATATTCTATGCCTCTGAGAATGGCGTGATCGGTTCGACATCGGCGTTGTACCTGTACCTCATATTGCTCCGCAATTGCCTGCGCACTAACGCCCGGATAGACGCGGGGCAGCGGGGCCAGGGACTCCTACTTCTTCGGCACAGCAACAAAGCCAACCCCAGCCCGCTGGTGTGTCTTAGCCACCAGTGAGCTCCGAATTAGCCATCTACCACGGAACAGGCCAAGTCAAAGATGCCGGTTTTCTTTCGGCGCACGCTAACTAAGTGCAGCTCTTTGGTGGTGTAATGCTGCAAATGTGCACCATTGGCCGGTGATTGACCAGCGATTGGCCGGGGGCCGGCTAAGCACGGGATTCCGGTACGGGCCGGACACATTGCAGTTGTCGTCTCCGAGTGTGGGGCTGCCGGCCCAAGGATATCTGATTCTGGCCTTCGGATAACAGTGCACGTGGAGACTTCCGGCACCCAGGCGTTAACAGGCTTTTGTAGAGTAGAGCGCGGCCACCTGGTAGAAGATATCTTCCATCGGCGGCATGGCGAAGGCCGGCGCGGCGTTAAAGATTTCAGCTAAGCGCTGAGGTGCCACAACAGCGGCGTGGGTATCGTCGTCATCCTCCATCGCCCCGTCTTCATCTGCTTCTTGCATCTCCTCATCGCTGGGCTCCTCTTCCTGCAGCAGCAGCTCTTCTTGAATCGGATCTCCCGCAACAGCGACGTTATCCATTCCCAACTCCGCCAATGGCCGGAGAAGCGGCGCTTGCTCGGCGCCTTCGGTTATAGACCGGATCTGGGCTGCGGCATCGACAACGACAAACCCAGATGATGACGGGGCGGCGCACAGAGAGGTGATCAGCTGCGAAAAGGGCTTGACCAGCTGCGGCTCGTCCTCTCCAATGTTGAAGATGACGAGTTCTGACCTCGTGCCTTTCTTCATTTTCTGTTGGCTCGGATTCGGAATGGGCGCGGCGAGAGCGAAGCTCCGTGACTGGTAATTGACTGCCAGCTGGGTGAGTCGCCTAGCCGACGCTGAGGTTTCCTTCAGAGAGTAGTTGTAAAGCAGCTCATCTGAGACGATGTCATAGACAACCAGATCCTCCGAAAGCATGATGAGACACGAAGACAGAGACTTTATCGCACGGATCTCGCCCCTGAACATGCCGCAAACAACGTCTCGGCACGCACCGGTTTCCGTGTCAATGGCAACGACGAGCGCTCCACTCGGGGTCCCAAAGGCGGCGAACAGAAGAGACCCATCTTCTGAGAAGGTAACGGCACCGCTGCGCGGGACGCTCTTGGGAGCATCCGTGGCGTCGTCCTGCTCTCCGCACACCGGAAGCGAGACAACACGGGAACAGCTCCAGCTTCGCAACGGATGGCCACCGTGCCCGGAAGATGCAGGCCCCTCTCTTTTGCGCAATCTGGGAACCCAGAAGCGTACCATTCCGTCGTTGCCAACCGTAGCGAACCGAGATGAGGTTGGATCGCTGGCAAGGTCGAATATCGTCTCTGTTCGATCGGCATGATGAGCGTCATTGATGCGGGTAGCAAGCTGGAAGGATTGATCTTCTGTCCCAACTTCCCAGAACTTGAGATAAACCTCGCGTCTCTCTCGGCACACATCAGGGAGCGTTTTCGATCCTGTCAAGAAGGCGTCTGCATCTCGTTCAGGCGGTTGCCACTCGTCGACGGAAGCCAGCCACTTGCCATCTTGAGAGAAGGCCAGCTTGGTCACGGTCGGCTCTACGATGGGCGCACCGTCGCTGGTGATATTGGCGTCTGTAGGGTTGGTACGCGCAATCGCGTGCTTACTGACGCCGTGGAATGAGGAGAGATCGAACACCTGGAGAAGCGGCGTTGACGATGACGGGCCTCCAACCGATGCTTGCTGTCCATTGCCGACGCACAGGAATAATTGCGAGGGGCTCTGAGGGTTGATTGTGGCGACTAGCGGGGCGGAGATCTCGTCGACGGGCCGCCACACACGCCGCACGAAGGCATCTTTGGATGGGCGATCACCCAGGACGAGGGACTGGATGCCGGAGACGTACATCGTTGGTTTCATCTCTGCCGTAGACAGAACCATAGTCGAGTTGTCATCCAAGTGGAGAGCGTAGGACGATCCTCGGGGCGAAATAGCAATGTTCTCGATACTTGCCGAAAGATGGGGCAGAAATTCCTGTCTCCCAGTATCGACCTGCCAAAGAACAAGAACCGTCTCATAGCCTCCGGATACTAGGTAGTTGCCTGCCGTCTGTCAGTCAGATGCCGCCCCTGAATTGGTGTCCAACGGAAAGAAGATGCTCACCATCCTCGGACCACTTCAGACTGTGAACCGCTCTCCGATGCCAGTGATGCCTTTTGGGCTGAATTGTGCCGACCCTCAAGGAGCCGGATGCCTCCCGGGGTAGCTTGGAGAGCAGGTCATGGTATACATAGATGGCACCCCGAGCACCGCCGACAGCAAGATCGATAGATTGCAGCTCCAAACCCCCTTTCCTCGTAGTCCGGAGCGTCGGCCGAACATCTAGGCAGGCAATAATGTCCGGCGTGTCGAAGCAATGGAAGCGATACGTCAAATCATCCAGCGAGGCTAGCGGCTTCCCCTTCAGTGACCCGATATGTAATGCCTCCTTTGCCGCAGCGACGATCAATTTACCGCCAGCGACTGAGCGCAGGGATTGTGGACTCTCGTCGTAGGTGTGCAGAAGCTTGCCGCTTCTTGTCGCCAGTGCCTTGGTGTTGTAGGCGACGATTTGCGCAGAGACCTTTTTGAGCTTCTCCAGGACGAACAAGACATCCTCCGGCTTGCCGCCGATTTCTACCTCGTCCACTGTCACATCCAACACCCTCTTGGCCTCGATTGTGAAGGGAGTGTCTATCCCCGCACCCGATGTCCAGTCAATGTGCCATATCCGACCATCGGAACTTGTAACCCAGACAAAGTCGGTGTTGCACTTGGATAACACGGAGGACACGATATGGCTTGACACAAACTCTGCCGCGCCATCTGTTCTTGTCACGGGGAGGCTGATCCTGCGAACGAGCAAGGAGTCTTCTGTCGAGTACACCTGAATGGAGGTATTGTATGTGACGATCAAGTGCCTAAGCCTGTTAGAGACTGTTCTCAATCGTGCTATGACTGAAGTGCATTGGCTTTCGCTTACTTTTCATCAGGGGAGAATATCGGGTCGATGTCCTGCATCCTACCACCCATTGGCTTCGACACCTTCCATGATGCTAGCCTCCCGTGGACAGGGACAGAAGGGGGTTGTGACGAAGCATCTGGGAGGTCCAGGTCGCCGTCTATTTGAGAGGAAGCTGCATCTTCCGAATTGGCGTTTCCTTCGAGCTTCGATCTCGACTTCCGACGGTGTTTCTTCTGCGACGAGAGGGGCTCGTCTTTCGGTTCACGCTTCCTTTTCAGGGAGGCAGTATCGCCGTTCGTTTCCATGTCCGGTGTCTTCCCTCACGGTGGGCACAATAGATCCCTCTGCAGCGACAGTTGAGGTCGATAAGCCAACGCCGAGAGCACACCTCAAAAACAGAGTCTCCAATCGCAAGCAGGCGGAAGAAATTTTGGGAGATCAAAAAAGTTAAGTGGGGCTGATTTGCCTTATCAGCGATAACACAGACCAAGGCTACAAGGGAGTTGAAGGGACAGACCAAAAGATTTGTGGCGTCGTCAACTCTACAAAGCGCATCTCACAACTGGTCGTCCTACATACCACCAACTCGCGCCATCGCACGACTACGACTCCATATCGTCGACGCTGCCTGGCGGTCACTGTTACTGTGAGCATACCGCCCTTATACACCACGCTGAACAAGTTGCCGGCAAAATGATCATTCCGATTCGCTGCTTCTCGTGCGGGAAGGTGGGTTGCACGCGCTAAGCTCATCCGCGCCTCCAAGACTGATCGCTGTGCAGGTGACCGGTGACCTTTGGGAGAAGTTTGTGAAGCTTATTGAAGAGGAGAACCTCACCGACGGGTAGGCTCAACTAACCGTGCGTCCCGGGTATATGGTTATTCCTTGTACTGACGCCATCGACAGCGACGCCCTTGATCAGCTTGGCTGCAAGAGGTACTGCTGCCGACGTATGGTTATGACACATGTCGATCTCATCGAGAAACTACTCAAGTAAGTCTACCCTGCGAAATCCAGCTAGAGATGGCGGTGCTGACAGGTTCTATTCCAGGTACACACCTGACGGCCGCAATTACAAAAAGATCGAGATGCAGGCCCGCAACCAGGAGCAGCGCTGAAACCACCTTTCGGCTCAGGCATGGGTTTCTGCGGGTCGGGCAACCTCCGGTCAAAGACGATGCCCATGCGTTTCGAGATTACATGGATTCCAAACAATGATTGTGGCGGCGTTCTTCGGCTGGCAAACGGCGTCAAGGTTGATTTATGGCGCAGGTGACTTGGCTTAAGTCAATCGGATCAACTTTTCCTGAAGCCCGGATGCATTCCTACAAAGGCGGTCAGGTACAGGAGGGAATATCCTTCGTATGGACGACTGGACCAACTGCATATTGGACCAGTCGGGTTGCATTTGGCGCGAGCCATCTGCAGATGACGAAGCGTCTGTTTGTCACCATGTGAATGACGTAGATTCCTGGCCGCTGTTGGACATCTATGTAGCTTTGGTCAGGGCCCCAGGTTTAGGCTGAGGTTAGACTGCCGGTTGCATTGACTACCGGTGGCTTGATGGAGTGCAAAAAGATACCTACCAAGCTCGAGAGCTTCATACCTAGGGTAGAAGGAAGCCATGCACACGGGCGCGGCACATCTGTCAGGTATCACAATACTCCATGGTGGTCATAGTAACATCATTATGAATGCATTCAGTAGATGGTCCCATGCGATAAAGCTCCTTCAACTCTCCCTTCGCCGAGTAACCGTACTGCACCGCAAAGTTCCTTTTACCCATCGCAGACCAAGCTGAGACAGTTACTTCGTATGCGGGCTCGGAATCCTGAGTCAGGTGGCGGTGAGCCTGCGCAATTAGCCAAGGCTTTCCAGTTTTGTTTGCAACAGTCGCAATGTTGGTTCATCAGGTTCTGGCTGCAAAGAGGCATGAACCAACAGACCTGCATAATATCCGCAACACAGCATGGTGAACAAACCCACAAATACTTATCAGTCTTTGTCGCACCGCTTAAGCCTAGCGCACACTTAGCAAGAGGGACAGTGCCATGCCCTAATGCACACCTGGTCGAGACAGACTGGGAGTGTCCGTAACTGTAGCGACGGAGGGAAACAAAGGAGTACTTATATCCCAGAGATATTCTTGCCCTGCTACGCATGTCCGTTATGTCTTAACATCAACCGCTCCAATATGGAAGCTACCACCATCCCTCCCGAGTCCCAACAATCACAGTAGTAGCGTTAGCAACCCGATGTATTTCCAGGGATAGGTACTTGGTTTATCCAGCTGATGCAACCGCAGATCCGTGGACCTTCTATGATGCGGCACACTAGGTACTGTAGCTCGGTTTTCTGTTCACAGATCCTGTATGTATACCGGTACATTCAATGTCAGCCGCCGGGCACGTCCGAGATATTCTGCCCTCCAGACTTTTGGCGCTGGATGATGGGAGCAAACTACCGGTAGCTTTTTACTTGCCAAGAAGCCGGCTGACGCAAAATAGGATCAACATGAAGAACCACATTGCTGGGTCTTTGAACCCTGCGCCGGACAAACTGGCCGCTGACCAACCCCACGGAAGCCACGATGCCCTGAGCTCAACCGAAGAGAGCGGCGAGGCAATGAGCCTTATGTGGTAGTTGACTCGGAATTAGGACACAGATCTCATACCTTCAAGACTCGTTAATGCCAAACCATCCTTCTCATTTCATCCTACGTCGTCTTAGATGCCCTTTTTATCGATTACGTACCGATGTAGACTCAACCCCGGCTTTCCAGAACTTTTCTCAGAACGCCGTTGGGGGCCATCTCCTAGGGCGGAGCCGTTCAGAACACCTGGCAAGGAAGCGGAAGAACGCCTGGCCAGGGTGTCACCCAGCAGCCTGGGACGTGATCATGCGATTCTATTGGCCAGTCACCTGCCCCTCATCAACAGCAAGCTCGAACCAGGATGGACCTTGTCAGTGCTTGTAAAGCAGGATGGCCGCTGACTTGCTGGCAGAGCGAGCCACATCGACAACTTAAGCGCCGGGCAGTGCCGGGGTCATTGCCATGCAGTCCATCGGCAGAAGAGGGGCTTTCCTCCCGACTTCCTACTGGCCCCAGAAGCCCAAGACGCGCAGCGGTCCCCGTAAGGAAGTGCGGGAAGAAATCGTGCCTCTGCACCTCCGTCACTCCCGTCACTCACACGCTCGGGTTTGGTGCTTCCAGACCGCATGCGGGTTACAAGGCGCCCTCAGGTTACCAGGCAGAAGACAACCGGAAGACATTTAGGGACCTACGGATAACTACTACATCTAGGAATTGAAAACTAGGTACCTACCCTAGACCGCAGTCAGCAAGCGCTAGGGAGGACGCGGTGGAATATTAGACGCGGTGGAACGCGAAGGATTGCTGCAGGTGTTGTCGATAGTTACCTGACTGAACTTTACAGTTCGATCCTGCTACTACCGCGCCGTTCAGCAGCTGCCGGCTTGGTTGGTGGTGTTGTCTAGGTACGGAGCGGTGCGGAGTACTACTATTCAGTACGGAGTACCCTGTCGGGCAAGGCCGCCGAGACCCTTGCAACGCTTGCAAGGCTTCCCGCGTCCAGTGTTTGGCTGCTGCTTTATCCTTAAGCGCAGCGGCGCTTTCTCATCGGCCACAGACTCTCAGCAGCAGATTCCCTCACCACACCCCCGCCGACAAACCACGTCGTCGCCCTCTGGCCGTTGTTGGCTGCTGGTGCATGAGCATCCCCCGCCAAGCAGGTCTTGTTTTGACAACTGTGCTGTTTTGGCGCTGCCTTATTCCTGCAGGCGGAACCAGGCACCGGCTCAGTTCCCCCGTCTTTCCTTCGGCAGCCATCGCTAGTCCCACTCAGGCTGCGAAGCCGCACGCTCGCCATCCCTCGTCCTGCAGGGAAACGGTGGTGGCCGGGCTGAAGCGCATTTGTCTCTCCGGTCGGTGCTCGGGGACGAAACTTGTATAGCCTGGTTCGGAATCTCCTCGGGGAGCGCCGCCTTCCCTTCATCTCTTCCACCCGGCCGGCCGACCATTCGCACCCGAGAGATAATAGGCTCAAGGCTGCTCCGAGGTGGTCGGGGAATGATTGTATCCTTTGGCTCAAAGCTTGCGACCCACCGAGCCCAAATCCACGACCTCGCTCTTGCCCTTCCTGCTTAAGCGCAGCTCTTGTTTGTTTGCCTCCGACTGTCCCAACGAGTGCGGTGCGCCTTTCGCTTAGGGATCGCGTCGCCGATCTCGCGGAGTCAGAATCCTCAGAATCCGCTCCGCGCCCTAGGTTCGCCTTCTCAGGCGGGTCGCGATCCCGCCAGCTTCGACCCCAGCTTGGCCATTGAGCCACGGCCGGCCGCAATGGCTCTTGAGGCTCCCTTGAGATCGTCAACGGGAAGCATTACCTCGAGATACTCGCCCCACGCAGACATGTCACTCTCAACAGCGCCGGAGTCACCCGCTGTGCCTTCCCAATATATGGCGTATGGCCCCACAGCGACTCATTCCATGCTGGCTCGTTCTGACCATTGTTTTGTTTCCCAGCTCCTCCTCGGGCGCCGATTCCCAATCCCTCCGTCCCAATTCCTTCATGAGACCAGGCTCGGCTCATCTGATGAGTCCGAGCAGTGATATCGTCGGCCCATCCCCTGTCACGTCAAACGGAACCGAGACCACCGAGATCGAAGATGAGGCGGCAGAGAATGCCGAGAACGAGAATGGCCATGTGCGTCACTCAGTACGTCGTCGCCCGGTCCAAATGCAAAGACGACCTCGGTTGGCTGACAGCTTGCAGCTTTTGATGCTAAGGACGAACATTCCGGACAATCTTCGGCGACCAATGAGCGAAGAACTTGTCTCGGTAATACATGCACCTCCCAGCTTTCAGAATTGGGTATGAACCATGACATACGTACCCCGTTTGTGGACATGATGTTGACTCATATGTACTGCCAGAAGTCAAGTGATGCCGCGTCGAAGTCTGCCACATCGAATCCAGCGAGTGGTACCAGCGTGGAGAGCACCACCAGCGCAAGCAGCCCGCCACCTAGTGAACCGTCAACAGTCGTGAGACAGCTCCATCAACTCTAATCTGTTAGTTCAGCCACACTAACCCAGTTGGGCACAAGACATCACCAAATCAGATGCCTCCGACGGTCAACACCAAGGTGAAGCCGGTGACATTCGGCATAGACGCCCCGACACCACAAGCCCAAAACCTAGAAGACGTGATTGCCAGTGATTCTTCAAGATTACGGTCGAGCACGGCCAGCAGTCTGGAATGTAAGGCTCAATAAAGTTTGACGTTTAGGGTATCCGCCTCCATCTGACCGTCCCTCGCAGTGATACCCGAAAGCCACGAAATTGACGGGGATGACGATTTTGACGACACTGACGAATTCACAAACGTGACACGAGGCCAAGACAGCGAGGTCAAGGCGCTGAAAGCGGCTCTTGAAGAATGCTGGACATTGTGTAATACCCTGGCCAACCTCAGTTCCATCCACCGAGAACGCGTCTTCAACAGCTCCGGGACGCCCGATGCTCACGAAAAGGCTTGGAAGAGCTGCTGGAAGCTTTGCAAGCGACTCTATCAGAGCCGAGACGATATCTCCGAGTCGTACGGCGTGAGGACCAATCTGGACTTGTGCCGTGACTTCTGCCAGGCGTTGTTCGATGTGCGGCAAAAGAAGGACGAGACAGCAGATTCGATTTTGAGAGTCAGCTTTGAGCTCAACAATCAGTATGAATTCCTCCCCGTGTACTCAGCGCATGGCCGAGCGGCTCCCCCTGACACGATACTGCAGTCTCTACAGTGCTCAAGACAGCCGCTCGCTTCCCGAGGCCTTCAGGGAGCGGACCCTGGACTTCTATATCACATTATGTCACCGATTAATGAAGCAACGCAGCGAATTAGCCGAAGAGACGGACTCGCTCCTTCGGGCCTGCTGGTCGTTGGCCGAGATGCTTTTCAGCCTCCGGCAAAACCGGAGGGATGGCAAGGCGCCGGACGAAGAGCTTCTCGGGTCCGCGGTGCAGGCGTGCTGGGAGCTCTGCGATATCTTCCGCGAGGGTTGGACGCAGATCCGTCCAGATCGCGGCACGCCAAGGCCAAATCAGATTAACTTCTTCGCCGCGGGCCCGCCCTACGGCCTCCAGGGAATGAGCAACCATCAGTCGGACGTTGCGCGCTCCAATGCCGGCAGCCGCGCATCGCTGCACTCGAAGCGGGAGAGCCTGCGCAGCCTCGGCGATATCGAACGGCCGCGGCCACATCCGATCGTGCCCGAGACCCCGGTCACCGAGTTTGAGGATACGCCCGTGTCGCCGGACGCCAGCCCCCAGATGCCCAACATTCTGGTGCTCGGGACGTCGACCGACTCGCGCAGTGACCGTGGCGGCCGTTGGTCCAGCAATGCCTCGAATCTATCAGGCTATACCCAGAGCAGTCAGCATACCTCCAGCACGGCCACGACGGCAGCCACTGTCGAGGACATCAACATCACGCGCGTCAAAGCGCTTATTGTGAAAGCCGCCATGAACATCGGCTTCAGCCGCGACGCGGGAGCGGCGAATGGCACGGGCGGCGCAGCGTCATTGCAGGCTTTCGTAAAAGGTCTCCCAACCGGATCTTTTGGCTCCCTACCGAGCCACGCAGCACTTCTGCAAAACTACAAGAACCTGGTGCTCAACGACGCATTACTTTTCCGCTCCTCAGCAAGCCTTCCCGTCCGCGGGAAACGTTTCAGTGCCGCCGAGATATCCAAGAGCGTTAGCTGGATGATGATCGGGCGGTCCCAGTACGGCGTTCTGAGGGATCTGTTTAGGCTCGTTTTCGGCATCCAACTCGAAGATGCCGAGACGAGGAAGAATATGTCCATCACGGTCTGATGAGAGCCACACGGAGCTGTGGTTTCTCTGGCCGCTGGAAATGCCACTTCCCTGGCGTACCAACATCTACTGAGCTAACATACGCGGCCGGGGAGCCTAGCGACCTACCTATATATTGCACATACTTTAACCGTGAAACGATTCAAGGAATTTTTACAACGCTGCCTATTCATCCCTCCTCCGCTCGATATGTCCGATCTCTATCGTGGAATTCCGTTAGATACCCTGTTTCTTGGACCGCAAACTCTATTCTCTCATTACAAGGCGCGGGGGGGTTGGCTACCTCAATTTCTCAACGGTTGCGAGGTCATATTCCCAACTCATGGATTGTTGTTTCTCGTGTGTATACGGAATATCTGGAGCTTGTTGGGGTGCTAGAAGGAGAGGTGGCGGTTGGTGCATCGGAAGTGAACAAATGCAAGGTTGCGACACTGGAAGACAGACAGACGAATGAGACCACCTACTTTTTTCGTTGTCCTGTGCACTTATCGTCTCACCACGTACGGAGGAAGAGACATTCGTTCTCGTCGTGTCGAGTGGGCCATAAATCGAACTTGTCGAGATTCAAGGTAAACTCGCCATACAACGCACCCACCTATCTTTTGGATGAAGGAAAGTGACCACTGCCCATACTGGTCTGGCCGCCGCCCTCAGGAACCCAGCTCACCGGGCATCGACGGAAAGAATCTCTCCTGCAGAAATCGAATGTGCGTCACCCTACCTAATTCGTAGTTTAAGTCACTGTGCTAGTCGGAACGGCGCTGATATGCTTCGCGTGCCAACAGGGTACCGCAGACAGCCCTAACGATGCTGTCGAACCTCTCCCCGCACATTTCGAAGAACAGGAAGATGCTAGCTCGCCGCCATAGCCCACCTTCGGTTGTTTAGAGAGGGCAAGGTCCTATTCTTGGTTTTCTGTGATATCGTGAAGTCACAGCTGCCCGGCCATGCCCCAAGGAAGAAGAGGGCCTTTGTTTTTTTTCAGTAATCAAGTCAGATTAATATGAACCTTGAGTAGTTCCCTATCCCGTATTTAGTCAGGTCAGCCCAAAGAAAGGACCGCTCACGAGCCAATCCGTAGCGTCATGCTCCTGCACCGAGACCTCGTCCGCGACCGTCCTCATCTCCACATAACTTGCCATGACATCGTTGACGTCGGCGAAGGAGATGCCGCCGCCCCAGCCGTGCCGGTGACGCGCGCACAGTGGGCACATGTCATGTCTGCAGCCATGTACGACAATTTCATCCTCATCCATAGACCATGCCATTGGCTTATCTGCACGCGCGCCCAAAGATACCCCACCAGAAGCTCACGTCTTGCGTCTCGTCATCGTCATGCTCGCCCCAGTCGTCTTGGCCATCCACGATCCGTTCCTCTGAGCAAATCAGCGGGTTAGGCCTGCTCATCATCTCATCTTTCAGGCTCGCAAGAAGACCCTTGGTGATCTCATCTCTCTGCGGCACCATGACAAGAACCCGCGCATCTGGGTCCAGGGCCAGTTGCTCATCGATCGCGGTTGCCAGGAGCGTAGGATGGTCGTCGTCGTAGAGAGGGTCTGCCACGATGATGAGCTGATAATGGGCGGTTAGCCATATCAGAACGTCTCTCGCCAGCGGTTTTCTTCTCCTTACCTGATAGCCGTGCAGTGCTCGGAATATCGGGTCGACATCGTCCTCGGCACCACCCCAGGTTAACGGAGCAACGTCTACTCTGCCGCCTCGGCCTTCTACGACTTCCCGGTTGAGGGAAGCGTTGTGTGCCAAATTGGGGATGATGGTGGGTAGATCCGTCAGGACAACGCTTGTTTTCCAGATGCAGGCGGCTGCCAGTCCCAGAAGGCCCGTGCCGGATCCTAATTCTAAAACCTCACCAGGCGGGGAAATCGCGCCCGGAAGAAACAGGTGCGCCAGCGGCCCCGCGGCGAATTCGTGCAGGAGTTGGGCGAGCGCATACGACGAGCCCCATGTCTTGAGACCCAGCGAGTCACCGGTCAGGGGCGGCTCCCTTATTGTCAGGCTGAAGGCGCCACAGTCGTCTTTCTCAAAGGGCCAGCGCCGAGTGATTTCTCCCATAGCTACCGTCAACCACCGTCAACCCCTCTTCTAGCGTCTTCGTCGAGTGCGCCCTTCAGCTAGCCTGCCGACATACCTGTCCGACCGCACCGCTCCGACATGCGCTTGCTTGCCTCGTCCCAAATCACCTCCCGCTCGTCATCGCTGCTAAGCCACGGCAAGCTGCTCTTGACGATGGTGGACAGGAAGGAGACGATCTCCCGACGGTCGTGAATAACAGCGGCCTGCGCCTTGAGGATATCGGCGCGGGATATCTGTAGGTTCCAGATTCGAGGCTCGACGCGGAGCTTCTGAAGACATGCAAAGAGAACATCGAAGGCAGGCTTCTGCCAGAGATGTGGCAGCTCTTCCTCGGGTGGAGGAAGCAGCTGAACGTCCCTCATATCTGGGAGCAATAAAGAGATCCCAACGGATGAGGAGCCTAGAAAATAGGAACGGAGGAAGGAGGAAAAGAGGGATATGTGAGTAAACAAAAATGGAAATCCGGGAACGACGGGTCAGTGTGAGAAAAAGAGAAGCATCAAGAGGCATGAGACTATTTCCAGAGTTTCAGACGTCGAGAAACCTCTGCGGCACTGCTTCCCCTGCCCTTACCACTTGCGGAAAGCCGGCGAGGGCTGCCGGCCCTGGTAAAGCATCCGGGATTCCGGGACCTTCACGTTCCTGGTCCCGGGCCAGTCTTTGGCCCACCGCGGTCTCTGTTTTCCATCGGCCACGATAAGGCGGGAATAGGGTGGAGTGGGGTTCTGAAAAGGTGAACCCTGGAATCCGCTAGGCGCCAGCGACCCTTTGATTGGCTAGAACAACCGCGATGCACGAGAGCCGCAATTTTTCGATGACTCCAAAAAGTCGTTTTGCTGCACCGCTTTCTTCTTTTTCCCTTTCCTTTCCTCGTGAAGCCCCGTCCTCTTCAACGCTGCGTTTCTATGCTACAAACGGAGAGCTTGCGCAAGCAACGCTTTCGACCTTTTTGAACTGGCATATGAGAAATTCGGAGAATCGGCTTCACTCTTTGGCCCGTCCATCAGCGTCCTTGAGGCGTTCGATGGGTTGCGGGCTCTGCCGGTGACGGCTTGGCGCGATCTCGCGTCTGTAATTGGCATCAGAAAAGCAGGGCTTGGGGCCGGCCCCTCCTTACGGGAGGGTGTCGGTTCCCACGGTTCCTCTGGGAGAGCCGTTACGAAGCTTGTGGCGAACACTTGAGTGCAATACGCAGCGTGCGGTCGCTGTCCTCTCGGGGGCGGTGATCACACAATTCGATTCCGATTATTCTGTTGAGGACGAGGCTTCACCAATTCTTTTTTTTCTCAGGTAAGAAGTCGCTTCCATACTCTCCCATTGGGGATAAGGATACTGCTAACGATCATGGGCTCTGAATCAACCACCGCCCGCCACCTCGGCCGACGTTAGCTTTGTGCTGAGCTACCGGCTCTCTCTTAACTACCATGCCTCACCACCATGGTGGTCACCTGCGTCATCCGGGGGGTTATCTGCCGCATTGTCAAAGGAGTAGTCCGGCTCGTGCTGCTGCTCTGCTCTACCACCATCCTCCTCGTCGAACCTCTCGTTTTCTGAGCCCATATCACTTCTCTTCGGCTTTTCCTCCTTGCCCTTTCTTGCCGGGGGTCTCGAACGCTTCGAGAATCCTCCTTCCTGGTCGACAGCTTCATCACCATCTGCATCCGAGTATCAGCACCTGACCGTTTGGCCCACTTTGGGGGCTCTCAGACGGGTCCCCGGTCCAAGTCACTTACAGATCCATGGGTGCTTCCTCCGTTCCAGCAGGCACTTCACTTCTTCGAGCTCAGTCACCAGCTGCTTGCAAGCCAGCCGCTCACTCGGTGATCTTTCGGCAAGGTCGATGATGCCGTCACAGTAGAGGAGCGCCTTCTTGGCCGTGCGGATCTCGCGCTCGATCTTGTATTTGTCGTCGCATGCCTCGTTAAGGGATTTGGCGTTCCTCACGGCGTTCTTGATGGTTGTTCTGTTGTCCAAGAAGCGCGCTGCCGCCCCTTCAAACTTGCCCCTGTCGCGCTTTCCGCGAAACTGGTCCTTGACCTTGTTTCTCCAGACTGTATCCAGTGTGTAGTCCTCGGCCCAGTCCTGGAGCGGCTTGACCTGGCTCTCGAAGCACTGCACAAAGGCTTGGAACATTTTCAGCGACGTGCTCACCTCGTGATGGAGGTTGCGTAATGCAACATCGATGCCGGGGTTTTCTTTCCTTGGCATGCCCAAGGGCTTCTTGCGCTCGCGGGGGTTGTGATCCGAGCCCCGAGGGCTTCCCCTATGGGCATGTCTCTTCGGCGAGCCGGTCCAGTAAGGCATGTCTTCTGGTTGGTCTTCAGACAAACTGAGGTTGCCGACTGAGTGATCTGGCTCGTACATGTAAGGGTCCCTCAGGTCTGGCTTTGTTTCACCAGAACGTCCTCGCAGGTGTGGGTAGTAAGGAGTATGGATCGGGAGACTATAGCCACGAAGATCCATCTCGATTCGGTCACATTTGGATTGGGGTTTGCAGGTTCACTCAAGAGTCACTATATGTGCCGCGAGGGGGATATATCCCCAGTTAGCAGAAAAAGAATTTTTGTTTGGGCCACTGATTGGAGCATCCTTTCACTCGCAAACAGTTTGACTTCCACTTTGTTCTCTGCATCCCAACTGCTCGCATTGTTGTCGTAGAGCAATCTCTAGAAGATGTGCCAATCGATACCTATGCGTATTTGCCTCAGTCAATGCCCACCCTGCTTTAACATTATCATGAACAAGTCTCAGGTAAGTTCTAGCGGTCAATCTGTGCGAGGTATGCAACTACCGCAATGGCATCCACGATATCCTACGTAGAACTTTCCCCGGACGCCAGACAGAACCTGATTGAATAACTCCGCCACGTTACGCGGCCATCACATGCGCACGCAGCATATCATGGCAGGTCCTTGTAACCTGGAAGGTACGGTTAGTTGGTTAGGCCCAGGGGATATACCTATCTGTACCTACGTTGATGAAACTGCGGTCAGAAAATCCTTCGTTTTCGCAACCCTCGGAGTTCTCCACGCCAGCCTCTGGCCGGAAGTGTCGAATCGTCCGCTACGTTATTGTTCTTTACAATCGCAAGCACAGGAGTGGCTACACTGAACCTTGGCTGCGTACGATGCTATGTGGTCCGTGGCGTGAGAGACACACGGTACCCGGGTACCTCGCAGAATGCGAATACGAATCGTGCCCCTGATTGGTTGAAGACTGAGATCTACCCCTGGACCAAGGTAAATGGGCGAAAAATGCAGGAACCCTTTCTGCATCTTTAAATCGGACCTTCCCGCCCCGACAACTGGTATATCTTCTCCTGGCGACAAGATTCGGGCTCCTTCCTCACCACTGGACGGCAGGCGCTTGACTCTCGACTTCAGTCACTCCTTTTCCTCTTTTCTTCCTCTTGCATTTCCCTTGGGAGGATGGGTGTCATCGAGGACCTCGGGGTCCAATTAGGCCCGCTGGCCGACCAGTTCGCGCGCCTTTCGACACCCGCGCAAGTCGGTGCCGCGGTCGGAGGGTTCTTGTTCTTGAGCGTTTTTCTTAACGTCCTGAAGCAGATTCTCTTCAAGAACCCCAATGAGCCGCCTGTCGTTTTCCACTGGTTCCCCTTCGTGGGCAGCACCATCACCTACGGCATGGACCCTCCGCGCTTCTTCAAGGAGAACAGGGCAAAGGTGGGTGGAACACAACGAGGCAGAACAGCACGCACTCAGATGCGTGCAATTGAGTTCGTGATGCTAACTATATACATCTTGACAGTATGGCGACTGCTTCACTTTCATCCTGCTCGGAAAGAAGACGACCGTCTACGTCGGGCCCAAGGGCAACGACTTCATCTTGAACGGCAAGCTCCGCGATGTCTGCGCCGAGGACATTTACACCGTCCTCACCACGCCCGTTTTTGGAAAGGATGTCGTGTACGACTGCCCCAACTCCAAGCTCATGGAGCAGAAGAAGGTTGGTCCCGTGCCCGAACTCCGGGGGATGCAAGAGGGGGCCCATACGTGGCTAACACGACGGTCTGGCAGTTCATGAAGGTTGCGCTCACGACCGAGGCTTTCCGCTCCTACGTACCCATCATCTCGGACGAGGTCATGAGCTACTTTAAGCGGTGCCCCGACTTCAAGGGCCAGTCCGGCATTGTCAACATCCCCCCCAAGATGGCTCAGATCACCATCTTCACCGCCTCGCATGCGCTCCAGGGCAAGGAGATCCGTGATAAGTTCGACGAAACCCTGGCCGACCTCTACCACGATCTCGACATGGGTTTCTCGCCCATCAACTTCATGCTGCACTGGGCCCCGCTGCCATGGAACAACCGCCGCGACCACGCGCAAAGGACCGTCGCCAAGATCTACATGGACACCATCAAGGAGCGCCGCGCCCGGGGCGAGACAGGTGCCCAGGATATGATGTGGCACCTGATGAACGCGACATACAAGAACGGCGCCAAGGTCCCAGACCACGAGATTGCCCACATGATGATTGCGCTCCTGATGGCGGGCCAGCACTCGTCGTCCTCCACCAGCTCGTGGATCATGCTCCGCCTCGCTTCCCGGCCCGACATCATGGAGGCGCTCTACGAGGAACAGGTCAAGAACCTCGGCGCCGACCTTCCTCCGCTGACGTACGAGGACTTGGGCAAGCTCCCGCTCAACCAGGCCATTGTCAAGGAGACGCTCCGGCTCCACGCCCCAATCCACTCCATCATGCGCGCCGTTAAGCAACCCATGCCGGTCCCCGGTACCAAGTACGTCATTCCGCAGAACCACGTGCTCCTCGCGGCGCCGGGCGTCTCGGCCACAGACGCGCAGTACTTCCCCGAGCCAGACCTCTGGGAGCCGCGCCGGTGGGACAGGGAGTCGCCCCTGGCACCCAGCATTGTGCGGAACGAGCAGAAGGAGGACGAGGAAGAGAAGATCGACTACGGATACGGCCTGGTTAGCAAGGGCGCGGCGTCGCCTTACCTGCCTTTCGGCGCGGGCAGGCACCGGTGCATTGGCGAGCAGTTCGCCAACGTGCAGCTGCAGACGATTGTCGCCATGACGGTGCGGATGTTCAAGTTCCGCAACGTCGACGGCAGCAACGACGTCATTGGTACCGACTATGCCTCGCTATTTTCGCGGCCTCTGGAGCCCGCGAATATCCATTGGGAGCGGAGAGATAAGGAGTAGAGTGAAGGTTGGATGGATGGATGAGAGGGGTTGGGATAGTAATGGGTATGCTGTGTATATCTTGGGTGGTTGTTGATGATAAAATATGTCGTAACGACTAGACCGGGGCGCTGAGTTGAGCCAGGCAAGAAACAATACCTAGACGCTAATATTAATGGTTACTTGTCCATGGCCGATCATCTAGCTGCCGTGTTGTTGGCAATGTTGACAGCGTGTTCTGTTTGTGTCAGGCGTTAAGTAAATAGTACATACGACTCAACTTTGTAATCGTGTCCTCATTTTGACGTAGTTAGTAGTTGGTGGACATAGTTTCCCGTCCTCTCGTCGGACTCCCAAATAGGAGAGCGAACTGAATGCATTTTACTAAGTAGCGGCCGCTTTGTTGGTCGCCTCGGAAACCAATCAGCTTATACCGTCCTGTACCCTTCTTCAGGTCTGTTGGTTTCGTATACGGTTTCTCGAAGAGACGGATGCGAAAGACCACGTTGCGGGAAAAGGCAATGAGTCACAACATTTGGGGGGTTCTCGGTCTTTCGGTCTCGTCTCGTCGCACAAGTTCCCGGAGGAGGTCTGGTGCATGATTATATTGTCTGACCGTTTCTTGCTTTGGCAAGCTAGGAGGAGATAGGTAGCAGTTGGGGACTTCTTTGGAAGAAGGTGTGATGAAGACAACACTTTGTCGTCACCTGCGCTCAGTGTGGCTTTGGAGAGTTGGGAGCGTGGCGCTTCTGGGCTGTTAAATATTAAGTGACATGATCGCCGCTGTCTGGGTTATTCTTGTCAGCGGAGGGGAAGGGATAGTTATACTGTACAATACAAGGACGTACATGTTACAGCCCGAGGTGTTGTTGACAATGAGGTCTATCTTGTTCTAACCCGTCTATTGCGTTTCCCTGCATATAAGGTCAGGTACCTCTATGACAGCAATGGCCCATGCCCCACGTAGCCTCGTCCTTGTTGCCCGCGTGGGATCCCTTGCACTCACGCCGCAGAGTCCAACGCACCCGAGAAGGCCATGCCAGCCAGCGGCGTTTCAGCGTGCCCGACGGTCTGCGAGATCTGTCCTTTCTTCTCTGGTCCACTGTCTTCTGGTGTATTCGTTTTTGCAACGGGTCGCTTCCTACCCCCTCGGCGTGGCCTTGTGCTGTAATGTAGACACTCTGTCCACTCTGTCCTGAGGAACCAGGGGTGAGGACTTCTTCCATATAGAGCACTGGTCCCCGTCGATTTGTACCCTTAGTGAAGGTTGCTTGTCCATCAGATAACGAATATCCATGATCCATCCCTGGCCCTTGTTTACTCGATACCAGCCAAAACATCCACCACTTACACACAGACGAGACGAGACAAACAACCTCCTGTTGAAAACTTGGCACCTTCCGATTGAAAAGCCGAAGAAAGCATGGCCAGGAGAACACGCTCAACCAACCAGCTGCCCGTGGGCGTCGGCATCCTCCTCTTCTTTCTCATCTTACTCTGCCCCCTCGCGGCAATCCCGGTTGCCAGCGCCACCACGGTTGAACCAGAAGAGCCCGTCGTCGGCATCGACCTTGGAACGACGTACTCGTGCGTTGGGGTCATGAAGGGGGACAAGGTGGAGATACTGGTAAACGACCAAGGTAATAATGGATTGTAGTATCCCCCGGATGGCCTCGTCCCAGACGACGGCTGATCCGAGACAAGGAAACAGGATAACGCCGAGTTACGTTGCGTTTGCTGAAAACGGTGAACGTCTCATTGGTATGTGTCTGCCATCCTACTTAGCGTCACCCTTACCACCACTTGGCGTATTCGTGCCCTAACAATCTTACGCCCCTTATCAAGGAGACGCAGCGAAGAATCAATATGCGAGTAATCCCAGGAACACAGTCTTCGACATCAAGTCAGCATTCCCTTCTGCCCCTTTCCCCTTCTTCCTGACATGGTCAACGGACGGGGCCACTAACACACGACACTCAGACGGTTGATAGGCCGCAGTTTCTCGGACAAAGCAGTGCAAGCAGACATAAAACACATGCCATTCAAGGTCATAGCCGGGCAAGGGGACAAGCCTGTGGTCGAGGTCGACGTTGGGGGCGACACACGGCGGTTTACCCCTGAGGAGATCAGCGCCATGGTGCTGGGCAAGATGAAGGACGTTGCTGAGCGGTATCTCGGCCAGAAGTGAGGACCTGGCTACCTTATAACCAATATCAACCTTTGTGTGTTCCAATACAAAGAAGAGCCTGCTGCTGACTATCGACAGGGTCAAGCATGCCGTGGTCACCGTGCCGGCCTACTTCAACGACAAGCAGAGACAAGCAACCAAAGATGCCGGCACTATCGCGGGGCTTAACGTCTTGCGGGTGGTGAACGAGCCGACGGCGGCAGCGCTCGCTTATGGCATCAACAAGGTACAGTTGCAGAACTAGGTACCAGTCACCCAAGACGGCCCCCCCAACCACTGACTTGACAACGCAAAACAGATCGAAGGCGAACACCAGGTCCTGGTCTACGACCTCGGCGGCGGCACCTTCGACGTCTCCCTACTAACCCTCGAAGAGGGCATCTTCCAGGTGCTCGCCACGGCGGGCGACACGCGGCTCGGCGGCGAAGACTTCGACAACAGACTCATCAACTACCTCGCGCGGAGTTTCCGAGACAAGCACCCGGAGCTCGACCTCACCGAGGACCCAAAAGCGATGAGCAAACTGAAGCGGGAGGCCGAGAAAGCCAAGCGCGCGCTCTCGTCCCAGCTGTCGACCCGCATCGAGATCGAGAGCCTGTTCCGGGGCATCGACTTCTCCGAGACGCTGACGCGCGCCAAGTTTGAGCAGCTGAACATGGACCTGTTCAGGAAGACGCTGCGCCCCGTCGAGCAGGTGCTGCGGGACGCCAAGGTGGACAAGGCCGATGTGACTGACATTGTGCTGGTGGGCGGGTCGACCCGTATCCCGAAGATCCGGAGCTTGGTGGAGGAGTTCTTCGGGAGGAAGACCAACGGCGGGGTCAATCCTGATGAGGCCGTCGCCTTTGGCGCTGCTGTTCAGGCAGGGGTAAGCACGCACGTCTTCCAACGTGGGACCTCGTTTGTGAGCGAGAGAGGCTGGCTGACGCGGAGAGCTGAAACAGATCCTGGCCGGTGAGAAGGTAAACACCTCGGCTTTCCTTTCCAATGTTTGCTCTGGTGCTGGCTTTTTGACTAAGCTTTTCGATGCCTGCAGGCTGCCATTGGGACCTTGCTCATGGATGTGAATCCACTTACTCTGGGAATTGAGACGGCCGGAGGCGTTATGGTGAGCTCTGTCCAGACACCGGGGCGACACATCGGGTTTCAAACCTAACCGATTCATAGGCGCAACTGATCCCGCGCAATACCCAGATCCCCACGGTCGGTTTGCCAGTTGCTCGCTATCCATCGTCAATATTCTCAGGAACTATAGGCTAACCCGACCCCGATTATAGCGTCGATCCCAAATCTTCTCTACCACGGCCGGTGAGTTTCTTTGCGTTCGGCAGCGAGGCCCGACCCGCTAACAGTCGCACCCACAGACAACCAGCCCTCGGTGATGATCAAGGTCTACGAGGGCGAGCGCACGCTGACAAGGGACAACAACCTGCTGGGCAAGTTCGAGCTAACCGGGATCCCGCCGGCACCACGCGGGGTGCCTCAGATCGAAGTCTCCTTCGCCCTCGACGTCAACGGCATCCTCGAGGTATCGGCCCAGGACAAGGGCACGGGACGCAAGGAATCTATCACGGTCAAGAACGACGACAGCCGCCTAACCAAGGACGAGATCGCCCGCATGATTGCCGAGGCCGAGAGGTTCGCAGGCCAGGACAAGGAGGCTCGCGAGCGCATCGAGGCGCGCAATGGCTTCGAGAACTACGTATTCCGCCTAAACGCCCAGATTGACGACGATGCAAGCGGGCTTGGCGGGAGGATTGACGAGGAGGAGAAGGACACTGTAAGTGCGCCATTCTGAGCCGTCGGTGGTTCTCTTTTGTCGACGAGGCTGATGACGCTCACGATCCTTTGTTACAGCTCCGCGATGCGCTAAGGGAAGCGACTAGCTGGCTTGCGGAGTATGGCGCAACGGCGACGGTCGAGGACTTCGAGGAGCAGAAAGAGAAGCTGTCCAATGTTGCCTACCCCATCACGAGCAAGTTATACGACGGCTCCGGTGGAGGAACGGAAGAGCACGGCGAATCTGGTGGTGACTTCCATGATGAGCTTTGAGAAATTGAGAGCTTGGACTGCAGTGTTTCGATATAGGTAGAGTAGTCTGTACAAAAATAGCACCAATAGGCCGCAATTGATTTTGATGAACTCCTGGCGCCGCGCTGATGTGGTCGTCACAAGTCACATGTGTTCTAGAAAGTCGGGCGAGCGGTGATCGTGATGTGGTCAGAGCTTTATGTGGGGCCGTTTGAGACACAACCTTATTGGCGGGCAGCTTCCCCGGATCACGACTTGATTTTCGGCAAAACTTCGGATTCGCCCCCCAGGCCCAGCCACCATGCCGTACCATACCGTGGCACGCCCTGGCAGCATTAAACCGAACGCCAAAACCATAGCGGATAGCTGGACTGTGTCGAAACAGGACTCTATTAATGATTATGCAGACCAAATACGTAGGTATTGAAAGGAATGTATAGAAACGTAGATGTCTTAAATAAGGTTTGAGTAAGGTTAAAGCAGTGCTGACATTGTATATGTTTTAGCTGTGGTATTGTTTAGAGAGTGGTGACGCATTGTCTTTTGCGTTCGGTTTAATGCTGCTAGGGCGTGCGTGGGTTGCCCGGCATCCCTGGGGCCCTCCTTTCGGCAAGCCCGTGGAGGCGACGATCAATCTGCCGAGGCTCACAAGCCGACTCTGCTGGCCAAGAAAGTCGGCCGTCAACCTTGGCCTTTCTTCCCCACATCAGCTGGCTTTCAACAATTCAGCGACTTTGACCACGGGCGATCCGCCTCACAGGCTAGGCTCTTGCGACTGCGAAAGCCAGCGAGAAAAGATAGTCCGCGAGTGCTTTTCCACCTCAACTGCGGCGACAGCAATTGTTCGTTTGTTGTGGCAGTTCGTTGCCAAGAGGTGGCGTCGTCCCCGGCGACCGTGGACCAGCCTTTCCATTCGCCACCTGGAAACGCTTCTCTCCCCGGCGTCATCGACGGGAAAGTATTGTCAACAACCCCAACAAGAAGTCAGCGCCCGTCGCAGCACGAGCCACGGCACATATCAACCCCGATGGCATCACCACCAAAACCGTGGGAGCGGCAGGGTGCAGGGCCTGGCGCCTCTGGTATGTAGCAATCTCCTTTGTCAGCCATCGCAAAGCTTTCCCAAGTACCGGGCAATTAAAACAACGAGGCAATAGCACCCGCAATATCGGCAGCAGCCGCGAACACAACGACTGCGCCCGCGACAACGGCGGCGGGGGCAGCGACAACAACGACATCGTCTCACACAACCCCCGCGATACCCGCGCGACCAGCCTCCCTGACCGCCTCGGTCAATCAGAACGCGGCGGCTTACAGCAGACCCTACGGGGCCACGCCATACGGGGGCATGGGTGGCTACGGCACAGCCTACTCGTCGCCCTACAGTTCGCCCTACTCCCGACTCGGCGGCTATGGAGGGTACGGCGGCGGCATGTACGGCAGCTACGGCGGCTACGGCGGCATGTACGGCGGCGGCATGTACGGGGGAATGCCCGGCGCGATGCCGGGTCCCGCCGACCCGAACAACCCGGAGAGCCTCACCCAGCGCTTCGGCATGAGCACCCAAGCGACCTTCCAGATGCTCGAGGGCATAGTTGGCGCCTTTGGCGGGCTCGCGCAGATGTTGGAGAGCACTTACATGGCGACGCACTCAAGCTTCTTTGGTATGCCGACAACCTTTCAAAATGAATGTTAAATATTGATGACACGTTGAACCACGCTAACCAAAGCCCCTCCCCCCCGTTAGCAATGGTCTCGGTCGCTGAGCAGTTCGGCAACCTCCGCGACACCCTCGGCTCCGTTCTTGGCATCTTCACCCTGATGCGCTGGATTCGCACCCTGATCGCCAAGCTAACAGGACGACCGCCCCCCGTGGACGCCACGGCCCTGACGCCCGCCGCCTTCGCTCGGTTCGAAGGGCGCCGGAGCCCAGTGCCGGAAGGCGGCCCGCCGAAGCCCAGCCGCAAGCCCCTCCTCTTCTTCCTCCTCGCCGCCTTCGGCCTGCCCTACGTGATGAGCAAGCTGATCCGCTCGATGGCCGCCAACGTGGAGGAGGAAGAGCGGCGGCGCCAGCTCGTCGCGGCGCAGCAGATGCTGGACCCGTCCAAGCTCGAGTTCTGCCGCGTGCTCTACGACTTCTCGCCCGCTGCGCAGGGGCAGGCCGCCGTGCAGGGCGTCGATCTCGAGGTGCACAAGGGCGACCTGGTGGCCGTGCTGAGCAAGTGCGACCCGCTGGGCAACCCGAGCGAGTGGTGGAAGTGCCGCGCCCGCGACGGCGGCATCGGCTACCTGCCCTCGACCTTCCTCGAGGTGCTGCGCAAGCCCGGCCAGCCAATCGCCGCCATCAAGGGCATGCCTGAGAGCGAGAGCAGCAGGGCCAATACGATGACCAGCAGCACCGCCAGCCCGCCCAGCCCGCTGCCCCAAGCCGCTAATAATAACCCCCCTGCTATGCCGTCCACCAAAGTCGGAGACGTCACGGTCGAGAGCTTCCAGAAATCGCAGTTCTACTCGTGAAAGGACCGACTAATCGGCTCATAAGACGGCCGTGCTTGATGACGATATCGTGGCACACCACCACCCCTGCTTTCTCAAAACTGCTTTTAATTCACCCTGCTATAACTTGCGCATGAAGACCCGAAAGGGGGAGGATGGATGGATGGATCTGGAACGATCTGGACGGGATGGATGGATGGGATGAGGGGAAAAGAAAGAACCTGGCGTTTTACGGAGTTTGGAGCGCACATTGCACATAACATAAGTGCTTTGAGGGGGAGACATTTGCTCAAATACTCAGAAAAGAGGACCTGCTGCGGATGAAGGGTGTCCAGGTAATTTCGCAGGCGGGGTTCATCACCCTTCTTTCCTACTTTTTGCATCACCGTATTATATCATGTATAGCGATAGCGATATTGATATGCAGCGGCTTCCTGAAGCCTGAAATGAAAGTAGTATTTGTGTATCCTAGCAGTGCTAGTTTTGTGAATAGTATATTATGATGATTCTCTTTTTCTGTTTTATCCTTGCTGCATCCCTAGTGCATACAACAACAGCCTCACCGTGGATGGACTGCAGAGGACAGACACATTGATGCACCAACGCATTCAAGAGACAAGTCATTGCACCGCCGACACTTTACCTATCGTGCGGTGCTGTTTCTATTGCCGCTCCTGGATCTAGCAAAGCCGAGAGAATTATCGATTGTTATTCCCTCGTGCCTGTAACCAGTGGGTGTAAACTGTTGTTCTGCCCCCCAATGACTCCAATCATACAAAAACTGACCCGAGGAACTCAATATGAACCTAGCCCCTCCCCATTTCTGCTAACTCCTAAAACCAATGAAAAAGAAAGAAAAGTGCGAAAGCAAGGAATCCAGGCACTCTGCACTAACCATGAACCGCTCCGCCCCCTGTTTTTGTTGGTTTTTAGGATTCTTGTTATCTGTTTTTTACCCGGAAGAATTGACTTCCAGAAGGTAGAGGTCGTTTCACGTGCGTTCAAGTCGTAGAAATAAGTAATGTAAAGCAGGGCAGAGGCACCTTGGGATGCCAAATGTGACAGGTTTGGCGCAGGTTGGGTCATCTGGCGCGGAGAACTCTGCCCGAGAAAATGAGAATGGAAGCTAAGGATACCCGGCTCGACTTTAGTGGAGAGTCATTCGAACAGCGCGGGAATCGGCGTGAGGATGCGTTGTCTATGCACAGAGCCCAGCCACGAAGCTTGCTCCGGTATGGTGGCATCATTGGCGATTTGAAAGGTCGGGGGGTGCAAACATGGAAACCTTAAGACCGCTAAGGGCGAGTTTACCACTCATACTCGCCGGTGGCTTTGTGGAAGACGTATTCCTTGCCATTGACGGTGAGCACTCCGTCCTTCAGAATGCACTTCCTGCAGAAAATGATCAGCACTGGGATTTAAGTCCTGGGTAGAATCCAGTCGGGACATACCATTTGTTTTTGACACGCTGCACCTTGTCGTACATGCAGAGCATCATATGGCCCATAGTCTCGTCATCATCATCATCATCATCCTTGTCCTCGTCCGTGTCATCGAGGTCCGAATTGATGGCGTCCTCATCCTCCTCACTCTTGATATCATCGTCACCGCCATCCAACTGGGCAGGACCATCGCCTTGTCGTGGGGCAACAAGGCTGGGTTGCTTGGCAGCATCGTTAAGGGGTACCATCAGGCCACCACCTTCCATCTGCTTCGCGCGCGCCGCGAGCTGCGCATGGAAGTGCTGGTCAATTCTCTCACGGTCCATAATAGGTGGCTGACCAGAGCCACAGCCTTGCGGAAGCGATGCGCCTTCGGCAGCATCGTTTGATCCATCATACTGAGCGTTGGGAAGAGAGTTCGTTGCGCCCGCTTGTGAGACCTGCTGCATACGTTGCTGCACAACGGCTGCAACTCCCTGTCGATACTGCTGCTGAGGGCTCATGTGCTGTGGTGCCTGCCCCTGACGAGTCCCCTGCTGCGCCTGGGCATTGCCGTTCGTCTGAGGGACCATGACACTCTGGATCGCATTGATCGACGCAGCAGCTCGTTGACCGTACTGACTCTGTAGGGCCAGGGCCGCACGCTGCGCGGCGGTGGGGGTGGCACTGGCTGGGTTGTATGCAGGGTGCACGGGCGGCATGCCGGTGCCCGGTTCCTGCTTGATGACTGGCTCGGTGTCAACGAGACCCGGGTCTTGCTTCAGTGCCACGCCGTTGTTGTGGTTGTTGTTGTTGTGGTTGGCGAGCATTGCTCCCGGGAGCGAGAGAGTCTGCGCAGCACCTTGAGGACTCATCGTAGGCTGTGTGTGGTTGGCAGTAGCAGGGGCCGCGCTCGGAGCGGCAGTTGTTGCCGGTCCATTGTTGGCTGGCGCAGCCGCAGGTTGCGGCTCTTGCTTGGGTTCCCATGGGAACTGAGCCACCTTCATCTGCGAGAGTTTGGCTTGCCAGCTCTGCTCTCACATGTTAGCATTCGTTCATTTACCGTTTTGGGAATGTGGAAGGAGGCCCAGAATGTGCCCCACGTGATGCAGGCTGGAAGCCCAATCGGAAGTCAAGGCCGAATGATTGGGCGAGGTTCACAGCGGTTGGGCTGGATTTAAAAAGAGACCCAAAAGTGCTCGGTCGCCCACCCGGCCACCCTGCCTCACCACCCCCTCTTTGCGCTGGAGTCTGGAGTCAAAGGGACAGCCAGCCGCCCAAGGGTAAACAACTCGACACTTGTCGCGCTGTTTGACCGCACTCCATGCCAACATGGAGCGAAAAAAGAAAGGAAGAGAGAATTCAAGCAGAGTTCGCATAGTAACTCTGCAACATATCGGTGATCGAGAGATGATCTTCATTGTTGTTGCGGTCGTGGGAGAAGCGGTAAGAAATGGAGGAGAGATCAAGAGGCTCACCTTTTTTAGGTCCTCCAACACGCCTTCCTCAACGCCATTCTCCTCGAAGTCGACGCGCACCGCATTGATAACCTCGGAGATTATGGTGTCGTAAACCGGTCCGACTGCCACGTTCGACATGGTGATGGATTACTCCGGCCGAGGCAGCGAAGCCGGCTGGGCTGTGTCACGATCCCCGCAGCCGATGCTTCACGCGCGGACCGCCTGCACCCGCCGCCCTGTCGTCCTCGCTAAGACCGGCGATAAAATCACCGGGCTTGCTCTACACCACGTCCACAACGATGACAAGCGACTCGATTCGTGCAGAGAATCCGGGGTGGTCGGTGGACCGGATATCGGAACGAGGAGCAGGCTCGGTGTAATGCGGGACCCCCTCGCACAACGCTCCCCAATGCCGCTTGAAAAAGGTATGGTATGCTATTGGGATCCCTTAAGTCGTCCAAGCACGTAGATGTGCGTAACTCTTTATTTCTAGATGGTAGGGCGCCGTAGCTCGGAATTTCAATGTTGCGCAGTAGCCGGTAGAGACGGTTTTTCTATGGGTGAGATGTATGAGGCAAGTTGTTGGTCGCCGCCAACCTTCCTTTGACATTCAGGTCCGAGCTGCTTAGTCAGCCAAGCTGTCATTGGTCAATGACAGCCGCCAATCCTCCAGCCGGTACAAAGCGCTTTCGCTTTACAGTATGCTATGACCTGAGGGCTTATAAGCAAACAAGCGCATACAAACATAAGACGGAGAGATTTTCTGCGTGGAGCTCGCAGCTTTACTTCTCGCTTTGTTCTATGAGACTTAGCCGGCGAGATGGTGGAATCCCTGATGGTAAACACAGGCCAGACGGCGGATCGGTTTACGGTTGGCACAACCCGTCAATCCAGGCTCTGGCCTGCATAGGTACTGCGCCAATGATACTGGTGGACGATACACCAGATCAAACATGATCCTATTTCTCTCCCGCACGGAGATATTTAATCAAATTATCTACATTAAGCAAAACAATCATGAATTACATAAAATTCTTTACTCCGGATTCCCGTGCGTGCATAACGGGCCCCAGACTTAGCGGATGGTCATCTGGTTGGTCATGGTGGCCTTTCCCGAGGCACCAGCACCGCCAATGCCGGCGCCGGCTCCTGCCTTCTTCTCAAAAATCTTCCAGAACTTCAAGCTTTCGTCGGCAGCTGTGAGAGTGTTAGCATCGCAACTTTGGTCGGATCATGCGGAGAACAAAGGGGGATCCTACCAGCTGTGGCGAGCATCTGACCGTCAGGGCTGAGGCAACTGTGGAGAACTCTGCTCTCGTGCGCGGGGATCTCTACGTTGCGGACAAGCGTAGGGTAGCTCCAGATGCTCAGCGAGTTGTCCGGGAAGCCGCTTGAGCTCACAATCTCGCGATAGTGAGGGCTCCAGCGCAGGCTTGTCACTTGCGAACCGGTGTCGATGCTGTTGACGCGTGCGCCGGAGGTCGTGTTCCAGAAGTGGATGTGGCGGTCGTACGAACCGCCCCCGGTAGCGAGCAGGTTCAGGTTCCACGGGCACCAAGCTAGAGCCTTGACGGCCGCCTTGTGGTTTGTCTTGGTGAACTTGGGAACGGCCAGGGACCGGGCATCCCAAATCGAGACGAGGTTGTCGTTCCCGCCCGTGGCAAGCTGAGCACCGTCTGAGCGCCACTCCAGGCCGCAGACTTCCGAGGTGTGCGAGACGAGCTCGGCAACCTTGTGTTCCGCAATACGAACGTCGTGGTTGAACACGAGCCCGCTCCTCGCGCCGGTCGAGAGGAGGTGCTTGTTCCAGCCCATGACGCCGACCCGTGTGTCATGTCCGAACATACTGCGAATCTTGACGCCCTCGGCAACATCCCAGATCTGTACCTCACCGGTACCGAGACCCACGCCCACATAGGCCCCGTCCCCGGACCACTTAACGCTGCTCACGTACGTATCGGGACTCGTCTCGACAAGACAGCTAACCGAGCCCTCATCTGCCGACCAGACATAGACATTGCGCTCCAGGCCGATGGCGACCTGGTTACCCGAGCTCCAGTCTAGGAGGTTCAGATAATAATCGTCGATAAGCCCGGGAGCGTCCAGGACGCGCTCCGGAGCGGTGGCGATGCGACGTCTAAACTGTGCCGAGCTGGCGTTGGCGTTCTTCAAAGGCCGGTTGTACTGCTGTCGCAGGTCGATGGGCTTGGATGACTCCGGAGGCGCGGGCTTGAACTCCAGAATGCGGGTGTTCAGATTGACACCGCAAGCATTCGCGATTGAGTCCTGGTATGCCACCGTAGTGGGAGAGGGGCGGGGGTGTGACGCGGGTTCCTCGTCCTCGTTGATGTTAAGACCCTCGAGTGCCGCAATGGCATCATCGGTTGCCGATGCAAGGACCGATGACGCCTCGCTGTGGCCAACTCTCGAGCCTGGGCGCTTCTTGTCGCGCATCTCAAGCTTTCCGGATCCGACGTTCGCGATGGCAGAGCTTGCACTCCGGTTGGGAATGAAGCGGTCGGCGTTGTAAGTCACTGTCGTCTTGGAGGCCTTTTGCCTGATGGCAGTTTGCCTCTTCGTCTTGTTGCCGGGTGGTGTCTTGACATGGGCGCCGGTTCCGGTCAGTGCAAAGTCGGAAACACCGAGCTCCAGGGCTTTTCGCGGCGTCGAGACGACTCGCGCAATGTTTGACTTGGGGGACTCTCGGTGGCTCTTGGACTTCGCAAAATGGGCAGCAAGGTTGCCACCATAAACCGACTTAGACACGACCCGCTGATCGTCGTTGCCCGTCCTCTCGGGCGTGTACGGTGTCGAGTTTACGTTCACCGCAGCAGAACGCTGACGCGGGGAAGGAGTCAAGGGCATCCGCCCGCCGGCAGTACGGGCGGAGAAGAGTCCTGCATGGGACTTGAGGGGTGTCGATACAGATGCTGTAGCCATGATTGCCGACTGTGTAGCGGTGGGCAAAAATTGTAAATGTTTTGTGATGTTTCGTAGAAAGCTGGCAGTGTTCAGGATGGAAGTGTGTGTGGAAGGAAGGAAGTGTGAGGCGAAATGGAAGGAGGGTGGGCCGTCACTTTAAATGTTTACTTACCGGCCCGTTGACTCGGCAACGAACGAGTTGCCGCCCCTTCCTGTCTGATCATTTCATGCTTGTGAGCCCCACCGTTGCACCCCCGGACCGCTTCAGCTGGGACCCACACGCGGCGGCTCCCAGGCGGGTGAGGCGGGGCCATCGGCTGACAGTCGGGACTCCGCAAGGGACTGAATTGGTTTAGCGTTTCGGAAGTCAGCCCTTTCGCCCAGAACCGACCGCTGGAGCATCAGGCCATTGCGACAAGACCATCATCACCAAACTTAAACCGCAATCACAGCCCACGAAGACCTGGCTTCCTTGCCACGGACAGCCGCCGGAGAGGCAGCACTGTATTCCCCGTCGTAATAATTCCAGCCGAAGCACGAGCAAACCGCGTTCAACGGTGCTGGTCTCGTCTATCCGTCGCGCTCCCCGGCGACCTAATGCCTGCCTAGGCCTCGTCGCCCCTAGCCTTTGCGCATTCGCAGCCATGGCGCAGGCCCCTGCTACTCCCGCAGCTGGCGTCACCAACAACTCTTCGATTTTTGGCGGACCGGGTCAAAACGGTGCCGGCGCAACCTCGCAAGCCGTCGTGCCTGTGCCCTCGTTCTCGTCCGCTTTGACGCCTGCTTCCGCCGCCTCCTCGAACAACACCTACATCATGCCGAACTCGCCGCTCAAGAACCGCGCTCCCATGGACGGCTACCGCCCCAAAGTGACGCGCACTCTTGGTCAGCGACCGGCCTGCCTTGTCAATGCCTCGGTGACGTATTGCGGGAATAACCAGATCTACGCCTTTGGCGGCTTCGACCAGTACACGGACGAGGTCTACAATCATGTGCTGCGCCTCGACCTGGTCAGCCATCAGTGGACGCTCGTCGACAACTACGGGGATATTCCGGGCGTGCGGATGGGTGGGAACTCCTGCCTTTCAGCTTCGTTGTGAACCTGTGGCTTTTCGCTGACACCTCCCCGCAGGCCACACGGCAACGCTGTACAAGGGCGACAAACTCCTGGTTTTCGGCGGCGAGAACGAGCACCGCACCTACCTTTCCGACCTTATCATCTTCGACCTCAAGACCGCACACTGGACACAGCCGCAGGTCACCGGACCGATTCCCAAGGGTCGCGCTCGGCATGCAGCCGTTCTGCATGAAGACAAGCTATTCATCGTCGGCGGCATCACGGGTCATGATAATTACGTGTTGGATGACATATGCTATCTCGACTTGAAGACGTTCACCTGGTCGAGGTCCTGGCGCTTTGTCGGGCGCTTCGACCACTCCGCGTATATCTGGGGCGATAGAGTGTGGGTGTTCGGCGGCTTGAGTGAAGACATGGACAAGGTTAGCGACCTGTGGTGGCTGGATCTCAAGGGGAACCCAGCTTTCGAATCCCCGCCGCAAATCGGCTCCATCGATCGTTTGGGACTGGCGAGAAACGCCAACTCGCCGCGGCCTCCTTACCAAGCAGCACAATCTTCTATCGTAGGAACATCGGGCTATGCAGCCAACTCGAGAACACCGCAGGTCAATACTCCATCATTCCACCTAAAGGCGTATGCGCCCCCTGCGCCGGGCGCCATCTCTGCTCTGAAATTCGTTAGCGGCCCCAATGTTCCGTCGCAGATGCAGGGCATTCATTTCCACGTCTACTCGTCGGGGACTCTCCTGGACTTCGTAACGCCAGCCGCAACCATCACATCCAAGGACTGCTCACTATCCGCTCTAGATCTGGGCACGCTTAGATGGCAGAAGCTCGCCGAGGGGCGTGAAATCTTTAAGTCCGGCTACCGGTGGCATTATTGCACCATGAATGAGGATGGAACCAAGGCGTGGCTGCTGGGTTGTCCTACGGAGGCCGGAGCGATCGACCTCGGTGCTAATGGCCTCGAGGAATATCTCTCCGACATCATGGAGATCGACTTGCGGAGATATGGCTTCCTGGGCAGCAACCTGGGATCCGAGGCCCGTACAGACCTGGTTCGGCCGTCCCTGCGGACGCGCAGCGTGGAGCCGCCCTCGAAGGGGCTCGGGGCGGATCTTGCGAAACTCTTCGACCAGCCCCCGGAGACTGGCAGCGGCACCGACTTCATCGTCACTGCTCTCTCGGGCGACTACGACGACGAGGAAATCATGGGCTCGGCCCTGATGCACGCTTCAGAGACGGAGGAGGGCAGTCAAACGTGGCTGGCCCCAGACGCGCCCACCTCGCCCCCCATCCACGTCCACCGGCTCATACTACAGGCTCGCTGGCCGCACTTTGCCCGCCTCTGGGCGAGCCAGATGGCCGAGTTCCACACCAAGAAGATGCACATACCGGAGCCCTACAGCGTCGTCAAAGCCTTCCTGTACTACCTCTACACCGACCGCATCGACCCGGCCGACGACGACGCGGAGACGGACCTTTCCGACGTGGCCGGCCTGCTGGTCATGTCCAACATCTACAACATCCCCCACCTCCGGCTCCTGTGTGTCAACAGGCTGAGCAAGGAGCTCGACGTCGACCACGCCTGCATCACCTGGTACTGCGCGGGCCTGGCCAACGAGGAGTGGCTGCGCAAGCGCGCCGCCAACTTCTGCATGACGCACTGGGGCCGCGTGGTGCGCACCGCCGGCTTCCAGCGGCTCCCGCGCGCCGCCCTCGTCGAGCTGTCGCAGGAGGTCGACATGGAGGGGCGTGTCGTTGGCGGCGACGAGCTCGACATGATCGTCGGCGGGTTCGGCGACGGCGCGTCGGCTGTGTCGCGCCGCAAGGAGAGCGTCAGCAGCAACCAGACGCAGATGCTCGAGACCGAGGACGATGAGGACGACGGCATGGAGATGTCATAGATCGGCATTCGAGCGAGGAGGAAGCATCGTCATGCGCCGCGGCAAGCGCGAAGGGTCCGGTATCCTTCCTTAGAGCAAAGCCAGGACCGGTTGTGGTTGGATTCGTAGACGCAGGAGAGTAGCTCGTTTTTCATTGGGACGGGGGGACATCTAGGTGGCACGGGCGTGGAGGATGGGAAGTGTCCCCCTTTTATTTTCGCACGCTCAGGGTACAGGTAACATGTTACAGTAGGCTACCAGGCATTGCGAGGCGTCAATGGAGGTGTGGGGTGGGACGGGGGCGTTTTGGCTCTTTCGCAACGGAGATGAATACTCACATGCGTTGTCTTCCATTATTAGGACCAGGACCCGAGCCCTGGATGGTGAATGAGCTGGACTCGTTCTCTCTGATCCCTCGCGGTCGACCGAGCCGAAGTAAACTAGTGCTGACCACCCTAATTCCCTCCCAAAAGAAGAATGCTGTACACAGGCCATGAATGTCAGCCAGACTGACCTCCTTGCACCTGCGAGATTCGTTGGACTACTAATAATAACTCATCGTATCCTTCTCTTCTCTTCTTTCTTCGGCTGTCTCTCCTTCTCTTTCTTTCCCTCCTTCCTTCCTTCTTTTTTTTCTACTCGTTTTCCTTCTCTTCTTCTCTCCGCTTACCTATCTTCTCCTGTTCTGTGAACTGATGATCTATATATGCCCGACCCGTTGTTTAAACTATCCGCATGTGGAGGTGGTTGTTGTGCAGCTTCTGCTACCCTTGATGTCACAGCCGAAGATGCGAACAACGTTGACGGAAAAGATGTGATGGATCAAAACGTCTATATCCTAAGGTATACTTTTCCCTTCCCTTCATGTACACAGCCCTTGTGTCGTCTTCCGTCGTCAATTTTTAGACCCCCAATACTTTTTTTTGGCCCCCAATCCATCATCAACCATCTTGCAGGATATTCCAGTGAAGAAATATCATCATAACCGATCTCGATGTGCCAAAATAAGAGAACAGATGATTTCATCAGCAGTCAAAACACACAGTAGTGGTTGGCACTTGCCAAACTACTTGATCGAGAAATTAGTAATTAGAAACGCTGTAAAACATTCAACGCACTGTCCAGCCTGATCCGCCCCGTGTGGTTGGGTTTCGATGACGCCACTCTAGAAGTACGCGCAAACAAGCAACCCTCCGTCCCACCCCGCCCCCCACCCTTTTTTTTCTGATCCCGTCTGTCCGGCCTCCAATGCTGTTGTTGTCTAATGCGATGTCGATGCGCTCATCCTCCTGCTACGGACCTCCTCACTCTTATCGTCGTCTCAATGATGGAGTGGAGAGGAACGAAAGCACCGTCTTCGACTCGGAAGAGCGAGTCATGAAATGAATGTCGAAGCGGTTGTTCTTCGATCCGAAGGGAGGACCCCGTTTTTCGCTAAGTCGATACTGCTGGAACATGCCGTAGCCCTTCTCATGCCTCCGTTCCATCTCTTTCCGCCCCCTTTTGCTTGTTTTCTGGCGCCTTACCCCAGAATACCATGCTGACACCACCGAGACGTACCAGTCTGAACTGCCATTCTATGAGGGTATCTGGCTGTGGGCGACCAAGTCCAGCCAACGCCGCTCGCATGCCAAGTGCTGGGAACAGAAACCCATGTCCAAACGGGGAGAAACGCCGACCTATATGCCGAAAAATGCGGATCCTGAGCCGAATCAAGGAAAGAGGGGGGTTTTCGGTGGCAAGGGGTGAAAACGGTCGTCTGCGAGCTTCGTTGCGTCGTAAGACGAGACATGACAAGAACGCAGATGACTCTCCAAGAACGCCGGGACAGCGAGAACACCTGAAAGTTTATGCCAACACCGCTCAGCGACAAAGTCCGTAACAGCTTTCGGTGGAGAGAAACGATCCGTAGATGCAAGAATCGTTCGGGTTCTTGCCGTTCAGAGCATCGTGTCTTCGTTGATGTTGGGCAGCCCCTGCTGAAGCGCAAGGAATGTTGCGGGATTCTGCATCATGGTAGACAGGAGAGATTGGTGTTGAGCCCGGAGATCAGGATCGCACATAGGCGAGTGTTGTTTGTGCTATAAGGGTGTCAGCAACGCAACTCTCGCATGATGCATGAAATCCTCTCAAACTTACGTATTTGAGTCCATTAAGATTCTTGTACCGCTTCCCACAGACGTCGCACTTGTGAGGCTTCTGCTTCTCCATGCCTAGAGTCCCGGGATATGGAGTACTGGTCTCCGGGTTAACGATAGAGAAGGTGCCATCTCCGTTTTCATGGAGTTGTTGGGTGGAATGTCCGTGAGTCTTATGGTATCTATTTCAAGCTGTCAGTCAGTCATGCAACAGTGCGGCGAGGGTTCGGCGCCACCCCAGTGGAACAAGGAGCGCGGTTGACGGAGCTCGACTTACTTCAAGCCGTTTTGATTCTTGTATGCCTTCTCACAACCAATGACGGGACATCTGAAGGGCTTATGCTCTTCGGCGGGGGGCATCATCAAGGCCGTCATCTGCTGTAGGATCAAAGCGGGGTCGGTCCCGGCTGGGAACTGGCTCAAATCCAGGTTCATGGCCTGTAGATGCTGCTGTAACTGTTGCTGCAGCTGGAGTTGCTGGTCAAGTGCTCGCTGCTGGCTGGTCATCTGAGTAGTTCCCCCGGGACTGAAGAGACGCTTGGCGGGGTCATCGATGGTGCCCATGGCACCGAAGGCCAGGCCTCCCAGTTGCGAGCCACCCAGGTTCATGTTCCCAAGATTCATCCTCATCGGCATGCCAGGAATTTCGTCATCGTCATCACCGTCGCCGTTCTGAGAGAACGGGTCTCGTTGCGGTAAGCCTTGCTGTGTCGCCAGAGTAGGTGTGTTGACTGATGAAACGGTCGGGTTGTTTTGGAAGCCAAAGCTAACAGCCGCTGGTGTCGGAGGCTGCGAGGTTCGGAGCGCTTGGTGAGGAAGACCGGAGCTGTTCAGATGCAGCTGCGGCCGCTGTTGCTGCCCAAAGAGTTGGCGTGTTTGCTGGATTGTCCGCGTGTTGTCGTCCATGTCCATCGGCCCAACGGCCTCGTCCAGTTCCATATCGCCCACCGCATCCATCTCGTCATTCATGTGCGACAACGAACTAACCCTCTGCGACGACGTCGTCGCTTGCTGCTGCTGCTGCTGCTGCTGCTGTTGTCGCATCATTTGGCCGATGCCGCCCATCCCCATGCCCAGGCCGACTTGGCGCTGCTGCGGAAACCCTTGCAGAGACTGTGAAGCCTGCTGCGTTCTCCCAGCAGACGGCACAGCTGACCCCGCACGACTAGCGGGGCCGCGAGAATTGGCTTGAGGCATACCGAAGGCGTCCCTCGACGCGGTGGGCGTCGCCGTTGGGTGGTGGTTCTCTTCGTAGTGCTGGAGGAGGTCATGGAGTGTCGGCCATGTTCGGTCGCAGCAGGTAAAGTCGCGCATGAAGCTTGCCTCTAGCCTAGGGATGTACGAAGACGAGTGAAACGAGGAGGACTGATTGTTAATGTATGGCGAAGTGCCTGTCATCACCATGCTGCGCGAGACGTATTAGCTCGTGCTCCCGGGAAGAGCGAACGGGTAGTCACCGCTGGGCGGCACAGAAACATGAGATGACAGCGTTCCTCCGAGGTTCCGGCGGCGTTGCGCGGCCCAGACGGATCCGAGACAAAGGCAATGCAGTGGGGGACTGGAATGAAGGTGCGACGAGAAAAGGCAAGCTTACTCTTCCCGGATGAAACTCCCGACCGAAATGCCTCCCCAGCTCATTCCGCCCATCATGCTACCTGCAAGGCTTTCGCGCCGACCGCGGTTGGCATGCTCACGATTGGGGTTGGTCATCGAGATGGGCTTTGCGCCTGCGCTGACGAACGAGTCCTGGCGACTGCGGCCACTGGCCGAGCCGAGATCGGGGCCGGTCGTCATGGCGTCGGCGTCGGCGTCGGCGTCGATAACGAGGTCTGCGAAGTTCTCTAAGCCGTGGTCGGCGTCACCAAGCTTGTCGCAAATGCGGCTGTTGTCGTCGCCCGCACACCAGGCGGATGCGGGAGAATTTCTGTCGGAGGTTGCGATAGCAATCCAGCGGGGGGCCGGGTGGCCAGAGAAAGCCGAGCTGGGCGTCGACGGCTGAGATGGTGAGGGTGAGCGCGATGAGTGGTTGAGAGGAGAAGGCGAATCAACGGCTGGAGCCGTAGTAGGCGAGATGTGGTTGCAACCAGAGGTCTTATTTCGATAGGCCCCAGCGGGCTCCGCTGCCTCGGGGCTCCTACTCGAATTAAACAACGCGCCCCAGGAGCGCCGCATGGCGAACGAGGGCCGAATGTGGATAACTAACGCTGCCTAGCCTCGGATGCGGATGGAACCTAACCTGCCAGTGGCAGAATCGACGGGGGTTCCGGACGGGTGCACAAACGGAGTCGCCACCACTGAGCGCCAGCACCCAACACTCAACAATGAAAATACCTACTTCAGAGGAGATGCGAGAATTGCAGACCGAGTTGCAAGTGTGAGGTACTAGTAGGTGAAGGACAGGAGCAGTACTAGGTAGGTTGATAAGGCAGATAGCCCTTGTGCGGGCAGGAGCAAGTGGAAGGCACTGGACACATGCGAAATCCACCGATGTGGTCGCCGCTTCCCATTTTAACCTAGCTTGGAAGATAGAGGGGGCGTTCCTTGCGTCTTCTATGACCGCTCTATGACACGTTGAAAGCGACTGTGAAAGGTCTGAGCACCGAGGATACCTTGGGTAAGGTTGGAGGGAGGAGGGTTCGCAGGCTCCACGTGAACAAAATAATGGGGACACGATTCACACCACTCGGGGGTCGATCTGTCTCCGTTTTTTGCTCAGGTGGAGGCAGACGACCTCGACCACCAACCTGGCTGGCCTGGATCTCGAGCGTGGAAGGAGTGGAGCCCGGCTTTAACGTGACTAGAATTCGCCCCGACATGGAGGCACCAGAATGCCAATGCCAGAGCCATGCGGCCTATGCGAGACCGTTCAAGGTTCGGTGCACTACACCATGTGGAGCGAAGAAGTGCCGGCGGTGTCAAGGAGCCGGGATGGTGCGAGTTGTGATGGAAGCTCTGAGAACGGTTTGATTTCATACACAGTAATAAAGGGACAAGTACAATACACTACAACTACTAACCTCAGGTTTGCAATATGGGGCAAGGCAATTTAGTAGAAGGATGGTAAGGGGAATGTGTGATACGACATGGATACTACCTAGTACTATGGGTCGGTGCTTAACACTATGTAGTCTGGCGGCTTTCAACCTGTTATCAACTTTCCGCTGTAACCGCTGGGGTCAGGTCTCCGTTGATGCCTACATCAAGCAGTGATGTGACTAGGTAGGTACGATCGGTAGATGTAGATCACGCACGTAGGTGGTACTGGCATCGCAATGGGCTCACCTCTGACTTCTTCTGCTGTTTTGCTTTCCATTCTGCTTACAGGAGACGCCTAATGTCAACCCAAGAATTGGGAGAAGAAGCCCTGTGGATGAACTGCGTCTCGGAGGATGTGGTCAACCACCCGAAGGATGTCCCGGCCAGTCAAAGTTCTAGCCTTAGTCGGTACGGATACTGGTGGCCGCACTGTCGCAGTGCCAGAGGATTGGATCCTTCTTAGTTCCACTTGAACCCGGTACTCGGGCCAAAGGACCGGTGAGTGTGAATTACATTACGTCAGTATGTATTTACAGTGCCTCACCTCGAGACCGCGCGGCGAAAGGCACCCCTTATTGACCAATGGAACACACTCTTGCTCCTTTCACGTTGCCCCTCTGAATCTAACCACCTCTCTGACCTCCGAGCAGATAGCTAAATGCAAACACAATACGCTGGCTATGAGTTGAGGCTGCCGCGGCTTTCCGGCTCAGTGGGGTACTATACATATATAAACGTAAGTAACATACATTCGATACCAGACTTTTTCGTTACATACATAATGTAATACTGTGTGGGTCTCTGCGAAACAAGGCAATCCATACCGTAGATCTACGCCACGTGTAATTTGTACGTACTATACATACGGATACATCCGTACATGGACTAGCTGAGTGCCACCTCAAACAAGATGCCAGGGTGAGCGTTGGGTGCTGTTGGGAACGAGACTGCGTCGAGGCTGACCAGTCTGAATAGAGTCAGGCCTCCGTGCTAGAGGCAGAAAACGGGTTGAGGAACCGCCCACGCGCCCTGGGGTACATTCGATTCTCACGGTATTTCTATACTGTAATAGTTGTACTACTAGTAGTACGTACCAAACGCTAACCCCGCAGGTTCAACCAAGGATGGACTCTGCGCAGCTGCATTAGAAGCGTCGCAGAGTTTTGCCACTTCCACATGTGGTTTCAACCCAAGGGCTAATAAGCGCGACGATCACTTCTTATAACTACTAGTACTCTCCTTGGACACCACATGCAACCCGCATTGAACCTCATGCTTCCCGGACAGGCAGTTAAGAGTAGCATACTCCCTTATTACTTCGTTGCTGTAGAGTGGTACCCTGACTACCTACTAACCAAGGTCCCCAATGAGTCACGCATCAAACTGGAACTCGTTCCAGCTGGAAGTATCAGCAAAGCAGATGTGTAAGATGGCGGTCTACTGTGTACATTCTGTACATACAGGTAGTGCTCGTCACGGCTCCACCACACAGAGTTAGTTCGATCTACGCTCATCGCCGTAACGTTATGCCGTCAGCAACATGACCGTCGTTTGGCGCCTCCAAGCTTGACTTTTGCATGTATCGTACTAGTGATTAAGACAGAGCTGAGAGATGAGTATTAAGGGAGTGATATTATATAAGTGTATGCGTGGCATGTCCCTAGACGTTTGCGCTTATACTAAGTATTATTAGCTTCATAGCTTAGGCGTGGTTTTCTGTAGTGTACGGATATAAGTTAGAGAGGCGAGGCATCGCGAGCGCCTGCTCCACTATAATTCCGTGTAGCGAGTGAGGGCTCACTTCCCCATCAGTTCCACCAGAGGCTGTGACACTCAGTGCTCTCGGCGGCCGAAATCTGGTGAGCCATGCACCTTTCTCCCGAGTATTGGCTTGACAGTCATTCTAACGGCTCGCCTTCCAGAATTTGGAGAGGATCCTATATAGCTGGTAGGCGTTCCGAATTCACAACGACGTAGCCATCATAGTACCGCAGCGACCTCTACGCAGTACGTCATGGTCTCCGTTCTGATATGAAACCCTAACCCGGAGCTTCGCTAAAGAGTGCAGTGGAGAAAGGAGTTGGCGAGCTCACCCACCTCGTTGCGACACGGCAACTCGTCACGGCATCCCTCATGATGCGAACGTTGGATGTCTCACGAACTTGATACCGTAGGTACGTCTCCCGAAGTCGATTGTTCGGCAATACGTCCCCAATAATGTGTATGTCGGACCTGAATAGATATGTCTGCTGCACACGAACACAATTTCTATTACAAAATAAGGTACTTGGACTTCTCCGCGGCAGAGGGAATGCCCGGCCGGGTCTCGCCGAGAGACGCGCGAAAATGGGTCGCTATACTCCGTATCGGGGCCGTTGAAGGCCGGTGCCGCCCCAAATATCTGGATTGAGCTTACACAGCCGATTTTTCGATTATTAAACGCCGTCAAACAGTCGATGTTGGAGGCACACATGAAGTAAGAGTTTCGGAATGATCCGGCTTCAACTTAATTGTAACGGCGAACAGACGAGCAATGTTGTTGCGTTCGGCGTCCGCCCGGGATTCTACACATTAAGGCTTGGTGCAAACGCCGAAGCTTTAATAAGGGTCCTGGCCTGTGCGTGACCGTCGCGGGGAAGACTCGGTGTTTGCCTCACCATTGGACATCTGACATCACCATTGCCTGGGCGTAAAAAATTGCCCGTGGTGTCATCCCATTCGCGTCCAAGGGCTCATACTTGATAACCTGGAAAACCTGCAAGCGCCATCCTTCTTCTACTAGGCTTTGTAGCAGGCCTGTAATATTTAGGTATCGCAGGGAAACCGATTCTGCCAGGTCCCTTTCCTACACTCTTACCGATACTATTCTCATTTCTCAACCGTGATCTCAGTCATCTCGGCTCCACCCATCCCGTAGTTCCGTCTCGGACCGCTGGCCTGAAGCGTCATACGATTATTTTCCGCACCAGCGCACTCAGCGCCGCAAACCCATCATAAAGCAACCGCGGGGCCTTCTCGAACATTACACGTTAGCTATTCTGATATTCGCATATCTTCGCGCAGCCACCACACCGTCACATCCCTTTGCTATAGCACTCGCGAGTCGCCAGGCAAGATGAAGGTCATCAGCAAGGAAGAGGAGCAGGAGCACTACGGCCAGGTGCTCCGCGGCGGTTTCATCGGCGGCAGCGCGGGGCTGGCGCTCGGCCTAGCTGGTGTATTGGGCGCGTCGCGGAGGTACGCAGCCTTCCGGTCGCTCACGCTCCCGTTCCGGACGTTCCTGGTCTCGTCCGCCGGCACGTTCGGCGCCATCGTTGTCGCCGAGCGGTACAGCATCGCCTACCAGCGGTCACGCGACCAGATGAACAACTACCTCGAGGCGGCACACCGCCAGCACGAGCAGGCCCGGCGTGCCGGCAAGACCGAGTGGCAACGCATGATGGACTGGGGCCGCGAGCACCGCTACAGCATCGTCTTCGCCAGCTGGCTTGCCTCGATGGGCATCGCGCTGGCCATGGTCGGGCGCAACAAGTACCTGAGCACCAGCCAAAAGGTTGTCCAGGCGCGTGTGTATGCGCAGGGCCTGACGCTCGCCGTGTTGATCGCCACTGCTGCCTTCGAGACTGCCGATGCCAAGGCCGGAAAGGGTCGGTGGGAGACCGTGATGGTGGTCGACCCGAACGATCCAACCCACCAGCACCTGATCGAGAAGAAGATCCACAAGGAAGAGTACGAGGGCCAGGACCTCTGGAAGGGTGCGCTACTCCCAACCTATCCTCTGGATTTGTCTGGAATTCTGTGAGCGAAAGCTAACTCATGTATTAGAGATGGTCGCCGCCGAGGAGAGGCGTCTGCAGGAAAAGAAGCAGCGGGAGGCCCAGACAGCCAAGGCTGAATAGGCGAACGGAAGCTTTGCTGACTTCAACCATGTCGGGAACTTGTGGATAGGGAATTCCTGAGAGGCAGGGCCCCTGCATTCAACACTCCGACGCGTATCTTACGAACACACTCTCTTCTCTCTTGCATTAGACGGCGTTCATCGGTTTAGCGGGTACGCAAATCATACAAAAAGCGTATGGTATTGTTGGCGTCAATTGTTTCCTTCCCATTCATGTATCACTATTTGGGGCGGTCCCGTGGAGCTGGTGCTAGCTTTGCTGGTTACCTTAGTCAATCATAGAGGCTAGGGGTGAACGGGACGACGGACGATGGATGGGCGCACCAATCAGGGAATCTAAAGGAAAAGAAAGAAAGGCAGATGGCGGTACTGTTTCAAGCGTTGTCAAAACGCTGTTATAGATTGTCATGACTCGTAGAGAGGCTTGGAATAGACATCTAAGACGCAGATTCAACCAATCCTGTCCACCCGCTTCGCTTTTTTGGACACCTAGACCCGCGACGCCGTACTTGTTTGTACCAATGCTTGCCTCCCGCCTCACCACCATCCTTCGATACCTTAAACTTCTTATCTCTTTCGAACAAACATGACGCTCCGTGGCGTCAGGCGCAAAGCCGAGCCTAGACCTCAATGGTGAAGTGGCTGATCTGCGAATAGTACGCATGGACAGCGAGCTCGAGAATCCACACATCGCCAAACACTTCGCTCCCGTCGAACCCGCCGATCATCAACAGCCGGCTGTCGTGCAAGACAGTACCGTGGTAGCCCCTGCCGCTGGGGGCCGCCCCGTAGACCCTCCGCTTGTCCCAGGTCATGGTGACCAGATTCAGCAGCAGGACGTCGTTGGAATACTCGTTCCCGTCGTGGCCGCCAATCACGAAGAGATACGACCCGACAATAGTGGCGGTATGCGACAACCGCCGGAACGTGACGGGGATGCTGACTGCTTTCCAGACCTGCGTCTCCACGTCGTACACCCACACATCGTTGAAGCACTCCCCGCCATCCGAGCCGCCGTATATGATCAGCTTGCTGCCGACCATGTTCGCCGTGTGGTAGCCCCGCGCCTTCGGCCGTGCATCCCTGCCACCGGCCGGTGACCGGCCGTCCGCCGAGGACGGACCCGAGATAAGCTTCCATGACATCTTGTTGGTGTCGCTGACGTCGAGGCGCCAGATGTCGTTGAGCGCCCGCACGCCGTCTCCGCCGCCAAACACGTAGATGCCGTTCTTGTACAGGCACGCGGTGTGCGCCCTGCGCTTCGACGGCACCTTGTCGCCCAGGATGCGCGGCTTGGACCAGCGGAAGTTGACCGTGTCCAACACGTACACGTCGTTGTAGTACGCCGGCCCGTCGCCGCCGCCAAACACGACCAGCTTCTTGCCCACGGCCGTGCAGGTCATGGCGCGCAGCGGGACGGGCACGTCGCCGACCACGTGCGGCGCCGACCAGTGGAAGGCGTCGGCGTCCAGCACATACAGCGCGTTGAAGCAGGCGCGCGAGTCGCAACCCCCAAAGACGTAGACGTTGGAACCCACCAGCGTGGTGGTGTGCGCGCGCAGCGCCGTGTGCGGCGCCCCGGACACCGGCGCCCGGCTCCAGTACATGCCGGACGACGGCGCCGGGGGCACGTCCGGCGCCGTCTTGGGGTTCGCCAGCGGCGGGAACGGCGTGTACAGCTCGGCCCCCTTCGCCGGAGCGCCGCGGCCGGTGCCCAGGCGAGCTATAACGCCCGATCCCGGCCCCACTGTTCCCGGCCGGCTCGCGATGGCGGACGTAGAACGCACCGCTGTCGGTCGCCGGGCGGTTTCCTTGCTGCTGCCGGCCGAGTCGTGCCGTTCCCGGCCGGCGGAGGATCCATCTCCATCCTCGGCGATGCTGGGCTGTCGAGTCGAGGAGGGCGTTGGCGTCTTCGTCGGCGGGATGGAGAAGGAGGAGGTCGCGGTGGGGAGGGAGGGCAATGAGACCCCGGATGGGGGCGGAGACGGGACTGCGGCTGTCGATTGCGAGCGCTGACGTACGGCGACGTCGGCGAACTTATATCGGCGATCCTGGCTTTTCGATGCGAGGTGGCCTGGCGTGTGTGATCGCGGTATCGGCGGAGCTCGGTCCTCGGCTTCGGTAGCGTCGTACAGCTCAGAGGCTGGCGGCGAATACGTCTCCGTGATCTTCTGCGACCGCACAACCTTGATCGGTGGCCTTTCTCGCCCCGCTGCTGTGGCCTGATCAGCCATCGTGGGGTTGAATGGTCATCTCCCAAGCATCGACAAAAAAGCGACGGGCGCGGGCAGCGGCGCAGGCGGGAGACGGCTGGAATGTCGTTTACGTTTTGATGCTGGTGGCCCACAGACCGGGAGCTGATTCCTTCAGGTAGCAAGCAACTGCAAGTCTGCAAATGAGAACCTCCGGTGGAGAAGTTATGCAGCTTGTACGCGGTGTTGTCTATTACCATTAGCAGCTGGTAAGGTCTGTTGGTGGCCTTATTAGGGATGGGGCAGGAGCTGCGAGGTACGGTTGGATCGGTGGATGGCACAGGAGTTCCGTTGCGGCAGTTCAGGCGGATGGGCAGCTGCCCAGGATGGTTCGCCCTTAGCTGAATGGCACCTCAACGTTGTGCTCGGGTCTGTCTGCCACCCCCTGTAATAACAGTTGGAGCCGCTAGTCCCCGCGGGACCTTGCTTCCCGCACTCTGCCCAGTTCGTCATCATCCCATCTCGTCCTGACCAAGCAGAGCTCGAGCTAACCCCCACACACATCCATTGTCTCATCCTGTCGGCTCTTCTTTCTGTTACCGTCCACTACGCCACTGTAGCTCTAGGCACATGCGCTAGTAGGTACGGTAGTAGTATAGGTATGCGCTGCATGATGACATGGACGTGCATTGCGAACCGGGAGATTGGCCATACTTGTCTACCTAGACTAGGTAGGTACTAGTAAATAAGGTAGTTATGGAAGAAGGACAGTACCTAAGGTACCTAGCTGGCCTTGAATGATCTTTTTTTCCCCTCGGTCACTTTACAGACATTCTATGTTCGCACGGTGTATCCCAACACCTCAGGTAGTTAAGTAGCATGGATCATATCTCGTTATTCGTGAGTCGCGTGCTCGTTTCTCTAATGGAACTTGTAAGACCCGAGTCTAATAAAGTGCTGTGACGGGCCGTTGAGCAGCTTGAGCTGCCATTGAGCCGAGAAAACGCTCGAGTTGTTCCTGGTTGTCAACGGCACACAAAACCAGTACGTCCACTCATTGCCACCCCGCTGTGGGGCTAGTTACCGTATTATTCTTTCACTCTCGACCGGCATCCAATTACATACATTCCCTTACAAGGAATTTCGTCGTGAGACCTGAGCCTCAATATTTCACCGGCCTTTTTTCCTCACAACTCCACGACATATTAGGCCTGTCGTCCCATACCGTTCAAGTGAAAGGCAGTGGTTATGGAACCAGGGTCGGTGAAGCGACTGCAGGAGGCCAACGGGCAGCCAACTGAGACGCCCAATTCGCCAACGAACAATGAGCCGGCCTCTAAGAGAATGAAACTCGAAGATCCATCCCCAGCTTCTGCCGATGAAGTTCAGACAAACCGAAGGCCCCGGGTAAAGGGAGTCGCGCCCATCAAGGAAGAGTAAGGCCCTCCTCATGACGCCCGCTGATTAGGACATTAGCACCACTGACACCCCAACCTCAGATATCTCATCTTGGCACCGGGCCAAACAGCGCAGCCCGGCGGACCGGCTGCCATTGATGATGATGATGCAGCCGAAGGGCGGACCGCATTAGAGACCCATGAGGCCCAGCAGAGCTCAGGGAAGAATGGGAAACGGAAGAAGGCAAAAGGCCAGAACAAGGAGAGAGAGTTTGGCAACTTCCAAGACGCCCAGCGCCTGTGCAACTCGGTCGCGTGGACCCCCGAGTTTTCCCCGCGGCCCTGTAAACACGGTGACCGCTGCAATGTTCTCCACGACATCCGCAAGTATCTAAAAGAAGGTCGACGCGCCGATCTGACCACGTTTGGCGGCAAATGCCCGGTCTGGGAGAAGTACGGCAAGTGTCCGTCGGGCTGGCGCTGTCTGTTTGTCCAAAGTCACATGGACGAAGTCAAGCATGAAGACGGACGGTCGGAGCTAGTTCTGGTCAGCCGAGCTAGTCCTGACAACCAGCCGGTCGAGGGGGAGGGGGAGGAGGAGGCCGGCGAGGTCAGGCCAGGGGTGGTCAACATGGTGCCGGTAGGTGTGAAGATCGACTTGTCCAGGAAACGAATCGCTCTGGATAAGTCCGACCAGTATTTGGACTGGCTTACCAAGGATACCGAGCGCTACCGACAACACTATCACAGGCAGAAGGACAACGAGGACGAGTCAGCGGACTACCGCGCGCAATATGTCGAGCCTCCCTTCAAGCCGTCCGAAAAGAGGAGAATCTACTTTGGTCGAGAAACGCCGGTCCTTGCGCCTTTGACGACGCAAGGCAACCTTCCGTTCCGCCGTCTCTGCGTCGAGCTAGGAGCTCAGTTAACGTACTCGGAGATGGCTTTAGGGTTGCCCTTGCTGCAAGGGCAAAAGGCCGATTGGACGCTGATGAGGGCTCACGAAACGGAGGTCACACCCCCTCGCTTTGAGCCCAGCGGTCCGGTTGTTCAAGGCTATGACAATTCTCAAGACCTCAAATTCGGCGCCCAGATCGCGGCAAATGTCCCCTGGATCGCCATCAAAGCTACCGAGGCGCTATCTCGATTCCTGCCTCATCTCCGTCTAGTCGACCTGAACTGCGGCTGTCCCGTCGATATGGTGTACAAGTCCGGAGCCGGCTCTGCCCTTCTAGATGCCCCCTCGAAGCTGGAGAGGATGATCCGGGGCATGAACGCGGTGTCCGGGGAAGTACCGGTTACTGCCAAGATCCGGATGGGTGTCAAGGACGACAGGTTTACCGCCCACAAGCTGGTTGAGCGACTGGCGCTAGGGAGCGAAGATATGCGCAGCGTAGTTGGCGCACCTGGGTGCGCGGCTGTTACCCTACATGGACGAACAAGGCAGCAGCGGTACACCAGGGCCGCTGACTGGGGTTACATCGCCGAGTGTGCGGCTCTGATCAAGCAGTACAATGAGAAGAGCGACAGCTTGGTCGACACGATCCGGGAAGCAGACGAGAGCACGCTGCCAAACGGTGGGAAGATGTACTTCCTGGGCAACGGCGACTGTTATTCGCACGTCGACTACTTCGACCATGTCAACAACGCCAAGGTTGACAGTGTGATGATTGGCCGAGGCGCACTCGTTAAGCCATGGGTCTTTGAGGAGATTGAAAAGGGGCAGTATCTGGACAAGTCGGCCTCGGAAAGATTGTCGTATATTGAGAAGTTTGCCCGCTACGGCATGGAGGCCTGGGGCTCGGACGAGCTTGGCATCAACTACACGCGGCGGTTCCTTCTCGAGTTCCTCGGCTTCTTCAACCGCTACGTCCCCATCGGGCTGCTGGAATACCTCCCCCCGACCCTCAACGATAGGCCGCCTGCCTATCGTGGGCGGAACGACCTTGAGACGCTGCTTGCGAGTAAGAATTACAAGGACTGGATCAAGATCAGGTAAGATTTCGGATGCGTACCTGGTAACACGTTGACGGGTTGAGCTGACGAGACGTAGTGAGATGTTTCTCGGCCCAGCGCCACCCGGGTTCAAGTTTCAGCCCAAGCACAAGTCGAACAGCTACGAGATTGAGGCCGAGGGCTAAGAAGCTCGTCGGAGGAGAGGCCTCGGTTCAGCGCTTGTAGTGGAACTAGCCGTCAGTTCAAGCCATGAGCTATTCATCTGTATGGACGGCAGTCGCCCGATCCATGACTCTGCGGGAAACATATACGCCGCAAATGTTTCGTGGGCATTATGTGGTTGACAATACAGAGAAAGGGCGATGAAATAGGAATGTGTAGCATTGCCATAAGTGCAGTTCGTGCTTGACGCTTGTACCATACGATAGAGAGCTAAAAGCTTGTCTCTAGGGCAAATTCATGGTATAAGAACATTACTAAGGTGGCTTTTCACTGATAAGCTCTTGTGGCACTCCTTGTGAGCCATGGGATGGTCAAGACAGGAGGGCATCTTGCCAGCTGTAAGCCACAGCTCGCCACTTGGCAAAACATCTCGCCGGCTGTCAATCTTGCCTTCAATACCGTGACTTCGTGATAATAAGGATCTCAGGTCAAATCCCATTGAATCGACGGCTCTTACCAGTTCAACCCGGAAGAACCTCCCCAACTCATAACTAGCACTCGGCCTTGCGATTATGGCGCCTACTAAGTTACCAGAATCTGGCAATCCTCTGTAAGTATCCAGTCCCATATTCATCACCCAATTGAACCTTCCCAGCCCACAGCTTTCCCAAATACGTCCATTTGCACCTCAACTCGCCCATTCCCGAGTCGCTATTCACTTCACGACTAAAACCAAGACCCTTACATATACCCTTACCTGCTCCAACCCTCCACACCCCAGGATACTTACTTATCACTCTCCTCTTCCAGCGTCAATCAACCAATGCTGACAAGATATCTCGGAACAGGGTATTTTTCGACATCACCCTGGGAGGTATGAGTTCATCATCAAATAGTAGTAGCTGCTTTTTTTTGTTTTGGCAATTCCTTTGCTCACACCGCACACTGGATTCATCCAGGCGAGCCCCTCGGCCGCGTCACCTTCGAGCTGTTCAAGGACGTAGTCCCCCGGACAGCCGAGAACTTCCGCCAGTTCTGCACGGGCGAGCACAGGAACAATCTGGGCCGTCCGCAGGGGTACAAGGGGTCCAAGTTCCACCGCATCGTAAGGACCTGCCCCGTGTCTTTTTCTATTTGTGTAATCGATTTTTTTTTCTTTTATGGGAGTGGGGGAGGAGATGGGGGGTCAGAGCATGGCATGGCATACATATACATGGACTGACAGCTGACGACGGTGACTCTTTTGCTCTTGAGAAAAATAGATCCCCAACTTCATGTGCCAAGGCGGTGACTTCCTCAACGGCGATGGCACCGGTTCAACATGCATCTACGGCACCAAGTCGTTCGCCGACGAGAACTTCACTCTGAAACATGACCAGCCTGGGCTGCTGTCGATGGCTGTAAGAAGCCCCCGTTTCCGTCCTCAACCTTTTTTTTTTCTACATTACACAGAAAAGAATGATAGATAAAACGGAAAAAAGGTATAGGAGGCGTAGGAATGAATACGTCGGCCGGCTAACTGCAAGCGACGCAAAAACAGAACGCAGGCCCCAACACAAATGGCTCACAGTTTTTCATCACGACGGTGCCGACCCCGTTCCTCGACGGCAAGCATGTCGTGTTTGGCAAGGTGGTGGACGGCATGGACATTGTCCGGAAGATGGAGCACACCAAGACGGGCTACCGGGGCAAGGACGTGCCGAATCTGGACGTGGTGATTGCCCAGTGCGGTGAGATGTAAATATTGTGGAGGGAGGGGCGGGGGAAACTCTAGGTACTAATTGCTGGTACGATGGATAAAGTGCGAAGGTGGATGAACGATATACACAACTTACTTTCCTGTGCGCTCATGATTGATTCATTCCGGGCTTCATTCTATCATATTATAGGATCAAGTGTCGCTTGACAGCGCAAATGCCAGAACAGACTGTTTGTTTGATATTGTGACTAAAGTTCCTATCTAAATTCTAGAGCACCAAAACAATGCAAAACCTGAAGGGCAAGGGGGTATCTCCTCCATGTTGGCGATGGCAGTTTGAGACCCGCTGCCCGCCCAGCACAACTAAACAAAAACAAAACTGACTGATTGCTCCTGCGATCAACGCATTGCTTCCTCCTGATACCGGCGCCTGACACGGGAGGCCCTTGATCTTGGCAGGAACCCGGTGATAGTGGGCCGAGTGGATGATGTGGTTCCGGTTCCAGCAGCGGGGCTGCTTTCCGCCCGCGCGGTGACCGTGACGGTGACGCTGCTCTGCGGCGCCGTGATCGACACGGTGACGAATAATAGTTCGGGATCCGTACCTGCGCTCGAGGGCGAAGGTTCAGGTATTGGCGGTGTTGTCCCAATACTGGTTGTCGGAGGCACACTGGTAAACTGCAGCTGTGCCTGGAGGATGGCCGACGGGAGCGGGAACTGAGTGGCTGTAGCTCCGATAAGGGGGTGAAGGGGGATATCGGTCGAAGCAGCTGTGGCGCTTGTGACGTTGAATCCCGCCTGAGGGACTTGCACCACAAAAGGATTCGCCATCTGCGCCGGGATGCCTCTGGCTGTCGCGGCCTGGTGAATGTCATACTGAACCGCAAACTTGCCGTTTCGATTTCCGCACGTAGGACCCTTCACCTCCCCAAGACTCTCGTCGCAGGGGTCGACGATTCTGTAATCGACAACTCCCGTGTACAGCTCCGGTATATGGATGCATAGTTCCGAGGAGTTGCCGCCCGGCGGGCATGGCCTGCCGGTGTCCGGGTAGCTAGCTGGCGGCACCGCAACCCCTGCGACATTCATGTCTGGCCAGTCCCAGACCCAGATGACGGTCAGGATGCTGCCAATTTCGGCGTCCAGGGGAATCTGGAAGTCAGATTGGCAGAGTACCGAATCTGTCTCGCTTATGTGCAGCCTGCGGTACGTCGAGATGCCTTCACTGTCCCCGTCCGCGGGGACGACTTCATGGCATTGGCCATCGTCAAAGTTTCTAGTGGCGAGTAATTTACCATTGCCGTTCCCGCCCCGGCCGTCGGCTGTCCACTTCAAGTGGACGTCCATGAGATTGACGTTTGTTAAATCAGCCTGGTATGTGCCGTAGATATATACCGTGCCACGGTTGATAGGTTTGAGCGGCGTCGTCTTATCCGCGATGGTGACATGACCGTTTTCGGCGTACTGGATTGCGACAAAGTCGCCAGGGGCCACCTGCAGCATCGGAAACTGCGCAGTGTAGCTGGAATCCGTGAGCTTCATTTTCTCTGGCTTCACGAGCTTGTCGTCCTCGTGGATAATTTTGCCGTCGGGCCTGCCGTTCGGCGGAATGAGGTAGTCATCCTGAGGGCCGCTAGCTCTGTCGATGTGGGCTCTGTCGAAGCCCGGAACGCCAATCAGCGTCCCATTTGGCGCGATGCGTACTGTCCGTTCTGGCCATGAGTGGCCAGTGACCGTCCCTGAAAGAACCCAGAAGAGGAGCCAGGTGGCTAAAACGCCATGGGTGCGAGCGAAACGCACCTTCATGTTTGGTGCGTGATGATGGTTGAATGAGCTCATGATGCGATGGTGACCGTCGTTGGTTTTGGTGTAGAAGATGTAGTGAAGCAAACAGCTTGCTGCTTTGGCGTGAGGTTTCTTTTCGTTGCTTATAAGCAAAGCCAAATAGTTCGTACAAATGAGCGGCAGCGGTGTTTGTTGGCTATTGTGTTATTGTTTGAAGTGACTGTGAATAGAAGCGTTGGCCTGACAAAGCCAGTTGAAAGTTGAACAATGGAAGTGGAGGCTGGCTCGACGAAAGAGCACCTCCCGCCCCTAATATACCACCCCGCGGATCCGTTCAATCGCTCAATTGCGGCCAATCTCCTCTTGTCAGCGTGGTTCCGTATGACGTTCTCAGCGTTGTTGCGCATGACCTCTCTACGTTCTTGCCGTATGATGCTTGTTGCGTAGGACGTGCGCAGATGGGTGGAAGAAAAAGGATTAGCGCCGTGTCGAGTTCGTCAGGTCACTGAGTGTGGTTGTGTATTGTTCACGTCGTCTGCGTAGGATGGGCAGATGGGTGCCGCGTTTCGTTCGTCAGCTCACTGAGTTGCCACAGCAAAGACTCGTAGACACAAAGCCAAGAAAGGAAATCCGCTTGAGCAGACGAGTCAGCAGAAGAGGACTACTACAGGAGAGTAGGAGTAAGAGGGATGAGACGCACAAGGGCCAGAAAGCGGAAATGGAAAGTGACTCGCATCATGGATGGGAGAGAGATCGGGACCAAGTGACATAGCCATGTGAGTGGTGCCGGCTACTATTACGTTCAACAAGCTACTGGGGCCAGGATGTTTCGTCGTCCAGCGAGCGAAAATACAGGACCGCTCTCGCGGTGGTCATGGCCGGGGTTATTACCAAGGAGAAGATGTATGAGGTGAGAGCCGCACAGAGGTGAGCTGTCGCCAGCTTGGCCCGTCTGATCGCGCGAGGTTGTACCAGGAACGCACCAAGCGCCCTCCAGTGCCCATGACTCCACTGCCTGAGCGAGCCATCTGAGTGGCCACACTCGTCTTGTGGAAGCTTCATCGAGAAGCAGGACAGGATAATTGGGTAGGAGAGGAGCTCGTTTCTCAGGATTTGCTATCGAGGAGGTAACTGCCCTCGTGGAGTTCAATGGCGGTTGACGTCTCCAGGATCTGCTCGCTGGGCAAGGGTCAAAGGTGGGGCAACATCTTGTGTGGAACCGCCAAGCTTCACTCCCGCTGCGGCTCATCGAATCATGTCGTGTGCTCACTGTGAAACTCAGATTGGCGAGCATGTTCCGGCGGTTGAAAGCGGGTCTGCACGGTTGCGTTTCATGGAGCCAAGATGCAAGCGATTCGATGCAGATGCACCCACATGCGACCGCTCGCCATCAAGAGACAGACTAGCCCACTTCGTGGCCTATCGTACTGAGAAGTCACTCATCTATTTATGCAAATAGCTACGCACCGTCGTTATGTGCATGTATCTGCAAACTTGGCTGTTGCCACCACCCACCCTGCAATTAATTCACTGATTCATGGAGTTAACAAAACGAACCCCAGAGGGTTGTATGTCAAAATCCCGCGTCGGATAAATAAACGGGGGGTCTGGTGACGTTGCAGAGCGCGCTTCGGGTGGTTGCCGCGCTACCGTGCGCGCTTCCCTTCGCGGTTCAGGCAATTGTTCAAATTATAGAGCACGAGTGGTAAAGAGAGCGAGCGCAATCGTTTCTTCCTCCCTCTCTCCACAGCTCTGCGGGATAACGGCGGACTGTTGACAACTTGAACCTACAAAGTCTAATTCACCGGTCGTCGAACCGCCTGTCAGTAACCTACTTACTTGCGCATGTTGGGGGAGAGGGGGGGGTTTGGTTTGACGAGTGGGGAGACTTCCATTTACTACATAAGGTGCTTAACCAGAATGAGTTCCTAATAGAGAGAAGCACAACCCTTCTCCTATCTAAACCACTCGCTTTTCAGACTGCTCAACTCAAGGGATAGGTAAAGGGCCGTCCTTTCGACAATGAAGAGCTCATTTTGACAAGGTTAGCCATTTATTTTGGGAGGCTACTATCGTGGAATTAGGTAGTGGCTCCTTCCGTGAATGAAAGTTTCCCCACTCGGAGTTTTAGCCGCTTACTCTTCAGCTGACCGTTTTATCGAGGCGTTAATGAATAGTGAGTTAACCGCTCCTCGGCCCCCCTTCCCCCATATGCGCGGGTAAGTACCAGAACACTGGTTGGTAGATTGATGGGAGTATGGAAGCTCGATTCCTAACGGTGTAATCTCAATCACGGGCTCGTGGTTTACTCAGGTAATTGTCTCGTTCTCGACTATCCCTCTTAATAAGAGGCGCAAGGGCTCTTTCCGCATGTGGCATGCTCCATTTTCCCATCTACCGTCCGAACATTGCCCTTTGTTGGGATGAAAATGAATTCAGGGCAGCTGCGGGAAACACCGGGATCGCCAAACCTCTTGTCTCATCCCAGGCCATCATTCAACCCCTGCCTGTCGTCGGTGTCATGCTCTGCCGGGCATGGTCTGTGCAACCAAACCAAGCCGTGCGTGATTTCATGATGGACTCACGGCTTCTCCGAGTCTCATGCGTTCGCACAGGCCCTCAACTAGGGAACACTGTCAAAGAAGTGTTTCAACAACACGACGACTCTTTATCTCCCTCCCTTTGCTTGTTGAGCACTCTTGAGTAACCCGCCCTTATCCCTTCCCGCAAGGCTGGTATCAGAACTATTGATATCCTTCCTAGCGCCGATCAGGCTGATTCGGGCTACTAGGTACCGGGCACAGCTTTTCAGATTCGCCAGCAACGTTCTGCCACCTCGACATGGCCCTACTGCAACAGCCCTGACTTCAGTTATTGGCATTCAGATCAAGGACCCAATTGATACCGCTTGCCCGCTTCTCTACCACACTATTCTGTCGTGCACTGCACGCCGACTTGTAGTTAAAACCAAACTGGGGTTTGTGAGATCTCGTTAGACACTTCGGTAAGGTAGAGCAAGGTATCTTAGACAAGTGAATCGATGAGTGAAGAGGTATTGCGACTGCAAGCTGATTATTAATCCGTCCATGCCTCCCGTTATTCTGCCAAAACGGGTTCTCATCCACCGCCCTCATACACGTGTCTTCCTCTCGTCAACAGATGTATGTTCTATACTAGCACATTATCATGGGATGTCATGCACACCGGATCCCGTTCCAAACCTCCGTAACCAAGAACAGCAAACTTCAATACGGAAGAAAGAGGTCGCCAGAGGAAGGCTCAGCTCAACCCAAGGAAGTCCTCACCCTCAAACGGCGATGCCCATCACCATCCTCGCAATCTCCAGCATCAGCATCCTCCCCAAGCCCATCCTCATCTGCGTCCGACCGCGAGCGCTTCAAACCCCTCATCATCACCAGCGGCGAATATCTCTCCTCCTCTTTAGCAGCCGACTTCCCGTCCACCTCCTCCCCTTCCCTCTTGCCGTCTGCTGTCCCCGTCCCCACGCCTGGTAAGGGATGGATGATGACCTCCCAATCATCTTGTGATACGTGATTCCTGTCGTCGCTGTTGTCCGACGACGCAAAACTTGTGGTTGGGGTAGGGGTGGCGGAGGATGAGGACGAGGAGGCGTGGATGTGATGGATATGGTGGATGTGCTCCCAGTCTTCTTGGCCTGCTTCTTGGGTTGCGCTGTCGCCCCCGGTGTGCATCTGATGGTAGTCTCCTTGGTAGGGTTTGCCATGGTCGTCGTCGTCGTCGTCGTGGCTGTGGTTGTGGTTCGCTCGTGTGATTGTTGTTGAGAGAGCGTTGTGGATGTGGTTGTGGTTGCTGTTGTTGTTGTTGTTGGTGGTGGTGCTGGTGCTGGTGACTTCTCCTCCCGGGATATCCGGTGAGGTTGTCGCGATTGTCGCCCAGGAGGAGTCGTGATCGCCGATGTTGTTGTTGGCGGCGGCGGTCGAAGGTGCCCAAGTTTGCTGGGGCCGAGGGTGCGGCTGACGATGTTGGCGCTGGTGGTACTGCTGCCCGCTGTCCCCACGGGAGGAGATGGAACGTGGCTGTGGCCCGGGTGCCCAGCTCATGAGGCCCCTGTGCGGGTGGGCTCCGCTGGAGGCGGAATATCCTCCGGACGACCAAGGGGCACCGGAGTCCAAGCCGCCTCCGATACCATGACCGTAGCCGTGAGTGCCGTCGTGCGCCTCACCATACGTGGCTCCGACGTGGGATAGGAACGGGTCGGTCACGGCTGAGAAGGCACCAGCCAACGCGTGCGAACTGGCATCCATGCCAGCCGTCGTAACCGCCACATGCGTGGTCATGTAATTAGGCAGGATATCAGACGCTGCCGAGCAAGCATCGAAAGCTGGCGCAAAGGAGCTGGCCAGCGAGGCGGTCGGAGGCGGCGTGGTGAGCCCGCTGTGGCTGCTGAAGCTGTCGAGAAGCCCGTACGCGGCTTGCGTTGCCGTGTTATGGGATGCTACCATTTGGTGCATGAAGTGGGCGCTATAGGCAGCGTGTTCGCCCGAGCCGGACAGCGGGCCGAGCCCGCCTGGGCTATCCAATGCCGACGCGAAGTTCTCGCTCATGCTCGCGCTTAGGTGCTGCTGGTAGGTTGGATCGGGAGACATGATGGCCTCACGAGATACAGGCCGCGGCGAAGCACAGGAAGCCTCTCGGCGCCCATCGGCAGAAGCCTTGTGGCCACGGACGATGGCGTGCCGCTGATGGGAGTCGCTGGCGGGGTCGAGGATAGTCAGGAAGCGCCAATTGGTCCTCCCGCAGGGTGCCGTGGCCGGTCTCCCTTCTGCGTCAATGCTGTGAATAGTCTGAAAGGTCCAGAGGATCACAGCGCGGCGCGTCCACTTCTGGCTCCCGGAGTCGCCGCCCTCTTCACGGCCGGAGGATGCAGGAGGGCAGGAGAAGATCTCCTGCATCATGGCGATCTTGGGGACCAGGTCCATCTGTGTGGGCTGCTTAGTGCGGCGACGGGATCTTGGGCCATCTCGGTCATCTCCCGTTCGCGTGCCGGCGCCCTGGTCCCGGTCATGCTTCTTGATGCTGCTGAAATTGTGAGCCGGGTATTCGGCGCAGCTGGTCAACGTTTGCGCCCAGACGTCCGCGGGGAACGGGACCGGGAACGGAACCGTGACGCCGTCTCGGCGACAGTGCTGTGCGAGACAGTTGCACGGTGCCCCGCGGCCGTCGTTGCGCGGGCCATCGCAGCCGGGCCGGTGTTGATAGGGAATAGTGAACTCCCTCTTGGACGACTCGTAGATTACCTTCGGAGCCGGATCGGACTTGAACTCTCCATGCGGATAGCCCAGCTCCGGTGGTCTCACAAGGCGCGTCTCCACTTTCCATCGGTGATTGAGCAGGCGCGGCTGCTCGACGTTGATCTCGACCCACGAGCTGAGGTTGGACCCGCTGGGGAAGCGGCTCTTCTCCTTCAGCTCGAGCGTGGCGTGCATATGCAGCACGTCGCACCGCGCATCGGTGGTCGTTGATGCGATCACCTCCAGCCGCTGGTGCAGGTCCGGAAACGTCGACTCCCACTCCTTGCTCAGCTCGCGGACGCTGCTGGACTCAACCTGGTGCAGTTCCTTGGTGAACTCGTGGAGCAGCGATCCCTTGAAGAACTGCTGCTCCTCCTTGGCCCACGTGTCCCGCTCAAGGTTGCGCGGGAGGTGCGGATACTCGCTCTGGCCGAGTTTGCCCCCAGTCGCCGGCAAATGCCCGATTCCGTCTTCGCCGACCACCACATCCTCATGCGACACAAAGATCCAGCAGCGCCGCGGCCTAAACTGCACCTGCTCGTTGAGCGAGAGAATCTGGGCAAAATACTCGTAGTTGGGCCGCTCGACCGGGAGGCGGCCCTCGGACAAGGCGATCAAGACCGGGTTGTTTTTGAGCGACACCGTCTCGACGTTGTCTGCCGCTCTCTTGTCCTCCTGCTTTGGGAGGAAGAAAAAGTGGACTGCAGGGATAGAAGAGACCGGGGGTGTTGGTTAGCTTGAACATACAGGCTGCAAGGCTACAAGGAGGGTACTTAGGGAAGCCGCGAGGGAGCGTCGCAGGGATGTGCAGGGATCGGCCAACTTCCACACTTACAACATCGATGGTTCGAGAGGAAGTTCTTGAGCACCTGGATGTGGCTCGACACCATCTTCCGCTCTCTCATCATCTGCGGGTCCGGTTCGGCGCCGGGGGGCAGGCTTTGGCAGTATGCAATCCAGAGATATTCGCCAATCAGCATGTTGCGGCCGTACTGTGTTTGCTTCATGGTGTATTTTTTGCGCCTCATCTGAGGGATGAGCAGCAGCGCTAAAGCACAAAGCACGCACGTCAGCCATACAGAGCTCGCCATTCAAGTCCCCGTGTGATCGGGTCACCGGTGTTTGCCACGAACCGTCGAGGAAGGGCCCTTCCAGCACGTCGGGCCATTTCTGGTCCGAGTCCGGTTTGCCTTTCTGCTTCTTGCGGTAGTTCTGGAAGGCCTGGGTCAGCAGGGGCATCAGCGGGTTGAGATCCTGCTGCAGCCGCCGCCAGCCATGCGCATGCAGATGCAGGTGGTCAAGGTCGTGTCGCTGCTGCTGCTGCTGCTGCTGCTGCTGCTGCTGGGACCTGGCGTACGCCGGTGTGACACCATATTTTGGACCTAAGGACGACTGTGTTCGCAAGACGGGTGGTGCCAACGTGGATGACGGTAGCGACGGTAGCGACGGTGGTGGTACGGACGAGAGGGCTTCCAGTTGCTGGGCAAACCAGGCCATGCGGTGAGGGTGAGGGTGCTGGATGTTGCCTGTCGACTCCTGGAGTGGCTGCCTCGAACCCGACACTCCGCGCCGGCCCTCAAACACATGATGGTCTGGTGACGGTGAATAGCAGTGCGGCGGGAGGACTGCGAGGCTGACTGGGAGCTCCATTGCTAAGGACAATGGCCTTCGCAGCCGTGACAATGTTTCCGGGAGGACACACAACCGGCTTAGGAACGCTGATGGGAGAAGAGCCGGATAAGAGGAATTCTCGGGTGGAATGACCCGCTGTCAAGATGCGAGCCAGAGAGTCACTAGATATAAGATACCCAGTGCCTGGGCTATGGAAGCTCCGGGTATGGAAGGGAGTATGGCATAGCGAAGCGCATGAAGCCAGGATGAACCGAAGCCCCCGCGATAGGGATAGCGTTATGCTTGCAACACACCTTCAAGCTAATAAGGCACCCAGGGCGACAGCCCGGTCGGTGCCAAGCAGGGTTGTTGGTCCAGCCCTTCTCGCGAAGAATCCAACATGGGCGCGCGCCAACTGGAACGCAAGGGCATCCAGGTCGTAGAGTCTAAAGAGACGGCCCCGTGAAAACCTGCGCATCTTCTTCGGTTGGTGCGGAGCATCTCGGGACCGCCGGGGTTTGCCATCCATGGCACGCGAACAACAATAGCCTTACGTATGAACCGAGGAGACGTAAAGGGTCCGCAAAGCGTAAGGCGCGAGGCTGGTACAGTACAAACAATCATCAAGGCAAAGAAAGAGGTGGGGTTTCTGCAGAGGACCCCCAGGGGAGGGAGAGGGAAGAGTATGCAACACCTCCTTGGCAAGGGCGGTGTGGCTGCCGAAACATCTCTTTGTAATGAACGGTGTCTCTGATCTGAGACCTAGGGGAGAGATCAATTCTTCACGCGCTCATACTTTCTCATGCCTCATCTTCATCGTTGTCTCCGATGTTGACCTTTCTCCTCCCTTCCCCTGTCAACTGTTGCAGGGTGACCTTGTTGACCTGTCCCCGGATCTTCTTCTCCATAGCCTTGATCTGCTCTTCTGGATCGACCTCGTCGGCCTCGGCGAAGTCAAGCACAAGCCGGCGTCCCAGAAGGTGGGTATCCTTCAGTGCAGTAAGCGCATTGAGCGCCTCTTTTGCTGTTGCAAACTCGGCAAAAGCAAAGCCCCGCGATGTCTGGTTGAACTTTTTGGGGAGGCGAAGCGCGACGAGTTTGCCATATGTGCTAAACAAAGCGCGCACGTCTTTCTTAGAAGCTTCGAATGGAAGATTCTTAATCACAATCTTTGTCCGCTGCGCCGCCGCCTTCTTGGCAAGGTCCTCCCGCCTGCGCTCCTCTGCCGCGTCGTGACCCCTGTGCGATGCCTTGACAAGGAGCTTGTGGCCATCAAGCACATAGCCGTCCATGACCTTGAGGGCCGCCTGGGCCTGCTCCTTGGTCCTGAACGCACAAAAGCCGAAGCCCATGCTGAGCACCTGACCCGGCCTCTTGGGATCCGTCTTGGTCTTGACCTTAGCACTCACAAACCCGTCCAGGGACTTGAAGGCATTGGTCAGCCCCTCGGTAGTAGTAGAGAAGTTCAGGTTGCGGACGAATAGGGAGGCAGTCTCGAGCTGATCCTCGGTGTCATCGCGTTCCAGCAAGTCGGCAACGGATGGCTTTTGCACTCCAGCAGGGCGATCGTCGGGGGCAGCTGCATTCTCAACGAACAGGCCTTTCGGGCCTTTTTCCAGGAACAGAACCGAGTCCTTAAACCGCGAGTAAGCCTTCTTGGCGAAGGCAGCACGGCATGCTGCTGGCTGCGAAAATTGGACAATTGCAATGGTGCCACTTGGTGGCATCAGCACCCTGAGCACCGAGCCGTGTTCCTCGAACAGTGCCCTCAGTTCTTCGATCGAGGCATCTCGGATATTCTTCACGAGTATCGAGGTGTCACCTCTTTGCTGCGACTTGAATGCTTCGATATTCACCCCGTGGGCTGCGAAGTAGGCCTTGGCTTCCTGTATCACGGTAGTTTCCGCGATTGCCTGTTTCACGGCAGCAGACGCGTCTGTGGGATCCAAGAGCTCATGCTTTGACACGCCGAGACGTTCCGCCACGGCAGTGTTGACGGCGTCTTGGCTCATGAAGAGTGAATTCCAGTTGAACGCGCTGGACGCGGCCTCGGCCTTTTTCCTGAGAAGTTGCTGCTTCTTGAGTGGCAGCTTGGAAATTGCAAATTCGTCGAGCTTGTTCTCCCGTTTGGCGGCGGCAGGGAGAATGTGCAATATTCGCCCCTGAAATATTGAGCCATCCGTCTGGAATGCGGCGACCGCTGCGGACGGTTTTTCGTATTGAACCATAGCAAACCCCTTCGTCTTGCCCTTGCTATCCAACGGGAGATTCACCTGACACAAGTTAGCGAGAGTCTAACGGCATCTGTTCAAACAACATAGCAACAACTCGGCCCTTCTATCAGAATCTCGAAGCATCTACTAAAATACTGAGCCCAAGGTCTCATCAAATGCCAATGGCATAAGCTGTCCCTATCAAGGGGTTCATCATGAAGGCTGAAGGGAATCATTCCACAGCATATAGCCGGCTTGTGCTTACCTCCTCGAGACGTCCGAACTTGCCGAAATGCTCCCTGATGTCGTCCTCTGTGACGGTATAACTGAGATTCCGCAAGAAGAGCCTGCAGGTCTTCTCAACAAGCGTGGTGGAGTCTTCAGCAGCCTCGGCATGGGCACCGGATTCTTTACTCGGTTTCCCAACATCGGCCGCAGTTGTGTCAGGTGGGGCCTCTTGCCGCGCGGATACAGGTGCGGCCGCGGGGGTGGGTCGAGATGGGTGTGTAAAAAACCCAGGGTCACTGGGGTCCACTAGGTCGAGAAGACGGTTTGTCCTTGACCGGAGCCAGTCCTCGTCTGTTGCATCTGCTAACACCTGCGGCGCTTCCCTTGCAGTTTCGCTTGGGAGGGCGATTGCAGGGGTTTCGCCATCCGCCACAGGGGCGGGTGTGACGCCGATAGGAGCAAGACTCCCTTGGACCGGCTCGTTCTGGCGGCGCGCCGGGATATCCTCATACTCGTCGTCACTTTCGCCGGCTTCCAACACAGCAGGGGCCACCGCGGATGCCAACTCTGACTCCAAGTCGCCATTGAGGGCCTCTTCATCTCTCGACTTCTTCGTGGGATGGCCCATGACCTCCAGGTACTCCTGCAGTTTTGGGTCAGCTTCGTCAAGCGTTTCCCGCTTTCTCTTCTTGGGCTTCTCCTCCTCGGCCTGATCTACCCCGCGAGCACTAGGCTCGGGTTTGGGAGCCTTGGACACGCCATGGCGCGGGGTGTCCTTCGCAGCCAACCTTGGGGTCGAGTCTGCAATCTTGCATCTATGATTAGCAGCAGCCCTGGCTGTTGGAGGCAGAGGGCAGGTCCTACCGGTTTTGCCAGGTCAACCGCGATCCTGGACATGCGAATAAAGGATCTGTTGAAGTACTTGACCGCCTTTGCAGCGTCATCGGGCGACTTGTAGCCAACAAACCCAATGCGGCGGTTGGGGATTAGCTTGACATCCGTCACCTCGCGACCTTGGGCCGAGAAGTGTTTGCGGAAGTCAGCCTCCGAGATGGTCGGCGGCAAGTTTTTGACGAAAATCCTTGACGTCTCCATGATGTCTTGCTTTGGTGCCTCTTGCCTGCCACTTGGGCAAAGGATGAAGCTGAGGCTACCGCTCGGTCATTCCGCTGTTGAAGCTGCAAGCTGGAATCTTGCTGTTTCCACTGAACTGGAAGAAGCTTTGCATCTTTTCTCCAAACGTCTTCCAGAAATTTTATGCCCCACCAGCTGTCCGTTATCTTATCGGGGCAGGAGACTCGGTGTGACCCTTATTGTGGATCCTGCACGCTGCCGACAGCTGGAGGTCTAGGTACAAGTGTGATTAAGCGGAGAGTACCGTAGCCAAGGTACTGGTACAAGATCCGTACATGGGGCTCCAGCTCTGCCGGGGACAGGACTCGGATGGGAAAAGCAAAGGCGCGGCGCCAATGGCGGAGCCTGGTTTTGTGGTCCCTGAGCCGCGCGAACCTTGGGGATTCGATCGGCGATCCAAACATTGACCAGCACCAACTTGCCTACCTCACACCTTTTGGAACATCATTTCTCAGGCACTCCCATCACTCTCTTCTGGACCCAGGCATTGCCGCTGACAACAGACTCCCCGCACAAGCTTGTAAGGCCATCTTCGGGTGGTTAGCTTTTAGTTAGACATTGTTTGCCTGTATGTGGGACCCCAAAATCCGGGCCGGAGCGGTGATGCAAGACGCACAGCCCATCGCATTGCTTCAGTTGGAGCCCTGCCAGTGCAAACATCGTCAATCGCCCAGCCGTCATCGGGATTGGATAGACCGTTGGGAGCTCTGTCCGCTAACTGCTGGACAGTCCAGCTACCTCGACAGAACACACAATGCCCGACGAGACGAAGCCGGCTGGGAGCTCCTCCCCTGTCAGGGAGAAGCTTGAAGGTAAGCCTGCTCCATGTAGCCTTTGAAGTTGTCACCCCGCCCGCGAACAGTGTTTGCTGATACGTGTGTCGCGTACCTCTAAGCAGCCCAAATCAAGAGCGCCGACATGGTATGGCGGTACCGACGAAGTCATCTCGTTCGCGTTCGGCGAGCCCAGACACTAACACATCAACTCTGCGTGCCAGACTGATGATATGCAACAAGAGGCTGTCGAAGTGGGTGAGTAGAGGAGGAACTAGGGGCAGGATGGAGCCGTCCGGCTGAAATTGGGGATATGCGGCTGACGTGTTATGGCTTGCAGCCCAGGAAGCCATGGCAAAGTTCACCATCGAGAAGGTCCGTAGGCGCCAGACATGCCCAGCTCATTCTGCTTACGGTCTTGCTGACTTTGCCGACAGGATATTGCTCAACACATCAAGCGAACGGTGCGGTTGCCACAAACACAGTGTTAATCCGGCCCGCTATCCAGCTAACGCATTACTCATGATCCACAGTTCGACGAGAGGAAGGGTCCCACCTGGCACTGCATTGTAGGCCGCAACTTTGGCAGCTTCGTAACCCACGGTACGGAAATCGACTCCTTGCCCTATCCCTTCAGTTCAGACTCGTTGGAGATGCAATGTCCGCTCACGCAGCACTCCGCTTTTCCAAAAAACAGAGACGAAACACTTCATCTACTTCTACCTCGGCCACTGCGCCATCCTACTCTTCAAGACACAGTAGGGAGGCGGCCTCCGCCGTTTTCTCTCGCGGCTGTGAGGCAAACAACACTGTGACGAAATCTCACCGCAACCACAGTCTGCCCGCTCGCCGTAGCAGCGAGTGGGCTCTATCAAAAACGGAAACGGACGGAGGATAGGCTTACGACGGGGCCACCCTGTGCTGGCCAAAACAAGGATCAGAAGACGAGACGGACCAGCGGCCGAGAGCAAAGCATCCACGGAGCTCGGGGGATTGGCAGACGTAGAGGAGGATTTGCTTCATACAGATGTGGGCCGCATAGGTCTGAAGTCTGTTGTTGGTTATTATATGTTAGGTTCTGGAACTGGAGAAGGCGCAACGACATGCTTCTAATCCCTTCTAGATTCTTCTTGGTGAGATGTACACCCCAGCAGCCAAGTTGGAGCTGCCATACCCGTGAGGTTCCTGCCCTTTCTTTGACCCTGTGCTTTTCGGTGGCGGGTAGTGACATTCTGGAGAGGCACGACAAGGCACAAGCATGGTCCAGAGCACGGCGGTGTGCATGGGCGGGTAGCGCGGCGCAATGCCCTCATTCCTTCCAAACCGCCGGGCCGCTCCGACGGCTGAGATGCTGTGTGCTTTAGAGGCACGGAGTCATCTTCGTGTGAAGTCACATGTCACAATCCCATACCGTACCACATGATCATATGTTTAGTCAGGTAATTGAGCCCGGGCTTGGACCAGGGAACGCCGCGATGGCGTCGCAAGGTACATAGATAGATGCCTCCATTCATTCAACATCTCGGCAAACTATCTCTGCTATCTGCATGAGCCGGAGGCCATCTCTTCGTTGGTCGCCGGTCTCGCTGGTAATCGTGCCTCTGAAATATCATACGCTGTAGGTTTCAGAATCAACCTCCCAAATCGCTATTCCCAATGACGCCAAGTATGCCAGGTCTGTCGTCCATTTCCCGATCATGACCGAACCCGTATCCATATGATCATCCAGCCAACCATATAACTGGTTCCGCGACCAGTCTTATGCAAATGCATCTCCCAGACCCGTTCCTCGCTTTTGCCCAAATCCTCCTCATGTGCCCATTTCCCCGAAATCTCCCTTAGGCTTATTCCAAATCGTCCATGAGGTTGCCTCTCAACAAGCCTCGACCGCGGCGTAGATCTCGCTCTTCATCCTGCTCAATTGTTCGTGCATATCGATCAGGTTTGTCAGCTTGTTGGGGTCCGGGTTGTCGTTGTTGGTGACGTCCCGATGGAGCTGCTCGTACTCCCGGTAGAACCGCTTGAACCTAGCCGCCATCTCCAGCGTCTCCTGCGATGGCCGCGGCCGCTTCGCTTTGTTTCCGGGTAGCGAGTCGGTCGGCGGCCGCTTCTTCGCGGTACCGGCATTGCCATTGATTGCTGCCCCACTGCTGCTCGTAGTCTTCACTGTCGTGTCCCGCTCTCCTCGTACCGGTTCCCGTTCCCGCTGCCCTTCCCGCTCCAGTTCCGATGCATTGGTGGGCGGGGACGAAGCCAGAGGCGACGATTTGAGTGGAGTTGTGTTCTTTGGTTTGGGTGCAGCTACCGTCGAGGGGGCTCCGCGGCTGTTCTGGCTGCTACCGGAGGTGGAGCGTGGTTTAGCTGAGGCAGCCGGCGCGGGGGTTGCTTTCAAAACAGTCTTTACACGCTTGCTGAGCGGGGTCCCCGAACTGGAGCTGTCGTCCTCCTCGGCATCCCGCGGACGCTTGGCCGGTTTGGCAGTCGCTTGGGCGCGGATCGTGTCCTTCTCCCTGTGTTTCTTGTCCTCCTGAACTTGAGTCTTCGCTGTCGTAGCGGCTTTCGGCTTCGCAGCGGGAGGCACTTTCGGCTCTCCCAACTTCTGTCCCGCCTTTGGCTTCTCGGCCGCCTGCGATGCGGGCTTGGACGCTGTGGCAACCGTGGTTTTGGATTTTGCAATAGATGTCGAGAGGGGCACTTCATCGTCCGTCGAGCTTGAATCCGAGACGTACTCCTTAGACAGGGGTTGTCGGCCCTTCGCATTAGCCCCCTTAGCTGGAGTTTTGGCGGCTGAGGCTTTCGGTGTTGGCTTTGTCGTTGCCGCTGCCATAGGCTTTTTCTTCGTAGACAGCAGCCGCTTGGCCTGGGCCTCCGATGGTGACAGCTTCTTCTTCCCTGTCGACGTTTGAGAGCTCGATCGCGACATGGGCTCGCCCCCTTTACCCTTCTTTGAGACCGAGCTTGCTGAATCCGAGTCAACTCCGCTGGCGTTCGAAGCATCAGCCTTCTGCTTCGGTGCCGGCACCGCAGGGCCCTTGGCGATCGCCGCTTGCAGCCGGCTCAGGCATATGCCCTTCCCGCGCTCTGACTTCGGGAGGAGTTTCTGCCAGAGGGGGTCCGATGTGCCTAGCCGACTCCGATCGTATTGTTTTATGGCGTTCCTGATCGCCTTCTCGCGTTCCTCGTCGTGCGCATAGCGGTACTCGAAGACGTCGAGTTCCTTCCAAAACAACTTCTTCAGTGCCCACTTCTGGGAGTCCGCATCAAAATCAGCCACCTTGCTGAGAATGGCATCGAACTCTTCCTCTGCCCCCTCGTCCCACTTCGCCAAGAGCTCCTGACGGGATAGGTTCTGAACTGCCAACTCGTGAATGATGGGAAAGCGCAGCTGCTTCACCCTCTCTTGTGTCGTGCCGCCGGACGGCAGAAGAGATGGGGATCCACTCGCACTCAAAGCGGGACTCGGCGGTAATGATCTGGGCGAGGCAGCTGCTTGCGGTTCAAGGAGTCTTCTGTTGGGAACCTTCAATTTCCCTTTCCTGGAAGCGGCTAGACCAGTGACAACGGTCGTGCTATAACCGATATCAGCCAGTGCATTGGGGATTGCCTCACTGGGTCCATACGAGTTCTCGCGCTTGTCCGCTTCCAGGCTGGCAAGTGAGCGCTCAAGCCGTGCAGTGGCAGGGTCTGGTGTTCGCTGGGAGTCTGTGTCTCTAGCAGATGGCGCAGCACGCTTGTTGGCGGGCTTGGTGCTTTTCGCCGGAGCTTTCTTGCTTCCGGGCTCGCCCTTCGCTCCCTGGCTGGACGCTTTCATGGCCTTGGCCATGGGGTGGCATTTGGGAATCTTGAAGATAGACATGGTCGGATTCGGCAACTTGGTAACTCTGGAAGGCTTCTCAGAAGTGGCCCTGAAAAGGTCGTAGCCGGATGGATCAGAAGTCTTGGGTATCCGAACCTCGTGGTCGTCGAACCGGAATTTCTGGGGTGGCAAGTCAGAAGGTTGCAAAGGAGAACCAAAACAAGCGTTGTAAATAAACAGGTGTGCATAAACAAGCTCCAACCATGCCTGACGATTCAGGAGGTGGTGAGTATGGTTGCGGAATCACGTGCGGTTCCCGTGCGTGACGTTGACAGTTGGAGCCATTCGCCACCATTGTGCAATGCGGCTGAATAGGTAGGTAGAGGACAATAGCAAGGAAGGCTGAAGGAAGGCTGAGGGAGGGAATCTGGAATTTCAATACATACCGGGGCGCTTCCCAACGCCAACTGGATATCACCGCCATTTTGGACGCAGAGGATCATATCTTCAATAACACTCGGGCTCAACGCAATGGCGAATGCCTGGTTCGGGAGCTCGGCCATCGCCTGGGCCGAGCTCTCAATTGAGACGCCATTCTCGGGGATGTTGAGCACCATTTTTTTTACGCCCGAATTCTGAGCCTTGCAAGCACTTCCCGCTCTCCTCCCCACGCGTCCTTCAAGGTCTTCCCAGGCTTGCTACCTCCACCGTCGCTCACTTCGTCCGCGCGCCTCGTGAAGTTCGTCGTTTGAGAGCTAGCTGTCGGGTAGGTCGTCCAGCTTGCGTCGGTTATTCGTTCCAGGGGATGGAGCTCTGGCGGCCGAGGGCAGCGAGAGTTTTCCGACTGGGAAATAGGACTGCAGTGAGGCAAGGAGCTTGCTTGTGGTGTTATTTATCTATAGAACCGAGAGGCGTTGTTTCCAAGGTGACGCAGCCAACGGAGTCAAGCCTGACGTTTGCCCAAGCTTCCAGGCACAGATTCGTCATACGGGTAGCCACGGTGTCGTCATACGGTGCCAGTGGTGACTGATGGGAGCTTCCCACCAACCCAGCTCCGATTGAAGCAGAACGCTAGGGGAAGGACCTGAAACCATGTGCTCATTTCACTCAGGGACCCCCTCTTTCATGGCACCGCGTTCTGGAGAGTTATTCGGACTGAGGTCGAAAAAGGCGGTGGGCTGGGGGCGCCAGAAGCGTAGGTAGACGACCTTGGTTGCGAATCGAGAGGGTGTCGTAGCAGCGATGACCAAGCGATGGTATGGGATGACGGAGATATAGAACCGCGTGACGGGGTAACGAGAGACAGCCCGAACGAGTACAGAGTACTCCGTAGTGCTTTGGGGGATTTGAAAAGAGGGGAGCACGGGGGAAGAAAGCAAGGCGAAGAGAAGGACAGGCAGGACGTCCAAGAGGCGGCACCGAGGGTGACAAGAGAAGATGGGACAGGGCGGAGCGGGTGGGTTGCACAACTAAGGTAGAGGTATGTCCCCACTTCTCTAGCGAAGTACATGTACCCTGCTGGTAGCCTGCAGACCGCGTTCGCCCAGTGGGTTTTGTTAACGGCCTGGGCTGACGAGGTCAGGCAGGTCAGGAACGATCCTGAGTCGTCCGTGGAGGTTGGACGTGAAGTGGGCCCCATTTCAATACCGCCCTGGTACCTGACACATTGGAGCCCGCTTCTTTTGCCCGGACAAGGGACAGGGATTGCGGGTGAGCAGCATTGTGCAGCCACCTTCATCTCCAGACATCGCCGACAAGCCCATTGAAAGACAATTCCAGCTGGGCTACACTAGGTTGTCTAGCACCGTATGAATCTACATGGAATTTCACAGGCATTGAGGCATGATGGGCCAAAGGCAGGAACACAGCTCAGCCCGGGTGCTTCAGTGGGTACGGAGTATTATGACGGGACCTTCGCGTAAGGCGGTGGTAGTGGAGATCGCTCTTCTGTTGGCCCTGTTGGGTTTCGCCCGAGGACGGAATTCAAGACAGCCCTGCCAGGGCAGTAAGGCAAGCCTGCTTTTCGATCAGTGTGGTAGGTAATAGGAAAGAAAGACATAGCCTAAAAGTCTATCATTCACTCACAACAAAGGCTTCGCTGGAAATTGAATCAACTTTTGTTGCAAAATCTACAGCGTCTGCCCCGATCTCCTTTATTTCCCGCTATTGAGCAACGCTCGGAGCACGGTCAGGTCAGGTGGACCCTGGTTATGGATCGGAGCATGGCACTCCACTCTCTTGGGTTAGCGTGGTATGGAGGGGGAGTCGGTAGCTCGGCCCAGTCCGCTTCGGCTCCGTCACCACACAATCCGGTCAAGAGAGAGGATCTCCAGGGCAACCCATCAGGTGCGATGAGTCGAACGCAATTGACAAGTCCTGGGTGCTAGGAATGGTCCTAATGTCATCAAAGGCATGCGGTGGTCGGTTTTATCTGTCTATACTTTAGTCGACACTACAGTCAGCAGGGTGTGAGATATACAGTATGCCCGGACAGTGTTCATTCATCTTGCATACAGTACGTTGCTGCACGATTACGGAGTGCGACGGGCGCATCACATGAGAACAACGTCAACAAACTGCTCAGATGAGGTGCGTTGAAGTCAAATTCAGCCCCGAGCAACGCACTACTCTCGAGCAGTTCAAGCCAGACGTAAGGCTGCCCCAGCACTGCTTCCGACCTTCTGCGGTGGAAATCCAAAAGTTTGGTTCGGCCGCTTCACGGATGACACGAAGCTGAGCCGCGCCTCGTCCTTCCCACGCCCATCTGCCAGCCAAAATGCTGGCTTACAACATGTATCCGTATGCACATACAAACCAAACCACCTAGGCATTGCATGCGCCCATGCGAGGAATGAGCTTGTGGTTGGGCGACCAAAGTCCGGCTGTACCAAGGAAATCGTCAACATAAGCCGCGAGCGTGAGTACTTGGGAACACTGGACGCTCGTCGATTTCAGACATGCCCACTCTTCAATACTAATCGCCTCTGATGTGGCATGCAAGCCACACACCTTGATGAGCTCGGGTTCCAACTATCTGCAGGCCATGTGGCAGGGCAAGATCTTGCATCCAATCCTGCCTAATAATGTACTGTACAATACCTACCTACGGTACCTAGGTAAGGGAGCTTGGCCGACCAAAGTCACCGCCTCTTCTTACACGGTGCAATGCAGCAGTCTCGCAGCCATATGCGACCGACTGGGAGCCCAGTGTCTGGTTTCTCTCCGTGCAAGTTACTCAAGGCAAGGGACTCCAACCCTATTTGTCTTGACCGGGTCCCATTCTGGGTATTATGCTCTACAGCGGCGCAGAGGGCACACCCAGAGATTATCATAACGTGGTATGGGATGACAGCGCATGCTCTCTCTTCACCGTAGGGCAGGTGGGCACTACAGTGAGACTGTGTCTGTACGTGCTGGTGTGTGTGGGCGGGTGTGTGGAACAAAGCGCACATGCAGAGTTTACCTTAACAGGTGGCCGGCGGGACCGATGCACTGTACTGGTCTGCTTACTCATGGTGTTACCCTGGAAGTGAGCAGAGCTGACTGCTCTTGCTAAAGGCCAGACTGCAGTCTGATGAAGACGACGTGAATAGGTACTACCTTAGCATTGGCCGCATACCCTGTGATGTCCAAGAGAGTCAGACACAAAGGCAGAAGAGTCAGCATATAAACTTAGGTGTAGCATAGTGGCTAGAATCTGCTTATAGCTGGGACACTGAAGCCTGATCTATGCCCAGTACTAGTAGCCGAAAACATCTCCCTACGTTTCTGACAACACATTTCTGTGTCGGATAGCTCCATAAGTTTTCTCTCGAGCGACCCAACCCGAGAAGACTTCATCAACACCTCAGGTATGGTGTGTCCTACTCTTTAACCGGACTTCCTAACCCCGTCACCTTAGGTAGTAGGGTTCGGCTTAGCTGCCATTGGTTCTCTGGCTTGAGGTTCTGTAATGCCATGGCTGCGCTCGGTTTCTGTGTTCCCTTTCATGACATGGGGCAGCTGAAAGAACGGGAAGCTGCGGCGGCCAAGTCTGTTTGTTCTGCCAATTCAGCGGTCATGATGCTAAACTCCGAGCCTTTTCTGAATCATCGCTCGAACATTCTTGATGACCAATCTCAGGGCTCGACCGAGTCCCAATGCGAAATTAGGATCTCCGCTACTCTGTCCCTCTTCTACTCCATGAGCTGCGGCCTAGGTAGCTTACTTGTGCCGATGAAGGTTGTACCTTTACTGTACTGTTCGGGCACCGAGTATTTCCGCGCATGTGCGTTGATCCGCTGCACAATCCCGGCCTGCTCTGAATGTACATACAACCCCGCGCATCGTGTCGTGGGCAGGCGAACAGAAACCCACGCCGAGGAGGTTCTCCGTTAGCTGGCGTTTGGTAGTATACCTACCTTACATAAGGTACAGTGCCTTCTTTACTTTGAAGGAATCAAGCGAGTTGTTACCTTGATCAGAATTTAGGTTTTCTCCGCCTTTCTGCTCCAAACATACATCACCTGCGGGGAAGGGCGGCATCGGATAGTTTTTTGGCTAGCACTGTAACCACTCGCCGGCCGGTTTGTAATCAAGTGCTATGGTAGAGTTTCGAATGCTGTATTGGGCCCTCTGCTCTCGGCTTCGTCGTTTCTCGGGTTCCTCAGGACATATCTTGCTGGTTAGTACTCCTCGTAGGCTCGCCAGCTTTTGAAGAATGCCACACAACCTAGGTAGTCAGCAGGGACATATATCCGGACGGTAGTCTCCGCAGGTTATATAAGAAAGTTTATTTTCTGAACCGGAGGAGCTCGTCCCGGTCGAGCCCCTCGCATTTCTGAGCCGCCTTCCATGCACGTGGTGATCGCCAAGGAAAGTCGGAATCACCATGAGCTTGACAGCCGCGTCTAACGACAACCAATAGTATCTACCTACCTTACGTTATGTGTGAGCCTCTTCCCTTGATTCCGGTCCATCGAGGTATTATGGTTGCAAACCAGCTCAGCTGTCAATTAAGATCCGGGTAGTCAGGCCGGGAAGTGTCGCATCTGCGTACCTGCGTGGCTCTGCTGTGTATCCATTCGCAAGTTGCTGCGCTCTCTCCCTCTTATCGTGTAAAAGCCCTCGCCATCCTCCCTGCTTTTGTTGATGGGCTTGCCTGTTTTCTGGGCGTCTAAAGTCGCATCGATCACTTCTGCGAACTTCGACACTCTCCCTCCGTTCCGTGCCGCCATTATTAGGTACGCTGCCACTCTCCCAATTGCCGCCAGCCCCCACACCACCTCCGTCCGGCTCACGAGGCAACCGGAGTTCTTAACCCGGCTTTGAGAACTCCATGATGACCTCTGAACTCGAATTCATCGAGTCAAGTACCCGACTCTATTCCTCAAGTTTCCGCATTGTAGGTGTTCTTCAAATGGGACTTGTAGCATGTGATATGGTCACGGTAAAGGTAAGTACGGGATCACTGCTCCAAACCTTGTACGTACAATACCATACCACTTGTCGGGCTCGGGGGAGGTTCCTGAATTCCCAGAAGGTGGTTATGCGGGCCCCGCCCTGCACCTGTCTCTTTTTTGATCTAGCGCCAACCCGAAAAGGGGAAGACGGAAGTCTCCGGAGCACGGGCCTGGCCGTCCGTCCCGAGGTCAACCCCCACCGTTTGCCCTGCAAATCATCACCCACTCACTGACGATCTGAAACTTGCCAGGACCAAGGGGCCCAATCTCTCGGAAAACTGTGTAATAAAATGGAGACCGCTCTAAGAATGATTTCAATGGAATGAGCCCGGTGGGTAACTATCCGTTGACCACGAACAGGGGGTCTCAGGAACAAGCACTGGACTGAGCTTGACGTGCCAGTGATGTGGTTGGCCGGGTTTCCGTTGGGCTGCTGCGCTGGTTAACGTTATCGGTTACCTAGGAGGGCCGGCCGGCCTGGCCTTGACCGAATCGGCTTCGATGTGCATTCATCACTGCGGCACCGAACCAGTGCCAGCACATTAGCATGCGCCCTGCTCCGAATGGTGGAATGCGATGACAGCCCGATACTATCCATCGCTGATACCCTCCGTTACGCTCATTTCGGCCATGTCTGTGCTTGCGTCTTGTCCAACCTGACTTGCCTTTAGGTAAAGGGCAGAGCTGTCCGACGAGACTGGAGCACAACATGAGGCAACGCCACTGAAAACACCAAACCTGGCTGTTCCCCACTTTCTATTGTGGTACAGCGGTGAAACAGTAGGCCGACTCAGCCAGCCGGTGTCGTCGTCGATATGTAGCGAGACGGGTGCCTTCACTGCGGCCCACGAACCTTCATCCCTAGGTACAGAGCAAAGGTCAACATGGGTTCTGAATCCACTCCCTTCGCAGTAGCCCTCTTTTATACCAAGCAGAGAAACAACTAGGCTAAGCATCATCAAGAGAATGTAGTCCTACTAGTACGATATCTACTGTGTTTCCCTCTCACCTATCAGCTTCGATGAGATAGCACATTGCCGTTACACAAACACGTGAAAGCATAGGATCTTCCCCACTCAAAAGCCATCTCCCTTTGTTTCCATACAGTCACCGCTCATCAAGCAAGCCACAACCATATGTTTATAGGTATCAAGCTTTGTCCCTAGTGTATAATATTATCCGTTTTCTGATCCAAGATGCTTGCCACAAATCAAAGCCGCTGGGGAGAGAACCACATGCAAACCCCCCGAGAACGCCTGGTAAAATGCCCGTCTAGTACGAAAAAAAAAAGGGAAAAGGAAAATGCCCGCTATGTTCAGGAAGTTGTAACGTCTCGTTTAACTCACACCAGCCCCATCCACCCGTACCCGCCATCAATGTTGACCCAGTTCCCCTGCTCCATCGCGCTCTCCCAGCCCATCATGACGGCCAGCAAGCGGCAGCCGACGGCACTAACGGTGCAGACAATCACGTCGCTCGCATCGGCCAGCACCGCCAGGTCCATCATGTAGGCGCGGCCCACCAGGCTCCTAAGCCGGAGGGTCTCGGCCGACGCCGACGACGGGGCAGTGTCGCCGCCGCCTCCGCCGCCAGGGTTGCCGGCGTGGGCGGTCGAGACGCCGAGGTTCCAGAACATGGCGGCGAAGAATCCCCCCTCCCAGCCGAAGGTCTCGTCCACGAACTTGTGCATGACCGACTTGTCCGGCTGGACCTGCTGGATGGCCTGCTTGCTGGCCAGCTTGATGCGCTCCTGCGCCCGGCTGGCGCCCGCCAGGTCGGCGCTCTCGTAGACCATCGGGTCGTCGGACGCGAGTATCACAAAGCTCTGGCCCTTGGCCGCCTTGTCCTCGCCGCCGAAGGGACCCGAGTGGTTGAATTTGCTGTCGATGATTTCGTGTGCCGTATCGCTGTACAGATTCAGTGGCATGTACGAGTGGCGGTATTGGTACTCGAACGGGTGCCGGTCGCCTCGGCGGACGTGGATGCCAACCGCGAGGCCGTTCCGCTGACCTCGGGACTTGGGCACCGTCCTCTTGGCCATCAACTCGCGGATGCGGGTATCCACGTAGTGTGCATCGTCCTTGTTCAGTTGGGAGAGCGCTTCGTAGCCCTTCCGGGCGAGGTCGAATTGGTTTCTCTGTTGGGCGCGGTCGAGTGAGTCCGAAGGTGTGTCAAAGCCTTGGACCACGCCGCCGAAGAACTCATTTATTGTTGCAGCAGATACCACCAGATGGCGGGCCAGTCGTGGGCAGGGAAGTATCTCGTGGCTTGGAGGTGCTGAGCACTCCGGAAGTGGCGGCTGCTGGAAGATAGATGTGTACTTCCCATAGGCCCATCGTGTGTCGTCGATGAAGAAGGCCCGTCCCTCCATCTCGGCCAGTCCATACGCAGTCCAGAGCATCATAAGCGTCCTTCCCAGGCCAGCATCGTCCGACTCTAGCACGAAGGTGAGACTCTTTTTGCACACCGGCTTATCCGCCTCAAATCGGCTCGCTGGGTTCCGGCGACTCCCCCTTCCGCTTGGGAGGTAGCCCGCCTTCTCGGCTTCCTGCACATCGACAAAGCAGTGGTCTGCCGACTCGGATCCAAATTTCAGAGAGACCGGGTGTAGCCCGTGACTGTGAGATCTCAACTGTTGAGTTCGCGCAGCCACCTGCCGGCACTTCGCGCACATGTCCGCATACTCGCTCATCGTCAGGGGGAAGTTGGAACCCGGCGGTATGGATACCGTCCACATTGCCTTCCCGCGACCGTCAGTCACAACGATCGGGCCTGGGCGATCCGGCGTTTTCTCTCGTGAGACCGTCCCCACCTCGGCCGGACCGGGCGGTCTCGAATGTTTATCATGGGACTCTGGGATCGGCTCTCCAAAAAGCCATGTGAGAACCTGTAGGGATACATAGAACACCGCGACGATGCTTAGAAGTCGGAGGGTGTACCGGATGGTCCTGAGAGGGCGTATGGTGCCGAAAAGTCCTCGGCTCGGTCTTCTGGCGGGCGGTGAAAGCGATGGAAGCCCCGGGGACGGCGGCGGGGAGAAGACCAAGTGGTTGAAGTTGAATCGTGAGGATGTTGAAGAAAGCGGGCCGCGGTCATGGTTATACGATGCCGCTCTGCGGAGGTTAATGCGAGGTGGCGATATCACTGCTTTGACGTGAGATGTGCCGCTAAGGTCGAGTTTTGGCGGCATGTTGGACGCAGATAGACCGAGCTGTACTGAGTAGGCCTAAGGGTACGAGGAGAGCCAGCTCTTGAAACGTGCTGTGGCATCCCTCGACCTGCCCGGTAGCCGAACAGAAAGCGAATGTGAATACCGGACGGTTTGGGTATTAGGAGCCCGTACGGAGAAGGCGAGGCCAGTCTGACGAGCGTTGATCCGATCGAGAAGACCGAGAACTGAATCCCCTTAGGGAGATATCATGCCCCAACTGCCGGATCTTAGACCAGTGACGGTGGTAAATGGAATACGGGGGAAACTTGGCTCGAGGTGTAGCGCGTACGGTTGCTCGCCTCTCGAGCCAAGAGAAGGCGGCCCGGTGCCAAACTTCTCCCTTTGGCGGACGACTTCGATTTCGGCGAGCCACGGTAGCCGACCAGCGCCACTCTAAGCCCTCGGGGGTTGAGGCTTCACTTTCGACTGCCCTGCTGATGGAATCTCGCTTGAGCTTTGGGCCTCAGGGGGGCCGGCCTCGGTTCACGAGCTTCAACAGTGATCAGCCCGTTCCTCACTGACAATGTGATGATCTTCCACAATAAATGAGAATCCCTAATAGCTATGCCCGTCGTCTAAATGGGGAATGACCGCTGAGTTAGACCTGACCCGTGAATGCTTGCGGTTGAATGAGGATCTGTCCGCCCTGGCGAGCCGATCCAGGGTTGACGTTGAAGTCAGGGAGAGGAGTGCTTCGTGCCATGAAGGAATAGTGGTTGGAACATGGAATGAAGAACCGTTTGATGGAAATTGTCTAAGAAAGCGGGGCAATCATGGCGGCCAACTGGCTCTTTTGAAGCGGGAGGAGTTGGCAAGAATGGGATGTCAAAAACGCGGAAGATCGCCGGAAGAGCACCTGCTCCCTTCGGACTGTGTCAGGAGGTATGGAGTGTCGATCGGCTATGAAGTGTCGCTTACACTACGGGGGCCCGGCGACGGGCCCGGAGTTGGTAACACGTGGATACCGTCGACATTACAGCATTCCGTCTGATCCGAGACACACATGCGAAGGGTGCGATTCAGGTAATCGAGGGGTTTTGGCATTCTTATCGATGGCAAACGACAATGTACGGATTACCCCGCGAGGTTCAACAATACGTAAGTGCGTCTTGCAAAGAAGGACCCTGAGAACTTTGGTCTGACCCGGTTTTCGTGCCGCAGACCAGAAGTGTCAAGAGACGAGGATCTCCAATTTGAGTTTCCTGATCCATTGGGAAGCGAACTGCGGTTCCCTGGCGGCAGAAGCAGAAGTCACCGACATCTTCGCTTGCTGAAAAAGGCAAGAGGCGGAACAGAGCCGATCGCCATTCCTGACCCCTGTCGTATTTGAAACGCACTAACCTGGTTTAGGCATCCAATCAACTTGCACAAAGAGGGCCGCTTTTTATCCAACAGGCTGGTGACATCCCGCATGACCAAACGGGCATCCCGTAACTTCACCCCACACCCGTGTGGCACTCATACAGTACCCTTCCCGTGATCCAAACACTGTGGCAGGATTGGCAACACGGTATCTGAGCCGGTCTGCCGGGAACGCTTACAGCAGGTCCCTCAAACCTACTACTTGTGTGTATACCGTGATCAAGTAAAAGGATACCTACCAGTCCTACCTAGGTATGTTCCGATGTAGACTCGCGATAGTGAATAGCACGCCGCCGTCCATGAGGATGTCGACTCTTCGAATCTGAAACTCACACCCTGCCGGGCATCTCCGCAGGATGTGGCACAAACTCGTATCATGGCCCTCTGGACCACACCTGTGTGAAAGACAATCCCGAGATACGGGCCGAGAGAATGAATACACTGAGTCAACTCCGTCACCGGTGGCACCGTGCTCTGTGCCAACAACAACAACCCCTGCCAAAACCTGCCTACAACACGGAGGAGGAATACAAGATGGGCAAGGCAGATACATCAAGGAAATCAACCTCAAGGTCGTCAAAGCCGCTCCATAGGAGTGTCCCTTCGTCACAGTCATCCGCTCGCTCTTACCACTCCCGGATCAAAATGTGTATGTCCAGATGCGACTGTATATGCTCGCTCAGCGCTGCGCACGAGTAGTAGCTTTCAGGTATGTCCCGCGCGTTGCAAGGTAGTCACTCCCGAAGTCGAAACCGAAGTCTCGTGTCACTCTCATTGTCGTTGGTATCCATTATCGAACAATTCAGTCCCTCAAAGTCGGCACCGGGTGTAAGGAATTCCTGGTCATTGGGTCCGGTGCGGCCACTAAGCGCCGCCACAACATGAAAGGGGCTTCCACGATGGAAGAAAGCAGCTGTTTTATGCTGTGTCGGAATGTAGATGCCAGTCCCGGAGGTGACACAGGATATTTTGTCGGTTTCCACCGACTTATCAAAGAAGGCGTCGGTCAAGTCGTCGAGCGCGAGTCCCTCTGGCGACAGGCAGGGACTTCTTTTGTTCAGCCAGTTCTTTACGGAGTAGCCAGTACTCGCGGCCCGTTGTTGTCTCCTTGGGCTGGGGGCTTCAAAGGCCAGCTTGGGTCGGTTACAAATCGAAGGGCTGAATAATCCCACATGATGAAGATACCGAACGATGTATGTCGATAGAATGCTAGAGGGAGTAATAGTCTTTGTGCTAGGAGGAAACGGTCGGGTGCCGAGCCACCTCAGCTTCCATTATTTGGCTTCCAATAGCCGTTATAGCCCGCCACGCCGGCTTGTGTAACTAAGGTATGCCTTGAGATGGGCCGGCACCAATCTCCAAAATGGTTGTACAAGTACAACTTGTACGTATCCGTACCTCGATGCTTCCATCTCAAATCTCAAAAGCAGTGGATCCACTGATCGGTCCCGGCCCGACCCTCGGGTCCGGAGTTCCTACCCTCTTCGGGCCGCCAGCGGTTCCGATTTTGGTTCATCTCTGCAGGATGCCGTTCTGTCATCTCACTCGGGTAGGTTCGCAGGTCCTAAAAAGGGAAGGGGAATATTGGTAGCCTGCCGTTTGTGTAAGGTTCTTCTTGACCTCCTAATCAACCATCGTGCCAAGTTTCAACCCGCTATGACAGCTTTTTTTCTTTTTCTTTTTGCCGCAGAACCGACTTGCATACCACCAGGTGGATATAGCTCGACCCCCGATGCAGAGATACTAGACAGGAAAAGAAAGGAGCTTATTGACTGGAGATGAAAGAACGTGTGTCCGTTTGGAGCATGAAACCAACGAGCTAATGGCAATATCAGTGTTATGCACCTTTCCAGGGATCCTCCCGTGCCGCTAACTCGGCTGACCCGTCTCTGCAAGCACGATTCCAGGTGCACAAGAGCATTGCAGCAGCCAACGGAGCCAAAGATCTGGCGGATTTATTCCGCACCGATGGAGCACTGTTCCTGGTGGTCTGCTGGCAAAAGGAAGACCCAGGAGGCTCAGCACTTATAACCATTGCCGCTTCCCCTTTATTCTCTCACATGCCTCTTGCTCTTCCTGCCTCAGCTTGTGGTTGCCCACTGCCACTAAAGTTCGATAACCAGCGCCTCGATCGTTTGTTCTGCAAATCGAACAGAAAGGGACAACAATGCAAAGGTCATGACGCTCGAACAACAGAACGATCCACAGAGTGGCACTTAACCAAGATATATTCGTCGTGGCGTGCTTGCTCATCCCATCAGAGAGCCAACCCTTCATCGACTCATTGTCATTCCCGTCACCTTTGACTTCCCCCACCTCACTCCTGCTCCCTTTTAACATTACTTAGATTTGATACAAGTTACACTGCCGAGCCCTTGTGGAATAAAAAAAAAGCGGGCTACCGGTCCCGAGACCTTTTGGGGCAGAGGAAAGGATCTCCTAACGAAGATCAAAAAAAAAAAAAAATAGAGGAAAGAAAAAGGTCCGTTCCCCCTAAAGCCAACTAGGAGAACAAGAATAGAAGGGATGAAAGTAAAACAAAAGACCCGGGTATATAAGACAAGGTACAACCAGTCGACACAAGAAAAGCCATGAAACCAAAAAGAAGATAAGTATCATCCATTCCCTCCAGATTCGTATCACGGATACCCAAATCCCAATCGCGTCGAACCGAAAGTCAGCCCCTGAGCTTGGCTCGTGAGAAACGCGGCCAACCGCCCGAAACCCCTACGACAAAAATAATCCCCCCTCAAGCCCCCAACGCCATCGACTTTTGCGGCTCAGACATCAACGACGTCCTCTGCCGGGACAAGAGTTGGAGCTGGATCGGCGGAGCCGCAGGCGGACTCGCAGGCGGCGGGCCCAAAGGAGGCAAAGAAGGGGTTGCCTCTTTGCTGCTGCGTACGCCGTGTTCGGACGCAACCCTCACACTACCCCGCGAACCGCGGATGAGCTGGCCGCTCTCGACCCGGTCCTGGATCATCTCGTCGAGCATCCTGCTCATCTCGTCGACGCTCTTAGTCCGCTTCCGAAGATAAGAGACCTGCCTCAACAGCGAAGGGGCGGCGGGAGGGCTTCCCGTTGGCGCAGGGCCCGGGTCACTGTCTAGGATCTGCGACGTCCGGACTTCCGACCTTGACTCGACGCGGTCGGCATTGTCGCGCGACCGCGCCGCGCTGCGCAACGCCGCAAGCATCCGGTCTTTGTCGTCGAGGCGGGCTCGGAGCTCTGCGATTTCCGCGTCCTTCTCTTTGATGACGGCCGAGACGCTGTGGTCTTCGCCAACCATGATTCCTTTGGTCCCAGTCAGTCCGGACGAGGTGCGCGACGAGCTGGCGCGGCGGGCCTGCAGGAGTCGTTTCTCCAGCGTCTGGATATATCGGTTCTTATCGGCGAGGTCGGCTTGGAGCGCACGGTTCTGCGCTGCGAGCGACGCCGTCCCGTCTCCTAACTCGCCCATGCTGTCATCTTCCTCCGCCACGGGCGCTTCCGCGCCTCCAGATGACTGATGACTCCCCGACTTCCGGCCGATGGTGGAGGCACTCGAAGTCAACGAGGCTGACCTCTCGAGTGACAGATTGCCTGCGTGCGAGGCTACCATGGACGATCTGATGGACGATTGTGAGTACCGGGGGTGCATGCCGAGGGAGCTGAAGGATCCGCTCGCGTTGACCCCTATCGACTTTGAGCTGAGAATAAGCCGGTTGAGATGGTCTATCCTCTCCTTCAGCGCGGTCCGGGCCAGCTGCATCTCCAGCATCTGTTCTTCGTGACGCATCTCGGCCTCCTTCTCTCTCGCCCGCTCCTCCTCCGCGTCGCGCTCTTTCTCCTCGTCGACCTCCTTCTTACTGTTGGCTTTCGCCTGGGCCTCGAGCTCCTTCCTCAGCTCCATAATCTCCATCCGGTAGCGTTCAAGCAGAACTCTGGCACCTCCATCTCCGCCCGCACCCAAGGCTTCCTCGGCACGCTTGGCATGGCTGACGATGTTGTTCTTCGCGCGGGACGCGAACTTTAGCGTGTTGAGCGTCTCGTTCGCGTGCGTGTTGGATGTTGCAGCGCTTCCAGCAGAGCTGACGGCGATGGTGCAAAGAATGCTGACCAGGGAGTTACCGGACAGCGCACCTTGCAGCAACCTGGTAAGCTTGCTGTCGCGGTAGGGCAGGTGCTTCCCGTCCTTGTCGGCCGGTTTCCCATCCTTGTCCTTGTGCTCGGAAAGTTTGGCAATGACGGTGCCGAGGGTGAGCAAGCTTTTGTTGATGTGAGAGCCTTCTTGACGCCGCTCTTTCGACTCGGCCGCCTTTTCCGAACCGGCAAGGTCAATCAAGCTGAGCGTGGACACACGGACACCACCCGGTGGGAGGCCTGAACGTTTGCCGTCTCCTGGGCCGCCCGGAACCCGTTCCCTGCTCTCCACCACGATCTGCACGACGGCATGACTCCGGGAACTCCTGGCGTTGAATTGGGTGCTCGCCGTCCTGCGAGCTTGGTCGCCACGGGCAATCACACGGAGGAGCTGTGTCGGGCTCTGTACGATCTCCTCCTTTAGAGGACTCGCATAAACTCCTCTTTTGCTGTCCTCCCGCAGCTTGATTTCCTCCTGCTGCTGGGCACCATTGCCCGCAGCCATGCTCAGCAGATCGTGGATCTTTTCGTTGTAAATCTCCAGGTAGCTGACGCGAAGTAGGAACTCCCTGGATGGCGTCTCGCGAATGTAGGAGAAGATGTCGGTAATGGCGAGGGGAATTACGCCAGGCGAAGATGCTGTACCCTGCATCGAAAAAGTCTTTCCTGTTCCGGTCATGCCGTAGGCGAATACGGTTCCGTGGTAGCCCTCCATCACCCTCCGTACCAACCGCTTTGCGATATGGTCATAGACTTTGGAGTTGTCATCGTGGGCCGCAAAGACGTTATCTGCGGCGAGCGAGTCAGCCGGGAACCGTTAGCATCCTGTTCTGAAGGTCATACCGTAGTAGTAGTCTCCTCCTTCCTTCCCCCTGTACGCAATCAAGGACTTCTTTCCATCGACCAACCACTCGCTATCCCCCCGGTTGTCATTACCGCCAAGGTCTGGCCGCACTCTGACGCTGACGATAACGTTGCCCTTTCCGTCAGCCTTCGAGGCACGCTTTCCAGCTGTTGTGAGGTCGGACTTTTGCGGTGCCACATCGTTGACATCGTCATATTGGGTTGCTGAGGTGGAGTAGGAGTCCTGTGCGGAGGAGCTGCGGCTTTGAGGGGGCGACGAGATGCTGATCAAGCCATCCGAATTCCTCGTCGGGGCGGAGCGTGACACCGACTTGCCCTCACCGGTCCCGTTGAGAAGACTAGGAGTTCCGTTCGATAGCTGGTACGTGGGCGTAGTAGGCGTTCTCAGCTTTCGCGAAGGGACGCTTGTAGACAACGGACTGGGTGGAAGGCTGGATATTCGGCCATCTCCACGAGGAGGTTGTGGGAATGAATTGATGCTGACTGTCTTCCGTATTGTCTTGCCCGCGGCATTGAACCCTGAGGATAACCGTGGACTAGGGAGGCCCCCGGTGGGAGCAGGTGAGGCGGGAGGAAGCAGACTTGATGAGGGAGCTCGAAGGCCGCTTCGGGGCGTCTTCGGTGTAGGCTTGCTGGAAGGGGCTCCTAGATTGCCGGTGCTTTTCCTGGTCTTGGGTACGGGGAGTGCGGGAAGCGCTATCGTCGGCGGAGCATTGGAGGGCCGAGGCGGCCTCGGAAGCGCTGTCGACATATCGACCAATCTGCTCGGTTGGTGCTGAGCTCCTGTCTGACACAAAGCGTAAGAGCCAGGAGATGTTGACTATGACTGCGCTACGACCGGGGTTCTGGCTCGGCGACGCCTGTTGACATTGCAGGTGGTGGCTCGGGGAGGTGGGTATCGATCGCGACTAGCTCCCAGCTGTCAAAACCGGGCGGTCTATACGTGTCTCAAGGCGGTGATCCCCGTCGGATCAGTGTCGAGAACGGAATCGTCGTTAGGGCACCGTCTCAGACGAAACGAATTGCGAGACACTATGGCGTTGTTCGGTGTCAAAGGCAGGCGGAAAAAACTCGCATAAGCGACGGACGGTTGTCTGGAGTTGTTCGGTCAGTGGCATGTGGGAATACGCTACCAGAACACCAGCCCCGTACCAATTTCTCCGTGTTTTGGTTCGTTGTTGTTTTTGCGTATGGCAGAATAATGCGAGACACTGCGCCCGCCGATTGGGTTGCGTTATCGTGTGCCTGCACTCCGGAGCAGGTCAAGCAAGCAGATCTCGGCTGAATCAAAAATTGAAGAACACCAGAAGCGACCAAGCTTTGAATGAACGACGGTGGTGTTTAGCGAGCGTGGAGCAGGTGCTGCAATCCGTTTCTGAGGCAAGGATGGAAGCCCAGGTTGTGGCGTGGGTCACGGCGTTCGGAACGAGTCCCGAAGGCAGCTCGGGGGCACGACTGCGGAGAACTCGAGTTGCAAAAACAAGTGGGGAAAGAAGGATGGCCGGGCTGTCGTCTTGTCGGGGGGGAGGGGGACCCGATAACTCGACCTCCGCGTTGACGCCTGCGGCACCGAACTGGCCCAGAATTGGCCCGAGCGCAGGGTAGTAAGTCGAGTTGTGTCAAGTGAAACAGAGAAGGGATACCAAGATCGGACAGAATTCCACGATGTCAAAGTGGCCGAGAAACAATAGGCGCCCGAGCCAGCGTGAGGTCCGGCCCTGGCGTCAAGATCTCCAGCAAATGATGGCAGGGATGCTGAACAAAAGGGATCGCGCCCAACGCAACCCTGCTGAACTTAAGGGGACTCGAAAACGAGTGAACGGCCGGGACACACAAGACACTGCTGGTCGGTAAGCGGGATGCTGGCGAAGAACGCAGCGGGGTTATGGACGAACGTGCGGCGGTGGATGCAGAGCCGATCGATTACCAGCAAGAGAGCGTCGCGAGTCGCCAGAAGCCCGAAGCTCGAGGTGTACCTATGGCGTGCCGTAATCAACGGCTGTGGAAGACGCACTGCAATTGTGCGAATAGGTGCGGATGAGGGTAGGTCGTGACACAGTCCGTCCGTTCTCTCCCTCGATCGAACCGAAAATAGTACTCTCACCAGCCGGTGGTTGCTGAGTCGGAGACGACAAGGTGCGTTTCGAGAGGGAGGAATGAGTGGGCAGATCTTCCCTTTTCCCCTTTCTCATTGGGATGTCCCGTCTCCCGGGGAGCGCTTCTTCTGTCTGACCCCTGGTTTCCTCTCCAAAATTCGCTGCCCATGGCACTGTGGAGCCCTCAAGTCCCTGGTTCGGACGACTCGAGCCATTGGTTCATCTCGTCAAGAAGCAATTTCAACAGATCATCAAGTGGCCCCTGCTGATCCCTGCTAGCGCAACCCCGGCCGGACCAAGCCGTTTCTGGTTAAGACAGGTTTGCTATGTCTGCATGAGCCACGCCAAGGGGTCGGCATGCAATCTTGTTAGTGTTGGATTGCCGGGACGGGAGCTTGTGAGAATTGCGAATTGGGCTCACCCCACGCGCGATACTCTGCCGGTTGATGAAGGTGTAATCCGTACAAGCACATACATTTACAATGGAAGTGACCAAGGTCGACAAGCACAGCAAGGCAAGGACTAAAAGACCTGGGCGCAATAAGGGCAGTACACAGTACCTACATCTGGACAGCATCGCTCCGCGACCAGTCGGGTTTGCAGCTCGACACTAGCTAGGCACACAGGCGGCGCGGAAGGATCAGCTTTTGACTGCCCATCACATCGCACACCTCTTGATGAGCGTTGCATTGGTTCCTGGATGAATGTCGGGTATGGTGGGGCGTGGGGCATTGAGGGCTGCTGGCAGTCGCGTGTAAAAGACGTGCCGCAGTCCTTTCCTCGTGTCGTGTACTGGTACACATTCCATTCCTGTGCAGGTCGTTGAGACGCCGAAATAGCGTATGGTACTTCTGTGGTAAAACGTCCCGCTCGAAGACATCGGTAATTCGGCTGTATGTAACCTGGAAAGTACTAGTATGTAAGGTATGTATCTGAGGCCGGCCCTACGGGAACTCAGCCCCGGGCGCCCTAGGAAACCGTGGGGCGAGCCGCTGTATGTAGAAACAGGCTCAGAGACAACGTGGGGTGGTCATTACACAACAGTTGAAAAGCGGGCTATCTCGCTCGTGAAACCGCCTGCTTTGGCCGAGGCTCGGACCGGATCTGAGAAATCTGCTAACTCACTCGGTGCCACAGGTCTGACAAGACAAGAGAAAGCCACTGGAGAGGGTTTGGGGGGACAATTCCACTGATCGCCGAATTCGTCGGTGAGCACACCGAGCAGGGGGGCCCAATTGGTGCCTGCATGAGCTGCAGGCTGCAGAACAACCTCGTGTGCAGGCCCAGGGTTCCATGCCTTGCCGTCACTCGCAGCAGCTGAGGATCTGAAATGCAACTTCATCAAATTGATCAACACACACTCCAACCTCAACAAGCGCGCAAACCCATAACTAATGGTACCTTGGTGCACTAGTTACAGTGTAAAGGTGCCGTATCCGCCTCGGCCCACGTTGTGCCCTAACTCTGTATACATACAGTATACTTAGTACTAAGAGCGACGATCGACATATCAACGCACGCGCTTAAATCATAAAACCAGCCGACTCTGATTAGGTATTTATCGCGGCATATGCGTGGAATGCTTGGATATCCGGTGGGCTTCGATATTCTCGCCTGGCCGGGTGGACGGGTCTTCAATCAGCCGCTATTGAGACACTTAGCCCTCTGAGAAGCTCGGGTTTACATGGCACAAACAGCCGAAGCGTGAGGAGTCAGACGTTAATGGCTCTCTCCGGCTTAAACGTCATGCATGCATGCTGCAGGGGATGCGTGCCAGTGGTTGAAGGGAGTAAGGTAAGATACTTAGGTACTTAGGGTCCCTAGTTATGTAGAGTCTAGTTGAACCAGGGCCGACTCCTACAGCCCAGGAGAGCTTCTGACGAGTTCAAGGCCACAAGAATGCCTTTATCCCATATAATAATCCGTTTCTATTCATGTTTCAGAACCAAGTCTGCAGTGGTTGGAATGAGGGTCTACAGTATAACTATGTTGCTATCCGGGATATCTAAACAAACAGGCCACTCTGTAACACGCTCTGTTGCGTTTCAGGTTCTGAAGCTTTAACGTTACCCCCTCTTGCGCAGAACCTACAGTCTGCCGTAGGTATAACGCAGGGTTCCCCGTGGTTGAACTTTCTATGCTTCTTCTGTGTGAGCTGGCTACCTGGACCTAGTCAGTGCCTGCAGTCTGGGCTCGGGATTTGTATCAGATCCAGCCCGACAGCCGGGGCCACATGCTTAGACCAAGCGCACGCCCCGTCCGACACTGCGCGTATCAAAAACCTCGACCAGGCCAGCGCCCACGGCTTCCTGCAGCACCCAGCCGAAGGCCAGCCCGTGGAACTGCTTCCACTTCTTCGTCCTTCCGGGCATGACTCCGGCGAACTCTCCGCGCGCCTTCTTTGCCAGAGTGGCATCGCTGCTGCCAACGACGCCCCCATCCCACTTCTCGCGGAGATCCGACTCCGACATCTCCCGGTGCTGCGTCTTATGGAGCAGTTCCGCAAGGTGCTCGACTGCCGCCGACGCCAGCTTGAGAAACACCCCGCTCCCAGGCACAGCAACGCTGAACTCCCCAGCCACCGCGCCGGACCCTCCCATACTCCGCGCCCCCGTCCCGCCGGCGGCATGTAAGACGCGCTCCCCGCCCACGGCGGCAACCGACCCCGCCGCCGCGCGCGCGACCGCCTCCAGGCTGATCATGGCATACCTCTCCTCCGGCCGGGCATACAACCCCTTCCCTCCTCCACCACTGCCCTGCTCATGACCAGCAGTCAAGAACCCGGCTCTAACCAGCGCATCCACTTCACCAGCCCCCAACCCAACAACCCCCCCGAGCTCCCCCCGGGAGATCCTCACCGCAGCAGGGTGATCCCTCAACCAGCGCCCAAATATCTCCTTGACCTCCGCACCCAACCCCGCCGCCCCCTCAACCATCCTGCCCAGAGCCTCGCTCGAGATAAACAACTCCCCAGCCCTACCACCCACCCTCCTCAGCGTTGGGATGACGATCTTCCTCGCCAGTCCGGCACGCACCAGCGCAGCCATGGCGCGCTCGGCCGCCGCGGGCGAGGGCGAGGGCGAGGGCGGCGCGCCCGGCGTCGTGGTGGTGGCGAGGGGGAGGAGGAGGAGGAGCTGAGCCTGCAGGTGCGCGACCGACACGAGGGGCGGGAAGGCGGCGCGGAAGCGGGCGGCGGCCGCGATGCGCGCTGAGCCCAGGCCTGCGAGGTTGGGCGGGAAGGGGTCGAACATGCTGTCGAGGATGTGCTGGTGGATTTGGAGGGTAGGGTTCCTGCTGGAGGGAAGGGGCGTTGATGATGATGATGATGATGAGGTTGGGTTGCTGTTGGTTGCTGCTGAGGGGAGAAGGGCAGGCGGAGGGGAGGGACCGGGGTTCTCTTCTGATGATCGGCCATGGCCGGGATCAATAGGGGATTGTGGTGGTACTAGTAGTTTTGAAGGCGCCGCGCCGGGCTTGGTCTGGGCGAGTGTGGAAGTCCATGAGGATGAGGAGCGCTTATTAGCGGAAGAGGTTCGTTTCTTGACGCGGGAACCACCGAGGATGGAGCGTAGACTTGGACTCTGAGTCATGACGGTAGTGCATAAGGTAGGTGTGGATGAAGAAGGAAGTTTGTTGGGTTTGGGTGATGAACTGCTCGTGCCTGGAGGTGTTCGAGAGTTAGTGGGGTTCGTTTTGTCCTGTCCATTGGAGAACGACACGGCCCTTTGGTGCCTGGATTGTGGCAAAGTGTAACGAACCGCTCCAGAACGATTACCAGTTATTAGGGAAGTATGTGGAATGAGTCAAGAATGTTCTGCAATGTTACGTGCTGCAGTTCAAATTATACTACACGACCTATTATCGTTTTTATGCATCAAATTCATATACAACAGTGCACCACCACAAGGCGTTACTACTTCAGTGCTAAACGAGCGCTCCCAACCCTCCTCTCCTGGCGCTAGCTTGTTGACAGCTTCTTGTTTGTATTTGTATTAGGCACCCCTTGAACAAACCATTCAGGGTTTGGACGACGACTGCGGAGGATCAAGGGTATTGGTGTGCCTGATCATGACGCCCATTCTCTCGCTGGTAAGCTTCAGCGAGATCCTCAACAGCTCCTGTGCGACGTCCGGCTCCTCCTTCTGCAGCCTGGTCCAGTTCTCCAGATCCATCAGCCACACGACGCAATCCCGCTCCACCACGCACGTCGCCGTCCGGGGCGTCTCGGAGAAGAAGGGCAGCTCGCCGCACGTTGTGCCGGCCATTATGCTCTCGAACAGCCAGCCCTGCGGCAGGTCGTACTCGGCCCGCAAGATGCCCGTCTCGATCAGGTAGAAGTTCTCGGCGCGCTCGCCGCGGCGGAACAGGACCGTCCCCGCCGCGTACTCGGCCCGCCGGAAGTATCGCACGGCGCGGAACCAGAAGTCCTCATTCTTGTCGCTCACGTCGCGGAAGATCTGGAGCATCAGGCGAAGCGGCTCGTTAAAGTTCCGCCAGCGCGTCGGCCGCTTCGATTCCACGTGTCCCAGAGACACGCGGGCCGCTTCACGGAGCTGCGCGCGTCGGGGCGAGGACCCGAGCATATCCGGTGATTTGGCGGTCGCCGGTTGGTCCGGCACATCCAAGTTGGCCGTCGGGGCGGTACGCGCGTCAGGGGACCCTTCTCGGTTGGCGTATAGCGTCTTGAGCAGTTCGTTCTCGCAGTACTCGAGCGCCGAGTTGAGCTCGGGCAGGAGCTTGACTTCGATGCCATCCTCACCAAGGCCGACGGCCCTTAGGTTCCGTCCCAGACCGCGTGCCGGGTCAACGCCGCTGATGACAAGTTCCACGTCCTTCCCGTCGAGCAAGCGGCTGATGGTATTGAAAACTTCAGCCGCCGAGTAGTCGATGCCCGAGACGAGCCACAGGTCGAGGATCAGGAACTTAATGGGATGTTTGGCGAATTCCTCGTCGGCAACGAGTGCCCGGATCCGATCTTCCACGCCGACGATGGTCCCGAAGAACAGATACCCCGACAGCTTGATGATGCTGATCTGGCAGCCAACTTGCCTGAGGTAGTGCTGCTGGGTCGGGTTTCGCCGTACGGTCGAACCTACCACATCACCGGAATAGCTGGCTCGGATGGCCGACACCCTCGACGTCTGGAAGGTCAGCGACGCAAACGCCAACAGAATGCCCACGCCAATTCCAACCACGAAGTCGTAAGTGCCCATGACGAGCACTATCGCTATTACGGTGAAGTACTCCACCGGCTTCAGTTTCTTCCTCGGCTGCCACACAGCCTCCAGGAGCAGCTCGAAGCCCAGGTCGAAGATCAAGACACCGACCATCATGACGGGGATGAAGCCGATCAGCGAAGGACCGACCAGCATCACCAGAAAGGTGAACACTGCCAGTTCAAACCCGGCCAGTCGGGTGTTACCGCCCGAGCGCATGAAGAATAGGCTGTTGGAATAGACGAGGTAGTTCTGGATACTGCCTGCCACACCCGAGAAGAAATTCGAGTATCCGTGCAGCTTGAGCTCGTGGTCGAGATTCGCATGGTCCTCGCCCGTGTTCAGAGCCAGCGCGGGCACGTTGATGGGAACGTGCAGGATACCAAAGAAGGTGAGCGCAAGCATAGCCGGGATACACTGTACGATGGCGCTCCAGTGCACCTGGTTGAATTCTGCAACAGCGTCAGTTTCTAAGACTTTGCTGTTCAAGGAAGTAGAGAAGGGAGATCGTACTGTAGAGAGTATAGAAGTACCACCACGGCTCTCCAGCAGGCGGGCCGTCGAAAATCCAGCCCCCGCCTCTCAGTCTGTCCGGATCCAACACATCTCCGACAGCGGCGGAAGCGTAGAAGACTGCGGGGATGGCGAGAATGTACAAGGGCAAGAAATATTTCGACGCAATCCTGGACTGGCCGTAAAAGAGGATGACGGCTAGAATAAGGGGGATCATCCAAAGCGGTACCGTGTCCGCTTGCATGAGCTTCTTGAGCGTATCGAGGTCATAATTGAGATTCCCGTCTATCCGTGCTGTCACTTCAAACCCCGTGGCGATTAGGAACCACCCGACACCCCCGATACAGCCGATCAAGATGTGCCGCGGGATGAAGCCGACGAGATAACCGAACCTGAACTTGCCCATCAGATAGAAGACGGCGCCCGTGAGCATAGAACTCAGCGCGTATGAGGTGATGGTCGTAGCAATGACCGCATCGGGCTTGTCCTCTCCGACAATATCGGTGATGGTAGCAGCCATGTTGTGAAAAAAGGGGACAACTTCGATCAGCTCGGAGCCAACTCCGCCCCTGAAGATGCTCCCCGAGGAGAAGATCAGCTGGGAAACGATGCAGCTGACGTAGAACATGGAGATCCCGGCCGAGCCTAGGCTCTCAAATATAGGGCTCCCTAGGGGAAACAGAATCATGCCTGCGCCTCGTCAGCATGTGAGTAAGCCAAGTGGTATCCTAGGTCATACTCACCGTATGATAATGCGTCTAGGATGTTGAGAAGCAGACCGACAATGACGGCGGGTAGACAAGCTACTGGGGCAACCATCGCATTCTGCCAGATGGCGCGACGATCCCAGCGCTTTGGATGACCAACTATGGAGAGATTGGTTGCCACCCGAGCCCCGGTATTCCGGACAAAATCGGCGGTCCTGGCAAACCACTTCCTCCGATGTGGTTGCTTTTGGCCCTCCAAGTCAGCGCCACGGCCGCTTTCCTGATGGATTCCGTAGCCTTGTGGACTTTCTCGAGAGCTCGTGGCCAGCAACGGTGACACTTCGCTTGCGTCCTGGGCACTATCGCGGCGCGCCGACGCAGGCCGTGCTTGAATGGTTGGCGCTCCGGATCGGGTTTCCTGACCGTCGCCTTCGCCATCCACGACTGGACTGCCATCCTCGGGCCCCTGATCCTCCATTAGCGCATAACTATGGCCCGCGTCTTGCGGCGATCCCCTAAACATCGTGGTGAGCATCGAGCGGCCGTCGGCTGGACGTTCTGCGTGCCCTTCTGACGGGGAAGGAGGCTCCGTCACCTCGCCTATGGTTCGGGATGGCTTCGCAATGCCCGCGTCGTGGCCTGCCAGTTCAGGAGTGCGACGTATTGCTTGGGAGGAAGAAATAGACCGTGCTCGGCGAAAGAATTGGGTGCCTTTGCCGTCCTTCTTGTCAGAAAGGAAGTAGTTGGCGAGCTCCGCCGTGTCCTCGCGGACGGAGCGCGCCTCCTGTGCACTGTCGAGCGGTGCTGGTCGAGTGGATTAGATTAGCTGTTCGGTGCATCGATAGTTCGTCATGGCACACTCACCTAAGTGTCCCCTGACGGAACCATGGATAAAGGACCTTATGGGCTCGCGGTGGCTCACAGAGCCCACGGATGACGAGAGTTGCCTTGCATCGTTGCTGGGATTGGGTCGGCATTGGAGATGGCTTGAAGCTGCAGGCTGAGCTTCGTGGTGCGAGTGAGAGCCCTGAGAGGACACTGACGGCCGCCTCATCGCCCCGGAGGGTGAGCCAAGAGTCGGGGACGACATTGTGCCAGACCCGCAGAACGGGAAGCTGCTCAAGGTGCCGTGTTGAGTGGGCCAGTCAATGGCTGCGCATCACGTTCCGCAGGCCAAACGACACAGCTCCCTGGAATGGCGAGAAGGTGCAAGAGTATAGCGCAATGCCCGAGCCGGAGGAAAGAGCATGGAACCGGACACCCGGCCCAAGTTAGTGTTTACGGGGCAGCAAAATTATCTCGATTTCCTGTAGGAGGTGAGAGACAGCCGTTCAATTCTCATCGAGCTCCAAGTTGTCGTGCGGTGCGCAAAGGCGAGAGATAACAGGCTGCCATTATAAACCGCGATATGGATAAGGAGCAAGGTTAGGTAGGTATTTTCAAGTCGAGTGGGCCCAGGTCCGCTTGATCGCAACCGGCAAGTTTGGACCTAAATAAACTAGCATCTCCCAACGCATGCCGTAAGTATTGCCCAACTCCAGGCTGTCTGCGTCGACGTTGTCCCATTGTCCAGCTCTGAAGGTAGCAGCAAGCTCTCAATCTGGAAGCGATCCAAGGCCTCGAACATTGGCCGTGCGCGGGATGGTGGGGCAGAAGCTCAGGAGATGCTGTGGGAATGATGCAATGACAGTGCGAATTGATGGTGAGACAAGAGAACCCACTGTATGCTTGAATAGATGGTACTGCCTGTAAGGTATTGTATAATACGAAGTATTGCTTCCGGCGTGCTAAATTTTAGCATAGCCTCAGATGAGATCCAATTCCTCCCATTGCCTTCTTCACAATGAGAGTCTAGGTACTAATGTCGATTCGACATCTCCTCGTGAGTTGTCTCGCAAATAACTCGCCCTCTGCTTGGATACAAGATGGATACTGTGTATCCCACTGTGAGACGTCTTTCAATGGTCGAAAGGCGTAGCACTGCATGTGAGCGGTATGCACGTTGAAGCTTCCGGACCATGCTCGTCGTGGGTCGTACAGATTGGTCGCGTGAATATCAACCAAGCCGGCAGAAGCCGCGTGACAGGTTGCGAGTCGCAGCAGCGGACGGATGCCACATCTTAGGGTTCAAGTTGTTGATATGCCCTACACTCTGCAACCTAGGAGCAATGCTATCACGAGGCGTTTGTGGTGCATGCTCCGAGGCTGCACAAGCAAATGCGATTCATACTTTTGTCGAATGTTCGATGCGTGGGGTTGCCGTAGAAATCCGGTATTCCACTGAGACGGACGTTCATCCAAGCTTTTGGAGGTAGCCCTGGGCAATCAAGCGTTCTACGTCTCCCTGTCGGACATAGAATTGACTGTTTTTCGTCAAGTTGATAGCACTGCAAGTCTAAATCAGCCTTGCATCATCCACACGGAACCCTCCGCAGCTTACCCATATTCAGTTTGGATCTCTCCGGCGTCCTTCAAGACGCGCACGTCGATGAACAGGTCTCTTGGGGGGTCGAGGCTCCCCGTCAGGTCAATGTCTGTCCACTGCCCCTTATACGCAGCCAGTAGGTCTCCGTACTGCCGGAAATAGTCCTCTTCCTGCGGGCTCAGACTGTTGCTTGGGCCGGCACCGGCGGCGGCTGCACCGTTCGCAGCGCCTGCTTGCGGTCCCGCAAGGTCGAGAGGGTCGGCTCCATTCCAAACCAGCTCCTCTAGCTTGTCGGTACGTGTTCGATGGTAGGCAAGTAGGCAGCGCTTGTTCCTGCGCATGGAAAGGTGGTTGACCAGCAGGGTGCACGCCGTGGCCTGGTCTGCTGATGGGTCGAATGATCCTTGGAATGGCTCAAGCAAGCTGGTCACGTCTTTGTGCAACTCCCGCACCTCGCGAGTTACGGCACGAACCAGCTCGGTCTGATACGGCGGCAAGTGCGCTAGGTTTTGTGTCCGCTTTGCGTGTTGGACCTGGGTTACCTTTGTCAGCACCGGTAATGAGAATCTCTGGAGTGAGACCGCGACAGACCAGCTTATTACCTAGGTCTCCGTATATGGGCATCTTGACAAAGTACCGTTTGTCTTATCAGATATGGTATGTAGTAGTTTTCAAACATCAACGTGCCTGGGCTCAGCGATCCGGCTTTCAAAGGGTTGGGGGTAAGGGTGAAGTTGTGAGGCGCGTGAAGTTTCCCAAAAGGCATCAACTGCAGCTGACGCGATTGGGCGGCATTGTGTCCCCACCAATCTACACAGTCGACCTCAATACACATTGTGCTGCCACAGAGCGGAAAGCTTCAGGTTAGGTGTCTATAATAACCAAGCCTTATACGTATTTTTCGATAACACCTAGGAGCAGTCTCATAATAATCCAGCTTCAATAAGGCTGCAGCCGTGTCCAATGCTCATAACTCGAGGTAGGAAAGTCTCATAATTACCTACCCGAGACAGGGTTCTGCCGGTTACACTTACACACACGTCTCAGTTACAAGTCAAAAAGCACACTCACCGGCCTATGCGGCAGTATTCATCTGCTGTATTTCAAGTATCCGATCAACTAAACAGGGTTTCGTCGAGTCTAACAAAGGAGGCCAAAATGCGACGGGTAGGGTTAAACTCTTCCATCTGTCTTGGCGAAATGCTCTACACAATAATACAAGTTCCCGCCTGGAAATCGGCCTAGCTAAACTCTATCTGACGAGAGACAACAAACACAACAGTGCTAGTCCAGCGGGACAACTGTCAAAATTAGGATTGGACACTATGGACAGACAGAGTTAGCCGAAGTCTATAGCACTGCTCAAACCATGCCAGTGTCCAGAAACATAGGGTCAGAAACGCATGTCAATGCTCGGTTTTGTCGTCATCTGCATGTCTTGAGGCTGCTTGGTAACACGGACCAATATGGATCATCAGGGAAGAATGAAGCTGGAAGAGATATCATAGCAATACGGGAAAGCACATACCAGCTTGAAGATACACTGCCGTGTTTCACATAGACCACGGGCAGGTATCCAGAGCATATGAAGTCCACCGTCGGGTGAAGGCCGCAACGTGCAACTGAACGTTGTGGCTCGACAAGAAGAATGTGAAGGAGGAAGATTGCAGGTGATTGTTGAAAATGTTGTTTAAAAAGTCAATAAAGCGCACGGACGCTGACCCACTCTAGCTGTGAGCTGCCTCCGATAAGATAAAGAAAGTTGGTGGGTCTTTTGGAAACTGCGAGAGCTTGCTGCAAGCTTCGGGTCTCTCCATTCTCTACACCAGGAGGTGTTATGAGCTCGCCACGACCCTGAAGCTTTAAATCCTGTGTGATGCCGAGCTACATCGGTGGATACCCGTCGATGTGACCGTCTTTTCTCATATAAGTGGACATGTTCAAGTGCGCAACCATGCAAACAAGACCACAGCTCGTATCCACAGCCTCTCGACGGCTCGCAGCCGCCTCGAGGGGCGCACTGCAGCTTCGCCAGTTCCCCCGAGTTAGCGGCGCAACGTTCCCACGGCTAGTGACGCTGACTGACGCTTTGCACCTATCTCCCACCGTCGCAACTCGGTTCTATTCGAACGGCCGACCACACCCGCCTGGCGGCACCCATCGCATGAACCTCGGGGGTGAACCGGAGAAGCCAGCGTTGGAGCAATACGGAATTGACCTGACAGCGAAAGCAAAGGCAGGCAAACTGGATCCCGTCATTGGCAGGTCGGCCGAGATCCAGCGAACAATACAGATCCTGTCGCGCAGAACGAAAAACAACCCGGTTCTCATCGGCAGCGCCGGTGTCGGCAAGACCGCGGTGCTCGAAGGGTTGGCTCAGGAGATCGTGCGCGGGGCCGTCCCGGAGAGTATCAAGAACAAGAGGGTCATATCGCTGGATCTCGGCTCTCTGATTGCTGGCGCCAAATTTCGGGGCGACTTCGAAGAGCGACTGAAGAAGGTGCTGAGCGAAGTCCAGCAAGCGAACGGCGAGGTCATCCTGTTCATCGACGAGCTCCATACACTCCTAGGCTTGGGAAAGGCGGAGGGTTCCATTGACGCATCGAATCTTTTGAAGCCTGCGCTTTCCCGAGGCGAACTACAATGCTGCGGCGCCACCACTCTCGCCGAATACCGCCAGATCGAAAAGGATGTCGCGCTGGCCCGGAGGTTTCAGCCCATTCTCGTCGGCGAGCCCACCGTACAAGATACCATTAGCATTCTTCGCGGTATCAAGGACAAATACGAGGTCCACCACGGTGTACGTATCACCGATGGAGCTCTTGTCGCCGCCGCGACCTATTCAAACCGTTACATCACCGACCGCTTCCTCCCCGATAAAGCAATCGACTTGATGGACGAAGCGGCTAGCTCGCTGCGACTCCAGCAAGAGAGCAAACCCGAAGATATCCAACGCCTCGACCAGAGGATCATGACGATCCAGATTGAGCTCGAGAGTTTGCGGAAAGAGAAGGATATTGCAAGCAAAGAGCGGAGGGAGAAGCTCGAGGCCGATCTGAAGAAGTGCCAGGAGGAGGTGCAGGAGTTGAACGAGAAGTGGGAGAAAGAAAAGGCCGAGATCGATGCTATCAAGCAGACCCAAGCCGAGCTCGACAGGGCCCGGATCGAGCTGGAGCGGGCGCAGAGAGAGGGCAACTTCGCCAAAGCGTCTGAGCTGAGATTCGGCACCATTCCGGCCCTCGAGCAAAAGCTGCCAAAGGATGGCGAGAAGCCGGAAGGCGAGGGCACGCTGATCCACGACTCGGTGACAGCCGACGACATTGCCAACGTTGTCTCAAGGATTACCGGAATTCCGATATCCAAGCTGACGAGCGGGCACACGGAAAGGTTGATACACATGGAGGATATCCTGCGGGAGTCTGTGCGCGGTCAGGATGAAGCGCTCAAGGCGGTTGCCGATGCGGTCAGGATGCAGAGAGCCGGTCTTAGTGGGGAGAACCGGCCTCTCGCGTCGTTCTTCTTCCTCGGCCCTACCGGTGTCGGTAAGACAGAGCTGTGCAAGAAGCTAGCGGGCTTCCTGTTCTCCACAGAATCCGCCGTTGTTCGTTTCGACATGAGCGAGTTTCAGGAGAAGCACACAATTTCACGTCTCATTGGCGCTCCCTCCGGCTACGTGGGCTACGAGGATGCCGGCCAGCTCACCGAGGCAGTGAGGCGGAAGCCCTATGCGGTCCTCCTTTTTGACGAGTTCGAGAAGGCGCATCGCGACATCTCGGCACTCCTGCTCCAGGTCCTGGATGAGGGCTATCTTACCGACGCGCAAGGCCACAAGGTCGATTTCAAGAACACCATCATTGTCTTGACGTCGAACCTTGGCGCCGACATCCTCGTTGGTGCCGATCCTATCCACCCATACAAGGAGACAGAGGATGGCGATATTCACCCGGATATCAAGAGGGCAGTCATGGATGTGGTCGCGTCGCAGTACCCTCCCGAGTTCCTCAACAGAATCGACTCCTTCATTGTCTTCAAGCGCCTCTCCCTCCAGGCATTGAGGGATATCGTCGATATCCGCCTCAAGGAGCTCCAGGAACGCCTGGATGACCGTCGCATCACACTTGTTGTGTCTAACGACGTCCGGCAGTGGCTGGCCGAGAGAGGCTATGACCCGAAGTTTGGCGCCCGCCCGCTCAATCGTTTGATTACTACGCAGATTGGCAACGGCCTTGCAGATAAGATTATCCGCGGAGAGCTCCGGACAGGAGAGACCGCTGTTGTTGAGATGAACGAGGACAAGAGCGGCCTGGTCATCCGGAGTCAGCATAGCGCTGCGCAGGAAGCTGAAGCTTCGTCATGATGGCAATGAGTTAAGGTATGTATTATTTTGTAACATTGACGAGTGTATCATATCATACATGTATGTATATATCATGACCATCACCGCTACATCATAGAGGAAACATGTGACAGGAGTCAAGCCATGGTTCACGAACACATTCAAGGAAGGGGTATATGAATAGCGTAGTCAATATTAGACTGTATCTAACTTAACATCCTGTACTGCATACTATACTACAAAACATTGGACACCTGCCATGGCACAGTTGTGTGTTAGGTATCGTTCTTTGCTGTCATCGACAACTACTTACGGTACAATAGGTACCTACTAACATGAGCATGGTTCTACGAGGGTTGTCTGGGATGAGAATCGCGCAGGCACGGTTCTTTGACTCTCGCCAACAACAAACCAAACGCTTCGGCCTTGATTAGATCTTGCCGGATCGGGAAGTGAATAAAACAAAGATAGCACCTACGAAATAAAAAAAAAAAAATACATCCACTTTCAACCTACTTCGCTGCCCGGTGGGCTGTGAACGAACCCACAGCGAAGCAGAGGTAGCTACCTATTTTGGAAACCTGTTTGTATGGAAACAGAAACCAGTAGGGTAGAAGGAGAATTACGGAGCAAAACTACAGTGCTCACAGGACAGGACGAATAGACTGTTTAATGTTGGTTACGGCGTACCCTCTGGCGAATCCGACATCCACTTCCCGGTTGTCTGTCCACACACACGATAAGCCTGTATAGGTAGGTAGGCACCAACCATTCCAGATGGGATTCAAACAAACCAAGAGCGTCAGAAAACAGAAACCAGAGATTCGAAATTTGATGATAATTAGCAACCGAGTCTACAGCATCCCAATCCCCCCGTTCCCTCACCCGCACCCAGCGCTTCACAACTTTCCTCCATATTGCTCACCTCCCTCCGTGCCAACAACTCGTTTCCGCGCCCCGGCCCCTCTCAGCAACGGCAGACACAGCGAACCAAGCACGGGTCGGGTTCTTAGGGTCGAGGAAAGCAGTAAATCAACTGATGTCTCTCTCCTGACAAATGTATCAAATTGTACATGATCCCAACCCAGTGCGCCCCTCCGTGTCTTTCCGAAAAGTGACCAGAGTTCAAGAATGAGAGTCGGCCACCCTCGTCGCTTTGTTTCATCTCAATTCATGAGCGGCGTTCACGATGCAGGCACCAACCGCAAAAAAAGGGTTCATGGGCTAGTCGACTGTTTGCCTAACGGGATTATGGTATATCACAATCGAACCATGCTTGACCGAGGTGCGAGGTGAACTGGGCCTCGCGACTCAAAAGTGTCGCTTTAGTTGTTCTTCTTGATTTCCGTGGCGAGCCAGTCGAGACCCTCAAACAGACCGTCACCCGAGGTGGCGCAGGTGGATTGGATGTACTGCGGCGCAGTTAGTAATTTGCAAGGATGCAAAAGAGATGGGAGCAGGGTATCGTACCCAGGTGCGTTGCCGCAGGCTGTGGAGACCCAGCTTGTCTGTAATCTCGGCGACACTCATAGCATTCTAATGCGGTTCTGTCAGTAATGCTTCACACGGAAGTGTTGAGAGCCGGGAGGAAAAGCCAGCTCAGCTTGGGAACTCACAGGCAGATCCTGCTTGTTGGCGAAAACAAGGAGAAGGGCATCCCTCAGCTCATCTTCGTTGAGCATGCGCTGCAGTTCCTCGCGGGCCTCGGGCACACGGTCGCGGTCGTTGCTGTCGACCACGAAGATGATACCCTGTGTGTTCTGGAAGTAGTGTCTCCACAGGGGACGGATCTTGTCCTGACCACCAACATCCCACACCGTGAATTGGATGTTGCGGTACTCGACGGTTTCCACGTTGAAGCCTGTGACAGACGCGTCAGTACCCTCTGCGCATCCGAGTCGAGGGACAGCGAAGCAGGGACATATATCCAAGCCGGCCATGTTGGGAGTGGCGTACCAATGGTCGGGATGGTGGTGACAACTTCGCCTAGCTTGAGCTTATAGAGAATGGTGGTCTTTCCGGCAGCATCGAGACCAACCATCAAAATGCGCATCTCCTTCTGCTTCATGAGCAGGGAGAGCCAGCTCCAGACCTTGGATCCTCCTATGCCCATCTTGGCGGTGTTGGAAGGGTGAGATAAGGGGAAGGTTACGAGGTTGATCGATCTGTGGCGAATCGCGTGTAAGCAGATGCGGACAATGTGCACTAGGCGGGCAACAAGCTATGGTGATCTCGTTCTCGACCGAGGGAGCGCGGTGCTGCAGCACAAAGGAACCGCGGTCGGGGCCGACGGCTTAGTAGTTGCAGAAGAGGCGTTGATCGGAGGAGTGAGGACAGATATGCACACGCGCCCTGAAGGGAAACGGTCAAGGCATCCCAGCCCGCCAGACCCGAGAAGCAGGAAGGCGACAGGCTGGCCAGTAGCGCGACGGATTGACACAGCTCGACTTGGCTCAGACCAGGAGCCGCGCAAGACGTGGTCGACTCGAGTCTCTAGGGAACCTGAAGTCGAGACGCGGGCGGCAGACCGAGGCAGAAAGCCAGACGCCGCAATCCACAAGGCGGGGGGGTTTTAGGCGACAAAGAAAGCGACTTACTATTCGGTTTGTCCTGAAGAACCGACCGAGATGGCGACGCGGCTAATTACCGTCGAGATGGTGCTGGGTATGATGCTACGATGGCGGTGTGGAAGGAAAGCCTTTCGGGGGGAGGACCAGATTGGATTTTGAAAGTTGTTCTCGGGCTGAGCCAGGCCAGGGAAGGCAGTCACTGGGGCGCTGCATGGGCTTGCTGGCTGGTTCGATGGGCCGCGAGGACTCAGGAGCAATGTGGGGCCCGTGCACGCTAAGGGTACCTCGAGGACACCTTATCACCAGCCGATCAGGCAGACAACGGCCCGCTAGCCAGCCGCTCGCACCTGTACCTTGCTGGTACCGGGCTGCCTGGAACAACATTGGACCGGGCCATCTCCTTTCCATCCGGGGGTCTCGTTTTCACAGGCTGAGATTTGGCCCCAGTCCCGCACACTGCGTGACTGGCCAAACTCACCCCAGCGCAGTGGATAGCAGCCAGACCCCTGGCGCCGCGTCCCACGTATCGCTAAAATCGCTAAGGTGTCCTTGAATTCAAGCACTGGGCGGGCGAGTACAGCAAAAAACGGACAGATCGATTCAACGCGGCCGCCGCACGACGACGATAGCCACGATGTTCCTCAAGTCGGCGGCAAAGCTGCTGCTTTCGGCAAGCTTGCTGCTGGGCTCGGCAGTGGCTCACAACATCCAGCTGCCGGCGCATGGGCGCGAATGCTTCCACGAGAGCCTGCATAAGGGCGACAAGATGACGGTCACGTTCCAGGTCGGCGACCGGGAGTTTGGCAGTGCCGGCAACCTCGATATTGATTTCTGGGTATGACCGGGCCTTCTACTACGCCTTGCTTTTCCGCGCCTTGTATCGGACACCTCTGTTAACATGCTATTTCCCTCTTCTCTTGTCCTTAGATCACCAACCCCGTGGGACAGTACGAAGCCAACGAGAAGTCCGTCTCGAACGGCGACTTCTCCTTCGACGCCAAACACGACGGCAAGTACCAGTACTGCTTCGGCAACGAGCACTGGGGCGCCTCGTCCAAGGAGGTCTCGTTCAACGTGCACGGCATCGTGTACGTGTCGGAGGCGGATGCGCCGCAGGACCCGCTCGAGGCCGAGGTGCGCAAGCTGTCGGAGCTGCTGGAGCGGGTCAAGGACGAGCAGAGCTACATTGTCGTGCGGGAGCGCACCCACCGCAACACGGCCGAGAGCACCAACAGCAGGGTCAAGTGGTGGAACTTGTTTGTGATCGGCGTCGTCATTGGCGAGAGCGTGTTCCAGGTCTGGTGGCTGCGGAGGTTCTTCGAGGTAAGTCCGAGTTTTCCTCTTCCTCAGCCCTGAACGCCGAGCCGGTTGGAGCTGACATGATTCTGCCCCGAAAAGGTCAAACGGGTCGTTTAAACTGACAACTACGCCATTGTTGTTTGTTCTTATTATCCATGTTTTAGCGCAGCATATGTGTGAGAGACGAAAACGGGACAGGGAGGTTCTATTTTCGGCGTCTTGGATGAAGCATGTCCCCGACTACCTTACTCATACTATTCCATGAACCATCGATGCCTGATGAAGACCACGTTAAAATGCCCTATTACTCATTGGCGACACGCTACGATATGACGATCATGTCCCTTTCTTCAGGTCTCTTTCACGGATGGAGAGGTCCACGAGTCCTGTTGGCTGACCGGTGCCACGAGTTAAAATGAACTGACAATGTCCAGCGACTACCGTAGGTATGTAACTTCATATACATGTCTAGAAAGATCTCATACATCTTCTCATCCCGACGTATCTCCCGCGTCTCATCATCAAGGACATTGCCCCGCAAGATCTCTTGCCTATACCCAAATAGTTTATACCCAAACGCCGAGGCAACAAAGCATAGACAGAAACGAGACACCAGCAACAACACATTATCCACCCAGGTTCACATCGGCGGTCAAGCGGAAGGATCCAAGACGGGAACCACAACCTCCTCCTGCCGCTCGACAGGCAAATCCACCTCCTTGACAGGATGCAGCAGCATCGGCGGGAGACACATGCGGCCCTCGCCGCCGCGCATGGTGCCAGGCGTCAAATCATCTCCGCTCAAGTCGACGGTGAGCTCGAACTCCTCGCCGCCGTCATTGTTCACGCGCAGGCCCATCCACCTCCGGTACAGGTTCCCCGGGAAGCCGGCGTTGTAGAACCACGTCACGCCGCGCATGTTGTGTTCTCTGTCGCCGTAGATGGACGTCCGGGCGCCGCCCGACGCGCCGTTCTTCCCGCCGTTCAGGACGCGCGCCATGTAGTCGGGCGGCCAGGCGCGGTCGACAAAGCTCGGATGCGGCGCGTACACGGCCTTGAGGCCGTGGTGCAGCGCCACCGTGGCCGGCCACATTTCCGGGAAGGCGTGGTGCTTCTTGAAGGCCGTCTCGCGGTGCATGGTGAGCAGCAGCCGGCGCGACATGCGCGAGGCGGTGATGATCTGCGCGCGCCGCGGCGGCTTGCCGATGCCGCCCGTCTCGTTGTACCCGGTGATGTCGTCGGCCAACCCCCAGCTGGTGCCCTCCGGGTCGAAGATCGGGGACAGCGTGATGAGATCTGCTTCCTCGCCGACGCCCCACGAGTAATTGTCACGTTCGTGGGTGGTGGGGGGGATGGGGTCTGCTTCGGGCTCGTACCAGTCGTCCTCGTCTAGTGGACGCTGAGGGCCCCAGACGGGCTGCTCGCCCTGGGCCGCCACCTTGGGAGAAGAGGGCTTGTTGCCGCCGCCAGTCACTTTGGAGCCGGGGACGGCGTTCCACAGGTTGTCCGGGCCCACGGTGCCGAGCTCGGTCTGCACCCGCGCCATATGCTTGAAGTCATCCCAGGAGCCGTGGACGCGGGGCACGTAGAAGCGCGAGTTGCGCTCCCAGAGACCCTTCCTGGGCTGCGCTTTGGCCCATGACTCCAGCTTGGAGAACAGGTCGAGGTAGTGGCCCGTGTAGCGAATGTCCATTTCCCACTGCCAGAAGTGGTCATACTCCGGGTGGTTATGGGCAAAGTACTGCATCGCCATCTGGAGGCCGCGGTATGAACCGTGCACGGGGAGTTCGGGGCCCTTGGTCCACAGTTCGACAAGCCCCTGGTAGACGGCGAGCATCTGGGTCTGCGACCACAAAGTCGCGATCCCGCGGAACTCCTCCGGGACGGTTTCGTTGATACGCCTGCGATACTCGTCCTCATCTGCCCAGACGGGGTTCTTGGCGTCGTTCCGCACCTGCACCAGAAGGTGGACATCGTACCGACCGCCCGAGGCGAGGGACAGTTCTGCGATGAGCGCCCTGAGGTTCACAATATCCTCCTCCCGCCAGACGAACTCGTCCCAGCAGCGAAGGACAACCGCGGTTCTGGCGATGTCTCCCTGACGCTTCTCCCCTTGCGGCTGGGCCTTCTCGGTCGAATTGCGCGCCGCCAACTTGGGGGTCTCGAGGCCGTCACCGATGTAGAAGCCGCGCGGAGGAGGACCGCGCACGGCGAGCGGCTTGTACCGCTCAGCGTTGGACTTGTAGCATTGCCGCTGGACAGCCGCCCAGTCAGTGGTTCGCCAGTCAACCTGATGAGCGGTTTCCCAGACCGCTTCGGCGCCCTCCCGGTCCCCGTGCTCGCCAAGGCCGAGGCCGCCCGTCCGGACGGAATAGCCGTAGCCGTATGGTCCGTATCTGCCAAAGCGCTCAAAGCAGATGTCTTCGGGGAGGGACAGGACCTCGTAGGACCCGAGTATGTTGTCTGGGAACCCGGCGGGCCGTCCTTCCAGGTAGCGTATTGCCGGCACTCTGACGGTGCTCTGGCTGTCTAAGAAGCACTCGCGAACCCCATCGGCGGACTTTGGGATGCTGGCTGTCGGATAATCCGCGAACGCCTTGCTCGGCGGCACTGGCCTCGCCTCAACCGACGGTTGCTCCTCCTCCGCCCTCTTCTCCGACTCTTGCTGATCCTGCGGTTGGCTGACGTTGTAGGGCGAATCCTCGTCAAGCAGCGGGTATTCTGGTGTGTTGTTTGCTAAGGGAATGACGGTCCTGACGCCGCCGTAGTACCTGGTGAGGAACTCAAACTCCTCCCACGGCGGCGGCACAAACGCGGGCTTCTTGTCCACCTTGCCCTCCGCTATCCTCTGGTTCTCAAGGTGGCTAGCCCGGACCAGAATGAAGATGAAGATGATGATCGTCGAGATCATGCCAAAGCAGAGGCACCGTATGACCCTGTTCGGCAGCCGGTAGAGGTATTTTCTGACTGGTGTCCGCCGGGGGGTACCCGCGGGCTGCTTCTTGGGCCGCATGAGCGCAGCGGCGGACGAGATAGAGGAGGATGTCCGTGTCGAGCCTGAGCTGGGGGAAGTTGAAGTTGAAGAGTCACTGGTGTCGCCATCATTGGATTCATCGGACGAGGCATCGGTATCCGAGTAGCGTTCCTTGGTTGGCGAGCGCGTTGGCCGGTGGGTGCGTGCCCTGGAGGAGGCCAGTTCTTTGTATACGGGCAACTTTGGCCCCTTTGCCTCCCGAGCACGGAAGGGATTAAAACTTGGGAACCCCATCCTGCCAGCGGGGGAGATATGGCCCGTTGACTAGGATTCTCTGTTAGCCCAAGCTCATGATGCGGACCCTCGGTAGAGTGGGATCAGTTTGTGTTTTCTTACCAGCCTCCCGAGGGAACAGGATTGATTCTAGGTTAGGGTCCCCGCACTCCGTGTCTGAGATGGGATTTGGAAGCGTCAGTGCGAGAAACCTTCGTGTGTTGCAAGTCCCACTCGTGAATAAGGGATTCGGAGTGGAATGTGAACTACGCGAGAGCCATGAGACAGACAATCCAGAACGGTCTGCACGTGGAGGAAAACAAGGAACCTGCGGTTGATTTCAACAAGGGCAGGCGTCTGTCTGTCCCCGCTGATTGGCTGTTTGTGGTGCATTGTCGATGGTTCCAGTTGCCGAGCAACCAGCTCAATCGTGGGGTGGGGTGGACCTGTGGGGCAACTCAGAAGGGACGGGATAGACTACGGTACCTTACGGTAGCATTACCAAATATCATGTAATACATGTACTAATAAGGTAGGTAGGTATACGTCTTTATGGTACTTACGTTACGTATTGTACCGCATTTACGTTCACCACTCTCCAATTGTCCTTTCCTACTAAACGCCATCCGCATCAAGTTCCCCTTACAGACGTCAGGCTACTACGTTTGCGTACTTAATCCACCTTATCTGCTCATCTTATGTCTGATATTGTTTTAAGTTACCGCAATGGAGGTGGGAAAGCTGGTATTCTCGGAACCAACGATATATGGACTCAACACTTGTGACTTAAGCGTGCAAGAGGGTGCGCACACTGAGGAATCACTGTGTCCTTGGCCATCCCCAACGAATCGGATGGCTTGATGTCGCCAAGTTGGCAGATCTTATGGCTTTCCCACGGTGCACTACCCGATGATCTGGACCACCAATCGAGGATGGCGGTGGGCATGCTGAACGCATGATGACCGCATACGAAAACTCGAGACCAATTCCAATGCGTGCTTGGCTGCTACTCCACTCACGACGTCGACAGATCAATAGCCGTTAGTATGCATCCGCGCGTGGCAGAACCAGTCTGGTGATCAACGACACCTGATCTCTCACCAGTCTCGGTTTGCTGCCCAGTGAGCGTCTCTTGTGGCTTGTTGGCCCGTCGCCGGTTGATGCCGTCCCCGATACAGGGACCCTCAAACTTGGGGACTAATAAATGACCGCACAATCTAACGGAGACCTTGTGGACTGTGGTAGACTGCTTCCGTTTTCTCCTGCTCACCACGCTCCCATCGTCGAGCCGCTACATTTCTTAGTTCGACTTGAACACGGTTACACCGCCTGCACAAGCCCAATATCAAGCAACATCTGCCACAATGTCTCTCACCGTGACCACCGAGTCTCAACGGGTGATGCCTGCAGAGGAGAAAGGCAAGCAGAGCCAGGTGGCCGTCAACATGGTCATCCGCCAGGACCCGTTCTCCATCACCCTCGACGCCTCTGCCCTCCTGGCCGTCTCGGTGCTGCTCATCCTCGGCATGCACTTCATCGCGCGATCCGTACTTGAGCTCCTGATCATCCTAGTCCCCGTAGCCCTCCTCGTCCACAACGACTACCTCAACTTCCTTAAGCTCGGCCCCGGCGGCACGCCCCCGACCCCGTGCGGCTACGCCACACTGACCTGGTACCGGCTCTTCACGCTCCGCGACCCCTTCACCCCGCCGCCACGGGATCCGGCGCGACAACCAGCCGCCGGCATGCTCGCCGACCTCCCCTACCGTCCAGGACCCCGACCCAGCGTCGCGGGCCTCGCGCCGCAGCGGCAGCTGAACCAGCACGGCTCGCCGCAGGCCTACGCGCGACTGCGCGGGGCGCTCGAGGCCCTCGGCGCGCGGCGGCCCGCGCAGTTCGTCACGGCGACGTCGTGTCTCGAGAAGCACGGGTTCGCGCTGTTCGCGCGGCGCCCGCGCAACGTGTGCGGCAACGGCGAGGTCTGCCACATCCACACGCACTCGGACCGGTCGATGCACCTGAACCTGCACCCGGACGACATCCGCGAGGTGCTGGCCAAGGGCTGGGGCCAGCGCCACCCTCTCGCGTGGGGCAGCCGGAGCGCGCGCTGGTGGGGGTTCGCCGTCAAGAGCCCGCTGCCGACTACGTACGTGATGGTCTACGCGCCGAGAGGCAAGTGCTCCTTTTGATGTACTAGTATGGAGTCTGGCTTCCTCGTGGTCGTACCATAGCGGCGCCGAGGGACGGACCAACCTGTCTTCGTGCTCGTCCGGAGGTGCTGACGTCGAAACGGACTGACTTCAGATGAGAGCGATCTGCGGATTGTCTGCAAGATCATCGAGGCGGCGGTTTGGTATACCGTTGCGGAGAAGGTTGAGATTCAGCCTGCGTCGGAGTCGTGATGCCGAGAAAGGAGCAGCGTGAAACCCAGTTGCCGAAAAGGATTTGACAGAGCAACGAGTAATCTGTTTCCGATTGAGGTATCCCCGGGGTTACTAGATAGAAGAGTCTGCACCGAGGCTTGTTTGCTTGGGGCTAGAGGGGACTGATCCTACCGAAGCTGGTGGCACCATGCTCCCTTCGTTTACCATCTAGCGGAGTAGAAAGTTACTCGTCCTCGCAAAGAGCACACAGAGAGTGAGAAGTCGTACGATGCCGGTTTTAGCCTCCATTGCGTCGGCCCATCTGTACTGCGTGAAGGCATCAGCTAGGTACATTAGCAATCTCCTCTTGGCCTACCTAGTCATATCTCGAAGCCAGGAAGACAAAGTAATTATGGGGGTTTGGTGGTAACCTAATCTTCGTCTTTGAGGTCGGCGAACGTCTGCCGCTGGTAAGGGGTCCCGACAATGAGTGGTCTGATCCTCGGTGGCAATCATGCGCGGAGCCATTACTCCCATCTTAAAGTACCGGGGCTGTCCAGGGAATTTCACAATTTACTTCATTTGTCCTCTTGCACCCTCCCTCCGACTCAAGCTGTCTCTCCCTCTCCTTGCCTGTCTCTGTCTGTGTACACGAACAACCCCAACGAAAGGCTGCCAAAACAAGTGCTTGTTTTACATATACTCGTACCAGCCCCGATTCCATCTAAATTTCCTAAACAAGCCTTCGGGGATGTTCCAAAAACAGATCGACAAAGGACAGGGTGAGAAGCACAAGATGCTGTGCTTTGGCGGAGTCCTTCCCGCCTTTGTGAAATGGCCGCAGAGATGGACAGATTACGGAGGTTCCCTTCTGGCGCCACCTCACCTCACCCACCTCGTCTCACGTATTTAACGCAGTCGTCCCGAAATTCCCGCTCCTCGTCCCCTGTTTGAAACTTGACGCAAGCCGCCCACCGGTACGTCCTCCCCTTATTCGCCGTTCAGAAAACGACACAGAGCCTCCCCTCGCCCGGGGTCAGCAGACCAGCAGACAAGATGACTCGTACCGGCACACCGAAGTCCTTTTTGACCGAAACAACTCCTCTAGTAGACACGCTTGAACGGGGGAACGGGCTTGCACTCGTTCTCGTCGAGGGTGGTGCCGATGACGCGGCGGTACTTGAGGTCGACCTTGCCGTGAGGTTGCTTCTGCCAGCTGAGCGTGTGCTTCATCCAGTTCTCGTCGTCGCGCTCGGGGTAGTCCTCGCGCGCGTGGGCGCCACGCGACTCCTTCCGGTTGGCAGCAGACACAGCAGTCTGGGTACTGTTTCCGAAGTGTCAGCGTCTGATTCTTCACGCGTTATCTTCCGCCAGCAAAAGAGAATTCCACTTACGCGCATGTGAGCAGGTTGCGAAGCTCGAGGGCCTCCGTCAGGTCAGTGTTCCAGATCATGCTGCGGTCCTTGATGCCGATCTGCGAGAACATCTGGTCCACCTCGGTGATCTTCTTGACACCCTCGTCCAAGCTCTCCTGGGTACGGAACACGCTGACTTCCCGTTGCATCGTCTTCTGCATGGCAAGACGAACCTCGGCCGTACTCTTAGGGCCCTCCGAGGTGCGGATCTTGTCGAGAACCTCGATCGAGTCGGCGCCGGCATCGGCCTCGATGGGCTTCAGCTTAGCGCCGGGCGTGAAATTGTCGCGGATTGTGTGCGAGACGGCGCGACCAAAGACGACCAAGTCGAGCAGGGAATTGGCACCCAGCCGGTTGGCACCGTGAACCGAGACGCAGGCAGCCTCACCGCAAGCAAAAAGACCAGGAACGATCTTGTCGTTGCCTTGCTCATCAACCGTAATGACCTCGCCGGTGTACCGAGTTGGGATGCCACCCATGTTGTAATGAACGGTGGGAAGGACGGGAATGGGCTGCTTGCGGACGTCGACACCAGCGAAGATACCAGCCGTCTCAGAAATACCGGGGAGACGCTCAGCGAGGATCTCGGCGGGGAGATGGCTGAGCTGGAGATAGATGTGGTCCTTCTCGGGGCCGACACCACGACCCTCCCTGATCTCCATGGTCATGGAGCGCGAGACGACATCGCGACTAGCCAGATCCTTGGCAGTCGGGGCATATCTCTCCATGAAGCGCTCACCCTCGGAGTTGAGGAGGTAGCCACCCTCGCCACGGGCACCTTCGGTGATCAGGCAGCCAGCTCCGTAGATACCAGTGGGGTGGAACTGGACGAATTCGAGATCCTGGTTGGGCAGGCCGGCGCGGGCCACCATGGCCATACCGTCACCGGTGCAGGTGTGGGCAGAAGTGCAGCTGAAGTAGGCACGGCCGTAGCCACCGGTGGCCAGAACGGTGTTGTTCGCGAGGAAACGGTGGAGTGTGCCGTCCTCCTGGTTGTAGGCCAAGACACCACGGCACTCGCCATCCTGCATGATCAGATCGATCGCGAAGTACTCAATGAAGTAGTTGGTCTTGTGCCTGAGAGACTGTCCGTAGAGCGTGTGGAGAAGGGCGTGTCCGGTACGATCGGCGACGGCGCAGCACCGGTAGGCCTGACCGCCCTTGCCGTACTTTTGGGACTGACCGCCGAAGGCGCGCTGGTAGCTACCGAGACCGTCAGCCTCCAGATGACGGAACCTTCAAGCGGAAGACGCCACTTACATCTTGCCATCCTCGGTCCGGGAGAACGGGCAGCCGTAGTTCTCAAGCTCGATAATGGAGGCGGGCGCCTCACGGGTCATGTAGTGGATGGCGTCCTGGTCGCCGAGCCAGTCGGAACCCTTGACCGTGTCGTACATGTGCCATCTCCAGTCGTCCTCGTGCATGTTGCCCAGCGCAGCGTTGATGCCGCCCTGGGCAGCGACCGTGTGACTTCTGGTGGGGAAGAGCTTGGAAATGCACGCGGTATTGAAGCCGGCCTCCGCGAGACCGAAGGCAGCACGCAGACCGGCGCCGCCGGCACCGACGACAATCGCATCGTATTCGTGGTCCTAGTTCCACCCGAGTCAATTCCTTCCGCCCGCCGAATGCCTAGCGAATTCCAGCCGAGGTTTGACATACGATAACCGGGTATTTGCTGCTGACAAACGGCGATGCCTCCTTCGCACGAAGCGGCCCGTTCGCGATGACGCGGGCTGTCCACAGGGGAACATGTCAGCCTCATCCTCACCCCAACTTGCGCTGAGAATTGGTCGACTCACCAGCCGGCCTTGTTGTGGAAAATGCCCGGATCGGGTTTCTGGAGGCACGCGAGAGCTGCCGCACATCTCGGGTTAGCCACATGCGGCCCTTTCCGTTGCGGAGGAAAAAAAGGGACCGAGAGTAGACTCGGCCAGCTCAAAGGAGTTGACTGGGCAAGTACTTACCGCCGGCGCCGCGGCTAGGCGTCTCCAAGCCATTGAGGATGCCATTGTCGTCTAGCGAGGTCTGATGCGGAGGAGTGTGGACAGCATCCAGGAAATATTTGAGCCGCCTTCATGGCATGTCATTACAAGCCACTCCAACTCCCGGCGCCCAGAAGGCGCTGGCTGCCAGCCAATCAGCGGGGGTTGATTACCCGAGTTGCCGGCGAGGCCCGCGCCTTCGGCCCACCCACAAACTGTGCAACTTGGGAGACCGGAGGAAGCACGGGTGGGGCGGCCTGCGCCGTCCAACACGGCACCCCATCGTGATGTGTGGCCGTACCTAGATCGCCGTGCAAGTTGAATCTCTCTCTATCTCTCCCTCTAACTACTTCCTCTGCTCAGCCTTACATATTCTTGCTTCGCATTCGAGCTAATTAAGCATCTCAACAATGCATCACACTAAGATACCAACTCTACAAGGGTGGGCTGAGGTCCGTTTCGATGTGGAGAAGTCTGGCCGTGGACAGCATGTGCTGCCGAACGTTGTAAATCCCTCGGCATGGCATCTCACAGTATGGCTGGGGTCCACAAAACACCATAGGTAGCAGTGGCATGGCCGGTCTTCAATAAGTGAACCTCTAACAATGCTCTATAATAACGCATTAATGACTAGTATTTTACTTTCCTCGAGTAGTAGAACGCCCGGCATCGCTCAGCTCTAGGACCGTCTACGGAACCCAACAAGACAAGAATGTCCAATACTACTAGTAGTACCTAGACCGTCCCCCTAAACCCGCTGCGCCTATTCGGCGAGCACCATACGTAGCATCACCAAGAAATTCTCCTTCAGCTTGTGCACCTCCGACACCTCGGGTTTGGCGGGCTCTCCCGCATTTCGGCGTAACCGGTCCTGCCTTCTCGATCTTGCCTTCCTTTCAGCTTCGATGGGATCTAGCTCGTCGTCGGCCTCGGCCTCGGCTTCGTCCTCCGAGTCGTCGCCATACCCCATCTCATCCAGGTCTTCCTGGTCCAGCCCGAAGTCAATCGATCTGAAAGACATGGCACCAGGTAGCGGCTCTCCTTCGCCGGGGCCGCCCTCGGCAGCCATCTTTTGCCTCGTCTTGTCGTGATGCCACTTCTTGCGTGCCTCCTGCCATGCGATGAGCTGGTTGATCTCCTCCATGGCCTTGTCCCTGTCGATGAGGCCGCTGCTGGTAGCACCCTCAAACAGCGCGTTGATGTCCAGGCTGCCGTTCTTCGGCCCGTGCCGGAGGAACTCCAAGATGCCCTCGATCCAGCCCATTAGTTGTGTGAACAGGCCGTTGTCGTGCGTGTGGACTTCGTGAACGAATCTGTAAAAGTTGTGCTCATGGCGCTGGCAGAGATCGATGAAGGCCTGCACGGTCTGGTTGGGATCTGCAGATGCATCTTGTTCTCGGCACCGCTCAACAACCTAAGAATCTCTCTCGTCAGCGGCCGGTAAACAGGAACCGATCGTCACACGGCGTAAGCATACTTGGATGAGATCGTCTATGAAGTGAGCAAAGTCCGTCACGCTGTTGTAGACATTGGCCGATTTGTAGACGCGGACTAGCGGCTCGTAGAAAATGGTAAACAGGTCTCGGAACAACTGGAGTGTGACCGGCTCCTCGATGAGGCTCAACATCATGGCCTTGTCCCGCTGCCGAATGTACAGCTTCAGCAGCTGCTTCAGATAGGAAAAGAGCTGGGCGCCCTGCCGGAGTTCCTCGTCGACGTTCTCGATTGCGTTGTTGAAGGCCACGTATGCGTTGAAGAGCCGCTCGACCTGCTTGCCTTCGAGCGAAGGGCCGATGAGCTCCGACCTCAGGATGACAACGATGATGTCGATGTCTTCGCTGGCAGCTTCCTCCCTGATCGCCTCCTTGATTTGCTCCTCAGCGTCCGTGAACGCCTTCAGCTTTTCCACGAAGACGGGATCGGCGATCTTATCGGCAAGCGCATCGATCGATCGCTGGAAGGTTTTGATGCCGTCGTGCAGAGTCATGGAGAATATGCGCTGCATCAGAGACCTAGTACCGAACGGCTGGGCAAGGAAGATATCCAGGATCCCAGACATGACAGCTGCGGGATTTGCGACCCGGATCACATTCTTCACAAGAGTGTACGGAATTAGCGAGTGAATCCTCTTCGCCTGGGCGAACAATTCTGGGGAGTTGTCCTCGGCGAGGAACAGGTGATAAATGGTGGCGGCCACTTCGATACGCAGCCATTCGGCGAACTTCTGGTATTGTAAGCTTAAGTCTTGGATAGTCTCCTTCTCCCGGATTTCCTTGAATAGCATGGTGAGGCCATTGCGCTCGACGATGTCCTGCCGGAATCTAAATGTAGAAAGGGTCAGCAATTTGCGGGCCGCCGTCCAGCTTCTTCAATATAACTGACTGCTCCATGTAGACGTCCAGTTCCGCTGCGCGTTTCCTGGCAACTTCGTAGAACTGCTTCTGCTCCTCGACTCGTTTCTTATCTAGGTGCTTCCGGCGGCTGATGTCCTCCACATCGTCGTCAGTTAGGTTTATCGGGGCTGTGGTGAGAAACTCCTCGATCGCCTTGGTGCCGGCTATTTGGGCGTTGTGTAACAGAGAACGGAGAAAGGCGCGTAACGAGATCCTCTGGTTCTCTCGCGGTAGGACGGTAGTCTATGAGGGCCAGGCGTAAGCTTATTACCGGACAATGATGGGGTTGTCTCAGCACCATACCTCCTGGGCCTTAGGACTCAGTAGTGACGGAGTGGAAGGCCTGCCGTCAACGGAATTTCGGGGGGAGAGTCGGTCGCCCGGGCGTTGGTCTGGCGGGTGTTAGCCATGAGTAGCGGGCATCTCGGGGCTTCGGGATGCGACCAACCTTTCACCGACAGTAGCTTCTGGCCAGCGTCACTCTGATGTCCAAAGCCACTCGCCATAGGACTGTTGGGCAACTGTGCCGTCGACATTGATGAAATGGATGATGTCTCCGAGTTGTTCCCGCTATGGATCCCGCCGTAGCCGGAAAACGTCGAGTTCGACTTGTTCTTCCGGGGAAGCGGCGGGAGCACCTTGCCTGGCAACTCGGTGCGTAACCTGGTATGAAGCCGGGCGAAGTCGCCATACCGGCGCCCGATATAATGTTCTGGCGCGCCTTTCCTCGTGACCCGAAGAATAAATTCCTTCCCGCCAACAGTCAGCACGACAACTTGCTGCTTTACGGATGTGAGCATGGAACTTACGGCATGCTTATGGTGCCTGAGATTTCTCTTGGCTGAAATGACCCGAACGCCTGCGACATTGACATCCCATCCGTTGATGTAATTGCCCTCGGGGATTGTGGAAAGAACCCCGGTATCGATAGCGTTCGCATCGACAATTTCAAGCTCGGAGAACCGGATCCTCTCCTCAAAGCCAGAAGAGGTTGGGACGCCCGACACCATCATCAGCTCCACTAGCTTCTTCGCCTTGGTGGCCAGCTTCCTCCTCTTGGTCTCTTCCAGGCGGTCTTCTGATGACGAGATGTTCTTGCTGGCGAATGACTCCAGGAACTAGAGAGCACGGTCCTCGCGTATTAGTCTCCGATCCCAGGCTACGCTTCGAGGCCCGGAGGAGAGGGCAAACCCACCATTTGCAGCTTATCCTGCCAAAACTCCTTCTCCTTCGCTTTGTCGAGGAAGGGGAACTCGCGGATATGGTGTACGAAAATGTACCTAAGGATTGGCAGCTCGGAGTCCAGCGGGGACACCTCCCCATACGGCGACTTGAACGGTGCGCCAAACCGCCGTAGCGCTGTGGGAGAGTTGAGCTCTGAAATCTCCCACTTGACTTGTTCCGAGATGAGCTCGCGCTTCAGGTCTACAGATCAAGCGGTCAGCTTGTGTTGGCCACAAGAGGCACTGCGCCAGGGGAGGACAAGGAGATGGTGTGACAAACAATGTTCTTGCTTTCCTGTGAGGGTCTGCTTCGACGCCGGCGCACATGTCGTCCGTACCGGCAGCGTCGTCTTTCCAGTCTGAGCCTCACTGTCGCTGCCCTTCGCTCCATCCTGCGATACACCCAAGGCGCTGTCGGAAACCATGGTAGCGATAGATACCGGAAGACGAGAGCAGCCTTGAGTTCGGAGATGGGCTGCAGTGCTCTTGGGAGTCTCGACTTTCCGTTGTAAGTGCAAGTGCACAGCAATATCCACAACTGCCCTCTCGGAGTGGTCTCGGCCTTGTGATTAACGGACGCGCCAATTGCGGGGCAGAATCGGGCCTCAGTAAGCTTCGCGAAAGTGCAAAGCGTCTTCGCTGTGTGCGTACAGTACGTATCCGTACCGGTCTTGATTTCCGTGGTATGTGCGGCACGTCAACGGTGCGGCGCTTGTGGTGAAACCGCGAACCAACGACTCGGGTCGTCAGAGAGGAGACCGCAAAAGAACCCAAATAGAAAATAACTATTGCTAGTCTAGGTATAAGTATAAATCGCAGACGGACCCCGCAAGCGGAGATGTGCTGCTGTATGGACAGCAAACGGTTCGGACGTAGTCAAATTCTAACCGTTGAGACTGGAAGTCTCAGCTTACTTATTAAGAACTCCCGGACCCGGCGATTCAACACACCAAAACCGGGCGGCATTGGGTCGATTGGGTCCATGGATAATGTATGCCCCGCGGCCTCTCAAAACGCTACATTTGTCTTCGGCGCCAGTGGTCAAATCCTTGTGGTTGCTTGCATGTGTGTCCTTCCCCAAGCGCGAGCCAAGCCCTGCTGGCGCCCGATGACGCATTGGGTAAGTGGCGCAGATCGACCAGACCCCACACGCTCCCGTCGCTGCGATGACGTTTTGCTTGGCATTCCCAAGTTCACAAGTCTGCCAAGCCTCGGCGCTACGCGACCGGCTCGAGGCTTCCGTGGCTTCGCAGTCACGTTTTGTGTGCATGTACGTGTCTCAGGGAAGGTATACACAGACATACACACGTATAGCCTACCGTCTTTGCCGAGATGCCCGAGATGCCAAGTTGGACTCCAAAAGTATATGAATCCTTCATGTCGTTAGCTGACCTGGTTTCATCGACGCTCACCGGAGGCCTCATACGTGGGGCATTCTCAAGGTTGACCGGCTTGGACGGCACAGGCTGGACGGAGACCGTATCGGCATTGTAAACGCAACAGACAGTCTGCTACAACGGAGTGGCAGTTTGGAAGGAGTTACGACGAGGTGCTGACTTCGTTGGCATCTATCTATCTTGTAGTTGTAGCTGGGTATCAAGACTATGTAGTTATGAAATAAGAACCAATGAAATGAACAACAATGCGTATGCTCGGTGCTCCAGCGCCGGTTGGGAGAGCATCCACTAAGGCGTTTGTTATAGTTCGTCGAACATCCTGAGCATGTCGGTCATAGTGGACGATGCGACAGAGGGTCCAGTACTGTTTTTTGGCTCGTCGTTCCCATGTGAACCCGTGGCTCTCAACGTCCAGAGCAGATCTGTGTTCGCCCCAGCGACACCCCTCAATGTATTCAAGTCTTTGTTTGCATCAGGGGCCGTCGTCTCCTCCCAGCCCCCGTTCACATACTGGGAGCCAACAAACAGAAAGAGCATGGAGAAGATGACAACAGTGACGACGATCCACACAGTCTTGAGACGCTTCCTAGTCTTCTCCTGCCATTCCCTGTCTGCACGCTCCCAGTTCTCGATCCGCTCACTCACGGCATCGACCCGCTCGCTCAGTGACCTGATGCGCTTCCGCCCGGCATGAATTCGGTCTCGTAGCGATTCGATGCGCTTCTGCTGGTCTTCAAACTGCCCGAAGGAATCAAGCTGCGAGCCGACGTCTACCACCAGTTCCTCGGCCTCGGCGCTGAAGGAGTTATTCAACTGACGCGAGAGATCGGCGAGCTCCTTCAATGCTGCGACTGTGCTTTGTAATGTGCTTAGCTTATCAAGTAAGGAGTGATATGTGTCGTCTAGCCGCTTTGTTGTCGAACTTGCAAAAGACTCGAGTTCTGCCAACGATCTTTGTAGGCCACTGAAGCAGGGAGTTAGCGGATGACTTGGTCGACGGGGCCGGTAGAGAATGGACAGTGCTAACCTCTCCCGGGCAGCAGCCTTCTGCTGTTCCTTGGCCAGTCCATTAGCTAGACCACTGTCCTTCGGAGGTTTGGTCGTTGGCATCGCTTCATCAGCCGACGCATAGAGGATACTCGTCCGCCGGCTGGCGTTTGGGCTGAGGTTCGGCGTCACCGTCTCGGACCGTGACCATTCATATGATCTTCTGCCTTGAACAGCCGATAGTGCCGACTGCGCGACCGGAGTGCGTGTTTCTCTCTCGCGATGCAGACGGATGGGCGATGATATTTCGGAGATCGACCTGGTTATTTGATGCCGCGGGCGGCCTGGCGACGACACTTTGGATGCATCGCCGACATTTTGTGACATGGTATCACTCCTCTTCACGTTGTAATTATCCGATGGGGTTCATGAGTCGCACAATGGAGCCAGAAACTTAATCCGAGCGTATGTGGTTTGTGGGAGGTAATGTGAAGCACATGCACGGAATGATTGGAGTTAGTTGACCGCCAAGCGCCGGGTGGGGCAGACCTTAATTGAAGATCCGCGCCGTCTCATTGCTCATGGCTCGTCATGTTTTTTATTCTGAGCCGTGTTTGCACGGTATTTTGTGAGTGATATACAACGAATCCATGGTCTGGGCTAGATGGATTCGTCCAACGCCACTGAAACTGCCGTGCTGCCTGGCACCGCGAACCTCGAACTGACAGGGCGAGGAGCGCAGATGGAAATTCCTCCCCTACAGATTCGTTGAAATATCCGACTGGTGGTCGCTGCTTGCTTCGGGCACCTATCGGTGAAGACTGTGCCAGAGGAGAAGCTTAACAGCTGAGCCACTTCCGAGATGCCGGCGCCCCATGCCCCTGAACGGTGGACCTGGACAAAATCCGTTTCCTCAGGTGCATTGCGGCAGGGCGGCGTGAGTATTGCGTCTCGGATACGGAGACTTGGTGCATCTCGTCGAGTTGGTGCACGATTCACCCCAGCTGCTGACGATTCGAATCATGAATTGAGCAGCTTGTTGCGCTTCTCCTTGCGTTTCAGCCGATCTAGTCTCTTCTTGTGCATCTTCGCCGCCAACTGCTCGTATCGTTCCTTCTCGGCCTTGGCTTCTCGTTTCTCTTTAAGAGCTTGTATCCGTCTCTGCAAAGGTCAGAGTTAGCAATCTGTGGTCAACCGTCCCTGCTCGCCGCGGATTGCGCACCTTTCGCTCTGCCTCCTTTTCTTCCTTCATCTCCCTTTCCTTTGCCTTTGTTGCCGCTTGCTCCACTCTTGCCTTTGCCCGCTTCTCATATGATGTCAAGCCAGACCCTGGGCGGAAGGCCTTTTTCGGGGCGTGCCACTGCTTGCCTGCGATCTCCATTAGCACGTTGATGGCAACGGTCGGAATCAATGGTATGGACGCATGTAGGGACGCACCATTCTTCCGCATGCCCAGGGGCTTGGCCACTACCGCCTCACCCGACGCTGCTCCTTCAATCGTTGCGGTAGACATGGCTCCCCGTTTTCTGTCAGTTTGAAGAACTTATCACTCCTATGGAGTACAAGTGCGGACATGCAGTAACGCGAAAGCGGTCTGAATTGCTGCCCTGCATGGTCGGAAAAATTGGGCGGCAGAAATTCCCGTCATGAGTGAGACGCCCTGGGTTCAAGTTCCCACTTTCACGGGTTCGGCGGGGCAGGCAATTCCCGGTAAAAAAACCTGACCGCCGTTCAGCTGCGGCTGGGTCAAACAGGGCTTGCCTTACGTGCCAGGTAACCAGCTCAAGGTTGAATAATACAACGTGGAAACAATATGTGTAAGAGCTTCGGTGTACGGTATTGTATTGTACATACCTCACATACTCGAGCATCCGCACAATACACGACCCGAATCTATGCCTCTGATGTACAGCACATATAACGAACTATGCGAACTGTGTCTCCAATAATGCTTCTCCTTGCTCCGTACGTACGCACTCGACAATACTCGATTGCGCTAGGAATGTGCCTCGAGACGGTAGGTATGTATGCAGGTCATTGCAGATAGGGGGATACTGAATACCGCTGTAGCACGGCCCTCGGTGGTCTGTCGGGTTCACATCTCTGAGAATGATTGCTCAACATGTTATCGGTATCTACACATGCTCGAGACGTGTTGCTCATTCAAGGTCCCGAATAATATAGATCGCTAACTTCGCCTTTCTTCTTTCTTCCTTCTTTCGTTGCCTTGCCTTTTCTATAGTAGTTTTTCTCACTTTCGCCACCTTCCATGCTTTCGGTCCTGCGCATATAAGCTTGGCCATCAAGGCACTCGGTGGGTAGAATCTATTCGTCAAATTTAGCTCTGAGCTAACGTTAACTACCGCGTACCTCTGTAACGGAAGGTTTGTGAGGCTACCGAATGTGATTATCCGCGACTGACCCTAGAGTACTAGTAGAGTAGGCAGTACGTATTGTGCCCTACATAAGGTAGGTACAATACCAGGTCGGTAGACCATGGTCGCATTGTTCTTGCGGGGTTGAAACGAATGCGGGAAAATAAGCTAATCTCTTGGTCCGGAAATGACTTGTCGTCATTGAAACCTCGGCGCGGGCGTGCAGTACCGAGTCCGAATATTACATAGTAGGTTGCCTCCCAAAGTGGTAAGATTGTCATCTGCAATTCTCATCGGTCCAGTTATTAGTAGTTAGATCTAGGCGGTCTTGCCATGGCTGTGAGGGAAGGCGCAGACTTTTTGGAGGAGTTGCCATGGCAATGAGAACGGCGGCACACATGGACGAGCGCATGCAGTTCACCATAGTAGTACCCTTGTCTTACGGCAGGCCGCAATCGACTTCGGCTGAAAGATCCCATCCTTGCTCCTCAATATGTTGAAAAGCGTCCGTGCAACCCTTGTTGAATCTGAATGTCGGGCGTTTCGACATTCTCGTTGGACAGATTCCGATTCTCCGCTCCGCAATGGTAACTGCATAGCGTAACGCTGAGTACAACGGGACAGGAGGCCAGCTGCACGTTCAAGGAGACGGATGCAGCAGAGAGCTGTCCAAACACGGAGACCTCTCCCGCACCTCTCGTTGGTCAAGTCCATCTGCCCTGGTGTTGGCTTCTTCGGAATGAAGACTACACTACATAGGTACGAATACCTACCTACGAAGATATCTTACTATTTGTATGTCCTGACTTGTATTGTACATACAAGCTTTGGTATTGTATAACCTCGTCCTTACCCGCTTGCTCAGATGCGGCAACATGGCTTACATATACTGAAGCATCCATGGATACACTTTTAGTGTAAATGGTACATAGATGGATTTGAATGGCAAACGAAAACCCCGCCGGAGCGATCAGTGTTTAGTGTAGTGTATCGCCATGGTGCACAATGAAATCTCCAGGTCACCGTCGAGAACACAGTGCGGATGGACAGGATCCAGGTGTGGAGCCGCTGCCCCTGGCAGACATGTGCCAGGGGCTTGCATCAGTGGGCGGCGGGAGACAGGCACCCGAAGTGGCATCCGGACGCTGTTGGCTATGGTACCTACTCCGTAACCTAACTGCAACTGGATGTGGCAATAGCGGGGTACTCCGTACCTGACGCGAGATGCGAATGAGGCGCAGACTGCCGCGTGGCCCTCCATCGTGAAAGGTGAGGTGGGAAGAATACGATAACGACCGGACAGATAGGGTGGTAAGATAGCGAGTAGCAGGGTATTCTACGTACTGTACATCCGTACACAGTACTGAGCAAGTGTCCTGGGTTTTCAGGCCCCGGTGTCCGTACATGGATTACCGCTGCTTCTGTGCGAGTTCCAACCTTCGGTCTGAAATTGGGCTGACATTCACCTTTCGAGCGGCTGCTCAAATCCCTCCTCCGATTACTGCAACCGTACAGTAGCATCGGCCGTCTTAGGGTTATCAGCAACAGGAGCTCGACAGGGTCTTGACATAGCCCACAGTTGCATTCTAAGAGCCACGAAAGGAGCTGCCGCCTTCATATCCGTTTGCAGAAATGTCCAGTTGAGCCAGTCCAGCACACACACCAATTTCACGCCTCGGACCGTCGGACGTCTCGACGGCAGGATTTCAAGGAAAAAGCGGATGGCTGGAGGTGAGAGACATCGGTGGATCGCTTAGCAAATGGCTGCTGCTGGGCTTGCTGTTTCTGGTTAGATTTGTGACCCACACCTCCTTTAGATTAATATACACAGTGTGAATACATGGGAACACCCGAATGCCGCCAGCCGTAACCCCCCACCCCAAGTTTTCCCCGTGTTTCGTGCCTGGTTCACCTTCTCTTTCATTCTCACTCGTCCGTCTTCTCTCCGCATCCCTCACCACATCGCCGTCGTTTGTCGACTTCACCGGCAAACTTGGTTCAATTCCAGCAGCAAATCGAGAGATTTGCGCTGGTTTGGCCGTCCACTCCTTTACTTACCCCGTTGGATTCGTCTGGAAACAGCATTTAGCTGCCTAATACTTTGTCTGCTGCTGTCTCCAGGTCCAATTGCAGCCACCCGGACTTCATTGATGGTGAGTATTTTCCCCTTGAGCCGTCGATGACCGCCTCCATATCTTGGGTGTCGCATGTGCTAGACAGGGCCAATTGCTGTTGGATGCATTTCCTTGCACGGCTCATTTGGCGTCGCTGACTGTGTCCAGACCCAGACTGCAATTGCCATTTTAATCGTTTAATTCTCACCAACGGCTGAGCCACGACACTTTCAAAACACCTGGTCGAAGATCCCAGACTTCCAGCCAGGTGACAGTTATACTCGGCATTCCCATGTCACCAGCGTTGATTTGAGTTGCCAATCGACTCTTGCGCCGCGGAGCGGTCCTGAAAGATGGCAACCACAATTGGTCCAGACATGATGATCGAGCCTCCCTCGCCAGAATCGCTCGATCACGAACCGGCGCTTCCCTTTCAGAGAACAGCCCCGATGAGCGATCCGTCTTCCCAACAGCTGCGCCCCTCGACTTCTCAGGCTTCCCCACGAGCGAAGCCGCCGCCTCCGAACCCTCCTTTTGTATTTCCAGCCCGGCCATCTTCCTCTTCCGCGCCGGCTCCCTTCCCCAGGGTTACCGGCAGGCGGCCCCGATCGGCGATCGAGTTGCAGAGCACGGTGTCGAAAGGAAGTGCTGAGGACGAGAGGGTCGTCTCGAGATCGCCGGCTCTCCCAGCCTTCTCATTCAACCCTGGTGCGTCCTTACCGTCAAGTCTAGAGCGCGACAATATGTTTCTGAGCCCACCACAATCGCCCTCTGCGCCGAATTCTCCGCGGTTGACCCCGAATCGACCTACTGGCCATAGGCACCGCAGAGGCGGCAGCGAATTTGTTGGAGGGAGTATTCGCGATGGTGAAGCGATCACCGTTATGAACAACAGCCCGACGAAATTGGAGAGCGGCAAGCCCTCCCCCCTGCTTCAACCGACCACACCTCGTCGGGGCCATGCTCATCGTCGTTCTGCTGCTATCTCAAGCCATGACCTCTCCTCGATCATCGTCCCCCCGTCGACTCCTAATGTGAGAGGAAGCAGTGCGCCCACCAGCCCCACAGTTTCTGAGCGATTATCAGGCCCGAGCCTCCCGGTCCTTGACCAACCCGTCGAAACGGACAAGGTACCCTCGCCAGTGCCGGAGCTGCTTCTTGATAGAGTTAGCGGTCCAGCGCCAGTTCCTGTGCCTGTTGAGCAACCTTCGAAGCCTGCAGCGCGAAATAGAGTGGGGTTCTCTGATACTTTAGAGTACATCCCAAGGCCGTTGTCTGTGGTCTCCACGGACACCTCGAGCACCGTACGCCCTGGCCACTCTGTGTCAGGCAGCATCTCATCTGTCATCTCCCTCTCGAATGCCGATCGGGACGTTAACCACTTGTCGGGCGCCAGCTCCGCGCCAAAACTCAGCGACAGTCGACCTAGCACGGCGGGGGCTGTCATGGAACGGACCCAGAGTGCTCAGGAGCATGACCCGGCTCCTCACTCCCCTAGAAGAAGAGGATCGATCCCGTTGCTCGGATCACTCCCTCCTACTGATCTGCTCAATCCAGCCACCCCAAGCCCTACACGGTCTGCCAAGAAATGGTCGTTCTTCGGCCTGGATCCTTTTGCATCAGCTTCGCCGACACGCACCGAGGCCGAAAGTCCCTGCTCTACCATCTCGCATTTGCGCGTGTCAGAGGGGAGCTCCACGAAACGGGGGGCAGCTTTGGGTCCGCTTGAGTCTGGTGGAAATGCCGGCGCTCTCAAACCTCTCGGCAAGAAGAGAAGCAAGAAGCAGAAAAAGGTCAAGTCCTGGGCTGGGTCTATCTTGTCCCGCAAGGGGAAACACCGCCATAGCAAGCACAAAAAGCGAGCCCCGACACCGCCTCCGCCACGGCGCTTTGAGCCGGAGGACGAGCCGGATGATGCTATGCACATGTTTCCGGAGCCGGAGCCTCCAGTTCCCTGCGTCACGGATACCCAGTCATGGGAGAACTGGACTTTTCCTAAGGCCAGCAATCTTTCAGACGAAGACGCTTCCTACCCAATGATCGACTTGGACGCGGCTCTAGGTCCTTTCAACACACCTTTGCCCCGCAACCCGGAATGGGAAGCAGCGCAAAGAGCTGGCGGTCGCGTCAAAAAGCAGTTGCACAGTGCTGCGGGTATGAGTCGATTTTCTGGCCCCGGGATGCACTACCATAGACGGGCGGAAAGCGCACCGGAACTGGCGCCCTTTGAGGCTGGCCGCTTTGGATTTAGGCGTTTTGGTAGCAGCTCGACCATGGCCGATGTATTTGAGGAAGACGAAGAGGACGAAGAGGACTCTGCCAGCTCTTCAGCTGGGCCATCGACTCCTGCGATCAGCGCCCCAGCCGCGGAAACTCCTAAATCCAAGATGCAGCCGAAGGAGGAGTCTCACAATGCTTGCCAAGGCCATGTTCAAGTGTCCGGTACTGTGTCATCGCTGGCAGAATCCAAGCAACTCCAGTTCCGTGAAGCAGACAACGCTTCAAGCACTTTGGCATCGGCAAAGCAGGAGCCCACTAACGTGTGCTGCGATGATGGCTTTCTCGGCGAACCAACCGCTCCCTATTCAGCGGGAAGGCCTTCTCCAGGTGATGAGAATCACAGCTCAGCGACTCCTTCTCCCCGCCATGCCTTCCGGCCTAAGGATTTGGCCCCTGTCGAGGTCAGCCCCCTCAACCTTCCTACGGCGTCGCTAGGTCCGGTTAGTCCCTGGTCGATGACCCAATCCTCGGCTTTCCCCTCTCCGAGGTCGCAAATGTCGTATGATGCGCATTGCATCTCGACGGCCCCTTCATCGATCACAGAAGATAATTTCCAGTCCCTGCTCATGGGAGAACCCGGGCCGGAAGTTCGGATATCTGTGGATGATACTCCGTCTTTGACCAGCAGCAATTCTACTATGACCAGGGATAGTCTCTTCCCACAACACCCGCAAGCAAGGTATCCTCCTTTGAACGAACACCCGAGACCGGCGTCGTTTACCTCGACCTCCTTTGGGCGACGACGATCAAGCCTGGCAAGTCTTAGCCGGCTGATTAACAGCTCACATGGCGAGAGGAGCAAACTGTCCATTGAAGTTACGTTGGACAACGAGCCAGAGAAAAAGGCCAAGGCCAGCAAGACCAAGCGCCTCAGCCGGATGATGCAGTTCTGGAAGTCCAAGGACGGCAGCACGTCGTAAGAGGCCACCGATCATTGCTCCTGCTGTACACAAGGAAGGCAGCACGGGTGTTTTGAGGGAATGAGCAGGTTTATAGCCATCGCAGGTGGCGCCGCTTTGTGTCATCGCTTTTATGGTGATGTACTTGTAGGACTCTGGAGGGGTGGTTGGTTCTTCTAATATTGAAGGCTTTGGCGTTTCGTCGGCAGCATGAGAAACAAGGTAACATGAGATTCGGGATAGATATCTCAAACTGCCAGAGTATGTTTCAGTTTTTGATGGGCAGCCGGTTGGGGGGAATATGATGGAGATGGGACATATGATTCACAGTTGGCGATGATTCTGTTTCTCTGGACATATGAATGGGCGGCGTTCCCAAAACAATAACAAGTTGAGGTCAATATGTTGTGTATTGTCCTCCCGTCACAACTCTCAAATATGGCGCTTCTGACTTTCTGCATATGCCTCAATCTGGCGGTGTCCACGCCGCTGGTGGGCCACTGCTTTCAGGAATCAGGATCCCAGGGGGCCAGGTCCTCCGCGCCCCGCCCTTTGCCTGCCGGAGCTAGCCTCGGCTAGCGTCGCCGACTCTCGGTCGACATCGAGTAAACGCGCTTCGCGCGTAAAGTACAACGATTGCAGCTCGGGAAAATCCGACCATGAACACTAGTATCTATTCTCGTGCCGATCAGCCGAAAGTGTAACCTGTGAGCCGCAAAGTTACGTCGAACCGTCGCCGTCCGGTAAAGAACGCCGTAGTCATTGCGACGCACTTTACACAGCCAACCACTGCTACTTCTTCCGCACACCACCCCGGCCATGTCTGCCGCGTCGTCCTCCTCCCGGTCCGCCATCCGCCGTCTGCTGAAGGAGCTCGATACCTGGAAGAACACCGAGTCGGCCGGCGAACAGGGGATTGAGCGCCTGGGGCCCGTCGGCGACGATGAGTTGTTCAGCTGGGAGTCGGTGATCAATGGCCGGGGGATTGGGCATGGCTACGAACGTGCGTTGTCCTCTTCCCCTTCCTTTGCTTAAACCTTCAACCGTGCGCGCCTTGAACTTTCTGGGCGGAGATTGACTGACTGACTTACTGGAAACAACACAACAGACGGACGCTGGCTCCTCCGCATCACCATCCCGCCGTCCTACCCATTCAAGCCGCCGCAGATCTCCTTTGCCACGCCGATCGTGCACCCGAACGTCCACCTGCAGACGGGCGAGATCTGCTTGGACCTGCTGAAGGACAAGTGGTCGCCGGCATACAGCGTGCTCCAATGCGTGCGCGAGATCCGCATGCTGCTGGGCATGCCGGGCGTGGATTCGCCCTTCAACGTGGATGTGGCGGCGCTCTTGCGGGACGGAGACGCGCTCGGGGCGAGGAGGTTAGTGGAGTTGTGGGCGGAGGAGGAGAGGTACGAAGGAGAATAGTATTCGTTCCATGAGTTGCGAGATAGGATCGGGGGTTCTGCCGTTTATTTTTTTTTTTTTTGTTTCCTTTGGCCCGGGCTGGCCGGCATGTCTTTTTGAATCGTCCACTAAAGTACCTATTTAATCATCTAGAATGAAGAGAGCGGGAGGCAGGTGTGGCTTCAAATGGCGTTGCACAGACTGGTAGCCTTTGAGGAGTTAAGGAGGACAGCGGAAATGGTTACAGTGACAGGTGTGGCCCTCTCGGAAGGATGCGCGCGCAATAATGATACCCATTGCTTCATCCCTCTATATTCTCTCAACGCCGTGCCCGTGTCCTTTTCACATCTACCTTATCTTGCCAGCAAGCGCTCGGTGACCATGTGTGTGCCCCCAAAATTCAACCAAAACCTAGCCGTCACCGATTGCGCCTGTAACCATATGGTAGCACACTTTATCGTACAGATTGGAAACATCGGCCGCTTCGACCACTCTGCCGACACATATCTCTCTAGAATTGGACAAGTGGAGCGCCTCAGACTCTGCCCGTTCGCAGGACCATCGCCGCCACGCCAAGTACAGACCTTGAACATTAAAATCTGTGTTGCTAGACTAGAAACCTCCCAGACACCCGAAGGAGGTTTGATTGTCTCGGGTTGGAGAACAGAGAAAAGCGTGCTCTACGCTCAGACCCCCCTTCCGTCGATGACCTGATCGGTTTGGGGGACTGAGATGAAGAAGCGCCATGGCTTTGAGGTGCTGCAACGCGTCACTCATTATAATGGTAAACCTAGCCCTCGTCAGCACAATCGTCCACTTTCCAAACAAATAATAGAGAATGCTGTACCTTGTAGTTGGGCAAGCCGATTGGTTGCCAACCTAGCCTCTTGGCCATCTTCGCAAAGCCCTCGGTCTCGATCAGGTGGTAGAATGGGAAAGCAGGAAACATAGCGCCATCTCGGTGGACGTCAGCTTTCACTAACAGTGCTGCACCGCCTACCCCGTCCAACGGCACCTCTTCATGGAGGAGCCCGTCGTCCTTGTGCATGTAGGCCATCAAGGACCGGAAGGTCGCCATCTCAGCATATCCCTCCAGGAGGATATCATCAGGTCCCATCTGCTTCGCCAACTCCTGCGCGTTGGGGCTATCCTGCCAGTTGTTGAAGTCGTATGGGCGCTCGTCCATCTCCTTCTTCTCGGCGTTCCAGTATCGTTGGAAGCAATTGGGCGCTACAACGGGCTGGTCGTGGCGAGCCAGGTCCTGGATGATGCTCGGAGGGGTCTCGACGACATCGGCATCCAGCCAGAAGACCCACGAGGTCGAAGGGCCCAGGGTGGAGAAGAGAAGGGAATTGCGGGACTTGGCCATGGCCGCCCGCCGGATCTTCTGGTTGTGCATCTTGTGGCGCTCGCTCTCGTCCTGCGACGAAAGCGGCGGCTCAAAGTCTTCCCGCAGGATGATGATGCTCTTGAACCTGTCCTTCTCGGGCCCGTATTTCTGGGTCTTGGTAATCCTCTTCTGCAATTCCGTCGTCGCGGTGTTGCCCTCCTTCGTCTTGGGAAGAATAAAGCCTAGCGTGATCAACTCGTGGGGATACGAGAGCTGGAGGAGGTTGTCCCAGTACTCCGGGTAGAAGCGAGCCATAGGGGTCAGGAGGAGGATGTTCTCCCGGCTTTCGAGCGGGTCGGGCGTTATAGTGACATTGTTGAGGTTGTAACGTGTCACAGGCGGCGGCTTGGGCTTGCCACTGCCAGTCGGCTTGCGGAAGGGAGAGGTTGGCGGCGAGAGATGATGCACCGCGGCCGTGGCCTTTCGAGAAGCAGAGAAATCCGGAGTAGACGAGCCTATTAAAAAGTACAAAATGAAGATGCAGAGGGCCGCGCCAACGGCGAGAGTCGCCGGGCTCGTCTTTTTGAGACGAACCGGGCCCATGGGGCGCGCCATGGGTTCGTCCGAGGATGGTTCAGGAGGGTCGGCACATAGAGGGGCGAACGACGGGACGTCGATGCCGAGTCCTTTCGCGGTCGGCTCGCTCGATCGCATCGACAGGCGCCCAACAAGCGTCGTGGCGCAGGGGGGTCGGCAGCGTCAGCCGAAGGTTGCGCTGGCGCAACAAAGGGGCCTCGAGTTGGGATCGTGTGTACTAGGGAGATTCTCCTTGGGCCCGGCGATGAATTCGACCAGGATACGGTTTCCAAGATCCCCCGTAAATACAGTGTAACATCGACTCACGTACTGTGCGACGCTCACTGTGGCATTGTTACCATTCCGAGGCAGTATCCGTACTGGTAAGATACATCTGGATACGTCCCCTGTTCCGCCCATCGTACAGTTCTTACACTTGGTGAGAGGCAACTGAAGATGGCAGAACAGGCCGATTCAGCTAGGCTACTCGTGTCCAGTACTTCTCGTTTTTCGAGTCTGCGCGAAAGTCAGCCCACATATCATAGATTGAGCGCCAATAGTTTGGAGTGCATTGTATTGTACATGTGTAGTACATTGTCTTGCTCAGGTATTCCATGTAGAATGGTAATCCTATCGAGGTATAGTACAGTACGAATACGTCAGTACCGTATCTCACTGGAGCTGCACGCACACGTCAACATCAGGTAGCCTTACCAACGGCAGGAGCTCTAGCTTGCCTCACTTGCGACCTTCCCAACTTTTAAGTTCGTCGCCGACAATCAAAAGCTGTTCCTGTCCCCGTCCACACAACCACAAGCGCTCTTCGAATCCATCCGCGCATTTAGAACTCGCTGAGCGCCGCAGAACCACAGCCATGTCAATAACACCAATTATTACGTTCAAGGCGGGCATCTGCGATGTCGATGTTTGTTCTCCTAACCAGGTTGCCCCTCCACCTGAGCTTGGCTGACCATCTCCAGCAATCCTCAAAGCCCTTCAAGATCAAGGCCCAGCCGACACCCGGCTACATCTATCTCTACTCTGAGGATGGTACGACCCAACGCTTGACGTACAACCGTCAGCTCGCTGACAATCGCAACAGACCTAATCCACTTCTGCTGGCGCCCGAGATCCGCGCCACTCGATGAGCCAGAGCTCGACCTAGTCATGGTCCCCACGGACGGTCACTTTGTTCCATACGATACTCGCTCGCCAAGCCATACTTCCTCGAAGACCAACGGCCGCATTTTCGTCCTCAAGTTCACCTCGTCCTCGCAGAGGCATCTGTTCTGGCTCCAGTCGAAGCCTCAGGGCCGCAGCGGCGACCCGGCATGGCTCAGCCCCAGGGATCGGAAGATTGGAGAGATCGTCGACAGGCTCCTGCAGGGCGAAGAGGTGGATGTGAACCGCGAGCTGGCTTCGGTCCGCAACAACGATGACGACAGCCGGCGCGATGCTGACAATGACGAGGCCATGGAGGACGTGGAAGGTCACGGCGATGGCTCGGCCCGCGGCGGCGGCGGAGGCGCCGGTCCGGACGCCACTGGTGGAGATTTCAGGCAGGAAGGCGAGGATGCCAGGGAAGGAGGAGCAGACGGGGCTCGAGCGTAGGTGACCATTCTCCCATTGACGCGGTTTTCGGGCGCTTTTGGTTCGTTTGATATGGTTATTTTTCGCTAGGAAATGAATTACATCTGGCGCATGGCATTGGGCATCTTGCAGATTGCATGTACATCCTAAAGATGCTTCGGCAAGCAAAGGGCGACAAGAAAATGACAATCGGGATTCCCTCATTTTCTCTTGGTCCTCGCGTATTCGGACAGGTGCTAATTCTGGTGGGCAGACTGAGCAACGATGCTGCCACGGCTGTGCGGAACTTCCTCGACGCTATGAAGAACGCGTCGGGAGGCACTGCGGCAAGCCAGGCAGAACGCAAGGCCTATCCTCTGCTGAATGACCTTCTCGAGCCACCTACCACCATTGCCATGCTCGACGCGGCAAGCGATGAATACGTCGACAACCTGCTCAGCTTTCTTCCCCCGATGGTACTGGTTCTGTCTCAACAGGGAGACAATGCAGACGCCATTGTGAAAGAACCCAGCATGGAGTCGGTGGAAGCTGCGAAGCAAGCCATGAGCTCGGATCAGAAACGCGCTCTACTTAAGAAGGTCTTCCGGAGCCCTCAGTTCACTCAGAGTCTGGCGAGCTTGACCGTTGCGCTCAGGGACGGTGGTCTGCCGACCATCGCCGAGGCCTTGCGTATTCCGGTGGAGAATGGCGGACTCGTCAGGGGCGGAACGGTTCCCCTTGGTGGCGGGGATGCCGTGGAGGCGTTTGTGGAAGGTGTGAAAAGAGGAGTGCAGAAAAAGTAGGGAGTACCTGATTAGGACTAACTAGATCGACAACCTGTATGTGTAATGCCAACTCTTTAGGTTTTCTTATGAGAGGCCTGGGTCTTCTCCATATTGCGCAGGTTACGATAAGAAGCCAGGGCACAGACTGAACAGTCGAAGACATGCTCACCAAGGAATTTTGCTCGAAACCTGAACAGTTTTCAATCCTATCTTAGGTTACTGTGTATAGGGATTTGTAGGTTTTGCGCTGCTGCTGTCGGGTGCTAGGTATTGCAAATGAATGTGTAAGACGCTGTATTACGTACTGTATTATTAGGTATTGTACCTCAATGCCAAGCCTGGTACCTTCGCGGCTGCGGGGCGTTGTTGAAGCAGCACCTGCATCCAACGTCATTTCCATTCAACGCTCCAATCTCCTCCTCCTCCAAACTTTCTGCCCACAAGTCGCCCTACGACATCTACTTCCTGGCAAAGCACCAACACCATGGAAGCAGAAGCCGAGTACTGGACATTTCCTACCAACCCGGAGGAATTCGATCAAGATGATCGGATTTCGTATTCCAAACTCGACAACAAATACATCGCGGTGCAGGAAGATGGAACCGAGTACGAGTTCGACGCAGAGCTGAAGCGCTGGATCCCCATAATCGACGAGGCTTTGATCGAGGAACAACAGAGAGGATACTTTATGTCCAATGCCGATGCCGACAACGATCGTCAGGGCCCCGCGCAGGGCAGAAAGAGGAAGATAGACTCGAACGACCGCGAGGTAAGCTGCGCGCACATGCACATCTGCAGCATCGGCCGTCCCGCACGCCGCCATGCCCTCCTCCTTCTCCCATAGCCCAGTACATCCAGAGAGTCCCGAGACAAGAACAGTCCCGAATGCTCGCACGCGAGATCCGGGGAGAGACTGACCAGCCGCTTGATGTTATCTCTGTTTTGCACGCCAGCAGGACAACAACAATCACTCTTACAACCATGAGGATCGCGTCGCCAAGAATGCAAAGCGGAAACAGGGCAACCGCGGACCGCCCCAGCCCAAGCAGAATACCGCCGTGTACGTGACCGGCCTCCCGCCCGATGCGACCGCCGAGGAAGTTGCCGAGCTCTTCTCGCGCAAGTGCGGCGTCATCGCCGAGGAGATCGACAGCGGCAGGCCTCGCATCAAGATGTACACGGACGCCGACGGCAACTTCAAGGGCGACGCCCTGATCGTCTTCTTCAAGCCCCAGTCGGTCGAAATGGCCATCATGCTGTTAGACGACACCGACTTTCGCTTCCCGCCTCCAGATCCCAACGCACCCAAAATGCGTGTGCAGGCGGCCGATTCGAGCTACAAGAAGGTCAAATACGACGGCGACAACGGAGGCGGTAACGGCGACGCCAAATCAGGCGAAGGCAGCCGCCCGGACCAAAGGCGCAGCGACCAGGATAAGGCCAAGATCATCAGGAAGACGCAGAAGCTCTCGGCCAAGCTGGCCGACTGGAGCGACGACGAGCCCTCGGCCCTGCACGACGACAACACCCCCGGCGGCGCCATGCCGGCCAAGGGCGGCAAGTGGGACCGCGTCGTCATCCTGCGGCACATGTTCACGCTGGAGGAACTGCAGGATGATCCCACCGCGCTGCTCGACATCAAGGAGGACATACGCGAGGAGTGCTCCAAGCTGGGCCCGGTGACCAACGTGGTGCTGTACGACGAGGAAGAGGAGGGCATCGTCAGCGTCCGGTTCCAGACGCGCGAGGCGGCCGAGGCGTGTCTGCGCGTGATGCACGGGCGGACGTTTGACGGCCGGATCGTCGAGGCCTATTTCGCGACGGGGAGGGAGAAGTTCAGGAGGTCCAAGGGGGATGCGAAGGGAGGTGTGAAGGACGGGGAGCACGAGGAGGACGACTAGACTGCGTTGTGCAGACTCAGTTTGGGTTTCCCTCTCTCGTTTTCTGCCTTTTCCGGAGGCTTGTCTTCCCCTTAATTAATCCTCGTTGAATTCCTTTTCGCCGGTTCAGGAGACCAATCCCCCGGCCTCACCGAAGCGGGCCCCTTTGGCCATGTAACTACATCCTGTAGGATTAGATACCAATTGGATTTCTTTCTGATCTGAGCCTTCATCAGTTACGCATCCAGGGCCGTAACACGGCAGAACTGACACGAAAGCAACGCCTTGTCCTTCCGTTGTAGCCATATAATGATGCGTTGGACTTTCCCTTTCCATTCATCCATCCGGTCCACCCACCTTTGTAAGGGCCACACTCGAATCTCAACTCCTCGGGAGCGGATGCAGTATTGTATGCACACACATCGACTCGGAAAGCAACGGCGTCGGCACGGGGGTATCTGTGCGTTGATTCTTTTTTTTATTGGTCCTCCCAGCACCTCCTAGGTCTATTATCACTTTTATTCTCTCTTAGTGATGGAAGAGCCGTATGTTCTGCTCTACGAACGTGATACCCAACCTCTCGGCAGTCTCAAAGACGGGCACGTCATTCTGGCTGCCGCCCGGGGCGGCGATGTACTTGACGCCGGAGCGGGCGGCGCGGTACACGTTGTCAGTAAAGGGGAACTGTGACTTGCTTGTTAGTCATCCGCTCGGCTATGCCATGACAGCTGAGAGTCGCTGGAGGAGGGGGGAGGGTGGCCTACGAATGCATCGCTCGACACGACAACGTCGGTCAACTTGGACAGCCACTCGGTCTTCTCCTCCTCGGTGAAGGCTGCCGGGACTTCCTCGAACAGAGCCTCAAAGGTCTCCCGCTCGGGGCCCGACTTGGGCAGCTGGCCACTGACAAGTAGGTCGATAGCGTTGCTCTTGTCGGGTCGCTTAATGCCCTTCTTCCACTTGATGCCCAGGACACGCGGGTGGAAGCGGAGCCACCAGTTGTCGGCCTTATCGCCGGCCAGCCTCGTGCAGTGGATTCTCGATTGCTGGCCGGCTCCAAGACCGATGACCTGTCCCCTGGCGGAGTAGCAGACCGAGTTGCTCTGCGTGTACTTGAGGGCGATGGTGGCGACGGTCAGGTCGCGCAAAGCGGTCTCGGAAAGCGGACCTGAGTTCTTGGGAGTGATAATGTTCTTGAAGGAGTTGGGCGAAATCTCGACGTCGTTGCGGCCCTGGGTCAGGTTGACGCCGTAGACTGTCCGGTGCTCGGTCTTGCCGGGCTCATACTCGGGGTCCATTTGAAGGACCAAATACTTGCCGCCCTTCTTCTTCTTCAGCATCTCTAGAGCGGCTGGCTCATATCCGGGGGCGATAACGCCGTCGGACACTTCCTTGGAGATGATGCAAGCGGTAGGAACATCGACGATGTCGCTGAGAGCGATCATGTCACCGAAGCTGCTCATGCGGTCGGCTCCTCGGGCGCGAGCATAGGCCTGGGCCAGGCCGGAGCTCTCAATGCCGGCAATGTCGTCGACCATGTAGACCTTGCGCTCGTCGGCGTCCAGGGGCTCACCAATGGCAGCTCCGGCAGGAGACACATGCTTGAAGCTGGCAGCCGCCGGCTTGCCAAGCGCCCTCTTCAGTTCCTTGACCAGAGGCCAGCTGTTGAGGGCATCCAGGAGGTTGATGTAGCCGGGCGCGCCGCAGAGGACCTTGAAGGGAAGGCTGCCCTCCTTCACGTACGCCGAAGCGGGCTTCTGGTGCGGGTTGGCGCCGTAGCGGAGGGGAAGGTATTGCAGCCCATCGCCGGCGTACTGCTTACGGAAGAAATCGGAGATGGCAGCATCGTAGTCGGCGGTGTGCTCGAACGCCTTGAGCGCGTACATCTTCCGGCTGGACTCCTTGATCTCGCCCGCCTCGAGCTCCTTCAGGAACTCGGCATAGTCCCTGGGATCGCTGAGGATGGTCACGCGGGCGTGGTTCTTGGCAGCCGCGCGGATGAGAGTGACACCACCAATGTCGATCTCCTCAACGGCCTCGGGAACGGTGACGTTGATCTTGGCGACTGTGTCCTTGAACGGGTACAGGTTGCAGATGACATAGTCGACTTTGTCGATGTTCTGCTCGGCGAGGTCCTTCTCGTCCGAAGCGAGGTTACGAGCAAGTATACCCGCGTGCACAGCAGGATGGAGGGTCTTAACACGTCCGGCAAGCATTTCGGGGGCCTTGGTGATAGCGGAGATGTCCCTATGAAAAAGGCATTTTGTTAGCTCCGGCGGGCCCCAGTCGAGACTCACGTTGAAGCTGGACATCTTACTCGACAGGGAAGCCCGACTCCCTGATCATTTTGGCGGTGCCGCCCGAGGCCAAGATGCGGACATTGTGCTGGACGAGGCCCTTGGCCAGGTCCAAGAGGCCGGTCTTGTCATAGACAGAGACAATGGCAATGCGCTGGTGCTCTTCGGCCATCGTGAGGGAACGTACGGTCTAGCGTTAGGAGGAGCAGGTGATCCTATGTTGTCAGTGCTCCGGCCAACTCCAGGGTTAAATATGGTGTCGGGGTCCAGTTACCGGTTAATCCACGATCTGGAAGATGCCACCAAAGGAATACTCCCCAGATTCTGTAGATGAGACGGTGGAACTACCTCTACAGATGATCCTCCACATTGGAAGACGAAGATAGAGGGGCTGAAAATAATTCCACGTTCCCGTCACCTTATCTCTCTATCAATGGAGGGGTAGTGGTACCTCTACGGAGCTCTCGCAAGTCGCAACCTTCGCCGGGATCGGGAGGGCTGGTTGCCCCGCACTCAGCAGGTATTTACCGCATTAGCGCTTGCCTGTTGCCATTAAATAAGGGCCTACCATCCCCCCAGTTTGCGCGAGAGAAAAAAAAGCTGCCCATTCCTCTTTGCGCCAGACAATGTGGTCTGGAGGATTGCTTGTGAATGAACCCTTTCTTCGGGTGGCCGATTCAGACCATATGAAGCTTGATTTCTTCTTCCTGGGTTTACACTATCGTTATCTCTATACCTGGTAGCCCATGCTGAGCGAGGGGCAGCCGGCTGGCCGCCAGGTGACAAGGGACAGGTAGGTGAATCGAATAGAGCGTTATAGGGCAGCCTGCTGGAGACGGCAATTGCCCTTCGGGGCATTTGGTCAATGTAAGTTTCTCCAAGCGGTCTTGCGTTGCACTCTTCATATGCTAACCAACCTCGCAGTTGAAACGATACAGAGAAGATTAGCATGGCCCCTGCACTAAGGATGACACGCTACTCAAAGAGATGCTTCCAATTTTTTTTTTGGTATTTTTTCATACCTAGCATGAAGTAACAAGGAGAGTAATGAGATATCAATGACCTCCTGTAACAGGGTCCGGGGTGCTAGAGCGGCTCGAAAAGGCGACGGGTTCGACTGCTTCTAATGGCGCTCTTTTTTTCGGCCATTGGAACCCGCCACCCTGACGGGCATCAAGATTCAATTCAGTTCGGGCTGTGAAAGTAAGGTACTGCTTGTCTTCAAAGTCGACCACCCTACAACCAACGCCATTCAATCCTGCCACAACCTCCCCAACAGACCCTCCTCCTTACCCAGCAACCCCCTCTTCTCCTCGTCCTCGGCAATCTTCACAATCAGCTCCCCAAACAGGCCATTCGCCCAGCCGAACCAACTGCGCGTCCAGTTGTCCTCGTTCCACGCATTGACCGTCCGGTGGATGACGCCCGTCCCCGCCGTCGAGTTGAGCACGGCAAACAGCTGCTCGACCACGGCCTCGTCGCGCCGGGCAAGCGAGTCGAAGCCGGCCAAGTCCTCGTACGCGGTCAGCGCGGCGACCGTCGCTGCCATGGGCCACCCTTTCCCCGGGCCGAGATGCGGCCCGCCCATGGCGGAGAGCACGGGGCCCTTGGCGAAGTAGGGGTTGGCGGGGCTGAGGACGAACCGGCGCGTGCTTTGGTAGATTTTGGCGTAGTCGTGCTGCGTGTCTGTGTCATCGCTGTCGCTGGCAGCATCATCATCATCATCATCATCATCCCGAGCGACATGCTTCGCTGACTCGACCATCTGCTTATCCAGAGCCGCAGGCACGGTGGTGTAATTCCACAGAGGCATGGCCAGCAGCGACGAGACGTTGGCGTCGTCCATCAGGTTCGCGCCGCCGTACCCGTCCACCTCGTAGGCAAAGATCTCGCCAAAGTCGCGGTGCGAGACCACGACGTCGAGCGCGATGCCCCGGCGGATGCCCTTTGCGAGCTTGCGCATCTCCAGCGTCAGGTTGGCCGCCTTGCTGTGGAGATCTCTGTCGGCCAGCCCCTGCATGATGTCGGATGCCTGCTCCAGGTAGGCGGCCCACATCATGTTGCTCGGCGTCAGCAGCTGGAAGATGCAGGCGTCGTCGCTCGGGCGGAACGCGGAGCGCACCGTGCCGTTCTCCCTCACCGAGTTGCCGAGGCCGTCGTTGGTGAGCGTCTCGGACCCGCGGTTCGTCCAGCCCGTGAAGGTCCACGCCGACGGGAGCACGTGCCCTTCGTCGTCATAGGTGCCCGCATGCATGGCTGCCGACGCATCGACGGCGGCCTGCACGGCGTCGACCCACGAGTACTTGCCGAAGAACTCCAGATCGCCCGTCCGGCGGTAGTAGGCCGCGCTCACCTGCAGGAACGAGGCCAGGCTGTCGAGCTCCCACTTGCAGTCGAAGACGAGCTTGGGGTCGTATGGCGGGTTCGGGTGGTTCTGCGCGTACGCTCCGTTGTGTGTTGGCGGGATGCCGCTCTCGGGCGGCGGCTGGAAGGAGTGGCAGTACGGCGAGATGGTGATGTACCGCGAGTGCGCGTTGATCAGCCCGCGCCAGAGGCTGGCCAGGGAGTCCGGTTCATTGGAAGGCTCCAGCAGGGACAGGTACGAGTACACCTGGCTGGCCGAGTCACGCAGCCACATGGCGTCGATGTCGCCCGCGATCACATACGTCAGCTCCTCGTCCGTCGCCGTCTCCTCGCCGGTGGTCTGGTCCTTCTTGGTCGCATAACCTCGCCACTTGACCATGGTGTCGAGCGTGTTCGGGTAGCTGTTCTCGAAGAGCCGGAACAGGCCAGGGTCGCGAATCACCTTCTTCAACCGCTCGATCAGATCCTCCAGCGCGGGAAGACGGAACTTCCTGCACTCTGGCGGGGGGCGGACGTAGGGGAATTTGCGCCTGCCTTCCGATAGTGGCCCAGGCTTCTGTCTTTGCAAGGTCTCGAAGCTGGGGCATTCAGGAGAAGGTGTGGGAGTTTCGGTGGGAGTTTCGGTGGGAGTAACGTCCGTGGTGTCTGTGGCGGTCGTGGCGACAACGGGCCCGGGCCCAACGCCCGCCCCATCCACATCATCCGGCACACGGGGAGTGTCCTCAGCCTTCTCCGCCTCCTGAGCGGAATGTCCAGCATGAGACTTCTCAACCTCGTGCCCTGCTGCGGGATCCTTGTGTAAGTCCCAGGGCTCCAACTGAACTGCAGATAAGGGCGTCTAATATCCAAGCCAAAGAATCAAGACCATCAGGAGCAGGGCGACACCAAGAAGCCGCCCGCGACGGGAACCGGTGAGGAATGGGAGGACCATCCCGGATCCACCCGGCAAGACAACCGTCCCGCCGCCGCCCAAAAAAGGTACGCTGGCTTGTCTCAGGACCGCATCGGTCGTGTGTCCTGTCTTAGGGGTGTCGCTTGTGACCGTGTAGCCAAGCTTGAATGTCTGAGCAGCTCTGGCTAAGTCAACGCTGTGTAACAACATCAACCTAGGCTTCCGTGTTATCTCAGAATCTCAGATCAGTAACTTGGGTGTAATGAATTACAGGGACCCACATAGGCGGATTGCGGCCAACCAACCCGCATACCAGAACATCTTGGGGCATGCTATATATAACGTTACACGCGCTTACACGGAGTGTCTCGGGCAGTCCTCAGTCACAGCCAGTTCCATGAGGCTTCTTGATTAATTACTGTGGTACTATGTGAAAGGCACCAAACCTGGAATCAAATACTTTTGCATTATTCTCCAGGTTTATATATCTAGTCACCCTTTCCAAAAGTCTACCTGCCGTTGCTTCTCTAGCCAATTCAAAACTCCTCGAATGATTATCACCTACTTGTATGCCGCGTGTACACCCTCTTAGCTTGCATTAGATCGGTTGCCCCAATATTACCTCCTTTCCATGCTGATCTCATGACATCAACTCCTCGCTGCTGCTCGACTGTAGCTCAGTTTCTTCCCGCTCCTCTTCCTCTCCATCATCCTTAGGTTGCACCCACGCTTCCACTTCTTCACAGCCCGTCGGAACGCGGCACACGTCCCTCGCGTTACACGTCTTCCACAGCACCTCACGCACCTCTTTGAACACCTGCTCCGGAGCGTCCATGGCCCAGATCACGTCAAGATGCTCGTATTCCGGTATGACCTTGCTGTGGACCAGTTTGACGTGCGGCTCCCTCCTGCGCTCAAACCGTCTCAGCAGCTTGTCTCCGTCGACCAGATCGTCCTCTCCACAGATCCACAGCGCGAAAGGGGGTGCCTGGTGATTGTACCAAGCCGTCGAGCCCCTCGGCTTCCTTTTGTGCATCTCGGCCGCCTGCTCCGACTTCTCCACCGCTTCCTGACCCTCCATGTCGCGATCCGCAGCCGTTAGGATGGACCGTTGCTGATCCAGCTCGTGGTCTGCTCGTTCCTCGGCCCTCCACTCCTCTTTCGTCGCGAGGATGCTGCGGCGATGAGGTTAGCTATGTGTGGTTCCTGGTTGGACAGTTTTTAAGAAGCAGCTGGGAAAGCAAGAAACCTGCAATGGGGAGGGAACAATATCAGGTTGACATACCACTTGTGCCTGGCGAAGCACTCCCGCCCAAGCCACCAACGCATCGACTCAGCACTGACATAGACGGGCGCAAACTGAAACATCCTGTTCTTGAGGTCGCGATCCCACCGCTGGTCCGTCCAGTCAAACAGGAAGGAGAAGACCTTGTATCCCAGCCAGCCGTACACCCGCGGATGCAGCACCGCATGCATGGTCATCATGAAGGGGATGAAGGCGTGGATGCCGAACATGAGCCGGAACATGGCCGGCGTGATGACGCGCATGAACTTGAAGTACATCTTGCCGATCAGGGGCCCCGCATAGGCCGCGGGAGCCAGCGCACAGAAGACGGTCAGCTTCTCCCCGAGATCGGGCCGCTGCTCCTTGGCCAGCGCAACCAGTGCCTGCGTCGTCCCCTGCGAGTGGCAGATCAGCCCGATCTTGTCGAAGCCCGTCTCGTACAGCACGCGCGACGTCAGCGCCGGAAGGTCGAAGACGCCCATCTGCCGGATGTTCCAGCACCACATCCGCGGGTCCGACGTGTCGAGCAGGACGTGCCGCGGGCGGAAGCCGCAGCGGTTGTTGCCTAGCCAGACGTCGTAGCCGGATTTGCAGAGGTAGAAGGCTAGGGAGTCGTTGTCGTTGACACAGTATGCGCCCGAGCTTTGGAGGAGGCCATGCATGAGCAGGACGGGGAATTTGGGCTTCTTGCCGTTGGCGCTCTCGCCGGGCTTCTTCTTCGGGATCTTGAAGGCTGTAGGCTCGCAGTGGGCCCTTTCTTCGGCGGGTAGCGGTTGGTACTCCTTCGGGTCGTAAACATGCCAGAGCTCAATGATGAACCCGTCTTCTGTCTGGACCTGGAACATCTCCATATCGAGTCCCACTCGGCGGGCATAGTACGCCGGGTCGCATACGATCGGGTCAGGGCCACCCTCGGTGGGCGTAAAGCCATCACAGTCGGCCGCATTAGCCTCCTCTCCCCCGCCACGGCGCGCGGACGACCGCCTGCGCATCCATTCCCGTTCTTTTTCTTTCCTTCGCTTCTTCCGTCGCTTCTCCTCGGCGTGGAATGGCCGGTTTGCATCCGGGTTGCGGAACGTCGTCCGCAGCCATATCCGTCGCAGCGCTGGGCCAATGCTAGTAAAAAGGGCGCCGAGCACAATGACACCGAGAAAGGCTAAGCTGAGGAAAAAGGAAGAGACCCGGAAGATGAGGCACTGGACATTCCGGAGCAGAGACGGTGGGCCGTAGAGGGGCAGTGGCGGAAAGAGTGGATGGGTGTGCGTCGGCGGCACCGCTTCTCTCAAGCTTGCGCTTGACGCTTTCCTCTCTCGCTTTCCCGTCTTTCCCGGCGGGACACCGACAACCCGTTCGGCTAGCGACGCCACTGCTTTCACATCGGGATGACGAGCCTCACTCTCCTCGGCCGGTATTGTAGCCGGCTCGTGATCCTCCAGCGCCTTCCTCAGCACATTGAGCCTGTGAGCTTCTTCCACTGGGACAGGAGGAAGCCGGCTGCCATCCGAGGTAACGATGACCGGATCCCGCGGCGTCACGAAGCGTGCTTCAATGGCGACGCCATCATCCTCGCCAACCGCCGGATGTAGATGCGACAAACGCTCCGCCTGGGCGGCAAACTCGCTTGCGGCCCTATCCCAGGAAGCATCAGATCCTCGTTTGCGATGGGAACGCGCCGGCGACGTCTCTCCCCCCTCAAGCTGCGTTTCTTGTAATGTCATGGCAGTAAGTAAGCAGTTACTAAGGGTGGGCGTCATGTAAGGAAGGAGACAGTCTGTGGTGATGTTGTTAGGAAAGTTGCGCGTGGTCCGGCACACATGCTCTGGACTGTAATCAACAGAACGCTATCAGATAATCAGAATTGGAGTAATAAGGAAAGTACTGGGACCGAGCCAGTCAGGTTTGGGAAGGAAACCGGCTCTGCACGACGTCACTTGCAATCTGTGCCTGGAATGCGTGGCCCGTGAGCGGAGTGGCGAGGACCGGCTGCTTCCAGGATGGTGTCGGCCAGGAATGGCGACTTATATCCGTACCAGCATCAAATCAACAAAACACACCGTCTTAATAAGATGGATTGACTCTGCAGTCCTAACCCAAACTGATCCGACTTCGGTTGTCGTCGATCCGTCCAGGCCTAGATATGACATGTGACGATCATGCCATGGAGATTGGAGAACGACTCGGAGTACAGACATCAGACCCTTGCACCCCAGGAGATGGCAAGAGGAAAGAAACGAAAGCAACGACGCCGGACCTAGGCAATTCCTTGGGCCATGGTGCGCGGCAATTTTGACACTGGATCAAGTGTCACAACTCCGATTGGGGATACATATTGGACAAGAACCTGGCAGTTACCAGGAATCCGGGTTCCAGGGGTTGATGGCATCATGGGGTACTGGTAGCGTTGCTTCCCCCGGACTTTGAAAGAACCTTAATAATAAACTGAGTGGGGCACGGGGGCGTTCTCCGAGTCGGAAACCCCCGAACTTCGAAGTGGTGTGCAGTACAGTAATGCTGAGGTTAGGGTTACACAGAGTATCCACCCCGGTCTTAACCGAGCCTGCAAACGGATTGCCTTTCAATGTGCCGAGGCCAAACTGGAAGAAGCAGCAGCAATCTTGGAACAGTACAGCACGATCACGCCAAACGCCTCGCCGAACGCTTCTCCGTCTTGAATATGGCATCCTGAAGCCTCTCTGGGACCATAGTGCTTCCTACTTTATGCGCCGTTAATAAATAATATTTTGGGTCGTGTTGCTGGGGTCTTTGCCACCTGCCGGTCGCCTGCAATTCCGGCATCTCGGCTTCGGCAGCGGCATGCGACGTTGACAGCCCTCCGTCTGTGAGCCTCGAATTCGGATCGGAGCCCGGACCTCTGCGGACAATCTCCCCAACAGCAGCTAGTCCTCCCCTCGATTCCGGCTCAGTTATCGCAGACTTTCAGGACAGCTTCCACAATGGCAGCTTCAGACGCGGGCGCTGGCGTCCGCAAGAGACGGCTTCGTAGGCGGCGCCAAGACAAGCCCGCGCTCTCGGCGCGCCTCGTGCTCGACGACCATGTGAAGACCGACGTTGGCATCGTGTCAGAGGATTTGTTTGCAGAGCTGTTCCCCCACGTGCAGGATTGTCTGTTATTCCTGTTCCCTTTCCAAGCTGGCGTCCGCTAATACCATTGGCGCTACAGCAGGCCACGACCAAGACGACCAGCTCTCGAGTCCTCCAAGCCACCTTCACATCGCCATCGCTCCCTGGACGCCGTCCCGCTCCCCCGAGACTGTGAGCTGGGCAGTAGTTCCCGTGACTCCATCATCCGCCCTCGCCCCCTCGACCATTCAGTTCTCGCCCTCGTCGTTGGCCCTGCAGTCCTTTGCCCTGAACCTCAAACAGGTTGCGCCCTCGCAATTGACGACCCGAAGCCGAAGCGGTATCGAGGTGCTGGTCCTTGATGTTGCTGCCATTGAGCTGGACTCGGTCTTCGTGAGCCTCGAAGCCGAACTGATCAGGAGATTGGAGAATGGAGAAGGCAACTTTTTCCGGGAACATCCCGCTCAAGGGAAGACGCCGGCACCGCGCACGCCCGAAGGCCGGTTGACGGCAGCTTTGCGTGCCGCCCTCAGCACGCTCAAGGTTGTGCACACTGGTGACCTGTTTCCGCTACCACTGGCCCCGCATCCTGTCACTCATGTGCCCCCGAATCCGGGCAGGATCACCCTCTGCGAGCCGGTAGCACAGGGCGTTCTAGGTCCCAACACCAAAATCATATTGTCCCGGGGCCGTATGCACTCCAAACACAGCCATGCCACTACGCCGATGCCGCAGAGCCGGGGGCTGAACGCCGCCGCCGAGGACGACGAGGATACGGCTAACGACCAGTTCTACTCTGCCGCCGAGGAAGGCGTTCGGACAGACACGGCTGCCGAGGAGACGGATGCCACCGCGACCGAGGCGGAATCCGACGAGCCGGACGTCGAGGAAGATGAGCTGTCGGACGACTCGATGGACGACATGATCTCCCTCCAAGCCCCAACGCTGTCTTCCACGATAACCAGTGGAATAGGCACGCCCACCACGATCGGGGGCCGAGGACGGAGGACCAATGGCATCAGTAGCGCCGCGTCCGTGTTTTCGAGCTTCACCGCAACAACTGCTAGGCCAGATCGACCACGCGGGCGTTTATTCAAGGCCCAGGGACTCGTGCAACCTATTCCGCCCGAGCTCCTGCATCCAAAGCCCACCCCCGTCGACGACGAAGAGGCGCGAATCTACGTGGACACGAAGGACCTGAACAGAATTGGCTGCTTCTCCGGGGACTGGGTGCGGGTCGAAGCATCCCAGGAGCCGCCCACCAATGGCTTCGGCGCGTTCGGTCTCGGGAGCTTTGTCGAACAGGATCCGGACGAGCTGACCTGGAGGCCCGCAAGGGTATACGGGCTGCCAGAGGGGTATTCCAGCCGTCCCATGGCCAGGGTAGCGTCCTCCAAGTACAACGGCCGGAGGATGTCCTTCTTCGAGTCTCAAATCCAGAGGTCCTCGAGCCCTACGGTCCACCTCTCCCCGGTCATGCTTGCGAACCTCGAGAACCCGCCATACCTGCGTCTCTCGGCCATCAGGCGGGGCGCGCAGGCAAAAGGACCCCAGTCGAAGTCATCGACCCCTGTCCAACCACCATGTGCGCGCGAGGTGCTTTTGCAGCACGTTAGGACACCGATTCCCGTCGAGAGGGACGTGCAGACCGCAGTCATGGCTGGCCTGAAGTTCTACTTCGAGAGGAGGTTACGCGTGGTCAAAGCAGGAGACCTGATTGCGGTGCCCATCGATACACAACTCGGACGAACACTGCAGGAGACTACCGCAGCAGGTGACGATTCAGCGGTCGACGATATCCTGGGAATGATTGCCAGCGGGCGGTCGCATCGGAACCTGAACTACGATGAAGTTGCTTGGTTCAAGGTGGGCCACGTGCAACCGATCAAACAGGATCCGGCGGAAGAGAGCGAGGAGGACGAAGACCCCTGGGGCTCGGCTGCGTGTGTGGACATCTCCATTGCACACCTGGAGCAGACAGGCTCGGTGACGAGCCGTGTGCCCGGAACCGTGTCCAACACTTGGCCGTACTATCTAGGCATCAAGAAGCTCACAAAGCAACCCAAGGGCCCTTCAAGCCCGCTCATGCAGGAGCCAGAGCGGCAACACATCTCCCCGCTGAGAAGGAGACTGCGGGAACTGATGGCCGCTGCGACAAGCAAAGCCGCCATCCACCTCAAGATGCCCCCCCTGGCGATTCTCCTCGTCTCAACGCAGCGCAGCATTGGAAAAGCCACGACGGCAACACAGGCCTGCATGGATATCGGCTTGCACACCTTCACGGTAGACGCCTACGACATCGTCAACGACTCGGGCGCAGGGGGAGGCAGCGACGTCAAAACGGCCGGCTTCCTGACCTCGAGAGCGGAGCGCGCCATGAGCTGCGGGCCCGACTGCTGCACCCTCCTCATCCGCCATATCGAGGCTCTGACGGCCGACCGGATGGTCGCTTCGATCAAGGAGATCTTGGCCGAGGCCAGAGTCTTGGTGGCTACAACGACCGAGGTCGAGAAGGTGCCAGACGGGATCCGAGCCCTGTTCACGCACGAGCTGGAAATGAGTGCGCCCGACGAGGGCGAGCGCGAGGGTATCCTGCGAACCATCCTGGACGACCGCGGGGTGAGTCTGGATCCGGAGGTCGACCTCGGCAGCATTGCTCTCAAGACGGCTGCCCTCGTCGCAGGAGACCTGGTCGATGTCGTCGAGAGAGCTCTAGTGGCCCAGCGGTCTCGCCTGGAGCTCCTGTCTGCGAAGGCCACGAGCGAGGAACAGGCCGTGACCGTGCGGGACGTGCAGGTAGCCGGTGGCCCGGCCGCGTTGGGCCTCACGAAGCAGGACTTCGAAGTCGCTGTCGAGGCCGCGCGGAAGAATTTTGCCGACGCGATCGGCGCTCCCAAGATCCCGAACGTGACGTGGGATGACGTCGGAGGGCTGAACAACGTGAAGGAGGCGGTGACGGAGACCATCCAGCTGCCGCTCGAGCGACCGGAGCTGTTTGCTAAGGGCATGAAGAAGCGCTCGGGCATCTTGTTCTATGGGCCGCCCGGTACCGGCAAGACGCTCCTTGCCAAGGCCATCGCGACCGAGTACAGCCTCAACTTCTTCAGTGTCAAGGGGCCCGAGCTGCTCAACATGTACATTGGCGAGTCGGAAGCCAACGTGCGGCGTGTGTTCCAGCGGGCGCGCGATGCGCGGCCCTGCGTGGTCTTCTTTGACGAACTGGACTCGGTCGCGCCGAAGCGAGGGAACCAAGGCGACAGCGGCGGCGTCATGGACCGCATTGTCTCTCAGCTGCTGGCCGAACTGGACGGCATGTCGGGCGGCGAGGATACCGGCGGCGGCGTGTTTGTCATCGGCGCGACCAACCGGCCTGACCTGCTCGACCCGGCGCTGCTGCGCCCGGGACGCTTCGACAAGATGCTCTACCTCGGCGTCTCGGACACGCACGACAAGCAGCTCAAGATCATGGAGGCCTTGACGAGAAAGTAAGTTTTCCACTCATTGGCAGGCTTGCTTTTTTTTTGTAGAAAAAAGACTCGAACTTTGTTGACTAACAAACCCACCCTAAGATTCACCCTCCACCCCTCGGTCTCCCTCCGCGCCGTGGCCGAACGCCTCCCCTTCACCTACACGGGCGCCGATTTCTACGCGCTCTGCTCCGACGCCATGCTCAAAGCCGTCACGCGGCAGGCCAGCCTGGTCGACGCCAAGATCAAGGCCATCAACGCCGACCTCCCCGGCCACAACCTCCGCGCGCCCATCTCCACCGCCTACTTCTTCGACCACTTTGCCACGCAGGAGGACGTCTCGGTCATGGTCACGGAGCAGGACTTTTTGGACGCCCACCGCGAGCTGGTCCCCAGCGTCAGTGCCGGAGAGCTGGCGCACTATGAACGTGTCAGGGCGGCGTTTGAGGGGAAGAAAGACGATGCTCACAAGGAGATGGAGAGAACCAACGGGACAGGGGCGGCGGCTCCCGCGAGGCTTGGTTTGACGATGGGGCGGAGAACTACGTCCGGCGCATCGACCAGGACTGTCGTCGTCAGTAGCAGCAAGGGGAACAGGAAGGGGAAAGGCAAGGCGGTTGCGCTGGGCAGCGAGGATGAGTATGACGACGATGACCGTGAGTCAGGGGAGGAGAGCCCCGGTGGTGGTGGCGCTGGTGGCGCTGTACGGGACAAAGGGAAGGGTAAGGAGATAGCAGGGGCAGGAGGAGCTGCCGCTCCGTTTGGCGATGGTCCGGGCAGCGGCGATGAAGGCCTGTATGAGTAGGACTGTAAAGGGTTGATCGAATGCATAGTAAATACCTAGGTAGATATATATATAATGATGGAAAAAGTATGGCGATCGGACTTTGTGATGTACGCATATGGTTTGCATCATCAGTAAGCCAACATGGAACTTGACCCCACCAAGAACTAGACTTTCGATACATAGCTTGAACTAGTAGCCATATCCCTACAGCTTTCCCTGACATCCAGTTCGTTCCCTTTCAATGGTTCTGCTGCATCTCAACAGAAGCGAGGCCTGACTAGACCCGGGCTTCTTAACAAGTAGATGCCAACGTAGGTAGTTCCAAAACACAACTAATCCCAAGTGGAATCGCCGTTGTTCATCCCAGAACCCGCCAACCTGGGGAGCCGTATTTATTTACCTACTACTACTTCCCTTTGGTCTTATCGCCCGCCTTACCCTCATCCGGCTTCACCGCGCTCTTCTTTTCCTCCTCCTCCTCCCCCTCCTCCTCCGGCTCCTCAGGAATCATCTCGGCCCTCTCCACGGCCGCAATCTCCTCGGCCGACGCGCTCGCCACGGGGGCTCCGTGCAGCTCAGCCACGAGCGGCTCGGCCGGCTTCCAGCCCGTCGTGCTCGGCGACTGGATGGTGAGCGCTTCGGTGGGAGGTGCTTTCCACCCGGACGATGTCGGCGACTGCAGGCCTGCGTGCGCGGACGCGGGTTCTGTCGGCTTGTCGTCCTTGTTGTCCTTGTCCTTTGGTGTGGTTTCAACTTCGGGTTTCGTTGTTGAGGAAGAAGAAGACGAGGACGGCAAGGAGGAGGAGGAGTCAGTGGTGGCCCCTTTGCCGTGGACCTTGTCCCGGAGGCTTTGCAGGTGCACTTGCTTGGCCTTGGCCGCTGCCTCTTCGGCGATGCTGCGCACGGGGAGCATGACTTTGTTTCCTACCGCTGCGACCTTCTCGGATGCAGACTTTGGTGCTGGCGCGGGAGCGGGGGGCGCTGCTGGGGGGTGCGCCGCCTTGGCCGGGGGTGCTGCTGCTGGTGCTGCTGCTGGTGCTGCTGCTGGTGCTGCTGATGCTGCGGGAGGGGGTTTCGGCGCCTGGCTGATGGAGGGCTGGGTGAACTCGTCGTAGTAGAACGTGACGTGGTCCTTGAGCTCGCCGTATTCGTTCCATTCTTCGATCTCCACGAGATCCTTGGGCACACGTTAATATCTCAACGAGCAGGGCCAGGACCGAGGACTTACTCCCAAGACCATGCCCATCTGCACCAGTCCCGGCAGCTTGCGCTGACGGCCGCTCGCGTCCTTGCCGGCGCGCCGCCCCCACAGCATGCGCGCCTTCTCGTCGGTCGCAATGTCAATGGCCTTGAAAGGCACCCGGTTGGCGCGCAGGATGGTCTCGAGGCGCGACGTCGCAGTGACGATGTGGGAGGAGCCGGCCGTCAGCGACGTGTAGATGTACAGTGCCGGGTCAGTCGAGTACGACTTGGATTCGCTGGCTTCGGACGCCATGGTGTTTCTCTGCTTGGGCTCCGCAGGCGTCTCCGGCTATCTGCCCTCTTTCTGTCCCTTTTCTCGTTTTGATCTTTCCTGGATACGCTGGTTTGCCCAAAGGAGCGAGGTTGGGTTCTTGCTAAGACGGTTGAAACAGAAGGAGGGGCAACGACACCGACTGATAGCTTTGGCGGGGTATGCTCGAGACAAGCTAGGAGAGGGGCACAGGGAGTCCACTCAACTTGACAACTGAAGCAGATGAGTGCCAACTTTCAACCTACCTAGGGTGCTGAAAGGTATACATGAGCAGGCAAAACGCCGTCACAGGCCAGATATTCCGCTGCAGGAGGAATGAGACAGCCTTCGGCCCAGGAGTCAAAGCAACGGCGGTTGCGATGCGCAGCATCGAATCGATGCTAGGCCTAGATCTCACGATGCTAACTTATCGCTAAGCCCTTTCATGTTCTCTGCAGAGAAGTACCCAGGTAGCATTCCAGCCTGCCATGCTTTGTTCTTTATACCGATGGAACGTTTCCGAGCAACAACACAACAATGGCCTTGCCGAGAATGCTCTTTCTCGCGAATCTCGGACGGTGACACCCGCAGCAAACAGACCCGATCAACCGGGGATGAAACGAGCGGCGCGGGTCCATGGCTCTGCCCCGTCTTTTGTGTCCCGGGGGCTTCACCAGCATGATGTCAGTCTGACCTGGTTCATAGTCGTTGGTGATCCCCCACCAGGGCCGCTAAGAAAAGGCACGCTTAGTTAGTCCTCGAACGGACAAAGAGCGTTCAAGGCCGCACAAAGCGTGAAGTCGTGGCCTCTCTGGCCATCATGACCTCTCATGTCCGGAACCAGCGGGCGACGGGGAGATGGCGGTTCCTATATAGCGCTCCTTCGCCAGGGCGCTTGGTTTCTGGGAGTGAAGCTGTCAGCCAGAATTGTTATCCATCTCATTTTCCACACTTGTTGAAACGAAACAATCATGTGTCTGATCGGTCTCTTGTTTCCCTTCAAGCATCACTACCATCACAAGTCGCGAAGGCACAAGCACAGGCACAGGCACAGGAGCTCCAGCCACCGGCGTTCCGAACGCTCGCGACGAGAAGGATCGAGACGGCGTCACGAGAAGCATGACTTGAAGGATACGTCAGCCGTGACCGAGGACGCCCTGGCCCGCTTATGCCTGTCGCTCGAACAATGCCTGATCGAGGAGCAGCAGAGATGGAGAGAGCAGGACCGGTTGGACAGGGAAGAGAGACAACGCCTGGGACTCGAGCGAGAGCGAACGCCATCGGAAGAAGCGCCCCCATATAGTCTCAGGGACGACATGGCGCGCCAACCCACAACACCACCATCCGAGGTTCAGCATCTTCAGCGTGATAGAAACTCGGCCGCCTCGGCATTGGCATTGTGCTGCCGCTACTGTGTCTGTACCCGTTGCGGTTCCGCCAACACGACATGCCCGACGGCCGAGCTAGATGGCAGCCGCACAAGAGAGCCCAGGAGCAGCCCTGGGCGCACAGAGAGCCGCGCCGAGACACGGACACGAACTTCCTAGGCCACGGCCCACTCTCGCCTCAGGACTGAGGCGGCAACGTCTTTGGTAGATTTTCATCCGTTTTGCCTTTTTTTGGGGGGAGGGGACCGGCGGGAGTTTTGGGTACGACGGCGTTGGGAGGTTTCGGTTCACCATAGTGTAGTGTAGCTTCTTCCCTGCGCAGTCCTCATAGAATTGATACAATGTATCCCACACTCCTTGATCTTGGCATGGCCGAGCCCAGAATCACCAACAGATACGGTGGACCTGAAATGAGTCGAGATTGGAAGGGGCTTGTCGATTTGGGCTGGCCCGGCCCAAGTTCCACCACTGAAATAACCTTCTGCCAAGCCTTGGAGATGGCGGTTTCACACAAAGGCATTGGAACCTCTCGTCATCCTCCCTTCATCTTGAAGTGGAATGCAATGCGTGCTGCCGACCATACACTACGGCGGTATCATGGAGGTTACGCCCGTTGGAAATGTTGGATGCAGGTCACACTGCGGATGCTGCCACCTCCCGCAGCGGCCTTCTCCACCCAACCTTTTCCGGTCTCTTTCCTTTTCTTAACCCTCACTGTAGCACGACGCAGTACGAAGTAGCACAGGCTGGATGGCGACGGCTGTGGTATCCCACCAACCACCTGCAGACGCTGCCTCAGCTGAGGTGACGTTGGTGAGCGGCGGTGATGCCCCGAATTACATGATCACCGGAGGGATCAAGTTGACGAAGGACTGTCTTCACGGCGATTGCCGTATGTGAGTCAACTTCTCGAGCTCTTCCGAGTTAATACCGCAGCTCATGAGGACTGGCAAAAGAGAGTTGTAGGATGACGGGACCACTGCTGCCCAAACAAGTTCTTATGTGGGACCGCCTTTCGCCCGACCGTATCTTTCGATCTGACTGCAGCAATTGGTTGAACGTGGCAATCGAAAAAATGTTTTGCAGACTCTTCATGCAGCATGCTGTGGCTCGTCATCCGTTGATGAGTTGTAGCCCGCTGGTGGCCAAAGTTGCGGCCCGCTCAGTGCCGCTCAGAGTTCGGATTGGAGCAGGGGTGTAAAGAGCGCCATGTCGATGACTCCGCAGCTGGAAGGCGATTGGTCGACGCTCTCCTGTTCCTGCAGGCACAGTTCTCAACTGACCAACCAGCTACCCAGCCTTATAAGATTGAGTCCCACCGTCTGCAACTGCAAGGTACGCGGTTTTCGTCCGACCAGGGCATTTGTGGCGATCCCCTGCTCCCCAGCAATCATCAGCTCGCGAACTGTGAGGAACATGGGGTTCGCAAGCCGCTGTGCCAGGGCGCTGCTGCCCAGAAACCGCGCTGCTGGGGACCTAAAAGGGCGGGTTCCCACCCCTTCGATGCGCTCGCATTCCCTCTCCTCTCCCTTCCCCTTTCAGCGCATTCCAGCAGCTATCCGCTCTTTTACCTTGCTTTCCGGCGTCAGCCTTCCACTCATTTGGGATTCAGATCAATTCGATCGATCTTCTGGCTTTCGCCCTTTCGCCCTTACGCCCGATCTTCTCACACCGGCACCTTTGATCTTCCTTCACCGAAGCGATCTCTTGCGCCGATCCCGTTGCCCGACTTAGCATTCCTCGCGGCAACTCGACACAAATATTCCGACACTTGAATCTTTCTATTTATTCGAGTCACAAATACACACTTGACACAATGCAATTCAAGAGCATTGTCGCCGTCCTGGCCACTGGCCTCTCGCTGGTTGCCGCCCAAGAGGTCGACACCACCACCACCTCGACCCAGACCATGACCAAGACGGTTACCGTCACCCAGTGCAACCCAACCGTCAGCAACTGCCCCGGTCGCACATCCACCACCTCCAGCAGCAGCACCAGCAGCACCAGCAGCATCATCTCCTCTTCGACAAGCTGGACATTCCCTCTGTCCAACTCGACGACCACCGTCGGCCCCACCGCCAGCTCCTCTTTCATCATCTCTACCTCTCGCCCCGTCGTCACCGGGTCTTCGGGGCCCGGGTCGGGCTCGAGCGTCGAGACTTCTGGTCCTTCTGGCACGGGTTCGTCGCCTAGCACCATCCCGACAGCTGGTGCGGGCGGTCTCTTTGTCCAGCCTGCCTTGCTGCTCAGTGTCCTCGGTGCTGGTGTCGCTCTCCTTGCTTAGGCGCGGCACACTGGTCCGACCCCGCTGTGAGAGCGACGATGGCGAGAACCGATCTACCTTGGACAACTATACCCTAGCGACTTCTTTTTATTTCTTCGATTCGTCCATGGTCCATACTACTTGATTCTTCGGGGAAGCGATGTTTGGGGCTTTTTTTTTTGGTGGTTAACGAGGTTTGGGAAAGGGTTTCTGGCATGTCAGGGCGACTCCCTCGAGTTCCTTTATAGATCTGGACTACTGGTTGGCATGTTGGATATTAGACAAGAAGCTGTGGCCTTGAACGGCAGGGCTTCTGGGATGATGGGCGCACCAGTTATTCCCTTGGACTTGGACCTTGCGGAACCTTGAGGGCGACCACGCATACTCCGGCACGAACGGAAAATGATAAAATCCGCCAATCCGTCCGTCGTTGTCGTGCACCGTCACTCATCACTGCTTTGTGGAACGTCATCTGATGTCTCGGCCAAGGATGCTCATGATACAGGCCAAATCTCATCATCAATGGCCTTCCTGATCTGCAATCTACGATCGGATTCAAGATCAAATGCCATGCCTGCTCCTCAGTCCATTCGTATTCCGGTGTTGCCAGATGGAGCCCGAGATGCTTTCAGGGGTAAAGGTAAGCACAAGTCCCTAGTTAAAGTACTCTTCGATGTTGGGACTTGCTCCGACGAACCATTATCTCATTCACCACCGCCCGAGGTTCCACGCTCCTCAAATTCCTCCCAGATCCTATCTCTTACTCATAGCTGCCCCTCTCCGCCATTTGCTGATTGCCCGACTTGTTCCTGTCCACTTGCTAGTGCTTTGAGTTTCTCGTCCGCTTCATAAACCTCGGACCAGTTGTAGTAACCCGATCTCTTCGTCGGATCCTCAGACTCGATCATTTCATGCTACCAATGAACTCTAACCCCGAAATGCCTCCGGGCTATCCGGTGCACGCCACGGATGTAGGGCTCAGCGCACTGCGTCAGGCGTCCGCTGACCTTGGAGCTGAAGCGGAGAAAATAGTTGCATCGTTCGGGGCTCGCGGGCATCCTCGGCCATTCGCCGACCATGAAGGTAATGTAAAGCTTGCTTGACAGCCGGCCTCCAGGGTCTTCGGGCAACTGGAGGACCTTGCCGTCCTCCCGACCTCCTTCCTTGTCGTTAGCATCTTTGTATGTGTTGATGACTTCGTCGAGAAATTCACGGTATGCCCGTTTGTCAGTCTCCTTGGCCGGGTCCAGCCTGGGATAGATGTCAAAGCCGCAGTCGAAGCCCATATTTGAAAGGACAACCTCAAGTAGTAATCGGTAGTCTCAAACTGATCGAGGTAGTTACTATGGAGGCAGCGCTGATTCGAGCAAGCTCCTCATGTGATATATATAGCCAGAGATCAGGGGCTGGCTTCATAAAAGCTACCGCCAGCAGTTGCCAACAACGCAATGTTGGCAACGTGACGCAACCACAGGCCTGACCAGACACGTAAAGGCGCACCTAAAGTTGACAACTAGCAACTACTTGTGTTTGTTGAATGTTTGCCAAGTTGTCAAAATCTCAGCATGTGCCATACCCATCGGATGGTTTGTGCCCATCTTGTTTGGTTGTGTGATGCGCTGTACTCGAGCTACTACAGTAAAAGGGGTTAGGGGTGCTCGACATGGGATAACTGGACGTGCTGGCAGGCACACAGCCAGGCAAATACCTTATCAACAACAATGCAACATAACGGCACGCAACTATGCCCTCTTCCACGCAATGTCACGCAAACAGCTAGCTGTGGTTCCGTTGTTGCCTCCCATAACTTGAGAACGCTTCTTCCTACAGCGGCTGGGCCCATGCCCGGTGTTCTCTAACTATTACGATGTTGACACATATGGTAAAGAGGGCGTTACCTGATACCTCCAGTGACGATAACGATATGACAAGCAGAGTAACGTAGGGTAGGTGGTATGTGTCGTACAAGTACAATACACTGACAGATAGTACCATATAACGTTAGATATCAAGAAACAGTACCTTACCTACTTGTGATGTATGTTACATGTACTGTATATCTGTATTGTACCATGTATTATATGGACTGTTCAAAGCTGCCCCACATTTAGCTACCGCTCCACTGTTATCATTGCGGTTAGGTGCTTGTTTGAGACGGAGCGTGCCCCGCCACGACTACTCACTGACCTCTACTCTCGCTATCTTCCCCCCTACCTGAAGTTTGGTGCGAAAGCTGCTCTAGAGGCTGGGACTCGGGGGTTCTCAGGAGTTCTGCTGTCTTCTACTGAAGGCGGACCGAAGACATGCGCTATTGGTTATCGATCGCCCATTTCAGTTTCCTGTATCAGCGAATCTTATTGATCGATGACGCCAGGGTACAGCTAGTGGTAGGCGGCGACACCGGAGCCGCCCTCTGACGGATAGCACTACCGGTATCACTGTTGCGTTTAACACTCCGCGAGCTTGGCGCACGAGCAGGAGCCAATGTATGGCTCTTGGTTGTTTACTTGAAAAATCAGAACCCTACGCATTCGACGCTAGTTCCCCTTATCCTTCCTGTACAGCAGGGGGCGTATCGGCGAGGTGGCGAGCTAGCCACGAGCGCGATCTTTGAAGACCTTCTCGGGTGAACCCTGCGCAACCCCCCCAGCGACGGCGCCGGATGCGTCTTGGGCACGACGGCCATGGCGAGCCTTGATACCGGAGGTTCGACCCGACAGCCTCACGTGCCCATGGAGGTGGATCGACACTCCCCGCCCAGCGCCTCCTCCGCGCCGTCAGACCGCGGCTACGGTGCCCAACAAGCCCTCCCGTCCGTATGTCAATGGCGTACAGCACGGTATCACGATCAAGAATGCTCGCGGTACTTCGACTGTCCTTCCCACGTCGTTGAGCGGGCGCCATCGGATGACGGACAAGAACGGGAGGACGAGGAACGACAGGATGTGGAATCGCAGGACACCCAACCGGTCTCTCCCATAAGCGGGGACTCTGAGGAGGAAAGTGAGGGTGAGGAAACTTTGAGAGCCCGGTCTCCGTCACCCGAGGTGCCGGTTGCCGCTAGTGAAGCGAATGACGCAAGCCTGGAAGCCCGCAGAGCTGCTGCAGAGGGGCCGGAACGTGGAAATTCGGGGCTGAGTTCAACTAGTCCCGCTTTCCTGGGAGATGATCAACCCCTTGGAATCCAGCCGAGAGCCGAATCTGAAAGACAAGGGACTACTGAAAGCGATAGCAGAGATGGCGATGGTGGAATGCAAACAGCCTTGGGCCCCATGCCCATGCCGAGAACCAGCAGAGTTCCCCTTGGACTCCAACCTGTCGACAGACCCGCGGCTAGTGTTGCCGCAACCACGGGACTGGCTCCAGGACCTTCGCCTTCTCTGTCAACCGCAGCCGAACACACCAGCCCATCCGAGATGGTGCTGCCGAGGTGGCAGCCGGATTCTGAGGTCACGTATTGCCCGTTCTGTGGCACTCAGTTCAGCTTTTTTGTTAGGAAACATCACTGCCGGTTAGTGTCCATGACAACACAAAGTGGCGCAGAGAGACTTACCTTTTACCTACAGAAAGTGTGGCCGGGTAGTCTGTAACGCTTGCTCGCCACATCGCATCACCATACCATACCAGTATATCGTCCGGCCGCCCGGTACGCCGCCTCCTATTGCTCACAGTGCGCCCCTCTCTCTTCTCGACAGTCAAGGGTGGTATCCCGGGTTCGGCGGGGGTGAGAGGGTGAGGCTATGCAACCCCTGCGTTCCTGATCCCAACACGGCGCCGCCGCAGCCTCAAGGGGCTCAAGGGGAGCCGGCGAGGGATCAAACCAACCCCCGCCCACGCGTGCAACCCGACGACAACACCCCTTCCAATAGATGGGGCGTCTACTTTGGTTCCGGGACCCTCCACGACACCCAAGGGAGAAGCCGGAGCGTTACAGTGGTATGTTGGCCGTGCCACCTGCCTAAGTTGCTGTATCACCACGTGAATGACGCTGACTCTACTGAATAAATAGGGCCAGCAGCTGGGAACGATGTCTTCCCCTCAGCCACATTTCCCACCTCACAGGAGCGCCGGAAATCGCATTCTATGGGGCACACCACCGGTTTTACCTACTGCTACAGCGTCACAGTCTCCTTTCGCCTATCCGGGCATGGCATCAGTCTACCGGTCTACGCTCGAATCAGGTGCCAGACCGGGCCCTTCAACCCTGGCAGGGCCGTCATCCTCATCATCAGCCTCAATCAGTCGGCGCCTACCCTTCGCCCCGCGCCCCCAGATTCCGGAGGAAGACGAGTGCCCCGTCTGTCACCGCGAGCTCCCGCCACGCACGCTCCCAAATTTCGAGTCGCTGCGCGAGGCGCACATCAATAACTGCATCACGGCCCACAGCAGGTACGGTGGCCGTAGCGGCGCCGGCACATCGGCAGCAGCGACATCACCCGGTGGTGAGGACGAGTTGCCGCCTGTGCCACCCCGCCGGACGGGCATGTTCCCCTATACGGCGACCGAGAAGGACTGTGTTGACTCGGCCGAGTGTTCCATCTGCCTCGAGGAGTTCGAGGTGGGCGTTGCGATGGCCAGGCTCGAGTGTCTGTGTCGCTTCCACCGGGCGTGTATCAACGCCTGGTGGGAAAGGCATCCTGGACGGTGTCCTATGCATCAGCACGATGGGTTTGGTTATTAGCGAGTAGTTTGAATCTGCGGGGGGGAAAACATCATTTCGGTATGGGTGAAGGTTACGGCGTAAATCCGGGAGATCTCTTTTTTTGCTGTGTGGTGATTTTGGAGTCTTTCTTGGCTGGCTGAAATCGGATATGGATAGGATATACATCGGTATGTTAGATTGAGCATCAGATACCACTCCTTCGCATTATATGTACAGCATATCATCCATCATCACGGAGAGGACGTCCCTATATCACATGCGGCAAGTGCTCCTCGTGACGCATGTGACATCGCCAGCTACAGCTCCTGTTATGGATAGGAATATGCTCAGGGCGAGTTGGTGAAACCGGGTTGTATTTCGCATGCCCACCTCATACACCAGGTCCCTACTACGGCCCCTTATCCGTTCCGGATTGCTCGTCATCTCTACTCTGCAGACCCAACCGCACAATCTAGAATGCATCCACCTCAGCCCAACACCAACGCCAACTCGCCTGAAATCATGACCGCGCGCTTGTCGAACATCCGATGCGAATCAAAACAAAAGCTCATGCTACTACGACTTGGAAGGTTCGGCGACTCCCAGTGCCGAGGGGCCAAAGGACAAGGGGAGGAGCTAGCGAGAAAAAAGAAAGAATATACATCAACACAGAGCCCACCAATATATGTTTGACGGAGACACTGGTTCTGCTCACCTCTTCAAGCCGCATGACGGCAAAGTTGCTGTCCTTGTCAAACATGATGATCGGGACCTTCACGTCACAGAACTCGCGGATACTAAACCCCATCATCAGCCCCTCCCCCTTTTCCCGTCACCGCAAAACAACCAAATAAAAAAAGAAAAAAAGAAAGAAAAAAAGAAACTTACCACTGCCGACACATCCCACAGGGACTAGCCGGCCCCGCCGCCGGATCCGAATCCGTCGCCACCGCGACCGCCTTGAAGCCGACGGCGTGGTGCCCGTCGACCACGGCGCGCCCAAACGCCACCCGCTCGGCGCACGTCGTGACCGGGTAGCTCGCGTTCTCGACGTTGGCCCCCGGGACGTAGTCGCCCTTGCGGGTCAGGAGCACCGCGCCGACGCGGAAGCCGCTGTAGGGACAGTAGGCGCGCGCTTTGGCGGCCGTGGCCTGCTCGCGCAGGGCGTGGAATTCCGGCTCGGTTAGGCCGTGGGCGGCGCACGTTGCGGAGACGTCTTGCGGGGAGGAGGAGGAGAGGATTGGTGGGGTTGATGAGGAGGATGATGACATTGTTTTTTTTGTTTTTTGTTTTTTGTTGGTGTTGGTTGAACCTGGGGACACGAGGGGGAAAGGCTGGGTTTTGTTTGTGGACTGGTTCTATCTCGGGGAAGGCGTGGCTAGTACTTGTTAGTGTATTATGAGCCGTGGGATATGATGATGATGATGCCTTTGTGTTGTCTCGCAGCTTGGAATGAGGTCAGCGGGGTACGATTTACACGTGTACACCCTTACATTGAGGGCCGCCGATAACCGATAATACATACCGGTAGCTCTCCAAAACACAGCAGAGAAATAAGGAATTCAGGGGAAGAAAGTGCTAAGGAGCAGAGCGTCTAGTAGCTAGAAGGATCCAAGTACAGACTAGTGCTTTTTGTCCCCTTCCTTTACACTACTAGTAGGTGAATAGGTAGCTAGGGCTGGCCTAGATCTGCTCGTACAAACCATACCCGTCACACCCATTCACGTCCTTCTCTCTTCTTCCTTTCTTCTTCGATAGCCCGCAAAGAGATAATCATGGCAAAACATTAGACATGATTTCAGGTCTAGCGTTCTGCCCTCAAATTCGTATCCTAGAGCCTCAGAAGCAGAAGGGCGATATGTCAAAGTATTTATCCTCTCTAAGCAAATATTGCCAGGCCCAAACACTGGTACAATTTGAGAAGAGTCTTGATGTGAGCCACGTTGTTGGATATCAAACCGAAAACGGGCCAACTCCTTTTCCAAATAGTTATCCGGTGCGCCAGCCAGAAAAATCGAGAGCTGAGTATGCTGAATGTAGTAGATAAAACAGAGGGGTGTGTTCCCTGGGCAGACCCGAACCGAAACATGGCAGAAATGGTAATAGTAATAAATCAAACCCGAATTAGAACGAAGCGGCAGCAACGCAGTGCCAGAGTACCTGGTACTTTCACGTCTACCTGTCGAGGGCTTGGTTGTGGCACTGTTACACAACACAAGTTAGCGCAAAACATCCCGGAGGTCAGTCAACGGGGTCTCATTCTCATCTCCAACATACCATATGCCAATACACGCCCTTCTGCCTCAGCAGTTCGGCGTGGGTGCCTTTCTCGAGCACCTTCCCCTCACCAAGCACGTAGATGATGTCCGCGCCCTGGATGGTGGCCAGGCGATGCGCGACGGCGACGGTGGTGCGGCCCTTGGCGACCTTCTCGAACGCGGCCTGGACCAGCTTCTCGCTCTCCGAGTCGAGCGAGCTGGTGGCCTCGTCCAGCAGCAGCACGCGCGGGTTCCGGATCAGGGCGCGCGCGATCGACAGCCGCTGCTTCTGGCCGCCGCTCAGGCTGACGCCGCGGCTGCCGATGTTGGTGTTATACCCGTCGGGCAGCGACACGATGAAGTCGTGGATGCTCGCGTCCCGGCAGCACTGGTGCAGCTGCTCGTCTGTTACGGCCGCCGGGTCGACCCCCAGCAGGATGTTCTCGCGGATGGTGCCGTGGAATAGCGACGGCTCCTGTGCCACCAGCGACAGCAGCTTGCGGTACTGGTACACGTTGACGGTGGAGATGTCCTTGCCGTTGAACAGGATCTGGCCCTTGGTCACGTCGTAGAAGCGCTCCAGCAGGCTGACGATGGACGTCTTGCCGGACCCGGACGCGCCCACCAGCGCCGCGAATTGGCCCTTCTCGATCGTGATGTTGAGCCCCTTGAAGATGGAGACGTCGCGCGTGGGGTACTTGAAGTGGACGTCCTTCAGCTCGATCCTGATGCCACCGTCCACGTCGGGGATCTGCTCCGACTGCGCGACGTCGTCCTTGATGCGCGTCTCGCGGGCGTGCAGGATGCGGTTCGCCGCCGCAGCGGCCTGCGCGGCGTTCGGACCGAAGCTTAGCCACTGGCCGGCGGACTCGGCGCCCTGGATGACGGCCATGTAGGTGACCAGGAAGGAGATGACGTCGTATTCCCGATTCTTCATCAGCTGGCCGCCGTACCAGAAGATGAGCGCCTGGCAGGCCAGGCTGACGCTGTCGGCAAAGGCGAACACAAGCGTGGTCCACCGGGCCTTCCGGAACGCCGCCGTGACGTGGCCGTCGAGCAGGCGCTGGTAGCGGTCGCAGATGCTCTGCTCCATGACCAGCGCACTGACGGTCCGGAATGCGCCGATGGACTCGGCGCCGAACTTGGAGCTCTCCTGGAACACGGCCTCGTTCATGGCGTTGAACTGCAGCTCGTACCGGACGCGGAAGTAGCCGGCCACGATCCCGATCGGCACCGTCACACAGAGAGCCACCAGGGCCAGCTTCCAGCCGTACGCGAACGAGATGGCGAGCGCGCCGATCAGCGAGAAGACGCCGATCAGCACCATCATCATGTTGATGCCCAGCAGTTCCTTGAGCGCCTGGGGGTCGCTCGAGAGCCGCGCCGTCAGCTGGCCCGTCGCGTTGTCGTCCTTGTCGAAGTATGACGTGGGCTGGAACAGCAGCGACTCGAAGTACTCCTGCCGGTAGGTGGCCGCGATGTGGGCCTCCAGATTCGTCGCGACGAAGGCGGTCAGACAGTAGCTTGCGCCGATGCCCGCGGCGAGCGCGGTCCACATCTTGGCCCAGAAGACGGCCCCGTCCAGGCGCGCGGCGTCGGACGGCTCCTGGATGACGCCCACCACTTGGGCGAAGAGGTAGGCTTGAATCGGCGTCGCCGCCGCCGCACCCATGCCGCCGATGATGGCGAGGATGTAGAAGGGAAACCGGCGGCGCTGCTCGTACAGGAGCTTTCCGAAGCCGTTGAAGAGGTTCCGATCTCGCCACTTGGCATCCTCCTTCGCGTTCTCGGCCACCGACTTGGCCGCGCTCTTCTCGCGGGCGAGCACAGCGCCCAGGTCTTCTTCTTCGTGCATTTCCTTGCCACCCGTGTCGTCGCCCAGGGACAGCTTCTGCGCATGCACAAGGCCGTAGTAGGCACCCAGCTCGTTTTCGAGCAGGCTGTCGTGGGTTCCCTCCTCGACGACCCGGCCGTTCTGCAACACGCAGATGCGGTCGGCGTTCTTGATGGTGGACAGCCGGTGGGCAATGGTGATGGTGGTCCGACCCTTGGACGCCCTCTCCAGCGCCGCCTGCACGATCCGCTCCCCGCGGACGTCGATGGCGGAGGTGGCCTCGTCGAGGATCAGGATCTTGGGCTTCTTGATGATGCTGCGCGCGATGGCGAGCCGCTGGCGCTGGCCGCCGCTCAGCTTCGCGCCCTGGTCGCCCACCTGCGTGTCGTAGCCGTCCGGCAGCCGGTCGATGAACTCGTCGGCGAAGCTCTCGGCGCACGCTTCCTTGACGAGCTTGCGCTTGACCTCGTCCGACTCCTTTTCCCACTCGGTGCCGATCAGACCTGCCGCGACGTTGTTGAAGATGGTGTCGTTGAAGAGGAAGGGTTCCTGCTGTACGAGCCCGATCTGGGACCTCCACCACTTGATGTCGATGTCTCCGAGCTGCTTCCCGCACGTGGATATGCTGCCCTTCAGCTCGACGGGCGGCCCCATTTCCTCGGTAGACAAGGGTGCCGGAGCATCCTCGTCAGCGTCGGCGTCATCCTCCTCATTCTTGCCCTCCCCTTTCTTCTTCTTCTTGTCCTTCTTCTTGTCCTTCTCAACAGCCTTCGCGATTACGTACTGGTCATGAAGTGTGTACCAACCCTCGATCAGGCCCACGATGGTACTCTTGCCGGACCCGCTAGGACCGACAATCGCCGTGTTCAGGTTGGCGGCAATGCGGAGATTCAAGCCGTCCAGCACCTTCTTGGATGGGCGGCTGGGATAGGCAAAGTGCACATCCTCGAAGACAATATCCTGCTCGGCCGACACGTCGGGCTCTTTCAGCGTTCCCATATTAGGCTGCGGCGCGTCGATGACGGCGAAGAACTCGGCCGCGGCCACCATGGCCTTGGAGACGGCAATGAGGGGCGTGGAGATGCGCTCGAGCGAGACGACCATCAGCATGACCGACATGAGCACGACAACGACGGTGCCGATGCCGCCGTCGAGGCGCCCTTCGATCAGCGACTTCATGCCGTACCAGAAGGCCAGCGCGAAGGAACCGAACAGGCCAAAGAAGATGAGGCCAAACTGGGCCGACATGAAAGGCGAGGTGAACAGGGTGGCCTGCTTGGCCTTCTTCACCCACTCGGCATATCGCTGGCTCATGCGGGCCTCGGCGCCGCACGAGGTGACCATGCGGATGGCGCCGAGGGCCTCGGTGGCCACCGAGGTGCCCCGGGCATCGGCCTTGGTGAGCCTCGAGTGGCCCTTGATGATGAAGGGCAGAAGAATGGAGATGACGAGCAGGATGAAGAGAATCACCGAGGCGGTCACCAGCGTCAGCGACCAGCTGTGCGTGAAGGCCACGATGATGGCCGTGACGATGGTCGAGCTGAATTCGAGGAAGGTGCCCAGCTTCTCCGAGATGCCGAGCTGCAGCGTGTTGGCCGACGACGTGATGGTGCTCGCCGCGGTGCCCGACGGCATCGAGTCGAGGACGTGGACGGTCTGGCCGAAGAGCGAGCGGAGGTAGTGCAGCCGGATGGCGGCCGACATGCGGATGCCGATGAGGCGGAAGCAGAACTTGTTGATGTAGTTGAGCCCGAAGCGGGCAATGAAGAGCGCAAAGATGTATAGCGACATGCGGTTGACCTGGGACGTGAAGTCGTCCGCAGACTGGGGGTTCGGCGTGAAATAGTCGGTGAAATTCCCCACGAGCCGGCCGAAGACGACGTTCATCAGGGGCAGCGTGGTCCCCGCGCCGATGCTGGCCAGGGCGGCGGCTGCCATCAGCACAAAGTCCCAGCGCGTCGCGTAGCTGAAGACGCGGAAGTAGTCGGCCGCCGTGGCCTCGCGCTCGGGACGAGCCTTGACGTCCTTGGCCGTGACGTTTCCATCTGCCTGGCCGTCGTCCAAGGCAGGCAGCTTAAGGTTCTTCTCGTCGTCCCCGGCGGCCGGCGGCTGCGCCGCCTTGTCAACACGTTCGTCGATGTTGTCTCCCATCTTGGCCACTAGCTGGACTGTCCTAATCGATACCCATCTGGGGTTGGGACAGTTGGCGCGCTGAGGTGAATTCGTGAAAAGGGAGAAGAGGGAGAAGAGGGAGAATGACCAGGAGTGCAGAAGAGGGATGGTTCGACCTCTTGTTGACGGCCGAGCCTGCCAAGTATAAGCTGTTCTGTCCCGGACTCTTGACGGTCCGAAGCCCGAGTTCCTCAAAACAGATAAAGGGCTGCAGATGCACCTGCAGCCCTGTCAACTGTTTGAATGGCGCCAAGGGCATTCGCTTCATGCTGGCCCAGTCGCAATGGAACTTTCGATCCGGCGAAAGCGCTCTGGACCCCTGTCGGCTGCCCTCAGCTTCCCGCCCGCCAAGAAGGACGCGTCCAGTCCATCCGTGTGTTGGGGACGGGTAGGCCAGCTGTTGTTGTGTCTTGGAATCGTCATACTAGATCACGTACGTTGTTCGCTGCCCACACAATACTGTGTAGGATGTAGTGGAAGTGTAGGAACCCCCGGCCGAATGGAATGGAACAGTTCAGATCTCCTGCCCGCAAGCCGATACGCGGAATACGCTTGTACGAAGCGTACGGAGTAGGTACATGGTGACTTGCATCTGCCTAAAACGGTTGGCCAATCAGGGGTGTAGTATTGCCAAGTCGAGACATCAACAGGCACCCAGACAGCCCGACTTGAACTCCTTTTCGGCTTCGCATGGTGCATGACCGATCGTCGTAGTTGCTCCAGTACCATGCCAAACACATCGCCATGCTTTTGGAAGGGGCTCATTGCACGCCGCTCTCAATGGAGAAGCTGGCGTCGTAGGGCTGTGTGTGACAGCTTGCCGCCGTTGGATAGCGGGGCTGTTCTGACACAGGCTTCCAGATTGACATGGAGAGAGTTCCTGCCCCGCCCGGACCGTCAGCTGCAATGGAACCAATCACGTCCGCGGAGCTCACATTGACACCTTTAGCCTTGCCTCAGCCTCGCAGCCGGCCCCGCAATTCCAAGAAGCCGTTGCGCAGCTTTTTGCCGGCTGCTAGCAACACGGCGAGGCAGAGCTTGAGTCACCCCGCGCCCAAAAACCCACTCACATGTTGAATGCTGAGCCCGTGGATCCCCGCCATCCGGTCTGCTCGACCACGACGAGGACTGTCACAGGCATTGGCTACCCTGTCAGCCGCAGCTTGCACACTCGGATCCTCGCGACAACCAGCACCAGCCGCTTCGTTTCGCAGCCCCGCTGACCCCGCGCCCGCAAAAGCCATGGCGCCAAAGGCCCCCAAGTTCGAGATCAAGTGTGTTCGGGTCCTAACTCGGCTGAAGCCTCTAGACCGACAGCTAACGGAGCAATCGCAGGACGCCTAAGGGCACTAGAGACTGTGCGTTGCTGTCGAACTACCCCCGCCACCAGTGCCACACCTCGATCCTTTTCGGAAGCGGCTCTAACACCATGCTCAGGGTCCGGGTCGGATATGGTACTCAGGGAGAAAATCTTCAAGACCATTACCGATGTCTTCAGTATGTACGGGCGGGGACGGCTGGTTGCGATCAGGACTAATGGGCACGAAAGAGCGTCACGGCGGTATCACCATCGACACGCCCGTATTTGAACTGAAGGGTTGGTACTCCCAAGCGATGACTCGACCGTCAGGGTCAACCAGAGTTTGCTGACTGTCAACAGAGATTCTTGCAGGTACATCAATCTGGCAGTCCGACGAACCGGCACGTCGCTGACAGGGAGGCACAACTAGGCAAATATGGCGAGGACAGCAAGCTCATTGTGGGTGACCAATCTCCCCAGGACACCCTTGTGCAAGCTAGGATCTGGACTGACACTTGGTCTATTACAGTACGACCTGGCAGACCAAGGTGGTGAGCTTTGCAGCTTGCGATACGATTTGACAGTCCCCTTCGGTACGCCACGACCCAGCCCCTTAGTTGTATATCACAGCACTAAAAACGCCGCATAGCTCGGTACCTGGCCATGAACAAGGATGTGACCCAGATCAAGCGTTATCACATTGCAAAAGTCTACCGAAGAGATCAGCCAGCAGTCAAAAAAGGCCGCATGAGAGAATTCGTTAGCAAACCTATATCCCCATTTTGAGGGCGAGGTGAAGGACTGACATGACGCAACAGTACCAATGCGAGTATGTGTTTACCCTGGATTTTGCCTGGCACTGTGGCTTCCAGGCCCATGCTTTGGATCCCTGAGTTGACGATTTGCTCGCATCCAAATAGCTTTGATATTGCTGTAGGTCCCTTCTCTTTATCTGAGCTGTAAACAGACCGTATCGTCAGGAATAGATGCTAATCACGACGTCAGGGCGTGTATGACCCCATGATTCCGGACGCCGAAATCGTACGTTCGAAACCAGATTGCAGCTCTCATTCGCTTCAGACAGCCCCTTGGTTTGATCAACTCTCTCCTGACAGCTCTAGCAGATCAGAATCGTCAACGAGGTTTTCGAGGGCCTAGGTTGGCAGGGGAAGTACACCATCAAGCTCAACTCTCGGAAAATCCTCGACGGGCTTTTCCAAGTGTGCGGTGTCCCCGACAATCTCATCCGCCCGATCTCCTCTGCCGTGGACAAGCTCGACAAAATGCCTTGGGCCGACGTGAGGAAGGAGATGGTTGATGAGAAGGGGCTGGCTCCCGAGGCCGCCGACAAGATCGGTGAGTGACGAGTGCCCTCTCTGGGCGAGGGCGGGCTAACCACATGATAGGTCAATATGTCGTGCTCAAGGGCCAGCGGGATCTCCTCGAGAAGTTGAAGCAGGATGAGGCTCTGGCACCAAACCCGTCCATGCAGCAGGGTTTCTCAGATATGGATCTGCTCTTCACCTACCTCGAAGACTTTGGTGCCTTGCACACCGTTTCCTTTGACCTCTCCTTGGCCAGAGGTATGATCACACTACCTGAACCCACCAGACCAAACCTCCTTTTTGTCCCGTCCACGCTTATTGACGTATGCCATGCAGGCTTGGACTACTACACGGGAGTTATCTACGAGGTTGTAACAGAAGGGTCGGCGCCTGCGATCCCAGCTTCAGAGGATGCCAAGGAAAAGCCTTCCAAGAAGAAGGGCGGCAAGCCCAGTGATCCCGACGAGGACCGATCCGACGACCCAACCCTCGGCGTGGGTATGTGTTTTGACTCTGTAGTTCTTGTGCGTCATGCGCTGACAGTGTTTAGGGTCTGTTGCCGCCGGTGGCAGGTTTGTAGTATCTCGTTCTCGCTATGTGATCACCACTGACCTATGCGTAGGTACGACAACCTTGTTGGCATGTTCTCTGGGAAAACACAGGTGCCATGTGTCGGTATCAGCTTCGGCATTGACCGGATTTTCTCTATCATCAATGCGTCCCAAAAGAAGAAGGAGCGGAAGAACGAAGTCGACGTTTTTGTCATGGCATTCGGGGGCGGCAAGGATTTCAGCGGGTTGCTGAAGGAGAGAAGTCAGGTCTGTGCCCGGCTGTGGGATGCAGGCATTAAGGTCAGTTACATCCCATCCATAGAGCCCTCAAGATGCAACAGGAGGTAACACCGAACAGGCCGAATTCCTTTACAAAGTAAAGCCGAAGCTACAGAACCAGTTCAAGGCTGCAGAAGCAAATGGCGTGCCGTTTGCCCTGATCCTGGGCGAGGTATGTGCTCGCGTGAATTATCCCTTACTTATACCTAGTTACGGGTTAACACTCCCTTCAAGGATGAACTCGCCCAAGGCAAGGCAAAACTCAAGGAGATGGGTCTTCCCGATGACCACCCGCTGAAGGAGGGCGAGCTCATTAGTCTGGATAACCTCGTCGAGGAAGTACAACTACGGCTCGCACGGAAGCAACAGCTCGACAGCATCGCGCGGCAAGCTGAGGGGCTGAAAGTCGTCGACGGAATCAAAGGTGACGAGGTCAAGGCCTCCGCAGAGGCAGTCCAGCCTACGGAATGATGGACTTCGGGATGCACGGCCACCAAAAAAGGGACCTTTCTGGTTGAGGTCAAAGACGACTGCAAGTCGCAACCCCTACTTGTCCTAGACAGCCCTTCCAAGGGAGCGCGAGGCTCGAGCGAAGGGGTCGGGGCCACATAGCGCATAGGTAGAGACATGATTTCGCCAAATAGATTCTTCAGATACCGTCACTCTGCAGACCCCTTCGTTAGATACCTCTGCAGCAGGTTTGATGCAGGGGATGGATTCGATCACAGTCCATGCGCTCCAGGAGCCAGTTGAGAAGGGGTCGCCGCGCCCGTCTCCCGGCCACAAACTTTGCCCCTTGTCTGGGCAGGGTCAGTGCGGGCGAGTCCAACCGCAGTGGAAGCACTGTGCGGAGGTATCCGTATTCTCTTCGTAACAAACACACAGGCAATCAGAATACCCCGCTTGCTTTCTGCGGTTTGATGAGGAGCTTGCTTCTGCGACGACGATCGCCGTGGCTTCGCATGTACGGAGTATGTTGATATCACTGCATGCTGAATATTGTCCAAGTGAGTATCGTACGCCACAATGCTGCGAGATCACGACGCATGGACACGAGCCGGGGAGGTCCCGCGGTCGGTCCCGGTCGGGGGTCGGTGCCTTGGGATTTCCCGCGCAAATGCAACATTGGCAGTTCACATCTTTGTGACGACAGACTTCCAGTCCTCCATAGGCAACGTTATATACTATGTACGGAGCATAAAGAGTTAAGAGACCTATTTGCTGCAAATATGCCACTGGTGATCTGCAAAACGTTGTAAGAACTATTGCGACGAGGTGACGAGACCGAAAGCCAAAAATCAACAAACTGTGAAGGGAGCTTGCTGCTTGATGAGCCGTGGCTAGAATGACATCTGCGCAACCCTGCTGATTTCGGTCCCATCGGGAGGTTTAGCAGGCTCAGGGGTAACCCGAGCTTTCCCCATTCGGGACCAGGTCCCAGGGCCCGGGCCCTGAGCCCCTGCAGCACTAGCGGCAGCACGGATCCTCCTGAGGTTCCTGCACTCCCCGGAAGATGCACGACCTGCCGCCCGATGTCACTCATCGTTCCGTTGGCTTCGACGCTTTTTCTTTTCTGTGTGACGCCACAACGACCGCCGATTGATGAAAAACTGTGACAAAATGATCAGCTAAGGTACACAGGGCTAGTGGGAATGTGGTGTAGGGTCCTGCTGGTGTCCCACATCGTCTCCCTCAGGAGAACCATTCATATCTTCTCCCTCTCTCGGGTTTGTTTGTCACGCTGATTGCTTCGAATGCTCTTCCCAACCTGTCCACTCCTTCACCCTAGAAGATCATTATACTTATTGCTCGTACTTAGAGCTGTACTGTAGCACACATTGTTATAAACAATCGGGTTGTTCGCCATTGGCATCCGTTCGTTGAGCTCAATCGAAGCTGCCCAATCGTTTGACGGCATCGACAATCATCTTGTTGGCTGTGTTTCGTCCATCGACTGCAGAGGATATCGGACGCGTTTGTCGAAGTCCCCGGTGTGGTCCAACTTTGGATAGGCTGCCCCGTGGCAGCTCGCAAACACCGGGCTAAATCAGCCCAATACACTCACTAATCGAAGGTCGAGAGCGCCTCTTGGATCCCGATCTCCAAGCCCAGGTCGCGTGCATCTCTTTCTGATGCGACGGTGATCACACCGTTCCATTGCTGATCGGAGCGTCAAGCAATCCCGGACGACGGGACGCCCTATCCAAAGGGCCTGCACGTGGCCGAGATATCTTGACTAGAGGGACCCCTTTCCGGCCCTCTGGGTCGTTTCATCTCGGAGTGCCGCGTCGAATCCACAGCAATCCAATTAGCGAATTGCGCTCGTTGCCGTATTTGGCGATCGAGTCCATTCGCCTCATTTGCCGGGTGACAGGGACATGCCCGTATGAGCTGTGCGTGACTCGAGCACAGCCGACACCTCTGTGGCGAGTTTCGGCTTGCAAATAAGCTTTCTATCTCCTGGCGGCCATCTCAAACCGAACTGCAGCATTGGTTTCTGGAACCTCACCTATCGACCGATACTGACCATGGCCGGACTAATACCTCTAATGCTCGCGTCGAACAACCGGACGAGCCTCATCGGTAGCCCCCAGACGCCCTCGAGCTCAAGACGTCAGTCGGCTATCTGTTCCTCCACCAGCTCCGCCGCCCCGACAGTGTCGACGAGCCCGACAAACCCGAGATACTCGCTACAAGCAGCAAGACCGAAGCCACCAAAGCGCCTTTCTATCTCTGCACCGGCAGCTCTTCCTGTGCTGCCGTATACGCAGGCCGAATGGAGGAAAGCGATTGCCGAAGTCAAGAGGAAGTACTTCGGCAAGAGATATCGGGCCTGCTCAGCAAGATGCCTCGAGATCTTAGAGGGCGTCAAGGATACCTCACAGGTCGAGCCGGTGTATCTGATCTACCTCCACTTCTACGCGGCAACCTCGATCGAGATCTGCGCGCGTCCGCTTCCGTCCACCTCGGCTTTACGGGCCAACCTCCTGCTACAGGCTCGCACACACTTTGACCGCGCCGCATCGCTCATTAACGCTGCTGAGGAGTCGGTGCTCAGGAAATTCCGGCCGTATTCTGCTAGCTCTTCACGAGCTTCATCGACCTGCCACTCGCCCTCCGGGTCCATCAGCTCCCGAGCATGGACTCCCGACACGCATATGTCCTCGCCAACCGCCTCCGTCTGCTCTTTCGGGGATGAATCTCCGGCCGGGTCACCCCAGTACCCACCCAAGCGCGTCAAGAAGGTGTCTTTCTCGCTACCCAAGGACGAGTCCTTACATATCGCTGCCGAGCCCTTCATCCGCCCGGACTCGCCTACCCTCGGATTCGAAGCCAGCTACTTCCAATTCGCCGGCCCGCAGCAAGAACTCCCGGATCTACACCCGCCACCAAAATTCCAGGAGATCGAACTTCCGCTGCAGTTGCAGACGATACCCGAGGACGAAGCCGAGTACGAGACCGAAGACCCAGAGGACGAGGGCTCCCACTTCGTCGCTCGCTCCGTCTCCCGCTGCTGCGAGCACCTCTCAAGTCTGCGCGCCCAGCTCGCGCGTCACTCCACAAGCCTCGATCAGCTCCTGTCCTCTGCCACCGCCGCGTCCCACCCACAATCCGATGCCGGATCGGAAGCGACAGGCGAGACGACGAGGAAAGGCACGCTGGACCGGCAAGCCAGGATCGAACGTCTGAGGAGGACCGGCTGGCAGAGGAAACGGTTCGACGCCAGGCGGTACGAGGAACTGTGTGAAGCTGTCTTGGCCGAGATGGCGTGATAGAGAATCTGGGGGCGGGATCGCAAATCATGAGGTTATGACAATTGACAAGCATGGCGTAAAGGGATCCAAGAGAGAGAAAGAAAATAAGTGTTATATGCTTGGTTGTATTTTGGTGCAATATGGGCTATTATCATGGGTTTATATGGGAGAAGGTATTACATTCTTATTCGACTCTGGACGAAGGCGGGGTATATGGTCCAGTATGGATACCCGACGGCGCTGTGTCACCCAGGTGGCGGTTAGCATCATTTTCCCTTCTCGCTCGGGGGCTCTCGGATAGACCGAGAATGTCCACAGTGCCACGCATGGGCGTGCTGGCGGGGGTGCGTATTTAGACTACAGATTTTTTTTATTGTGGTATATACAGTTCACTTCCTTTCAACCGATGTTCTCCAGTTCATGGTTAGCATTTCGGGGGGCGACGGGAGTTTTGCCAGTTTGACCGTGACTGTGGTATGTTCTGCATTGGCCCGCCATAACAATTTATGAGATTGATACCGCCCAATGCGGAGAAAGTCTGGCGCTATGTGTGGGATGAGGCTACACAGTAGCGCGATGGTGGACATGTCAGGAACTGTTGGCTCCGTGCTGAAGCTGTCACTGCGTTCGAAGCTGGGTGAGTTGTTCCATGGACCGAGTATCGAGGACGAGGCGTCGAGGCTTAGGCCGAGAACTGGATGATTACAAGCAAACTACCAGGTAGGTCAAAACGTGAGGGCAAACGTAAGGCTTCCGAGATGCGTACACTTCTCAGGCCAAGGGTTGGCCGGCATCAGAATTACCTGATGTCATACGGATATTTATTCACCCATCAGTGCCTGGAAAGGGTTGGACAACAAACCCAAGCCATACATGGGGGTTTGCTTGTCAAACATTAACGAAATAGAACCAACCGACAGACACAAGTTCATTACGGGTATGACAGAACCCTCGTCCGTTTCCACGAAATCCCGACCGAACTATCCCATAAGCACCCAGTGCGTTTTTGGATCCCTCTGTTGTTGTGTGCGGCCCTGCACCTTGGTATCATCCTTTCCAGTCCATAATCCCCTTCAATCAAGCCTTTTTCGACGCCTCCTCCGTCAGCTTGAGCGTCTCCTCCTTCTCCTTCATCTCGCGGACCTTGGCCAGCACCACCTCCCGGAAGATGGCCCCCTTGATGGTCTTGGACAGCGTGCGCTTGCCGCCACCCTCAACGCCTGTTGCACTGGCCGCAGCAGCAGTGTCAGCACTGTCCGACCCATGGTTGTTAGCGGCGAGAGTATTGAAGTGACGCGTTTGGTCTGCTGCTAACGTGGCGTCCTTGGGCATGTCTGAATTCTCCGGGTCCTCCTCCTGTGCCTTGAGTGCCTCGATGCGGTTGGCCAGCTTGACCATCTCGATGCCGCGCCGCAACCGCGCACGCGTGAGGTAGGCGCGGATCTCGGGAAGCAAGTTGTGGTCGGTCGCGTTCTGGCCGCTCAGCCAGGGGTGGGAGAGGGCGCGCTGAAAAGGAGGTCACTCCCATGTTAGTGATCTGCAATCAAAGAGGTAGCAATTCGACAGCAAAGAATCTGCTCACCTCGCTCGTCCATCGCTCTTCGGGTTTCGCCCTCAGTAGCGACATGATGAAGTCCTTAGCATCATTGCTGACGTCCTTCCAGTACCGCTCGTGGAACACCACACGGCAGGCTGTGCACTCGTCGATCAGGTCCTGGAGGTTCTCGGAGCGGAAGGGCGGGTAGCCGCAGAGTAGGGTGTAGGTGATGATACCCAGCGACCACATGTCGACTGGCTTGCCGTGACCTTGCTTGAGCATCACCTCGGGCGCGGCATAGCCGAATGAGCCGGCCATAGTCGTGAGCACCTCGTCCTTGGTGCCGAGCATCTTCGCGATGCCAAAGTCGGCCAAGACAAGATCCGAATCCGCGTCCTTGGTGAGGTACAGGAGGTTTTCAGGCTTGAGGTCTGCACTATTGTTTAGACAGTAGGCCCGAAAGGGCGAGGCCACCAAAGGCTTACTTACCGCGGTGGACGACATTGTTTTGGTGTAGATAGTTGACCGCATCCAGGACTTGCTTGATGGTCTGAGAAGCATCCTTCTCGGTGAATTTGCCGTACTGGCAAATTCGATCAAACAATTCTCCTCCAGTCGCAAGCTCCGTGACAATATAGTATTTATCCTAGAACGACGTCCATCTATTAGTTTTGAAGGGGTCATTGGTTTTGCCCCCAAAGCCAGAGAGGCGGCTTACTCTGGATTCGAACCAGTCAACAAACTTGACGATGTGCGGGTGTTTGAGACGCTGGAGCATCTCCAGCTCGTCAAGCACCATGCGCTCATTGCCCCGGACGACCTTCTTTAAGATAATCTTGATAGCGACACGGCCTTGCGGGCCCTCTGCCTCCCTGACGATGCCATATGTACCGGCACCCAGGGTGCGCCCGAACCGGTACCTGGACCTGAATTGCGGCGAGTCAGCGCCCACACATTAAGAGGAGCTGAGGACAGCTGGTAGGAGTGCGCACTTCTTGTCGTAGCTCTCGGGTTGCCCATGGAGGCGGTTGAGCATGTTCGTGACTGCACATTATACCCATCAGTGTCTGCATGTCAAGCGCATCAAAGCTCGCTGCAGGAAGGGTTCCAACTGAAGCCCAAGGAACGGGAAACAACAGACCGAATCTCGACAGCATTTGGCGGATCGAGGGTGACTTACAGCTCATGGTGCCGAGCTTTGAGGCAGAAAGCTCGGAAGTATAGCGTACGAGAAAGGAATGCGATATACAAGTAAGGGCTCCGGGAGGCTTGTGGCTACTCGGATCCTGTAGTTTGTCGCTTTGACAGTGTCGGACAGAGCCGGCGCTGGGCTGTGTTGCAGACGGGAGCGGCAGGAGGGGCAGAGCCCGGGCGGTGCGAAATTACGGAAGCGGCTGAGGAGCAGACGGCTTGAGAAGGCTTCAAAGAGCTAAGATGTTGATAGGCCCGACACTCGTTCGGGTAAGAAAGACGAGGCAGATGCGAGAGGGGCGCTTGGCAGTAATTGGGCTGAACGAGGGGTAACGTTGAACTGGATGCTGCGCATGCGACCCTTATTGTACACTCTAGCTCCACGATCGGTTCCGGGTTGTTGCACCCTTTCCGCTGACGCTGAGTTGACGAGGCAGCGGGGATGGCGAAAGTGAGTCCGGGCTGGAGGAATCGAATACGGATGATCGCCCTTTAAACGTGAATTCATGAACCCAGCATCCACAGGACGGATGAATATGAGCGGAGGCTGCCTTATTTGTTGGTCCCGTTGGTTCCAAGCAGCGGTGGTGTCTCGTCCTGGGCTGTGCCGGTGGGGCTCACTCAGCTAATCCTATCTCGAAGCCCCACTACGTATGATGTTGAGCACTTGAGCTTGAGGTACGGATTACAGTACCTTACGGATCCGTACATGTGGCAAGGTCATTGGGGGCAGATGTCTGTCTGTTTCCATTCTCTCAAAATGTCAAGCTTTGCGTCGACTTTCTTCCCCGCCCTCACCTAAGTAACCTGAAGTGCTGCACGAGCGTTCCGTGTTTCTGGGTCTCAAGACTCGCCATACTCCGGAGACAGCTGTTACTAGTACCTGGTAGGTACCTAGGTACCAGGTAGTTATTGGCACTGTCTCCACTGCTCGGCGATAGTCTTCATCATTTAGTTCATCTACTGTGTAATATTACAGCTGTGCATCGCCTCGTAGAGAGATGAGAATCATCAGTGAAACGCAATTGCAGGTCACTACCTAGGAATTGTACCTGCACAGAGGGCACACCTATGCCTCCGTTTGAGACGCAAGGCACATACTACCACGTAGCTTATTCACATTGGACCCGGCGTCGTTGGTTCTCCCCTACCGCGACCAAACCGCAAACAGTCTGCGGAGAAACCACATGACACATCAACTCGAGAAGCTGTTGGCTGTGGATGGGTTGATGTCGTTGTTTTCCTATGAAGGACAAAACTTTCTCCCAATTGTCTAGCGGACTGCGCAAATGCCGGTTGATGTGTTGGATGTCTTGACTCTTCCATGCACTGCCGTGGAGGCAACCTGCTCACCTTGTTGGGAGGTGCCTGGTACCGTACAAACTCAGGAAGTCAGTTACTATTGAGCGAGGCCGGGCGTAATCTGACCTATCAAAACCCCCGAAACCGCTGCAGCCCCTCCCTGTGGCTTGCCAATTCCGCGAGCTTGTACGGTACTAGTACTTAAGGCCACGTTGGCGGCACGTGGAGCCTTCAGATCGCGACCCGCCGCCCACGTTTTAGGAACTGTTGCCCTGAACATCCGCGGCGGCGAGCCGTCGTCATATCATTAACCTCGCCTGGGGTAACTGGCATAGTGCATTCCGTGCTGTGCATACCACGGCACCTTCGACTCAAATTGCTCGAGCGATCGTTTGATCTCATAACGATCCCTTGTTCTTCCGTCCCTGTTTGCGCCTGGGCCGGTTCGCCGCGCTCGCCGTCGTAAATCACCTTGATGCTCCCCGCCCCCGCCCGCTTGAACTCCCGTCCAGTCAACCGGGATTTCTAGCATATCCAGACTTCTTTCGAGCAGTGAGCCCCTCCGGGCAACACATAACCAAAAATGTCGACTCAATTTGCTGCCAAAAGGCTGAGCAAAGAACTCTCCAAGGTTTGCGACACCTTGTTCCGTGATCATGCGACTCGCCTAACACGTCCGATTTCCAGATCAACAGCTCACTGCCGCCCGGCATTGAGCTGGTTTCAGCAGACAACTTCGAGGAATGGCTGTTAGACATAAGAGTCCTGGACAACAACCCCCTGTATCAAAATCAAACATACAGGTTGAAATTCCGTTTTGGCTCGTCATACCCCATTGGTAGGTGCCAACCGCCTCACTTGCCGGCTTGCGAACCGGACGACACTAACCTGGCGGCACGCCCCTTGTAGAGCCTCCCGAGGTGGTTTTTGTGAAGCTTCCCGACCGGCCCATTCCCATGCACCCTCACATCTACTCGAACGGCATCATTTGTCTCGACCTCCTAGGCCAGCAGGGGTGGAGTCCGGTGCAGAACGTGGAGAGCGTCTGCATGAGCTTGCAGAGCATGCTGACGGGGAACTCGAAGAACGAGCGCCCGCCAGGAGACGATGAATTTGTCCGCGGAAACCGTCTGCGGCCCAAGGATATCGAGTTCTATTACCACGATAACGATGTGTGACGCGGCATCGGAACTTCGAAAGTTCATTCAACTGGGGTTTGGTGTTATCAATGGTGAAGCTTGATTTTTATCTTTCGGGGTCTGGGCACCCCCGTTTCCTATGGATGGGAGGTTTCTGGACTGTCTTGAGTTTGATTGCATGGCGGAGCGAAGATCTGGCCTGTTGGATGCATTTTCATCGAGCATAACTTGCAAGGCACTGAGAACAGGGATGGAGGCGTGAGACGAGCTGTGATGAACAGTGGACCGCGGGTTGGAATAGAGAGGTTGGTGCCGTCGATATTTTCAAGCCGCGATCCGGCAGTCCGTATCCAACCGCAACAAAAATGACTGGCTGGTGATTGCATCCAAAGAAAGATTTCGTTAGTTACGGATATGTTGATTATAATGTTTACGTCAGGCCAGCCCCGGAGGTGGTCGGTGGACGGTGGAGTTTATGTATTGTACAGTACATCCGTACACGGTTACACACGACCGGTCGCTCCGCAACTGCTTGGAGCTTGGGCCCTCGCCAAGACCTCCCGGCATTCCGAGGGTCCGACATCATCATCTAACAGCGACCGAGGTCCACTCAACACCGAACCACCGCATGGAGAGCTTATCACCATACCATGGCTCCTCGTGCGGGGTTTGACACGGAGCAGCTCAGAGATAGGGCGCGCAGAGATCTACTTCATCTCCTCGAGGGAGTAAGTCGAGGCTTCCGGTCTGAAAACACGCGCGGCGCTCATTCCCAGCTTACGCAAGCGCTGGATGACCGACACTGACAGACAGCGCCGTCCCTAGGTTCGCGGCAAGAAGAACCTCGTTATTGAGAAGGAGCTGGCCGGTCCACTTGGTGTTGTGGTCAAGGCGTCAACGTTGCGCGATTATGGCGTTGACAATTTTTTCTTCCTCGAGAACAAGAACGTAGACACGAGCCAGCGGAATGTTGTTTTCGTTGCTCGGGGCGAGTCTGCTCGCCATGCTCATACTATCGCGGGTGAGCGCAATCCCAGCCACGCCCACCCCCCCCCCCCCCCCCCCCCCCCCCCTTCTTCTTAAACCCTTTCCTTTCACCCCTTTGTCCCTTCCCTTCTGAATGAAACGCTGCGAGACTTCGGCTCTAAAGCGGACAGCGCTGAGCTTTCCTACCACCCGGCGCTTGTCAGTCCGACGAGCCGTACACGGAGCCGACAACCAGGCCAGCACGATCCTATAGCCTCACTAAACGTCGCTGGACATGCAGTCGATGCCATCATAACGTGCTGACAATCCCGCAGACCAGATAATACGACTGCAACGCGAGAGCCAGTCAGCTCACGAGTTCCACATCTTCTGGGTGCCTCGCCGGACGTTGCTATCGGACAAAGTGCTCGAGGAAGCCGGGGTCCTGGGTGACACCAATGTCGCCGAGCTTCCTCTGTTCTTCTTCCCGCTGGAGAAAGATGTTTTGTCTCTGGAACTGAACGATTCCTTCCGAGACCTGTATCTTGCGAAGGACCCCACTCCGGTCTTCTTGCTCGCCCGCGCGTTGATGGGCATCCAGCAGAAGCACGGTCTGTTTCCACGCATCGTTGGTAAAGGCGACAATGCGAAGCGGGTTGCCGACCTCCTGTCTCGCATGCGGCAGGAGCTGCTCGCAAGCGAAGATGGAGGCGAATTCGAGAAGACCGGGCTGAGTCCCAGCATTACCATCGAAAACGTCATTATCATCGACCGTGAGGTCGATTTTGTGACGCCTCTCCTGACGCAGCTGACGTACGAGGGGCTTATAGATGAGGTGTTTGGGATCCAAAACAACCAGACCGATGTCGACTCAACCATCGTCGGTGCGGCGGCACAGCCGGCGGCGTCAGGCGCTTCCTCAGCTGCCCCGGCCAACAATGGGCAGTCACGGAAACGCAAGATCCAACTCGATGGGTCAGATACATTATTTGCGCAGCTTCGCGACGCAAACTTTACCATTGTTGGTGGTCTTCTCCATAAAATAGCCCGCCGGCTTCAGAGCGACTACGAGAGTAGGCACAGCTCCAAGACGACGGCGGAGCTCAAGGAGTTTGTAAAAAAGCTCCCGGGATACCAAGCCGAACAGCAGAGCCTGAAAATACATACCGGCATGACGGAAGAAATCATTAAATACACACGGACGGAGCAGTTCAACAAGCTGCTGGAAGTCCAGCAAAATCTCGCGGCCGGGGCAGACCCATCGTCGCAGTTTGACGCCATTGAAGAGCTCATAGCCCGCGATACCCCGTTACCCCAAGTGCTCAGGTTACTGTGCATCTACTCGTGCATTGCCGGCGGCATTAAAGCCAAAGAGCTGGACCACTTCCGGCGCCTTATTCTGCAGGGGTATGGATACCAACACCTACTCACTCTGCACAACCTGGAACGGCTGCAGATGTTACTGTCCAGGACGTCGCCCTTGGCCTCGATGATACCTATGACCGGTTCTGTGGGGGCTCAGGGAACCAAGACAAATTACACCTACCTTCGGAAACAGCTCCGGCTCATCGTGGATGAAGTCAACGAGCAGGATCCCAACGATATCGCCTATGTTTACAGCGGCTACGCACCCCTGTCGATCCGGCTTGTGCAGTGTGTGCTGCAAAAGCAGTATCTGCTGTCGATCACAAGAGGCAGCGGGGCGACCAACGCGCCTGGCCCGGCCGGCGGGGGAGCCCAGGGCTGGCGGGGGTTCGATGATGCGGTGAAGCACGCGCGAGGCCAGACGTTTGATGAAATTCAAAAGGGCGAGGACAAGGCAGTCAAGGCTCGAGCTCTTTTGTCGGCCAGCGGCGACAAGAAGACCGTCTTTGTTGTGTTCGTGGGCGGCGTTAGCTTCAGTGAGATTGCGGCTCTGCGGTTCTTAGCGAAGCAGGAGGAAGGTATGTCAGCGCGAGAGCCCCAACGCCCACACAACCTCAGCATCGGGATCTGATCACTGACCTATCCGTCTGGGAAGCAGCGCGGAGAAATATCGTCATCTGCACCACCTCAATCATTAGCGGAAACCGGATGATGAATGCAGCAATTGAGAAGGGGACATTTGAGAAGAGTAGCCCGCTGTCTTCAGCAGCCAGATGAACCTAAATCCCGCCGCTATATTGGTTTGAACGAGACGTTGGAATTGATGCGGTGCAAAAGCCCAAATCCTACGGTGATGTGCGTGACTTGTGGGCTTGTGAAGACGGACCTCGGGTGAAGCCGACGACTAAGGTAGGTGGAGGCCGTAGTGCAGCATGATTGGGCTTCAACGCGGAGTGTAGTGAGCTGGTAGGTACTGTGGAGGAGTCTTAATCCATCTGGCGCCGTAAGGACTTCCAAGGTTGTGTCGTTGACGAGCAAAACCGACGTTTCCATGCTTTTGAGACGCACCTCAGTAACGGGTGGAGGGCAGCACCTGTCGTTGGTCTTGCCGCTAATCTCGATCCCTCACGTGATTGTGTTAGTCCTAAAATGGCCTGTTTCACTGCATCGAGTCAGTGGTCTGGCTCGGTTTGGCGGCGCTGTGGGGACTGAATCTGTGCATTGTCTCTCACACCTCAGAGAGACTTCTCGTTCCACAACGCTGATGACGGCCACTTGAGTCGCGATGCCAATATCTTGACGATGAAAATCTTTTAATTTATATTTCTGAGGCTGGGATGCAATTGAGACTGTGTCCGACGAGCGTCACGGCGTGCTTGTTGAACGATATGCGTCGTCGAGGTATGTACCTACTCTATAGTGCTCTTGCGATGTTTGGGGACTTTGAAGTGGGAAGCATTTTTGGCCACACCAGAGACATGGCCGTCACGCATCTTGGGCTGTCCGTCTAAGATCAAAGTGTCGTACTGATGCAGTGTGCCTACAGAGATCCAGACCTTGCTTCTCTCATAATAACATACGACTTTTATCTGTCAATTGGCTCATAAATACAGCTTGTGGCACGTCGTTCGCCCCTGGCCGTTCCCTTTGCCTTATACAGCATCCGGGCGAGAGTGGGCGAGTCCATGACGACGACCAGCTCGCCGCGCAGATACTACGGAAGTCTTGCCACGTAACCAGTGGTTCGCCGTGCATACCGATATAATGGGAAACTCTTCGAGGGCCCGCACTCGACAATCCAGTGGTTCAGGACGAGGTCTTCTGAGAGGAGTCAAGGAATTCGATTCTCAATCTCGGCGTTCAACACGTACCTCACTCTCCAGTCCCGCCAAGTCGCTATCGTCGCCGACCAGCATTCTGTCTGAAACCGAGGCGGCCCTGAAGACAACCCGGCACGATCCCACCGCCTCCTCGGATGAAATAGCCCCTGAAATTATCGTGTGGACCGAAGATCTGGTCACGATGACGTCCGATTCTCCGGAGCCGACCGCCCCCGCTAGCCCTGCCATCCCCACCATCGCAGCTCGCGAGGAGGAAAAGGCCATGTACGTGTGATGCCTTGTCTTTCTCTCCACTTCTCGCTTCCTCTCGTTTCTGCCTCGCCGCTCAGGTTGACTTCAAGCCTCGTCTGCTAGTGACCGTCATCCTTCCTGTGCCCTACCCTCGTTCCCATGCCCCAAGCGCTCCTATTTAACACTGAACGCTGAATCAAGGATAGAACAAACGTGCACCTTCCTCCTCTCACGCAACCGACGCCAACGCTATCGACACCGCTGCAGGACACGATCCGGGCAAATGAAGGACCATCTTCGTCCTCCTCGCTTTCCCCCCTATCAGAAGCATCCGAGCTCTCATCCCTGCAGTCCGTCTCTAGCAAAGCTACTACTCCTGTGGATGTCGATACATCAAAAGAAGGGCCGACTCCTACAGCCACCCGTCCCAGCAAGCCGACTGATTCACCGAGGCGGAAATGGGACGTGCGACCCAAAGCTTCTATTCCTCACGACTTGCCGCCTGCCGAGTATGGGCTTCAGTGTGTCGCGGCCGCGGAGGCGTCAAGGCTCAGCCCTTACTCGCTTCATCAAGAAGAGTACCTGATGTTTCGGGATCACATCAGCCACGCCCAGGTGACAACATATCTAAACATCAGGAATGGCATCCTGAGGCTTTGGGTCAGAAACCCCCGGATCACGGTCACGCGTGAGGAGGCAGTTGGTTGTGCGAAGGATCCCAGATGGTTCGACCTCGCGAGCGTATGCTTTGACTGGCTTGTCCGGCGTGGTTACATCAACTTCGGATGTGTTGAGGTGCGCTCACCTGGCAAAAGCACCAGCAACAGTTCTCCAAGGAGGAAGCGGAGAACTGTGGTTGTCGTCGGCGCGGGGATGGCCGGTCTCGGTTGTGCAAGACAGCTTGAGGGCCTTTTTGCGCAGTACGCGAAGAAGTTTCACCGCTTGGGCGAAGAACCGCCCCGGGTGGTCGTCCTCGAAGGCAGGAATCGGATAGGCGGCAGGGTCTACTCTCGAGCCTTCCATACAAGGCCCAAAAGGATCCCCGACCAGTTTCAGGGCAAACGGTTCACCGCGGAAATGGGAGGTATGATCATCACGGGGTTTGAAAGGGGCAACCCCATGAACATCCTCGTCCGCGGCCAGTTAGGTCTTGCCTACCACCTGCTAAGACCGGAAACGACGCTTCACGATGCCAACGGCAAGCCGGTCGATGTCCACCGGGACCAACTGGTGGAGAAACTCCACAATGACTGCCTTGACCGAGTCAGCGAGTTCAAGTTTAAGCAGCCCACGTGGAAACTGATCGAGGGCAACAAAGAGTTGATCGACGAGTGCAGGGATACTAGTAGTTCTGCAGAGACGCACAAGACAATACGACAGGCTGAAGAATCCGCCGCAGCCCAACCGTCTGCACTGCCCGTATCGCAGCAGAACATCGGGCCGCAAGTGAACCTGGTGCCGATCTCAACCGACCGAGCTACGGGTAAGATCCATACTGAACCGGGAACGCCAGGGGCTCTAAAAGCGGCACACAAGCTTAAGCTCATGGGGTGGACGCTGAAGCAGGGTGTTAGCGATGAAGCAGACCTGGATATCGAGCCGGCGACCAAAGAGCCGGGCGCTACGTTCGGGAGCGTCATGGACAGGGCAATTGCGCAGTACCGGGACCTCGTGGACCTGACCGCGCAGGATTTCCGACTCATGAACTGGCACGTCGCCAATCTGGAGTATAGCAATGCTACGAACTACCACCAGCTCAGCCTTCAAGGATGGGACATCGACGCGGGCAACGAGTGGGAAGGCAGCCACTCAATGGTAGTCGGGGGCTACCAGAGCGTCCCGAGAGGGCTCATGCACCTTCCCACGCCGTTGGATGTCCGGCAGCAGTCTCCCGTCAACAAGATCACCTACGCGTCTGGCGGCTCGACGGGCCCGGCGGTAGTAAGCTGCGAGGATGGCTCCAAGATCGAGGCCGACTACGTGGTTAGCACGATACCACTGGGTGTGCTGAAGCACGGGAACGTGGCATTCGAACCGCCACTGCCGCCGTGGAAGTCGGATGTCATCGACCGTCTCGGCTTCGGCGTCCTGAACAAAGTGATCTTGGTGTACAAGGAGCCCTTCTGGGACGAGGACCGCGACATCTTCGGGGTGCTGAGGAACCCCAAGAACCGTAACAGCGTTGACCAGAAGGATTACGCCTCCCAGCGGGGTCGCTTCTTCCAGTGGTTCAACGTCACAAACACCAGCGGCTTGCCCGTGCTCATCGCCCTCATGGCTGGGGATGCTGGGTTCGACACGGAGCAGACCTGCAACGACGACCTGGTTACCGAAGCCACCGAAGTCCTCCGCAGCGTCTATGGCTCTCGAGTGCCCTTCCCCGTCGAGGCCGTGGTCACGCGCTGGGCATCGGACAAGTTCGCCCGCGGCAGTTACTCGTCCGCAGGCCCGGACATGAAGGCTGACGACTACGACACCATGGCGCGCCCCACTGGGAACCTCTTCTTTGCTGGCGAGCACACCAGCGGCACTCACCCCGCCACCGTCCATGGCGCCTACCTCTCTGGCTTGCGCGCCGCCTCCGAAGTCCTCGATGCGATGCTCGGGCCCATTTCCGTCCCGAGTCCGCTCATCGTCCCAAAAGGATCCTCCGCCCTGAAGCGTAAAGCCAGCTCTCTCGAGGAATCCAATAAGAACCCAAAGCAAGCCCGCCTCGAAGCCTATGAGACCGCACTCTGGGACCACATAGTCTCACAAATCGGCCCTCGCCCTACCCCGCCTGCGAAGCCGGCCATAAACGCTTACCTCCTGTACAGCAAGTCGCACTACGAGGACGCGCGCAGGCGCCTCGAGGCCGGCCGCCGGCCTGGTAAGGGCAAGCCGTCGGGCAACGAGGTGCGCATGATGATCACCAAGATGTGGCGCGACGCGAGCGAGGACGAGAAGAAGCCGCACGTGGAGGTGGCCGAAGAGCAGAAGCGGGCGCATGCGAATGCTGTGAGCGAGTACAAGGCGGCCGCGGAGGAGTGGGATCGGAAAGCGGGCGGCTTGAAGGAGGAGTACGAGAAAGAGCATCCTCCTCCCCGCGAAACGACGGATACCACACCGACGCCGCAACGTTTTGATGCAAGCCAAACAAACAACGGGTCGGCTTCTGCTGCGGCTAGGAGGAGGACCAGGGTCAAGGTGGAGAGCTATGCCGAGGCTGATAGTGAGGTCGAAGACCCGATGGACGGCGTTGAAGAGACCGATGCTTAGGAGGGGGGACGGTGTACTCATGTGAAATTATGATGTAAGGATGTATATTGCCTGCAATGCCTCGGGGGGCTTCTTCGTCCATCCCTGTTGGTGGGCGTTCCGGAACCGTGTTGTGTGTGTTGGGCGTCTGTGGCATCAGAGGGCGTTTGCTGTTTGTCCGCCCGTGTGTTGCATCATTTTTATCCGTTTGGGCTGCCCGGGTTGTAGGTAGGAGTCGGCAAACAGTGTAATCCATATTCTGATGAGTAGATTAGGGGAAACAACCGAGTCAGTTGCTGCAGGTTTGTGTTGTGTCTGCATCGTAACCTGAGGGCTAAGTATTTCTGGCGGTCATTTATCCCGGAGTCACCTAGATAGTACCTAGCTCTCTATGATAGTTTCCCTACAAGCAGCAGGAGTAGTGCGCAAACTCATCGTTCCCATAGTGATGCTAAACGCTGATCATCTGGCTACCGTAACCTTAATGCATCCCAAGAGTCTGTGCCAACTCAAACAGGGCGCCCATTTGTTGATCTTGCTCAGCTTGTGACCGCAAAATCAACGGCCCCTGGAATCCAGGCATGATCGATCTATAAGGGATGTCTCCTTTCCCTTTCCCTCTTACCCTTCCAGCAACGCCGCAGCTCAAAGTCGCTCGCAGTCGCAGGGGAAAAGCCGGCTGACGAAAAACGCACCGCAAAGCAAGGCAAGAACACTGGAGATTGATTGCTTTAAAATTCCCAGGTGGAGTCGTCCCCAACGGACTCGATGGCCCACTTGAACTTGTCTCGAAGTGTCTTGGAGAAGAACTTCTCGATGGGGACCTTAAACTTGTTCGAGAAGACAACCGTTAGACGCGGGTCGATATAGTTCTATGGCAATGAGGTTAGCACACACAAGATAGCGCAGAATACTGCTAGCGGTGGGAGTCGGCTTACGATCTTCGAGGTGCCCAGGGCAACTTCTTTGTTGCCCTCGCGATCTGCACACTGCAGCTCAAGGGTTCTTATCCGCTCGTCCAGCTTATCGATGGCAGCCGTCAACTTCTCAACCGTGACACCCTTGCCTTCGGCCTCCACCTTCTTTGTCTTGTTCTCCTTCTTGAACTTCGCTTCCAGTTCCGTCGCTGCTTTCATGCGCTCCTTAAGCTCCTTCTCCGGCATCGGTTTCTCTCCCTCGGCTTGGAGCTTTTCGTTGTCCTTGTCGAACTTCTTCTGGATTTTGGTCTTCTGCTCTTCCACGAGGAATTTCTGGTGCTGCTCGATCCAGGATTCGTCCAGGTCAGGGTCAAGATCGAAGAATTCCGCGCCCTTTTTTTTCTTCAACTTGGGATCCAAGTCAAGCATCATCATCTTGGTGCGCCACTTCTGATACTTCAAACCCTTGATACGATCCGTGAGCTTCTCCATCTGGGCCTCGTGGCTGGCCCCAACCGTCCGCTTGTGGTTGCAGAGAATGGCAACTTCACGATTGCAGTCGTTGTACAGTTTAATCTTTTCAGCCATAGTCCTATCCTCCACCTTGAGCTTCTGCAGGAGCTGGGACATAGTCCACGAAGCGTTATAGGTGCGGAAGACTTTGGCTGTCAGACCCGGCATGTAGCTCGAAAGGTGCTTGTTCAACTGGGAAGTCTGTGCATGGTGTTAGCAGCGGATCCAACCACCCAGGATCATGAATCCACTTACGGTCAGCCTGTCGAAGATGTCATCCCCATCCTCCTTGGGAGGCTTCTTGAACATCTTCAGGTTCTTGAACACCTGTCGATCCACGACGAACTCATTGTAGAACCGGATGCTGTCTTTACCCAAGAAGTCGAAGATGACCGTGTTGGGTTCTTTGAGCGTGACATGCTCGTATTTCAACGAGCAGCAGCCGACGGTCTCGGCTTCGTTTTCCGTGTCCTTTTCGTTTCCAGCTCTCAGCGCAAACTTATCAATCAGGTACATGGCGGTTGCACGCTGTCGGTCTGCCATGACTTCACTCTTGAGCTCCCTTGTGTAATCGGCACGGATGCGGTCGATGTGCTTCTTGAGCTCGCGAGCTTTCTCAAATTTCTTGAAGTCGGACTGGCCCTTGATACTGCTGTTGGCTGCCAGCATCACGTACTTGTAGTTGCCGTTGACGTTCTCCTGCCACATAGCCAACCAGGTCGCCTTGTTGTCATGCTGAACAGCCTTCCACTTGTGTCCCGGAGGCGGATCCGGAACCTTGGCCCCTTTGCCAATGTTGATGGTGACTTGCTCGGGCATGACACGCTTTTTGACCGTCCCGGTCTTCGGATGTTCACCGCGGCCACGAAAGAGACCAGGCGGTTCGACGCGGAAGTTGCCCACTTTCTCCTTGCGGCCGTCCCACTTGCAGTACATGTAGGGGGCCTCCATCTTGTCCTTTTCGGCCTTTTCGGCCTTCTTCTCAGCGGCCGGACGCGCCTTCTTGGCGTCGCTAAGCGACTTGTAGTGCTCAAAAATCTTGGTAAAATCAAGCTTCTTGAATTCCTTGATGTCAACCGCATTGCCGTTCATGTCTTTGGCCCCGCCAGTTTTCTTCAGGATATCCTTGAAGTCGTTGAAGAAGTTCTTTTGAAAGACGGGATTCTCGACGTTTTGCGTCGAGTGGAGCATGGAGCCAAAGAAAGTTGCCACCTCCTCAGCGTCAACATGTAAGCTGACTGGCTTCCCATCGTAGTAGAGCTTTACGTTTTTGGGAAGCGGCTCGTATGGGGGGGGAAGAGAACGCCGTTGTGCTCCAGCGTCGTCCACTTGATCGAGTCGTCTTCCTTCTTCGGGGCGTCCCACCACCGGTACTCCTCCTCCTCCTCATCCTCACCGTCGCTATTCTCTTTAGACTCGCTCTTCACAGACGTGGCACGCTCGGTGGCCGGGGCCATCTTGGTTTTCTTCGGAGGAGGAGCGGCTTTCCTGGCCTTTTTGGCTATAGGCGCGTCGGAATCGGACTCTTCTTCTTTCTTGACGCCGTTGACCTTCTTCGCGGATGAGACACCATTTGACTGCCGCTTTTTGGGCTTCGCCAGAGGCTCATCGTCTGACTCCTCCTTGACATCCCTTTTGGGAGCAGCCTTGGCCTTGGCCTTGGCGTCAGCGCGCAGGGCCTTCGCTTCTTTCGCAGCAGCCTTCTCGATGTCGGCTTTTCTCTGAGCTATTTTCGTCCCTAGAGGCTGGTCGTCATCAGATGACTCGAGAGTCGCCGTTTCCTTGATGGAAGGCGGCAGCTTAAAGCCGTTCTTTCTTGCAATTGGCTCATCATCCGAATCGGATTCGGCTTTTTTGTGCTTCGACTTTTGGCGTTTTGCCTACAGCAGATTAGTTCACGGTTATTTGCGTCAACATTGGTGGAGAAAGCGGCGAAGTCCTACCAGGGGCGCACCATCATCGCTGTCTGATTCTTCCTTGTACTGGACTGCCTGGTTGATTGAGCTCCGAGACTTCCGTTTGGCATTGCCGTTGGGCGTAGAGTCAATGTCCATGCGGTCATCGACCGGACCGTGGCGAATCGAAGCACCGGGGGGACCGGGTCTGGCTTTGGAAGCCGACTTGTCCATTTCGCGGTCTGTGGACGGAGAGATGGTGGGAGCAGATGCTAAGTGGGAGAGGAACCATTAGTTTCTGGCGGGACTTTGCCACAATGGCCTTCACGGTGTAGGTCGGAATAAGCAGTGCCAAGCTGTGACACGCCAACCTGGTTCACGAGGTCCCAAATGCTGCGTGCCACAATGCACACCCTGAGGCAGAGTGCGTATAGCAAGACTTGCTTACCATGGCTGGCTCTCGCCAGAGGTATGTCATCATCTGAGGTATTGGAAGGCATGCTGGTGCGAGTCCAAAGCGGCGGCAAAGAGTGCGGTCGAGAAGGCGCAACACGGCGCAGTGAGAACGGTCGGTTCCGCAAATTTGGGGGAACAAGTCGAGTCCGACAATGAAAGACCGGGAGTGCGTTGCGCCTCAACCAGTTTGATCGTCGAGGCTGCGAAAATAAGCCCAAAAAAATGGCACAAGCTATGGTGGTAGCGAGATGAGCAAGTGAGGGCGGGGTGTGGGAGGAAGAAAGGAAGGGACGCAGGAGGCAAGGGAAGAAACTGAAGGGAAGGGGAATGCGTGAGGACTAAGTAAGTTGGGGCGCGGCGGATGAAGTTAAAGATTGGATTTGGGAATCTCTGGGCTCCACCCCAGTGCCATCAGCCTCTGCGGTAAGTTGCCTAGGATTACGGTAATTTCAATGTAATATTCCACGGACACCGAGTGCAGGCATGTAAATCGAATGCCACAGCTGACTCAGCCTGCCGAGCGACAACCACAGTCCGAGTCCTGGCTCGCCTGGTTCAATCAGTCCGGCCAATTGCCAACTGTCGGGAAAACCGGGGTGTACGAGCACGAAGCGGAAGGAAGTGGAGCCGTCCTCAGCAAACCTCTCACGCCCAATTGCAGACTTGCGTCGAATTGAGCTCAAACATCCCGAATAATTGACGCTCAGCACACACCGTGGTCAACCGGGGCCACAGCCAGAAGAGACGGTCTCGTTGAATTTCCGCAGCACCTCTTCCACCATGCTGTCAAGAGCTGCGCGCCCGGCATTGAGGGCCGGTGCTGCCGTTTCATCCCGGTATGTACGCTTCCCAGCTGTCCGAACTACTGCATCGTTCCAATTGAGCTCCCGAAAGTGATGGATCTGGCGGGCGGAGGGGATAGAGAGGGTTGCGGAGGTCTTGGGCGGGCTCAGGCAATGGCTGGGAACGGCGATACGGGAATGGGAAAGCAAAGACAAGAGAATCGGCTAACCGCCCAACCGCAGAGCGGCGGCTCCGACAGCCACCTTCGCGACGCTGCGTGAGATCGAGGGTCGCCTCAAGTCGATTCGCAACATCGAGAAGATTACCAACACGATGAAGATCGTCGCCTCTACCAAGCTCACTCGTGCGCAGCGCGCCATGGCCGACTCCCGCAAGTACGGCAAGACCAGCAACGAAGTGTACGAGTCGGCCGAGACCAAGCCTCTCGAGGGCGAGGGCAAGAAGAAGCTGCTGGTTGTATGCAGTTCCGACAAGGGTCTCTGCGGCGGTATCCACTCTGGTCTGTCTCGCTACATCCGCCGGAGGGCGCTCGAGAACCCCAACTTCGACCTGGTGATCCTGGGCGAGAAATGCAGGTCGCAGCTGCAGCGAACCAACGCCAAGGACATTGTCCTCAACTTCGTCGGCGTGGGCAAGGACATCCCGACCTTTGCTGAGGCCCAGGCTGTCGCGGACCAAATCGTTATGCTGCCGGGCGACTACTCGGACATTGAGATCATCTACAACAAGTTCATCAATGCTACGAGCTACGAGCCCACGTCCATCCCGGCATTCAATGAGGAGGCTTTCACTTCGTCCCGTGCGTTCCCGTCGTATCATTCCACGTAACCCATGGATCGGCCAGCTGACTCTGTGTGGTATTAGCCAACTTCTCTTCATTCGAGGTCGATGAAGAGCTGCTCTCCAACCTCCGCGAGTACGCGCTTGCCAACTCTCTCTACTGGGCTCTTTCCGAGGGTCATGCCTGTGAAATCTCCGCCCGCCGCAACGCCATGGATGTGAGTTTTGCTGTCATATTTCATCTCGCTCTGCGTCTCTCCTGACTCCTATCTCTGCAGAACGCCTCTAAGAACGCCGGTGAGATGATCAGCAAGTACCAGATTCTGTTCAACCGTACCCGCCAGGCCGTCATTACTGGCGAACTGGTCGAAATTATCACTGGTGCCACCGCCTCGGAGGACATGTAAGCGGGTAGATCGATTAATTCCCATAGACCAGGGAGAGAGGGGGGGGGGGGGGAGAGGAGTGAGAAACGCGCAGGGTTTGGCGGCCGCGGCGATGAGTTTCGTTTTCTTCTCTCACCTCCCGTCCAACGGGGCCGCAGTGTGGGAGAAGCAACCTTTCCCTTTGTACATCAAGTAGCGCAACTTCGCCCTGGCCCCCCCGGGCTGTCAATCGTACCAACGCCTTCCAAATACAAAGTTCCTTGCCGAGCCCAGGGACCGCCTAATCACTGAATGTTGACAAAATCTTCGTTGAGTTACCCCAGACGCTGCATTAACGACTTCAACAACACAGCCTCTCAGTTGCCAGTCCTCTGCAGGCTACACACACCTAACTCCTCAAAGAAACAACCTCTCATGTTGGGTGTACCATCCTTCCCTTGTGTGCCCTGGGGAGGTCCTGCCGCAGCGGCCGCCACAGCTTCGCGCCTTAGTGCCCACAATATAAACCGCACCGTCGCCGACGTACGTATTAGCTTACGTTGCCTATCATTACCGTGAGTGACCCTTATATATAGCCTCTACCTGTCCCTGATAGGTATTTACCTATGGGTGGTATTATAAAATATCTTTAAGGACTAAAGATGATTTATATCTTATAACGGCAGGTAACGATAATAATGGTATTATTTTTATTACGTGCCTATAATATTCGCCCATGCCGTCTACCCTCAACGGCAGCTTCAGCGCCATGTCCCCGTCCTTCACGAGCGACTACAGCCACACATCCCACACCTCGCACGCCTCAGTCGTCGGCGACAACACCATCCTTCCGCACGTAAAAAGCGAACCCTACCACAACCATCACAACGCACCACCGTCCCCCGCCAAGAGCACGGCAAGCCACTACACCCACGGTCCTATTAATCGAGTATCGGTCGTTATGCCTTGCATTATTAGTTCTTCTACACAAGAGATCAATTATGCCCATCAACCATCATTCCTCAATGTGCCGCGTGTCATGATGATATCAGTCCGCCTGTCTACCCAGGTAAAGTTGTACATCCTTTGTCTATGCCGCCACGTCCGTACCATGCTCCAGAACGCCAACAAATGCATACCAAGTTCATGATGTCGCCAAGTCAATAGAACAAATAAACCCAACCAAGCTATCGAAGGCTCATAGAAGGCCAAAATAGCAGCTACTACCAGCTAATGCAGTGAGAAGAAGCCACACAAGGCTCCTTCCCATCGTCGCTGCAGCGTTTGCAGCAGGGGCAGCCGTCGGCACTTCGCCACCGCCCGGTGCTGGCGTCGACGCTAGGGCTGTGCTCGTCGTGAACGTCGCGAATGTTGTGTCAGCACCACCAGAGCCTTGTGAGGGTGACAACGAGGCAGGCGAGGAGGATGGTTGGCTTGGGGGTGTCTATGACCGAAATAAAAATCAGCAAATGTAGTCTTAGTAAGGTGCCTGAGGTTTGTGGATTTACCCCCTTTTTCCTTTTCTAGAAGGGGGACGGGATCCGAGGACGGGAAATGATATATACGTACTTACAGTGCTGGAGCCTACCGGGACAATCTTGCCCGACGAAGTCATCACCCAGCCATCCGGGATCGTGCCGACCGTCTGCACCGCCGAGCTGGCGCCGGCTGTCGTGCTGCCGCCGCCGATGATGCCGCCCGCGGGGATGGTCGGCGACAGCGAGTTTGTCGCGGCCGGCGCGCTGGCCGTCACCGTGATGGCGTCCGCGTTGCCGACGTTGCCGTTGACGGCGCCACCGTCCGACACGATCGACTGCCACGTGCCGGAGCTGTCGCCGTACGTGTATTTCTTGCCCGTCGAGTAGTCGGTGATGACGGCCGAGCGCACCACCATGGAAAAGGGGCCCTTCGAGTAGTCGGTCGGCCCCCGCGACCACTCGATGGTGCCCGGCGCGTTGGACGGGTCCCCGCCCGACCAGGCGCCAAACTTGATTTGCATCGGCGTCTGCGGGTACTGCCCCGTCTCGGCGTCGGCGTAGGTGAGCGTGCGCACCTCGGTGCCGCCGACGTACCACACGATGCGGTCCTTGGTCCAGTCGATGGTGTAGGTGATGAACTCGGCTTGGTTGTTGGCTGCCGGGTTGAACTGCCCGCGGTTGTATGTGGTCGTCTGGCCTTTGCCGAAGTAGTTGGTCTGGACCTCGCTGTCGTCGGCGCCCAGCCATTCCATGTCGATCTCGTCCAGCGTGTCTGAGATGAGCACCAGGGAGCTGACGATACCCGCCCCTGGGGCGGCCTTCAAGGTCACCTCGACTCGGCCGAACATGATGTAGAAGACGCTGTTCAGCTGCGGGGCGTCTCCTGCCTTTGCGACGGTGAAGGTCACACCGTCTTTGCCGTAGGTTGGCGTCCCCCCGCTCGCAACGAAAGAGTTAACCTCGCCCTGAGTGAAGTCGACGTTGATTGTCATCCCCAATGCCGTGTTGGCGGGGCAACTTGCTATGAGGTGTGTTAGCCGCAAGGTACTGAGTTCCAACGGTATGGGGATGTCCACGCACTGGACGTTAGCGGATTACATGATGACCAGGTCTGCGCGAGAGCCGTGCTGCCGAGCAGTGCGGCCGCTGTCGTTGCTGCTGCTCTCCATCTCCTAGTGAATATCATGCCTGCTGTCGACCTTCGCAATCCACCAGCAACAGACAACTAAGAAATACCTAGGAGGTGAGATGGTTCTGCCAACAACGCGATGAATCAAAAGCTCAACAATACACAATCTGACCCTGGCAGGACTTTGCTTGCTGATCACGGGTCTTGACGGGTTTAAAACGCAGTGTCCATTGGTATATGACAAAAGAATAATGGGACCGCATGTGCAGTGTTCCGAGCACCTGGTTTTAGATACAAACATCCCACCTACATCACCAGCCTCCCATAATCGCAGCTGTCGTCATCCGGGAGGTATGTGGGGAATGCGATTGAATTCCGAGCCAAGGGTCCAATTAGACAGGGACTGGATCTTTGAACCGCCGAGTTGTGTGAGAGCTTGACGAATTGTCTGCGTGTCTGCAGGTTTCTCGAGGTTCCCAACCTCCTCGAAACAGCTGAAGTTGTCGAATGATGGGGGGGCAACCTCAGCGGGAAAGATGCGTTGCCGGTGGCTGGGAATTCTTAGGCGGCATTTGTGACTGGGGTGACCCACATTTCAAGCGACCCCCGTCTCGGCGTCTCGCAGGGCGGCCCACCTGGACTTTCATCATCAACCCACAGCCTGAAGTGCAATCCGTCGGCAACACCAAACACTTGCAGATTGGGCAGACGGATCTCTACGGAGTACACTCCGTATTATGCTTCAAACCGTCGTTCTTGCCTGAATCAAGTACGGATGCGTACTCATATATCCATGTGGTGTTGTGTTCCGTGCAATCCGCACGAGCTCGGCTTCCACATCGTGTCCCGCAGTCTGTCCCAGCTTGCCGGCTCTAATTCTCTTGCTGCTAACGGGCTTCAGAAATGTGTCAACCTATGGTGCGACGTGTCTGTTGACAGTCGTGCAACGCAACATTCCAGACAACATGTTCTTCAGGATGCCGTTACCTTTCTTGACCCGCGCGGCGGGCGTCACAGAAAAAGTCGGGTGTCCAAGCCGGCCTTACTGTGGCGAGCGTTGCAGCAAAAGATGAGCAGCCAAGCAGACCTTGGTGTGCCGGGTCTCGCTGGAAAGCTGGGTGGCTAGGCAGACCGGATTTGTCTAAGCACTTGCATAGAGTGTTCCCGCTCCATCACAGTCGGCTTCGACGCCTATATGCAAAAGTCAACGAGAAGTGGCGCTTTATGAATTGCAAGAGAATCTGACATCTTTGCAGTATTATCTGACCTGAACACTGTTCAGGTCGCAGAGTCCCCAACATCTTTAATGCTAATCGCGCACAGAGTGCAAGCACCGTCAACACGGTGCCATAACTTTGGTCCCGCGCATTTATCCGATCTCAGAAAACGTATATCGCAGTGCCTACGCTCCTCCTTCCCTCCGGCGCGGCGATGTCGGGATAATCCAAAAAGGGGGCCGAGACAGCGCCGGCCAGGTACGACTTGGTGCTTCGAACCCCCTTCTCCGGCAAGTCAACCCAGAAGCCGCGCCTTCTCCTCGTCTGCATGCCCCGGTCCAACATCGGGTCTCAGCCATCTGTAGATGCTGTGGCCCGAAATGCTGGTGACCATGGCCGCGCATGTCGCCCAGGGTAGATAGCCCAGGAGGATTAGGTGAACATTCGTTCGGATTCCGTATCCGGTCACGGCAACAACGCCAAGGAAAATGATGTAGACGACGAACTGGAAGGGATCTTCGCTGTGTCTCCGGTGGGTAAAGGATGAGACACAGCAACCAAACACTAAACAGGAGAAAAGCATGAGACCGGGAGAAGGCCGGAAGTTAAATGTGTCGACGTGCCTTCCGGCTCCGTGCTGCTCAAGTAACCGGATGCCGACCCGTTAGCTGGACATTCATCCTGAGTGGGAACGCCTCGGACGAACCTCGCCTCGTCTCTGGGGCAGTTCATTCTGGACCGTGTAAGTCCAAGTCACCACGCTGCAAAGACAGCTGAGGGTGATCTCGAGGATCTCGGAAGCGCAGCAACATCGGCCCGGATCTTGCTCCGTTGCCCGGGATATCTGGTGCGAGCAATATGGCGGTGGACTCATGAGGGGTACTGAGAATCCTTCTCAATGGAGGGACCACGGATGAACTTGTCTTCTGACAACGTCAGATGAAGCCAAGAAGAGACAGGCCAACCGAAACCAAAACACCGGATTGGGATGTCATGGAGGACCGATCTGGCACTCTGGAGATGAAATTGCTGCTGACGTTCACGACGACTATATACCTACTCAACCTCTCGTGTCAGAGGTTCGGGGTGTATAGCTTCCCGTCGCTGCTCGATATCCATCACCTGGTTGGTTGTCAGCACGGAGGTGCCCGGAAACAGGCCCGAAAAGCTGCAGGATTCACCGGCCGAGTTCCGACGGAAAGCGCGGGGCAAACCGAACAAGGCTGGCGTTGTGTCACGATGCATGCGTCGGCGCCCAAGGCGAACCAATTGGGCAGAGAGCGAGGCCTCGTCGACGGGGCTGACTGCCAGGCTTACTGCGCTCACCGAGACTCTGGCCAATCCGGTTCATCATGAAAATTGAGCCGCAGATAAGGCAACCCAAGGCGACGTAAGGCGAAGCATTGCGCACCACTGCGAACCATGGGCGAACCATTGCGGACCATGACCGACACGGGAGCCCGGTTCCTGATGCGCTTCTCAAGAGGCTTGGGATGCAATCCAACGGAGGTGCACGTATGCTATGTATAGCACACGGGCACCAATATCTCATCGGTTTCCCCCTCTCAGCAGCCAGTCACCGGTTCTTCAACGGATAACTTCCCGTCCAAGAGAATGCCCTAGAACCTTCCTTGACGTGGAAGGAGCCTGACCGAGCTAACCAGCACCCGTAGATTGATGACTCCCGTTTCCATACATACATACGTACTGTGACTGCCAAAAAGCCCAGGCTTCTCCCTCTCTCGCGCTCTCGCCTTCTCGTTGATCTGCACTTTTCGACTATACGTTCGACGACCACCGAGAAGACGCCCTACACGCGTGATTCAGACTCGACTGCAGGCAGTATCGTAGCACTCTCTCCGCTGAGCCGCTGACCCGACCACGACCACAAGGTCAGGCAGCTCACTCTGCTCGTCATCCCTTTACCAAGATCCTCCGCCATGGATCCTCCGCTCTTTAGGCAGCGGCAACGCCGTGGCGGGGAACTCCGCCATGCAATCAAGATCACGGCTTGCGGCGGCATGATTGGCACTGCCGTTCTCTTCCCCTTGGCCAACGTCCAAGGCCTCTGGTTCCGAGCGGTGTAAGGCCAGGGCACCGCCGTATCTGTGATGGGCGCTAATGCAGACCCAGTACGCTCTCGATCTTTACCCTTAGCGCGCTGGCATTCCACGCCCTTCATATAGAGCCCTTCATCAGGTGCGTAGGTTCAGGCATACACACGGTTGGCCTCACACTGTTCGCTGACCATCGCTAGGTTTGGGCCATATACCGCTGCCGCCGCCCTTGTCTTCCTATTAGTGGCTGTCTTGTCGGCCGGGTCCTCCAGGAAAGATCTCATACCCTGGCTGCCGCTTTTCATTGCTTCCGTGAGCCTGATCACGGTCGCCACGCACGAGGCGTCACAGCATATCGGGCATCGCCCCGTCGCTTTTGACGAGGAAGCTTTATCAAGGGCATCGATGGATAGGTGGAGTGGATGGTCATCCAGGACTCTGTCTACGTTACCGGGCTCTCCGTCTTTTTATGAATCCAACCGAGGAAACGACCTTTACTTTGCTCGGGGTGGGCCGTCGTCCAGGACCAGCCACCGGACCAACACTAATACCACTGACATTTCTCTCTCCAGCATTCAGGGCCAATGCCAGCCGCACTGGGACGCGTTGACACAGAGCCATTTCCCGGCTCATATTCCACCGGAAGACAATTCCCAAGCCGAGCCACATGTCCGCAGGGCTAGCCCAGCAGAAGAGAGACACCGGAACCCGGAGTCAGACTTGGACTCGGACCAGGAAAGCGTGGAATCCGGTCATCCTCTCCTCGGACCCCAATGAGGCTGTGAATCTCCAACACTCGCGTACTCCTGGCGGAAGAGACACTCCTTCATTCAATAGGGGGCGGGAGCGTTGGTTCGTCGAGCAACCAAACGTCTTCTCCCTAGGTTCCTATGCAGCGTTTCCTTCCCAACAATGGCCAGATTTCCAGATCTTTTTGCCGGGATGCACTGTCAATATCGCGGCCGCCGAGTGTTGTTATGTCTTCAGTCGCATTTTACGAAATCGCAACTTCTTTACCTGACATGGCTTTCTCTTCATATCCACGGCTGCGCATTGATCCTGGTGCGGACGATGCTCAGGAGAATCCGGCACTGGGTTTTTCTTATTTCTTATACGTACATGTGCATGAGGCAGGCGGTGGACATACCATTTTTGGTCACGGGCTAGGAAGGCGGTTGCGTTTTCCACTTGGTTAAGAGCTATGACGGGAGCGAGTCATGATTTGAGAGGCTCATCATCCCTTTATTGAGCGGCATGACATGGGTAGACTCGGGAAGTACATGGTCGAATCCACAGTTAGAGCGAGCGGCACCTTTGAACAATCATGCCTTCGATATGTGGACAGGCGCATCGCATCTATGGGTAAGAGAGAGAGATACGGGCAACCACTTGATGAGTTCGATTCACGGCATTTTGTACATGTACAATACATGCACACCTTACTTTCATACATCCATACTATACCCCATGCCGGCGCGTATCAACGGGGCACACGAGTTTCGTTGCTTACACCAGCTCCTGCTGGACAGTGTCGGATCTTACTATTCAGTCGTGGCTCATGCAAGCTTGAGGTAGGTAGTTCCAGGCTGTCCCATTACGTACACAATCAAAGAGCGGTGTCAGTACAAGGGCGCTATCGGTTCCGAATGATCAGAGGCCCAGCGGGCTACTCACGGCTAACCTCGGGCCCGCAACCCCGCCATCGCCATCGGCTTCTCTTATCAATAATGGTTAACGAACCCCTTGCAGCTTCCAAATACCATTGGAGTCATCTCGGTCGCACTTGTCCTTTGTCTTTCAACTCGTCCTTTCCTTCCGGAACTGCAACTACGGTGTCGTTCCTGACCCTCTGTTTCACTTTTGTCTTAACTTCTCTGTTTTGCTATCTTCTCTCCAGCGCATCCCTGACTTTGGCTCGGGTCCGGTTCCCGGCCATCCGAACTCCTTGGCGAGCAATGCGGAGCATCATCCGAACCAGAGCCCTCCGGGGCGAGCTCCGCGGCCTCCCGTGTTCAACCTCAGCCCGGCCCCACTCCGGCCTGAGCATCCTTCGGACACGCACCACACAAGTTACACAACCACGTCCGATTCCGTCTCATTCTCACTTCTTCCACTCGAAATCCCGGGACGCCTCCGAGGCTCTGGGCACGGCGGCCCGGCTCCCGGATGCCGAGCCGGTGTCTCCCGTGAGGCCCCGGGAGCGCATCACTATCGCCGACATCAAGGAAAGACGGGCCAAGGCCGGGCGGCTGATTGCTCCAACAGCGTCATACAGCGATGCCGACATGTTCAAGGCGCCTGTGCGTAGACCCTAACCCTTCCAGTTCCGGGGCTACTAGTAGGACTTTACGGCCCTTACCCCTGAGCCCCCCTATTTCGTCGTCAAGACAACTTGAACATGGAGCTTTAAGAGATCAGCTAACATGATGGCATTGGTTTCCACGACCAGTCAATAGGCAAGCCCAAAGCCAAACGATGGGACCGTAAGCCATCTCCCCCAACTCCCGAGTCCCATTCCTTCCCTAGCAGATATTGTATGTATTATACTTGTACTTGTACTTGTACACTGACTCCCCGTATAGACCACCTCACGCAAGAATCCATTTCCCGCGAACCGTGCAAGCTGAAGCAGGCGGCAAAGCACCTCAAACAACCGGGCCTGATCTCGCTGGGCGGCGGGCTGCCCTGCCCGGAATACTTCCCCATCTCGTCGATCGACCTGCGCATCCCGGTGCCGCCTCACTTCTCCGAGGCGGCCACCGCGTCGTCAGGGGAAGACGTGCACATCGGGAAATACGACGCCTCCTCCCTGCCCGGCTCGGCGCCCGAGTACGATCTGTCGATCGCGCTCAACTACGGCCAGGCCAACGGCTCCGCGCAGATGACCCGCTTCGTGACGGAGCACACCGAGCTGGTCGGCGCCCCGCCCTACGCCGACTGGCGCACCTGCCTGACCGTCGGCAGCACCGGCGCGCTGGAGCAGGCGCTGCGCATGCTGTGCGACGGGCGGCGCGGGCGGCGGGATTCGCTGCTGACGGAGGAGTTTTCGTTCTCGACTGCGCTGGAGACGGCGGCGCCGCTCGGGGTGAAGGTGGTGGGCGTCAAGATGGACGGGGAAGGGTTGTTGCCCGAGAGTATGGATGAGATTCTGCACGGGTGGGATCTGGAGGAGCGCGGCGGCGCGAGGAAGCCGCATGTTCTGTACACGGTCCCCTCGGGCCAGAACCCGACGGGCGCGACGCAGGGGGAGCAGAGGCGGCGGGCGATCTACGAGGTGGCGAGGAAGCATGACGTGTTCATCGTCGAGGACGAGCCGTACTATTACCTGCAGATGCAAGAGCCCGGCACGCCGCCGCCGGCGAGCGTGGACGAGTTCCTCGGCGGGCTGATCCCGACCTACCTGAGCATGGATGTGGATGGGCGGGTGCTGAGGATGGATTCCTTCTCGAAAGTGGTCATGCCCGGGTCGAGGCTGGGCTGGATTACCGCGTCGGAGCAGATTGTCGAGCGGTTCATCCGCCACGCCGAGGTTGCGAACCAGGGCCCCAGCGGGTTCTCGCAGGTGATTCTGCACAAGCTGCTGGACGAGCGCTGGGGCCACGAGGGGTACTTGAGGTGGTTGATGAATCTGCGCATGGAATATACCAAGAGGAGGGATGTCATGGTTGCCGCGTGTCACGAGTTCCTGCCGAAGGAGGTGGTGAGCTGGAATCCGCCGCAGGCGGGCATGTTTGTGAGTTGATCTCTCTCTCTTTTTTTTTTTTTTTCTTGCCTTTCGTCAGAATCCACACTGTGCATGCTCACAAGTAATTGTTGGTAAACAGCACTGGCTGAAGGTCGATTATCAAGCGCATCCGCATGCCTCGACCAAGAGCATCCTCGAGATCGAAGAGGAGATCTTCAACAGCTGCATATCCAAGGGCGTCCTCGTCGCCCGCGGGTCCTGGTTCCGCGCCGAGCAGGACACTCCTCCGTCGGGGCTGTACTTCCGTGCCACGTTTGCCGCCGCTACGCCGGGGAATATGAGGGAGGCCATCAGGCGGCTTGGCGAGGCCATCAGGGAGAGTTACAAGATATGATGGGATGGGATGGGATGGGCCACCTAATGATGTGATTGAAAAGGGGTAGACGCTATTATACCACTGGAGCATGCTGCTACCCTTTGGCTCCTGGCAAAGGGGGATGATATCACAGGAAGGGGGCTTTGACCACCAGCGATTGATTCTTCCGTGTGAGCTAAGCGACGTCCATGCTCCTGCCCTAATAAACAAGTTCCCAACAGCCATGTTCAACCAACTTCTCAGGGGATTTGGCCTAGCGGTCACGGGGGTTCGGTACCGACCTCCGGCCGGCGAGAACATAGCCGAGAGGTCATATGTTCGAGTCGAGCCCAGTGCCGAATTCTTTCGCCTGGCCATCCCTACTGGGATTAAAGTAACCTGAGCAACCTCCCCCCTATTCGGGGCGGTGGCTGAGTCGGCTACCAATCTTTTTTTTGGAGTTCCCTCTAATTCGTCTTCCTCACAAGACCTTGGTGTTGATGTTTTCTGTGTGTACGCCTACCAAAATGTAAGTTCGTATGCCAGCTTCATCATATGCGCATGGTGTTGTTCTCCTTCCCTTTCTCAGGGCATGCTGGACTTGACCCACGATTTTCATTTGTTTTCTTTAATTCGCGTCCTTGGCACCTATGCCAGAGTAACCAGGTCTTACAAAGGAATCAATTAAGCGATCAATTCGACTTCGATATAAATAACATTGATTTGCCTAATACAAGCGGATGGACGCAATCCCACGTTATGTAAGCGGCCGAGTTGATGGACGACGCGCTTGTCGACTGGGCTTTATCGAACTACAGGAAGGACAATAATAGGAAGCAAGAAGAAAGACACGAAGTTTTTGGGTGATGATATATATACCAGCCTTGAAGCTCGGATCATGACTAGCACAAGACATACTTGTACATCGTTGTTTCATGAAACCTGACACAATCCAGGTAGCATTACCCAACCCAGAAACAACGTCTGTCATCACCTAAGTAGGTACCTAGTTTCTTACACAGCTGACCTTCTTCATGAGATGCGATATATCAAAAAGAGAGAGAGAGAGAGAGAGAGAGAGAGAGAAAGAAAAAGAAAAGCCATCATATACGTTTGTTATGTATCCAATAATACCAGTGTTCCCGTCCCCTTAGTACTTACGGTTCCCCGACATAGCCCCTTCATTTCTCCCTCGCCATCGCCGCCCTCCTCGCCTCCCAAAACGCAACTTTGACCCCGTCGCCAGGCTGCAGCACAATCTCGGCCCGCAGCGACGGCTTCCCGCCGTTGACCTCGCCCATGTAGTTGTCGAGCCGGTCGTACCGCTGGAACAGCCGGGTCAGCACGTACGCCATCTCAGTCAGGGCGAACTGCTGGCCGATGCAGATGCGCGGCCCGCCGTTGAAGGGGATGTACTGCCAGGGTTTGGGCTGCCAGCGGAACCAGCGGTCCGGACTAAACTGGTCGACGGGCGCGAAGTCCGGCCCGGGCGTCGGGTACAGGTCCGGCCGCCGCTGCATGACGAGGGTGGAGTAGGCGATCGGCGTGTCTTTGAGCACTTTGATCGGCTGCGACCCGTCGGCTCCCCCGCCCCGCGGGAGCGTGGTGTCCTTCAGAGCGAGGCGGACGCTGTTTTTTTTTTAGGAGAGGGAGGGGGGAAGAGATTAGCCAGAGTTGGATTTTGATCGGGAATTGGTGAAGGAGGAGGTGGGCCGAGGGGGGTTGGGGTTGGGGTTGGGGTTGTGTGGGGAGAGACGGAACAAAAAACATACTTGAACGGAACAACCGGGTACAGCCGCAGCGTCTCGTTCATGACATTTTGCAGGTACTTCATGCTCTTCAGGTCGTCGTATGTCGGGGTGCGCGTCGTCCCGACCACGGACAAGATCTCGGCGCGCAGCTTCGCGACCGCCTCCGGGTGCCGCGCAAGCTCGTAGATGGTCCAGGACAGCGTGCAGGCCGTGGTGTCGCGCCCGGCCAGCAGCACGGCAATCAGCTGGTCGCGGAGCACCTGGCGGTCCCTGGTGTAGCCGGCCAGCGCGTGCAGGAAGGTGTACCCCGCGTCGCTCTTGGTCTTGCTGGCCAGCTCCTCGGGGCTCAGCCGCAGCGTGCGCTCGATGTACTGGTTGATGAAGTTGTTGATCACCCGCATCCCGCGCCGGAACGAGTCGCGCGGAACGAGCCGGTTGAGCGCGCCCGCACGCGCGATGAGGCTCTGCATCCGCTGGACTTCCGCGAAGGCTTCGGCAAACTCCTGACGGGGGTTGCTGGCGGGAAAAGGGGGGTGAGCAGCCACGCTCTTCTTCGAGAGAGATAAAGAACAAGGGAAAAGGGGGGCTTGGACCAAAAAACAGACCTACCTGAGCGACTTGACATCGTACCCCAGCAGGAAGTCGGTGGCGGCATCCAGCGTGTAGCGGAAGAACAGATCGCAGATGTCGACGGGCTTCCCGTTGCCGGCCTCGATGTCGACAGGCTGGTTCTCCCCGTTTAGGGCGCCTCCGTTGGCGATGGCGCGGAACAGGGTCTGGATATGGCTCTCGAAGACGTGCAGGTCGCTGACGCGGTCCTTGATGAACTGCGGGCGCAGCAGCTGGCGGCTGTCGTGCCAGAGGGCGCCGTCGGTGGTGAAGATGCTGTCGCCGAGGAAGTCCTTCCACTCGCGGTGGAACGGCTCGCCCTTACCGTAGTCGCCAAACTGCGTGGCTAGGATGGCCTTGATGTTCTCGGGGTCGATGGTAAACACGACACGGCGCCCGGCAAGCCAGCCTTCGCCTGTGTCGGCCTGGATGTCGCCGAACATCTTCTGCCAGAACTGGAGGTTCTCATATGCCTTTGCCGCACGGATGCCCTCGTAGATGAAGTCGAGGCCTGGAATGTCTTAGCCATCCTCCTGTCTGGAGACCAAAAAAGAAAAAGAAAAAAAGAGAAAAGAAAAAGAGAAAGGAGGGGGGGGGGGGGACTCGAAACAGGATCCTCACCGAACGGCAACTTCGACTTGATCTTGGGTGCCCTTGCGCCCGGCATGCCGGCCAGCTTGAGCTCCTTCCATTGCGGCATCACTATGAGAGCCATCAAGACGTAGGCCAGCAGCAGGCCTGGCACGAGGACCAGGACCGACTTGACCGAGACATGCTCGACCAACATCTCAACGAGTCCCATTGTGAAAGTACCCTGGCCTGACTAAGGCACTGTAACGTGAACAACACTGTGTGATGCCGAACGGGAGGAATCGAGCGAGAGTCTGGAATATGTTGAGCAGCGGGACACAGATGTGACGCCTCAGGGGTACGACTGAATAATATGCATATGGGTGTATGTCTCGCAGTGCTGTGGTTGAAGACAGCTGGGGATTGTAGAATCAAGATAGCCAGGGAGAACCCTTGCTCCTTATTTGTCTTGACCTGCTTGTCCGGATCATATAGCCACGTCCGGAGCAGAGCAGAAGACTTGTGGGGCCGTGGCCGCGGGGTGATAGAAGTCCGAGTGCCGTAGCCCTACTACACTAGTGTAGTTCTCTCGTTTCAGTATAGCGGAAGGGAGGCATGTGCTAAATAAGAGGTCCTGAATATGAATGGAGACAGCCTATGCAAAATGCCCGAGAAGAAAGGAGAGAAAAGAAGCCGGAATGGTCCGGAAGGCCGCGGCGCCGAAGGGATGACCCGTGGTGGTGGATACCAGATTGCCTGCCATTCTAGGTAGGGCCGGATTCGAAGCGGCAGAAAGGTGTCCTAGAAGCGGGACAAAGGTGACGTGAATGCATCTCTGGAAGTTGGAACATGTCCAGGTTGTTGGAGAGTGTCACCCCACTGGTGCCGAGGCAGCTCCCCGGCGCCAAGCTACACTACCACGCTACACTGCCGCGAGTCCGTGACTGCGTGTCTGCTTCCCGCGCCTGCCCGCGGGTTGCGTCCGATCCCTGCAGTGCTCGGTTCGACAAGTCTTGAGCACGTATGGGCATGCATACTGTACAACGGTACATAGCGTAGTGTATGTAAGACGGTTATTAGAACCACGTTTCCTGTAAGACATGGCCTCTATGCTGCTTCCAGGCAGTTTCCATGCTGGTTGCAGATATTTACATTCCAATACCCTGGCGTGCTTGGAATGCTCTGCAAGGCGGGGAATTCCGGAAGTAGGCGTACTCCTTCCTGTAGGACTCGGCAGGATTCTCAGTGTCAGCTGCCGTTTCCGATTGACCTGTACATACAGTAGGTCTCTGGGAGCCGGGTGTCTTCTGTGCTGATTCTCCTCAGACCACACGCTGATGCAACTTGTTGGAAGTTCATGCATAGAACAAGGATCAAAAATCCGCCCCCGCAGATCGGGATCGCGCCCGTGCTTTCCGTTTCGATACTAATAAGTGGCGCGCCCGGCAACGTTCCGTCTGACTTGCTTCGTCGTGTAACAAACGGTACCAGCAGTACAACGACTGAGAATGAGACCCAAGATGAAGAAACACGAGTATAGGAGTGCCCGCATTTTGCGTTTACATGCGGTTCGCATCGTGACCATTCAAGCAACAGGAGGGGTCGTTACCTTACCTAGCGAGTGCGACTTGCAAGCGGCCGAAGCGGCCGGACTCGTCTATCCAATCACTGTACCTATCTTGCAAATGTGACAGCCCCACAATCTCGGGCACCCTGCCGTCCCGTTTTTTTGGTACAAAACTTTGAATGGTGCTCAGAATAACAATTCGAGGTAACATTAGCGCTTTCCTCATTCATATCAAGGGTTAACCAAAACTAGGGCCTTTACTTATGAGCCCTCAGGGCGACTCCCATACACAGTAAGTACTGAGGTAGTACGAAGTAATGAGACATACTTCCCGACTGCCTGTTATCCAAGTTTGGTATAGTGCCTGGTAACCACCAATCACATTTGACGGTCACTCTGTATGGGATTACCACTTCCGTACCTGTTTCAAACTTTCAACTAAGAGTCTGAGTCTTCAACACCACACAACGCATCTACGTATAGTAGTTCATCACACCCATCCACATGAATTGTCCAGGAAAATACCATCTACTCATGCTCGGCTACCGCGGGGCGTATCCTAAGAGGAGGTTGACGCGTTGGATCGTGGCGATGCGGAGTGGCGGGGCGGTATCGATCATAACGCGACAAGGTTAAGGTAGGCGTCTTACCTACCTTTGCTACCTCGAGGAACCCATCGGCGATGCTGAGCTCTATGCAAGTTAGCCAGAGCCATGCGAAGGCCGTCGGCCGGTACGGTGCGATGGCTGCTCTTCAGCGACCTCCACTTCAAGCATCATGACTTGGATCGGGTGCGGCAGACGGCGCAGTGGATCGTTGCCGAGGCGGAGCGAAACCAGGTCCGTCGGGCGGTGGTGTGCGGCGACCTGCTGACGAGCCGGACGATGCAGCCGACGCACGTGCTGTCGGCGTGCTACCGCTTCATCAGCCTCCTCAGCGACGTCGTGCCGCGAGTTCATATCGTGCTCGGCAACCATGACCTCGCCTACCGTCGCGACTACCAGACTACGGCCCTTGACGCCCTCACTATCAAACGCCTGGCCCCGTATGTGTCGCTACACAGCGTCGTCGCTCGGGACGAGTGGGACGGCCGACGTGTCTTGCTGCTGCCGTTTCGCGAGGAGCAGAACGAGCTGACGGACGCCGTGGCTGCTCTAAGTCCCGACGAGGCCAACAGGACGGTTGCCTTTGCCCATCTCGCAATCAACAAGGCCATCACGCAGCGGTATGTGGTCGGTGCGGGCGTCGACAGTCCTCGCGCGGCGAACTCCATTACGCACCGCGGCTTGACGGGCCCGGGCCGGTTTGCCTCTCTGGCGCGAACGTTCACGGGGCATTTTCACAGCCACCAGACCATCGCCCAGGAACAATCCGACAGCAACAAGGCCGATCTGCGAGGGAGCGTCACGTACCTGGGCTCGCCTTTGCAGCTGAACTGGGCCGACCTCTACGACGAGCAGCGGGGCGTCGTCCTGCTCGATCCGGAAACGCTCGAGCACGAACTGCTCATCAACCCGCATGCCGTCGGCTACACAACAGCTGACCTGCAGCAAGTTCTCGGCGGCCAGGTCGACGAAGGTGCCGTGACGGACAAGCATGTCATGCTCACCGGCAAGCTTACCCATCTCAGGTACGTCACGGCTCGTGACAAGCTGCTCTCGCTGGGCGTGCGGAGCGTGCGGAAATGGACTCCTATGGGCCTTGCCTTGCACGCCGGCCGATCTTCCTTCGGCGGTCTCGGCGCGTCGGTGCCGGCGAGCGATGCCGCTGTCCAGCCCTCGGAGGAGCCCACCAGAGATGAGACGGGTCTAGCCACCACCACCGACGGCGTTTCGGGCTCTGACCCTGCCGCCGAACTTCGGGCTGAAAGACTCGATCTCGCCGCAGAGGTTCGCGAATTTGTCGAGTCGCTGGATCTGGACGAGTCTCTCCTCTTGCGACGAGACGAGTTGGTGCGGGTTGGCCAGCGAATGGTCCATGCCTCCCGCGAGATCGCCGACCAGGACGACGAGGCCAAGGTTAACCACCAAGACTTCCTGGATAGGTCGTCTCAAGCTGTCGGCACAAGAACGGCCACTGAGCTGGCAGGGCCCTCTACCCACGTCTTCGTCGCCGAGCCGCGCGCGCTTACAATCACAAACTTCCTCGGCGTGCAGAGCACAATCGTCATCGACTTCCGACAGGACCTCTCACGCGGATTGGCTTTCCTGGTCGGCGACAACGGCTCCGGTAAGAGCACGCTCGTCGAGGCCATGGCATGGTGTCAGTTTGGGCGGTGTGTCCGCGGCGGGATGGCGGCCAACGCCGTCGTCAACGACAGTGTAGGCAAGAACTGCTCCGTCGAGCTGGAGTTCGCCAACGGATACACCATTACACGGTATCGCAAGCACAAGGTGCATAAAAACCGCGTCGTCGTCTCACTGCATGGCGAGCAGCAGCCGCAGTTCGAGCACCCGGACGCGCGCACAACGCAGGCGGCCATCAACGAGCTGCTTGGCGCCGACTACGACACATACATCAGCACGGTCGTGCTGAGCCAGGAGAATGCAGCGAGCTTTCTGAACTCGACGCCGGCGCAGCGGCGCGACCTGATTGAGGGGTTGCTCGGGCTGTCGATGTTAGATCAGTGCGGGCAGGTGTCGAGGCTGCTGCTCAAGGACATCGACGCCGACGCGAATAAGCTGGAGGGCAAGCTGGAAGGCTTGATCCGGACAATGGAAGACAATGAACGGCGCCTCAAAGATCTCCACCGGACACAGAAACGACTCGAACGTGAGGCGGAGGAGGCAGTCGCATCTTTGGAGGCAGCCGGTCAAGACCATGGAAGCAACGGAGGTCAGGCCCTCGAGCTTAACATGGGCCTCCGCGTTGAGATCTCGGCGCTGCAGAATCAAATCCACACCGAGCAGGAGAATCTGCAACGGCTGAAGGCCTCTTATGCCCAGATGCAGGAAGAGAAGCATGAAGAGAAGCATGTCGAGTCGACGTCATGGCTAGGCCGGCGACAGCGGCAACTGAGCCAAAGACTTGAGGCTATGGCTGCAGCTCACCCCATAGGCCTGCGCAAGCTCTTTCACGCCATGGAGACCTCCATTCTTCGCTTCCTACTGATGGCCGTCGGGAGCCTCTTGCGCATATTCGGTGTTCCCGAGGACGGCTCTCGGGCAATCAGCGCCCAAAAAAACCATAACCAAGAGGCGGCCATCGACAGTCTCCGCCAAGACATTGAGAAGAGCGCGTTGCGCTTGCAGAGCCTGAAGCACGAAGAAAAGCGCAGTGTCGAGTACGCCGTCACACTTAACGAGCAGCTTGCGCAGGCCATCCGGGCTCAAAAGGCATGCGAAGCCTTGCAGCAACAGGTCACGATCAAGCAACGCGACGCAGCCACGTACAAGCTCCTGGCTGAAACCGAGCAGTCATCTCTGCACTCCCTGCGGTCGGAACGCGACGCGCTGGCCACCAAGCTCCAAGAGGTTGCCGCCAATCGCGAGCTCTTTGCCTTTTGGTCCTCAGCCCTGGCGAAACGCACCCGTCGCGCCTCTTCGTCTTCCTCGCCCAGCTCCACGGCAAAGGCAACGACCAACTTCCGCGAGCACATCCTCAAAAGGTCCTTGTCGGAGCTCAACGCGCTCCTCGCGCAGGTCCTTACGGTGCTGTACGAAGACACGCGCCACGCGCACATGGCAACGGGGATGCTGCGTTCGCTGTTCGACTCCGACGAGTCTGCCGACATCACGATCAACGATACATCATCATCCCTCTCGGGATCCGTTCTCGATCCCACCCTTGCTGTCCACCCCTCGCTCGCCTATAGCAAGCGCTCGAGCGGCGAGCGCAAGCGCGTCGACCTAGCGCTCTTCTTCGCGCTGTTGCAGCTGGCGCGGGCTAGAAGTGCACACCGCGCGCACTACGTGCTCGTCGACGAGGTGTTTGACAACCTGGACAAGGCCGGCCAGGCGGCTGTGGTCAGGTGGTGTGGCGCCATGTCGCAGTCGGTGGTCGGCTGGATCGTGGTGATCACACACAGCCAGTTCCTGGTCGAACGAGATCCGCGGGACGACGCGAGCAAGGCTTTGGTTGTGGAGGCCAGGATGGGACAGGCAGGTACGGAGCTCTTTGTCAATGGACGCAGAATTGGTGTCGATTGAAAAAGGCTGTGTATTGTTTATTTACCGGCCACGGCCCTGGGGGACAGCAAGTCTTTTGCTTCCGATGCGGTCACAACGGCTATAGACGGCGAACGTTGTTTGGTGTAGGGGGCGGCTGTCAGGGGAAGGCGGGATGGTACTGTATTGTACAGATAGGAAAGAGGACGGTCCCTGTACAAGTGTATAGTGTATACTGTGTGAGCGGGGATGCACTGCCTTGGTTGCGGCCGGACCTGATAAAACGCTATGGATGGAGATCCACCTGCGAACTCCGGGACGGGGTAACACTGCTGTCCGCCGGAGTCTCGGACCTACAAAAGAACTGAAGAAGAACTGCATCGGATTGGGAACCCGCGGAACGCCGGCATGCATGACGTGACGTGACGTGAAGGGTTGTCACCAATGGCCAAGGGCTGCACAGGACTTCGTAACGTTGACCAAATCCTCATGCCATTATGCTACTGCTGCCCTAGTAGGCCAGCCCCCGGCTATCCTGCACCTTTTCCCATGCTGATCTTTTGATCGGTGAGTACCTACTAGTATGTATGTATTGTACAAGAAAAGAATGCCGGACGGCGGACGCAGGCACGGGAATGAGTGCAATCAAAGGTCACCGGAAGTACTCGGAAGTATCCCTGCGGCGCGGAAACGCTCCGATCGGAACGGTCCCGGACTTGTCACTTTGCTTTTCTCACTACCGCCGCATGGCAAAAGGACCGGTCAATATTTAAACCCCCCTTCTCTGGAGTATCTCTGGAGGACAAGAAAAAGAAAACGAAATACTAGCCAAGGGCGGGGCCCCCTTTCCAACCCGCTCACGCAGGGTATTCGCACTCCCACGGCTCGCCCTGCGTGCAGAACATCTGCTGGAACGGCGAGGCGCCGACGCCCTTCAGCACCATCCTCTCCCTGAACTCGTTCAGCCGCGGCGCGGCATCCATCAGGCTGCGGTTCTGCCCGGCCGCGTCCTGCCGGCCCGACCAGAGCACCTCGCCGGCGGCGCTGGCGCGCGGCCACACGAGCGAGTCAAAGTTCGCTGAGTCGATCGTCTCGCTCCAGGCGGCGACCTCGCCGCCCACCACGAGCTTGGCCTCGTCGGCTGTCAGATCCGCCGTCGGGTCGTGCGAGTACATGAGCTGCCAGCTCTTGGTCGGGCCGCACCAGTCGCTGAAGGGGTAGCCCGTCTGGAAGGCGGCGCCGTTGGCCCAGTTGAGCCATTGGCCGCGGCCGCAGTCGAGGTACTAGTACGATCTGATGTTAGCGGGCCAGTTTTTGTTGGGTGGTTTGGTTTCCACGGGGGCCTCGCTCAAGTCGAGCGAGGGAGGGAGGAAAAGTGAGTTGCTTACCCAGAAGTTGTAGTTGCTGTCGATCACCTTGTATCCCAAGCCCGTCAGCTTCTTGACCGCGCCGCCGCCCAGCCACGACTGCACGACCGTGTCCTTCTCCATGGTGACGTTCCAGTCGAGCGGGATCTCCTCCCACGTGATGGGCGTCAGACCGGCCTTCCTCACGCGCGCGTGTTGCGTGTCGATGAACTTCTGCAGGAGCGGCTGCAGCACGGCCGAGTCGTTCGACCGGATGCCCTCGTCCAGCATCGAGTCGTTCTTGTTGAGCTCGTCGCCGCCCGTGTGGAAGTAGGCGGCGTACGGCGCCACCCGCGGGAGCACGTCGTCGAACAGCTTCTCGAGGAAGGCATCCACGGCCGTGTCGTTGAGCTTGAAGGCGCCGCAGGGCGGCTGCGCGCAGTACCAGTAGTATGGCTGCACGTTGTAGGCCACGATGAGCTCCGGGTGCGAGAGCGAGACGGAGCCGATGTGGCCAGGCATGTCGATCTCGAAGTAGACCTCCACGCCGCGCTGGGCGCCGTACTGCTGGATCCTCTCCACATCGGCAGGCGAGTACGTCTGGCTGGAGTGGTACGCGCCCTTCTCCGCGACCTCGGGCATCGAGGGGATCACGAGGGGCCACGACTGCGAGTCGGTCACGTGGATGTGCAGCCGGTTCAGCTTGTTCCAGGCCATGGCTTCGATGGTCCGCAGTATGTCCGAGACCGGGAAGAAGTGGCGGGCCGTGTCCATCATGACGCCGCGGTGCGGGAACTTCGGCGCGTCCTGAATGGAGACTGGCGCGTACGGCGTGTACCAGAAGTTCCCCTTCGAGTGCTGGTAGAAGAGCTGCGTGAAGGTCTCGAGACCGCGGAGGACGCCGATCGACGAGACGGCCGAGAGCTTGACGTCTCCGTCGGCGCTCATGGTCAGGTTGTACGACTCATCAACCTCGCCAGCCAGGGGCTTGAAGGCGCTGGGCTCGTCTTTGCTCGTCTGAGTGATCTGCAGCGTGTTCAGCCATTTCTGGCCTTTTGCCAGGTCGGGCTCGAAGTCCGAGCCGGGCTTGTGCAGCATCCACGGCACGAACTTGCTGTTGAGGATGCCGGTCAGCGCCCGGGACACACCCGCCTGGACCACCTCCTTGCTGGTCAACGTCCGCGGCTCATAGCCGTAGGTATACTGGATCTGTTGGTACACGTGTTGTTCAGTCCTCGGTCCGTCCTCGGGGAATCCATGAATGGAACAGCAAGAGGGCCAGCATACGCTTTCGTTATTATACGTGACCTTGATGTTCTGGTGCAGGTAGAGGACGGAAGTGCCGTTGGTGAAGCTCTGGGGCGCCGGCCAGATTGCCGCGGCAGGGCCGACGGCGACCAGGATGAGCGAAAGGCAAGAAGATAATGGTGCCAACATGTTGAGTGAGAACTACCTCATGCCTTCACGCATGGAGTGTTGTTGAGGGGCAAGCGAAAATGGCGGGGTGGCGGCTGATATATGCAGTGTAGGGCGGCGAGGAACAAGGCAGGGGAGAGGCTGGAATGTTTATTCATGAAACCTCTCGGCGCATTGAATGTTGATTCGGTTGATTTAGTTGGATCATGGATGCGAGGAGGCCAACTGACCAACGGGACCATGCTCCGGTGCCGAAGGTCGGTTGCAATCCGGCAGCGATAACCCAAAAACATGGGATGGCACCCAGAATTGCCCCCTGTGAGTGGGCTGTAACACCGCAGGACCAGCAGACCGCGCCAGAGCACAAGACCGATCGCGAGGCTAGGCTCACCACGGGTCAGCTTCCGCCCGTTACTGCTTCCTGGCATGCCAGGGCAATTGGGACGGGAACGTCCGGAGGATGGCAAAAGCGCTGATCCGAATCTTGTTCCTGCCGCCGCATACACTAGGCATGGGGCAACGTTACGTTCAACTTGCGTCTGCCTAAGGCCCTTAAGTAGGCCCAGGGTGGGAGAGCCAAGTCAACTGACCGGCCACGGCTGGGGAATGTTGAATCCCTTGGACTAGGAATCTGTGCCTTCGAGGTCCTTCATATCTTCTTATTCGATTTGACAGTCATTTGTTCGAGTGAGACGCCCAGAGGAATTGCGTCGCAGATCTGTCCGTTGCTCCCGCATGATCCAGCGCTGCGGATGCCCGGTCACCGCACAATTCCTTCCAATCAATGGAAATCGCCTGTCGATCACAAACGTCACGTCGGATTGTGGCTGGTGGACGCCACAAGTTGCAAGCTCACCACTAGGGACGGCGGTTGGAAGTTTGGAACTGGAAATGCATGTTCGTGCGGAAGAAAGGAGGCGGGGTCAGGCGCACTGCATTGGGAAGGAGGCTCTCGGATGCAGAGCAACCCAACGAGTCTGCCAGGGGGTCGAAGACACGACCCCGAAAAGTCATGAATCCGCTCAGCCGGACAAAGGAGTGTAACTGCATGAGCCAGTCTTCGATTCCAAGGCTGCAACAACATGCACGGCCTAGAAGCTACCCCTCTACAGGAATGGTGTTGTTACTTGACAGTATCTGGGCAGTTTCTGTGGTCATGCGCCGTGAGGGGTAGATATCTGTGGGCCAAACTCAGTTCAAGTTACCCGAAATAGACCTTGTGCATAATGTTCTCAAGACAGACTGAGGCTGAAGAAAGGGATCATGATTGAACAGGTCCAAATGATGATGGAGACCAAGAACCGATTGATTGATGTAACTGAAAGTCGTGTGTAAGAGGCATGAATCCCCAGTGCCCAGAGAATTCCACAGTCCCAGTTTAATACCAGTCTCACGCCCGGGTCGTACTTTCCACACCCAACCAGCTGACTCTGGTCGTCGAGTCAGCAACGAACTTTTATTGGGGGGCTCGAGGGGGGTCACGTCACGGTGTCTTACTTGGGCGTCCGAGCGTTTTTTCAACGATCGCCACTAGTAAGAAGTAATCCGTACTGGTAAGAAAAGTAAAACCATCGGTTGAAAAACGCTCGGAACCCCAAGTGGGAGTGACTTCACGACTTGAAAACAATAAGAAGGCACGTCCAATCAGCAGAGGAGCGCCACAATGTACTGTGGCGAGGTGAGGCTGAGTCACGTGAGCATTATGCAATCGCCACCAACCACCTAAGAGCTTGCTCGACCGTGGATTTGTTTCGCGCGACTCCACGGCTTAGAATTGAAATCCTCAACTAAACAACCGACGAACCTTCCATTGGGCCACCCATCCGACCCGATACACAATTCGCTTTCAGTCTCTCGCGGCACATTTTTTGCGATACGATCCAGTCACCCGCATTTAAACCGACCGCTTGCGCGCAGATATCGCTTGAGTCGCGTTTCAAGAGGAGGACACTGTTGTATTGGTCGCCGACTTCACCAGACACCGATCGTCCTTCCCTCGCGCGCAAGCGAAGGCCGAGGTTTTCCAACCGCAATTCAGCCACATATCCTCTTTCGACTAGAAATAGTTCCGTCATCACGAAATCACCCATCACCATGTCTGTCGAGGTGACGCTCGGCACACCCCTCGCCGAGGCCCTCCACACGGCCATCCAAGGCAAGATCGCAGACCTTGAATGGGCTGGCCCTGGCGCCGAAGGTTCCGCCATGGCTGAGTACTTCTTACTCATGCTCGCCAACGGAAAGACGGAGTCCGAGATTGCTGGTGAAATTTCCGGCGACCTGCTTGGACTCGGCCCTGAGGACCAAACCGCCCCCCGATTCGCAAAATGGCTCTTCGAACAGATCGAAACGCTCAGCGCACAGTTAGGCACTGGGCAAACGCAACCCGCCGATACCATGGACGGAGCCAAGGATGAGTCGATGGATGGTTCTCTTGACGTCAACATGGATACTAGGTCCGACGCACCAGCTACCGCTCTCAATGCGTAAGTGTTGCTTGGCTCCCCGCCGCGCCAGACCCGTTATTCTGACCGAAAATAGACCTACAGGACCTAAGGCGATGCGGAATGGCAACATCCGTGGGGGCCGGGAGAAGCGTATCGTGGGTCAGATCAACAGGGCGTTGGATCGGACACAGGATTCGGTCCTTCACCGGGTCCGCACACAATCCGGCAACGAGAGGATCGGGCGAGGTCCGCCAGCTGGGCCGAGGATGGGTGCTGGCAGGCAGCCGCGGACGAACATGGCTCGCGCCACGAACATTGCGGCCGGCCTAGCAAACATGGGCGGCATGCACGCGGGTCCTATGGGCATGAACGGAGCGGTCGGAATGAACCCAATGAATGGCGGCGGTTTTGCGCAAGCCGACATCATCGCTATGATGGAGCAACAGAACCTCATGCTGCAGCAGATGCAGCAACAGCTCCTGATGCAGCAGCAGCAGAACGGGATGACGCGCCGGGGCGGGCACGGCCCGGGCAAGCACCAGTTTGATCGGAATGGCAGGCCAAGCCAGTTTCGGCGTGGCGGAGCGCATCCTCAGCATAACGGACACGCTGAGCAGCAACAGCAACATGCAGCGGAAGGAAGTCAGCCTGAGGGAGCCTCCCCGGCCGATGTCGAGATGACAGGGGCAAAGCGGGAGCCACCAAACCCCGACGAGACGGTCTGCCGGTTCAATTTGCGCTGCCAAAACAAGGACTGCAAATTCGCCCATCAGTCGCCTGCAGCGCCGCCGGGCATCACTATCGACGTCAAGGACGTCTGCAGCTTCGGTGTGGCTTGCAAGAACCGAAAGTGTGTTGGCCGCCATCCATCACCGGCTACCAAGGTGGCACACCAAAGCGAGCAAGACTGCAAGTTCTTCCCGAACTGCATAAACCCGAACTGCCCATTCCGGCATCCGGCTATGCCCCCGTGCCGCAATGGCGGCGAGTGTAAGGTGCCGAACTGCAAGTTCACCCACGTTAAGACCCCTTGCAAGTTTCACCCGTGCACGAACCGCACCTGCCCCTTCATGCACGAAGAGGGACAACGGGGCACTTTCCAGGATAAGGTCTGGACGGCAAACGAGGGATCGAAGGAGCATGTCAGCGAGAGGAAGTTTGTGAATGAGCAAGCTCCCGAGGATGTCGTCCTGCCCGGGTCGGGCGAGCACACAACGGATGCTGGCGTCCCAGAGGTCGTCATGTAAAAGACACGCGTGGTCAGTTGGCGAAACATGTACGCTGCGGGATCGCAGCGGAGATTGGTGGACTCGGAATATGCCATGTGGATAATCAGTGACTAGGGGAGAACTCACTAGAGAACCGCGAGAGGCGAGGTTTTGAGGGAAGGGCACGACCATGTGGCATTAGGTTGCAGGCCTAGCTATTCCGAGGAATCAGGCTTGGTGCTGTACTATATCACGATATACAGGCGTTTCGGGCGGACAGACGGCGGAAGGAGGTTGCTGCATTGGGCTTTTAGGGGCTTTATTCGTCTTTAGATAGGGGTTTTCTTGTATGTATTGAGTCTCAGCGGAAGAGGTAGCGGATCAGCGGCGATGGGCGACAAGAATGAAATTGTAGTCGCTCTCGGTCTCACTTGTCGACCCCTCTGTCTCCATACTGTTACTGGCGTGATCTTCCATCGTTGTTGACGGGCCGGACTCAAGTCATAAGGGTAAAGAGAGGTACGTATATTACTACTACTATATGCGGATCTGAGCAACGCAGACAAGTGCAGGACTCATTTTGGCAATCCTCTCCAACTGCTCTCTTCGTCATGTCTCTTTTGTCGCCCTTTTCTTTCGATCAACTCGGTAAATTAGGTCCCTATAGTGCCTGAGAGTGGCTTATGAGAATCGAGCCATCCTCGCCACTCACAACTTATCGATCCAGGGTTGGGGGAATTGGTGACATGATACCTATCCTCAGATCAACCAATCGGGTATCCCTGCTTCCAATAACACCAACGACCATGAAACTGACTTCCGTCTTCACTCTCCCGCCACCAGCGTTGTGCTGAGCCATTGAGTGCGCGATCCGACCGAGATGCGGCCTTGTAGCAATCGTTGACATGTATACCATCTGTGTGCGCTGCATAGCGCATACTCCGGGCAGCTCCGGCGCCAAGCGCAGATTTCCGCGAGCTCCAGGTTGCGTGCGATTCCTGAGCTCTCGTGCCACCTCTGCGGCCCGCCCCCGACAACCGCCACCCCGAGATCACCGCCTCCCGCCAGCGCCAGCCACGAGTTTTGCGTCACCGTTGAGTGTTATTCTTGCAAGCGGCAGTCACAGTCAAGGCAGGAGACATTATGCTACTGGCAAGGACCAAGGCCCGCGTTCCATCGCCGTGCTCGGCGGTGGGCTGACGGGCCTCACCACAGCATGGTATCTGACACGCAACCTCCCACAAGCCAAGATCACAATCTACGAGGCAAACGACCGGCTGGGCGGGTGGGTAGACACGACGAAGGTCAAAGTGCGAACCCCGGACGGCACGGAAGGCACTGTGCACTTTGAGCACGCCGCGCGCATGGTGAAGCCGCAAACCGGAGGTTCGGGAGGCGTCCCCCGGTGGGACGACCTGGTGTTCTTCGACATGGTGTGTCTCGATTTCCCTGCCACCTCCTTACTTACTAGTGCTTAGGGGGCCGAAGAGTTGCTAACTACCGCCGCCGCCCGCGCTGCTTGACTCAAACAGGTCGCCAACCTCAACCTCGCTGATCAGCTCGTCCACACTGTGAAAGGGGAGGATACCGTCGCCGGCTACATCTACTACCCCGACCATCTAGCTGCTGTGCCTACTGCAAACGGGGGACTTCTCAATGTGCTTGCCAGTGCGGGCAAGATGCTTACCGAGCCCGTCTTCCGGGACCTGATACCTGCTGTGTTCAACGTATTCACCAAGAATAGGTACTCGTATAAGGCGGACATCTTCAAGGGACGCATCGACATGTCCCTGGGCGATTACTATGCGCACCTGTTTGGAGGCCCTGGTCTGGTGGACAAGGCTCTGTCGGCCATGGTCCACGGCATAACGGGCGGGGATGTGTGGAAGCAGAGCATTGCGAGCGGGCCGTGGGCTGACATGGTCGTGCCCAACGACCAGCCCATGACCAACGCGCGCGTGCGCCGAGTTGACTATGAGTTGATGAGGCAGATCATCCAGGACAAGGCCGTGTTTGATCTGGCATCACAGCACCTCGGGTCTGGCGCGCTCTGGTTTCGAAACGGCTTCAGCACGCTGACCAACGCGCTCGCTGACGCACTGAGGAAGAACCCCAACGTTACGATCAAAACGAGCGACCCTGTTGAGTCTGTCCGCTATCTCGACGATATCGACCGGATGTCTGTAAGTAACTAGCGCCTGCTGTTGGATCGGTAATCTAACACCAACGCCCATGCTAACATCACTTAGATTACCACTAGGAAGAACAAGAAACCGGTCGCCTATGAAAAGGTAGTCTCAACCCTATACGCCAAAACACTGGCAGGCCTCACCGACGGCCGCCTGCCTTCTCTCGCTGAGTCCAGCGCCGTCACAATCATGCTCGTCAACATCTGGTATCCCGTGCCCGCAGCCAACCATCCCTACCACGCCTTCGGCTACCTTCTACCCCAAGCCCTACCCCACGAAGCCAACCCGGAATGCGTCCTCGGGGTAATCTTCGACTCGGAGCGCGAATTCAGGCTCAGCCCGGAGGATGGCAGCGCCGTCAACCGCGGCGCCGACACGCTCATGGGCACCAAGCTGACCGTCATGATGGGCGGGCACTACTGGGACGACCTGCCGGCCTCTTTCCTGCCGGACGAGGAAAGCGCCATCGCCATGGCCAAGCGCGCCGTGCAGCGCCACCTCAACCTCGACCCGCAACTCTCGGCCCAAGCGCACGCCCAGGCTCGCCTCTGCCGCGACTGCATCCCGCAGCACCTCGTGGGCCACATCGCGCGCATGCGCGCCGCGCACGCCGACCTGCAGTGGGGGTTCAAGGGCCGCCTGGCCGTCGCGGGCCAGTCGTACCAGAGCCCGGGCGTGCTGTACATGCTGCGCGCGGGGCGGGACGTGGCGATGCAGATTGCCGGCGGTTTCGGTTCGGGCAGCTCGTCCTCGTCGCAGCAGCAGCGACAGCAACAGCAGCAAGATGGTGAAGAGGGGCTTTTGGGCGTAGGCGAGACCGGACTGGAGAGGTTTACGCGGCAGCCGGAGTATATGTCGGTGGAGAAGGCGATGCTGCCGTTGCGATTTAATAGCGGCGCCTTCTTGGATGAGAGCGGCGAGATACAGCCTCAGAATCCGCAGCTGCGGAACGCGGCGCATAGTCGCTAATAGGTGGTTTTTTGTCTGTTGTGTGTATGTGTTTTGTGTACATACTATATATGTTTGAAAGATCCGGGCTGCACGCGTAGCTACCCCTTACGATCTGGGAAGAGGGGAGACGTCTATTATTGCCTGCTGTTCCGAGGAAGAAGAGCCTTGGGTTAGAGAAAAGGCGGCGCATGCTTGATTCTAGATATTCTCAATCTCAAAAGAAGAAAAAAAGGATTTGAAGAAACGAAGGGGGGGCCGACCGGGCACCGAAACTGGCGACTTTGCGGCCGTGTAAGGCGACGGCGTCTCTCAATTTCATTATCTGTGTCCTGGTATCATGAACTATACTTAATGCCACACATAACCTGTACCCATCCCGATGGTATAAAGCCCCACCCCATTTCCCTTTTTTTGTCTAAAGAACCGCTGCCCGCTTTCCAATACTAACAGAATCATGCATGCGCTATCACCAGTATCGGCCTCTTCTAAGGTCAACCGTGCTGTTGTGATGGTTGTAATGGCAGAGGCGGAGGTGCACCAACCACTGACAGCAATGTGTCGCTGATGAGCGCCAGAAGAGTCTCGATGCCATGCTCCCAGCCTGCCGCGGCACCGGTCATGAGGCCGTCGACCCCGTCGCGGTCCACCGACCAGACTCGCTGGGCCAGGATCTGGTTGAACTCGTCGTTCTCGTTGTGCGCGTTGGGGTCGGTCGATGGGCGGGACACGTGCCACACCAGCCGGCCCTCCCTCTCCCGCGCCTTGATGTCCAGCTGCACGCGCCGGCTCTTGGGCGGGACAAAGGTGAAGCGAAGCGTCACCCAGTCCAGAGATTTATGGATTATCCAGCATCCAGCACCGCGCCCCGTGGCGTACACAGGGTCCCACGCGTCTTGGAGCCGCTCCAGTGCTCGGAAGAGCGGGAGTGTGAGAGTAAGCCATGTGGGTATGCCCTTGGCCTTGGGCGTATTTGCCGTTGCTCGGAGGAAGTCGATGACCCGAAGATGCGGATTGTCCTTATCCAAAACCACATCCACGAGGTGCTCCCTGCTGAGGTCGAACCGCACCTTCCACAGTTGTTGCTCCGGTTGGCTGGGTAAGAGTTGCTTCGGCGGTAAAGCCACTTTCGTGCTACCGCCATATGTGAATGAGATCTCACGGAGCGTAACCCTCTCCGTGGCCACCTGTTTCCCGGCTCGATGGATGGCGTCGAGGAAAGCCAGCAGGCGATCGAGCGCCTGCATGCGGGCCCGGAGCAAGGGGATGACCCCAGAACCAATTTCCGGTCGGAATCGTAGGGTGAACCGGCCGGTTTGGCGGTCGTAGTGAACATCACGGTCAAGCTTGCGATCGAGGAATTCGAACTTGGCACGATCTGTGACGGCAACACTCGCCTCGACCAGCACCCGGTGGCCTTGCTCCCCTGGGAGAGGGGGTGCTGGTCCTTTGTACACGATGGAGATGAATCCCGCGGCCCAGGGAGCGCGATCGGCTTCATCGGAGCTACTATTCCAACCCTGCAGCATGTCCGATGCTCGCACTGTTACCATGGGCAGATGAATCTGGGAAGGCCAGCTGCAGGAACCGGAGGCCATTGGTTCCCGGGCCGCGTGCGCCATTCGCTCTTGATGAAGGTCGAGGAGACTTCGAGTTTGCCCGATGATTCCGGGCCCGTACGTGTGAAGTTTCTGGAAGAGAACGTCGCAATGGAGTAAATCGCCCGGTGATAGAGGGAGCTGGTTGAACGTAAGGATGCGACGGGAAAGTGAGCCCTTGGTTTCTGGCGAGCTTGAGAGGCGTTAGCGCGGAAAATAATAACACAAAACAAAAAATCGTGTTAGAGATGGGTGGCAACAACTTACATCTCGACCAGCGTCCAGCTGTCCCCCGCAAGGCTCATAGTCAACATAGCAAAGCAGCGGGAATCCCACTTCACGTGTCTCACCCACACCGCATGAAACGCTTCTCGAGGAGGCGGCAATTGCTGGTAGACCATGTTCTTCACCTCGTCGGCGGGGACAGGCGACGCCCGGAGGACGCTCCAGTCGACATGCCTGGGCAGCGACCTTAAGTGATAGACCGTGTAAGACCACCTGAGCTGCTCCAGGACATTTGGGCCGTCCTTCGCTGGATTTGCCAGTGTTTTGAACCTCCTCTGCACGTCCGAAATGGCGGCGTACTGCGGGGAGAAAAGGAAGTCGCCCGTCCAGGGGGAAACGCGAACCGTAGCGTCCACCTCACCGGCCAGCTGCATAACCAGCCGGAAATCCTGCGGTTGCCCATTGAGATCCACGGCCAGTCGGCCTTGTTTACCCGCATAGCGACGCTTGGCCAGAAGTGTTCGGTAGATGGGCATCAGTAGATACTCGATGTGCTTGGAAATAACCGCCATCAATAGTTGCTCCGTCGAGATGTTGTCGGCATTGAAGCGAATGTCCGCATCCTTGACTTCCTTGTCGTCGCGGAACCAACTGAGCATGAGACGACTAGGAGAATCTTGGAGCCCGTCGCTGCCCTTGCCGCCGTGTACTCCGAGGAGTATCCAGCTCTGTGACGGCCGAGAATGTTGGCAATTGAGCCAGTACTGAATTGCTAACCCGCGGTCGAGCCTCTCAACCTTGAGATTGTCGATCCATAGACCAGTTCGGCTGAGCTCCAGTGCCTGGCGCCTGTACTCGGCGATCTTGGCAGTGAGCGTGTACTCATGAAGGTATCTGTAGCATCCCATCAAACCGTCAACTCCCATGGCGTTGTTAACCTGCGTCTCGAGGAACATCCGGACATCGTCCGGCAGTTCAGGCGGGGCAGGACTGTATAGGGGCCGATAGTCCAGGAACCAGAACTGCGTTGATGAATCGTCGGAGGCAATTGTGAGGTCGACTTCGAACTCCCCCGGCACACTAAATGTTACCCTGCCGTCCGCGACCGTGTACTGCTTGAACGGCTCCGGCATCCTATCGTACTCATCCAGTTGGAGTCTCACATGCAGGTGAATCTCGATCTCGTGGATCCAATGCAGCTTGTCTTTCGCGGCTAGCGGTTCTTCCAGATAACCAAACTGGGCGGCCGTCAGCATACACGCACTCACAGACCACGAGCAACCGAGACCTACCTCCGGCATCCAGTGAACCGCTCCATTGCTGAGGATTTCCAGCGCAGTCTTCAGATCCGGGCTTTGGACCCTGGCGAACGCCACCTCCCGCTTGACTTGAACGAGATTCCAAAAGGTTCTGTTGTAGAGCTCCAGCTTTTCAGCAAGATGGCTCCTGATGTCGATAAGCTTGCCGACTTCATCTGCATTCCTGGCCCACTCCGTAATAACCAAAGCCTTGACCCATCTCGAGTGCAAGTCCTTGATGAAGTTCAGCAGCATGGTCTTCTTCTCTAGGCTTTCTGGCGAAGTATCTTCGGTCGGAGCATTATGCGCATTCGCAACGCCGTTCGGGGCGCCGTTCGCATTGCCGCTGGCGAGGATCTGAGGAAGGGGCTTCGACGCCAGCTCCATGATGTGCTCCTGGAGCTTCGCTTGGGAGAACTCGGCAAGCCGAGTCAGGAGGAGGCTCAGCGGCATTATGTCGGTCGTGATATGTTGCAGACCGTCCTCCATCTTGGCGGCCGGCAGCCCGCCGCCGTCGTCCGCAGCCATCGCCGATCGGTCGACCTGCGGCGTGTCGCACGCGGCTCGATCGGTTTTGGACATCGCTTCGAAGGCAAGGCAGCCGGTCGCCAACCCCGTTCCGGTTCTGAACCCTCCGCCGGGGCAGGATCGCGACGACGCGCACCCGCCGTGTCGCAAGTGCGGCAGTTGGTATCGCAATCCTCGCAAGCACTTCGCGGAACAATGCGGCGACCGGATCCGTTGGTAAGAGCGCTGACTTTGCCGCAGAGTCGCGGTCGCGCTGGCCGGGCTGGTGATGGCTGGTTTCGAAGTCCGATCCACTTAGTTAGAATGCTCTGGGAGCCAGGGTGAGAGGACAAGCGGCCTGGCCGACCCGTGCCAAGAACGTGGATCAAGAGCGTAAGTTACGGTTACAGAGGTATTGGAACGATTTCCCATTGTCCCCCTTCGCCTGATTGTCCTTGTCAACGAATAATTACCTAGACTGTGTAAGCCCCACCCGCCTTCGTTCCCCCTCCACACTGTTCGGTCTTTGTCCTGCCGAGCAAAATCCGGCTGAGTTCTGTTAACCTCCCGAATCCAACAAAATTGCTTCAATTACGGAGTAGCACCCAAACCTAACCCGAATTTCGCTATCATGGATGGTTGCTGAACATTGCCGACTATCCAAGGGGGTATCTACAGCAACTGTATACAATCCATACTGGCAGTTCAGCAGCCTCACGCTGCTTCAGCCTTACGCTGCCGGCCAGCGTAATCAAAGCTCCCTTACGTCATCTCGTCCCCTCGCTGAATTTGGAAGTTGAACTCGAGCTTGCACAACCTCCAGCGGTCTACCACTTGGTGTCTCTTGAAAACTTACTGGACACGGGACTACACACATTGGTACTTCCTACAGCGACTGCCCACCCGTCCAGTTCCGGGACAAGTCAGATGTGTTTCCGTAGCCAAGGGCGAGACGGCAACAGCAACAACGGGTTGCTGTCCCCCGGTTGGTCGGATGGCAGTGTATTCAGAGAAGAGAAGCACATGTTGAATACTTCCGAGTCCGACCCATCCGATTTCTTACTACTGCAAACAAGGCTTAGGGGCTGCCGACCATGTATACCACGGAAAGTCCGCAACCACGGCTAAAGCATACGCTGTCCATCTTCTTTCCATCTCACGGACTGGCTTGGCTCCAAGTGGCATGTCTAACCCGCGGCTGAACTTCAACTGCCCAAAAGTACTCTCATTTCTAACAACCGCCCAACTCTGGACTTAGATCTGCCGTGATCGAGCTCGTGTTACGCCCAACTGCGGTAGAAGCTACTGCTTAACCAGTGCTCAAATGCGATTTTGGTAGGGTTCCCCCACAGAATTGCCCGCGTGCTACTCACAACTTGTTGCCTGGCCCCGCAGCCGATGTTGTCGGCCACTGGTATCCGGCGGCATCGCTGAATTTGTATCCGTACGAGGAGGTGAAGTCGTCGAGCACAGCAGGGCCCCGAGAGCCTGGACGCAAGTCAGTTCACGGAGAGATAGTGTCGACGTCATGCTTTGATCGTGCTTACCATATGGGTACTCCATGGGAATTATCTCCTTGTTGTCGTCCAGGTAGTGCAGAAGCGGTGTGAAGATCCTCCAGCTGGCGTCGAGCTCGTCGTCTCTCACAAAGTTGGAGTGATCGCCTTTGATGCAGTCCAGGATCAACGACTCGTACGCCTCGGGGATCTTCAGATCAGAAAACCGTCTCCGATAGGTGAGGTCTAGCTCGGTGACCACCGTCTGCATCGTCAGGCCGGGGAGCTTCGAGTTCATCTTGATGTAAACGCTCTCGTTCGGCTGGATGCGCATCACGAGCTCGTTCCGCGGGATGTCCTTAAAGATCCCCGACGTGACGTCCTTGAACTGGACCCGGATCTCGGTCTTCTGTTCGTTGAGCGCCTTGCCCGCCTTCATGATGAAGGGGACACCGTCCCACCGCTCGTTCTTAATGTAAGCGACCAGCGCGCAGAAAGTCGGGCATCGCGAGTCCTTCGGAACGGTATCGTCCTCCTTGTACGACGGCTTGCTGCCGTCAAGCGACTTCCCGTACTGGCCGATGATGACGTTCTTTGGTTCGATGGCCGGGATCGCACGAAGAACGCGCACCTTCTCGTCCCGAATATCCTCGGCGGAGAATGAGATAGGCCTCTCCATGGCTAGGAGGGTTAGGACCTGGAGCAAGTGGTTCTGCATGACGTCCCGGATGATGCCAAACTCGTCAAAGTATCCACCACGCCCTTCGGTGCCGAACGGCTCCTTGAACGTGATCTGCACATTGTCGATATGGTGCCTGTTCCAAGTCGCGCCCAGGAACGAGTTGCCGAACCGCAGAATGAGAATGTTCTTCACCATCTCCTTGCCCAAGTAATGATCGATGCGGTAGATTTCGTCTTCCTTCCAATCCGGCTCGAGAGACTTTTGCAACTCCCGGGAGCTCGCCAAATCCTTGCCGAACGGTTTCTCGACCTGCGTCGTATCTGCGTTAGCCGGAGCAGCAGTGGGATGGCACGGGAGTCCGACATACAATGACACGGGCGATGCCGTTAGTAGGGTAGCAGCACTTCTTCAGATGCTGCGACACGATGGTGAAGACGCTTGGCGGCAGAGCCATGTAGAACAACCTGTGCGTTTCTTTCCTGCCCTGTTCCAGCTCCTCGAGATGTTTGTTGAGCTGCAGGAACGACTCGTCCTTATCATACTGGCCAGACACGTAGGTGCAGATGTTGCAGAACTCGTCCAGCTGCTGCTCGATGTCCTTTGTTGGCGTCTTGATGTACGATCTGACCCGTTTGATGTATTCGTCGCGGTCCATCTTTGTCCGTGCATAGCCGACGACTCTGATGTCCTTAGGCAGGAACTGGTTTCGGTACTGTGATGGCGTTTAGCCATTTCATTCATCCATTCAGCTCCCCGAAGGTAAGGCTCTGCAACCTACGAGACCAAAGAGAGCAGGAAACTACAGTATGTCAGCCAATTCGTATCTTAAAGGCCGAGATATGCCATACCGTCTTCTTCTTAGCAAGGTCGCCGGAGGCGCCGAGCACGACAATGACAGTATTGTCCTTGAGCTCGACGGCGCTAAGGAGCCGTCAGCATCCGAGTTAGGGCCATCTCTCTTGCAATCCAGCGTTCATCGCCGCACATCTGCCTGGCTGCCGATGCCAGAGAAGCTCGACTGCTGTCCGCGACGCACTTGCGGGCGCTGAGCTATCCCAGTCGCTCAACCCATAGTTCTAGCCCCACAGAAAGCGGCCATTGATTGCGGGGCACAGGCTGTGTGAACTTACGCTCCAGCAGAATGCATGTCAGAGGCCATCTTTTCAGGCGCTTCTTGGATAAGGAATTGGGAGGTGAGGGGTTGGAGTCAGAGTGCTTCCGCGTCCTGGAAGCAAGAAGAGAGGGTTTCGTCAACTGGGAATGATGGGAACGGTATCGGAGTCCGATCAAGCTGGAAGTTTCGGGGTTAAAGGCAGTTTCTACCGGCAGGTGCGGCGAGTATGACGGGAGCGAAAGATGGAGCTAAAGTGTGCGACATTTCAACGAGGGGCAGCTTACTGATACTCAGTGACCCCGCCTTTGCGTCAGGTACCATGCTGGGAGAAGCTTGGACCGGGCTGCACAGCAGGGTACCTCTCGACGTAATCGAGGTATTTGTCCCGCCGCTCCCGACTTCTCCGGTTACCACGGGCATTGCGCTGCTTCTGTGCGAGAAAAGGATGATGGGCTATACCTACTAGTACCTACATAATCAAAAAACTCACTCTGCGTTGCTGCATGTCATCCGTAAGCCACCTCATAAGACAGTCTTGGGGGAGAGCATGGGGAAGCTCGAACACCTGTTTGGTACCAGGTAGGTACCTACCTAGGTAGTACCTTAGTTTGCGCCGCATATACTTCATAAACGCTGCCCCCTGTGCCTTGGATGAGGCAAACGATATCGCACCCTTAGGTTCTGCTGAAGAATGTTCAGCAGTGGCACTGGTGCTATAAGAGCTGAACGGATTATGACTACGTATAATAGTGCCTAAATACAGTACCTTCCCCATCGACCATATTGCGCACTTTGCTTGTACTTGCACACAATACCTACCTAGGTAGTTGCTCGCGAATACACCGCACAGAAGAGAGCTGGTATCTCTCCACTGCTGTCCAAGCTCGGCCGAGCACTTGCATTTATCTCGTTGGGGTAGTGGGGGAAGGATGGGATGCCGGGTTGCATTATTGGAGCTCCCGATGACCTCGTGGGTCGGCACTGCTGCGACAGAGGTACCTAACTGTGCCCTCCTCGCCTCCCACCTCTGCACGATGGCCCGCGGATTGAACCCAATTGGATTCCTCCACGGAGAAATCATACTGCGTTCGAGCGGTTAATCATGCTGGGCAGACCAGGATTCGCCCGCCGGCAGAATTCCACTGTCCCCACGCTCACGGCGGGTTAGACCTTATTAATTAGTAAGGCTTTCGTTGTGAGGGAAATGCCTCGAGACAGGTGATAGAAGGTAGACATGAGCCTCGATTTACATGCTGCTCTCGGATTTCTAAAACCTAAACATTGCTGTCCTTTGTATCCGTGATTGGGTGATGTAAAAGTTGCAGAGAGAGACAATAAGACAACTCCGTCCACATCTCCGCGGGCCTGGCGCCGGAAGGGAGGAATTAAGTAGGTCAACTCACAGTCTCATCCAGCCTGTCGGATGCTCGTTGTCTTAGGGGTACCTAGGCAGGTAAATATGTAGAGAGACGGCCAGCGTGCCTGGAAAAGCAGCATCGGACGCATCGGACTTCCACTGATTCAGTAGGCCCAGACGGAGAATCTAATAACGATATATCTACCTACCTTAGGTACTACTGTTAGTATGTCAGGTTGTAGTGCTTGACTCTCAGACATCCGGGCCGGCTTCGCAGGACCATGCGCTTCCCAACTCGTGCGCTTTGCTGCCACCAGCCCAGGGTCAGAAAATAAAAACAAGCTGGACAAAGCTCCTCGGCACGATGGTTTCAGCAACTGGTCGAGAAAATACAGCTAACAAAGTGCAAACTCCACGGTAACTCTAGCGTCTCGAAGCAAGGCAGGTTCTCTGAATTCTGCGCTCGAACCGCACAGGTCTGTCCGGTCTGGATGGAGAAACAACTTCTCCGGTGGGCTACTAAAGGAAAGATAAGATTGCAATCAAGACAAGATACTGCAGGTAGTAACAGCTGGATGATCTCGCTCTGTCTCCTGGCGTTCAAGTTCCGCCTGACAGACAGGTAAGGTAGGTAGGTCTCAAAGTATATTGTGCATACATCCTCGCCGCCACAAGAAATCTTCAACTGCAGAGGGTGAGAACGCAGGCGTGAACATCAAACGAAAGCGTTATTAGCTTCTTAATAGGTAAGTACCTACCTTGTACGTCCCTAACTCAGGGAGTAATCGGCTGGGCACTTGATGGTACGCGAATGATACTTATCATATATCTGAGGTGGGATATCCTCGTGCCTAAGAAGACCGGTATGGTCAAGCATCTGCAGATGTCAAGATAGGGTTGACTGCCCGTGTAAGCCGCGTCGCGTGAAGTACTGCCATGAGGTGGAATTGTGAATTGGTCAATTGGGCCGGGGGGAGCTTCATGAAGTGGGGCTGTTCCACTGCCCGGAGATCAGAATCGGTACCACTGATTATCCGCCCCGCAGAACGCACGGTCGCAAGCCCTAGGTACCAGCCGCACCACGACAATTTTTGAATTCCGCTTCGGGATATCGAAGTGAAGAGCCACAACCACGTCGCCCAACGCCGGACCTCGAATCAGCACCGACATTCTGCTGATCGCCCTTGACCGTGGCCGGGAGAGATTGATTGATCGGGAAACCATCAACCGACAAGATGCCTACCGAAGCTGGTCATAGATGTGAGCCGACCCTCACCTTCTGCAGGAACAAGCGCTGGCGCAGGCCTCGGATAATTGTGGCAGCGATACCCAGCATTGTTCTTGCTACATCCGTATCGCATTCTTGACTTTTACTAACTAGATCCTCTAGTATACGTCAAGTGAGTACGAGCCGGCGACTGTTCCGAGACCCCCGAGTTGCGCTTTCGAACGCGATTGACCGACGCGACTTGTGATATCTACGTCGGCAACGGACTTTTGGTGGAATGGGCGCGCTGACGGGTATTTCCTTATAGGGGTCGCCACCTGAGCTATCAGCGTGGCCGCCACAACACCCACCCCAGGACCAGCCTGATCAAGATCGAGGGCGTCGATGACACTGCCGCAGCCAAGTACGTTACGCGAGCCGAGTTCCATGTACCGAAAGATAGGGATTAACGCGGGACACAGCTTCTACTTGGGCAAGAGGGTTGCATATGTCTACCGGGGTCAGAAGGAGGTGCGTGGCACCAAGATCCGCGTCATCTGGGGCAAGGTGACGAGACCACATGGTAGGTTCCGACTGTCACGGGACGGCTTTGGCTGTAGGGGTTTGACTGATTGTTGTTTTGCAGGCAACTCTGGCGTTGTCCGGGCGAAGTTTACAAACCCCCTTCCTGCGAGATCTTTCGGCGCCTCGGTTCGCATTATGCTCTACCCCTCCTCGATTTAAGGAGATGGTTCAGGCCGGAGTTGGTTGGTAAAGATGGTTCATGATTTCGGTGCATCAGGGTTGGGCGGGGCCTTCGCAGATGAGGCCTTGCTTCTAGCATTCAAATCAAGGCAATACCAAAAGTGACGATGCCGTTTAGGATCCGCAGCTTCGGACACAAGAAAGTGCTTCGCTGATGAAGGATACAACGTGAAGGCAGCTCAGCGGGAGATCGTGGTCATCTCTCTGTCACAATAACAACAATAATGGCCAAGCCTGGGCTAGAATTCAACAGGTCGACCATCGCGTCCAGATAATGTTCCAAAACTGCGGGAGGGGTGACTGTGGGACAGAGAGCTGGCTTGAGTGCGTAACGAACCAAACCTCGAGTCGTATCCGAGCCAGAACGCCCGTCTTGAGATCAATCAACTAAGGAGATCGGAAAGATCCCCTTGTATATAATCCGGGAATATCCCGCTGACTTTGAAGTGACAGGCAAGGCCATTAGCTGGACGGCCAGCTATCATCACTCGGCCGTTTATGTGGCATTTTCACTGAGAAGTCTGGAAAAGTGTCACTACTCCGCCCCAACCAACGAGCCCCCATAGGGTCGTGCGGCGGATCGACGTCCGAAAGCCTCCTGTCGATAAAGGATGGCTTACAGTACGTCGCTGGCCTGCACAATGGATCAGCCCTCGTCGTGGGGGGAAACCCGCCTACTTAGCTCCTTGCTCGCGCAGGTACCCGCCGCGACGAAGTATGACAGGCGGGTCGGGAGATACCACGCATCACTCGAACCCTTCCATCCGTCAGTCCAAGGGGACAAGCCTCTCCCGAAACGGCCAACCATAGAGAGCTGCAAACTAGGCCAAGCCCGAATCTGTAACCACCAATGACTTGCCGCAATGCTAATCTATGGTGCGGAAGCTTCGGATGTCTTCTGCGAGAAGGCTACTTGCACTGTGGTGTTACAATAGATAGACGGGGGATTATTCAGACAACGATTGGCAAAGCACGATACGTAGAGGGCCGTATCCCCCAGCCATGCAGCCAGCCTTATGAGGACTTCGACTCCACCTCGTCCACCCACTCGGATGTCTCGAGGTGAGAGTCTCCATGATGGCCAAAGACTGAGGGGGCAAGGAGCATTCGCACGCGAACGGCCCCGTGCACCAGCGAAGCGGTGCTGGAGTCTTGAACCCTGATTAGATAGGGGCCCTAGAAACCGGCTTTGCATCATCCTGGTGTACACCCATCCATCAATACAGTGTATGAGTGTCGTGTTGGTGCGTGATTCGGCGACATGCAGATTCCCAGGTGGCCCCTCATAATGGCCAACGGTCCTAAGCATACAGACGTAGAACTTACACATATTGCATATATCCGTACAATTGATAAGGTTGCGCCGGATCCTTTGTTTGTTGGCTGAGCTGCCTTGCTTTGTCGTCGTGTCCGTCGGGATCTTTGACTCCCCGTGCGGTCCGGACGGAGACGGAGCCGGACCTGGAACACACGGCAGAATCCGAGACTCGGAGGCACCACACAAACAGCCCCCTCCTGCGTGTAACTACCTACCTAAGGTACTCTACACGTGTATCTTCTTCTGCGCCCGGCTGAAGAGAACTTCGTCCGCAGGAATCCTGTCGCGTATACGACCTTGCCACCTCCAAGTCCGACAAACTTGATCATCTCGGTTGATTGAGCCTTGAGGTAGGTTTCGGTTCTCGCAGAATCAACACCCCAACCAACTCCTAGTATTCACGACACACAAGGCCCATGCAGGAATCAAATCTGTTGCGTACAATATCTTGCCGGAAGCACCGGACGCTGCGGACTGATACTTACATGTGTACAGTACGAGGAGGGGTGGTCAACCATGGTCGTCGACCTTCAGCTGCACCAAGTTGCTCGGTAACGGACTGTGTCTGGTTTAGACCCCCCGCAATCTGGGGCGCAGCAACACCTTCCCGGCTTCTGCAGCAGCCATAAACAGGACAACTGCATGTTTTGAATTCTGCTGCGAGCGTCTAGGCCAAGCAGATCGGCCAAGCAGATCGTGGACCCAATCGCCCACTCACCTCGAGCGTCAAAACACGCGTTCAGCTTGTGTGGAGGTAGGTTGCGTACACTCATGAGTGAGCAGATAAAAAAGTCGAGTTGCTCCAGTTTGTCGCAGGCTTACGACGCTGACGGGAGAGAAGTCGCGCACACGAGAAGCGGCGAGTCAGGGGTGGTCTGGATTGGTGGTTCAAGTTCCATGCAGTTCTCGTCCCACACCTCTGACCAGAACTGCATCCGGAAACCAAATAAGATCTGGATGCCCGCCGCACACCTTCGCTCGGGTTCTTTTGCTGGAGGCTTCTGACCAGGGCACTCTGCTGTGGACCCAATCTCCTTTATTTATTGTTGCATTCGAAACACTCCTGCCGTCTGTAGCTCCACGAAGCGCTATACCTACACCGACTCCCTCTCGTCGTGTTTCCCCGTTTGATCAGGCCTCTTTGTCTGGCTTCAGTCTGAACCCATATTGGTGCAAACTCCCCTACACAGTAGTAACCCTGGATCACACCTTGGTTGGATGACAGCTGCACCAGTTACCGTTAGCGCCAATCTGCGTCGCACATGCAAGCCTATTTTTCGAAAGGAAACTAAAGGCTCGTATTTGACACGGGCCAAAGCTTCCAGCCATCGGCATTTACGACGCACCATATTCGATAGAACCCGTCGATACCTCTGCATTGGAAAGTTCTTGCCCTAGGACCTCGCCAAGAACCTGGAACAAATACAAAACAACCATCTTCTCTGCTTTGGAAGTTTTCAATTTGTGAGCTTGGCGTGAACCTGGCGCTGACGTCAGTGAGCTGCTGCGAAAACGCTCCCTGTCACATCGACTCTGCCATCTCCACAAGCCGCGCGCTCCGGGGTCATCAGTGGAGATCTCGCTGGCGGCTTCCTTCTCAGACCCCCTGCAACGAAACTGGAAGTTGAATTCGATCCTCGCTTGGGCGGACCACTCGAAGGCACCTACGATCGAGCCTTGTCGGTCTCCAGAATTTCCGTTGAGAAATCTGCCGACAGCCGAAAAGACCTGCCTACCCCTTATCTTCAGGTCAGCTAGCCACCTCGTCAGCCTCTCCTGTTGCAGCAGGAATCTCGATCTCTCCAACGCAACAACCTGTCTCTGCTCCCCAGGAAACCTCCATAATATCTGGACGGCGACGAACTCCCAAAACCGCGCTTTCCATTGATCCTCAGTTGAAGACCTGCGACAGGCTCTTGTGGGGTCCTCTGGTCCTGCAGAGGCCGCTGAAGCAGACAGGGTCATATCTCGGCAGCCAGGATTCACAATCCTCAACACTCCACTTCGATCTGCAAGCTACAAGCTCCCTGGTCGGCTCTCTGACGAGCTGCTAATCGCTATCACGGCCCCAGCGCTCTTGCGCTCACCCCTGACAACGAGACTGGGCCTATACTAGAGGATTAATAAGTCGTGGCGGCTCCCCGACCGACAACATGGCGGTCGCAGACAACCACCCTCCACCCACTTCCGCCTACGGGTTGCACCAAGAACACCCGCAACGGACGCCCCAGGCACAGCCAGCAGAGCAGAGGCCGGCTCACAAATCGAGGAAGTCTAGGGCGTTCAGCTTCAAATCGGACAAATCTCACAAATCTCAAGGCTCTGGCAGCCATAAGATCGATAAGCTCGATTTGCATGAGACATCCGCCGAGAAGGAAGCCAAGAGACTGCACAGTAAAGCAGATCCAACGCTCGCCATGCAAGAAGCGGAGCCTTGTGCGTACTTCGTCTGAACTGCCATTCTGCGCTGCTTCGACTAACCTAACTTCAGCTGAGGTGGCCGCCATGGTCAAATCCTCTCTGGCGCCTCTAAGGGCCATCCAGCACAAGGACGCTTTCGGCAACCCAATTGGTACGGCTTGAGACTCATTGCCGGGATTATGGCCCAGGGCTAACCTGAGCTCCACACAGCCGATCCGGACCTTTCCAACCCAACCCGTAGCAGATGGGAACGTCCGTTGGACACGATTCGAAGTTTTGAGGCGGCGATTGATGGTGGATACAGCAACCGTAGGTCCATAATTGGTCCAGGTCGGTATTGATGGAACCGTCGACAGCGCAGATGAGACGGTTTGTTTGCTGACTATCTCCACTGTACAGAGAGCGATGGGCCCACATGGGGTTCCAGCCGGCGAGCTAGTTACTATGGTGGCAGTATGTTTCCCCCTTTGACTTTGAGTCAGGCCTCGTGCTTACTCTCGGTTCGCAGATGGAGGCGGCGGCCGGTTTACACACGACAGCTACTATGGAAGCCGCCCGGCTTCCATGATGTACGCTAACCGGGGCGACGGGAGTCAGCCAGATCTGAGATTAGGGGGCAATGGACAACGGGACAGTTATTACGACTATCAACCCGGACCTTCGGCTCCGAACGGGCGGCGGGGTTGGCCGAGGACGGGCTCGGAGCCGCAGTTTTCCTCTTCCTCGCGACAACAGAACCCTCAGGGCTATCCAGGCCCTAGCAATCACCGGTCTTACGAAACAGTCACCACTGCATCCGGGAGCGGCTCCTTGGGGGAGCCAGCGGGCTACCAGACCGACCCCACTAGCAGCGATAATGGGTCAATCGACCGCGTGCAATCCGTACCCAGGCGACAGCCCGGGCCCATCAACGACTACGGCATTGGCTTCAGTCCCAGTCCTTCCTCCTATCAGCCGCCTTCGTTTTCAATGGGCATGCAGGGTTCCAGTACGAATGGCGGAAGCGGGCCGGTCAATTACGGGGGGGCCGCGCCACCTGTCCCACAGAAAGAACCGGCGCCAGTGCTGAGGAAAGCGGTGACGGCCGGTCCCATCCAGCAGCAGCAACAGCAGCAACAGCGACCCGTTCAGCCCGAAAAGCGAAAAAGCTGGTTTACGCGACGTTTCAGCAAGCATTAGTAGTGCTGATTTCTTGTTCTTCGGCTCGGACCGGTAAAGATTTCGTTTCTCTTCGCGTTTTCGTTGTTTCGATACCCATTATTCTCGACCATCGACAATCCGAGGAAGTCGGCCGGACTCGGCCCAAGACGTTGTGTGGTGAATATGTCTGTATTTTCGACCGGCACAGGGATGGAGTTGCTGTTCATGGGAACGTCGGCCACTCCGGAAAGTTGGTAGAAGGGGGAGTCGGAAGGGTGTGGGGGGTATTGGACACTCACGACGCAGGTCCCATCCGGAGGTTACGGGCACTACGGAAGAGGGCCGAGATGATTTTCCCGACATAACGTGCGGGTATCAATGAGTTACGGGCGCATGAGTTCTACAGAGGTAATGAAGAAAGTCATGAGATGGGCTTGGAGGTTCATGTCAGCAGTTGGGTTTGGCTCTGTGGGTTTGGCTCTGTCACTTCGCTGTCGCGTTTTCCCTTAATGTTCATATCATCTATGTGTGTGACACGACGCAAGAATGCACCACGATGGCTCTGTGCTGTACAAGAGTGCCTAGTAGTCTATACGGATATATCTAATTACCGTATCGTAACTAAGGTACTAGTAATGGGCACGTGGTATGCAGAGAGGAAGGGGTCTGCTTCTGAACAGTCCTTGACCTCCTCTTGATGCGCTGCATGTGCTGTGCTTGTGATTTCAACAAGTGCAACATGAGACAATGTACCTAGGTACCTAGTTACATATCTGTGTTGCGGTCAAGACCGAGACCCCAGTAGAAAGATGTTGTCGGTCGCTTCACAGGAACCGTAACCAGCAAACCGGAACAGAAAACTTGTACAAGTTTACATGGAGATAAAGGAGCTCGTTCACCGGTTCTTCTTCCCCTCTTTTGACGTCCCGGCACCTCCTTGCTGCTGTTGCTCCGACTGATCCTCGGCCATAGCAACAAAGATGTACCCTATGAGTACGGCGTTGGCCATGATGGCTGCGAGAGCACCGGCGTAGGTGGAGTTGCCTGGGAGGTGTCAGTTACTTGCGCAGTGCAAGTTCACACACACTGCATGGAACAGGAGTCCAGTCGAGGACGCCGCTGAAGGCGTAGGGTGGCGAAGAGAGTGGAACCGCGCACCGTTGAAGACTGTGTTTACTGTGACGAAGTATGACCCAATCGGAATTACGATCATGCCCAGGGTGAAGGCGAGTAGTTTTAAGATGACGGAGCTGTGGCATCACATACGGGTTAGCGCGGTCGGAGCTGCGTAATCTCAGGTCGTTGTGGGTTTTTTTTTTGCACACATGGGAACAGCTGGGGTGATGTTGGACTTCTCGTTTGCTGCTGGGCTTGAGCCGATGCTGTCGTCTTTCTCGAGCAGGGTCTTCTCCTCGGAGATGATTCTACGGGTGGCCATGGTTGTGTATCTGTGTTGACTTTGAGGTGAGATTGGCGGAGGGCTGTGAAATTGATTCGAGAGATATTGAAACCAAATTCACACGAAACAAACAGAGTTAGCCGTGAATTTGTCTTCAACGAGTCCGAGTGTTGCTTGAACCGTTCGCTGGGCGAAACAAATGACAACCTGGAAGCTGCGAGGTCGGGATGGCTTGTTTAATTGATATTGGTCAATGCACGTGGCAACGTGACGGAACGTGCGCCAAGCGCGGCCGCGTCCATTGTCGACCCAAAAAAACGCATGTGGAGCGTCATCTGGTGTGTGCGCCCGCGAATGAGCTTGGATTACGGAGGTGTTGCCCAACTTCAGAATTGTTGATCAATTCGCTAGACGACCGCGGTTTTGGTTTCTCACAACAACTAGCTCAATTTTCGCCTCCCAAACAAACAAGAAATGCTCTCTTCTCAACTTCCATTCTAAAACTTCGTATCACAAGGTTTTCGACCAAGCAAGACTCGCAGTTTTAAACCCTTCAACCAGCGAGCTTTCTTTCTTGTCTTCTGACTTCTAGTAGTTCGAGGCTCCTCCGTTCTCTTTCTACTTCCTACCGACTTGCTCATTCTTGGGGTAGAACTCCAATTCAGTTTCCCACAACAATGGAATTCTCTTCGTCACCACCGACCGCCCGAGACAACGATGTAGACGAGTTGAATGTAGTATCGCAATCGCCGTACTTTACGCAACCGACACAAGTCGTCGAACGGCCCCCTTCGTCACCAAAACAAATCATCGAGGTGCCTGCCTCGTCCCCTTTCAGACCTCAAGCCGTCCAACAACGCGCGGGTCGAATCGCAAACCTGATGGCTCCTGCCGGGACCACCTTCAGGGCTCCTGCTCGGCAAGCGCTGCCAATCCAGAAGAGCGCGCCGAAACGTCCGTTCATTATGATCTCGGATGATGAGTTGGACGCACCGATCTATGCCGGCGGTGATTCGTCAGATGACGAAAAGGAGACATCCAGGGCCGACATACGTCCTTCTTCGTTTGCGCCCAAGCGACTCAGTACATCGCATGGCACAACAGGGGTACAAGCCCGTGTAGGCAAAATCGTGAGTTATTCCGGAGACCCCTTTGTTTTCCGCGCTCTACAGAGTTTACAAGCAGGCGAGCTGACAAGATCCAGGAAGCAAAAAAGGCCTCCGCGAATCCCATTACGAGTCCTGAGAAGTCATACACTCTCCAAAAGGATTGGGTGTCAGTTCCATCTTCCTCAGATGAGAGTTTGGAGTCTCTGAGGCCGCAGCGGCCCCCCAAAGCAACTCGCCGGCGACTTGTGCAAGGGTGCCGGCCACGGGCTTCGAGCCCGTCGAGCCCGGTACTTCAACGTAGCCAAGATTCGGCACTCATAGACCTCGTTAGCGACGACGAGGGGAATGAGGGTTACAAACCGCCGAAGGCTTCCTCACAGCGCGGTTCATCCCCGGAAACCGAAGAAGAGGACTCGCTTGATGACCGAGTCCTGAGGTACCTCAACACCTGCGATGTTGTTCAACTCATCGCAATGGCCAATGTCAAAGAAGAGACCGCAAAGGCCATGGTATCTCGCCAGCCATTCGCCAATCTGGACGCGGCTCGCAAGGTCACCCTGCAAAAGAAACGGGGCCAAAAAGCGGCCAAGGCCTCCATTGGCGACGAGATTGTCTCGGCAATCGAGTCCTACGCCCACGCCTTGGATGCTGTTGACCACATCATCGAGGTATGCGAAAAGCAGGCGGAGACCATCAAGTCGACTACCTCGCGGTGGAACGTCGACCAGACAGGCCAGCCTCGAAGCGAGTCGATGTCTGACGATGGGAAACCAATGACTCCCATGAGCATTGCAGATTCCGCGAAGTCAATTGAAATGCCTCTGGGTCAGCCGAGACTTATGGAGGGCTGCACAATGAAGGCCTTCCAACTATACGGCCTGAACTGGCTATATCTGCTTTTTAAGAACCGGTATGGAGCTATTTTAGCCGACGACATGGGCCTCGGCAAAACCTGCCAAATCATATCTCTCATGTGCGCCATTGTTACAGATTGGGAAAGCAATGGACAGAAAAGTGGCGAGCGGCCCTGGCCGAACGTCATCTTCGTGCCCCCGTCCACATTGGCGAACTGGGCCGCGGAGTTCGAGAGGTTCGCTCCGAAGATCAAAGTCACCCTCTACCAGGGCAGTCAATTCGATCGAGATGAGATTGCCGCGGAGATCCTCGACGACCCCTCAAACCACCATGTTGTCCTGACCACTTATTCGCAGGTGTCGCGCAAGGAGGACATCTCGAACCTTCGCCGACTCCGACCGATAGTAGCCGTCTTCGACGAAGGTCACAAAATGAAAAACCCGAAAACAAAGCTCTACAGGGACTTGCTGCGGGTGACCGCTACATGGCGCCTAGTCCTCTCCGGAACCCCCATACAGAACAACTTGATGGAGATGATTTCCCTGCTCCAATTCGTGGAACCCGACCTGTTCCAGGCCCATTTCGAGAACTTGCAAGCGCTGTTCAACCAGAAACTCTCTCTGGCGGATGTTTCCAAGGGAGCGCTGTTGCATAGCGAGCGGGTTCCACGTGCGCGGACCATTTTGGAGCCGTTCATCCTCCAGCGGAGGAAAGAACAAGTGCTCAAGGACTTGCCGCCCAAGACAACCAGGGTCGTGCTGTGTAAGATGGATCCTGTGCAAGAAGCCCTCTACCGGGAGTACGAGAGGCAGTTCAAGAAGTCTAGCTCGCAAGAGTCGACCCCCCCTCGTGCCAAGGAGGGTAGAAACAACGACACGAATAATGTTTGGATCCAACTGCGCAAAGCGGCGATCCATCCGCAGCTGTTCCGTCGGTTCTATAAGGATCATGACGTCTCGAAAATGGCGAAGATCCTTATGAAGAAAGTCTCACAATCAGAGTTGAGACAACCAAATTTGAGCCACCTCACCAACGAACTGAAAGCTTTATCCGACTTTGAGCTGCATCTCTGGTGCAGGGACTACAAGTGGATCAAGGACTATGATCTTCCCAGCGGTTCTTGGATGGAGTGCGCCAAAGTCAAGGCACTTCTTGGGTTGATCCGGGAGTTTCAGGCCAACGGGGACCGCGCACTTGTCTTCACGAGGTTTGCCAAGGTGATTGAGATTCTGGGGGAGTGTCTCGCCTCGGAAGGAATCGAGTACTTGTCGATCCAAGGGAACACCGATGTCAGTTCAAGGCAGGAACTGATCAACAAGTTCAATGCCGACGAGTCCATTCCCGTGTTCCTCCTGACGACAGGCTCTGGTGGTACGGGCGTCAACCTGACGGCTGCCAACAAGGTCATCATCTTTGACCAGTCGGACAATCCGCAAGACGACATCCAAGCGGAGAACCGGGCCCATCGACTTGGGCAGACTAAGCCGGTCGAGGTCGTCCGGCTGATTAGCGAGGGCACCGTGGAGGAGTTGGTCCATAAGGCGTGCGAGAAGAAGTTGGAGCTCGCTAACAAAGTGACGGGCTGGAGCACGGTCGAGATGACATCAAGTGAGATGGAGTCGGCTGTGAAGAACGAGCTGCTGCGGCAGATTGCAACAACGCCTCCGAACGACGACTGAAAGGTTCGCCTCTTGGTCGACCATCTTTTGTCAGGCATAGTCCACTTTTCAACATGTCAATCATGTGGCGGCGATCACTGTGTTGAGGGAGGAGCCCCAAAGGACTGTGCGACATTCCATTCACCACCACGGAAAAACTCGAGCTCGGTTTTTGACGATATTGCGGCATATAATGCCGGTATCGCTGTCTGTGCTGCGACACCCAGCGGTATCAGAGCTTGCTTTGTTTCCGGCGCTTCGTGGCTCATCAGGGATTTATCAGCGAGGGCAGTTCTGCTTCAGACTCATGGCGTTTGGGAATGGTTAAAGATATACAAGGGCAGCGTCAGCCACGCAAAAACGGAGCGTGCTATGATGCCCCTCTGAGACAGATGTAACTAGAGATGGGAATGGTTCAATTTTCATACGGGAAAGGTGTTCACACGGGAAGATTCTCTGATGCCAACACTTCACATAGAGGGCTAATTTAGGGGCATTCAGAGATAGAATTAGCGGATCTGTAATTAAGTGCTATCCGATGGCAAGGTTGTGTGCGCGTCTCGGGTGACACGGACGTTGGTGCTTGTGTGCGGACGAGGGACAACAAGCCCAGACAGCGGATCTTGGGATGGATCCGGTTCCACCTGCGAAAGAAGTAGCGGAGGTGGTGGCTCAAGACATATCCTCGCGATTTGAAGTCCAACCTAAGTCTCGAAGGCTATTATATAGCATGCAGTGATCTCAAATTCATTCCGCAGGCTCTGTCGTTAGGTTGTGGTCGAGAAGACCCATTCGGTTAGGGAGGAAACCACCAAGTCCTCTTGGTATTGCATTTGACGGCACAGGTAAGAACAACAAAGGCCGGGCAGCCAAACAGACGTGGTAAAACGTATCAAACTGGCCAAAACAGTGTTTTCTGGGCTTTTTGGGCCATTTTACATAGTTCCATAGATTCGGGAACCTCGAGTTACCCTATTCCAAGTGCCCGTAGTCACATGCGCGTACGCGATAACCCTGTCCGCTATGGTATGTCAACCGGGTTCGCGATATGGTAGGTCGATGGCATTTGCGATCGGGTACGTCGACGGCATTCGTGATACGGTATGTCGGTGGCAATTGCGATGTAGTAAGTATATTAACCAAGTTAGTAGAGTAGTGCCATGCGAACAGAACTAATATATTATATTATAAGCCTACCGTAGATAGTTAACACTAGTATACTATATTGTGAATGCCATTGATATACCGCAGCGCGAACCCGGCTGATATACCGTATCGCGAATGCCACCGACATACCGTATCACGAATGCCGTCGACGTACCCGATCGCAAATGCCATCGACCTACCATATCGCGAACCCGGTTGACATACCGGATTGCGAACCCAGTCAGGGTAATACGCGCGTGTACATGGTATATTAGATGCGCAAATGGCTAGAATACCGTAATTCGAGGCCCTAGAATCCATAGAAATGCAATAAATCTATCAAACCCTTCAAAAATGCTCTGTTTTGGCCAGTTTGATGCGTTTTACCATGTCTGTTTGGCTGCCCGGCCTTTGTTGTTCTTACCTGTGCCGTCAAATGCAATGCCAAGAGGACTTGGTGGTTTCCTCCCACAGAGGCTGACGGCTTGTTCTGCTAGCCCCGCTCGGTAAAGCAGCCGGAATGTGGGGAAGCTACCACGCCTGCACGCAGCAGGCTCCATGACGCCACCTTGACTTTCACATGCTCCCTCTCAGGCGCGTACACTATTGTACATGTATGCACAATACAATGGTGTGGTCCACGTCCCCACAGTATAGGTACCTACCTAGGTAGGACTCGCATCTCATTCTCGCCTTCCCATCTAGCATGCGGGCACTTACACCTAAGATGGGAACAACAAACCCCAGCAGTTGTGTTTTGTTGGATCGAAGGACTCATCTGCACCGCTATCAGGAGGAGTGCTCTGTTCCCCTGGATCGTTCAGTTCTCTCTCTTCTAGATCCTGCACTCGCTTCTCAGCATCCACAGCCCTATAGTCACATCCTACGCGTTTGATATACATATCGAACTGGTATTTGCATCTACAGAACTCTACTACGCTCGACTTGCCCGCCTCGGCGCCCAAGATGGCAAGCTTAATTGCGACACTCTGGCAGTTCTTCACAGTCGTCTTGCAGACGCTGTTCGATGTGCTTCTCTTCTGGGTTCGCGTACGTTTATTTCCACTGCTGCCAATCTCCAGCCAGTGTTACTGATGGGCAACACTTTTGTTTGCAGAAACTCGGAGAGCACTGGTTCCGTCCCTCGGCCTTTAGGAGGTTGCTAGAGGCGCTCCAGAATGCGACCACGTACGAGCAGTGGAAGGATGCGGCGATGAAGCTGGACACCCTCCTCGGCCTCGACATCTGGCGCAATAACCCGACAAGCAAGGACTACGACTTCCGCCTCATCAACGATCGCTTGTCGCTTATTGACCATGCACGTCGGGCAGGGGACGTCTACGGGCTTATCAACGCGCTCCGAGCCGGACTTGTCCGGAACCTAGGCAACATCAACAGCCCGAAGCTTTTCAACAAGGCCTTTGCCGGCACCAAATACCTCATCCACGAGTACATCTCGCAGTATGTTGATGCCATCGAGGAGCTGACCTCTCTGCCTCCGCCGGAGGATTCGGACACGGATCTGCTGGGCGGAGGGACCATGTCGCCGGATTACGAGGACGGCGAGATCAGCGGAGGCGGGTTTGGAGCGGAGCCGGTCGGCCACCCCACCCGTAATAGGAACCGGCAGCGCACAGGCGGCATGGCGAACGCCACGATGTCGGCACAGAACAAGCTCGACTTCATCCACGACTCGAGGCAGGGATTCGGGCGGACCGCTCTGGTACTCCAGGGCGGAGCGATCTTTGGTCTGTGCCATCTCGGCGTCGTCAAGGCCTTGCTGCTGCAGGGTTTGCTCCCTCGCATCATTGTCGGGACCGCAACCGGGGCGATAATGGGCGCCTTGGTCAGTGTCCACCCCGACAAAGATCTCCTTCGGATCCTGAACAACAGCGAAATCGACGTCTCTGCGTTCGCCAGCCATGGCAGCGATCCGGCCAAGCACAACGTAGAGGTCCGGCAGTCGATGTACACCCGGTGGGAGACGCTGCTTAGGAGGATACAGCGGTTCCGGAAAGAGGGCTACTTTCTGGACGTCACGATACTGGAGGAGTGTGTCCGGGCAAACATCGGCGACCTGACCTTCGAGGAGGCGTTCAACCGCAGTAAGCGGATCCTCAACATCACGGTCGTCCCGGCCGGCCAGGAGGGCCTCCCAACTCTTCTGAACTATATCACCGCCCCTAATGTGGTATGGCCCCTGGTTGATACTGGCAGTTCCTTTTTTTTTATTCAAAGTCAAGCCGCTGACGAGGTGACACAGCTGGTTTGGACCGCCGCCGTTGCTTCTAATGCTTCGTCGTCCGCCTTCTACGGACACAGGCAAACCAAGATCATGTGCAAGGATGCCCACGGGAACATTACTCCCTGGTCGCATACCAACGAGGTCGACTTCCGGCACTGGACGCTGGCCAAATACACGGGCCGTGACGCGCCGCTGCCGCGCGTGGCGCGGTTGTTCAACGTCAACCACTACATCGTCAGCCAGGCGCGGCCCTACCTGGTCCCCTTCCTCCAGAGCGACATGCACGGCCCCTCGACGATCGGCAAGCGTAACATGCTGACGGCCATCAAGGCCTTTGTGATGCGCATGGTCGGCCTCGAGGTGCGGCACCGGCTGCGGCAGATGGACCGGCTCCGGCTGCTGCAGCCGTCGATCCGGCGCTTCCTCGTGGACGAGCACCTTCCCGGGCCCAGCATGACGCTGGTGCCGCAGATCTCGCTGCAGGACTTTGCGCGGCTCATGGAGACGCCCACCAAGGAGACGGTGGAGCACTGGATCCTGCGCGGCGAGCGCAGCGTGTGGCCGGCCGTGGCGGCGCTCAAGGCCCGCTGCGCCATCGAGATGGAGCTCGACCGCGCCTACCAGGACGTGCGCCGCCTCAAGGCCGGCGACCTCCGCCGTCGGGCCAGCGAGATCCCGGCGCTGGCGGAGCAGCAGTTGGATCAGCAGCACGCGTCCGCGTCCGGGGGTGACGCTGAGCGCTAGGGGCGCAAACGCCGGCAGCTGGCGGGGGCGTGGAGCTCGGGTGTTTCGATAACGGGCTCCGCAGTTGTGCTTTGACTTTTCATCCTTGGTTTTCGGTTGGGGTAGAAAACCGGTGTGGTCTTTCGGGCCGGGAGGATAGGGGCAAGGCGTAGTTATGGCTTACTCAGGGGTGTGGGCGGCGTTGGTCGGTTGGGTTCTCCCAAGCTATGTGTTATATTATATAAGTATGCTCGGTCCGTCAAACGGGTTGGCTTGATACAAATATACCTTGTCGGGCTGCTTCCAGTCCCCGTTCGATTGCGTCAGCTGTAATGCTGGGCGGAGGGAGTGGCAGATTGATTTATACGAAAGAGATGGCCTTTCGGGGCTATGATGCTCGGTCCCAAGGGTCCATGCCATATCACCCCGCTCTATGTATGAAGGCCTAAACCTAGTAGCACTCTAAGGTCTAGGTAGATGGAGAGGGCTAGTTGCCAGTATCAGGTCGGCGAGAGATAAAATTATAGCAGCCGCTGAGCCCGTATCAGATCATCCATCCCATCTCGTTCTTCCCATATTCCCTGCTTATCTATCTCATCGTCCACTTATTCTATTGCAGAGCTCCTTGCAACCGAAACCGCCACGGCAACATAGGTAGTACGGATCTGTCTTGAGGGTCATACAGTGCAGATGTTGTCAAACTTATTACTCGTCTTCGTTCAGGCTTGCTCCGACTGATTCGACGTCAACGTAACGAACCTTCAACAGGGTTTGTATTTCACACAAGGCTTGTGACACGCTTCTACCCTGCTGAGGCGGTCTGCTATAAGTATTGCAGGTGTAGGCTCGTAGGGTACCTAAAGTAACGCTAACGATGGAAGCATGAGACGGTTAGGAGCCAAACTAAACTTTGCTACTGCATGTGGCTTTTTGTCTGATTTGACCCAGGATGATAACTGTTAGATGAAGAGAAGTCCCGCCGACCCGCGGCTGCAACCGACTGGCTTGGAACCGGAATTCGGTGGCCAATGGTGAGTATGGCTAGAGTGTTGCAGGCAGAGAGGAACCATCGTGGCCCACTGGTTTCAAGCTGGAGGACTTCCAAATCTCGACCTCTACAACTCCTGACAGACGCCATCCCGGCCATCCCGCCCATCGACCCTGCCGGTGAAGGGATAGCTGAACGACCCGGCCTCCTGTGATATGATATGGCGGCGTTGAGTGTATGAGATGACAGTAGCCCCATAAAGCGATGCAGGTAAATCTCAAATGTCTCACGCAGCGCACTAACATGGGGCAGATTTACTACGGGTAGCAGTAGTGCAGCATATCCCGCTGCTTATGCATATATGTGCAACGCTAGGAGAAAACGATGGATGCGGCCGGGAATCCGGGATAATGTTAACTAGTAGTGATGGAATGCGGCCAGTCTCATCCATTGGGTCCATTGAGGCATCAGGGACACCTTACAGGATAGGCTGCCCTGCCGAACGGAGTTTGCTCCGGCGCGAAAGAGGGGCAGTGTAACGGCAGAAGTTCAGAAAATGCCAAAAGGCGCAGGACGTGCATGTGCCCAGACTTTCAGAAGGGGATCTCGCAGCCTACCATCACAAATGTCTTGGTATTGCTTAAAAGTGAGTGAGTCAAAGTGCGATGAAGAGGACGGAGCGGGCGGGGTGGCACCCGGGAGTTCCTGGCAAGGCTGAGGGTACACTGGACACATCCATTCCTTGACGTCTATAGAACATGCACTTTAGAAAGTGGTATGGTGTGCGAGCGGGCACTTACAAAGTAGGGATCTGCATAATTACTGCACCAAACGGGGGTTATCAGGCTCACTGGAGGAAGCACACATGGGCTTGAGGATTCATTTGAAGCGGTGAACGACACTCTCTCAGATTTGTCTACTTCTAGGTAGTCTGTTTCGGCTCGAGCCATGTCCGAACAAAATGCATTACCGGCCTACCTCGATCATTGGTCGATCGTTGAGCGCCAAGCTGGTCCTTACGTGGCGTCATGGCATCGTATCGTCAAGGGTGGGAGATTTGGCTGGGCGATCGGACGGAGAGACTCCCCCACTTCCTTCTATTTGGTCTGCCGTTTCTTGACCCTGGCAGTCAGCTTTTGTTGAACGGTCGACAAGCGCCTTGCTGAACAATCGCCTTCGCCGAAATATGCTAAGGGATACGAATGGTTACGTGCAGTATTCTACGCAGGTTGAAACCATGTCTAAACCCTCAGGTTTTTTGGGCGTCCAGCTCCCTAATCTTGACAACACGGCCCAAATTCCGAGGGTTTGTCAAGCTCAGATTCGGCTTGACACTCGAGCGGCATGCGGGCAGGGCCAGAGCGCCAGGAACGGTCCGCCCAAACCTACTGCCATGCATCATGTTCGGTGTGTGGTCATGAAAATGTTGATTGTTGGAATTCCAGGAACAAGGCTTCAAGGTTTACAGGGATGCAAAGGAAATGTGGATTTGTCTTGCGTACCTTGTGTGCTGGCCCCGGTTTGGCTGAGAATCGCCGCTGCGCAGCAGATGCTTCAATTGGCTGCTCAGCCGTTGTCGAAGACGCAATGGAAGCTTTCAAGTTGTTCTCGAAGCTCAGGCAGACCGGGATGCCCTGTGACATGCTTCACTGACACGACCTAGTGGGGCTGGGCTGGTGGGTCGTATTTCCGAAGGCTGGGGGATCTGCGTTCTGCACGAAACTCTTTTGAAGTTGTTAGCGCGGAACCGATGACAGGGGTCTTGAATGCACTTCGAGGCAGCACAGGTACCAGGTAAATCGCCAAAGGGGGTTAGATCAAGGCAGAACGATCACTATCTACCCAGCAACGATCAGAATGGGTTCTTTCCACCCCTGCTTTTTCTTTTGTTTTTGCAAGGAAACGGCCGTTTTGATGCTGTGACTGAAATCTTGCGGCTGGCCCTGGTCTAGAACTAATGTGGGGCGCTAACGGACAAACAGGGGTCCCACTGTGACTGTCCCACTGGTGGCTCAGAACTGCTTGCTCACCAGGCATTCCAGGTTGACTAGGTATTGGGACATGGTGTAGTTCTGCAGTCCCCTGGGGAATTCGTAATGTAGCCTTTTCTCGATGCACCCTGCAGACTGGTACTTCCCTATAAGGAAGCACTACCACCTTATTAGTGTCGCGTCGTGTGTGCAGTCTGTCCATGCGGAGTACACATAGAACTGTACTATTAGTACCCAATTGCTAACCCAGTGACTGGGTGCGGAAGGGAGGAATAGATCAGTGGATAAAACTGGGTAGAACTGCTTACGAGGCTCGGGAGTTGCGTACAATAACGTTACTACTTCGAGACGAGTCCTTCTTCCCGGGCGGTTCTTTTCGTGGGCCTGGTGTAAGACTCATCAAACCGATTGATTGGCTACCCAGTCAGAGTCATCCTGATCACCCTGTAGCTTCTCCCAGCTCGTCACCTTGCAGTCAGGCCTGAAACCTTCGCATTAGTGCGCTCACGCCCGCCCGCGCCCTTTACACCTCCCCGGACCAACCCGCAACGGGCCCACTCTGCCCTGTCCATCACCTACTGTACTGTGGAATTGCCGCCTGCAGCTGGGTGGTGTATGTAAACTGCACTCTCAATTGGGTCTCGAACTTTTAGCTCTTATTCCGTATTGTTCCTTGTATTACTTTTGTACAGTACACTGACACAGAAGGCCTGAAGTACGAGGAGCCGGCAAAGCAGTGGCCGTGGCACAATCAATCTAACGTTTCGCTTAATCGGGGCCAATTCGACATCAACGAGAACAAGGGCCATCGACTACGGATAGTCCGGTGCCGCCCGATGGATGGCAGGGTCCATTGCCTTTGAGCGTGTCAACCTGGGCGTTGCTGCTTAACTTATGGTGCCCGCACAGGGCAATGGTTGAGCACAAAGCCCCGTCCAACAAAAGCCGTGAGGAGCGGATGCAACCTCCGAGGCCGGCCGAGGCAGGATTCGAGGAAGGCATTACTCACCAAATATCGCCGAACTTGTCGGGATCAAGAGGAGATGAGATTGTATGGAATATGCGGCTCGCTCTCGGAATTGACCATCAGCTTCGCGAACTTCCACGGGCCGGTCTGGGAGTCTGTCACGATCATGATCACTCTAGGTATCCCTGCTTTCTCAGGGAAGGCATTTGAACTTTCGCGCAGCGTTGGCACTGCCTTCACCCCTCCCGCCGCGTTATGATGTCAACTTGCCACACTCCAGACTGCGTGAAATTACTGCGCGCAGTGGGCAGGTCATGCGGACACTCAGCTGCCCCGGCAGCCTTTCTTGAAGTGAATGTAAGGTGGAGCGGCCGATGCAGGAGCTCACCTAGGTCGCCGCGGAATAGTGTCTCTTTGTGAAAGTGAGGCGAGCAACACGGTCATCTGGTGTAGACTGGTCCAGGAGATAACCACTATCTACACATACTGACTATAGGACAACAACAGCACCGCCAAGTTGTCGCCGGTTTCGGTGCTTCGGTCAAGCTTGGAGGGAAGTGCGAAACTTCGATCTAGTGATTTTGTGGATGGGAAGTTGCAAGTTTTGAGTTTCCAGGTTGACAGGAGTGAAGAGAGGGGCGTAGCTTACCTTTCACCCAGTCGCCTCAGGATGCTGGGTAAGCACGTAAGGTAGCACAGTGGATGGTGGTAGTGCTGTGGGAGCCCTGGCATGAAGCTGCTTCCGCCACTACCTCAATCGGGTCTTGCGTGACCCAAGAGGTATCTTACTTACTAGTAGTACGGATTACCTACCTAGGGTGCTCTCCAAGCACACAGCCTGCCCACCCCAACTTAAAGCGCCCCGGCACCTGCGGGCTGGACCCCCACACTAGTATAAGGTAGCCCCTCGCCTGTGCTACCAGGTGACGTTGCAAAGCTGTTGTAGGTGCAGCTATTATCACCCCTCGTCTCGCCTGTTGCCGCGGTCGCTCGTCTACCCCTGCCTCTTTCCGTTTTCGCACTTCCCGTTTTCACCACTGACCACTTTCTGATCGAGAGGACAGATGTTGTCGGTCTTGGCTTGGGACCGAGTATAAGAGGGAGCACTGCCTTGCCCTCCACGGTTCGGTTGCTCTTCCTCCTGTATCTGACTCGCAGACGTGCGTACCAGAGCACCGGGATCTGTCCGCCTCGGTCGAGTTGCTTTTACAACCGCTTCTCTCGTTGACGCTGTGGCACCGATTACAGCCCACCCCGACTCTCGTCGAGTCCAGAAGCGGTTCGCCATACACTGAGCTCCGCTTCTCCTTGCGTCTCTCCCGTTTCCAAGTGAGACACTCCGTCCGATCTGAGCCAGCCAGCGCCAGGCTAATATGTCTGCCCAACGAGCAGCTGCCCGACAGCCATCACGCTCATCCCAAGATGACCGTTCCTATGTCGCCCACGTTCTCCGCCGGCGTCCACACCAAGTCAAGGTCGCCTCAGCGCAACGGCGTCAACATCCCCTCCGGCCAAGTGGCAAACGCCTCGTCGGACGCCAGCTTATCGGCACCCTTCGCGCAGCCCCAAGAAGACATCGACGGCAACAACGACGAGGACGCCGACATCTTCATCCTCGCCGCTCCTGCGCAGAAACCCCACACCAGCGAATCCAACGGCGACTCCTCGTCTACCGAGAGGGCCGCAACGGATGAAACCCCGACGAACCCCTCCGCTGCGCCGTCTCCGCCCGTCGCCCCGGTGCCGGGTTATTCGCAGCTCACACAGACCAACATGGCGCTCCACCAGCGCGAGCTGGCCCAGCTGTACACGCCCACGACGGCCGGCTGGGTGACCGAGGCCGGCATGGGCACCCGGCTGATCCGCTCGCCCCCCCGGAGCGTGGCATACAGCATGCTCACCACCGTGGCCAGCGTCGGCACGGGCGTGAGCGTGGCCAGCAGCGCCGGCGTCGCGGGGCTGGACCGGCTCGAGAGCCTGCAGTCTGGTATGCTGGCCGGGATCCAGGTGTTTGGCGTCGGCGCGTGGTGCGAGGCGCTGGATGGTCTCGAGTGAGTGAGGCTGGTCAGGTTCTGATGTCGGAAAAAAACGGGTTCTCGGGATCGATATATGCTCGGCGAATCATTTCGACTTTTGATCCTGACGCGCGGGACAATAAGGGGTTGAGCGTTGTTCGGTGTTTGGGGGTTATGACGGATCTCGACTCGATCATGGCAAAGGGGTTGACGTGAGGGCAGCGTTTCCGTTATGAGGGTCGGTGGTGGTAGGAATGGGGTTCAGTATCTGCCTCGGGTACGGCGTTGATGCGGATGGTTTGGTGTATTCCTGCTTTTGATGAGATAAGGTACTCGCCACTCCTGTCCTTTCTATCTTGGGTGTTTGCTGGTTTGGTGCTTTTCATCTCATGTCTTCTGCTTGTATATGATGAATGAGCCAAGGCGAAGTACGATGGATAAAAGCCGGATGCAGAAGGACATCGGTCAGGTCAGGCAGGAAAAAGGGGGGGATTCAATACCTTATACTTCCCAGATTACAGTGATCTTTGTGCCAATGGTGAGATGGCCACCACAGGGCAGTATATGGGCGACATCATTGAACCGACTTCCAACGGCGCCACAAAGTGGTCAAGTGGCCACCTCGGTGCACCCACACAAATACCATGGCGCCGTAGACCCTCTCCCCCGAGATGGCCTGGGTTCGATTCACATCGTGCCCAGCGAAACTGACTCGCCAGTTTTTCGAGAACCCCCCTCTGCTCGGGGCGAAGTAAAAACCCTCTGACGGTTTTCGTAGCCACCAAGCTCCCTTGCAACAAATCCGACAGGGAGCTTGGTGGTGAGCTTTTTGTAACCCATCTTTTGTATCCGCCATATTGCATTCCATGTTCCATCCACCAACATGGTGTAACCTGATCTTGCCGTCATGTTTCCATCCATCCTCTATCACCTCACACCTCATTGTTGAGGTGCAAACTCTGGAGGATCAATGTCCGTTTTTTAAAACATTTCCCCGTGTCTAACCCGGGTCCACGGAAGCCGGGTGCGGGGATTCTGGGGATAAACGGGGGACAGGGTTGCATTGCCGACTGCCGAGCCTCCACTTTCTCCACCTATCAAGACCGTTTGTGGACACCACGGCTCTGCCTCGAGTCCACCCGCGCTAATAGAAGCGGCCTTGGTCGACGACGAAGCGATGGAAACGCACAGCAGCCGATTTAGCCTGATTAATGCCACGACACTCTTCGTCCCGGGTTACCGGAATCTCGCATTCAACGGCATCACACTTCACGCCCTCAAGATGGAACGGTTGCAGCGGGTTCCTGCGTCTTGGCTGGAGATAAATAGCCCAGCCGTCCGGGCTGCAGGGTGAGCCTCCGAGATATCGGATGGTGTCGTCGCGAGAGTTTGTGGTAGTTACTTCGATCGTCGCCATGCCTAGCACGTCCGGCCTTCGCGGGTTTTTCGGCCTCGTCCTGAGTGCGACCTTCGTCACCGTCGCCACATGCCACAACCACTGGGTCGATGTTTGGGCTTCCATGCCACAGCAGGTAGAGCCGTATAACCTGCCCAACCCGCCCTATGTCAGTACTCTCTCCGCGTCCTGCAACCCTGCATCTTGCCCGGCGACATGACAAGACCGGAGCGCCGGAACGCTGAGACAAGAACACTCCTTCAAAGGCTTAAACTGAACCTCATACTCACTTGCCTTCGCAGAACGGCACCGACGGGGTGTTCCGGAACACCACAATCCGCCAGACCGTCTACCTCACGCAGGATGCCTCCACCATCCGGCTGCAGTTCAGCAACGCCTTCGGCAGCTCCGATCTGCCCATCACAGCCGCCACCGTGGCCCTGCCCGCGAAGGGCGCCGCCGGCTCGAGCGCCATCCGCACCGACACGGTCCGGTACCTGACCTTTTCCGGGTCGCGCTCCTTCCAGGTGCCCAACGGCGCGCTCGTCGTCTCGGACCCGCTGCGCTTTCCCGTCAAGGCCCAAACCAGCCTGACCATTACAGTGTACCTCGCATCGGGCCAAGCCGGATTCGGCATCACGGGTCACCCGGGCAGCCGGACCTCGAGCTGGCTCTCCCAGGGCAACCTCGTCGCCGCGGCAGACCTCAACTCTTCTTCTTCGGTCACCAACGTGCAGCGCATCGACAAGTGGTTCCTCATCTCCGCCGTGCAAGCCTGGCTGCCGCCGTCTCACGTGGCGCTCGCCATCGTGGGGGACAGCATCACCGACGGGCGCGGGAGCACAACCAACGGCAACGACCGCTGGCCGGACCGGCTGGTCTCGCGCCTGCAGCAGTCCCCCTCCTACCAAGGCCTGCGCGCCATCTCGGTCCTGAACATGGCCGCGGGCGGCAACCGCATCCTCGCCGACGGGCTGGGCCCGAACGCGCTAGGGCGCATCGAGCGGGACGTGCTGGCACACCCCAACGTGCGGTACGCCGTCGTCTTCGAAGGGGTCAACGACCTGGGCACGGCGGCGGCCGACACGGCGACCCAGCGCGCCGTGGGCGACCGCATCATCCAGGCGTACGACCAGATGGTGGCGCGGCTACACGCGGCCGGGATCGCCGTGTTCGGCGCGACCATCACGCCCATGAGCGGGCCGGGCCAGGTGTACGGGGATCCGGCGCGGGAGGCGGAGCGGCAGCGGGTGAACCGGTGGATCCGGACGAGCGGGCGGTTTGACGGCCTGGTGGACTTCGATGCCGTCGTGCGCGACGCCAAGAACGGGACTATGCTGCGGGAGGAGTACAACACGGGGGATTACCTGCACCTGAATCCGGCCGGGTACAAGGCGATGGCCGAGGCGGTCGATTTGAGCTTGTTTGCGAGGTTTGCCGACGGTTCGGACGCCATGGTGTAAGTGCGGCGGTGTTGTGCGTGGGTGTTTTATTAGGGCTAGGCAACGGAGGGGAAAGGAGGGGGGAGAGAGTGGGAAATGGAATGAAGAAAAAGAAACTAATGGTTACCTATCCGTCCATAATAATAAGCGCGACCCGGGAGGGGCCGCCGAGACAAAAGCTCCTATTGGGTTGATCCAACACGATCCTACGGCAACATGCGGTGAGTCAACACCGGGAAGGATAAGGCGGATAAATGCAGGGCAAGAACGGGGACCACGATGCTAGAGGCCTAAGAGGTAGCGGCCCAACTGCCCATACTGTGCGCACAGTATGTGCACTCGAGAAACTTCGCAAGCAATACCCAAACGAAGATTGGATTGGATGGGATAGCCAGGTTTTATGTTTCAAAAGGTCAGACGGGGAATTGACAATAACAACGCGGCACGCAGTCCAATGAAGAGGCAGGTTTTTATATGGTATCACATCACCCTGAAGGCCATTCCGAGATGCCCGCAAACTCCAAAAGGAAAGAGTACCAACGTACAGTGTGGTGCGTCTCCTGATCAAGTCCGAGCACTAATCCGAGTCCTCGCACGCCCGCCTTCACATCCACAGCCGGGCAGTCCCGTCCGCTCCAGCGCTGACGCACCACGGCTCGCGCGGGTGCCAATCGATGTCCAGCACGCCAAGTTTGCTGACAACCTTGTGTCCCTTGAGCATCTTGACCGGTACGATGGTTGGGTTCTCCAACTGGTCGTTCGGGACCTTGCCGTGGAAGATCTGCAGCGTGCCGTCGTCACTGGCATCGGCGAACAACGGGAGTCCGCCCTTGTGGTACCGGACCTGTCGGATGGCCTCACCGTGGAACCTCATGGTTTTGTACGGCCTGTTGGACAGGTCGAGGTCGTGCCAGAGGAGCCGCTTATCATAGCTGCCCACGATCAAGTTGTCGCCGCCTGGGTGAATATCGAAAGATGAAATCCTAGAAAAGACTGTCAGCCAAGCCGTCGTCCGGCGTCCAAAACACTCAGGTCCGCATGAACATACCACTTCGCGCCGGGCTGAACAACCTTGACCAGCTCCAGTTTCTGGAGGTCATAGCACCGGATTGTCCGCTGCGTAGCCACAAAGAACAGCGGCCTGAGGGGGTGGAAGGCCGCGGTTTGCGCGAGGCCGGAGAGCTTCCGGAAGGGTATTTGTGTCAGGTGTTTCGAAAGTGTGTGGATGGCTACTGAGCTTCGCTGTCCGGTGGGTGAGACGGTCGCGAAGTGGTCACCCCTCCTGTGCCAGTTGATGACCTTCACAGTTGCCCGTACCGTGATCCTGATCAGGACCCCTTCGTCTTCCAGCTTCGTGCCTGGCCTGGCCCATTTTGCGGGCGGCTCCTTGCCAGCCGGAAGTGCTTGCTGCTGCCCGTTTGTGGCGTAGCCGAAGCCTGCCGCCAGGATTTCCCTGCTGGCCTGGTCGAGGGCCGGCGTGACGCTTGCGTGTGTCGGAACCATCAAGAAGATGTCTTCACCTGCAGCCGCAGCCAGGATGAAGGAGTCCTTGGTTGGCCTCCACCGGACCGTGTTGACGGGCTCATCGCTACTTAACTTGACAGACCATACTTGCCGGCCTGTTAATAACTCCCAGACACGGACAGTGCCGTCGTCGCCGCCGGTAGCCAACGCAACACCAGTCTATTGCTTTGTTGGCACGGATCCATATTCACGGCGCAGACATAGACATGATGGGGCACTCACTGGATCAATCGCAACGCTCCTCACTCTCCCCTCGTGGCCGCGGAATATCGTCTGCACGACAGTCGGGAAGGGCTTGAGCTCAGACGGCGAGGGTAACTTCGGGAGAAGCGAGTTGGGATCGATGTTGAGTCTGTTCTTCCGCACGCGGGGCGCCAGATAGAGGTCCTGGTGATCGAAACAGTCAGTCTTGAGGGCTCGAAACACAGGTCTCTCAGCCTACATACCATGCAGCGCTCAAACCGTTCCTTGACCAGGCTGCCATAAGCAGGCACTTTCCTCAGGGCATTGTACTTCTGTGGCAGGTACTCCTTCTCCCGCTCCTCCGGGTCCGCATTCTCCCATGCTTCGCGCTCTTCTTTGGTCCTAACACGGGTGTCAGCGGCTCCGTTGGCCCAAGAGGCGCAGCGGAATGTCAACTTACGGTAGGTATTCTTCTGGCGGGTTGTAACTCAAGTCATAACCAGGCGGCGGAAGCTTAGGTGCAGGAATATGCATCGGGTTAGGCGCCTGAGGCTCTTCGTTTTGCCAGAGGTCGAAGTGCGCTTCCTCCTTCTCTTCCTCTTCCCGTTCGCGTTCCTCAGGCGGCTTGTAGGGGAGGATTCTGCCTTCACGAATGGCGCGGACCAACTTCATAATCTGCTTGGCCTCATTCTTGGAAGGAATGAAGCGTCGTTTTGGCTCAGGGGCGCTGCTGAGAGCTGTTGACCGTTAGGAAAGTCTTACTCTATGAGAAGCGTGTGACAATGTACTGACGCATCTTCTCCTCCTTGGAGGTAAACCACTCCACAGTATCGGGGTATGGGTCTTGGAGATCATCTGGCAGCAGACCCATCTGAACCCGCCGAACCAGCTCCAGCTCTTCCTGGCTGCACTTTGGTTAGAACACTTCGCCCACAGCGTGCGGGCCTGGGGGCGTACCTGAGATTGAGCGGATTGCCAGTGTTCACATCCGTCAACCCGGTCCACCCCTTGGGGACTTCAATACTATCGAGGAGACTCTGCAGCGCATCGCCAGTCGCCGGGCGCATGATCTTCTTGCCGTTGATGTCATAACCAATATGTGGGTAGCTGGAGAAGGAAGGGCTTAGCAGAAGAACTCAAATTGCTTGCCTCTTGGGGGGACAAACCTGTCGTAGAAACTCAGGGGGATGTTGCCTATCGTGTTGACCGGCCCCTGCGCGTCTGTGTCGTCGGAATCGTAGACCGGATCAATCTCACTGTGAAGACTGAGTCAGTGCCGGCCGAAAGCTACATGTTCCAATTCAGATAACGCACTCGTAGACATATCGGAGTCCCCCATTGGCATCCCTTTCGATCCTGTAATTCTTCCCTTCTTCGTCGACATCCTCCTTCGGCTTCGGATCGACGCCGGGTTCCGTTATTTCGAGCTCCCCTTGTTGCTTGACGAGCTTGTTCATCTCCTCTTCCTCATCGACATCCGAGGGAATATCGTCGCTGAGGATGCCATCGTCCTCCTCGTTGTCTTCACTCCCCTCGGTGCCTTCGCTCCCGCTGTCGTCGACATCCTCGTCCTCGTCTGCGTCGTCGGACGGAATGTAGTCTTCTTCATCCTCGCTCTGCGACAGAACTCCGTCGAACAGGCCATTTGCGAGCTCGTCGTCGGAATCCGAGTCGGACTCCCTCGACTTTCGCTTCTTCTCCGCCAGTTTTGAACCCATTGAGCCGGTGGATTCTTGTGTCCGTCTGTCCGCAACAACTGCAGCTAGAAAGTCCCGGTCACAGACCAAGACTTAAAACTTTCTGCCAGTTTTATTAACTTTTGGCGGGGAGCTCGCTTCACCGCCTGCGCCAAGTAAATTGATAAGATAATCAACTGTACGGAGTAGCGTTCATGGGTTCAAAAGACAAGCCGATTGAATTTTCTGGAATATTACGGAACTCGCGCGTACGGATTACGCAGGCGCTTTGACCTTTCGGTAATGATACACAGTCCCGACTCCCTACGTGTTCAGCAATACTATGGTTACTGGGCTCACCGTACGGATCCGTACACTGTTTATTTTTACCCCGCTTCCCATCTATCCTTCCTGCCCGATCTCGGCAAGAAGTCAAAGGTCAGATAGAAGAGAACTAACGTAGACTGCAGTTGTATGATATGAAAGGGACGTTTGCTCAGGGTGCGTCAACCGGGAAAACAATGGCGCATGACAGGCGTTACACAAGACTCAGGAGGGCACCTTGATGGGCAGGTCGGGTCTGTAATAATGGAAACCTGCTCATCGAAGGATTGGACGAAAGCGGGACAAAGAACAACTGGCCCCACCTGCCGGTCTGTTGTCCGCTGCTTCTGGATTCGTGACAAATCCACGACTTTAAACACGGCAGGATAACCAACGCCACACCCTCGGAACATTATCATACTATTCAGAAATAACAGCACGCGCGAGACCTTTCCAGCGGGCATTGTCCATTGTACCACGACAAGAACGACGACACGTGGCCCCACGGCAGCCGTTCAACCTGTCGTCGAGTCACGAACAGACCGATCGTCCGGAGACCATTGAGACGATAGATATGGATGGAACCAAATCCTCAGACCAGCCCAAGCGCCGGGCTTGCGACGAGTGCCGTAGGAAGCCATGTGTTCACTTCAGCCTTTCCTATCTAACGGACTTGCAGGAGGTAGAAAGCTCGCCTGTTCCAAGGAAATCGATGGATGCGCCCGCTGCAAACGGGAAGGCATCAAATGCGTTTACTCACCCCAGAAGCGCATGGGTAGACCGAGGAAGCATCGCCCCGTTGAATTGGCGGAGCCTCCGGCTAAGGTTAGTGAACCTCGCGAAGCTCCGACCGTAGAAGCGCCGCCGGTCATCGTCCCCGACTTCGAATTCGATAGCTCCATCGGCATGGACCTGGACCTTTCATTTCTGGACATGAGCGGCGCGGACGTCAACTTCTTGGACCTAGTCGATCCCAACTCACAGTACCTTCCTCCTCCAGCTCAAACCAGCATAGAACAAGGGACTGCCGGATACCAGAAATTACCGCAACTTGGAAACACCCCCGGCGGCGACTTCTGGTCCATGGGCAGCGGTGTTCCTGGCGATATCAACTTTGATGGGCCGCTCTGCGCTTCCACCCCACCCCCAGCACCTGAGATAACCCCCGAAGAAGTCGCGCAGATGTTGTCGGCTGACCTCGAGACATTGCCAAGTCTCTCGCCTCCATCTTCAAGCTCTCCGAGCACACACGGCTCACCGGAATCTGACGGGCCCCCATTATGTGGCTGTCTCTCGAAGCTCTACCTCGCCTTGGCCTCCCTCCAAACCCTTCCTAAAGACGTCAGCGAAGCGATGAGAGTCGCCCGCACCGCCACCAGAATCGCCCACGACACCATCCTGTGCCCAGTGTGCGGCGACCCGCCGATCGACCCGGCCGGCAAGCCGCCGCTACAGGCCTATCAGAATATGATGATGCTCGGCGCACTGCTCCCGTCGCTCTCCAACGCGTACATGCGTATCCTTGGCATGGTGGATGCCGAGGCTGCGGCCGCCGACAAGGACCACCGCAATATCCGGTTCACACTCAGCGGCTACGGCGGGCTCTGGGGCCTCTTGGCCAAGCTGGACCCCGTTGAGTGCAACGCCTCCGAGCGGCTCGAGGGCGCCATGCTTGAGCCGACTCTTTGGCGGCTGGCGGTGCGCGCGCTGCTGAAGATAGACGTGTATGGCATCGACGGCATGACAGCAGATATTAAATGCCGTTTCGGTGACATACAGCAGCCGGGGCTGAAGGACATCATCAAGATGATGGAGGAGCGCTCGCGCCGGCGGCATGAACAGCTGGACGCCATGGTTGCTGCGGGCATTGTGCAGAAGGTCAACTGCGACTATGTTCCGCTTACAGCTACGGGCGAGAAGCCCACGTGTCTGCGGATCATCGACATCGCGAAGCGATCAATGGACGAGTTGGTTATCCCTTGAGAATGGTGGCCTTTTACGTCGTGACAGACAGACAGACGGACAGACACATCCGGTATGAATGTACCGAGGCGGCACCCGCGCCCTTTACGCCGCCACCAGACGTACCCAAAACCGTCAAGGAGGCACAGAGAAGGGACGCCGCGCCCACCGTACCACGGGCTCGCGTCGCCCAGGAGGCAGACCGATTCGCCACCGCGCGGCCATTGACCCATCAAGCTAGGACATTCCAGTGATGGCTTTCCCGTAGAGGATGGAGACCAACGTCCCTCGAGGGACATGTGAGGACATGGCCGTGGGAAACATGAGCAGGCCGGGATTGGCAGACCTGGGATAGGAGGAAGTCATGGCACGGCTCGCCCGTTAGACATGGAAACCTGGTATGGCACGGACTGGACTGGACTGGACATTAAGCAGGATGGATTCCTCTCGAACCGATGTCTTGTATTCTTCTTTTCTCTATTTTCATAGGGAGCCGGATATACGGCGCTAAGGCGCTTCTTGGGTAGGATATGCCTAACAGCCGATATCGCAAGCACACCATGCAGAACACGGGCGCCATAACCCTGAAATTCCCTGCTCATTGCCATGTCGAATCTGCTACATCAAGATGCATCTTATGCTGTAAAAATGATAGATAGTCAAGTCCGCCCTACACCACCGTCGTCCTCACCATTTGCATAGCTTTTGGCGGCCCATCCTCCAATCTTAAGCCAGAGCATGTCTTGCTTTATTTCCCTTCTTGTATACCTTGGAACAAATCCGCGGTACCCATCCCACGCGGGGCGCAAGCCTTTAGTAGACCTTCTTCTTCTCGTCGACGCTGAGCTGGCCCGGGCCGCTGTTGACCAGCAGGAGCAGACCGCCAACAATGGAGAGAATCTGGAAGAAGTCGTACTTGGCGAAGTCCTTGTGGGGGTGGTGCTCATGAAGCTGCAGGAAGCCGTCAGAAAAACCGACCCTGCTAGTTTCACGAACCATGGCGGGGGGGGGTGGGGGGGGGGGGGGGGGGGGGGGGCCGAGTAACTCACAGTCCAGAAGTTGTTCACCAGCACATTGAAGATGCTCAGGATGACAACCAGGAGCGTGGCGCTGAACTTGGCCTTGAAGCCCACCACAACCATGACGCAGGCTACCAGGCCGAGCAAGGAGACAATGACGCGCCAGATGGACCACTCGCCGCTGAAGACGAAGCCGATGAAGAGGAAGATGAGCAGGACGCGGCCGGCCAGCTGGAAGTACATCTTGCGGTCCTTCTCCTCGAGCTGTGGGAGCCCCGCGAAGGCCTTGGTCTTGCGCACCCACGAGTCCGAGAGCACCATCAGCAGGCCGCCCATGACGGACAGGTTGCGCAGGAAGAAGTTGAGGTCGAAGATCAGGCCGTAGCCGAGCGCCTGCGTGATGACCACGCCGATCAGGCCGCCCACCGCGAACTCGGAGTGCTTGCGCACGATGACCAGGGTCGAGCACGTCGCCATGGCGATCACGTTGGCGATCAGGAAGAGGTGGGTCAAACCTGAGGGGACTGGAGAGGCGCAGCTGTTAGTCGGGGACCTGAGGGTTTGGCGGGAGGAAAGAAGAACATACTGCGGCGGTAGTCATGCAGATAGAGAAGCTGGTCATTCCATTGTGTTATTATCCTGAGCGCGTCCTCGATGAAGGTCACGACGATCAGAAAGCGGCCGATCGCCGGGAGGTAGCTGCCGGTAAAAACAAAGTTACATGTCAGCGGCGACCATGGGAGCTCTTCTGATGATCAATTGGGTGGTACCCACGGCTTGATCGGCTCGCTCACGGTGTCCATCAAGTCCTCGATCTTGCTCGTCTGCTGCCGGATTGCGTCGAGAGGGCTCTGCTCCGTCTTGTCCTCGACCGGTCCTCCGAAGGGGTTCGGTGCCCCGATGCCGTAGCTACCCGGTCCTCGCATTTGCGCCATTGCGTTGGCCGGCTATGTAAAATCAGAAAGATCAGTGGGAGTGAGAGCGAAGGATGACAGTCCGGCTGGCGAATCGGCTCGTAAGTGGCGGTGGGACAAAGGAGAAGGAAGACCGAGGGCAACGGCGATCGAGGGGTTGACCGGCAAGGGGTTGCGAAACGGTGATGCTAGCAGAACGCTAGATTCGGCAGCTTCGAAAGGAGCGAGAACGGAAAAGCGCAAGCAAGCTCAGCAGCCTGGACGAGAAATTGAAGTGCTGGCGAGGGCAGTAGTTGGGCAGAATAGAGGAACCTAGGGAGCTGCTCGCACAGCAAGAAATTTGAGGTCGCTGAGCTCGGAGCAGATGATGTCGTATCTACAACTGTGTCCTTAACCAAGACGAATACCGGGCCCAGTTGGGATGCAAGCTGATGACCGCAGCGATAAGATAAGAACCCTGGGCCACAAGAGCGGAGGAGCTGTGACCTGCACGTGCCAGGCAGTCTTGCGACGCACGGGCCTTCGCCTGTACCGTAGCTTACCTACACTCGGCTGTTTCAGAGACCTACGTATGTATGTATGGCACGTATGTATGGCAGATTGTAATCCGTCAACATGACCAATTGATCGGCTTCGAGATCTCAGCCCAGGAGAACAAGAGGTCTTCCCCGAGCTCTTGTTCAGTTCCACATACCGTTCGTTACCTAGCTCGGACAGCTGAGTGGCCCAAAGGCTAACATAACACCTGGCGTCGCACCATGGTACACAAAGAGCTAACCACTAGTATCTGATTCCCGCTCCGGTGCTTGAATAAGTTGAGTCCCCTACTCGCCAGGTCTTACTCGACACTCGAGTGAGGCCATCCCTTTCTCACACCTTTCCGACGCCGGGTGCTAGGAATACAAAGAAGAGGGTTATTTGCATGTGACCGGCATCTCCGAAGTCGTCCGAGACCTAATATCTTCAAACATTGAATTCGTTTTGACGATTTGGAACGAGGTTAATGACCCTAAAGAGCAGGCAGCGCGCCATACCTAGTTGCAGTTGTACGAGTCTCCGACTCGACTTACATTTAGTCCTTAGAGCTGTATCAACAGTGTCATTATACAGGTACACCAAGTTACATTGCAAGCAGGCCAGCTAACGTATGTTACCGATGAGTACGAAGTAGTACGTGTACTTCTCTGCCGAGCGTACCACCGCCTTGGGCGGTGCTGTTCATGTACGGATTACGTACTCGCTGGGCCTTCCAAAACGGCTGAACCCAGCTCGCCGCCTTGATCTTCGCCAAGGGGCCGAGCTGGGTTCAGCCGTTTTGGAAGGCCCAGCGAGTACCGTTGCAGCATGTTCCGTCCAGTTCAGTTGCATGAAGCCAATCATTGAAACTCTTAGATCTCGAAAATAACCACCAAACAAAAATCATGACTCGTGACCCTACGCCTCAACAGTGCATTCGAAGGAGTGAGATTGCGCTCAGTCGCCCCATCGACGCGCGCCATACTCGCGCCAGATGCGCGAGTCGGGAAGCGACGCAAAGCCCCAATAGGCAGGCTGAGCTGACCACGAAGGGCCAACCAGCGAAGAAAGCGTCGCTGTCGTGGCATAGAGGCACTCGCACTTGAATGACGGGAATGCGACATTGAGATACCGAACCAATAAGGGGTAAACTGGATGAGCGCCAACTTGCGTTTTACCTGCACATAAGCGGCAACACCAGGCTAAGCGTACCACAGCAGTGAGTGCGCGCCGGATGGGGATTAGCAACCGTGTGAAGAAGACGGACGGTGTTATCTACAAGTCCTATAATCTTCAAACCAGTGTCACCCCCACCCAAACCCCCCGGATATCTCAAGATTGAAAATACAAGCCCCTTAAAAGAAAGCCCAAAGATTATGAGTGAAAAGAAAACCTTTTTGCCCATGTCGTCTTCTCAAGCCCAATTCATATCCGTGACGAACCCACCTAGGTGACCGTCACACGTGAGAGGACGGTCGCTGGCCCTCACATGCTACGCGACGGCGAAGTATGGCCACGTGGAGACCGCCCTCAAACCAAGCGCTGCATTTTCTCCCCCATTTCACCTAATTAAGACCAAGCCTACGGTTTCCCACCAGGCTGGTAGCCGCCCTGTTGCCACGACTCCCTGCCCTGATACCCAGGAGGCGGGGACTGCGTGGGCACGGCAACGTCCCCGCTAGGCAATTCCACCGGAGGCGCAACAAAAGGCGTGTACTGATCGGGCCGCGGAGAGGCGTGCGGGGACCTAGGTGCATGATTCTCGTTAGAAACGTATATAAGACCAGAAAGGGAAAAAGAATGGTGGCTTACGTATAATCACCGCCACCATACCCCTCATGGTGATGACCATTCGCATATCCATACTGGGGCAAGCCCGGAGAAGGCGTCGTCAGATGCGGCGACGGGCTAGTCCCAATCCCGTAGTAAGGTGGCTGCCCAGCACCGGCATGGTATGAACTGCGCAGCGTGCTGGCGTTATCGTGGCCGGGGAATGTCGACGAAGCGCCCGACAGCGTCGTCTGGCCGGGGCTTTTCGGGTCCACGACGACGCCGCCGCCAACGCCGCCGTTCGCATATTTAGCCTCGACCATCCCGGGCGAATCAGTCGACCGGGCCGCCGCTGCCGAAGGCGGGACGTGGAACGTCTTGCGGTACGCCTTGTCGAACCCGCCCCTCCGGCCGCAGAGGTAGATCAGCGCCGCGCCCAGGATCAGCACGGCGGCGGCGCCAATTGCAATCCCCGCTATCGCGCCGCCGCTGAGGCCGTGGTGTGATGAACCACCACCATTCCCGCCCGAACTTGAGTCGGATGAGATCGTTGAGCCTGAGCCGGGGGTCGGTCTAGGCACCGGCGTCTCCGAAGGGAAGGGCTCACCGGGGGCGAGCTGATAGGTGGTGTTCTGGGCGTATTCCAGCTGGGCGTCGTAGGACTGGGTTGCGTTGGGGTTGATGACGCCTATCATGTGGTAATCGACACAGGATCCGGGGGCTGCGCAGTAGAAGAAGATGGGCGCCGTGTCATTGACTCGGACCTCGTAGTGAGGAGGCTGTGAAAAGCGGTGTCAATATCATGACACGTCTCGTAAGGGTCGCCGTGCGAGAGCCGGCTGATGTAAGCATCCTTACATTGTTAGACACGACTTGCGGCTCGAAGATGCCAGTGTAGAAGCCTGCTTTGTTGATGTTCGCGTACTCATATGGGATACACGGCCATCCAAACTCGGCACGGGCGACTCGATGACCGCCAGGGTAGAAGTTAAACCCTAGAGATAGACAAGAATACTGTGTAAGCCGAGTCTCACCAGTAAAGACGGGCAGCAAGGAACTGCATCTCCGGACTCACTGATGATGTCGCCGACCTTAGCCGTCGCTTCGTGTGGGGTGAAGACGTGACCGGTCTACATCTAGATCAGCGGAGTCTTATGAGCCAAGAATTGCCATTGAATTTACCGCTCCAACGGCTATCGTGACCGTCGCTGGCCCGGACGAGCTGGAGGTTGTTGATGATGCCGACGACGACGAAGCTGCCTCCCCGGTTGGCGTTGGTGCTGCCGTGACGGTCTCGTCATCCTGGGCCGTAGCTGTACTTGCTAGAACGGCAGACAAGGCAAGGACTCGTAGGGCGAACATGGTTGCGGCTTCGATCTACCCTCTACGGCGGGTGTGGTTATCGCCTGGATAAACTATCGGCGCGCAGCCAACGGGGACGGGAACAGAAGGGAAAACAAAGGTGGCGCGCGCCTTTCCCTTCTACTAATTTAACAAGATTCCCAACCTGCAGGGCAAAGAGCTGTTGTTCGTCTCGGCAGGGACCCAGATGGGCTTGTTGGCTGAGGTGTGCACCAAGCCTGGTGGGGAACCGTGGCTTACATGCGGTGAACAGCAGCCTGATCGGGACTTGAGCTGACAGGATTGGGATGCCAGTTCGTGGTGGTGGAGTCCATGGGCACCACAGTCTCTACGCTCATTTTGGGGGGCTCGAGGTCCCCAGCATGCCCAACGGACAAAGCCGACATGTGGTAGAGCGGTCCGGTTCAGGTATGTGGGATGGGGCGTCCACAAAGAGACAAAGGCTGTGACCAGTAGCACCACCCTGCCCTGGTCAAAGCGAGGACAGGAATTCGACGGCAGCAATGCCCCGTTTCTCAGACCCCGAGTCCCACGAAAGGGGTCCACGCAAACTTGGCCACGGAAGCCCGTCGTTCGCGACCTCTCCATCTCCTCGGATATGCAGTCGACCAAACTGTATCCGTAGGCAAGAGAGATTGCATTGCAGAACGCACACCTTGTTCAGCAGCCAGCTTAGGGCCGCGAGCTGTAGATGGCATCTGCCTAGATGCTGCGGAAAATGTCGATGACGAAGCCGCAGGGCTGTTGCGATAAGTACAGTAGCACCCTGCTGGATGCAGATCCCACCGTGGTAACTGGTAACATTGCTGAGCTGGGCTGTGCTTTGAGGAGAGTGAGGATGCCCAAAGTGGAAGTTGATTGCTGGGCTCGCTGGGCCCCACAAACCAGGGTCCGAGACCCACTTGCCGTCGTCTTGGCATTGTGTGTTTGGCTGCTTGGCGGCATGGGGCTGACAACAAGTCCCGTGGGCCGTGGCTGTTTGTCGTTGGGGGCCGTTCTCTAAGACTCGTTATCCCTTCACACGAACTCGAAAGCGACTTCAAGAGGGCGTCCTAGTAATGATTGTAATCTTGGAAGGGATTCACATACGGCCTGCGAAAGTCGCTTATCTGGTATAAAATCCTTTGCTGTCCACAATCGGTTCAGTCATGAGCCGGGACCCACCGTCGGCCGGGTGCAGATCCCGAAAGCGGGGCAGTTGCTAAATCCGTGGTACACGTCGGGCCGAGTTGAGGCGCCGAACACTGCTCCATACAACTACAACACTTCCATCTTCGAGGATCGATCGAATCTGAAGACCTATTGGACCCATGTGCTAGGACTTCTAATCGTGCTCAGGCCGCTCCCACGTTGGTTGTTGCTCTCGGCCGGCCTAGCGCTCAGGGTCGGGATCGGCAGCCGAGAGAGGATCGATTCGAGGTTCAGCAGTCGGAGCCCATTTCGAGTCAAAACGGTACCGGTGATCGGCTGTCCAACAGATCTGTAGAAAGGAGATCCGGGTGGTTTTGGGTATAAAACTGTAAGCTCTCACACGCAAGCCTTCCCGGGTCGACCTCTATTGGGTCTTCGTCTTCTCCTTCGATGCGAACCACGACCTGGGCAGAATTTCGCTCTCCACCGCCAGTCTCCCAAGACACCACAGGTAACACAAAGAAAAACCAGCGGCGCCGACGCCGACATTAGCCACCACCCATAGATCCGGCTTGTCTGGAGGAGGCGATAGAAATAGGGCCAGGACGTGCCAGAACGCCATCGCCAGGTAGAACGAGCAATGTATGAAGAGTGTAGCCCAGTGGGACCAACCGCCGGCGCCTTCGTAGAAGTACAGGCTCAGCGAAGTCGGAGGCAGGCCCAGGAGATATGCCCAGAGGAGTGTCAACACCGTGTACGGCACCGCCAAGTCAACCCGCTGCAACAAAGGGAATATTGTCCAACAGCCGAGAATGTTGGCGAAGCCGACCCACGCACGGGTGCTCCTGCTGAGCCCGTGGCTCCCAGCCAGGAGCAAGGTCATTGGCATTAAGGGGAGCAGGACACTCTTTTCGTGAACCTGATAACTGAACAAGAAGAACCCCCATGCTGTCGATGCAAAAGACAAGGGCAGCAGATCTTTTCTCGGTCGGAAGAAGAGAACGATATTGGGAGGGATGACCGACGCCAATGTTGCTAGCAAGGCGACGCGTTGCAACAACTCGGCCGGAAAATTCTTGATCTTGATTATCACGTTCAAGGCGCACCAGAAATTGGCGACCTTGTCTTCGAACAGGCCGCGAGCGAAGGGAAAGATGCGGTGTATCAATTGAACCAGCTGCTCGACCACGGGGTAGTAAAAAGCTTCCGTGTCCAGGTAGCGAACGAGGCCTTGAAATAACGGCAGAGGCGGGCGAGGTCCATCAATATCGGGACGTGAGTCGACCCCGCGCTTCACGTCGTAGAGGGTGCCGACCACAAGTGGCAATAGCAGGATAGCAAACGATAGGATAGTGACTGCCGCAATCGCGAGAAAGCGTGGAACGTTGATCCGCGGAAAAGTACAGCTTCCCAAGAGGTACGCAAACACCGAGAAGGCGTAGTACAGGGCCATTTGCTTGAAACCAAGCGCCGCTACGAAGAAAACGGCGGCCCAGAGATTGCGACCAGCGAGCATGCTAGACATGCTTGCGACGACGAATCCAAGCATAACGGTGTTATACTGGAAGTGGACGTGGTCGATCAGGATCGTGCCGGGTTGCATCAGAATGGCAACTAAGGCGACCGAGGCCGACCAGTTTGCGACACCGCTCAGTCTGCTATAGCGCCGTACGAAGACCACGACGGCAGGGACGTACACCAGATACTCCGACACGAGCACGGTGGCCCTCATGAAGACCTTGAGCGTCGGATCGTGCGAGCCGCGGGACGAGAAAAGGGCGAACCAGGATGGGTCGATGAGCGAACCGAGCTTTCCACAGAGCCAGCTGTGGTAGGCCGTCAGGGGCGGGTAGTCGAGGCCCCACCACTCGAGGTCGTGGAAGTACCACTGGGATATGGGTAGCTGTGTTGTGATCTCCATCCAGTGCCTCTGGGCTTCGTAATCGCCAAACATGGGCGGTTTCTCAAATCCTGTTCGCCGTCAGTTGTTCTGTCCCGGTTCATCGTAAACGCTCCAACTCGGGTAATCGCACCAGAGTAGCCCCATAGCCCTGCCGCCCACCTGAAGAGCCCCGCAGCCATCAGTATCAGGGGTAAAAGCTCCCATTGCGATACGGTGCCCCTCGCGGGCCACAAAAACGCAGCAAGCGGAAATGCCGGGGAGCGAGCCAGCGGCTCGACCGAGCTGTCAGTGCTGAGCTTGCTCGTCAAAGGCCGCTTGGCCTTCCGCCTTGGTTTATGAGGAGAAGGCGAAGGCCCGGCCATTGTCACCGAGGATGCTGTAGAGATCGGGAAGGAGGCCGCATGGAACGTGTGGTTGGAGGTCGGTGATAGGGGGAAACTTTTTTGGACGACCGCAATCTGGCCAACACAAAGATCCATGGAGGTTCGGATGGCATTTCATGTGGGGAAGCTGCTGCAGAGCTGTGGAGCCAGTGACAGGGGTACTACGTACCTGTTCGTGAACCCCCGCCTGCAACCTCCCGGCAGAGCCTTGCTTGGATTGATTTGATGCCCCTCATAGCTGAGAACAGGAACCTGGAACATGGAAGTGATGAATGAGAAGCTGCAAGGCTCCAGGTCACCACATCTCAATCACTGCCGGTGTGTCAAAAGCCGAAACATGCATCAGGGGGTTTAATGTCCAACCGCTCCAGCTGAAGCTGCATCATCTTTCTCGAAAATGCCGTATCCCTTCGTCCTCCCAACGACGTCCTCTTTTGCCTTCTCGTCCAGCTTCACCTGCGAATCGCACCCCTCACTGCCCCTCCAAGCAAGCACCCACCGCGGTGTCGTCCGAGACACACTCAAGCGACACAAGCGTCTACCCGCGACTTCCCAGCCCGCCTCTCTCTCCTCCGTCATCTCTGCCCTCCATAGCTATCTCCCCTACCTCTTCGCCATCGATGCAGGCCTCTCGAACAAGACCATCCACTCAGAAGAGGTCTCGGTCATCCTGAAGACGGCGCCCCTGATCGAATGGCGCCCAACGCTGTCTGGTAACCTTCTCCCAGGCCGCGAACGGCCGCGCACCAAGATCCACTCCCTCGAGTACGAGCTCTTCTTTGCCCTCTCGACCCTCGCAAACGCCTTCACCCTCCAGTCCCGCGCCGCCCTGCAGCCGCTCTACCAAACCACCAACGCGCCCGTCGGCACCGCTCAGCGCCAGACCGCCATCGCCACGGCGACCCGCCACCTCCTCGACGCAGCGTCCATCTACACATACCTCGCCTCGCGCGCCGAGTCCCTGCCCCCGGACTGCCCGCCCCCGCCATGCGCGGACATCGCGACCACCACGCTCCGCGCCCAGCGCGCCCTCGCCCTCGCCGAGGCGACCCTCCTCGCCGTGCTGAAGGATGACCCCTACCCGGCCGTCGTCGCGCAGGCGCGTAACCCGCACGACACCGAGTGGATGTACAAGGCGCCCGACATCCCCAAGGTGCGCGCGCACCTATTTGCGCGCCTGTGTCTGGCGGCGGGGGAGCATGCGGCGCAGGCGGCCGCTGCGCTGGGGACTAGGGCCGGGGGGAAAGGAGCCAGTAGTAGTGTTAGTGACGGGTTTGTACGCTACTTGGACGATCTGCGACGGGCGAGCCGGGCGAGGGCGTGCCGGTTCTTTGGCATTGACGCCGAGCTAGGCGGGCAGACCGGCACTGCGATCGCGTGGCTCAGAGCCGGCCTGGCGGAGTTGGGGGTTGAGAGGAAGGGGGATGGAGGGAAGGGGACGGGCTTGAAGGGGTTGAGGAAAGAGTGGAGCGAGCGGAGGGAGGACAAGAAAGTGGAAAAGGGTTTGGACTGGGGCGCGGATGGGGGCAGGTTGGAGGAGACGAGGGTGATCGAGATGCTGGAAGTGAAGTGGACGAAGCAAAATGATACGGTGAGCGGATCCTCCCAATGGAGGGTTGCAACGCATGACACAGTTGATCTGATGTGGTTCGTCTCTCCAGATGCTCACTCAACCAATACCCCCCACTGGGCCCCTACTCGCCCAGATGCCCTCGGGGCGCGAGATCCACAGCATCAAGCCCTTTGAGCCGCCGCTATTAGCTCCGGATATGCTGGAGGCAATGCGGGCGCCTCCTGATAGATCGGACGAGTTCGGTGATTATCCGAGCTCGGACGAGGAGACGGCCGTAGATCCCTCTCCGGGTGGGACGTTCACGGGAAGATCATCAGATTACCGGACGGGGACGCCGGGCTACTTTTGAATTCAAGATCCCATGTAAATACGAGCATATCGAGCCTAGTACTGTTGCTACGTGCAGTCAGACGCGCCATCTTTCCGGTAAGCCGGGTCGGAATAGAGATCAGAATCCAGCCGAGCTGTGCGGCGTGCAATGTGCACCATCTGAGAGGATGGCGATACGCGTGAAGACGTTCCGATGTGGCTAAGTGGTGGCGCGCCAGAAAGCAGAGTCGGTTTGCGATAGCTCGAGTGCCAACCATATTAATATTTTCCCTTTTCCAAATCCCGAAGCACGCCCTAGTGTACTGATGGCATGCGCTAAGCCCGAAAACATATGATACAACGCAACGCCCTGAATACCCGACCTCACACCTACTCGTCATCTTCATCGTCTGCGATGACCCGCCGTCTCCGACCCTTGGATTCCGTATGGACCGGGGCTTCCTCGTCACCCTCGGCGTCCTCGTCCGGCTCAGCGGTCCTCTGCCGCTTCCGCTTTGGCGCCTCATCCTCCTCCTCCTCATCCTCGTCATCCAGGAGATCCTCTTCCTCTTCGTCATCATCCTCCACCTCCTCGCTCTCGTCGCTGTCTACCAGGAAGCCGTCTCCCATATCATAATCGTTCGCGCGGCGATTCCCCGTAGGCTCATCATCGGTGTCATAGTCCGGAGCCCGGTGCTTCTTGGGTCCGCCGGTAGCACCACGTTTTCTCCCAGCACCCCCTGCGCCCCGCCGCCCTTCAAGATCGCCAACGGAGAGCAAGCCGCCTTTGTACCGCGAACTGCCGTCCGCGCGAGCAGCTGCCGTCTCTTTTCGGCGCTGCGCTTTCGCGCGCTCCTTCTCGGCCTGCTCGGCCTGCTTCTTCAGTAGCTCTGGGTCTTGGTTCGTGGCAATGATCATGTCGGAGGTGCGGTCCTTCTTGGCGCCCGCGAGCTCGGCCTTGAGCCGCTCCAGAGCATGATCCTGCAGCTCCTCATTCGGCCGGACCGTGTACTGCTCTGTGACATGGCCCACGATCAGCAGCGAGTTGGTCGTGAGGTGGGCGGCCGCCGCGTAGTAGTGCGCGTCCTGCACTTCGTTGTAGGGCTTGTTGGGCGGGGGTGCCAGAGGCTTGGATTGGATCTCGAAGTGCTCGTTTCCGATGGCGAGCGTGACGGAGCCGTCGCTCCAGCGGTAGATGTTTGCGTTGCTCTGCATGCGGCCCGTCTCTGGGTCGCGGCGGAACATGACGGAGGGCATAGGGCTTTCGGAGTTTGCATTGTCGAGCTCCCATCTGCTTGGCTGCCATTCATCGGCCTTGTATTCCATTGGGTTGAATTTGATGAAGTCCGGGACGCGGAGAGAGTGAAGCTGGAAGAATGTGAGACAGAATGCCACCCGCATGTCATCTGGGAGCGCGACTTACGCCGCCATCCTTGGAGCGCGGAATGCGATGCCGATACAGCGGGACCTCGGCGACTAACTGCTCGCGGAATTCTTGGGGCCCCTCGTCGTCTTCGCGACCGCGCGCGTCCGCTTCACCGTCTTCCCTATCCGACGCAAGTTCACGGTCGCTCAGGACGTTTTCTTTCTGAGAAATCGCGTCATCGTCATCATCTCCGAAGAGATCGTCGCCTCCGTCGTCGGGGATATCGATGGGGTCTTCAGAATCGGACATGTTGAAGCTCGCCTTTTAGTCTAGAGGACGCGAAATATTTCGAGTCCGATGGTGCAAAGCAACTGTCGTGTAGTAAGCCGAGGATTGTGAGACTTTGGGGCGGCAGCTCATAAAGGTCGTTAGAAAGTGATTGAATCCTAACTACCAGGTACTACCCTCTTGAAGACCGTGACGACTCGGATATCAATGCACCTTTCTACTTCAGCAATTGCTATTGTCCTCCCACCGATTAGATAAGGCGGGAGGCTTGTACATAAACAGTTACTCCAGCTCGCTGAGTCAGCGGTCAGCCTCAAGTAAAGTTCCTGTACTGTGTAACACGGTTTTAGCTTCCATTGATAAGAACATTTCAAGTTGTTCCAGGTTGTTAACTTGTTATCAGGGGTAACAATCACAGTACAGTCTGACATTGTTAAGGTAACAACCTCGAAATCACAAACCTGCACCGACAAACTACAATCCTCTCCAGGTAATCCATCGACAGATGCACCCAGCTTCTATCTTCTTGCGCTGGATTGAGTGTTTTGACAGTGGAGATATTCAAGCATGCCTGGTGCCTTGCAGAGGGCCAGAGGTGTGCGCTAACACCCAGCAACTGAAACTTGAGGGGAAAAGCGGTTCAGGGAGTTGAAACGGCGGGAATGGCATTCCACAAGAGCCCCATGGAAAACTGAGGGGTCTGGAACCTTGATTACCTGCACCTCGTCTGTAAACGACTTCATGACCGCCATTCAAACGAAGCGAAACGGCACGTTTTGGACCATTTCTGGACCCCTGTTTGCCCCGTTCTGAAGATTTGTCTTCCATCCACTGTTCTCCGCTAGAGTTGTCGCGACAATGTCGAACCTCTTCTCCGGAATGTGAGTTTTGGCCGCCTCCATCACCTACCAAGTTCCGTCCCCGCAGCCCACCTACACCTGCTTCTACCCGCGTCTACCTACTAGTAATTTGTCAAGCCGTCTCGACATCGTCGGCGCCCAAGAGTGAGGCTGCAGCTCTTCAACCCCCACTATATTGTTCACCTTCTTGTATACGGAAGCAAGTGCTTTGGTGCCAGGGCTGGGATCTCTTGAGGCTCACTCAGGTTGGCCATGGTTGCAATCAGGCGTTGACCCGCCAAGCCCCCTCCTCTTGTTCCAACCTCAAGGAAGTCACAACAGCAGCATGGGAGAGACTTCGTGATCTCACGTCTGCCGCCCTTTTTGGGACCAAGGCTGTTCACAAGTGTGTTTCCTTAGCCGTTGCCGCCGCTGTGGAAGGTGGGGGCATACTTAAACTGGAAACAAACATGGGGTGCCCAACAGCTTCCATTATTATTATCATTACAGTTTGAGGGCTGCGACGAGACTGGGTTTGCCTCGATCTCATCGGCGGACATGCTAAACCTGCTCCCCAGTCAACGCCAGTTTGCAGCTAACGTATTCATCCAGCAACGCCCGCTTCCGAGGCCAAAGAACCCCCGGCTCACCGGGCACGTCCTCTCCGAGCCCGGAGCAACAAGCGCAACCAGCGGCTCAGTCTCCCGTCAGCCCTTCCCACGGAAGCCATCCATCCTCTTCAAGCCTTGCAGCGAAGCTCCCACCGCTTCAGAGCTCGCCATCCCTTGCTGAGACTATCGGCATGGACCAGTCCAGTGGCATGATGGCGTCGGCTGAGGATATCCTCACCTCATACCATCTGCCCCCGGTCAAGCCCCTGTGGCTTAATGCGAATTATGCCAAGCACATCGTCAAGGGCAACTTCTTGACGCTCAGCGCGAAGCCCAAGACGGTTGAGATGGGAGAGTGGATCGCGCACCAGGGTAATTATTGCGGATGCGCCCTCTAAGACACGCGGCTGATCTGTTTGCTAGTTGTTGACCACTGGAGGATGTTGATCACCTTTATCCGCTTAGTACACGACAAGGAGGAGGATGGATCATCGATTTGCAACTCGAGGAGGTGTCCCAAGATGTCAGCCGGAGCGTAGGTAACCGCCTCAATTGCTTGCCTTGAGCGTTGTTCTGACTGCTCCAGTAATCACTCCTTCACTTGGCTCAACTCCCGGCTCCAGCCTGTCGAGATCCCAGCATACGAGTACTTGACGCTTGTCCAGCGGTACATCTCTGGCAAGATTGACGACGTCAATATCTTTCCCACAGACCTTGCCGGTGTCTCATACGCCGATAACCCGGCGTTCTGCACTCCACTGCCCGAATCGGGTCAGGACTGGGTGGGCAAGCGCAGCGGATTCCCCCAGAACTTCATGGAGACGTGCCAGACCATCTTCCGCCAGATGTTCCGCGTCTACGCGCATCTGTACTGGTCGCACTTTGACGACATGTTCAGCTTGAACCTCGAGAAGTCCATGAACAGTTGTTTCAGCCACTTTATTCTGACAGCAACGACGCTGAACCTCCTTAAGAAGTCTGACCTCGAGCCAATGCAGCCACTGATCGACCTCTGGGCGGCTCTCGGGACCTTCCCACAGGGTTCCAAGGCTTTTGAGATCGCGAATCTCCAAGTCGGCCAACTGCTTGTTCAGAAAGCTGGTGGCCCCCCAGCGAACTGAAAGGGACGGGGGAGAAAGAAATCAGGCGATGGATGCCGAGCACACATCTATCACCGTACCGCTTGGCCGGTCGAAGTTTTCATCTGAGGATCGGATCTTCGACCACAGGAAGGTAGATATACAGCATATACCCATGGCCTATCTTTTAGATCGGTTCAGTTTCGGTAGACGTCGGTCAACCAGGATACAGCATAGCAGTACATAGCGCATCGATTCTGGGGATTATTACAGAGAGTTCCGAGGTGGCACGAGGCTCCTCTGCGTGACCACGAAGAGCACAACTATTGGACTGGTCATCTTTTGTAGAACTCTTATCACCACCGTGGTCTTCTACGCTGAGACCTCGCTGACCTTGTACTCCACGATGACCGGCTTGCCCTGCTCCAGAATGAACCGCCCAGACCCGACATAGATCTTCTCATGGAGGGCTGTGAGCTTCTCGTCACCAGTCTCAAATTCCACGACAGAGACTAAGGTTGGCAATCCCCAGTTAGCGTAGTCCATCGGAGTCAGTACGCAGACCCCCGAAGCATAAAAAATAAAACCTACAGGCATCCCCAAACGGTGTCGTCGCCGCGTCGGCTTCACCCCTCAATACCTTTCCCGCCGCCCCCAGCGTCGAGATCTTGCCGGTGTATATGAACCGGACCAGCGCCCCCGTGGCGCCGTCACGCGCCGTGCTCTGCACGTCCAGCCGGACATGTCGACCGTCAGGGAACGCCTTGATGTAGTCGGCGCCGTGCGTGATGGCGGCGTTCAGCTGGATCGGGTACGAGGGCTCTGACACGATGCTCCCGCCCTCCGAGCGGAAGGGCACCACGGTTAGGGTCGAGGAGATGGGTTTTGGCGGATCAATGGCTACCTTCGAAGAGGATCAGTTCTGCGTGGTTGGCGGTTGAGGGGTAAGTGGCTTTGGGAAGGGGGAAATTGGGGCGGTATTATGGTGCGGCTTACTTGGACCGTGAAGGCCGGGATCAGCTTGGGAAAATCGGCCATGGTGTTGAGCTTACTCGAGATGAGGATCTTGGTGTTTTCGAGGTACAGGAGAAAGCGAAGTTTGCTTGGAATGATGAAAAGGAGGTGATGCTCACTCAGGTGATACTTATAGCATCCACATGAGGGGAACGGAATCGTACACTGCCTACTAGTAATCAGGAACCAACCAACCTTACCTTATTGCACCCGCAGATGCCGTGATGTCCCACCTCCCGCCTCCGCTGTGGCGCTATCGGCTCAATGGATGGAGTCAGCATCATTCGTACTGTGGAGGCACCATAAGGTCGTTACGAGCAGCTCTCCTTGAATCTGTCAAGGTAACGAGTTCGGGATCCAGGGGTACAAGGCTGACAGCAAGCCAGATCGAACATCATAGGTACCGTATTCATACACCACAATAGGCAGGCACATGGCACTAGACCCCCTAGCCGGATCAATCACCGAGCAAGGGTACAGTAAAACGCAGACAGATCTTATTCTTCCGTAACATTGCTTCGGTAAGGTAGGACACCGCGCAGCTTGCCTCACGTGGAAGTTGACATCAACGCCTGGGTATTGGCAGCATTGGCTCGGGTCAAGTTGTGAGCTGTTGAATGCGGGGAGCTCGTGAGATCGATGCGGCATTCCATTGCGGGGTGGTGAGAGCTGATCCCTGTCGGCCAGCCCCACACTTTTAACAGAGATTCTCCATGTGACCAATTGGCAGCTGCAATTCTGTCTGACATCACCTGCGCCTTTGGCCGGGTCGACGCCTAGCATCACCCCTTGCCGAACGTTAGCAGTTCTTTTATCCAGTTCTCGACGGTCTTCCCACCACAAGCCGGCCCTTCATAGTTTGCGACGCGACCGCCAGCTTCGATATCGGGCGAGCATTTGGTAATCTGTACCGTCTCAACCTCGATATTGGTGGCGGGAGTCCGGGGCATTGCGACCTGCAGACGTGGCCCCAATCACCCTCGCACGCCTCGCTCTTGCTCTAGCTCTTCCGCAACCACCCCCACGTGTATCGATCACTCCCTTTTGTACGCCGGGCTAGGACAGCCATCACAGGTTTTTGAAGGGGAGATCCATAGGCCCGGGGCAAGTATCGACTCGTTCCGTGGTTCAGCTCTCCCAGAAACCCCTGAGTCTGATTCGCTGCCGTGCTCAGACCCGCCGACTAGGGTCTCTCGCGACAATGGACATGCCCAAGGATCAACAGCCTCCGCGTATGCCCGCCTCGACCTCAGACCAGCCGCCAAATCCCCCGTCTTCATCCACGCACCCCGCGAGGAGACGCAAGAATCATAGAGGGGGCAGAAAGAAGAAGTCGAGAGGAAAGTCGTTCCTGACTCCTGCGGAGGAGATTGCCCAAGAGGATAGCGTCAACCTTGAAGGCCTGGATGGGGAGCATCAGCGCTTCTACTCGAGGCCGGGTCGAGACCTGAGCAACACCAGCTTCGAGAGCGAGGCCCTTTTAGATCATAGGTGAGACAGTCGATAAGACAGTTAAAGTCTCCTCTCCGCTGCTGCCACGGTATGCTAAACATTTGGCATTCAGGGACCAGCAGCCTTTTCTTCGGCCACGACGCCCGTCGATAATGACGGGGAGTGCCTCGTTCCCGGCAACGCAGGCCACCACGAGACTGAGGGCAACCCACACGGCGGATAGCGACGAGGAGGATGAGAACGCCCCGCTCCTTTCCAGCCCGTCGCTCCAGAGAAGCGAGACAGTCGGGGGCTATGGAACGGGTGAATCCCCCCAAAAGAATAGGCCTAGCAGGGGTCGCGAATCGAGCCGGGCGAGCAGCAGCAACCAGAGAGTACGCGCACCGGATAGCTACAACGTCAATTACCCCCCCTCCATTCCGGGATCTCCCACGTTGCACCCCACCGACATCAGCATGAGTTTTGGCGATGTCCTGTTGCGCGACGAGCTCAACAATGGCCAGCGATCGCCGCCTAGGGAGGGTAGGGATGAAGATGACAACCGGGGATCATTCCAACCGTCGCCGCTGGATAGGAGGAAATCCCTTGCCCTGCAAGACGTGTGCTTTCCACAGGAAGGCCTATCCGACATTGGTGAAGAGGAACCCCGCGATTCGGCATACCGTCCGAGGCCCCGAAGACGGCGTGGTAAATGGCCAGACCTGTCTATCCTGGACGAATGGAGCCGTTTCGAGAAGGAAGGCCGGAGCGAGGAGCGTCGTGCGAAGAGGATTACTGAGCCACAGCTAATCAATGGCAGGTTGAGGCCTATTCACCGCGGCTGGTTCCAAGCGGAGGAGGAGGCGCCATATCGCTTTACCTACTTCAATGAGGACTTCCAGAGCACCATCCACAGCCAAACGATTTCCGAATTGGTGCAGCCCGGAGGCACCTTCAAGGAGCTCTTTATTCCAGATCCGCCACTGCTCTTGGACACTTCCGACAGCGAGGAGGAAGACGAGGAGGACAATATAGACTTGAATCAGGTGCTGGCTGGCCAGGTCGGGGATCCAAGAATATCCGCTCAACAGCCGTCCTTGACCGCAACACGGGACTCCGGGGGACGGAATCGGTCCACAATCAGCGAGGACACCAGGACGGGTTCGGAGGAACATACCCCATTGCGACTTGGGTCGCCAGAACGGTCCAAGTCGCCACAAAACGAGAAGCCTGCCAAACCTCCCAAATACGGAGACCGTCCAGTATGGTGGCTAGACGTTCTGAGCCCAACCGAGGCCGAGATGAAAGTGCTCTCGAAGGCGTTCGGGATCCATCCGCTAACGGCCGAAGATATCATGATGCAAGAACAGCGAGAGAAGGTCGAACTCTTCCGGAACTACTACTTCGTCAACTACCGCAGTTTCGACCAGGATCAGACCAGCGAGAACTTCCTCGAGCCCGTTAACATGTATGTCGTCGTGTTCCGGGAGGGCGTCCTGAGCTTCCACTTCTCCGTCACTCCGCACCCGGCCAACGTGCGAAGGCGAATCCGGCAACTGCGCGATTACCTGATTCTTTCGTCGGACTGGATCTCCTACGCCATCATTGACGACATCACCGACGTCTTCGTGCCGCTCATTCAACGCATCGAGGACGAGGTCGACGACATCGATTTTGCCATCCTGCAAATGCACTCAGAGGAAGACCGGGCTATGAAGGGAGAGGTTAGCGAAAAGTCTGACTCGGCCGAAGTGAAGTCAGCCGAGGCGGGGCGCGACATGCTTCGCCGGGTCGGAGATTGCCGCAAGAAGGTCATGTCACTCTACCGGCTGCTGAGCAACAAGGCGGATGTGATCAAGGGGTTTGCGAAGCGGTGCAACGAGCATTGGGAGGTGGCGCCGAGATCCGATATCGGCCTGTACTTGGGAGACATCCAAGATCATATCGTGACCATGACCTCGAACTTGAGTCATTACGAGAAGTGAGCGAATCTGCAGTCACCAAGAGTTAGCAAAAACTAACGCGTTCCCTCAGGATCTTGGCTCGCTCTCACGGCAACTATCTTGCCCAAATCAACATCAGGATGAACGAGCGGCAGGAGCAGACAGCCGACGTGCTCGGGAAGCTCACGGTGCTTGGTACCATCGTGCTGCCCATGAACATCATCACAGGCCTGTGGGGAATGAACGTCTGGGTTCCGGGCCAGGGAAACGAGGGCGACCTCAGGTGGTTCACCGCCATCACTGCGGGCCTGCTTTTCTTCGGTCTAGCATGCTACTGGATCGCCAAGAGGGTGTACAACATTGTGTGACATTGCCGGTGCTGGGTTACCCTTTTTCTTTCTTTTTGGTTATGTCGACTTTGGAGTACCGGAAGACGGAACGCACAATTTGTGACGGGGGGCATGCCTACATGTACAGCTGCTTTTGACATAGACTGGGTGGGAAGGCTTCGTAGCTGTTCGGGTAAGCGTCGAGGCAGTTTACAGAGCTTCTTCGAAGAGGGACACGGTAGCGAAGGTATATTATGCATAAGTATAGCAGGACAAACAGGACTAAACAGCATTCTCAGGTACAACGCCCTTAGCGGCTGAGAAATATTGAGAATTGGAATACTTTCGTCCTGGACTCCACGACGCGGTGTACCAGTTGCCAGGCCACCTCAGCGGCTAGCGTGGCAATTAATGTCTGGTCCCTAGTAGTGTGCCTCTTCGCCGGTGAGACTCGAGCATAATATCGCCTACCTGGACCTTCTTTTGGAGAAAGACTTGCAAGCGGAGTAGACTCAAGCGTTCGGCTGGGTAAGCCGACGAGCCCAGTCACCCCTGGCTATCCTGGTGGCTTGTCAGTGAGCGTTCGTCCTTTTAGGTCTTCTGTTGAGCGGAGAAACGTCCCAACAACGTGCAGTCGACTGCTTTCGTATGAAAGGAAGGTCATGGCATATCACCCTCGCTGTGGGACCAGCAGTGTCCGCAACCGCGTTGGACAGTTCCCATGTATCTTGCCTTTCTGCCTAGTGTAGCCCTAAACCCAAAACGCCAGTAAAATAACGGACACCCTCCATGCAGTGAAACCCCATTCTTTACCGAAACCTCCTACCCCGATTCATCTGTAAGATTCCTGGCAGCACTTGCCTGATCTAGCGGCGTGTGTGCGCAGAATAGCTAGCCCGCAGCGCCATAATTTGCTGCTTCTCCGCCTCGGGTAGCATATCGATCGTCTCCTGCGGCAGCTCCATGACAGCACGCATGAGCGCCTCCGGATCCTGGGCCGGCGGTGCCGGCGGGGCAGCAACTGGCGCGGCCGCGGGAGGTGGCGGCGCGTATCCACCCACTCCGGCAGTGGGCGGTGTCGCGGTCGCGGGAGGCCCGTACCCTGCGGGTGCCGGCTGGGGGACAGCGCCGGCTGCGCCCGGCTCGAGGACCGAGTTGATCGCGTCCGGCGAGACCAGGCCCATGATGAGCAGCGCTTGGAAGACGGCGTAGCTGAGTTGCGGGGCTTGCGTAAGAAGCTCGGTGGCGCGAACCGGATCGCTGGTGGCGAGGGTCTTCATTTGCTGCAGAATGTCGAGCAGCTGCGCCGGCGGGAGAGTGTTTAGGGTTCGGGAGATGGCATCCGTGCAGCTCACGCCCGGGGGTAGGTCCTTGCCCTGAGGAAGCGGAGGCAGGGAAGAGCCGCCTCCTGCTGTAGCTGGGGCACTTGTGCTGCCGCCGTTGGTGGCAGAGGCATGGGCGTAGCTGCCACCTGCGGTGCCAGTCTGGATTCAAGATGGTTAGTACTATGGCTTGGAGGTCGGAGCAGAGAATGCGGAATGTCATACTACTCCATCCCGGTCGCGGTTGTCGTCATCATTGACCGTTTCGTTGCTGAAATCGACACGCAACTTGCGACCCATGATCTCGTAGTCGTTCAGGTTCCGTACAGCTGAAGCCGCGGAATCTGGGACAGAAAGTCAGCAACTGTTGGGTCTGCGCGGTGGGAAGGTGCGTACCGTAGTCAGGAAATTCGGCGAAGCCAAAACCTTTTGGCCGCCCAGTTTCCCGATCGTAGACTAAACGGAAGTTCAACACCCTTCCGGCACCGCTGAAGATTTCTGTTATTTGCTCTTCCGTTAAGCCTGCACCGGCAGTGTCAGCGAGCTTCAGGCCGCAAGTAGATACCAGCATGCGCGCTCACCATAGGGGATGTTTCCGACAAATACAACACGGGAAGGTTGCCGAGTCGACATTTTGAGAGCCCAGCAGACGCGCTGCAAGCAACCGGCTGCAGTGGAGATAGAAATGCTACTAATGCTATGTGGACAGCAATTCAGAGCAATAGCGATGCGATAGCCAGCAACACGATGTGATGTTTGGAGACTTTGGATCACGTCTGATGATCCCAGGGGATGAGTTTGGGTGAGCTGGGCGGAACAAAGGCAGAAGGAACAGTAAGATTTCAGCAGAGGAAGTGCGCTACTATAGGCAACTGGGCTCTTCCAATCCCGCTTTCCATTCCTAGCCTGTGTGGTGAGAGTCCTTGCGCGTCAAACCAAAAGGTAGCACAGTACGAAGTTGTTGATTGTTGGCGACGAGTTCGTCACGTTCGAAAACAATTGCCGTCGAAGACATGTGGATGAAAGCCAGGTACGTACCCTCGTACCTTCAATTAAGGGGACCCACTTGGCGCTAAAGCTCCTTATTAGGCGGCCTCGAGGCGGCCAAAGATGCTGAGTTGCTGACATAATGACACTGGCTGCTGATTGGGTCCAAGTTAGAGCCTAGCCCACGCTTTCGCGGGTGTGGCACGGGCCATTTGCCAAGCGCGCTTCACACCTGCAGTGACGGAAGCTCTTTCGCCGCCGACGAAACCGAGCTGCAGACTGCAGCGACAAGCCATTGCAGCACCAGACAAAATGTCCAATCGCAACCCATTCGAGGAGTACGCGAATAAGCTCCGAGAAGCTGCAAGGGCTAGCAGTCGCGGAGGCTTCCCGGCTGGCGGTCGGTTTCCCGGCGGCGGCTCCCCTCGGGGTCTCGGCAGCGGCCTTGCTGGGCTGCTCCTGCTCGGTGGTGGTGCCCTTATCTTCCAGAACGCCCTGTTCAACGTCGATGGTGGTCACAGAGCGATCAAGTACCGGAGAATAAGTGGCGTGAGCAAGGATATCTACGGCGAAGGTGGCACTCATCCGTCTACAAATGCGCAAGGTCTGATCTAACTCGCCTTCAGGTACTCACTTTGTCATCCCATGGTTCGAGACGCCTATCGTCTACGATGTACGAGCGAAACCGAGAAACGTCTCTTCCCTGACGGGAACGAAGGATCTCCAGATGGTCAACATCACCTGCCGTGTGCTCTCCAGGCCGGAGATCAGCGCCCTTCCCCAGATTTACCGGACCCTCGGCCAGGACTACGATGAGCGGGTGCTTCCCTCGATTGTCAACGAGGTTCTGAAGAGCGTTGTGGCGCAGTTCAATGCCAGCCAATTGATCACCCAGAGAGAGATGGTTGCCAGGCTCGTGAGGGAGGCCATGGCTCGGAGAGCTGCACGCTTCAACATTCTGCTGGAGGATGTGTCACTCACGGTATGTCGTTGATCGAGCTGACTGGCTCTTCTTGGATTCTGCTGACCGCATCGTAGCACCTCGCCTTCTCCCCCGAGTTCACGGCGGCAGTCGAAGCGAAGCAGGTTGCTCAGCAGGAGGCTCAGCGGGCCGCATTCATTGTCGACAAGGCCCGGCAGGAGAAGCAGGCTATGGTGGTTAAGGCACAGGGTGAAGCCAGGTCTGCGGAACTCATTGGCGAGGCCATCAAGAAGAACAAGGCGTATGTGGAGCTGAAGAAGCTGGAGAATGCTCGGGCGATCGCGGGGCTTCTGCAGGAGGCAGGCGGGAAGAACAGGTTGCTTCTCGACTCGGAGGGCTTGGGTCTAAATGTGTTTGAGGATAGGCCCAACGACAAGAAATAAGGGAACGACAGTGCCGACTTGGAGGCGATAACAATCTCCGCTGTATGTATATTGGACGATGCCAGCAGTCCCCAGTGTAACAACATGGTTTTTCTTGGGATGGGCAGGCCACGGAGCGTTGCATCCGCAGGAGACTGGAAGTCACATGCTTTAGTGTGGCTCGAGGAGCACGATAATCGTCTTTGGCCGTTCTGGCAGAAAGTCGCTTTGACAATCCACTGCAAGCTTGGGGGCCGACGTCGCAAGAACCATCTTGATTCGATGAAGTGCTTCCAGCTGACAAACCATCGTTGTCGCTATATGTTGTTAGGCCCTGGGTCATTAGTAATTCCTACTATATATCCATGGATTGCTCTTCCATCCTGAATCTCTCGCGGTCACTTTGGCAGTCCTCTTGGTGGTCCCACTGCACAGCAACGACAAGGCGGCATCGATCCTGCCCTGTGGGTACCCCACTACCCCTCCTTCGCGTTCCTCGATTGACTGCAGCAGCAGCCTTCAGCCCACCTTACTGACATTGTGGACTGGCTCGGCGGTGCTTATCCGGGGCAATTCCAAGGCCTCATCCTAAGTAAGAACAAAAACAAATAATACGGAGGGAGTTGTGCTGGTCAAACCGCCAAGATGCTTATCAAGTAGGTGCGCTCTGCCCCGCATCATTCACGTCGAGACTGACATGAGTTGCGCCTTCCAGGGTCCGCACCCTCACCGGCAAGGAGATCGAGCTCAATGTCGATCCCTCTGATCCAGTGCGTGTCTAATCTGGATGAGCCGGTTTACGGCACATGCTGACGTGGTGAGACAGGTTTCCAAGATCAAGGAGTTGGTCGAGGAGAAGGAGGGCATCCCGCCCGCGCAGCAGCGTCTCATCTACGGCGGAAAGCAAATGTGAGTTGATGTGATATCTGTCTTACGGGAACCTGAGCATCCTCAAACATTTGCGTGAAACGCACAGGGTCGACGACAAGACGGCGGATGATTACAAGCTTGAGGGAGGTGCGACGCTGCACTTGGTCCTGGCGCTTAGAGGTGGGCAATGAGGGAGTCAAAGGGTTAGATCGGGGATGAAGGTTGAGAAAGAAAGGATGGAGTTCGTTCTCGCAGTCGGATCATCAGCGTTATTTTCCCCCAAAGAACAATAGAGCTTGGGTTGACGCCCTTCTCTGTCGTATGCCCCTGGGGAGACCTGTCAGCTTGCCTTGAGCTGCTTCGCTGTCGCTATGGATGTTGAAATGGTTGCGGGAGGGTAAAGGGCTTCCTTCCCCGGATTCCCACGATGTCATCAAACCGCTGAGGGACGGCGGGACGTGGGCTCTCCAAATGCGAGAAGAAGTCAATAGACACCTTCAACGGTTCGAGATATTTGAGGCAACTATCGCATGCTTGGCCCTTGTGTCATGGTTTTCGAAACATCAGAGGGCACCGTTCAACATCTAGGTATGGGAGACCAAGTGAAAGCTAATGTGATTCCCACTGAACTTGGGCAAGAAACCCATATACAGAACTCCAGTATCTCCCTTCCAAGAACTCCTGATGTGAGATTCCGCTGTAAACCCCTCCCCATACCTTTCCATGAGACCTGCCAAAGCCTGGGGTATCCATGCTGATAGGAACCGGTCACCAAACTCCGTAAACTATGAGAAAACCCTTCAAACCTTGGCATGTCCGTCCCAATATCTCTTCTCTGTAATCTCCTCTCTATGCTCTCATCTCCATTCCCTTCTGTCGTCTCCATTCTCTTCTTTCCATCCTATCGATGGCATATCATCCCTCTCCCAGATACTATCGAAAGGTAAGGGTGACGTAGGGTGTGCGGTGATATGCCGGGGCCGCCTTGTCGTCTAGTATGCTGCCGTTGCACTGCGGTCGCCGGTGATTCTAGCTTCTTTGCGTATGCCGAGCGTGGACAGCAACCGGAATCAGGAACGGCGTGGCCGCTTGAATGGCAGGAGCAGTGTGGGGGGTTTCGCTTTTCGCTTTAGAATTACGCGGGATTGAGGTGGAAGGTCGGCTGCATTGGCCTCGGTGGGCGGACGGTCAACGACCTCCAGGTTTGATGGAATGCCGGTCGGTTTCGGGCGTGCAGGGGCCGATGCTGGAGCGGGCAGGCTTGTCGGGGATCCGCGTGGAGGAGGCGTCGGTGCTGAATCTGATGCCCTCTTTCTTTTCGTTGGTGCCACGGTCGGAGACACCTTTGGCGTGAGGGCGGGGTGAGTGGGTGCGCTAGAGCTCTTTGTGGGCAGTCGAGATGAAGGGGGCGGCATTTGGGTCTTCTTGTTTGACGGGGCCGCGGAAAGAAGGCCGGTCCGAAGAGGTTGGCTAGGCCTCTGTGGTGCTGGTCGGGAAGGCGGGGGAGGCCGCTTCTCTATCTCACGGTCGCCAAAAAGGTCGTCGTCCTTAGCGCCGCTGTCTTCATCGTCGCTGAATTCGAGAACCTCGACGTATGCCCGAGGTTCGGCCTTCGCCGGTTTGGGTGGCAGCGGCGCGTTCTGTTTGGGACTCGGGGGGAGCAAGGATGGTTGGCTCCTTCTCCGCGCGTCCTCGACCATGGCCGCGGGCGCTTTCTTGAGCTGACCCGCTGGAACCTTGACTTGCTGAACAACGTTAGCTATACCATCAAATGTACAGATAGGTGGAAAAGTTTCATACGCCAGTCGGTGTGGCGAGCTTGAAACGCTTCGCCTCTTGGGCCATCTCTTGCCGGGCCTTTTGGACGGCGCTCAGCTGCTTGACCGGAGGGGGGCGTGGACGTGCGGCCGCGAAGTCACGGAAGTCGCCCTTGGGACGGCCCTTGGGCTGCAGCTTCCTGCCTTGAGACGCGGACAGGAAGGTGGCCCGGCGAGAGTTCTCCTCCTCCGCCTTGGCGGCCATGTCCTGCTCCAGCTTCGCGGTGGCGGCGGCGACCATCTCGTCGTCCATCCTCTTGTATTTTTGGTAAACTTTGTGCCAGGATCTCGGATCCTTGGGCACAAAGTTGTGCTTGGCCGAGAGCGCCGGGAAGTCGGCTTTGATGAGCCGCTTCCAGTGCTCTGGCCATTCGTTGGCGTAGAGGTCGTCGCTTTCGCAACTGACCTCCAGCAGGCGAAGATGTTCGGCCGACTTGACGGCCTTGAGTACGCGGCGGGCGTACTCGAAGGGCACGCCGGGGAGGCTGGAAACCGCAGAAACGTTGGCCATGACGACTCTGAATGCCATTTCTGCGAGTGAACGAGGACCAGGCATTGTGGAAGAGGAAGGGGGGTGACCGAGAATATATACGGAATACAAGGCCTCGATGGGATGTTGACAATACCGGTTATCACGTGTGCTGCAGGCTACCCTCACCACCTTGCTAGGCCATGTGATGCCTGATGCTCAGACGATTCGTACTTCAGATGTTTTGTCGACGTCAACTCTTGCTAAAAATGGCCTAGCTCACCATGAGACATGTAGCGATCCCTGGTCCGGTGTATGGTATCTGCAGAGGTTGTCGTCAACAGTGACGCTCGAAGCGCTACTTAAACACCCGAAAAAGGCAATTGACGTTTGACAAAGTGGATTTGCTTCGTAGGTGCGTTAGCCGCTAAGCCTATTGTACTCGGTGGTTGAGTCAGCTAGGTACCTACCTATTGTCGGTTTGTTCCATTGATGCACACACGTTGTATCTACCTAGGTAGGTAGGTACATTACTCCACAGTATTGTTCCGTCAACAGTCGGCATAGTGCAGTCCCCGACATACTGTAACATGAGATGATGTCTACATTGCGCTTCGCCTTTTGTTTTCTTTTGTTGTTGTTTCTTCATTGCATTGGGTAAGTATCCTGGTTAGGTAAAGTAAAATGTTCCAAAAGTACGGTAAATTTACGTTCAAAATCTCGTAAAAATACACCAAGCTCAATGCAAAACAAGACGGTATAGACTGAAAAAAAGAGAAAAAAATAAGAAAATCCCTCTAAGGAGATTCCCATGAGCTCTTTTGATGCACATACTTCTTTTCCATTTTCATATGGTTCGCAGAAATGTGTTATAGGTGTTGTGAAGCGAATCAAGCATCTCCATACAATTGGCATAGAAAAGCCCCGATTTTAGAGTGCCAGTGCTAGGCACCTATGTAAAGTTATTTTTGGACCGTAACTTTCACCTGAGAACCGAAAGCGGAAGCCATTCCCCAGAGTCGAGCAAGCCCATGTTTGTTTTGTTAGCGCCTGAAAGGGAAGACCGGGTTAGCTCCAGAACTTCAATCTCAACATCAAAACACCTGGTTTCTCTGAAAAAAAAAAGAAAAAAAGAAAAAAAGAAAAAAAAGAAGGTATCAATGGGCAGAAGCCTTTGGAGTTTTGCGAGGTGTTCCATTTTCTTGCGCAGAATCAACATTTTGGCAGTCTTGCGGTCCGTGTTGTTGCGGATTTGAGACCCGCCGCCGTCGCTCCAGTTCCGAGCTAACAGAAAAACAAGGCTGAACTGTATGTAATGTACGGATTACGAGTACCGTATTCCGTATAGTGCTGCGAAACACGGGACCCATACAGTCAGTCCACTTCCCACCCAAGCCATCACACTGACTTGGAAATCTTAATTGCGCCTCTTATACCTATCTATGTACCACAGTAATGTCAAAGCAGATAACTCGAACCCAGGTCAGGGTGACATGCCAGTGTTATGATTGGTGGTAATAAGTGCCAATCTTGGGAAATGACAATGAATCTTCGATTACACTACGGTAAGTAGTACGGTGAATGAGTACTGTACGGTAAACGGTAATAACGGTATGTCGGCATTGGGTAAAGTAGGTACGGAACCACAATAGTTTTGGCTCAAGGTTCCCCGAAGCTCCTTGCTCCTGACCTTTTGAATCCGACATTGTAGATCTCACCCATTGCGACAGAATTTAGCCAGTCAATAAGTATCATCGAGGTACATTTAGGCTCGTCCTCTACTTTGGCAGCATTTATCACGCGGCAATATGGTGCCTTGGGGCCTCCTCGACGACAAAGAGGAAAACGAGCTTCACAAGTCTCGTCTTCTTAATGTGGAAGAAAAGCCCTTCAAGCGCGTCACCAAGCGCCTAAACTCGCTCCATGCACTAACTGTCGCACGAGCGCGCCAGGCGGCGGCACCGCCCCCTGAGACGAACGGCAACCCCCAGGAGCAACAACAACAACAATTAACCCCCAACCAGCAACAGCGCGATGGCGCATCGCCCGCTCCCGGGGGCGACGCCCTCTCTTCGGCCGATCTCGCTCAGCTCAAGGAAGACATCACGCTCGATTTCGCCGCCTTCGACAGCAGCATCGCGCGCCTGCAGTTCCTGCTGACCGCCAACGAGCGCGAGCGCGAGCGTTATGCGGCCGAGCGGCAGCGCATCCTCGCCACGTCGCAGTCAGTGCGCGACAACACGGCGCACCTGCGCACCCAGCTCGAGCAGGCGCGCGCGACGCTCGCCCAGCGCCGCAAGTTCGACGAGCTCGCCGACGCCATCACCGGTAACCCGTCGCTGCGCCCGCGCGCCGAGCAGGCCGCCAACCTGCGCAAGCTGGAAGAGGAGATTGCCGAGCTCGAGGCTGAGCGGGAGGCGTACGGCGTCACGTGGAATGAGCGGAGGGAGCAGTTTGCTAGGATCATGGACGAGAGCATGCGGCTGAGGAGGCTGATTCGGGATGAGAAGGAGGAGGTAGAGCGGCGGGAAGGGATGGACGATGACGAGGCCGGTGGTACGCCGCGACCTTCGGGAATAGCCAGCCGGGGTTCGACGCCGCGCCCGGAGAGCGGGTTGATGCCCAAGAGCGGGACGGAGAATGGTGATGGCGGGGCCACGCCGCGGCCGGTGTCGACAACCGGTGGCAGAACGCCCGCTAGGGAGAGCCCTGCGCCTGGTCACGATAGTCAGAGTTTCACTGCCAAGCGAGTGACGGATATGGGGCCGAGCTTCTCGCAGGTTGGCAGCCAGAGCCAGATGGCAAGTCGTGAGGGCTCGGTGGACAGGGAAGCCAAATCGGTGCGGGAAGGCGAGGTCGAGGACGGCGAGGATGTCGAGATGGGCGACACCAAGGATAATGAGTCCGAACCCGACAGCCCATTAACGCCGCCTCCCGCAGACGACACGCCGCAGATAGTGGTCGATAAGGAGGAGGATAGCATGGATACCACCTAGTCCCGCCGTGACCGGCGAGGTTGTTTCGATATCCAAACGGGAACAACGTAGCTCATGGCCATTATCAATGAGCTACTCAGCGGCGTATCAAGCAATAAACTACTCGTTCGATATCATATCTCCTGCTCCTCTTCTTCCTTCGTAACTTTCTGTCCCGCCTCAAGCGCCTCCTTGGCCTTCTTCAGATCCTCCTCCGATCCCGTCCCATCACTCTCCGAGATGGCGACCTGCTCCTCGAGCTTCTGCACCGCGTCCACGATGCGCTTCCTCAGGGGTTCAAACACTGCCTTGGTCTCCTCCAAGGCGGTTTTCTATATTGAGGGTTAGGGTTTTATGAAAGGCGGAACACGACAGCCTGAAGCATGGTGAGGGCCTACCTCCTGCTTGAGGATGTATCCGGCGTTGCTGTCTAGGTCGCTGCTGTTGGTCTCGATGTCCTCCTCGAGCTTCTTGATGCGCCTCTCCTGGTTGGCTTGCTCCTTGTGATAGTATGCCTCCTCCTTGACCAGGCGGTTGACAGCCTGCGTTGCAATGGCGAGGGGTGTAGGGGGCGCCATGGTAGAAAGTTGGTTGACCCAAGCTCTATGGAGAGGACGACAGAGACTTTGACTTAGTGATGTCTCAGAGCTTTCTTGGCCGTGGCTTATCTGAAAGGACTCGGCTGAGTCGGCAATCAAAGCATCAATCGCGCTGTTGCGGTTCTGCCTGATCGTTGTTGTTGACTTTCAGTTTGGGTGGGGTTGGCGGGGTAAACTTTTAGCTCCAGCTTCCCAATCACTCTGGCCATTGGCCAACAACGTCTGGAATCAACCTCTGGAGGGAATCCCGTCTTCCCCTCTGCTTCCCAGGTTCTCTTCATACCGGCAATGGAAGTGGACATTTACCGGTATGGGACCCGGCATGGTATGGTTCAGACTCACAGGAAGACGCTTGCCAAATGCTTCTGCATGACTTCGGGGAGGTGAGTGTTATATGCCAAGTTTTCACATGTTTCCACCTGGAATGGAAAATGTGGTTCAAGGCACCAGATGATCCCAACACCGCCACCTCGGTTAGTGTATAGCGCTTCATCAGGGTTCTCGGCTCTCCAGTCTAGGTTGTTTAAAATGCCGACAGACCCGTATGAGTGACCTTTTCATGACCAACAGTCAGAGTCTGCTCGAGCATCTCGAGCCTCTATAGTAGAGTCGTAGACACTTAATGCTTCCGCGGCATCCTGAGACTGTGTACTGCTTCGTCCGAACATCTGAATAGCGCCAAGTTGTGTCGCTCTTCTTCAACCTTCCTTGCTGCTCGAAAGAGCTTCGATTGGCTGTCCCTAGGTGAGGTGTGGTAGTAAAAAGTGTAGACCCCAGCCCAGCACGTGCCGACATACAACAGTAAGGCTGACGAGCCAGGCGCAGGCAACGTTAACCCTTGAAAGTTGAAACTCGAGCGGAGCGTGGGGCGCCAGCCAATCAAAGAATTTCACTCCTCAACGGGAGTTGGTGCCTTGACAGGGGCGATATGTCAGCGGCATCCACCGCTCGGCAGAAAGAAGCCGATTACCGAGCGGCAACTTGACGAAACTGGACACGTCGCGCAGATGGATTTATAGAAGGAAACTAAGACTGCGCTTGCTTTTCTAACCCATTCCACTCGCTCTGCCCTTCCATTTGCTTGAAGAGGCTGTTAGTCACTTATCGCCCATGGTACTTCCATAGACTCTCTCGTTTCCTTAAATTGGAAATCTACGGAGGAATTACAGGGTACCAGTTTCGTTTTCCTTTCTGAAAGCCCGCACTTCATTTAAGACTCGCCCCGCTGGCAGCCAGGGGCGTGCTCGCTCGCAAACATGGAGAACGCCTTCGCGAAATCGATCGACGAGGTGCTTAACACCCTGACGGTGAACCCGGCGACCGGTCTGAGCGACGAGCAAGTCTCGAGGTTACAAGCCAAATACGGCAAGAATGGTATGTTGTGTCTCGTAGCTTGGATCCGCTGGGCGGTGACTGACAGCCTCTCGTATAGCAATCGCCGAGGAACCGCCCACGCCTCTCTGGGAGCTGATCCTTGAGCAGTTCAAAGATCAGCTCGTCCTCATCCTTCTCGGATCGGCCGCAATCTCGTTCGTCCTGGCGCTTTTTGAAGAGGAGGGCGGATGGAGCGCATTCGTCGACCCGATTGTCATTCTTACCATTCTTATCCTCAATGCCGTTGTTGGTGTCTCGCAGGAGAGCAGCGCCGAGAAGGCGATCGCTGCGCTGCAGGAATACTCGGCCAACGAGGCCAACGTGGTCCGCAATGGGCAGATCCACCGGATCAAGGCCGAGGAGCTTGTGCCAGGTGATATCGTGGACATCTCGGTTGGCGCCCGGATCCCCGCGGACTGCCGGCTCGTTTCGATCGAAAGCAACAGCTTCGCCGTCGACCAGGCCATCCTTACCGGGGAAAGCGAGAGCGTGGGAAAGGACTGCCGTGCTGTCGTCAACGATGAGAAGGCAGTGCTCCAGGACCAGGTCAACATGTTGTTCTCGGGGACCACTGTCGTGACTGGCCGCGCCAAGGCGGTGGTCGTTCTGACCGGCTCAAAGACGGCCATTGGCGACATCCACGAGAGCATCACGGCCCAGATCTCCGAGCCAACCCCCCTGAAGCAGAAGCTCAACGACTTTGGCGACCAACTCGCCAAGGTGATCACGGTCATTTGCGTCCTGGTATGGCTCATCAACATCCCTCACTTCAGCGACCCCAGCCACGGAAGTCTCGCGAAGGGCGCCATCTATTATCTCAAGATTGCTGTGTCGCTTGGCGTCGCAGCGATTCCCGAAGGTCTCGCCGTCGTCATTACCACCTGCCTCGCTCTGGGAACGCGCAAGATGGCCGCCAAGAACGCGGTGGTGCGGAGCTTGCCCTCGGTTGAAACTCTCGGAAGCTGCAGCGTCATCTGCTCCGACAAGACGGGCACCTTGACCACGAACCAGATGAGCGTCAGCAAGATTGTGTATCTGAACAACGACGGAACCGACCTGGAGGAGCTCGACGTTGAGGGTACGACCTTCGAACCCAGAGGCGACATCAAGTTCCAGGGCAAGCTGGTTTCGGATCTTAACCAAGAATCCATGACGGTGCGCCAGATGACTGAAGTTGCCGCGCTTTGCAATGACGCCCGGCTTGATTACCACACCCAGTCGGCAACCTACACCAATGTGGGCGAACCGACCGAGGGTGCCCTGAGGGTTATGGTGGAAAAGATCGGCCCCTGTGCTCCTATGGACTGCGACCCCAAGGACCGCGTGCACTATGCCAGCTCTTGGTACGAGAAGCAGTACAGCCGTCTTGCCACCTACGAGTTCTCCCGCGACCGGAAGAGTATGTCGGTTCTTGTTCAGAACGGGGCGCAGCAGAAGCTCTTCGTGAAGGGCGCCCCCGAGTCCGTCATCGAACGATGCACCCACGCTCTCTTGGGGCGCAATGGCAAGAAGGTGCCTATGGATCGCAAGCTCACTGACCTTCTCATGAAGGAGGTGGTTGAGTACGGCAACCAGGGTCTCCGTGTCATCGCGCTGGCCAGCCGTGACCAGGTCAACGATGATCCCCTTCTCCACAAAGCCAAATCGACCGCCGAGTATGCCGCCTTGGAGCAGAATCTCACCCTCCTTGGTCTTGTCGGTATGTTGGACCCTCCTCGGCCGGAGGTTCCTGCTGCTATCCAGAAGTGCAAGGATGCCGGTATCCGCGTCATCGTCGTCACCGGTGACAACCGCAACACGGCAGAGACCATCTGTCGCCAGATTGGCGTGTTTGGTCCCTATGAGGATCTGACCGGCAAGAGCTTCACCGGCCGCGAGTTCGACAACCTCAGCCCCAGCGAGCAACTGGAGGCGGCCAAGAACGCATCGCTCTTCTCTCGTGTCGAACCTACACACAAGTCCAAGCTCGTGGACCTGCTCCAGTCGCTCGGCGAAGTCGTTGCCATGACCGGCGACGGCGTCAACGACGCGCCCGCTCTGAAGAAGGCTGATATCGGAGTGGCTATGGGCTCGGGCACGGATGTGTCGAAGCTCGCAGCCGACATGGTCCTGGCGGATGACAATTTCGCTACCATTGGTGTCGCCATCGAGGAGGGCCGCTCTATCTACAACAACACCCAGCAGTTCATCCGCTATCTGATCTCGTCGAACATCGGAGAGGTTGTCTCCATCTTCTTGACGGCGGCTTTGGGCATGCCTGAGGCCCTCATTCCTGTGCAGCTCCTCTGGGTCAACCTGGTCACGGACGGTCTCCCGGCTACCGCCCTGTCGTTCAACCCGCCCGACCACGATATCATGAAGCGGCAGCCGAGAAAACGTGATGAGGCCTTGATTGGTGGTTGGCTATTCTTCCGCTACCTGATCATCGGAACCTATGTCGGTCTTGCCACGGTCGCTGGCTACGCCTGGTGGTTCATGTTCTACTCGGGCGGCCCCCAGATCAGCTTCTACCAGCTGTCGCACTTCCACCGTTGCTCCGCCGAGTTTCCAGAGATCGGTTGCGAGATGTTCAGCAACGAGATGGCCAGGGCCGGCTCGACTGTCTCCCTCTCAATCCTGGTCGTCATCGAGATGTTCAACGCCATGAACGCCCTCTCGTCGAGCGAGTCCCTGCTGACGCTCCCGCTGTGGGAGAACATGATGCTCGTGTATGCCATTGGTCTCTCCATGGCACTGCACTTTGCGTTGCTGTACACTCCATTCCTGCAGACGCTGTTCTCCATCCTGCCGCTCAACTGGGCCGAATGGAAGGCTGTGCTCGTTATTAGCGCGCCAGTAATGTGAGTTCCTACCAGCTCCTCGAACTTTGTTGACAGCCATCACTAACAATATCGCAGCTTCATTGATGAGGGTCTGAAGTTTGTAGAGCGGACTCTTTTCGTCCAGAGTGCAGTTCGCAGGTTGCCCAGGGCGAAGAAGGAGCAATAGAGCAAGAAGGGGCCGCGTACATAAATCCGTAGACTTGTACAGTAGATAACAAAACGTGGCCACACGGCGATAGATTTGTGGACAACTTCATGGCTCAAACGGCGGTGCCTCGGAAATCACGGTCGTTATGCGGTGTCCCTTGATGTAGTCATATCGTTGGCTTTGAATGCCATGTTGTTACAACGTTCCTTCCAGCCCAGCCCATCCATCGCAAGACTGCAGCCTCCCACTGGCCTCCCAAAACGCCTCTAATCCTGCCGCCCCTTCAGCAACCTCTTGGTCACCTTATCCTTCTCGATGATGTAGACGTGGGCGCCCCAGCCGGAGAGCGCATCGCGATCGACAGCGTTGAGGAGCGCTTGCGAAATAGTCTCAAAGAGCGCATCTGGACCCTGTGCAGCGGCATCCATCAGTAAAACCCATCCCCAACCATAGTAGACAATAAACAACCTACCAGATCCGGCTCCCAAAGACTCTCGCACATGCCAAACAACTGCTCCGTCGCCGTCCCGCTGACTATAAAGTCCTTGGCAAAGTCGATGCACCCGATGCTATCGAACCCGCAGATGAACGGCTTTCCCGTCTTGGGCTCCAGCCCGGCCACGACGGGGCTGATGAAGTACGGGCCGAACCGGCGCTCGTACAAACTGCTGCTGACCAGGTTGGCGAAGGTGCGCGGCGCGATGTGCCGCTCCTCGCGCAGCCGGTACATGTTGACCTTGTAGCGGAACAGGTCCGACACGGTCGCCACGTCGGTCGCCAGCCCCGTCAGCCCCAAAAACACGTTGTCGCCGTACTGGAAGATCTTGGGGAAGTTGTTGGACACCGTCAGCGCCTGCAGGCCCAGCCGCAGGTCGCATGCTATGGCGACGCAGTCCTTGCCCACCATCGCGACGCAGGCGCCACCGTCTGTTTAAATGGGAGCGAGATCATCGTGGTTAGGGAGCGGTTCATCGGTCCGGAGCGGGGAGGGGTGGTTAGGGGTGGGATCGGTACTTATTGAGAAAGGGGACGACTGCGAATATGTTGTTAGTGGATGCCTCCGGTAGGATAAGTTCAAGATGGGGGTGTGTGGCATACCATCTTGGTTCTGTATGAGATGCGCGGGGGGTAGTCGTTGAAAGATTCCGGGGCACCAGACGGGGTTAGACCTGTGGTACTCTCGACTTCCTAACGAGAACCGCCAGAAGACGCCAATTCAACTCGTGATATCGTTAGAATCTGTCCCAGAAATGCGGTGCGGATAATCGTCAATCGGGTGTCCAGTGCGGTCGGGTTGAACTGTGTTGTTGAAGCTCTCGCATGCGGCCCGGTTGCTCTGGGTTGGAGCTGCTGCTGACAGGCTGCCACTGGAGTTGACGTGCAAGGCAGCACGCAGCTGGCGCGGTCGAAAGCAGCAAGGGTAGCCAGTGGGAAAGGCGGTGACGGATGGCACTAAGAGCTGGGGAAAGCTCCCCGCAGTGGCCCGTTCGTCCATGTGCTGTGGCGTCTCCCGATAGAGCAGCGTTGCAGCAGTTGAATTGCCCCTTCATCCTCCAGGCTCCCAAGTTGACAATGCCGGTGACGACTCCTTAGTATTCCATTGACTTCGGTGCACATTGAGCAATTGAGCGTTAGTGATCCCAGTATTCTCCTCTTCTGAATTATTTGAGCTCCTCGGCTATCCAAGACTCAACTTAATACACACACCCGAGCATTTCCCAGACCGGCTCTCCAGTTTCTACTTCAAGTTTCTAGTACCCGACCTCGGTCTGTGGCTGAACGAGGGTGATCATATCAGCTCCCCAACTTCAACTCACACGCTAAGCATACCTACCTGCCATACATATACTCGCCGTATCAAGTGACTAGGAGTATCTCCTTGGTTTCCGTCGGCTTAGGACAGCTCGCCCTAGTTTGCGGTCTTGCTTGGAGAGCCCTAGCTCGGCTCGCCGGAGCAGAAGTGTCGATCTCCCTAAGGCGGTTTTGACTACCGTTAAAAGTGTCTCAAAAATGGCCGCGCATGTTGAGGTCGTCTCGACCGATTTCAGGCGGGCCAAGATCAAGGTCACACCAGGGACGTATCTGGTCGACGTTCTGGATGAGGCATGTAAGAAGCTGAACCTGAAGAGCGACAAGTATGAGCTCAAGTATGTAGCAAACCATATCTATCACCCTTTGTGGCACGATCCAACTAACGGGCACAGATACAAACAAAAGCTTGTCGACCTGTCCAGTCCGTACCGGACATCAGGACTCGGCCCCGGTGCCAAGCTAGAACTCGTGCAGAAGTCGAAGAGCGCCTCAGTAGTGTCTATCGCCCTTGACGTCAATGGCCAGCGTTACACCAAGAAGCTTCCCAGTGACATGTCGTTGTGGAAGGTGCTGCGGCAGTTTGAGAGCACAGAGAATGGCCTCAATATCACAGGAAGGAGCGTGGCTCTGGGCACTAACAGTGGCCAGCTGTACTACGACGCTCCTGTCGTGAACATAATGGGCAGGGAATATTCGGCTCTAGAGGACCTCCAGAAGACGTTGTCGCAATGTGGCATCACATCCGGCAGCATCGTGCTCAGAATTACCTTCAAGGTCAGCGAGCGGACGCTGTACGACGCCATGCAAGAAATCTCTCAATATCTCAACAACGTGGAACCAGAACAGGCGAAACCTGGGGAAAGGGGAGATGCCAAGGATGCTGCAGTTGCTGAGGAGCCGAAAGCAGGTGATGTACCCATCGAGGAAACGTCAGCCCGTGAGGCCGTCCCGCAAGCGAGCGCCGAGGCAGCAGCACCAGGTGCGGCAGTGGAACCCACAAGAGACAGCGAACCGATGCAAGTAGATGAACCGGCAGCAGAGACCGCAGCATCAGCGGATCCCCTCCAACCGACTGGTGTCTTCTCAGCCCCCGCTTCATCGACTCCGGCCGCCGCCCGCATTCACGAGGACGACTCGGTCTACGAACCAACGATCGCACACGCGCAGCTCCGCCAACAGCAGCTGCTTCAGCGAGCGCAAAACACTCGATTGAAATCAGACGAGGAACTGGCGGCCGAGGCAGCCGAGGAAGCAGCCAGGCTAGCCAGGATCACTAAAGTTGAGGTCAAGGTCCGATTCCCAGACCAGACCTCAGCTGTGTGGACCGTGGGCCCCGATGAGACCGGAGCCTTCCTCTACCAGGCCATTCGTGGCGTCATGGCCCATCCCAACCAACCGTTCAAGCTCATCCTTCCCGGCCCCAAGACCGTTATCCAGGAGAACGAGAAAAGGCTGATTGCTGGATATCGCCTCAAAGGGCGGGAGATGTTGCACTTGCTCTGGGAAGACTCGGTGCCAGCTGCTACACGTAAGGAGGCATTCTTGAAAGGCAGTGTGGCAAGCAGGGCGCAGGAGGTTGTCGTACCGGACATTCCGCAGAGCGGTCCGGATGAGGAGAGGGAGGGCGCTGCCGCAGGACCGTCGACTCAGCCGGTTAAGCAGGAGAGGAGCAGGAGCGGCGCTGGTCTGGACTCGGACGCTGTTAAGAAGAAGCTGAGCAAGTTCTTGGGGTTGGGGAAGAAGTAAATGCCGGCTTTCGAAGACTAGCAATTCGCGGCCAGGTTATCCGGTACACTCGGCATGGCAGTGATGTTTTGCTTTTGGCATTGGATGGGTTATTCGCATTGTAGGGCGTTCAGGAAGTAGAGCCGTGTTTCATTGAAGCGTTACGGTAGGATGGAGAAAGAGACGTCTAGATGTGCTATTTGTGACTGCTTTAGGGAGAGTTATCATTCCCCTACCAACAAGTCGCCCGGCGGGCAATTGCAAGTGACAGCTGCCTTCCTGGTACGGTGTAAGCTGATGTGTCCCGTGGGGAGCATCCAGGGTATCTGCTACCCGCACAGGAATGCTACTCCCACCATCAGTGTTGTACATACATTACGCAGCCTAGGATGGGGAGTACCTTTGGCCCCCAGTATCCTTCTTTCGGCTTTGGACGATACGTCCTACGCTTCGGAGTGACCACATCACAGCAGTTGCACTGACTGTGGCCACGTCAACGACTGCCGACTTCCAACAGGCTTCAGCTGCCCCAGAAACAGAGAGGCATCCTACTGCCATGTGCTTGGTCGAGGCTGACGGGAACTCATGGCCGATGGGACGTCCATGCCCGAAGCCCTCCTCGGCCACGCCATCCGGTTGCTTTCCCCTTTCCCCTCCGGCCCTCAACGATATCCGCCTACTTCACCTCGACACGGTATGGCGGTGACAAGCCTGATGCAGGAGGCCGAACACGACGTGCAACCGAATCTTGGATGTCTGTCCTACCGGAACCGGGCCTCCCATCAGTTACACGGGGCGTTTGCAAGCCCTCACTTCGTCACAATCTTGACCGAGAGCCGGCCGAACTGAGCGAACGAATGGCTGTCATTCTAGTGAGCTTTGCCTCCTTCGGCCCCGTTCTTTCTGCACCACAACATCGAGAGTCGGGTCCGAGTTTTTCTGCCTCTGCTTATCCGTAAGCACGATCTTTGCCGCCGGGAGCTTGTTGCGCCACCAGCATCTGTCATGTTAGTCGCTGTGAAGGATCCAGTGTTCGTAGTCCGCTTTTCAAGAACCCGCTGGTGGATGGCCAGATACTTTCATCGTTCTCAGGAGTTGCGCAGCGTTGGACCATGTAAGGCAGATCGTGGCGGAGCTGGAAGAATCCGGGATCCTAAGATTCTGGACTCTCTGCTCGTCGTTCAAGATATCACAATCTGACTACTCAGGTTGCTCCGAAGCAGTCGTGACATGGCCGGATCCTCCGGTGGTATGGTCTGCGATACGGCGTGCGTGGGTGCCCCTAAGTAAACGTTGGGCGTTCGGGAGTTGCGACTTCGGATTTACCCGCCAGTCGCCGGGATGGTGGCGGACGGGCGATCAGGAACGGGATGATCTGCTGGCCCACCTCACGTTTGCTTGAAACAAACCCAGGGAGGGCAACAGCCAATTAGAGGCTTCTACTGTGTGAATTGCTAAAAGCCGTCACGTAGTGTCAGTTAAGACGGGACTTATCAAGAGGCAGCTCGTCGTCTTCTGTAGACTCCAGCAGTTCAGCTGAGGATCTGGGTGTCACATTAGGCAAGGCTGTTGGCGGTCCTCGTCCGGACGGTCGCATCCAGATCGAAATACGGCATCTCGGGGTTGGCTGGAGGACACGAGTACAAACGGGCCTGCAGGTACGGAATACTGTGCTGTTGTACGTCATGGGTGTGTTTGTGGAAGCCTGACAAGGAGCACCGAACGGTCCATATTCGGTCGAACTCGGCTGAAAGCTTGAATCTTCAACCGCAGTGTAACACCTCACTCTCTTTGCCGGGCCTCGATTGTTTAAGCTGCCAGCCATTCGTTCTTCAGCCGGCGATCTAGAAATATCTCGGCTTGCATTCGTTCAAACACTTCCATCGTCAATCACTGAGGCGCCAAGGTCAGTCCCACTTTGACGGTGATCAAGATGCTGCGATCTGTCTTCGCTCTCGCGGCTGTAGCCCATCTGTCAGCAGCCTCGCCGACCTACAAAATTCCGTTGGCCATGTCCAAGGCAATGCTCGAGAGCGACGGCTGCATCCTGCCCGAGGCCTTCGTGGTCCAGAACTTCTATATCTGGACGCCCTCCGCCGGCAACAACAGCAGCCGGGTTATCAACTTCGACTATGCCGATAACAGCACCAGTATCAATACCAAGTGCCACTTCAACGCCACCTCGGTCAACGTTGGCTCGGAGGGGCTTGCACCCAGATATGCCTGCGACAACACCGTCGTCCAGTTCATCTGGGAGGACGAGCGGCTTACCATGATCGAGAAGGCCTGCCCGGAGAACAGCCAGTGAGTGACAGAATCCTGCTGATGCCTCTGCCTGCATGCGCAGTCAATGCTGACGGCGATCAACAGATTCGAAGCGGCCGGCTCGGTGACGCCTCATCTCGTCTGCAGCAAGAGTGCGGTGAACAGCACGGTTGGCGCGGGCAATGCCTGCTCGTCAATGCAGAAGAGCATGGCTGCCAACTTCACCAGCCTTCAGCCGACGCCGAAATGAGCGGATCTTTGGATCGACGGAAACCTGACGGGGAATCGTGGTTAAGGGAAGCCGTGGGACCGCTGGTGCGGCAAGCGAGGTGGCATGCGACGCTTCAGCAGAAGAGGCTTCATGCGTGATTCTGTCACAGGTGGGCCCGATACAGGGTTCCAGACGCCCAAGAGGATAAGGAAATGGATCTAGAATAGACAGCGAGATCTTAAGCCACAATATCACTAGCGGCATGAGCAATCAGTTGCTAGTTGAAAAAGTTCGGGAACCTGGAAGCAGTGAAACTTGCATTGCGAAAGACTCGGAACCAAACGCGATGAGTTGGGGATGTCCCGTCTGCCTCTGGTACGGAGCGAGTCACCATTGGCGCTAATCCCTGTCATCTTTTAGCGCCAAGACTTGCCGGGCACCTCTTGCAGCAATGCTGTTTCCTTTCGTCATCGACAGGTCACAACAACTGCCGTCATCAAAATCCAGCCGTCTCTTTTTGAGATTTCATGGTGTTATACCTTCCAGAATGAAGACATGTGGAACAATCAGATCAAGTCGGATTAAGCTCGATATGAGCAGCAACTTTGAATTCTAAGAAAGCTCAATGTCTCGGTGTCTTACTGCATGGGGCAATTGAAGTTGGTCACGCGGTACAATACAACGGCCATGGTTCCCCAAAAAAGTTGGTTTCGGTATCCGTATCATTCGCATATTCTACACTTGCCCTTCTCAACTTCTGCCTTCAATCATTCTCCGTAGACCTTCCGAAGCATGCGCTCCTTAAAGAACCTCTTTCTGGTATCCCTCCTCCCTAGACTCTCAGCACAGGTCGATTCCCTCCCCCAGGTATCACCACAACCTTCTCCCTTCGACCAGCGGCACCCCCAACAACACCGTATCAGTCATGATGGCCATCCCCAGCCTAGGCCAGGCGGGGTATCAACCCGTTTGTTCGCGACGCTCGAACGCACCGCCCGCCTCGTCGACATAACATACTGCATCGGCACGACAGGCATCTCGCCGCCCTTTTCATGCGTGTCCCGCTGTAAGGACTTCCCAGCCCTGCGCCTCGTCCGTACCTGGAACACGGGCGTCCTGCTGAGCGACAGCTGCGGGTACATCGCCATTGACTCGGGGACGGGAACGGGGGACACGGACAACGTCGACGACGACGACGACGATGGAGGAGTAAACAACAGTGACAACGACCATGGGCTTCCTGGGGAGGAAGGGCAGAGGGAGATCGTGGTGGCGTTCCGCGGCACATACAGCATCACCAACACGATCGTCGACCTGAGCACCGTGCCGCAGGAGTACGTCCCTTACCCTGCTCCACCCGAAGACGGAGGAGGAGGTGGTGGCGGAAAGTGCGAGAACTGCACGGTGCACATGGGCTTCATGGCGTCGTGGAAGAACGCGAGGGAGGTGGTCCTCCCCGCTCTCCACGCCGCGAGGGAGAAGTACCCGGACTACCGGGTGCACTTGGTCGGACACAGTCTTGGAGGGGCGGTGGCTGCGCTGGCTGCACTGGAGATGAGGATGGGGTTGGGCTGGAGGGATGTGGCGGTTACGACATTCGGCGAGCCGAAGGTAGGGAATGACAAGTTGGCCGAGTACATTGATCGGGCATTCGGGCTGGCGGGTAGCGACGGTGAGGATGTACCTTATCGCCGGGTTACGCATGTCGGGGACCCGGTGCCGCTGCTGCCCTTGAGCGAATGGGGATATGCCTCACATGCCGGCGAGATTCACATCGGGAAGTCGGACCTGCCGCCCCGACCGGAGGATTTGAGGTTGTGCCGCGGGGACAATGACCCGGAGTGCATGGGAGGAGCCGAGACGTCAGATTGGCTGAGCCGGGTGCTGGGTGTGCTTGGGCGGTTGAAGATCCAGGAAGAGGTTGAAACATCCGTCTCGAGGCGCGGGTGGTTTCCTGCCAGGCTTAGAGTATGGCAACTGCTGTTTGCACATCGGGACTACTTTTGGAGACTGGGACTCTGCCTTCCCGGAGGTGACCCAGCAGACTGGGGAAGGGAGAAGCATAATCTGACATCCGGAGAGAACTCCGGCGTTCCCGAGATACGGGATCTATGAGGGTTCTCTTGGCACTTTGACATTCTTGGAGGTAGTCAATCACTGTATGTGCAGTACTAGTATGATATATGGCGGCATAGCAGCATACCTGGCGTCGGCGTTTGGGCATCGGGATCTTGGGTCGTTGTAGCGATTTTTACGGACCAGGTTGCATCAATGATCAATCAGGGCTCGGCAAACACATCTTAGTTACATAGGTATATGTATCCGTTGAGAAAGCCTTGGATCATCGGCGACTCCTGCAGCCTTTTACCCTCAGTTCGTTTTCGTTGTCCACACGTCTAGTTGTCTACTCCGTACGACCTGCGCCCATTTTAGCTGGTTGGATGTGCGAGTACGGATTACGAATATCGTTATTCCATTTATTCGCATATCCCTTTCTCGCCTCTTTGAGGTCGCACATCTCTAAGAGTTCGGGGGTCCGCGAATTTCGAGGCGCGTGACTCCTCTCATCACCGCCCGGAATCCATCCGTGCCGCCGATTGGAGGAGTCGCCGTGAGCGGGAACCGGGAGATGACCGGGCTAACCGGAGAGTAAATGGGTCAATGCGGTGGCCCGGACTCTTTCCACTGAGCGACAAGATGAGAACCTGGAAGCAACCACGGGGAAAGGCCAAGTAGTGGCATGAGCTTTCATGAAGAAACAAACGGATTTTGGCGACTCGCAAACTTCTTCAGCGTTGTCTAGTGTGTAACCTTAACGAATGCCGGTCGGCAACCGACTGTTAACTTCTGACGCTGTGCTGTGTTACAGGGGGCAATGCAGCTGCTGGCTGAGCCTCGCGGCATTCTAGCCGCTTCCATGGTGAGCTGTTCTCTGTGCCCCACCTTCCTCAAGAGACCACCCCACTCAAAACATTTGGTGGGGCTTCTGCTTGTGATCGCTCCAAAGCTCATCATTGTTCGTTCAGGCAAACACAACTCATGGCCAAGGGAAAAGGGGCTTCATAAACACCCTACACTAGAAGGCGTGTGACCACCAATATCTCTAATGATAAGGCAAGGTTGTACGGCCATACGAAAGGATCTGGGTTGAGGGGTTGGCCAGAAGCCTGGCACGAGACATGTGTGCCGCGAGGTTGCACGGGGCAGAGATAAGAGATCTAGTGATGTGATACTGGAGTGCGCCAACGGTACCGACAGGATGGAGGGGCGGGCTCTGCCCAACTCAAGGAGACATTTATGAGGATGTCGTGTCCGTTGACGCTGGTATGACGTGCAGACTAACTACCTATCTTAGGTACCCCTCATCAGCTCCTCTGCCCTTTGGGTTGTCTGGCGACAAATGGCGCGAGCAGCAAGGCAGGCAAATGTCCATGACCTCGATGGATTGGTTGGGGACGGATGCACTTAAGACGCTGCACTCCCGGGCGCAGCTTGTGGCTGTCCAAGAAGATAGCCGTTTGTAATGTTTATTGCAAGACACCACTTAGACAAGTGCATATGCCTCCTGCTGCTCTCTGAGGGTTGAGGAGTCTGCGGACAGAAGTTGAGCATTAAATAAGTACCTGAGGGATGTACACAGTATGCTAGTATGGCAAGGGAGTAGATACAGCCTGGCATCCCCAATGATTAACATGGAGTTGCGGTAAAATGACAGCATCCACTTCTCGAGATGGTAACTGGCGAGCGTCCTGTTAAGGTGGGACTCCCATTTCGCTGGGAAATAAGATGGTGTTGAAGTCACGTGTTAGCGCGCAGAGCCGTTGTGTCATTCGACGTCGCTGAGAAAAACAGGGGCCCCATGGCACTGGTGGTGAGGGGGAGCCATGGACCCTCTGCTAAGTCCCTTTGCTCAACACCTGCACCCACCTGAACCTAAACTTCCTGCAAAACAACAAAAACAAATACCCTTTCAGTAACCGACTTCCTTCGCGACTTGTTACTACTCCTCCTTCTACAGTCTCGCATCCACCTATTCCTTTCTCTCCAGATTTCACCTACAACCCATCATCGAAATGGCAAACGAGGTACGGACATTTCGCCAAACCCCAATCTTCCCCTCCCCTGGCGACATGGTTCGCATACCTGCGACAGCGTCGGGCGCAGCCCTACCCCCTTCCATTCTGTTCTGGATTCGAGCTGCTAACCGCTTGCTTTGGGATACAGCGTGAAAGGTGTGTCTCTGTGTTCTCGGCTGTGGTCGCTTGCTCCCCGCGAACTAACCGACTTTGGCAAACTGTAGCAAGACCTTCCTTGCCCGCCTGTGCGAGCAGGCTGAGCGTTACGATGAGATGGTCACCTACATGAAGGAGGTTGCCAAGCTCGGCGGTGAGCTCACTGTTGACGAGCGTAACCTGCTCTCGGTCGCGTACAAGAACGTTGTTGGCACTCGCCGTGCCAGCTGGCGCATCATTTCCTCGATCGAGCAGAAGGAGGAGTCCAAGGGCTCCGATAAGCACGTCGCGACCATCCGCGAGTACCGCCACAAGATCGAGAGTGAGCTGGAGAAGGTCTGCCAGGATGTCCTTGAGGTCCTCGACGAGGCCCTGATTCCCCATGCTGCTACGGGCGAATCCAAGGTCTTCTACCACAAGATGTACGTCTCTCCGTCTTCTATGACCGCGCTGTCTGGGGCGCTTCCATAGAACCATTTACTCACCTCCTCGGCTTACAGGAAGGGCGACTACCACCGTTACCTCGCTGAGTTTGCCTCTGGCGAGAAGCGCAAGGTTGCTGCTACTGCTGCCCACGAGGCGTACAAGGTAAGAGTTGCCGACTCCCATCAGCTATGTGCCGCACAGCAGCTGATGAGTATATGTGAATCCTCGCAGAGCGCCACGGATGTCGCCCAGACTGAGTTGACTCCGACGCACCCGATCCGCCTGGGTCTGGCCCTGAACTTCTCGGTCTTCTACTACGAGATCCTCAACTCCCCAGACCGCGCCTGCCACCTGGCCAAGCAGGCGTTCGATGATGCCATTGCCGAGCTCGACTCGCTCTCGGAGGAGTCGTACCGCGACAGCACGCTTATCATGCAGCTCCTGCGGGACAACCTTACGCTTTGGACCTCGTCCGACAACGGCGAGCCCGAGGCCGCTGCGGCCGAGGCGCCGAAGGAGGAGAAGCCTGCCGAGGAGAAGACCGATGCCAAGCCCGAGGAACCTGCGCCCGAGCAACAGTAAGGCGCGTTCTGTTGCGATCTCCGCGGATTTTTTTCTGTATCTCGCGCGCGCTCTCTTGTATTGTGGGGCCAGAGCCCAACGGTGATTTCTACCCATGGAAGTCTCTGTGACTCCGCTAAGGGGCCCGTGCTATCAACCGGGGAAATGGGTCGTTTGCTGTCTGTGAACTTGGCTGGCAGGCAGACATACTGCAGCCGCACATTGGCCAAGGCAAAGGGTAGTAGGACTGCGCAAGGGAGTTGGTTGATGTTAGGGGGGAACTGACAGGGCATGGTGATTTCCTGTTTTATTTATCTCGACTTTCCTCTTTTGCTCTGCTTCCTTCCCCTCGGTATGACTATAGTCCCCCGACTTGGTATGAGAGGAGCGCTGAAACCCAAATCCACAAACCCACCTGTCGTCCTTTCCAGGCCGAGGGCAATACACACAGCTAAAACCCAGGCTAAGCTATCAGCCTGCTCCTCCCATGTGTCTTCGGGGCCTCTCACTGTGCCGTTCGTGATTCCTATCGAGGGCCTGCTCATGTTCTGGGAACCCCACGAGATTCCTCTTCGTGCCCCAGGTCACTTGGATGTTTTGTTTTGTGGTGATTACACACAGCGTCTTCCATCTGACTGAGCTCGATAATAACTTCCTGGGCCATGGTGGGAAAGCTGGAAAAGCTGCGGAACTTTAGGTATCTTATTAGGTGGGCAACAAAAAGGGCGCCCATTGACAGATCTCCTAGGTGTGCACCATTCAGCTTTGCTAAAACAGCTATCAGTTGGAAGAGCCCTCATACTCTCCTTAGGCCATGTACTGTACCTACCTTGTGACACACACTGTTGCACGCGAGGCTGTATCGCCCTGTCGGCCGCCAAGCAGGGTATATAGGCAGCTATATGTACGAGTTTGGAACTTGCACCTCGAACCGGAGGTGTCCAGAGCCATTTTGCACACAGGAGAGGAGCATGGCACACAAATTGGCCACATCTCCCTTGATTAAACAATACTATTACGGCTGTTCTCTTTTCGTCATAACCAATAGTGTAGTTAGTTATACACCCGAAGCCATTTCAAACATTGACCCTGTTCCTCGCTGATTTGCCAAGCTCCCCTTTACATGCAGAAAGGGAGGACATTCCTTGTCTGTGGTTACCTAGACCGAACAGCTATCAGCTATCAGCTATCGTCACTCAACGGCCACCCTTGCTGGCCTCACGGCTCTTCTGGACTTCCTGGCCTCAGATGAGGCGTGCCGTGCTTCTCTGTTGGCCCCCTGGTTGTTTATATCTGAATGATTCAGCGCGGATACTGCAACGCAGATTCCCCGCGGTATGTGCCCTGTGACTGATGATTGCGACTGACGGCTGCGACGACGGACCAGCAACATCCAGGGGATGGTCCCTGTATAATTTGTATGCACCAGATCGAGACTGGTAATTGTCTTTGGTGCTTGCCTGTGAACCAGGTACTCCAGCTCCATGATGCGGCTGTGGGAAAGCTCAATGGGCCCGGCTAGTGGCGAATGTATCGACGGGTGCACCAGGCCTTGTAACGCGCTCAATTTCGAGCGATCACCCGCCAACAGCCACGTATAACTTCCACTCCCCAGTAGGTCAACATAACCCCCGCCGGGGCGGACTCGGACCACGGCCTGGGGAGCGAGCCGGAGCTCCGAGCAACTTCCTGACCGACTTCACCAGCGCAGCTCCCTAGTCCTTCGGCCGGCTCGTCGCCCTCTGCAGCAGCGCCGCCGCCCTCTGTAAGCGCGACATACTCCGCGACAGCCCCGGCCGCGGTGCGTCCGAGTCGCTGGTCTCGGACGACGGGGCATAGAGATTGCTTCTGCGCCTGGCATGGCCCGGGAAGATATCCATGCTCCGCGCCTTGTGCGCCGGCGCCGAAGCCGGCGCGGGGACCGGCTGGCTCGGCGGCCGGACCAGGAAGCGCTTCTGCCCGTGGCCCGTCGTAGCCCATCGTGGCTGGCACTCTGGATCGGGGAGCCAGGCCATCTTCGCGCTGGCGCCCCCCGAGTCTCCCCGCTTGTGATGCTCGGACTTGCTCCGCCAAGTAGCCGGCCGCGGCGACCGCACGCGCATCAAGAGCTCGCTCACTCGCTTGCTGAAGCGCCGACCCCCGGCCAGGCCGTACTTCTCCCCCGCCAGGCTGGTCCCTGTGCTCGGGGGGGGCGAGGCTGGTCGGCTGCAGTTGCGGCAGAGTCCCGGCTCGAATGGCGTGGCTGGCTTGTTGTTCGACGGACTCCCCGCTCTCTGGAGCATGGCCCGCACGTTGCCTGCAAGGTCGCTGGTTTTCCCCTTCCGGCCTCGGCTGCTCTCGACAGTCTCAGAGCAGGCGCAGTAGGTTTCTTCGCCGTGCATGCTGACGGCTTGGCTCCATCCGCGAATCCAATCGGCCTTCTTGCCCTGGTTCCTTCGGGGGAGGAGCTGCTGTCGCGTAGCTAGCCAGTCAATTGGCGGTGGGCTGCTGTCTGGGCTGCAAGACGGCGCCTGCAGCGCGGGAGGCTGTTGCTGTTCCTCCGGAGTCGTCTGGCTTTCAGGTTTGTCTTGTTCGGAAGCACGGCTCAGCTCTTCCGCCCCCTCGGGTTTCGAAACGCCAGGGGGCAACGGTGATGTATCGGAGGCGTTCGTGGTATCCGAGAACGGAGCTGTCTGGGCCATGAACTCGGACAAGGCCATTGGCGCCGGCGGGCTCTGAGGCGTAGGAACGCTCGTGGGCGAGGCATTCCCGAATTGGTCCATGTCTTCTGTGTTTTTTTGGGCGAGATTCGAGAAGTCGACAGGCGCGGCGCAGGGGCGTGTGGTCTCCCGGATTGACTTCTCTTCGCTTCGGACAAGTCTTCAACTGCACTGGCAGCTCACCCAGAGACCCGAAGAGACGGTGAGACTGAACCGGTGGCTCTGAGTTCGGGCAATCTTTCCTGTCCCACAATGAAGAAATGAACTTTAGAATCTGCTTGGCACCAATAGTAGCCCACCCGGCGTAATGAATGGAGATAACGGGAGCCGGACTAGCGAACTCCTGCCTGTATCCTGATTCCTGTTTCACACTCCGAGAACACTGCGTTGTGTCACCGGAAAGCGGCAGCGTCAATGCGAACCATGCCCTCGAACCAGGAGGTACGGCCCGCGCAGTGAGAGAGAGAGCCACGCTCGGCAGGGAGTAGCATACAGAGTCGGCTGCCGTGCTCGTGTGCGCGTGCTCGTGCTCGTGCTCAATGTCGGACGTGTCTTCGCGGCTTTCCAGTGTGTGAAAAGTGCTTGACCACGCGAGCACGACGCCATGGATCTGGGGTCTGTTTTAGCGTTCCGCGGCTCTCGGCAGGGCACTGGCAACTGCAGCTTGGCGTTAAGCCCGGGTGACCGCTCTCGGCTTGTTCCGATCTGTTCCCGGACTAGCGTCGGCTCTGCTGCAGCAGGTTGACCGACTGTGCATATGTGGGGCGTGCGGTCAAGATGACCTCCAGTCCTGGAGTGCTGTGGCTTATGAACGATGGAACAAAGGAAAATAACGTTATACTACATGCTGTACGGTGCTGGGTTTGCTGTGGACTTGGGTATAATGACGTAATGGGCTGATGCATCCAGAAGTTTGTTTACAACAACCCGGAACCTCGGTATTCAGGGGTAATGTAGATTGTACGTACCAAGTCAGGATTCGCAACACGTCAATCGAATGGGACAATCATCACAAGTGCACATAGCAGCCGCCACGACCGAATCGACCACAGCACCGAGTTCCATGACCCATCCGCTCGGCGAACCGATTGATCTCCCGCTCCTTTGCCAGCTTATCCAGCCGCTTTAATACTGCCTTCTTTGCCCATGAACCACGAACTCCTACGCCGCTATGCAAATCGCTCTTTTAGAAACATGCTGTTCTAGCCATGAAACCTACCTAGTATTGTACCAAACCCCGTGCCTCTCCGCCAAACGCTTTTTGCGACAGCCATTTCAATCAACCAAACGGGAAACGTCATCCTCTTCCTAAGAGGATGGCTTCAGAGCCTCCCATCCGCCTAATTCCATCCCCTCATCGTCGCCCAACAGGTCAACCGGATGCTCCTGGTTCTGTGTTGGCCGCACAGCAACTGGATTGGCAGGCTTCGGCCCCGGTAGCTGTGCTCTTCGTCCCTCCGGCCCTGCTAGGCCCACAAGCGGTACCCCCCCGGAGGCTGCCATCCGCTTCTGAATGGGAATGCTCGTGCTGCTGTTAACCCGCCGAGGAGGCTGTGGCGGCGGGGTATCATCCCCTATACCACCTTGCTTAGCTAGCGATGCAGAGAGGCTGCGGTTCAAGCCGGAAAAAGAGCTGTTCACGCTCGATGTAGCACGACGAGGAAGGCCCGGTAACAGCATCTCTGAACCATGCAGTGTCGATGCCTCTGACGCGACGCTTGCAGACAGTTTAGTCTCCGGGGAGACAGTGGCCGCGAGATGTGCCGGTTTCTTGGCCACCGGGGGTGGGAACTTGTGTTTCGCCGCTTGTGCTTGAGATCCAGCTGGCTTCGATCCAATAGGAGGATTGGGAGTCGTGTTGTTGACCGGCTTTCGCTTCTGCTGAATCGAAACCGCCGAAGAACTGACCGCAGGACTAGGACCCATGCTAGTCTGTCTCCGTGGTGGCGGCGGAGGAGGCGCGCCGTCTGTCTGCGAGCTCTTCGTGACTTCGTTGATGTGTAGCCTTCCAACCTTGGTGGGGAGAGCGGAAGGGTCAAAGGGAGGAGGAAGCTTCCTAGGCGTCGAGCTCGATGCGGAAGACGAGAGCAATGTCGAGTGGTTTACATGTTCATATGGCGATGTCGACATACTGGAAAACGAGGAGAGTCGGGACTCAGATCTTGGAACACTGACCCAATCCGGCTCGTCGGTGGGGACATGGGGGTTAGTTGGCCGCTTAGGGTTTAGAATGGTCTGAGATGCCGGATTGTCAGGTTTGGGAGGGCTGATGGAGGATCGAGCCATTTTCCCGTTCTCCAGCCACCATTTCCGGCGATCGGAGCTGGCCGGCGGGAGCCCAGGTTCGATGGCGTCGTAGCCTATCAGATCCTCATCCTCGGATTCGTGGCCAGCCAGATTGGCCGTGTCTTCGCCAACATCCACCTTGCGCCGCTCGTAGATTTCTCGGCCGATCTTATCCCGGAGCCTCTCGTTCACGATGTTGACAGTACATTCGAAGACGGCGTAGACTGGCCTGTGATCCGAGAAGCGAAGAGGCGCCGAGTTGTAGGCCAGCTGGCGAAGGTTGGACCCCTTTCGAAGGATACGATCTGTCCAGGCGGGGATGCGAGCTTTCTCACTGGGTTCATTGTTAGCATGCCTCACTCAGAGGTTTGGGCAGGTAGCTCACGAGCTATCGTATTCGTCGGTGCCAACGTCATACTTGTATGTTGGCATAAAGCTGATCCGGGCCTCCGAATAGAACCGGAAGGCAAGCCCCGCCATCATCTGGAGGTTCAACTGGTCGTTTTCGAATAGTCGTTCCAGGTCTCGCCTCTTCACGAGCTCTTTGGCAGCCTCCAAACCGAGGCCGATCCGATAATTGAAGTCGCCGAACCAGATAACCGAGTCTAAATAAATGTGAGCGAGTTGCCGATTGCCGTGAGCATAGGGCATCTTACCATGGTCACCAATCCCCCTGTTTCTCTGGAATCGGAGGCCTTGGTCGATGGTGGCATAGTCTCTGTTTCTCTCTTCATAGTTGGCGAATCCGGCCGCTAGGTGAGCCGTCACAAAGCAGATAGGAGTATTTGCGTAGTCAAGCCGTATTGCAACCGCGCCCTTGTTGCCAGCCATGCCAGAGAGCCCTGTCTTCTTGACGCTGCCCTCCACATTCTTGATGTTATGAAGCACCGAAGCCTTCACGAAGATGCACAACGCGGCACCAACGAGTTGCCCGCTCCGCAGGAGTACATACTTCTCGTCCCCGTCTCTGCTGTAGTGCTGATCCAGCGTCCTCTTGATCGCCTGTTCCCACAGCTGTTTCCTTGTGGGGTCGCTGTTCATAATATGCTGCGGGTTGAGTTCGACTATCTCTTGGAACCCAATGGCGATGATTTCTGGTTGGATAGCACCTAACTCGGAAGGCCAAAGCCAGGCAGTTAGGTCTTCATTGATGCCGTCGGTCCTCCCATTGAGATTGAATGTCCCCACCAGGCTGATGAATGTTAGAGCATGTTCTTCTCGAACGTTTGAACCAGTACATACATGTGGATCTTTTCATTCGTGGAGAACTCGCTGCTGCGCCGTTGAAGCTCCCCGGCGACATAGTCGCTGATGGGGTCAAAGAGAATGACAGGTGCTTGGCCGACTAGCCTTCCGAGGAGGGTATCGATTGTGAGTTGGCGTGCTTTGTCAGCGAAGTTATTGTAGTATAACCTGGTAGCCGACTTCCGCACGTCGGCGATAGCTCCTGCCAGTGACATTTTGCCGGTGCGCGTGAAGGACGATTTGAGGGCGCCCGTGCCAGCATAAATCTTGGACAGAGAGTCGCCATTGTCAGCCCATAGGCTGGCATGCCTGGACCAGAAGTCAGATAAGGCATGTTCTCCTCTATGGCCAAGGAAAGATTCAAAGGCCATTTGCGAAATGATTGTCTGGATCAAGTTCGTTCTGTCTAGACAGTCAAGGCAGTTGGTTCTGAAAACACCCTCTTGCTGGAGAACCACGACATAGCGGCGCTGCTTGTGGCCATTGGCACCGCCATTTGACGGTCCCATATCGTCTGATTCCTGGGCGAGGTAGTACGCAAATCCATCCGCCGAATGTTCGATATATCGGCGGATCTCGTTGGCTGCCACATAACCCTGTGGCCCTTTTGTCTCTGCGTGGAAGTCATACTCGGTCGCCCTTAGTAACGCATGGTCCCTAGACTGCTTCCCCTCTGCAAGGCTGAGGGGGCAGTTTTGAATTCCTAGCCGATAAAGGTTCGTGAGCTCATACTCCCCAGGTTTTGTGGCGCTGAGCAGATTAACGACATGCACCGCGCCATATGCTTGTTCTAATTCGGAGAAGTGCTTGTCGAATGCTGGCTGCGTTCCCTCGGCCGAGCGCGTGATCGTAATCTTCTGTTGGTTCGGCAGAAGACCAGCAGCTTGCTCCCAGAAGACGGGCACCGAACCTCGTACTTGCGCGTAAGAGAAGACGACTCCTGACGGGCTCCAATACGTCGTCTCGGTCTCAACGAAGTTGGCCACGTTCCCGTCGTCGTCAATGCCGCGTGAGTTGAACCTTGTTCCAGCTCTCCTGCACGACAAGCGAGATATGACAGTCAAGTACGACGGCAGGCCAGTCTTGCCAGAACTCAGCGGTGCCGAGGTCTGTGGTATCGCCCAGCTCCTGCAGAACCCTCGGATGGCAGAGGTCAATATCCTCGATGCATCCAGCGCCTCTCGCTCCTGCTTCTGAAGTCGAGACCGGAACAAGACAAGCGGGCGGATCATGTACGAGTTCCACAAGAAAGATTCGTCAAAGTTATCTATATCGAATGTCGTAGCATCCGCTGACCTAGCCTGTGTCAGCGACCCCCTGTCATGGAGGATAATCCCGCGCCCTCATCTTACCTGTCCTGCATGCGGTTTGTTACATCGAAATCGGTGCTATAGTAAAACGTCCCGTTGCCAAGGAGCTTCTGTAATTCCTGGCAAGGGTGTTCGACCGGCACATCCCTCCGTCCAAGACCCTGTCCGTATGCTGACGTGGTGTCCGGGTCGAGATCGTAGGGATCGAGGGCAACGACGTCATCGTACTCGGCCGAGTTGAGACAGAAAAACTGTACCGCCTCTATCTTTTCTACCGTCTCGCCAGGCCGAAGGTTTGCGACGCGCGACGCCTGGGTGATAACACACAAAAACACGTCGTTCCCGATCGATATGAGCCCGAGTGTCCCGTAGATAGGCCGCGGCGTGAGCGGGCGGTAGTCGTCGAGTAGCCCGTCAGACGTCGGCGAAAACTCAACCATGCACTTGCATGCGGCATTGTCCGAGGAGGCTGAGCGCTGGCGCGCAGACGATACAGCGGCAAGTGAGCCATTGGCTATGACTTCGCCCGTTGTTGTGCTGTGCCGGAGGATGAGCGCGTGGGAGTTGGAGGTAATCGCAATGGCTCGGTGGGGGTATTCGCGAATAAGGATCTGGCTGGACTTCTCAGGATATGGTGGCTGTCCAGGCCACAATGTTGACGACGCATTGCTGTGGTTGTAATCCATGGCACAGTGCCAGGTTGATGCGGGGATAAGGGCAAACGGCGCAGGTTTGGAGTCGGGTAGCAATGTCAGATGCAGAGATCATTGCGGGTTTAGAAGTTTGACCACGGTGTTGCTGTACGAGGTTTGCGAATAATCCTTTTGTTGCTCGGTGACAGTCCGCAAAGAATGAAAGTCAACTTGTGAACTTAAACGTCAAATCCGGGTCAGAAATAGAGCCGAAACTGAAGGCTTACAAGGCGGGAGTCCGGCAGCCTGACGTGCCTGCCCGGCTCCGGGCTTTTCAGGTGCACCTTGGCTTCGCCCAGGAGCCGGGGGTTGGGACCTCTTGGTACGGATCCGTACACAGTACGTACCATATACAGGGCTGCTCCTGCCGCGACTCCAGTGACTGCAGTCCAATTTGAAACCCGCGCAATTTCTCCAGATTTCCCGGGCCATACGCCAGTGACGGCGTTGGACAAAGCAAGGCTGAGAAACTGGAAGGTGCCTTATTAGGTTCAAATCAACATAGCCCGCCGGCTTCAGATAAAGTGTATATACGATTTCAACCACGATCACCAAAGAAAGCTAGAGTTTCAAATCGTCAAGTGCATCCGCACGAATGACTGCCAGTAGTATATGTGATATAACAACCTAGGGTAAGGTAGTCCAGCACACAGAAGAGATTCTCTGCCAAACTGATCCCAGATTCGGAGAACCAAGCGAAAGACCATGCTTAGAGGTGCGTAGCAAAGAGCTCACGCTCGAAAACGCATCATAGTTGTATTTGGGTACCAAAAGCATGACTTGTAATTATCTTGAGTTAGATAATATGTGAGAGACGTATGCAAGAGAGGAGTAAAGAGACTTTGAGGAATAAGAGCAAGAAAAAAGAAGAGATAGGAAAATCTGCGGAAATATCATAATCTGCTCGCTACTGGCTTCAGATTCATCATTATGGTGAGATCATGCTCTCCGTATACGGAGAAATCATCCTCTTCCTATCATGTTGTTGATTCAATCATCATCAGCCTTGTGGAAAAAAGAGGAAAAGTGAAAAACTGCTAGGGCCCGAGAAAGTTGGCTAAATGCATGGGTCTGCTTATGTAATAGCTACTTAGGTACCACTCCGGAGTCCAGACGATTCCTGGCCGAGCCGCCAACTTCGACGCGCTCAAGTGGGTCGTCACCCGCGCAACCGCTTTTTTACGGTTCTTGTCTCTAACGTCCAACTTTCGCAGGCCCGGGCCATACATACATTCCTCCCATCCTGCCCAGTGCCGAGCAATACCGCCATCTCTGGATCGCTGAGCTACTCGCTGTATCTTACGCTGGGCACCATTACGTTAATTGTCTGAAAGGAATCGGCTTTGTGAACAAGGACCTGTGCAGAACACGTTCGCAGCCTTGTCAGCCCTGCACTTGCAATCATGAGCGACTACGCAAGCTTTGGGGGCGCGGATGAAGAGAGCGCTGAGATTAAGCGCCTCAACGCTGAAGTCGTAAGTCTTTGAAGCCAATATGATGCTATTTCGCCTCGATACGCTCGCCGAAAGGCGTCTCGAAAGTTCCCAACACTGATATCGCGTCGCTGCACAGGAAGCGGACCCCGACAACTTCGAGAATTGGGAGAAACTGATTCGAGCCTGTGAGGGACTTGAGGGCGGTCTGAACCGAAACTCGAGTCCCCAAGCTTTGGCGACCCTTCGCGACTCTTATGATCGCTTCCTCCTCAAGTTCCCGCTGCTGTTCGGCTACTGGAAGAAGTATGCCGATCTGGAGTTCAATATCTCAGGACCCGAGTCGGCTGAAATGGTAAGCATGCTTATTCTCAGTTCAGTTTGTTGGGCCCAGGCTGATGCGGCTTGCAGATCTATGAGAGGGGTTGCGCCAGCATAACCAACTCGGTAGACCTCTGGACTGAATACTGCTCCTTCAAAATGGAAACCACTCACACTCCCCACCTTGTGAGAGAGTAAGTATAGACGGACCGTTTCATTCCCTGCCCCATAACTTCCTGAACCGCAGAGAAGCTGCGAGGCTGGCCTCGGCCGCCTGACGAGAACCGAGAGAATCGCTGAGAAGATACAACCATTACCGGACATGGTGAGAGAAACCAAAGGCAGCCGCCACCCTCTGCTGGGATCGCTCTCTCACAATATCTAACCAGGCTCTGCTGTGCTCAGCAGATCACAGCGCTTGCGTGCTGTGGCTTTCTACACGTTTCCCATTGGCACATACCCCGGAGATGTAGTCCGGCCTCGTTGGATGGATCGCGTCGCTTACACACCGCCCCCTCTTGTATTTGCACACCCTTCCCAACCCACCCTCTTCCCCTCTTACTACCTTGGCCCGTTGCTGACACTGTTTGTAGGCTGTTCGAGCGTGCTGCTTCGCACATCGGCCTTGACTTCCTCTCCCATCCTTTTTGGGACAAGTATCTGGAATATGAGACACGACAGGAGGCTCAGGACAACATCTTTACCATTCTCAAGCGGGTCATCCACATCCCTATGCATCAGTATGCTCGCTATTTTGAGCGTTTCCGGCAGCTGTGCCACACCCGGCCCCTCGAAGAACTCGTCTCGCCTGATGTCTTGGCCCGGTACCGCGCCGAGGTAGAGGCCGAGGCTGTTCAATTCGGCATAGCGAAGCCCGAGCTCGAGATCGAGCGGGACATCCGCACCAAGATCGACGCTTCGTTCTACACCATTTTCCAGCGCACCCAAACCGAGACCAACAAGCGGTGGACGTACGAGGCTGAGATCAAGCGGCCGTACTTTCACGTCACGGAACTCGAGCATCACCAGCTGGTCAACTGGCGGAAGTACCTCGACTTTGAGGAGGCGGAGGGCAACTACCAGCGCATTGTCTGCCTCTACGAAAGGTGCCTAGTCACCTGTGCTCTGTACGATGAGTTCTGGTTCCGGTATGCTCGGTGGATGGAGGCACAAGACAACAAGGACGAAGAGGTCCGGAATATCTACATGCGGGCGGCCACGCTCTTCGTTCCCATCAGCAGGCCGGGTATCCGGCTTCAGTTTGCCTACTTTGAGGAGATGTGCGGCCGGATCGACGTTGCGCGGGATGTCCATGCCGCTATTCTCATGAAGCTGCCGGATTGCGTGGAGGCGATCGTCTCGTGGGCCAATCTACAGCGACGCCAGAGCGGCCTCGACGCAGCGATTGAGGTATACAAGGCGCAGATCGACTCTCCCGCGGTAGACATCTTCACAAAGGCCGTTTTGGTAACAGAGTGGGCGTTTCTGCTCTGGAAGGTCAAGGGCTCGGCTGACGAGGCCCGTGCGGCTTACGAAAAGAACGCCACTTGGTACGCGGATAGCCGCCACTTTTGGCAGAAGTGGCTCGAGTTTGAGCTCGAGCAGCCGACCAACGCTGAGCTGGAGGCCCAGCATGCGGAGCGTGTCAAGGCTGTCTTTGCGGAGATGCGGGCTAAGAGTCGTCTTTCGCCGGCCGTTAAGCAGGAGCTGGGTCAGGTGTACATGAACTATTTGCAGCAGCGTGGCGGCAAGGAGGCTATGAAGGAATTCCTGCTCATCGACCGAGAGCTTTTTGGGTACGTCATCGCAGTGACTTGTAACCCGCCGTTACACGATGCTAACTGGAAACACAGCCCTCAGTCGGTCTCCCCAATCACGAAAGCGAAGCTGTCGAAGGAGAGCGCCGGTCTTCCTGAACTGGATGAGGCGACGCGTGTCAAGGCGGAGAGGCGGTTCTATAACTACTACGAACTGCATATGGATCCAGACCCGAATGCCCAGGGACCAGCTAGTTTTGACTAGAGGTCGTTACCCCGCGAACGAAGCATGACTTCGTCATGGTCGGTAGGACTGTTATACGGTGTTATTCAGACGCAAGGGTTTCGGACTGGTTAGGGACGCGTGACCGAACGGTGATTGGCGACAGTTGGGCTCAGATATACTCGAGGGTGGGACTACATGAGGTCCTGAATATATTGACCCAGGGATCAGACGCATGTAATTAATTCTTTTAGTGAATTGTTCGAGGCATACCTCTGGGACCTTCCGAAGATTGAGCTTGACGTATGGTGTGGTTCCCGGCCCTCTACTCCTATTGTCTACCTATACGTAGATCCGTCTAGCCAGAAACAAATGCTCGACGCTAAACATCACGTCGGTACTAGCCGGGTTTACAGCTTGGAGAATATAATGATCTGTTTTATTCCTTTTCTTCTTATACTCCTTTGGTTGTCCCTTTCCTTTTTTTCCATATCTTTCTTCTGCGTTTTCGTTACTTTATTCTTCCTCTTCACATATTGTTTTTCTTCGTTTTCCTTGTCTTCTTCTTGTTCCCTTTCATTCCCTTCCCCTTTCCTCCTCTCTTTACTTTGCTTTACTGTACTCGTTATAAGTATCTGGGCGATAGACTCACTGTATGGGCTCTTTCCACCTTGGGTCGATAAGTATTATGGAGTCCCGGAGGAGAGAGCGGATTGGAGCCGCAAGCGGGCCGGACCCGTCGAGTTCCGCGTCACGCCATGCTGACACATCATTAACGCGTCCCATATCCGGAGCACATGGCCGCTTGTTGGCGTCCATACACGTGTACCCGTTGCAGTACACATGTATGAAGGTACGCATGGAGTTAACCGGAATTGTGATTTCTATAGCATTTTGGGAGATGTCTCTCGACCCTACGGAGAGCCCTTGATCTTGAAAACAGCGAACCGTTGCTGAAATGACTCGTAACCGTCTCTCGGAGTCTGCTTATGTGTTCCACAGCCTTGAACATGAGTCAGCCTGTCAGTCACCGTTGCACTCTCCAGGGACTGCCAGGAGACAGGAGGCAAGGCTGAGGCTCAAAAACAACGTCCAGCTCCACGATCGGACCCCCAACTGTTGCTCGGCATTGCCTCGGAGAAGTGCTCGGTTCCGCTCACGGGCTCGGCACTCGCCGCCGAGCTCCACCGTTTTGTTCCGCTCCCACGGAGAACTGATGAATGAAGTGTCGAGATAAGATCCCCTTTGGGGGAAAACATTAACGAGACCCCTTGCGGGTCTCATGCTGTAAGGAGACCCACAGAGACGGTTCTCTCCACAACCGAGAAAGAATTGGCCACTCATAGTTTGCCTATATTTTTTTCGATCCGATTCCACACTCGCCATTGGCAGCCGAAGTCCATCCCGACCACTTGCTCTTCGTTTGATTACACATACTCACCCATTGCTACACCTTTTTAAAGGTGACTGGTTGTTGTATTCTTTCTTTTTCCTCTCCGCCAGACGTTCCTTTTTGATACCCATTCTCTCAAGGTGAGCAATCCGCAGTCGACTTTTCCTCTGCAACACAGCTCCTTCCCTTATCAGCAGCCGGATATCACGCCATATCCGCTGACTCCCCCCGCGCCATTCCGGACCACTCGAAGCACCTGATTCTGACAGCGTTCGGGACAACACAGATGGCGACCGCAACTCGTACCTTCACTCGCGCTCTGCGCACTTCGGCCCGGCCCGCTTTCACTGCCGCGCCTCGTGTCGCTTTCCACCAGAGCGGCCGCCGCTTCTACTCGTCAGAGCCCGCCGCGAAGCAGGGGTCGTCGGCCTGGCTTTGGCTCGCCAGTGCTGCCGCCGTCGGTGGCGGTGCTGGCTGGTTCTACCTGAACAACCAGGGCTCTGCCACGCCCAATGTCTTCGCTCCAAAGTTTGAGGATTACCAGGCCGTGTACAACGAGATCGCGAACCGCTTGGACGAGAACAGCGACTATGACGACGGCAGCTACGGCCCCGTGCTGCTCCGCCTGGCCTGGCACGCCAGCGGCACCTATGACAAGGAGACCGGTACTGGCGGCAGCAACGGTGCCACCATGCGCTTCGCTCCCGAGAGCGACCACGGCGCCAATGCTGGTCTGAAGGCCGCGCGGGATTTCCTGGAGCCCGTGAAGCGTGAGTTTTGCCAACAAATACTTCCTCCAAAGTTTGAGGTCGGGTACTGGGAGACGCTAACAATCGGAACAGAGAAGTTCCCCTGGATCACTTACTCTGACCTCTGGATCCTTGGCGGCGTCTGCGCCATCCAGGAGATGCTTGGTCCTCAGATCCCGTACCGCCCCGGCCGTCAGGACAAGGACGTTGCCGCCTGCACACCCGATGGCCGCCTTCCCGATGCTGCCCAGGCCCAGGACCACTTGCGGGCCATCTTCTACCGCATGGGCTTCAACGACCAGGAGATTGTTGCTCTGGCTGGCGCCCACGCCCTCGGCCGCTGCCACACTGACCGCTCCGGTTACTCGGGCCCCTGGACCTTCTCTCCCACCGTCCTGACCAACGACTACTACAAGCTCCTGCTCGACGAGAAGTGGCAGTGGAAGAAGTGGAACGGCCCTAAGCAGGTAAGCTCAGTCTTCCCCTTTTGCAGGTGACTTGGAGGCGGTTGCTGACAAGCAAAACAACAGTACGAGGACAAGAAGACAAAGTCCCTCATGATGCTCCCGGCCGACATGGCGCTCATTCAGGACAAGAAGTTCAAGGAGTGGGTGCAGAAGTATGCTGCCGATAACGATCTTTTCTTCCGGGACTTCGCGAACGTCATTGTCAAGCTCTTCGAGCTGGGCGTGCCTTTCCAGCCTGAGAACAAGGAGCGGTGGGTCTTCAAGCCCGTCAACGCTTAAGTCAGGGGAACGAGGCGATGTGTATTTCCTGGACGTATTGAGGTGGATACCCAAGAGGCGCTGAAGTCTTGATGAAGAGCTCATAAGGAGGAATAGAGGAGAATAATCATATGGCGACCGAGAGGTGAGACTGGCATTCGCTCACGGCGGCGCATCTCGAGACGGATTGTCTTGCCCCTGTTAAGGGCGGGCTTCCGCGGTTAATCTTGGCCGCTGTCTCAATAGGGCTTCTTCAGCGGCTCAACACGCTTAGCATCTCAGCTGTAAGATAGTTGGGGTGAATAGAAGGGTTGCTGGAACAAGAGCAAGAAGAACATCTTGAGCCCCAGATAATTGAGAGGATGTTTGCAAGGAGGTAGACGACGTCGAGGATGTTTAAGTGCGGGGAAAGGGACCATGCCGCGGCACTTGACGCCCCTTGCTCTAGGATGTTACCCGTAAACGCTACCCAGGTGCCACGGGGTAATGCGATCGTCACCGGCCCTTGGGTATCATTGGCAATCTGATTCGTCATCGTGCAGCCGTTCGACGTCCTTCGGCAGGGCAGTCTGCTGTGTACATTTGATCTCCCCGCACTTCCATCTATAACTCGTCATCAAACCGTGGTGAAGACCACCTTACTTACATGTAGATGTCCTGCCAGGGTTCATATGCACGGCCGCTAGATAGGCACATACAGAATAGTCGAGGTCATCACAACCGTCGAACTGAAGCTCCTTGTCTTCCCTATGGAACCAAAATTCGAAGCAAGAGGGCTGTACAGATCGCGGGTTAGGGTTCAATGACACTCCCCCAGACCTCAATTTCTTATCGTTGTTCCCATTCCAGTTTATCAAGTAGCCCACTTCCTACCACCTACTGTCATATCATCCTCACCAGCACGATGGCTGCGGCACGAGCACCAGTGCTGCGGCATCTCCTGAGCTGCCAAACGCGCACACTGCGGGCCTCAAACCAGCGGCGCTGGGCCCAAGTGCACGATGTCCGCTTCCTGGCGACGACACAGCAGCCGCGCAACGTGCTCGAAAAGTACCGCGAGAAGCTCGACCGCAAGGCCCGCGAGGAGGGCCACGCAGATATCGACTCGCTCAAGGCCGCCTACGCCGACAAGATCCGGGCTGTGCGCAAGGAGGCCGACAAAGTCACCCTTCCTTCGGCTCCCCAACAACAACAACCACCATCATCATCTTCATCATCCTCCTTCTCAAGCTCCTCTACACCCACCACCAAATCCCAACCAACAACAACAATACCAAAGCAATCTTCTCCCTCCTCACCAACAGGCATCAAACCCCTCTCCGAAATCCTCGACCTACCCAAAGCGCGGACCCTCCCCATCAAGGAACTAACCGCCATCTGGCGGCTGCACCACGCGTCGCGCGGCAACTCGCTCTGCGCCGTGGTCCCCGCGGACACCTTCGCGGCGATGGAGAGCGCGGCGCGCAACAACCCGCAGTTCGTCCTGCCGGTGCCGCACCCGGAGCAGGGCGCCGAGATGCACTTCCTGCAGTGGACGTGGGACGCGGCGACGCGGAGCGCGACCGTCCTGTTCACCCAGCTGGCCGAGTACAAAGCGCGGGGCGAGTTTGCGGCGCCGCACACCACCGTGACGCACTACAAGGATCTCGCGGGGGAGAAGGGCGTGGTGTTGATGCAAGGCCTGGTGGTGGAGGATCGCGGGGTGAAGGTGGAGGATGCGAGGTGGTTGGTCATGTGTCTGCAGAGGTTCTATGGCGGGTGGGATGGTGTGGGGGATAACAAGGCGAGGGAGAGGGCGGAGGAGAGGAGGAGGTTGCTGGAGTGGTTTGGCAGGGGGGATGGCAGGTTCAGTGTCGAGCGGTTGATGGAAGAGGCTGAGAGGATGGGGTAATAGAACTGGAGAAGAAGAGGAAAAAGAATGTAAGATATGCAATAGTTGGGGCTGTATGTAAGTGCATACTGCACGAAGGGTAAGGACGTACATATATGTGGCGTTAGACGGGATGGCTAAAGATGTACTAGATATTACAGTAGATATCGGGGCGTTAACAGTCCGCACTCAGCCTCTGCGCAAACAGATTCAACGATCAGAGGCGTTTACAACTTTACCCCTGAAGCCCGCTGCTCCTTCTTGGCTTGCTCTCGCATCACCCTCCTGAGGACCTTGCCGCTGGGCGACTTGGGGACCTGATCAACGAAGCGTATGCCGCCGCGCAACCTCTTATGTGGCGCCACCTGTGCTCCCACCCATTCTGCGAGCTCGTGCACCTTGGCCGCGCTCGCCTCCACGCCTTCCCGGAGGACGACATATGCCCGCGGCACTTCGGTTGCATTGGCGTGGTCCTCGACGCCAATCACGCAGGCATCTGCGACTTCCTCGTGCCCTAGTAAGACTCCTTCTAGCTCGGCCGGCGGAACAGGGTAGCCATCTAGATCTGTCAGCAAGTGATATGTCACTTAGCGTCGGAGCAGAAGAGCGAGGGACATACTGTACTTGATCAGCTCCTTGAGACGGTCGACGCAGTAGAAGTTACCGTGCTTGTCTCGCCGAAACACATCGCCCGTTTTGAAGAATCCGTCCGACGAGAAGGCCTCCTTGGTGCGCTCTGGGTTCTTGAAGTAGCCGGGGAAGACATTGGGCCCCTTCAGCCACAGCTCACCGGCCTGGCACACAGAATTTGTCATTAGCAAGAGAGAAAGCCTAGAGGGGGGAGATAAGTATGGAAATTGCATGACCCTTACCTCTCCCTCCGCGACCTCCTTTCCATCATCCCCCACAATCTTCGCCTCCATATTTGGCATCAACTTCCCAACAGACCCCATGAACTTCGCCCACTCATCCACCACCTGGCAACACACCACCGCGCTCGTCTCGGACAGGCCAAACCCCTGCTTCACCGGCACGCGCAGCCGGTTCCACACCGCCTCGGTGAGTTCCCTCGTCAGGGGCGCCGCGCCCGAGTGCATCACCTTCAGCGAACTCAGATCATACCGTCCCACCGCCGGGTGCTTGCTGAACGCGAGCACGACGGGCGGCGGCACATACGTAAAGGTGATCCGGTACGTCTCGATCGCCCGCAGCGCCTTCTCCATGTCGAACCGCTCCAGCACCACCAGCTGCCACCCTTCGTACACCGACATCAGCACGCCGCAGGTGAGGCCGTAGATGTGGAAGAAGGGCAGGATCCCGAGCTGCTTGTCGCCCTTCCCGTCGGGCCCGCCGCGGCTGCGCCACTGGCTGCCCTCCACGTAGCTCGCCTGCAGCACGTTGGCCACCATGTTGTAGTGGGTCAGCCCGACGCCCTTGGGCAGGCCCGTGGTGCCCGAGCTGTAGACGAGGAAGGCGAGGTCGGAGCGCGGCTGCCACCGGATGGGGGGCTTGGCATAGTCCTCTTTGCCTGGTACTGTGCAGCCGCTGGCGTTGCGGATGATGCTGGAGAAGTGGCGGGTGCGGCCCGACGGATCGCGCTGCGGGCCCAACAGGACGACGCGCTCGGCGGCGAGGCCGGCCTTTTCCGCGGCAGAGAGCGCGGTTGCCAGGTAGGCTGGCTGCGTGACCAGGGCCTTGGCGCCCGAGTCGCGCAGCTGGAACGCCAGCTCGTCGACCGTGTACAGCGGGTTGGCAGGCGAGACGATCCCGCCTGCCCAGAGGGCACCGAGGGTGAGGATGGGAGTCTGACGGTATGGGACGTTAGCGGCGGAACGGAACATGGCCTTTGGCCAAATGCGAAGAGTGTCATGGTTCAAGTTTCAACGCACATCGATGGAGTTGGGCGTGTAGAAAGCCAGCACATCCCCCTCCTTCCATCCCCAGAGTGCCTTCAATCCCTTGCCAAACTCAATGGATGCGCTGCGGATGTCGGCCCAACTGTACGAGCGGCCTGTCTCGCCGCATGTCAAGATCTCCTTGGTCACAGGAAAATCTCGATTCTTGTGCCCAAGGAGGAACGACCAGAGATCAACATCGTCGGGGATGCTGAGAGGCGGGAATGTGGATGGGTAATGCATTGTGAGCAATCTGAGTGACGATAACACGCAAATGCTATATTTCCTCTCATCTGTGATGGCTGAGTTGACAAGATGTCGCAGGATCAAATTATATGCCTTATGCCAGGATTGTCAGCCCTTTTGGACGATAACTCTAGCGAGCGTGCCATGAAGTTGTGCCGAGCATTTTGTCTGCCAGTTGCATGCCGGCGTCGGTTCTGCACTGCTGGCTGGCATCGGCTCTCTTGCCGATCGTCCTCGGCGGTAAGCCACACCTCAGCAACGGGCAGTCGTCTAGCATCGGCCCCATCCTCGGCTCGGCACTCCGGACGCCGCACCCGGAGTGCGGGGAGGATCAGGTGATGCTGCAGCCGGCGGTTCATGAAGGCGCTATACCTTCTTCAGATAAGCGCTGAAGCTTGTTTTAAAGTTCCCGGGGCCTGTCAAATGGGCGGTATGCCGTATCGCTGAACCTGGAGTCGTAGAGCATGGCTCCCATCCTCTAAAGTTTAACATTATCCAAACTTTAACTCCTACCTACTACCTTAGGTATCTTCCCTCGTCCCCATGGGTTCCTCAGGCACATTGTAGGCAGATTTCCTCCTTGGTATTGTACCTGGTACCTTATGCACATCGTCTCCGGGTATGAGGGTGAACCATGGCCGCAATATGCCCAGCATGCCTGCTTCTAGCCGTTGAGACAATTGAGCAGCTACTAAATACGAGCGACCACATTTGAAGCCTTGGTAGTAATGGATCGATGCATAGTACACTAACGTTATGTATTGTACGTACATTGCATCGCTTCAAAAATGTCAATGAGTTTCACCGCATCCAAAGGGTCGAGCTCGGATAAGACGCACCAGGGGCGTCGGGCAGGGGTCTGAGGCACATTGGATCAAGGCCACTACCCGCTGCAACATCTTTCAAAACGGCGCTTGGGAATACTTTCCTATTTCCGGGTTCAGGAACCCGGTGGTTGGCACTTTACTACACGTGTAAACCCCTACCTGAGATCCTCAACAGATCGCCTGATCCCCATTGGATTTGCTGGTTCCGCGTACGGACAGTTCGGTTGATGGCGAGGGCCCGGGGCAGTGTTTCGGTCTAGGTACCCCGTCTCGCCCGTCTGCACTTCGGTTGAGCAGACACGCGATAGATCAGACGAAGCTTGCTTGATGATCCCGACGGCGATGTAACCTCGTGGCCGTTGAGCAATGATCAGCGTTGCTGGACAAGCAGAACCCGAATGATGTAAGGAGCTAACTATGTAACTATGTCAGGTAGATATATAAAAGCCATCTCATCACCTCCCAAGAGCTGCCTTGTGCTTGTCTCCTCACCAACCCGTCTTTCCACTTGTATATTCGACTTTTCTCAACAGCAGGGCTGTCTTCCGTTCTATTTCTCTTCGGCCTTTGATACACCCTCTACACTCATTCCGTTCAGTTCGTTCACTTCTTCGTCCCGCCTGCCAACCGTCAAGATGTATTTCAAAGGAGCCTTCATCTTCTCCCTCTTCGCCTCGGCCCTTGCCGCCCCGATCACCAGTGGTGACCAGAAGGTCAAGCGTGGAATTCTCTCAGTCCAGGACTACTCGCAGTTCCAAATCTCTGATGGCGTGGCCGGCAACGCCCTGGCCGAGGTCCAGGCCAAGTTTCCTGTACGGAAATAACATCTCTCAGATATTGCTGTCTCACTACTCACCTCTTGACAGATCGACGAGTCGGACCTAGCCTCGGTTGACGACGAAGACCTGGCCATTATCAAGGCAGCGCGCGAGACCGCGGAGGCGGCCGAGACTGATGCGGGCGGGTTCAACGAGGCCATCGAGGCTGCTGGAGGGAAGAAGACGACCAAAGGAAAGGCGCTACAGGTCGGCAAGATCAAGAACAAGGTGCTCAAGCTGCAGCTGCAGGTGCTAGCGCTGAAGATCGATGCCGCCAAGGGTAAAGACACCGCCGAAAAACTCGCCGCGGAGCAGAAGAAGCTGGACAAGAACGTCGCGACAGACAAGGCATCGGCCGGGCAGACGAGTCAGAGTGTGAACTTCCAAGGGACTTCGCAGCCGTAGAGAAAGTTGGTGCAGGCACCGGTAACTTGCGGGAAACCCTCAAGAGGGGGTTTTCTGTTAATACATAATTCGGGTTGGTCGAAATAGCGGACTGCCGCAGCAGCACAGTCTGATGTGGGTAAGTGACATGTCTTGTCGCCCTCCCCTCGCCCATCTCGAGGTCATCGTGCAGTGGATGAACGAAATAGCACGTCGCTGCCAAGGCCCAAGTGACATGCCGTATCTTCACCTAGAATTACCCACTCCGCCGCCCGAGCCCAGGAGCATGGCCGCCGAGAAGGCGACGTAGGAAAAAGCTTGTATCTCCTAGCGCTTGCGCCTTCTCGCTTGGGTGTTTGGAGCCGCACCTGGTCGAGGCGACCTCGTCGCCTGCTACTCTCCAGTCTCCATAGGCTAATGACGCGCAAGCCCTAGAAGGCTTGCGTGTCTGCTGTGCATATTAGCATTGCGAACACCCGGTGGATGTTATATAAGATTGGGAAGGAAAAACTAGGGTAGGCAAGTGAAGTTACACGGCCAGTGACGGCGAACGCCGACGCCATCAAAATCTTAGGCTCGTCGACCATGCCTGCGAGCTTGCGGAACCCCTTGCGCACGGATGGATCGAGACGCTCCAGAAGTTAGAACGTGTGAACGCACAGGGGCGCTTTGCCGCGCCAAGCCCCGGGGATTGCGCAAGCCAGCAGGGATGCAGAATACCTTAGCGTTTCTTGACTCGAGAGCATCGATGATGATGATCCGGCTGAGAAGTGGCATCTCCCGGCAACTTTCCATTCTGTTTCGTCAGAGATTCTCGGACAACAAATTCTGTGCTCAGCGGCGTTTTAAGATGGAAGGAAGGGCCGAGTGCTCTAAGTCGCCCTACTAATCTTGCCCGGTTTGTCGAGATTCAACCCCAACCCTGAGCTCCGGACAGGTTCCCAACTCGACGACGAGCAGCACTTCAACTTGGCAACCTGCCCCCTCGCTGGGCAACTGGTCACTGGGAAGGCTCAGCGATGGCGAGTCCCATCGAATATCTCATCCACCCTAACCATCCGCCGCCGTCAGCGCCGCCTTCGAAGCCGGCTATTGAGATCGGTCAGAAGATCACGGCGCCGGTCCGCTCGGCAGCTCTGTACCCCGGTCTCTCGGTGCCATTCAACGGATCCGAAGGCCGGGCCCCGGCTCCGCCTCCTCTTGCACGATCCAACTCCGGTTCGGAGCACGGGGCTGCCCCAACGGCAACCGGAAACCATTCCAAGACGCAATCTCTGTACCAGTGTGCCGACTGCCTGCGTAGGTAGTAATTCATCTCATCAATAGGGTTAGGGAAGCTGCTGACCGCATGCACTAGGCCGTTACTCTCGCCCTGAACATCTCCAGGTACTGCGCTCTCATATACGGGACATGAACAGCTCAAGTCTCTGGCATGCATCCTTTTTTGCTGACGGAAGACAGAGACATATTGCCGCACACACCCTTGGAAAGCGCTTCACTTGTGATGCGGGTCTCCTCTCATCGGCCAACCCAGACTTGTCAGGCTAACACGAGTTGCAGATCTGCTCCAAAGGTTTCGCTCGAGCCGATCTTCTGAAACGCCACCGCGCCAACCACCAGGACGACAATGGCCCAAAGCGCAGGCGCTTCAATATCGCGCCCTCCGCCAGCCGCGTGGCACATGCTTGCCAGGCCTGTGCGAAAGCCAGGGTGAAATGCGAAGAGATCAAACCGCAAGTTCCCCGGGACTGAGCTGCGACTGCGTCGGGCCCTTGATCTCCTGCTGACCGCTTGCCTGTCCAGATGTACACGCTGCAAGAACCGCGGGCTGGCCTGCGAGGTCTCTTCGTCAGAAGACGCAGCCGCGTGCCTTGTCCATCTCTCTGCGAATATCAATAACCACATGGGCAACCATGAGTCCACCCCTGACTCCTGCTACGCCTCCTCGCTCACCGTTGGACAGCCGCAGTACCATGCCTCGGTAGGCTCAGCACCGTCCTCGTTTCACCAGTCCGCTAGTCCCGAAGAAAGCAAGGAAGGCATTGTCACTCCGGCCAACCTTCCTTATCCGGACGACGGCCAGCTCGCGACCCCGGATACTTCGAATCAGAGTATTCCGGATTATTTTCAGTCATATGCGCCAAGCGGGGAGGGCTACGCTAGTGAAGAGCATGTGAGACCCCCCTTTCCCGACTTCCTGGGGAACGTCCTATACAACCAACCACTAGACAACCCGCCCAGTGCGCAAGGGACGACTATGCAGCAGCCGATGCTAGACTTCTACGATGACGCGAATCTGGACTTCAAGGAGTTCGATTTCGGCCTCTTGGACCACTGGACCTTCGATGCAACCCGGACCGCGGAAGACCAGACAGCCGGCACAGAAGACTCCACCGGCATAACAGCGATGCGGTCGACATTGGCCAAGATCTGGACTGACTCCCCGTGGAGGTGGTCGCCGCAGAAAACCGATAGCTGCTTTTCCGAGCAGTCTCACTTGCCTCTGCCCTCTCCTTCCAGGGCTGCGCACGATGCCCGTCCCCCCGACCACATAAATGCAATAAATCGGGTAACCCAGGACAGGCTACAAGGCTCTTGCCGGGACAAAATCCTCGCCATTGTCTTGGGCACCTGCCGCGAAAGCCGCATGGCAAGCCGGGTGGCGTCTTCGTTCCCCTCGGTCGAGACAATGGACTCCTGGATTAACATCTTCCTAGCCGCCCACCTATGCCAGGTCTCTTCGTGGGCCCACTACGGTTCGTTCTCACTGAACAGCCAGTGTCCGGAGTGGCTCGCTATGGCCGCGGCTGCTGGTGCCGTCTTAACCCCAGCTCCTCCATTCCGCCGATTCGGTTATGCCTTGCAGGAGGCGATCCGTGAGTGTTCCACGGCCGGCGGCAAGGTCTGAGAGCGTCAAGCTGACAATCCTTTGGCAACAGGCGTTGCAATACCCGAGAAGGTGAGCCGCCTCCCCTCGTGCCGGACCATGTCGGACGGCAGCTAAGAGTATAGCAGTTCGATGAGAACAACAAAAATATTACCGAACTCGACAAAGTCCAGGCATTGGTGCTAGTGCAGGACGTTGGGCTCTGGAGTGGCAACCGGCGGAAAATGGAAATTGCCGAGTGTCGTAAGACCGTCCACGGCAGTTGTTAATTGATCCTGTTCCGAGCTGACACATTGCCAGACCTGTCGATACCTATAGCGGTGAGAAGCAAGCGCCCGAGGGTCTCGTTTTCTGGTCGGTGCTGATATCCCGTAGATGATGCGTTATAGGGGCAAATTCGGGGCGTCAGCCTACCCGGACATCACCGTGTATCCGTCAGACGAGGGCAGAGTTTTAGAGGAAAAGTGGAAGAGGTGGTATCAACTTGAGTCTTGGAAGAGGTGCGGCCTCCAGACTCCGACCAGTCTGACATTGGCTGACATGAGTGCAACTCGAACAGACTCGTCTTCCACGCATATCTGCGGGACGCCCAAGTCTCAATGATACAATGCAACAATCCTTCCATGTCCTACGCAGAGCTCACCCTCCCGCTTCCCTGCTCCAAAGAGCTGTGGTTCGCTCGAAGTGCTGAAGAGTTCAAAATCCGTTACCTCGAATCCGGCACGCACGGCGGCGGCAAACGGCTCCCGACCCTCGGCGACCTCTTCCGCAACATCAATGCCCTCTCAGAAAACCACCACCGCCTTGACGTCCAGTTCGGCGTCTCCATCTACCTCCACGGCTTCTGGTCTCAGATCTGGGAGTACCGCCAGCTCTCTTCCGTCTATTCCCCCTCCTCGTTCACGACTCCCACCGCGGACAACAATACAACACCGACAGCAATGGCCATCCTCCTCGACCACCGCCGCACCGACTTGCAGAGCCAGCTCAAATCCTTCCAAGCCGTAGCCCAAGGCTGGCACGAGATGTTGTCAGCCCGCGAAAGCATGCTGCTGCACCTGCTGTTGCTCAACCTGCACGTCTCCATTGTCGACCTGCAGCTCTTCTTGGGGAAGGAGGGCGAAGACCAGGCTCGCCGCGTCTATCCAGCCCTGCAGCGCTGGGCCGCGACCCCAGAGGCGCGCCAGGCGCTGTGGCATGCCGCACAGGTGTTCCGACAGGGTCGAATGTTCCCGCGCGGGCATCTGAAGGATTTTTGGAGCGTCGCGGTCTCTCATGCCAGTCTGTGCGTGTGGACTTATGGGGTGGTTGTCAGGGCGTCGAGACGGAACAACGGCGTTCACCAGGGGCAGCAGATATACTCCCAGCAGGAGCAGCAAGTTGTGTGCTTGGATGGGGAGGAATCAGAGGAGTCGAGTGCGGTGATACAAGGGTGGATCCTGTATGGGCAGGGACGGCCGGCCATTCGAGGCGTGCTTCTCGAGCATGGTGATCATGGTGATCATCACCAACAAGCGGACGGAAGAGTGGTGGAGTGCTTGCTCGAAGACCCCGCCGGATGCATGGCAGTTGCGCAGGAGATTCTGCGGGCGAACTTTGTGGGCGTGTGGGAGAGCCTGCCGCCACTGAGTGAGAATGTCATACTGGTGCTGAAGCAGTTGGAGAAGGCAGCGTGGGCGGTGGGGTTAGGCTGAGGTTTTGGCGTCGGGGGTCGGAGATGGGTGATGTTTTGGACTCTTCCAGGTTGCGATTGTGGCGATACATTGGGTGTCCACAACTAAAGGTATACCCAGGGTTACTTTGGGGCATGACCATAGAAGGCTTCGCATTTTCTTGATTTACAGGACGTAAACAATGCGGATGTCTACTCGTCCCGGTTCCGACCCCGTCGAGACAGAGATACTCGTAATGCTGTCGGTACGCCTTTTCCATCCGCGGCTTCTATTCTCTGCTAACCACGCGCTGTCAAGTTCATGGCAGTGAACCCCATCCCTGAGCCATCCCACTCTTCGTCTAGGAAAAGACCGTCACTAGTACAAATTATATTACGTATAGCCCTCTTCAGATCGAACTTTTCCTTCATCCCGGACCCAATCCCCTCGGCTGGAAAGCCCCGTCATGGTTCCGGCTCGCGACCCGCCGCTCAGTTCAGTCCTGAAAACAAAAAGTAGACGCACAACAAACCCCAGACTCGAATTCCCAAACCCCGTTCCGGTCCAAACTTCAAAGTTCCTCACTTCCCGCCACAATCCCCAACCCTCCTCCGCAGGAACCACTCCACCGGGACCCTCGCCCTGCCACCACCACCACCCCCCACTTCGCCCCCTTCTCGCACCCTCTTCAGCCCTTCCTCCAGCAGCTGCTGCAATTCCCGGGCTGCTGCTGATGTGTCAACATCGACTACCCTCAACGGACGTTGTGCTGGCGGCGGCGGCGGCGGCAGCAGCAGCACGGGGCAGGCGACGGGGCAGGTGCAGCGGCAGGAGCAAGCGCGGGAGCGGTCTATTCTCCTATTATTATTATTGCTGCTGTTACTGCTGTTGCTTCTAGCAACAGGTTGAATAGGAGTGGTAGTAGTAGTAGTAGTAGTGGGAGGAGGAGGAGGTGGTGGTGGTAGACGGGAGGGGGAAGCAGCACGGCATCCCGCCGCCAGCAACGCCTGCCTCAGCGTGACAACGTCGTCGTGGGAGCGGTAGATCTCGCAGACGCGGTTGTGTGCATAGCTGAGGGTGATTATATATCGCGTGTGCCTAGGAGGTTTGTTTCGGCTGCTGGTGGTGGTGGTGGTATCGGTGATGCTTCTGTGTCGGTGATGGTGGTGGTGATAGTAGTCTTCGTACTCGACTCGCACGTGCGTTGCTAGGGGCAGATGGAGGATGCCATTGTATATGTCGTGGTTCTTCCGCGTGTGAACCTGCGGTCTGCTGGTGGCCTGTCGCGTTGAGAGGGATCTGATTATCATGGCCTGCTGTCGAGACAAGAGACCGTGACGAGGGAGGAGGTATGAGGTTGAAATATAGGGGTTCAACAGTGTCGACGGACTAGAGTACGGGGATAGGTAGCCGTGGCGGATAGTCAGGTGGATTCGAGGCCCGGCGGTCAACTTCCCTTGACTGACCTGCTGAACTGGACACGCGAAAGAATGGGTTCAACCATATGATGAAAAGCCGTCAAAGATAGGAATGGCAGAAGAATGTGGCTGGCAACAAGGTGCCAACGGAGACCATGTATACTCATATCGGCACGCGGCTTGACTGACCCCGAGGGAAACAAGGCTGCCATGGAAAGACAAGGCCTCGACATTGTGGCGGCTCCGCCGCCATGTTCCGGCGAGGCCGCTCAGACTGTCATCGTCATCCACCGTATGACAGGCAGACATTAAGATTACATACGACTGGGCTTCGGCCGCGAACGGATTGCATTTAATTAATCCGGTTGAAGCTGCCAGACTGTTGACCCCACCTGAAACGACATCCCTTGGGAGATGATAGACATTAAGCGTTTCCCGTCTTGCTTGCGCCAAGATGCTGCATCTGCCGTTCCGGCAGTCTGGTTTGAGTGATGGATACGTAGTGTCTTGCTCTCCCAGATGACGAGGACTGCCATGAGACCAGAACCGAGATTTCGCCGTACGGACTTATAGTCTTATACCTGGCCAGGAGAACAGTCGACTTCAGCGCAGATATCGATGTACGAGGCCGCTGCCCTCTACGGTAATCCGGAGAGTTTCCCAGCAATGTATATCCTACACTAATGTCACGACTGTTCCGCCAAGGGGTGCGTTATGTTCGTTGTTGTCGCTGTCGTTGTCCGACGCCGGGGCCTCGGCTTGAAGTTCAGCAAAGCCAAGATCTCTTAGCCAGAATAAGCCTAGCGGCCTCTCCGTCATCCGAACCCCTGCCTTGCCCTGAAAGCGGTGGGCCATTGATCATCCTGAAACAGAACGGTTTGCGGGGCTTCGATCCGCAATGCGTGCTGGCCCCACCAGAGGAATGCATGAAGCGAGTCAACAAGCTTCTCGCCTGCATTGCGACAGCCGCGTTTGTTAGTCCATTGTACATATGTAAGACTTCGTTCGCATCAGCATTTCTTTCATCCATTGCAGTGCGCCGTGCACCAAAGTTCAGACGGGCTTTATGTCGACCGGCGGACACTGTAGAGTGGCTCCCGATGCGGCGGGGCCGTGTGACGTCTGCCGCTGGCTTTATCCCGGCAATGTGGCTCGCAAGGGGAAAAACGTTTGGTTGCTCTCACGGCCGGGGAAGAGGGGACCTTGGACGTTCTTCTGATCTGGCTTCAGATCATGTACCGTCGATAATGGACTCAGCTATAGGTACCTTACTGTGTAGCTTCCGTCTTGAGGCAGCTCTGTTGTTGCCTGTCGCTGGCAGAGCCCAGGCATAGATCCCTACGGTCTAAGAAGTACTAAGAACGTATTTCCTAGTGTAGAGGCACTAGTGAAAGGCGACTGCATGTAAACATGGCAACTGCAACCTCGGACCGCACCAAGCAACTGGGCCGGACCTGCCAAGCCAGGGAAGGGATGCATCGTGTTTACCCCCTTCCTCATGCATTCATCCCATCCTGTCAACCGGGACCCGCTGCTTTTTTTCTCGACGTCCTCGCGCCTTTCTTGTTCACCTTCCACTTCTTTCCAAAACTGTGCATTTCTTGGCCTGGAGCAATTAAATACTGTTTTGAGAGCTTCCCGCAAACCGACGTGAATCACCTGTCGCTGCCATGGCATTGCAAGCCGCCTATAGACAGTTTCTGGCCACGCCGAATTCGTCGGCGCTCACGGAAGACGCGTCGCTGCACTACACCACGACCACATCGAGCTTCACTGGCGCGACCGAGATCATCAAGCACCTAGGATCGGTGCGGAACAAAATCAAGAAGAAGAAGGAGGACGCGCTCTTCGCCATCGAGAACCAGCATGCCCTCGCCCTCGAAGTCGACACCACGCTGGAGTTCATCTCCAGCGGCGGGCCGTATCTTCCCGGCCTGGACGACAATTTTCTAGCTGATCGCACCGTCTACCTTGTGGTTGTAAGTCGCGCATAGCTTCGCAAGACATGTTCGCACAGTTCTGCTCACATTCCCGCTCTCAGACTCACATTGTGACCTTCAACGATGAGGGCAAAATCAAATCAATCCGCCAAAGCTGGGACCAAGGCGCACTTCTCAAGCAGGTTGAGGTGATTGGCAGATCGGGCCAGAATTGGCCCATCCGCGACAGCAAGGAACAAATCAGCCTTATCGCAAAGTGTGTCAAGGGCGACGGGATTCCCGCTGCTCCCACCCAGGCTCTGCCCACACGCTCCCGCGGTAGTTCAACGAATGCCATGCGCGACCCGCATGCGACCCTCGACTTGTTTGCGCCGCGTGAGGAACTCGAGAACGTCCCCGCCTCTGTCGTCTCACCATATGCTGGAAGGAGACCTCGCCAGCGCTCATTTACCGAGATTCTGGGCGACGAGCCCATCGACGAGCCCAGCTCGCCTAGCAACGGTCGCGAGCGCTCGATGTCTCCCAGCAAGGTGATTGCGCCCAAGGTCGGCGCAGGCAAGAACTTCCAGGCCCCGCGCCTTTTCGAGAGCGAGGAGGATGACGCTTCTACCGACGCGCAGCACGAGCGGAAATCGAGCGCCGGACGCGTCGTGCGCCCAGACCCGAAGAAGTATGAACACTTCGAATTCGACGACGGCTCGCAGTCTCAGGAGGCTCCCGCTCCGAAACCTGCTCCCCCGCAAAAGAGCAAGCGTGATAGCCAATGGTCTTTTGAGGACTTCGTGACACCGCAAAAGCCCGTGGCCAGCCGTGGCCTCCATCGCGCCCGCGACGTGCGCCACTGGGGCGAGGATAACGATGTGCTTGAGAACACGCCCGCTCCCAGGGCGGCAGTGAACAAGCCTCGCCGTGATGCAGAGGCCCACTTTGAGCTGGTTGATGACGGCCCGACGAGCGACGAGCCTCGCGGTGCTGGCCGGCCGCCCCGCGGCACCCATCACAACGAGGGTTTGCACCTGTACGACAACAGGCTGCACCACGAGGACGGCACTGTCCCCTCGCCCGGTCCGGCACCGCTTGGTAACATCACCAACCTTAGGGACCGGCACAAGACTTTCGAACCCCACTTCGAAATGACGGATGAGTCGCCGCACCACAACGACGAACCTGCGAAGGTGCCCGAGGACCGCAAGAAGGCGGTGCGCATGATGGAGAGCAACTGGGCCCCGTACGATGAGTCGCCGGTGTCGCGTAAGGAGAACGATAACCCAAGCGGCACACGGGCGGGTGACGATCGCGGCATCGTGATCGCGGGCGATGGCATGGGCGGCAGGAAGGGCACCGGCCGGAACTGGATTACCGGTGAAGACGACGAGGCTCCTCAGCCCGTCAAGAACAAGGCTGGCCGTGGCCCGCCGACCAAGTCGGATAATTTCTGGGATTTCTAAAGCTCGGCATGTTTAGCAAATCGTTCGCTGTTTGCGTCGGCGAGGAGGAACCGCGCGGACGCCGTTTGATGATTGATGTACTATGCGTGGCGGATGATTCATGAGAACAACACCGACGTTTATACACTGGGCCAGGCCAGGCTAATTACGGGGTCGTTCTAGTCGCTGCCCAGACTTGTTTGTTTTCCGTTGCCACAGCTTTGGAGGGTTACATTTAGCGAAGTCTGGCGAGAAACGTCTGTTGGGATATCAATCTGTATCCAGAGCTCCTTTTGGTGTCGGTAGGTTTCGCTTCCGAGGCGGCGGGTTGTTGTTGACTTTAGGACTACCACCAGCGCGTGGGCCATATCCGATGCCCGCGAATCTCTTCTGTTCTCTACTCTGTTGAGATAGCATGCCAATACAAGTTTTATCTTGGTTGACCAGGCGTGTTCATATGGTGCCTGTTTCGCGTCCTCTTTCAGTGGGATTTTCTCCCTTCCACAAACCCAAGGGGTCGGCTTCCAACTGTGTATCCTTAGGTACACAGGCAGTGGTCGTTGCTGTGCGGGAAATGTATGAATATAATATTACTATGCGCAAGTTCCCTGGGTATATACATGTACATCAACAGTGTAACTGACTCTCCTAACACCATTTGCTCCTCTAGCTAGGTAAGTATCCAGGTATGTCTTCCCATAGCATAGTCTCAGCGCCATTAACCCATCATCGCTCTAAGGTATACACAGCCAACCCACACTTAGGTACCAAACCCCGTTTAGCTTCTAAATCTACCAAATCACACCAGACCCAACAGCGGGACAAATCAAGATCAACACAGGAATCTATAAACCCTTTTCCACCTAGGCCACCCTTTCCGTTCCTCTATCTCCCTCGATATCAAAATCGGCAAGTTGAAGTCCCGCCGCCCCGTGTCGACATCAATCTCGTCGATCTTGACCACACTGGTGCGGAACCAGATCTTGTACCCGACATAAAACGCCGCGACGATCGGGGCGCACAGATACTCGAGGAAGAAATTCCGCGCTGCCTCGGCGCCGTGCCTGTCGCCGCCTGTCGCCCCGCCGCCTGGGACGGGATCTAGGGGAGAGGCAAGCGGGTTGGAGGGGACCGGGTGCGGGATGGGCCAGGCGGCGGTCCAGAACTGTGCGAGCAGCACGAGGATGTTGAGCGACAGGCCTATCCAGGATCCGACCACGCCGACCTGGGAGCGGAAGGCGAGCGAGTGGATGGAGCGCCCCTTGGCGGCCCAGGCCTTGCGGAAGCGGATGTGTGCGAGGCAGATAGAGCCCCACGTGAAGACGGAGGAGAGGCCCGAGACGGCCAGCAGCCAGTTCAGGACGTCGGTCTTCTCGTCCAGGTCGGCCAGGTAGCCCAGTAGGCCGATGGCGGAGGCGACGAGTATGGCTACGAGGGGCCGGCCGCGACGGTCGACGTAGCCGAGGATCTGAGGCGCCTGGCGCTGGTCGGCCAGTGCGGCGAGCGTGCGGGAGGAGCCGAAGACGGCGCTGTTGCCGACCGAGATGACGGCGACTAGGATGACGCTGTTCATAACGCCTGGGAGGATGGCTATTCCGGCCGATTCGATGGCGATGACGAAGGGGGATGCCGAGGCGTCAGCGGCGGACTTAGCGCCTAGAAGCTTGGGGTGGTTGTGCGGCACGAGCAGGCCGATAAGGGTAAGGGAGACGATGTAGAAGAGTGTGATGCGCCAAAAGACTTGTTTGATGGCGGTAGGGAGGGACTTGCGCGGGTTGACCGTCTCGGCGGCGGCGAGGCCGACGAGCTCGGTGCCCGTGAAGGCGAAGGCGGCGGTGACGAAGACGGCACAGAGACCCTTGAAGCCGTTGTTGAAGGCACCCGGGTTGTGCCAGTACCGGCCACCGATATAGCCGTCGTTGGGATAGCCACCTATGTTGATAACGATGCCGAGGAGGCTGTATGCCAAGCGTCAGCAGTGGTCTAAACTCGCAAATAGGGGTGCGCCTAGCCTACATGAACCCGATGACGGCCGTGATCTTGACAATGGCGAAGACAAACTCGGATTCTCCGTAGCCTTTGACGCCAAACAAGTTGATCACAAAGATAGCGAGCAGGAAGATGGTGATAAAGATGGCACGATTCAGATCGTTGTTCCAATAACTGACGGTGATGGAGGCGGCAATGATTTCGACGGGGAGCACCGTCAGCCACTGCAAGGCGTAGCTGGGAAGATCAGCATTGGCCACTGATGCATAGGTCTCGGGGAGAACTCACTTCCAGCCCATAGCGAATCCCCAAGCCGGGTCCAGAAACCGTGTCGAGTAGGCCGAAAAGGAGCCGGCGACGGGGAAGGTTACGGCAAGTTCACCCAAAGCTTGGATGGTGCAGTACAGCATAGAACCGATGAAGAGGTAGGCGATCAAAACACTGGCTGGACCGCCGGTGTAGAGGGCTTTACCCGACGCGACGAACAGCCCGGTTCCTTGGCCGTGTTAGCCCATTGTCGGAGGGGAAGCCGAGGGAGCCCGCCTTACCAATGGAACCGCCAATGGCAATCATCTGAAGGTGCCTCCCCTTCAGTTCGCGGGACAGCAGCGTGTTGGCCGTGTTGACATTCGCGGCGTGCAGGTCAAAGTAGTGTCCAGTGCGTTGGTCGCGACTCGGCACCCGCTCGGACGGCGGCAGGTCGTCGGAAGGACGCAGCGTCGAGCCCCGGGGACCGCGTTCGGCGGCGTTTATGGCGGAGGGAGGCGTGACATGGAGACCCGGGTCTCGCCGGAACGAGTCCAGCCAGCGCCGCACCGGGTGGGAGTGCTGCTCCCCGTTGTCGCGCGAGTAAGCCGATGCGCCCCGGGTGCTCATACGGGTGCTCAGGACGCTGCCCTGCGCCCACGAGCCCTCCTTGGGCCCGAAATCGGCCATCTCGATATCGCGAGACGGACGCATGGCCACGACGAGACCGTGGGTTTTTCGGATTGGCCAAGGCACCGGAGTGCTGCCGCAGCTCGGCGTCCGTCTTGGTTTATGTTTCTATTCCCCGAGGGACGGTCGATCCCGGGGTCAGGTAACCTGACTCGGGACGTGCTTCCTTCAACAGGGTTATGGCGTCTCCCTCAGCCAACGGCATGCGAGGCTAGATTTCAAGTTCCCGGCTCTGTGGTCTGACGTTGGTATCTGCGAGGGGTGTGCTACCTACCCTCTGCAGTAGCGTGACTACACAGTAGCCAGCAATCGCCCGATCAGTGATAGAGCGGCGGATTGCTGCTATCTAGAATTCTAGATGCTCGGCAGTCTGCTTGCTTGGTCCTTGCGGCGGCGTGCCCCCCACCTTGACGTCTCAATCATCGTCAGTGCGCTGACTGGCGCGGAGGATGTGAAGTTTTCGTCGACCGGCCGTGTGTAACGTCGCTCGCGCTTCACAGGCATCACCATGTTGAAATGCGAATCTCTCGGACGGGCTGTCCTCGACACCGCAGTGCTTATCGGTGGATGCCATTATCTTCCTCCGCTTCTAGCCATTGGCACCAGCTGAATCCGCCGACGTTGGTGTCACTGGATTGGCTGCCGCTTGCCCGGTTCAGGAAAACACGCGGGCAGATGGCGGAACCAGGGCCAGGGCATGGCCCCACCTGGCCTGGATCGGATTGTGGGGTTGCCCTTGAAGATTTCAGAACTTGCTTCTGCGGAAACACGCCAACTGCGTCAGGGCCATGTCTGTACGAGTCAGTTAACACGTGTTGAAAGCACGAGGCGTTCCGTCTAGAAGTCTTCTAGAAGTCCCGCGTAGACGCATAAGAAGCATAACGCACTCCCCCTCATTTCGCTACCGTCTTTTGCAGAAGAAGCACCTATCCATTTTGGATCACAGTGTCGCACTACTTTGATCTGAGTACATGCACACTGATAAGGTAGCTACTGTGCTAATATATGCACTGTAGCATAGGTCGGTATGTATTTTTTAGATGGGTTGCACCCCTAATTTAGCTTCCCACCATCCTCCTGTGGGGAATGCATGCGGTGGTTACGGGGGACCGGTGCCTTGGGACCAACCCGTCCATATCCAGGTGTGGCAGTTGCATTCAATGGCGATGCCTGGGCGTCTTTAGGGTGCCAGTGGAGGCAATGGCTTGACGGAAATACCGGTGCCTGACGCGACCATGCGGAAAGGTCTCAGCAGAGTCTAAGTTGTCTCAGATCCCATTGCTACCCAAGCGTCCAGTGAGAAACCGGCGTGCCAGCGTTGGTCAGTCTCAGAGACATTCCTTGATCCAACGTTCGCTTAATGTTATAACGCTGCAAATACTTTTGTACAGTCCTTCAAAGTCTTATAAACTCGTTCACGCGTCACTCATCTCTTTTCTCCTCAGCTATCCTTCCACCGCTGTCCCTCGGTTTCCTCTTCCACCCAGTCGAGAACAGCGGTCCCATATCAAAGCGGGGTAACGGATGCGCCTCCGTATTCAGCACAACCTTGTCTAGCGGCAGCAGGTCGTCCGGAGAGAACAGCAGGTAGAAGTACTTGAGCGTCTCGGCCAGCCAGAAGCTCTCCATGTTATCGCGCGACGTCGGCGGGATCTTGTTGGCGTTGGACAGGCTCGTAAAGCCGCCCCCTTCCTCGACAGCCGTGTAGTTCATGAAGCTCTTGAACATCTCCCAGCCCCAGTCCCGGTATTTGGTCTCGCCCGTGATGCGCCACATGTATAAGAGGCTCTCTACCGTCTCGGGCCTCTGCAAGTTATGGCTGTCCATCGGCTTGACATCGTAGTCCTTCCGCCACTCGGCGTCCGGAGAGGGATCGAACTCCGGGGGTGCCTGATGCGGCGCGGATTCGGGAAGCGGCGGCTTTCCAATGTTGAAGTAGGTGATTTCGGCGGCGAGGCCGGTCGCCATCCACTTGTACATTCCCCAACAGGTGTGCATGAGCTCGCGCGCCAGTTGCATATCAGCTTCGTCTTGCTTGGTCCATGTTGGCAGCTTCTTGGCTTCTTTTTCTGTAAGGCCGCCCGTCACCGCCAGCGCGATGGTGCCTGGCATGAAGCAGACAAGGTGGTCCATCTTTGGTGAGAGTTCGCCTTCCAGGCCACTCGGCCTTTCGCCGATGATAGTGAACCGAGATGGCTCAGTGTAGGTGATGAGGTGCTTCCGCACGCCCTGCAACGCCTCGCGCCACATATCCTGGTAGACTGGCTCTTGCTTGTTGGTTTGGAGATACTGCTTGATCAGGTACTCGTAGTACGAGTCACCGCGGCTGCCCAGTCGGATATTATTGGTGTGGAACTTGCCCGTTGTCGCGAAAATAAAGATGGGCACTAAGCCGTCCACGGCATCATTGTCGTCCACCAGCTTCATGACCTTCTCAGCCTTGTCCCAGAATTCCTTCTCGCCTGTCAACTTGGCGAGGTACTTGAACTCCAATTGCAACGTCGTCGTCTCGGCCGTGGATGACGCTCCGAGGTCAGCGTGTGACAGAATACCCTTATACTTAGCCAGGTTCACGCTGGCATACGGGATCCCAGACGGCGAATCAAACGCGGCCATCAGCCTGTCCGCCAGATCTTTCGCCTTTTCGAGGTACAGATCCTCTCCTGCTGTCCCCGGGTCATCGTCCGCAATCGGCGCCAGATTCGGGTACTCGGTCGAGAGATAGTGCGCCGACAGCAGCCCTCCCAACATCCGAATCGTCGTCTCAAACGTGTTGACATCCTGGTCCTGGTCCCAAGTCAGCGACTTTGACAGCCACTCTCGCGCATGTGTCAGCCGGCTCGTCAGGTTCATCAGCATGAGCGTATCGAGCGAGTCGATGATGATCCAGCCAAGCCCCTTGGGCGCCATCTGCTCGCCTTTCTTGGACTCAGGATGAAACACATCGTAACCTGCGACCACGAAGTCAGCACTTCAAACTCTCCCCTTTTTCCCCAGTTCTCCTTCTACCCGGAATGACGCAAGAGAAATAACCCACCCCAAGCGTATCTCTCATAAGCATCCCAACTCAACTCCATCGCCTCGACCACCCTCTCCCTCCGCTTCAGCCAATCCACCTTCCTCCTGGCCCGCCCGGTCCCGCCCTCCTCCCCTTCCTGCCTCAGCCACCCCCATTGGTCCAGCTTCCTCACCGCGCGCTCCTGATGTCCCGCGAACAAACCCGTCCACCACACCAGCCCCAGCAGAACCAGCATCAGCATCCCACAAGTCCGCTTCCGTCGGTACAAGGGCGCCCTCCACCCCGCTGCTCCCCCTCCCCTCCCGGGAGGGTACATGTACGGCTTATCCTTGTACATGGGCAGCGCGGCGCGGGTGTTGTTGCCGTGCGGCGAGAGGAAATTTTGGACGCCGCCAATCACGGAGGACCGCTGGCGAGAGGAGGACGAGGTGGAGGACGAGGAGGCGGCCCACAGGCGGTCTTCGAGCTGACGCTGCGGATTGGTGAAAGAAGGGACATTTTTCGGGACGGCGAACGACATGTCCTTATCCTTGGCCTTGGCCTTTCCCTTGGCCTTATCCTTGGCCTGGGACTGCTTTTCTATGTCGATAGACTGCCTCTGCTGCTGCGGGCGTGCTTCGTTATCCCCGTCGTTGTCGCCGTCGTCGAGTGCGGCGGCAGCGGCTGCTGCTGCCTCGCCGAGGACTTGCTGGGCGGACTGGACCGCTTCGCCTGCTTTCTCGCGAAGGTCGGCGGCTGCGGATTGGGTCGCGGTCGCGGCGGTTCGGATGATATGGTGCAGCGGGGAGAGGTTGTTGGCGGTTGGAGCGTGGGAGTTCCTGTTGCTCGGCTTCCAAGTGGCAATTGGAGGGCGGTTCAGGCTGCCAGGGCGGAGGTTGAAGGGGTCTCGAACGTTCATTGAAATGCAGTGGCTCCTGGCTGACACCACATGGCGGAGGCTGTCACAGCTCGCGAACAATCAAAGCAGGTTGGGAGCTGCAAGCGCCCTGGACGGGGAAAAGAGACGTGTTAATGACGACGACGGGCAAATATACAGAGCACCGTAATGGTTTACGGTCATGTTGTAAAAGACACGCAACGGGAGCTCCCGTTGCAAGGTGCACAGACCAGGGCCAGCCGGGCGGCCCTAACCCTGGCCCTGAACTTCTTCAACTCTAGCTCGATCCTCAGCCGGACAGGCCAACCATCCAAACCACTTGAAGTTGAATGGAGAGACAAGGAAGATGAATGAATACTCATTCGTTCCTTTTGATGTGAAATTAAATCCTGCCTCAACCGTCCTTATTGTTGGGACTTATATCCGCCGACATACCTGAAGACCGCAGAACAGAGCCCACAACTCTCCACGTACACTCATCATGGATCAACCACAACAGCCCCTCTCCTCAGAATTCCGGAACTACCCCTTCTTAACCGGAGAAGAGTTCGCAGAAGTATGCCACCACCTCGAAAGAAGATACTGCCAAGCCACGCTGGGCCCCATCCGGCGAAGGTGGAAGCTGAGGGTGTGCTCGGCGCTCAACACAGCCTTCGCGTTGGGCCCGGAATACAACACATTTCTCCAGATCGTCAGGCCGCTGGACGAAGAATTGGACAACGACGGTGATTTATCCAAGTTCCTGGACAACCTCTCCTTTGATGATCACGATGGTCACAGACACGGCGGGACAGGGCCGATGGATGAGGAAATGGAAGGGATGGAGGCGGGAAGGGAGATGATGGAGGCGGAGGAGGCGGATCAGGTTGGTAGCTCGGTTCCAGTCGTCTCATTCTCCAAAAATATCTTAACTCATACGCAAAAAAGGCCGTTCTGCCAAGAAGTCACGACCCTGCCGCCGCTGTGTCTATTGGCCGTGTCAGATACGAAATCCATCTGCACCCGACATACCAGGCGCCCTGCCTGTGGTTCAGTCTACACGACCTGCCTGTCGACGAACAAGCGCTGAGCATCGACACGGTTTTCAGGCGGCTTGTGCCAGAGCAGTACAAAAAGGGGCTGCGCGGCAGCGGGGGTGGGATCGGCGGCATATCGGTCGACGTATGTCCCTCTTCCGTTTCTTGTCTTTCTTTTTATTGGATTTGATTGTGGTTGCTAGATAGCTAGGCGATCGTTAACCGTGTGATCCTGCATGTGGATGAGCTTTCAGGTTCTCGACTAACACAAACCATTCTTCTTCTGCAGCATCACCCGGTTACAGGTGTCCCTTCCTTTTTTGTCCACCCCTGTCTCCTGGGCGAAGCAATGGCTAAGTTCGACTGCTCCAAGGAGGACTACCTCATGGTGTGGCTCGGACTGGTCGGGGGTTGTGTGGGCCTGTGGGTGCCCGCTGAGATGGCGCTAGAGTCATAGGCCGAGGGTGCCGGAGCGAGCATCTTGCGTTACCCAGGGCTGCTACCATGGGTTGGGGGTATCATTCGTCGTCGCTCTCCTCCTCCATGGCCACATCCTGGTCACTCTCATCCTCTGGCCCCTCTTCCTCTCTCGGCCGCTTTACCCCGCGGCTTTCGGGAGTGCCAGCATCTGTCATGGCGTGATCAGCCCCTGATGGCTTGGACGGGAGACCGGCCGCCGCTGAAGGCGCCCCAGGTACAGGGGCATTGAAGATGCTCTGCTGGAGATCGGTGACCTCGACCCGCGCCGCGGATGAGGCTGCCGGGGTCTTGAAAGTGCCGTCGAGCTTGGCGACGATGTTGGATTTGGACTTGGCATACGAGATTTTCTGCGTCGAGTTAGCAACCCTGCATATAGCCTTCCGGCGACGATGGGAAGCGCACCATCGGGCGCCCAAAAAACTCAAACCCGTCCAATGACCGCATCGCCTGTGTCGCCGTCTGAATGTCCTTGTACACGATGTGAGCCTGGCCTCGCATCTTCATCGTCTTCAGCGCGACGACATCCAGAACCGCGCCGTAGGTGGAGAATAGCATGTAGAGAGCCGTCCGCAAGTCTTCTTTCTGGATTTTGGCTGACGGGAGGTTGGTGACGTAGAGGGTTTGGTTCGGAGGCACTGAGGCGACCTTTGCCGGGAGCCCTGGCGGCGGCGCGCTGCGAGTGGCCATTGTCGCGCTCCTTTGGTGTATTCAGCTCCGTGAGATTTTTGCTGGAGAAGTCTTCGCGCAATTGATCCAACAGAGCGCGACAATGTTGAGGATGTAGTCCATACGGTCGTCCGTCACGGTCCCTGTCTTCTGCGAAGCATTTGACTGGACCCAAACCAGCACGTGTGTACGGTACGTAACCATACGCGTTGCTCACGTGATAGCTTCCAGTTTGGGTAATTTACACAGCCTGAGTACGAAATGCAGCCGACGGGAGCTGTGGTGGGGTCAATTAGGGGCCATAGCTTGGCATGTCGACTTAGCGCGCGGAGGCCATGCCCGGTCAACGTCAGCTCACCTTCCGCTCTCACCTAAGAACAACCTCAACACTGGCACTGGTGAGCGGTAGTAGAGAGCTACTCCTATCGCCCGCACAGCACTGACAGAATGGCGGCCCCCGAAGTCCACCACCTCTTCCACGCGCCGATTGCCGACCACTCGTTCTCGGCCGACCGCAAGACGTTGGCGATTGCTCGTGACACAACCGTCGAACTCTATGGCAGGGTCGGCAATGCCTTCAAGCTGAAGGACGAACTCAAGGGGCACGACAAGACTGTCACCAGCATCGACATTGCACCTAACTCGGGTCGCATTGTATCGTGCTCGCAGGGCAAGTCCGCGCTGCGTCGGGTACCATACCGATAGGAGGCACACCCAGCTAACCAAAGCACCAGACCGCAACGCCCTCGTCTGGGAGCCGACGCCCCAGGGTTACAAGCCGACCCTTGTTTTGCTGCGCATTAACCGCGCCGCCACCTTTGTCCGTTGGTCGCCGTCCGAGACCAAGTTCGCCGTCGGCTCCGGAGACCGGCTCATCGCTGTGTGCTACTTTGAGGAAGAGAACGACTGGTGGGTGTCGAAGCACCTGAAGAAACCCATCCGTAGCACGGTCACCACTCTGGCTTGGCATCCCAACTCGGTGCTTCTCGCTGCCGGCTCGACCGATGCGCACGCCCGCGTCTTCTCCAGCTTCATCAAGGGTGTTGATGCTCGGCCAGAGCCCACCGCGTGGGGCGAGAGGCTTCCGTTCAACACCGTCTGCGGCGAGTACATGAACAACTCAGCTGGCTGGATCCACTCCGTCGCCTTCTCGCCCAGCGGCGACGCCCTGGCCTTTGCCGCGCATGACAGCAGCATCACGGTCGTCTACCCGAACGCCCCTGAGCAGCCGCCCAAGGCTGTCGTCAGCATCAACACGCAGCTGCTGCCCTTCATGAGCCTGATCTGGAATGGAGAGGACGAAATCATTGCTGCTGGCTACGACTGCGAGGCTTTCCGCTTCCGGGGCGGCAGCGAGGGCTGGCAGCTGACTGGCGCGCTCGAAGCCAAGGGGCGTCCTGGTCTGGGCGACCAGCGGGAGGAATCCGCCTTGAACATGTTCAGGCAGATGGATCTGAAAGGCAAGGTCAAGGATGACACACAGCTCAAGACGGTCCATCAGAACACCATCACAACGATCCGGCCGTACGAAACGTCTGGGCCGTCCGTGAGGCAGTTTAGCTGTAGGTCCTTTTTACCGTTTTTCAGAATGTTCAGTCTGGCTGACTAGATACAGCGAGCGGAGTCGATGGGCGCGTTGTCATATGGACCGTGTAGACATATGTAGAAGCACAAGCCTGAAAAGATCAATGAGATGCTCCCTGTCTGAGACAGCCACTTTGATTTAGTATCGACGACATTGGCCTGCTTGAACCAGAGAACGGGCACTGTTCCGATTCGTCGTCAGGAAGCTCACACTTTCCATGCGCCATCTACTCCTTGTCTGTGATATGGCTATAAGAGCTGTGGTGACAAGCCGCTGGAGGCCACGCCCGGTACGCAACAGTCACTGCGGGGACCGAAACTAGCATCGTGAACATTCGAGCTATGAGCTTTCAACGTTCTTCAGATAAACCGGAGTCGCCCAGCGGGCTTATTTACTGCCCCATGGACAGGAATGGCAACTCATACTCTAGGCCCACATCACCGTCAATTGCGTTCGGTAGTTACAATGCAACACGGCAACTTGAAAACGAAGATGCCGCTATTCCCGCCACCAACCGTCGTGTCTTCAAACCGATCAATTGGCAGGGCCCAGCTTCTAGGTGCGAACACGAGCGAAGCACTCCAAGCCTAGGGACCGTCGAAGCCGACCCTGTCGATATTACCACGGCTCCCGGGACTGGGAATCACATCATCATCTGGGACTCTAATCTTAGTGTCAACTACTCTGACCTAGTCAGTCCTCAAACGCATTTTGAGGAGAATCCTCCGTCGCAGCCCTCGCTCCCTCCTTGGCCACAGTCCCAATACTACCCCGACCTAGCTCACCCGTCTCCCATTAGACACCATCCCAGGTCGGCATGCCTGGATCCAGTAGACTACGCCACCTAAATGCCGCCGCTCTCCTCTTCACCAGCAGCCACAATCACAGAGATCCAGGACGTCTGTCTCGCCGCCACACAGAGATATATCCTCACCCGCGCAGCCGTGGAGGCACATCCTCAGGAAAGCCGACAGAACACGTTCTCGGCCATAATATCAAGGAGAAGCACGACGCTCGGTCCCATCCGCCACATCCGCTCCCAGCATCGCCACGCCCCTTACCCCGTTCTCTCCATGTCTCACTCACGATCCGCCTCGGCGGCCCGTGAATGTCGGCCAATGGCAACAACACAACAACACATGCCCCATCAAGCCCGAAAGCTCGAACAACTAAGTACCCGGGCAATCCCATATTTCCCACAATCACAACCTCACTGCTGCACAACGCAAGCACAATCAGCACGCTGATCTGGCAACAGCAGCAAGACGGTGGCAGCCCCGCTGCCGAGGCTGCTGCGGTGCGGGATATGGCGAGGGTGCTCGGCTGGGCAGGGACCGTGGCTGCGGGAGGTCAGGTGGTCAGTTCCTTGGCTTTGATCAATTCGTCTGCTGCTGACACCGAGGGGTTCGAAGCGGGTTGGCAGAGAGAGAAGGAGGACTGGCGGGGTATGAATATGTTTGAGAGGAATGAGGAAGCCAGGATCCTATGGGAAGTGCGTGAGGCGGGGAGGTTGTTGTGTGCGTTCTTGGAAAAAGGGGAAAGGATTGGAGGATGCCGAGGCTGATTTGAAATAATAACGTCCAAGGTCCACGGTAGCTACCTACCTTGGTACGGTAAGTTAGCGTGCTGATAGGGATAGGCAGGATTCAAGGTTTTGATTAACTCCCTTCCTTAGTACTTACTTCCTTGGAATCCCAGCATTTGATTTCTTTCCGATATACCATAACATGCCACAGCATATCTGTTTTAGACTGAAGGTCATTATGACGCTTCTCCCGTCGCTAGGGTGAGCCTTCTGAAGCCTTATGCCGCATAGTACAGTGGTATGTAATAGTGGCATTGCTTCTACAGCTTATCATAGTTGTCCGTACCTCTCTAGTCAGTAAGCTCGATGTCTCGGAGAACGGAGGATGTTCACCATATTGATTCAGCATCAAACTGGGACACTCCCATGCTTTGAGAGATTAGTTTCGATGACACAAGATTCGTCTTGTTTTCATCCCACTTGCTAGATTGGTTGCAATAGCCTACCATTCATGACTTACGAGCCCCCAGATGCATATAACGTACATTATCAGCGAGCGGGACATATCAGCGAGCGGGACACTAAGTTCTTGGCACAACGCATCTTTCCTCATCTACCTCTAACAACGCGTTTTTCCTATAACTAAATATGTCTTCCACTTTAAAGGAAGCTAGGGTAACCTTGGCCCTCAAAGCTCTTGAAAATGATATAGAACTAAGCCTTCGAGCCGCGGCCAAGCTCTATAACGTGCTAGTTTCAACCCTCGGCTACCGACGTACCGGCCAGCCTATACAACGCGATCTTCCAGCCAATTCGAAGAAGCTTACCCAATCTGAAGAGGAGGCTATTGTTCAATATATTATTGAGCTATCTATACAAGCCTTTCTACCGAGACTACGTGGTATAGAAGATATAGCCAACCAACTGCTATACGTATATAACGCGCCCCCTATCGGCAAGCTCTAGGCGTATCGGTTTATCAAACGCCAGCCAGAGCTCCGTATACATTATTCGCGAAGATACAATTACTAGAGGGCAAAGTACGAGGATCCGAAGGTCATTGGCGAGTGGTTTGCCCTTGTATAGAATGTTAAGGCTAAGTACGGTATCGTAGATGATAATATCTATAACTTCGACGAGATTGGGTTTATAATGGGCATTATCTTCCCGGGCATGGTAGTTACAACCTCGGATGGCCGTGGCAAGGCGAAGCTAGCCTAGCCTGGCAACCGTAAATGGGCGACGGTAATCCAAGGCGTCAATGCCCTTGGCTAGGCTATCCCTCCGTTCATCATCTTAGCAGCGTAGTTCTACCTCGCCAACTAGTATACTGAATGCAACCTCCCAGCCAACTAGCGCATTGCAACTACCGAGAATGGCTGGACTACTAATATAGTAGGCCTTGATTAGATCAATGTGACGAAACCACAGGCAGTCCTGCCTCTGAAAGGGTTCGCCGGTCGAAGGTATCTGCTGGTCGGACTGTAGGTCTCGGTGAAGCCAAAAGGTTCACAACAATGCAGGTCGCAATGTCTGTACAGTAATGTAGGGCTACTTTACTGCTTGTATTGCTCACTGGAGAACTCCTAGAGTCCTCTATAACGAATGACTATATACCTAGCCGATCCTGTTGGCTCGCCGTCGTTCGCCGGCTACCGTGGTCTACCCTCGATCGCCTTGGGTAGACGGCTACCCAAGTCTATCATGATCGCTCCCGCTCGCCGGCGACCCTGAGCTACCCAGGTCGTCCTTATGCGGCCGCCTGCGGCTTTTACCCCTGCTGATTGGTTCTGCCTGTTTCCGTCGTGCCCCACCGGGTCTTGCTATATGGTTGGTTCGTGACAATCAAGCACTTCGACTACCATATAGCGCCTCGGACAAAGGGCAAATACCGGTTGTTGATCCTCGATGGCTACAAAAGCCACCACTTAACCAAGTTCGAGCTCTACTGCCAGCAGAACAACATTATCACGCTCTGTATACCTCCACATTCCTCCCACCTCCTCCAGCCACTTAATGTTGGCTGCTTTAGGCCGTTGAAGCAGGCGTACAGTCGCCAGATCGAGGACTTAATACGCGCACATATCAACCATATAAGCAAGCTCGAGTTCCTTTATACCTTTTGCACAGCCTTCTTTGCCTCTATTACCAAGAGGAATATCCAGGGCGGTTTTACAGGGGCTGGCCTTATACCGTACAATCCAGAGAGGGTACTTTCGAAGCTAGATATCAAGCTTCGTATACTAACACCCCCAACCTCACGGCCAGGCACTATATAATCTTAGGTCTTCCAGACACCATACAACCCCCGAGAAGCTAACTCACAGTCAACGCTCATCAAGACTCGCATTGCCAACCATCAAAATAGCTCCCCGACTTCGATGTTAGCTGCTGTAGACCAGCTTACCAAGGGTACGATAGCTATAATACACCAGGTGGCCCTCCTTCAGGCAGAGGTATCTTCGCTCCGCAAGGCCAACGAGGCGCTAAGCAAGCGCCGGAGAGCCAAAAAAACACGTATACGGCTTGGAGGATCACTTACTGTGCAGGAGGCACAGGAGGTGGTAGGCCAGGGGGCTATAGGTGGGGAGGCAATGCAAGAAACACAGCTGGATGGTAGTGGTGCTGGGGGGGTCGTACGAAGGTTCGGTGCTGTGGTGTATGCGGCAAGCCTGGTCATAATGCCCGCACTTGCCAGGAGGGTGCAGAAGGGTCTGATTCATCTGTTTGATGTAATTGTAGTTGGTTCTTAGTGTTGTTGCATTGCAATTGAGAGTAGTTGTTATAGAGTAGTGGAGAGTGTCCCGCTCGCTGATATGTCCCGCTCGCTGATATGTCCCGCTCGCTGATATGTCCCGCTCGCTGATATGTCCCGCTCGCTGATATGTCCCGCTCGCTGATAATGTACGTTAATCCACATTCAAAACAACACCGTGGTCTCACTTGCTTGGATTTGTAGCCAAACAGGGTACCTAGCTCCAAGGGATTGGCGTTTCCGGGCATTTTCGAGACAGGCAGCTCCACAACCAAGTGGAACCGACAAGACTAGGGCGGGATGATATGAACTCGAGGAATCATGGGGTCAGGGTTAGTTTAGTAGACAGAATGCCAAGGAGAGAGTTGGGTGATGACGGGGGAATGTATGGACTGCCCCGAGTTCAGTTGCTGCATTCAGCAGAGAGAGCGAGAGAGAGTAATGCTAGCGAACAGCGCTCACATATCCTACAATCCAGGCGACTTCTGCGCTGGTCGGATAGCGAGACGACTTCTGTTACCCTTCCAGATGCTCACATGGAGCCAGAATGAGAGGGAGTGGGGAGGAGCCTCCAAGAACAGTGGAATCGAACTAAGTTAGGGAAAAGGACCAGGCAATGGGAATGGATACCCTACCCAGCCACGTGCCAGCTATGCCACTATACACGACAAAAGAGACCCATTAGATGTATGTACGGGAAGTATCGAGGCTAAAACAGTCAGCCCAACTACAGTGAAGTTCTTTCCTTCCTCCCACGCTTGCTTAACCAAACCATCACTTTCTGTATCGACTCAACTCCGTAGAGCATTAGATGTCTTCTGGAGACACACTACAGCCAGAAAAGAAAAGAAAACAAGTTCATAAGGTCGTAACATGCTGCATCCCCCACCCGCAAGCGCCATGCTAACGCCGCTACGCCAAACCAACAACAACAATCAACACAACAACAGACTGACACATGCTGTTTTCCGTCAGGGTATATACTCTTCCCCCTCTCTCACGCAACTGCACACTCCTCCTAGTTAACCAAACAGTGCCAGTGAACTAGATAGGCAAACCACAGACAGGCCTAGCGCTTCTTCGACTCGTCAATATCCTCGCCAATCTCTCTCGGCCTTCTCGGGTCCACCAGCGCTGCGACGCGCTCGTCCCCTCCGCGTGCGCCGATGGTGACCCAGACATGCTTGGCGGGGATCTGCACATTGCGCGTCTCCCGCACGCCCGTCCAGCGCAGCCGCTTCTCGCGGCTCATGTCGGAGCGGCCGATCCCGCCGTTGGCGTTCCACTCGCGGACGATATCCCGAATGAACTCGATCTTCTGGCGGAAGTGGTTGGCGGCGGGGATGCCCTGGAGGTCCGCGCTGATCTCGGGTCGGCGGCGGGACGACGTGCCCGTGCTCCGATTGGGCTGTTTGGGGACCGTGGCGAAGTTCAGGAGCGTCTGCAGCGGATAGGAGAGGACGGCCCTGTCGTCGAGGGCCGACTCGGAAAGCGTGCCACTCTCTTCGAGCGTTCTGGCGGCTTCCTGCGGCAGGTGCCAGAAGTGGCACCAGGTTCCCGTTGCGTCGAGCACGATTTTGGTGTGATCGGGGAAGTTGAACTGAAGGAATGGGTAAGCATGGGAACCAGAAATTCGGACCGTCTAGAAACTCCTCACCTGCATATGTCCGTCAGAAAACATCCAGCAGCCGACATCGCCGAAGCGCTGGTAGAACGTGACAACATCGGGGGGCGCGGCCGATGGGTCCGTGATCGTAGGGATACGAATGGCAACCTCATCGGTCTGCTCCGGGCTTTCCATCTCCCGCCCGTACGCCATCATGTAGTTGGCGAACTTCTTCCACAATACGATCCGCTCCCGCTTGCGGTGGTCATAGATGTCCTTACCCGCGGACAGCTTTCCAACTGTTCCGTCTGGATTGACTGGTAGCATGAAGTTCTCCGGGGCTACCCGGACGCGCGAGATGCCGCTTTCGCCGTTGTTTTCGTAGAAGAATATCCCCTCCTTCATTGGGACAATCTGATGCCTGGCCTTATAGTTCGGATCATCCCTGCGCATGAAGTGCCGTTCGGCGTCGTGAACTAGTAGGTAAGCCGGAGGCAGCTTTCCAGGACTGGATACATCTGACGATGGGATGCTCCGGAGGATGCACCCGACACTCCCGTCGTTCAAAACATAGCCCAAGCCGAACTTGTTTGTGTAATCAACCCACTTCACCACGATATGCGGAGCGGGCGGCGTCTTGTCCCTGGCGGATACAAGCGCCATGGTGCGAGTATTGAGCGCCCTCTCGAGTTCGGCCTGTAGCCTCTGAAGGCGCTCTAGCACGATATCTGGCTGAGAGCCCGGCACCACTTCTTGGTATTCGGTCGGGCCGAATAGAGATAACCTCTCCTCCTGCCGCTTTTCCCTCGTCGATGCCGACCGTCGCGGTCGAGGAGCTGGGTCCTCAGAGCCGACTGTGGCTTGGCTTCTGGTCGAGGTGACGGCCTGGTTGCGGGTACCGCGGGTTGACGTCTTTGATACCGGAACCTCCTCGCTCGTGGGCGGGAGTGATGCTGTGGGCGTCTCTCGCCCAGAACGGGGTCGCGAAGCCGCGCTTGTTCTGGAAATGGGCTCTGTGACGGTCTTCGATCGCGAGATGGTCGTCGTAGTGGTAGGCCGGTGCTGCGCTCTCTGCTGGGCTGCAAAGCTCTGGGGTGGAGCGCGGAGCAGCCCTGACGATGGCTTCTGGGCTTGCGTGCTCTCCTTCAAGTCCCCAGGTTTGTCTGAGAGCGAAAGCTGGGACGCTTGCTTGGCCAATTGTTCTGCCGCAAGCCGAGCCTGGAGCTTCTGCTCGTTTTTGATCTCGTCGAATGGCCGGTAGACGACACCTTCAGCCAGCGGAATCACGGGGGTCAGCCCGTTCTGTTCCTCTTCGGCCATTTCCCTCCAGATGTTCCTGAATACCAATTGCGACTGGCACAACGGCCCGACACCACACTCTCGGCACATCTCCTGGACGTTCTGAAGATTGAGTGAATGGGCTTGGGAGTTCACAAGCGGCTCGTAGAAGGCAGGATTCTCTGGCGGTAGCTCACGCAGCTTGTACGTAATGTCGGTAGCGAGCGGCATGTATCCAGACGTGAAGAACGGGTGAGATACTATCGTATCGGGATCTGGTCTTCGGTCGGCATCCTGGAGCATTGTGGCAACAAGGTCTTTAGCCTCCTGGCTAATGTACTTCTGCGAGGTCTCAGACGACGGCCACTCGTAGTCGCGGTCTTTTGCGCGACGATAGATCTCGTCCGTCGTTGATGATTGGAAGGGAGGTTTCGATGTGAGCATTGCAAATCTGTCTGTGTCAGCATTCGCCAACCCATATCGTGGGAGTGCGCGCATGCAAGACTTACACAATGATCCCCAAGCTCCAGATATCAACCATGTGGTCATGGCCTTTCTTTCCCTTCTCCAAAATCTCAGGAGCGATGTAGTTTGGCGTCCCACACAGCGTCGTCCGTCGCATAACCTGCATGTCTTTGCCCGTGAGGAGCAGAGCGGCGAGGCCAAAATCACCGATCTTTGCGTTCATGTACTTATCGAGAAAGATATTGCCCATCTTGAGATCACGGTGGATGATGCCCTTTGCGTGCATGTACTTGATGGCGCCAGCGATCTGGACGGTGTAGAAGCGTACTTCGGCCTCAGTCAATCCCTTGCGACGCTTGACCATGTCCATGAGCGAGCCATTCGGACACAGCTCCAAGACGAGGTAGGTGCAGCTTCGGAAAGTGAATGCTCGATGGAACTGGACGATGTTCTGGTGGCGCATCTTGGAGTGGATCTGGAGTTCGGTTTGGAACTAGAGGGAGCTGTTAATCCTATGTGTCGCTCCTACAGGAGCCAAACTTGGGGCGTACCTTCTGCTCCATCTTGCTCGGCATCTGGCTTTTGACAATCTTCAGGGCCACCCGCTTCGAGGCCCCCGCAGCTTTTCCTTCATAGCAGATGGCAAAGCCGCCTTTACCGAGAAGCTTGCCGACCTGGTACACAACACCGTCCTTGCGGTCGGAGCTTGGAGGCTCGATGACATTGCCGGGTGGCGGTGGGGGGTGCTCCTTGTCCCTGACGGTCTTGAGCGCGGCAGCCGCCTTCGTCTTCATTTCGTGGACGCGGGGGAGCCGTTGGGCATTAGCATCCCTAGGGGACAACGCCTCCATATCGACACCCTTCATGGCAATCGCCTCTGGAAAATGACCGAGATTCGCAGATCGCGTTCGTTGATGTCGCGACCGCGTCGTCGAGCGTTTCAGCCTCAATGCCGTCCAAAGGCTGATGTTCACCGTCAGTATTGCTTAGACAACAGGGGACATGGGAACAGGAAAGACAGATTGGGGTCGGCCAGCAGAATTTTAGAGTAGCTGAACCTCAAGAAACTGAAAATGAAAAAAAAAAGGCGTGCGCTGGTGTTAAGAGACGATGGCCAGGAAACCCACTATTGAACGGTTTGGTCATTCAGAGCAACCGGTGGCGCTCATACATACATATGATGTACTAGAGAATTGCTAATGGGCAATGGTCTAGGTGCAACTAGGCAGCGGCAAGGAGGAGTTGACGATCGGCTCCGTGCAGTCGGTGGTGTTGTGCGGAAAGCGTGTCGGCCGATCTGCTATGTTCGAATTGGAGTCCACCGAGAATTGTCTGAGCGCCGAGCGGAGTGCGTTGTTTGTCCTGTCGCCAGAGCAACGGGCACAATGAGCGGACAGGGGTCGGGATCAAGCTCTCGGAAAGCGGGTTCCACCGCAAACACCATTGGTTGCTGCATCTTGCTAAGTCCCCCGCCAAAGCCGAGATCCCACTTCTGCCCATCCCATATGTACATCTTCAAGATGTTAATGTTGAATCCAGTTTGAACATTTGGTTGGCGTTGGATAGAACAAACTCCAGATTTTGTGGTTGCATACCACAGTCGAGACAGTCACGAACAGCTATCGAGTCTTCGGACGCGGTCAAGCTCCGCTGAGGGGCATCATCCAGTCACAACCCAACCAGATCCGATCACTCTCCTGGCATCATGGTCCCATTACCACTATTCAAGATTGCGACGTTGTTTGTACGGCACGTCTCCAAATATGGCGCGGTTCGTTCCCTCTCATATCGGACGCTCAGCGGCGCATCCTCCTAATGGCTCCGTCCTTGCAGAATCATATCAAACATCAAGCGCACGAGCACCCCAGATTCCGAGCCTTTGCTGCGCGATATGGCCAGGTGATACACCAGATCAACATGCGTCTATCTGTCGCGCTATTACGGAATCCGGACCTGGAGCAAAGAGCAAAAGAGAAAGCCGAGAAAGCCGAGGCGCCGACGGTGAAAACAGAGGAGCAGGTCAAAAAGGAAGAGGAACTCCGGGCCAAATACGGGACCTTGCCAAAGACGTCGCACCCAGTGAAGGAGGTGCCCAAGAGCGTGTGGAAACGCAAGTTCCGGCCGTTGCCCGAAGCCAAGGCGGTGGATCTTTTCGCCGATGTTATTGGTGATACGTTCATCCTCAGTGTCGCTATTGGCCTGATTGTTTATGAGTATTGGCGGTCTTCACAGAAGCCGGATAAGAACAAGGAGATGATTGAGGAGCTCCAGAAGCGGATGGAAGAGCTTAGGACAAAAGAGGAGGAGCTGGAAGCGGTGGAGAAAAAACAACAGGAACGGGTGGCCATGATTGAGGAGGCGTTGCGGGCATTCAAGGATCCCAAGACGAAACAGCCTCTTTTGCCTACCCCAACAGCCGCAACATGAGAGCACGGAAGCAATGTGGTTGATGTCCCCGATCATCAGCGGTTCAGGGGCACACGCATGCTGGGACTCGAGGCTCTGAGGTGCAGCAACTGAACGTTCCACTGCTGCCTGATTCCTCGTCTGTACAATGCTCTGCCTACCTTAGTTAGGTACTGTACCTGTAAGATTGCGATGTGTGTGAGAGCGGTCGGGCTAAGCAGCCAAACCGGCTTGATAAGGTAGCCGGTTGTAAGTTGGTGAGGAAGGCGCGAGGGACCGCGGATGCGCTGGCTTCAGGCGAACAACCCCCCTCCTGACTGAATCCTGTGGATAGAGAGATACCCTCTTGGATTACTGATATATACCACCCGACGCCTCTCAATCATCATTTCCTGGAGCGCTTAAACGTGATGGAACATCGCGAAGGTATCTCGGCGAATATCGTCTGCTCGAGCTTAAGGCACCGTCCCGCATGGGCGTCGGCCGTGACTCAGCTTCTGGAATCGGACAGAGGACGGTGGTTGGGTACGAGGCTCGGCGAGAACAATGCCTCATATGGCTAACATCGAGACAGAAGCAAGTCTGAGAACCCATGACGTCGCCTTGAGCATAACCGAGGCAGACTCACAAGGCCAAGGCGTTTACCATTCAGAGTACAGCGAACACCCAGTCTTCCGGCTCCTCCTCCTCTCGCCAGAGGATATCAACGACCCGAGAACCCTCCCTCGAGTAGAACAACTCCACTGCCTCGACAATGGGCGCAACGCGGCCCTTATCTTCCTCCTCGATCATGACAAGTCACAGAGTCCAATGCAGCCCTTCATGGAGCTACATTTACAGCAAGTTCTGCCCGTCCATCAAAGGAGCCATCCCACCCACCAAACTCGTAACATGCGCTTACATTACTCTACGTAAATCAGGTTGCCGTCCAACCGCACCCTCCCCATCATACCCTTACTCAACGCAAACGATCTACCCACCACCCTCCGCAGCTTCCAAAGTTCTCTTACGTCCTCCAGAGACATGAGGCAGTGGCCCGTCGACCCCGCGCGGGACCTGCTGCCCTTCTGCAACATCACTTCTTCGCCGCTGTCCAGGTGCTGTGTAGATGCCTTGAGCAAGGGATTCTTTGCCAGTTTTAGGGAGCTGCTGGAGGGGATTGCCACGGAGGAAGGACAGAGTGGCTTGAGAGAAGTGCTTGAGCTCGCGACTGGGAAAGGGAATGGAGAGGTGGACAGGTTAATTGCGTTCTGGAAGCACGAGTTCGCTACGGGGTGAGGGGACTCAGAAGGAGCTGGGGGAGAGGGAAAGGGTTAGGGGTTCGTCCACTCATTGTTCAGACTGCTATGCAGTCGCAGACCACGAGAGTCCGACCGTGCAACGAAAGGGCTGCTGTCGCTGCTCACAAGATTGTAGTTGACGAAGGTAGACGGGTTCGTCATCTGAACGTGATAGCCGTTAACAGCCGTTGCTAAACATGGAAAACGAAGCAAACAATAGCTCCCGAAAGGGTTCTGGACCATGTGAACGACCAATTTCGGGGTGATGTGGTTTGCATATGCAGATACGTATTGAATAATCCGTAGATTTGGGTCAAACAATATAGGACGCCCAATACCTGGAGCTACTGATAATGAGATGGCCTTGAGGGAGTATAGTACCTGGTCCAGCCAACTAATGAATGAACTGTAGAAAGAAGAAGGAATACGAAAAGAAAGAGGGGAGAGAGCGAGTCTAGTACGATGCTAGAGACTTAGATACAGTATACTAGATATAGGGAACATATGTAGGAAGTACATGGAAAAGGATCGTCGGGTCAGGGCTATAGACAGGGCGGTATCATGTAATTTACTGTAGTCCCGCGGGACTAAGCATCATAGCATCATAGATGGTCCCAAAAGGCCATCTCCTCACAAACCACGGGCAATACTTCTCTTGGATCTCTCCGTCGGTAAACAAAACACATTTGCACATCACGAAGGCTCCATCGATAGTGGCAATCGTGGGGAGGCGGATTGGCACCGGCACCGAGCATCTCTCCCTATCCATGCCTTCGGCTCCTTTGGGCTTGGAGAAGGGAGAAGCTCGGGCGTCGGTTGGCGCTGAAAATAGCTCTTGTCCCGCCAAGCCACCTAAGTTCAAGAACTCAGCTTGACCTCGCTTACACTAGATCCTGAGGCTCAACACCAACACTCTCGATACGATCCGCCACAGCGCTAACTCACTTACCGAGACGAGGCGGTTGTGGCAGCTGCCAAGTCACGCCACGGCGCCGAGAAGTGCGGGGTCATCGGCCGCGGCGGTGAAGATTCACGGACCCGGGCAACAGGCCTCATGAAGGAGGAAGGGTGTAAGCCAGCGACGGCTTCGAGCATATGCCACCTTCGATCCCTTGAACACACCGCTATCTGCTTCTAGGGTAGCAGCTGGGCAAGAGAGATAGGGCTTCATAAGTTCATATGGCGTTCGTTTCCCAGCGACCAACAAGAAACCTGCGGTTCTGGAAGCTTATAAGGCCGCCCGCGCATGGTTCGACCTTTCCTTATCTTGTTCGGCCGGCGCCCAGCTAAGACCGTGAAGGTACACACGTAACTTGATCGGAGGGGCCCGGTTCAAGTACTCGCCACGGTCTTCCTACACACGTAAGACACCTTAGAGGAATGTGATGGATAAAAATAGCCCGGCATTCGGATAAGTGATCTGCTTTGCATACTGGTTCCGTGCTTCGCGCCGAGCATGAGAGACAGTGCGAGAGGAGGGTCACGGATGACCCTATTGGGCAAGTGGGTAGCGCATTTGAAAGCTCTGAGTGGCTGGAGATTTCTGACCCTCTGAGAGAACGAACCAATGGCTGACAGAGACCAGCCGCTGGATCGCTCGGTTGTTCCACCAGGTCCTGTGTCTTTTTTCGATCCACCTGAGTTGAGCGCACAGTGGAGGGAGCAAGAGAAGGGGAAATGGTTCGATGCGCATATGCAGGTTTGCGGAGGCTGGAAAGGGGCCGGCCAATGAACAGCATGAGGTGATTCTCAGGCCCGAGATCAAGTGCTGCACAGAATGTTGCAATTGCGACCATCGCTGTCCCGGAAGCTCTGTACATCCGACTGGCCGAGCTTTATTTAACCCGGCACATTGTACGCTGCCTGGTGAACACGGACAGCTTCGACGACAAATTTCTGTTCATTACTTGTCGAGCGCTGGTTGAACATACTGTGTAGAACATCAGAGACGGCCTGTGTCTCGGCCTCAGCTGTCCGATGTCCGCCTCCAAGCTAAGACATGTACACTTGGCCCATGCCCGTGCACGTCACTCAGCGACCTGTCATTGTGCATACCATGGGGAATAACACTGCTACTTACCAAGGAATCAATGAGTTCAAGAACGGGTCTGCTGGACAAAGTTCAAATTGTCGGCCGATATCCAACTTTTGAACATGACAAAGGCATTGTGGGGCGACCGATGTCAAAAGCAGGTGGGTCCTTGTCTAATAAGCTTATTGGCCCAGCCTTCTCAAACAGCTTCTGCTTCAGCAGGCCGCCAGATGACCGGGACCCGGTCTCAGAGTTGAGATGAGGCAAAGCCCGGGGTAAAAACGTCGGAGGCTGCGACGTCTATGGAGGAAAGGTCCATGCCTGATCTGCCAGGAAATCTTTTTGGTGCATCGCGAGATTTTGTGATGGGAGCAGGAGTAACGTTGGGTACCTACTACAGTACAATTCCCAAGGCACACGCCTGCCCTAGCACGTGGCTAGCCCGTACCCGGTAGTGTAGTCATTCGTCGCCTCGCATTTCTTTGTTTGCAGTGTCCGAACAATAGCTGCTCCGATAGTGCCGGTCACTTTCATCCAATCAAGCCGGTATACACTTGTAGCCGGGCTGGGCAGCAGGAAGAGCGCACACTGTCACTTGATGCTATTGAAGCGTAGAGGGGCTACCGGCCGATATCGTGGACCTCAACCCCACCTGTGTCTTGGCGGGGTATGCAAGCAACCCCGGCTCCAAACGCAGTGACGGAGCGGTTCGACTTCTCATTGGCTCAACCTGCACTATAGCCGCCCTCGGCACATCCAATCACACCAGACAAGGGCCTCGCCCAGCCCAGCGCTCTTTTTTCCATCCCCCTCGCAACGGACCACATCTGTCGTGCTCACTGATCGCAACCGCCTCATTGGCAATGGCTCAGGTTGTGGGAGGGTATTCTCATCTGCGCTGCATGCTCTCTGGGCTTCTCCTAGCGAAGAATCAAACAGAGGGAATTGAGCAGAAATGACGAAAAACACAGAGCAAGCTGGAACGAGGCAGGCTTCAAATACCTAGCCTGGCTGTACTGCCTGCGCTTCGAGCGAGCTCGCCCTCACCTATGACGGCCTGTGGAAATGGCCAGATTGGGTTCTGCCCATCCACAGCCTAGCTGTCACCGAGGCTTGAGGTGACGCAGGTTTTTAGGGGCCCTGTTTTGCGAGCCGCCCCTTGCCTACAGCAGCTTTCCGGCATCGACTGCTACCATGCGAAGACTGGCTGGCAGTCGCTTGCACAGAGACGCACACAGCGGCCTCGGCGTGGCTGGTTTTGCTCATGAGACACCGCATGGTTCCATATTCCGTTCTTCTCTGCCGAGGAAACCTTTTGTCGTCTCTTCTATCCCATCTCTCCTCGCAACCCAAAATAAGGTTGTAGTTGTCTTGTCACTCCCCACACCCCTCCCCCCGGGTGTCCGAAAGTTCCACGGGAACTCCACTTTTGACTTACACGCCCCATGCATCGTCCCCCTCTCCGGCCCGTTCTTGTGTTGAACAGACCCTGTCACTTCTTAAACTCGCCAGGTCCCGAATCTCTGTCAATCAAGCATCCGTCCATGCTTTACATACCGTCTCAGAACACCCCTTTCAACTAAAACCTCCCCCTTGGTAACCACGAGCTTGTCTGATCTCCATCGCCACTCAATGCGACGGCCTACCCGGCCGTTGACAGACGAGACACCCCACCGCAGTACGAGCCAAGCCTGCTTCATCTGATTCAGATCCTCGTCCATCTCCGGCATACCCATGGCCGCATAGGCCTCGAATCCCCAGAAACGGACTTCTGGATCCTGGAAACCCATCAGCGTCGCTCGAATGCCCGCTGTAGAAATCGATCAAGTCATCCGAACTTGGATCTCATACGAACAGCTACCAGCATCTTGCTTGGCATCCGAGACACAGACACCCCACTGGCAACCCATCTGACACACGAGCCTCCGGGTGCCGGTGCAAGCCCTGCAGGGCGAGTGCCCTACTCCCGTCTGCCGCCTGGGATCGTCATACCCCGGCCGAGGCGAGGGACCCAATATCAGTCCATCATCGCCCCGCCGGCCGTGGGTGTTTCGGGCCTCCTCCGCCTCTTCGCTTCCTCTCTTTCCTGGCCGCCGCTGGTCGATAGCCCTCTTTGACATCGACAACTCGCAGGTCCGGTACCTTGCCTTCCCTTCATTCATCAACCTATTACGCTGTATTATTCTTTAGTTACGGCCGCCACATCTTCACTTCGACGTCTTGGGAAACGTTCCGGCTAAGAGAAAAGCACCCGGGTTGCATTCTGGACCGACGAAAAGTATCAGCGTGTTTGTGGACACGGCAAGAGACAGGGACTTGTGGACATCTTGGGATCTCGGGAGGGAAAGACTGGGACCGCAGAATTCGACCTCCGCTTGGTAGCTGGAAACAATGGGAAAGCTGATCAAAAACCATTGGGCGAGGCTCATCATCATGGCGGCAGCAACGTGTAGGTTACCCGGGGCTGGTGCATGTACGGGGGGTGGGAATGTTAAGTCGCGGGAATGCTAACAGAGATTTGTAGACCAAATAGCCGCTGCTGTGGAAGGGTACTTTTGGCCCAAGATATTCTGGGACTTCCTCACCAAGACGCTGGATCCGGCAGTCAAACCAATACCGATCCTCCAAACGATCAATCTCATATGCGGCATCGTCCTCCTTGCCTGGGAGTGGCCGCTGAGTTTCCTCGCCGGGTCCAGCTTTCACCGCAGCCTCGAAGCTCGCCTTGCTGTTCTGCCGCTTACCGCCCTCTCCGCAGCGCTCATGTACCAAGCTACAAATGCCGCCATCTACCAGGTGATAGGGTTGGGAGTGTACTTCTGGGCATACAGTGAAGGAGAGGTATGTCTCGCTTCTCGTCTGGCTCGGTTAGGAATGGTACTGACTTTGATGATTTAGATGATCTGTGCGAAGCCCTGGACATTACCGCAACGGGCACCACGCGGCTCTCGTGTCTAGTTAGCGGCTGTGCACAATTCTTCCCCTGTGCATATACCCGTCGTGTGAATACTCGCCGCCAAAAACCCCGTTCCTCACTCTCACGGTCTTGCCACCCCTCGTCGGCCCACCGTCCTGGGACGCCTCATACGACACCACGAGACCGCCAATTAAGAATCAAACCGTTACGTTCCGGGACGTTGCAAGAGGTGGGAAGTTGGTTTGGACTGAGAAGAGGAGAGGGGACTACCGTACATATGGCACTGAACCAGCGGAGATACACGTTCCCAATTTTCGAATCACGATCGAATTCGTACATCTTTTTTTTCCTTCACTTTCTACTTCATATTTGACTCATATATACCATGTTTTGTTTTCAGATCTCAGCATGACTACATCTCACACGGCGTCACTGCGGAGAGCAGGGGATAGGCGTGGAGGGCATAGGCGGAAAGCATGGCGAGTATGGCGAGCATGACATTGCATGTAACTATTACTTGGAAGGGATATTGGAGGAAGCCGTTACGGAAATGGCGACCATGAAGACTAGGGAGGCACTCTGCCTGCTTGATGGAGACGTCCATGATCAGAAGGGGGTCAGGTGACGGGAATGGGAATGTTTGATGGTCCCTGCGCCCACAAACTGGGGTAGAGAGGCAGTGGTATACCCCCAAGCAGCAGAACCTCGAAGCAAGCGACATATTGTGGTAGTGTAGTCCGCAGCTTGGAGCTTCTGGACAGATGAAAATTCCATTGAAGGCATTCCCCCTGACACTCTTTGACCGTGACCCAAAATATCCACAGCCAAGCGCCACCGCTGTTTTCTAGCCCAGGGGCGAAACCGCTATGAAACACATCACCATTCGACACAATACAGTAATTGGCTCGAGCGTCCGTATTAATAGGCTTGCTATACCATTCCCTGACCAGTGGCCATCATGTCATCTCATACAACCCCGTCAAGTTTGTCCTCCGGGTCTGAAGAATTCTAGATCCGCAATGACTCGTGTAAAGCATGGATCTCGCCATCAGACGGCCAGGAACAATCCTAACTCGGGATATGCACGATCAACTTTTGTACGTAGGTATGAACGCTGTGCTTTTGAAGCCAACCATGTCCGGCTGCAAAAGATGCTGTTCGTACGCATCAGATGCGGATAGGGTCACAGTGAGACATGCCATCGGACATCGTGCTCGGGGACTCGGATTATCAGAAGTCCGTCGGTCACCTTGACGGCGAGATTGGACGGCTCATGTTACACGGTGGAACAAGTTCAACGCGAAAATGTGGTGGATTCATTTCCCTGCCTGCGACGCTCCAAGGCTAAAATCGCTTGCGACAAGACGATAGATCGATGATCAAGGTACGCCCTGAACTGACCCCGATATCGTACACATATGCACCCCTCCCGTCACCTCTGTGAATATGAGTCCAGCCCTCCTTCGGGGTCTTCGCCCACCATGACAGTCCGTGGCACGAAACATCGGTTCCACTTAACGGCCGATGAACTCGCCGTTGGAGTCGTTTCTCCGGCCTTGACGCTCGGCGAACTGCAAAATATCGTCAGCCTGAGTTCGTTTGCCTGATGATGCCTCTCTGAGGAAGCTGTGACAAGTTGTGTGCATCCGCGTCGTCCTACCGCGACAGCCGCCGGCTGGAGTACATTGTTGGCGTCGCAGCTGCTGTGCCTCACCTCGGGCCACAAATGAAGCCCGCGGGATCTGATCTCACTCGCCCCGTGGACACAGACGCGGGAAGCCACCTCGCCCAAAGCGGCCGGCGAAGGCCAGATGCGGTGAGGCTCAGCAACCACAGGCCGTTTCGCGAGCCGCCCAGCCGCCGGGGAAGCGTCATGCCCAACTAGAGTGGCCAAAGCTCACCTCACCCGGGGGCGGGAGTGGGCGGCACAGCAGGTGTAACACCATCATTTTGTGGCCGGCGGCTGGCGGGGTAGGAACGCCAGGAATTTGCAACGCAGAAGGGAACAGAAACAGAAACAAAACAAAATTGAGAACGGATGACAGTCCATACCTCGAACTCTTGCAGGTTGCCCTTCTCCAGAACCTTCAGCACCACCTCCTCGTCCTTGGATGTGCCGAACTCGTTCTCGAGCACTGCTTTCGACGCGCCGTCGAGCATTCCCTGGGCTCCGTGCCTAAACGATTCCCAAGCCTTGTCAGCATGCTGTCGATACATTTATTCCCCTCACTTAACAGTGCCATTGCGTCATATCCCTCACTTCTGGGTTCCCCCGCATTGCACTGCTATCCCAGCTGGGGAAGGAGGAAGATGATTGTGGGGAAAAAAGGAAAAGAAGAAGGGGGACAGAAGCACTCACTTGTTGGTGGTAAACACCTTGAACGACGACACCACCTGCGCCAACGGCACCGACTTGTCGCTCAGCCACTTCTGATAGTCCTCGGTGCTGTCGATGAAGACGACGAAGTCTTCGTCCTTGCCCTTGTAGTGGACCTTGACATGGTCGACGTCTCCGCGGGCCATCTTGTCTGTCTTACGGTCGAATAGTAGTAGGAGTATTGGTACTGTTTGGGATTTTGAGTAGGTCGAGATCGGTTGCTACTATGTACCGATTGTGTTGTGGAAGGGTAGATTAGAAGAGTATCGGATCCCGCGTAAGTCGGAAGATGCGATTTGGAATGTGGTCTCGCTTGTAGTTCGGTGGAAAATGATGAACTGAATGAGAAATCCTTGCAAATAATCGTCTTTCTCAAGTTTTTGTAAATGCTGTTGGCAGTGTCGTGTGCTCTTTGCTCCTGCCGTCGTCTGATAAATACCTACTAGGTTGAGTCTGCGGGTTGGAAGCAGGAGCGGAGTGACGTCATACTTCACTTACACCAAGGCGCTGCATGGAGACCCGGAACTCCACTTACAACGTCGAGCACCAAACCATATGGTTTGGTCTCTCGAATGCGTAAGAATTGCCCAGCCGCTATGGAATTTTAATTTACGCTGGATTGTATGTAGTCGAGCCCTTCACCAGCTGTCATATAATTCCCACGTAGCATATTACTACTGACCAGCAGACCGAGGTGATTGGGCGCCACTCCTGTTCTTAGCTATTCAGACAGGCCCACGGAGCAATCCATACCCACCCACACGTCATGTCCAACATCCGGTATTCTTGCAGCTACAGCCAACCCTGGCTTTGTCACGCAACAGAGTCCTGCTGGTTGCGGAGGATTCCGATCGAGATCCAACGTTGATCACAGCCGCTGTAGGCGGCTGCAGCGGCACTACCATAAATGCCTTGTAGCCCAATGCCTCCATGGTACGTGGTGAATCCTCGGTTGAAAGCAGGCCGTATGGCCCCGCCAGAAAGGCCAAGTAGAAGAACGAGGTGATTAATAGAATCATATATGATGCTCTTTAAGCCCTGTCAACAGTGAATGTGTTGCTCTTGTCTCGGGTTACCGAAACCAGCTGCGGATTCCCTGGACAACCACGTCCCGCTGCCTTACTCCGGCCTTGGTAGACCTGCCTGGGAGCTTATGTGATAGAGGCGATGACTTCCACTTTCCCGAGGCGCGGAAGTCCGTTTGGCAACCGGGCTCTTCTTGATTCGAGTGCCGACAGGTCGTGGGCGAGCGGCTGTTCTCCGAAGACTGGCGCAATGTAGACACGGCTGAGGCGCATGTGGTTGCGTCCTTCCCAATCTCATCTGGGGTGGAGGCGGGAGCTGAGGCTCCTTGACTCTCCGTTTTGGACTGGTCGTCCTTATTTGATGTCTGTTGCGGCTCCATGTCGGATGCCGGGCTGGCACACTGCTCTGTCTCGTCAACAATGGCCGAGGCCGCTGGAAGAACACGGTATCCTTCCAATTGCGTCGTCTTGATTGCCATTGTGCACCCATCCTCGCTCACTGGGCTTGCTTCCCCATCAGAGCGCCCACTAACATCTTCCTTTTGTTGCACGCTAGCGAAACTCGCGGACCGTCTGCCGAAGCTGCCTGCCAAGTTGCTGGTAAAGCCTCCGCTCAACCTCCGCATCATCGACGACGCGGATGCCCGGACGAGGTGCTCGCCCTTGGATCGGACTGTCATTCCAGGGAACGGTAATACGTCTCGGGTCCAGACATCGGATAAGAGAGCTTCCACTCGAGCTCTTTCGGCGCGCGAAGGGGCCAGGACCGGTATCCGGCTGTTCGTCGTTAGAAGCGACTGCGACCTGTTTATCCGGGAGGCCGGGCCAGAAGGTGCAGACGCCTTTTCGGCGCTTGTGTTCTTCAAAATGACCTGGCACAGTGGCGATCTGGGCCCAATTGTAGTCGCTCGATGTATCGATACTGCCCTGGCAGCGGTTCCTGTGATGCCGGTTAACGGCCTACACCTTGAAAATTGACAAGCTTCAGCACGTACCTGGCTTTCTGAAGACAGTCCCCAGAGCCGTGATGTTCAGGAAGAGGAAAGTGAGGTTTTCCAATTGCGCCTGGCCTTGGCCACTGGAATTGGCTGCTTCCTGGGTGTTGCTGAGCCGCGTACGCCACTCCAGCTCCTCCCTCGAGGAGCATGCCGTCAGAATCATCTCGTACAGCTGGCGGTCATATAGAAACACGATTTTCCAAGAGTGAGGGGCTGTGTGACATTGAAGTCCTGTACTTCACCGTCAGCAGCCACGAGGAAGAGCCGAAGACAAGGATCATACCTCGCCCATTGTCGACTTCTTCCACCTTGATATCAGCCAGTGCGATATAAGCCTGGATTGTGTAAATCTGGTCGTTTTTGCCAGTGGTCGCAAGGCAGATCCACTCTCGGTATAAAAGGGCGATCATGTACTGCCCCTTCACGCCCTCTTTGGTCTGCCAGCAGACATGGAGAGCACCGCAGAGTCGGATGGGCCCAAACGCCCGGATGCGGTTCTTCGAGACTGCGCCAAGCTGCTGTTCTTGGGTTAGTTCTGCATGGAGCTGGAAGGAGGTCAGCGAGCCAGTCTTACATCGCTTGGAAACACGAGCCGATCCTGAAGGATCCAAGTCTTCTCCAGAACGGACTTGGTGCGAGAGTCGTTTGTAGCTCTGTTTATCTCGGCGGTGACCTCGCGCAGTCTGCTGAGGGTATCTTCAATTTCCATGTGCGAATAGGGACAGTCGATTACAGGTGTGTGCTTCAGCAACTCCGAGAGTAGCAGTGGATATTTGCAGACACGCTGGATCGGCTTTATGGGTTTAGTCACGCCTCACATTCCAGATCGGGAGACGCCTTACCTTCATAAGAAGATCGGCGATGGTGAGGCTCTTCCTCGCTTGGCCGTCCTGGCTGTCGGCGGAACCCAAAGACGAAGCCAAAATCTCGAGGCCTTTCTGGTAGGACGGCCAACCCGGTATCGCTCGATGCGCCGCCAAGACATCTTTTGTCAATAACTCATACTTTGCGCCATACTCCTCATAGATGAAGAAACGGTTCATCTACAGGTCGGCGGAGTTGTTGTCAGTAAGATCCAGAGCACAGTCCTTTGACTGAGACAAGGAGCATCTCCGCTTACCCTTTTCAAAAAGACCCTTGCAGCGTCGGCCGCCGTCTCAGGCTCTGCACCAACGTCTGGGATGTCCCAAGAGCGTGGAATTTGGTTTCTATCCTCACGTACTGTATCCAGGCTTCGCCACCTTCGATGCGTGTACGTTGACGAGTCCGTTCTGGTCTGTTGGATGGAGAGACTCGGGGAGCTGTACTCCGAGCGGGCTAGGGCCCTGTGTAGCTCTCCAAGGATTTCCTCATGGAGCTCGACAATGTCAGTGAGGTTCCAGTTGACAGATGATCTCAAGCCAGCTGGAGATGCTGGTAGAGACGCGAGGATAGTAACATAGACCTGCGATTTGGTCAGACTCAAGAACATCACCACCAATACCTAAGGGAGACCTCACGTTTATCAGAAACCGTAAGTCCCCGATATAACCCTCCTCTGTACGAACCAGCTCCTCCAGGATGCGCCGTCTCTGCAAAGACCGCTCCACAACGGCCGGATCAACGCGTGCTTGCCTTTCCGGATAAGAGCTATCTTCAGAACCTCTTCTCACAGAGACAGAAGCCATGCTGCTGCAATCCGTTCTCTGGCCGCGTGCGGATCGACCCCCGGGTTTCCCAGAGCGTGTTAACACGCTAACGCCGGCCATGGATACGCTGATGCTTTTGGCCGCCGTGACGAAGCCAAAGGACGAGTCCGAGGAAGAATATCTACCGTGGGAGGACACCCTGGATACCGCATGCCCGTCCCCCGTCTCGAGGAGCCACTGCGAGATATTGCTGTCGTATCCCGCGATTCCCTTGCGCCGTAATGCCCTTTTGTGCAGCGTTTTGATCCATTTCTGGAACGGTTTAGCCGGACCAGCTCCCGGTTGGCAATGGCAGTGGTTGTCTCGCGCGTCGAAGCCATCTGTACGCTCCAGCTCACGCTCCGCCTCCAGATGCATACTTAGGATGCTCTCTAAGGCAAGTCTATCCCCGTCGACGGCTTCCGGAACCCCCGCTTCTCCATCGCCCACAGCGCTGGTGTCGTCCGTCGCATCTTCGAGCTCTTTCAGACCATGGACTGGATTGCACGACGAGGAGCTCGTGAGAATAGACCTAGGATCGGCAACCTCGAGATGCATTCTGCACAGTCGCTCCAGAAAGGGAACAAAAGTGGACCTGTTGCGACAAACATAACGAGCAGGGGGCCTGCCAGCTGATTCAGCGCAAGATAGAGAGACTATTGAGCCCGAAAAGATACAGGTAGGATAGATAAGGTCCTAGAGGTAGAGCATGAGATGACCTGTGTCGAATCCAGCAAGTTTGCGAGCACAAGAAATGCAGAGAGAGGGGGAACGACAAGAAGTGACAAGAAAGGTAGGCAGAGGGCAGGCCTGACGGTCAGGTCAGGTCATGTAAGTGGGAAAGAACAGCTCCCGTCATCGACCCCCGGGTCTTCGGTGCTCCTTGGGGCCACTGCCCTAAGATATTATACGCAGACGATCGAAGCCGCGATCGGTTGGCCCACACGGTGCCGTGCAAATGTCCGGTGCATTTGATGCACCCAGCTATCGAAGTAGGTACTACTACCTATACTGGGTTCCTGACCTAAGGTAACGGAGACGGTCGGGTTGGCAACAGCACGCTGGTGGAAGGGCGGACTTGATTGGAGCGGTGTCCGGACTGCCAGCGTCCAGACTGCCACGATGGTTCCCAGCCACGTTTCTCATCCGACTGGTCTCCGTCGCATTTGGGCACCATCCATGACGACGGAGGCGGAAGGAGTAAACAACACGATTTGCTGGTGGAGCGCTGAGCGGTAGTACAAGGCTTCGTGATTATGCAACAACTGGTCTAGGCTCAGTGGGCTGCCGTGCTCCGGCCACTTCTGATCTCATGATGAAAGGGTTTTCTTTGTCTCTGCCTTGAATAGCATCGCAAAACTGTTATTTCCGGATGGCTTATGTAATTAGAGGCCGATAATCACCGAGAATGTCAGGCTGGCATATCAGCGGGCAAGGTACGTAATTTGAAGCCAGACTCATCGGAGAATTTGAAGATCTGAAATACGGATAATCGGGCGGTGAATTGAGCGAGTGTGATGGTGCGGGAACGGAATGCAACCTCCTGCCTGAGGCACCTCAAACCCCTCTTATTGGTCGAGAGCTGTCCCGCCAACTCTAAAGCTACCCCGCGCCTCCCAGGCCGGCCTACTTTGAACGCGTCATATGTGGCAGAACGCCTTCGGAAACTTCATTTTCGCCAGTCCAATCTAGGCCTGGATCGGACTACCGGCTACCGCGCATGTGTCGAAATCCAAAGACCATGATACCATGAGCCAGTTCTAGTCTAAATGGGCTTGCGGCTACAACCATGAGCAACCTCCACGCGCCCACGGTCCCTTCGGGACCGACAACAGCGCGCATCGCAAATGGAAATGCAACCCAGCTCTCCATCGCCGAACTCCAACGGAAGAAGGATATCATTGAAGGGGAGCTCAAGGCACTTGGTGGTGTGCTCGATTCGGTCTGTCTTGACTGGCTGGCGAGAGGGGGCAGGGGCACCGTGCTAACAAGCAGCCGCAGCACGGTGTTGACATGAACACCAACCTTCTTACCCCCGATGGATTCCCACGAGCCGACCTAGATGTGGCACAAAGTATGGTGGAAAGAATTGCCGACTGACCTGGAGGGCGAAGCTGACCGGCGCAGTACGGACAACGAGAGCAAGAATCATCCACCTCCGGAATGACTGGAAGGATCTGATGGCCGTGATCGAAAAGCGACTGCATGAGCACTTTGCCAGTCTGGATGACGACGACAATGAAGAACCCGTCGCTCCCGCAAACGCGAACATTCCGCTTCCGGCAGACTCAATACCCGAGACGCTGGACCAGCCTTTTGCCAAGGTCAATACGGTGGTGGACAATAGCCCGGCCGCGACCGCGGGTCTTAAGCCCGGTGATCTAATTCGAAATTTCGGCTATGTCAACCACGAAAACCATGATGGTCTCAAGAAGGTGGCCGAGTGTGTCCAAGGCAACGAAGGGGTAAGGCGCCGCCAAACTGTGTCATGTAAGAGAATCCCCTATCCTGACAGTGTCGCAGCAAAACATCCTCGTCAAGGTCTCTCGAAGCAGCGGAGGTGCAAGACCGCAGGAACTCCGGTTAACGTTGACGCCGCGACGTAACTGGGGCGGCCGGGGAATGCTCGGGTGCCATATCTTGCCACTGTGAAACCGAGTTGTTTGATGTTGGGAGGTTGGTTGGGCTCGCAGGGCCCTTGGGCCATGATCGGGGGACCTGAAGCTGGTCCCACCGCAGCCCAAGCGAAGTCCTTGGGGCTGCACATTCGAGAATCAGGCATCTCCGCGAGAGATCCTGGAAGAAATCGCAATATGGAGGTAACAGGCTCGATGCTCCCGTCTGCCATCGGCACCAGCAAGCTTCCATGACCGATGGCCTGACCAATTGGCAAGCGGTTGGGGGGGCTTCTAATCAGGGCAGAACTATGGTCATCGCATCCGCAAAGATTTCGAAAGTCCTTGGGAAATGACCATTGCAAGATATAAAATTGAATGAATGGATGATTTCTGTCACGGTTGCAGGGGCACGTGCTGTCAAAAGACGGTGAAAGTAGAATCTTCCATTATATTATGGTTTCCTAAGTACCTTAGATAAGAAGGGCACCTTGTAAGCTAGAGGTAAGGCAGTATGCACGGACCACAAATGTCACGTGTGTTTATCACCCCGCCGCCCAACGAGTTTTTCGCCAAAGCGGCTGTGGTTCCAAGCAACAGCCTCTTGAAAACAACATCATTCCTCGGGCGCCACTCATTCTTGCAACCCGACTAGCACTACCTCTTTCCACGACCTCATCGTAATTGAACAGTGCGTGCCCCTCTCACCATCCAGTCGCAATTATCCCAGCGATTCTGCCTCTCAACATCTACAAGAACCCCTCCTTTGCCTCGAGAGCTAACGTGGGCTGCACAGGTCCACTTCCTCTCTTCTCACTTAATCGACACACATCACACACAATGGCGGAGGCTCCCCAGGTCCCGACCTTCAAACTAGTCCTTGTTGGCGATGGTGGTACCGGCAAGGTAAGCTCGCGATGATCGCCGCCGAGCCCTTTATCAGGACAGTCATCCCTGCGCCGGCTATGGAGTATTAAAGAGGCATCGAACGAGCCCAACCCGTTACTGACAACTCTCCCGGGCAGACGACCTTCGTCAAGCGTCACTTGACTGGCGAGTTTGAGAAGAAATACATGGCCACCTTGGGTGTGGAGGTGCACCCTCTCGGCTTCACCACCGTAAGTTTAGCTTGCTGACTACGCGACCAGGCGCGTGGATATCGATGGCGCTAACAAGCTCTGTAGAACTTCGGTCAGATTCAGTTCGACGTATGGGACACTGCGGGTCAGGAGAAGTTCGGCGGTCTCCGTGATGGCTACTACATCAACGGCCAGTGCGGAATCATCATGTTCGATGTCACATCGCGCATCACTTACAAGAACGTCCCCAACTGGCACCGTATGTATCCACCAGAAGAACAGCAGGGTTATGGGTGACGGCGCTAATGCTGCTACCAGGTGATCTCACCCGCGTTTGCGAGAACATTCCCATCGTTCTCTGCGGTAACAAGGTCGATGTCAAGGAGCGGAAGGTGAAGGCCAAGACCATCACCTTCCACCGGAAAAAAAACCTCCAGTACTACGACATTTCGGCCAAGTCGAATTATAACTTCGAGAAGCCTTTCCTGTGGCTCGCCCGCAAGCTCGTTGGCAACGCTGCTCTGGTATGTGGGACCTTTAAACCGGCCTTGTCTGTACGGGCTTCCAAGACTAATAACACATCCAGGAATTCGTCGCTGCACCTGCGTTGGCTCCTGCTGAGGTGCAGGTTGACCAGAACCTGCTAGCCCAGTATGAGGCGGAGATCCAGGCTGCGGCCGCTGAGCCTCTCCCCGATGATGATGACGATCTTTGAGCGGCTTCGAACCCGGCAGCTCGGTTGAGCATGTTGAGAGTGGCTCAGGACTGTTAATGCCCGTTACGAAAGGATCAGACGCATCTGCCGACCAACGCACAAATGGCAATACCGGCATTTGGGAGGGGCTCGGTGGGAGGGAACATGTATTTGGAGGGTTGGGAAGTCGTCGATTTGGGATTCTGGCTGGGAAGTTAGGGCGCGGCGGCCAATATCTTTTTTCGGCTTGATTTGATCCCGAGCCGATTTAACCAGACACGCAAGCTAGATCTGAACAACATTGCTGCATAAATTGCGGCGGCTAGGTAGAGATCAATAGAGACGTCAGTCTCGCGAGCCCGCTTCCTTTTCCCTTGCTCAGGCCGGCGACGGAAGTCACCCCGCGCTCATTGTCAATACTACTCCGTAGTACGGAGTACTTTGGGCTTCAGCCCGGCTCAGGCGGTGAGGCCCCGCTGTGGGGGCGCAAGCATCATGACATCAAGTGCGACGATGCTGTGCAGCCGGCCCTGTTGTGCTTTGTCAGCTTAACCTGGAAAATAATAAATGGCTGGGCGAGTGTGGTGCCGCCGTTCCGCGCTGCGGCCTTCTATTGCCTTCTTCAGCTTGTCGCTGGTGGTTTCCGTCCATAGAACCGAGGCATGTGCTTAGGATCTCAGGTTAAGAAAAGGGAACGGGAAATATGGGAGCTGCTCGATGTGGTAGCCATTGGCAAGTGTTTAGGTGTCTGGGGAACTGGTAATCCGTAGGTAGGTAGGTACCTTAGTAGTAGTTGTCACAGGATGGATGCACGAGTTGCTGCCATGGACTATCTCACCAAGGGAAAATACAGAGTACAAAGAAGGACCCGAGACCATGGAAAGAAGAACAGCGCGGGTATTACTGTACGGTGTATATATAAGGTATATATAATAGATGGTTATATATATATTGCAAAAATTACGCGATGCAGACTCGTATTGCAACCCCCAAAGGCTCCACTCCAGTCCGTCTCCCAAGTGAAATACCATCGACTATCAATCATTAACGAAGATTGAAGGAGAGAAGGACCTCCCAGTGATATAACCAATTTTCCCACTCTCCCTTCATTCATCCTCCCTAGCACAACCACACCCCCCAACGCCCAATTTAAATACCCGGGGTAGAGAAGTCGGGATACTGCGGCCAGTTGCCGAGCTGCGCCGGATCGCCGCCGATGCGCACGTACACGCCCACGGCGGGGATGCCGCCGTCGAGCACAAAGAACTGGTACCAGCCGGGCGGGGCGATGTTGGCGTTGGGCGGGGCGTCGACGGTGCAGGCGGTGCCGGTGCACGAGACGCGGGGCAGGAGGGTGCGGGCTCCCATGGAGTTGCCGTGGGTGGAGGCGACGGAGCCGAGCAGCGAGACGGAGATGGCGCCGTTGCGCGGGGCGGCGCCGAGGGTGAAGGCGATGTTCTTCTGGTCGTAGGCCCAGTCGCGGTTGGTGAGCGTGAAGGTCGGGCGCGGCTTGCCGCTGAGCAGGTAGGGCGGTACGAAGACCTCGACGCGGTACTCCTGCGGGTTGACGCCGTCCTGCGGGTCCGAGCCCGAGATCAGCACGCGGCCGTCGAGCAGCGTGATGGCCTCGCTGTGGTACATGCGCGCGATGGTGGTGTTGGCGGCCACGGTGATGCGGTGGCCGACGGGCTTGGCCGGGTCGTACAGCAGCGCGTTGCGGTTGGGGCCGACGCCGAGCCCGAAGCCGGCCACGCCGTGGAGCGCGCCGTTGGCGATCAGGTAGGTGCCGTCGGGCAGCGGCGCCATGCACGTCATGACGCGGAACGACGGCATGCGCTCGATCACCCAGGTCGGGTTGGCCGCCTCAGGCTCGATGCTGACGCAGTTGTCGATGGCGTTGCCGGGGCCCTCGGTCGACCCGCCGCAGATCAGGATGCCGAGCGGGTCCGAGTAGGGGTATTTCTGCGGCAGCAGCACGGCCGTGCCCTCGAGCGGGTACGTGCGGCCGCCCTTGTCGTCGTTGACGGCGCCCGGCGCGTTCGGGAGCACCTTGGTGGTGCCGAAGGTCGCCGCGTCCAGGATCCGCGCCTCGTTCCAGTACTGCACGAAGATGCCGCCGCCCGGCAGCACGCAGATGAATGGATACAGGTTGTTGGGGTGCGTGCGGTCCAGCCACTCCATGTACAGCGGCGGCGTGCCCGTGTACGGCAGCACCTCGATCGACGGCGTGGCCGCGTCGTTGGACCCGATCGAGCCGCCAATGACCATGATGGAGCCGTTGGCCATGATCATGGTGCTCGGGTACCAGCGCCCGGCCTGCAGGTGCAGCTCGTTGACGTTCTCCTCCCAGTCGTGTGTGTCGCCGGGCCAGTACAGGCGCGTGCCGTACGTCGCGTCGCCGGCCCAGCCGCCGACGTTGAGCTGGCGCCCGGCCTTGTCGGGCAGCGTCACGCCGGCCGCGCAGAAGACGTCCGTCTTGATGTGCAGCGTGCGGAACTGCAGCGTGTTGGGATCCAGCTCGTACGCGCCCGTCTCGTTGCCCGGGCCCGTCGCGCCCTTAGAGATGAACGAGACCTTGCCGTGGATGGTCTCCTGCGTGATGAGCGGAATGTTGACGCCGTCGACCAGGAACTCGTACTTGCCGGCGCGGTAGTCCTGCGGGAAGTCCCACGAGTACAGGGGCGCGCCGGTCCAGAAGTACGTGGTCAGCCGGCTGCCGCCGCCGCAGATGGCCGTCTCGTTGCCGGCGCAGACGACGTTGCACTCCGACTCGGGCCGGAAGGTAGCGCCGCGCGTGGCGATGTTGGCCGGGTCGCCGCAGTAGCACTCCTGCCCGTACTCGAGACCGGCAGCGTGGTAGCCGAACTGGGCACACCGGTCCAGGCACATCTTGGGCGTCATGACGTTCGGGTAGTGGAGCTGCCAGAAGAAGGTGCGCTGGTCATCGATGTTGTCCTCGACGCAGCCCTGGTACTCCCAGCCGTCCAGGCCGTCTGTCTGCGGAGCCGGGGGAGCGTATTCCTGCGGAACGCCGTTGGAAACAATGCTCAGCCGGTCGCCGGCGCCGCACTTTTGAGTCGGGTCGCCGGGGCAAGTGTTGCTGCAATCCGACTCGGCCGTCTTCTCGCCGCCGTTGTAGATGGCGTTACCGCAGAAGCACTGGACCGAGTACTCGGTGCCGGAGATGCTGTAGCCGGCCGCAGCGCAGGCATTGGCGCAGACCGCAGGCGAGTTGTTCTGGCTGTCGGGGATCTGGTACGGAAGGATGCGGCCCTGCTTTCCGTCGATCCAGCAGCCCTGGTAGGCCCATCCGGCAGGGAGGCCGGTAATGACCGGGGGCGGAGAAGAGGTCGACGGCCCACCCGGCGCGGTGCTCGTCGAGGTCGCCGTCGGGTCGTACTGCCCCTGGTAGTTGTACACGTTGAGGCGGCTAGGGCCACCGCAGAACTCGGTGCTGTTGCCGTTGCAGGTCATGGAGCAGCCGCTGGAGGCGGGGGCGCCGCCGTTCGCGATGGTGTTGCCGCAGTCTGCTCTCATGTCAGTTCAAGGCGACCTACACACAAGGCACAAGTGACACCCGCTTACAGCACTCTCCGCCGTACTCGACGCCGGCAAGGATATAGTTCGCCGCTCGGCAGGCGGCAGTGCACTTGGCAACCGTCATCTGGCTGCCGTCGATGCCGCCGGCACCGTAGGTAAGCGCACGACCAGTCGTTCCCTCGGCGTAGCACCCCATGTGGACATAGTCGTTGACACCGGGGTTGGCTTGGGGCCCGACGACGGCGGTTGTGTGGAAAAGCGAGAGCTTGCTTCCCGCTCCGCAGGGCTGGCTGGCGTCTCCCGAGCAAGCCATGTTGCACTCCGAGTCGGCGAGCTTCTCGGTCCCCGAAGCGAGGTTGCTGCCGCAGTAGCATTCGACCGAGTACTCGGTGCCGCCATACGGGAAGCCCTTGGACTCGCAATAGGCCAGGCAGGCCTCAATCGTCATGTTCGCGCCATCCGCGTACGAGGCGGCACTCAGCGTCCTGCCGGGCACATCGGTGTAGCACCCCTGATACTCCCAGCTGCCCGGAAGTGTTGTTGGCACGGAGAGTTGTGCCAACGAGAGCGGAACCTGCGGCGTGGTCAGCCAAAGACTATCCCATATATTCCAAATATCCCCAGGATCGTCAACACGGGGGCAGCTCTTCTCACCGAGGACAGGAGAAGGGAAGAAAACAACGTCTTGGTTGGTGAGGCCTTCATGGTGGCGAAGACTTGTGCGTCCCTTGGGCTGGACGACGCCAACACCACAGATAGGACGAGTCACGACGGGACAAACGAGCGTCAGGGTCGGAGTAAGCCAGAGACCAGAGAGAAGCGAAGGAAACCCGGGGGGTGTTGGCAGGTGAAGATATACATAGTACACAGAATGTACACCCACACAGGCACACACGCTCTCCGGTACCGAGTCGGCCGCATCTTGCCGAGTCTGTGAAGTGTCCAGGGACTCCCTTTGCTTGGGAACGGGGGGTGCCGACAGTGGACAGGGGTGGCCCCGCCGAACTATCAGCCCCAAGCCACCTGAGCAGAACGGCCTGGACAAATGGACAAGCGAGAAGGGTGGGACAAAGTTGCCCATCTTGGACAGCAAGGCGTCCAAGCCCCTCCAAGCTCGCAGGGGGTTGTGCTCCGTAGGGCCACCGAGGGGTCCTGCACCACCACAATTCGGGCCCAAGTTCCAACACATGCAGAGAAGGGTAGTAGTATACTGTGTATACATGCCGTCAGTTCACCTGCATACCACTGCGGACGCAGTATATAATGCCTCCTAGTCGGCGACTGTCGTACCTCCCAAATCGGCCTCTTCTTGACAGACTCGCGACGTTGTCTTCGGAATCTCCGGCTTGCACGTCGTCCGGGTGAGTTTAAGAGCTCGAAACCGCGCGCCAATGGGAAATGATGTGGCTTGCTGTTACGTCGCTAGTACCTAGTAAGGCCGGTACCCGTAGGGTGCCCGTGCGTGGATGCAGGAACAAGTGGTCCTTCCACCACATCACCACATCTCGACCTACATCGCTTCTCTTCATGAACATCTTGCATCCCGACCAGGCTGCCGCAGGAGTTGGCTCGCAACCCGGCCCGTCACCGCGGCGAGCTGGGAGAGACTTGGTGAAAGGACGGCCGAATGTCTCGACAGAGGGTAGGAGCCGCTGCGGAGACGATCTGCCAAGATATAAGCCAAGATTCGGCCCTGTCTCGCTCTCATAGCCCAGTCCAGGCAGAGTCGGGAACGGCGGGCCAATGCGGGTTCGCGAGCAGGACATGGCCGCATTGGATGGACGTGACACCGCGCCAAGTGGCTGCTGCAGCAGTCATGGTCAATACGAGAAGGCATTTTTTTTTCTCCCACAAGAAAAAGAAATCTCTCACCGTTGAGGTTTCCCCGGACCGAGCACGGACTCCCGGTCGGCCAGCTGTAGCAGTGCACTACACACGTGTCCCTGGCCCGGGCGACTCCTTCCTCATTGTTGGCGCCAAACAAGTTGAGTGAGTGCCGGTGCAGTGGAAAGATTCCCTCTACGTTAACAGTGTTGACAGGGCAAGTTGATCAGGGCACCCACGACCATTGGATTTGGTGGATGAGTTAGGCGCACTGAATCAGCTGAGGGAATCCACCGAGCGAACCCCCTTGCACCAGATCCACTAGCACAGTTCAAGGACCAGCAACCTAAGATAACAAACAGCTTGATGAGAGCTAAAAACAGCTGCTATCGCAGTACGGAGGATCACTGGAGCTATACCGTCGTCATTGGTGGAGCATAGTAGAAAGACTTCGCACCCCGAGGCGCTGAGATGACTGGTAAGGGAAAGCGTGGCATTGAACCCACCATTGTGCCTGCCTCCAGAGCGCCTTCGCGAGTTCCAGCAACATCAAGAGCCAAAAGCGCTATTCTGCAACCTGGTAGTCAAATGTTACCTTGCAGATTCCAGGTTGGGAAGCGATCGTGGAATGCAGTGCGAAGATGCCCGTCATAGTGATGGTTTAACATCTAGTGATACACTGTACTCTGTATGCACTCCACGTGGTCTTGTAGTACGTATTCCGTACCATGCCGGATGATGGATCAAAGTCGGGTACTAACCATCGCCGTCCACAATGTAATACCTAGACCAGAAAGTTCTTCGCAGCACTCCCTATTGGAGAGAGAAGCACACCCCCTTGGCTGCAACATGTGAACTCGTATCTGCCTGACCCCCGCCAACTACTGCAAGGTATTTGCTTACTATCGATCTGAAGCGGCCCAACGACAGGTGCAACTGAGCTTGTACAAGACACACCTGCTGTGCGCTCTCCCAGCAGACATGGCACTATTGAAGAAGAGGCGCACCTTGGCTTTTGTAGACCAAGGGAACGCAGGGCTGGGCGCCAACAAAGAAGCTTCCATAGAAGCAGAAAAGGGGCCCGACTGGTTGACTCGGACATCACAAGCAAAAGTCTAGGTAGGTGAATGATGAATCTCTTCGGGTCTGACGTGCCGTGTATTGTACAACACGGGAAAAAAAAAGTTGGGGAAAATCCTCACATGCATGGCAAACCCCACAACGATGCTGCTGCAATGCTACGCTTCTACCACCTTGGCCCTATCAGCCTAGTGGTGAAATCGTCCGATAGCCGCATCTTCGCATCTTCCGGTGATGAGCCATCAATGCTCGAGGTCGCTCTTCAGCCGCATTGACAAGTCCGAATCTTGGCCCCAGTCAAGTGTCTCTTCGCCATCACCTACAGGGAGGTTAGGTGCCTAGGTACCTTAGATACGTACAAGTACATACTACCTTAGTTACTTGCTGTATAAGTTGGGACGACGTGTAATTTCACGCAGTTCCAATGGGTACGGTGGGTAAATCGGAAACATTGTAACGTTACCGTTCGACCCGAGCACGTGCCGAACCTCTAGGCATTGTAGCCCGCTCCAACCCTGACCCGCTTACCGGTTGCGAATCGGTCTGACGAAATTGCTAGTAGTATCCGTATCGCCTTCGGAGTTCGAACCATAATAAGTTATGTATATGTCTGAACAGTCAGTACCGTACCTACCACCCAAATGCAGTCTACGCAGGACCTTCGGCTGGTCTTCCTCACCCCATCCAAATGCCAAAAAGAACGACTCTGCTGCTTGCACAACTTCCATCAGCAGATTCTCCTGCCGCCATCAGCCGACGGAGAGCTGAGCTTTTGAGGGGTAACACTCAATATATGTGTCGTTGGGGCGCTGCAATGATACAGTAGCATTTCGATGCGGGCGCCAACGCCTGTGAAAGCTCGTCGGTGGTTGAGGTCGGGTTGGCTTTGTTGGACAGCGCGAGTTGCTCTCATCTCATCCCAGACTGCCGGAAATTGGTAGGCGGCAGTTCCGGCGTTAGCAATGTCTTGTCTCAATCTACAGCTTCGGTGTGAACCTGCGGCGAGCCTGGAGAATAGGGGCGTTTCTCAACAGCCACATTCCAGGTTGGCTGCAGAAGGGGGCAATCTCCTTCAGGACGCCACCAAAAGGACTTTGATGAACAGTGAAGGTCTAGCATGACTTTGCTGATATGATACACCGATTCGAGAATGGAAGGCGTATAAATACCTTGTATCTGATCTAGAATAGGTACCTACTAGTAGGAGGTACCTTATTAGCCAGTCATGAGTTCGTTCCCTCAAACCGTCAGACACCCGACGTCCTCTCCCATGGGTGCTCCGAGTCACCAACCATGCTTCCCTATCACCAGGCCAACAATGCGCTCAAAATCCCGCCTCTTCATGCTCGCCCCGAAATGCGGACACTTCACCGCCCGGACAAACCCGCGCTTCAGCTGGTCTAGCACGCCTTCCTGCATGAGCGTGGCCGCGCCAAAGCGCGCCACTAGCTCAAACCACGCCTGCACGGGCGTAATCTCGCCGCCGTCCGCCAAGGACGGGGGGTTCAGCGAGCATGCCAGCCCGTAGAGCGATCTCAGTGTCAGGCCGGATGTCTTCCATGATAGTCCCGTGCTATCATCAGCAGCAGCACTGGGATGGGCAGCAGGAGGAGGAGGCGGCGGGGAGGAAGATGGTGCAGGGGGAGGAGGAGGTGGTGGTGGTAATGGTGGGACGGAGGGCCGACGGGAGATAAGGTTGACGCCCGGCAGGGGACGGGTGCGCGCCGCGGCCTTGAAGATGTGCGCTGGGGCGTTGCGCAGGGCCAGACTGGTTGCCATGAGGGTGTGGCCGTTGGAGTCGTTGCCTAGGAAAAAGTCAAAGGGGTTGTTGTGTTGTGGGGGCGGCGCGCTGCCGTCGGCGTCGTCGGCGTCTTCTGGGGCTGGTGGGTGGTAGAGCGACGGGTGGAAATGGTCGCGGCAGATGTGCTCTAGGCTTTTTTTGGTAGAGGAGGAATGCAGAGTTGGCTTTGAGATCAATAGAATAGAGGAAGGGAGTCTGGACTGGGGACATACGCGAGGATGAAGTTGATCGCTGCTTGGGTTTCCGAGGGGGTCAGGTCGGGAAGGGCCGCTGGGGATGGCGCGGCTGGCCGTGGAAAGGGTGGACAGGGGTAAGCCGGAGGTGGCGGGCTGCTGATGTAGAAGGCTGGCGCGTCCATGATCTCGTCAAAGCCGAGGGTGATGGTGACGGCGTCGAGCTCTTGCCGGAGACTTGCGACCGTGTCCGGGGACATGGGAATGGACACAGGCAGGGACACAGGCAGGGACACGTCCGTCGCTGCGGCGTTCCGTAGTTGCGCCCTCATGGCCTGGTTTTCATCGAGCAGCACCTGGCTCTCCCGCTCGGCGGCCTCGATCATGCCGCGGATGCGCGCAACGTCCATCTCGAGCTGCCTGACGTAGCTGGCCTTGCGCTGCCGGTGCTGCATCTGGGCTCTCCGTACCTGAGCACGCCGTAGCTGCGCCTTGTCTGGGCCCGACTCCTTCGTGGGATTGCTGTCGACAAATCTAATCGTCTTCGCGCCCAACACCTGCTTGGATTTCTTCCAAAACGACTTGAACGAGGGCCGGTTCGGACCCGGATCCGGATCCGAACTCGCAGAGCTCTCCACCATGGTTACCTACCTTAGGTAGCGTACCTGTTAGTTCTCCCCTCCTCCCACTCACCACACGCGCGTTCCCTTCTGAGGTGCTGAGACTCTGAGAGATGAAGACTAGGTACTGGAAAGTGGCTGTCCAAGATGGCAGATAGTGGACTGCCAACCGTAAGAAACACCCCAAGGCTGAGGAGATAGAATAGGTACGTACGCGCATATACCTAGGTAGTAGGGTAAGTAGGGTCTCATGGGAGAAGGAGACAATCAGGGCTCGCCTTGACTGCCCAAATGAGACGGGAAGAATCCCTGTTTCGGCTTACTCACCAAAACCAACTGACCAAAAACCGACAGTTTCTGACATCTGTGCTCAATTGCGACACCATTCCTTCCTACGTACTTATTTTTCCGGCCCCTCGCTACATGCTTCGGAAAAGACAAAACGCCGCAGCCATGCTCGCCTTGAAGACCGCACAAAACGCCGTTACCCCTTTTCCCAACCTTGCCCATAGTTAACTTTTGGAAAGCCATAGCCCTGCGAGGCTACCAGATCCCACCACCACAAGCATATCGGAATAGAGATCCCCCTCAAAATCTGCGACATCAATCATAGCTCTCCCCGCCCTCATCATCCGTAGCGGTATCCTCCCGGAAACTCACTTTCGCCGCCTCCCCGTAGTCGTCATCACCATCATCCTCCTCGCTATCGTCAGCATCGACCTCGCTCTCATCCTCATCCTCGTCTCCTTCCTCGACGCCACCACCGTCTCGATCCAGCACCGCCATCGGCTGCCATGTGACATAGCTGTTCTGCAGATCCAGCCAGCGCTTAGCGATCGGCAGCTGGAAAGGATCAAACGGGAAGCAAGCCTCGAGGTGCGTCCACTTCTCGTCGTCAAAGTCCACGCCAGTGTCGCGGAGCGCGCCGCCCGTGGCGTAGCTGCCTGTGAAGAACTGCGACAGGTGGACAGACTTGTTCTTCTCGATTTGGGGGTAGCTGGTTTGACATGATTAATAGGGGACGAGATGGGGCAGAATGAAGAGGATTGGAAACTGACATGTAGAGGAGCCGGAGATGGTGAGATAACTGGGCGAATTCGTCGACGATCACAGGTGAGCAGCATTTAAGGGGCTTTTGCGGAGTTAGTAACATAATCCTGGCCCACGGCTCCGCAAACGGGATCGCAACTCACATTAAGCTTGCTGGCTATGTTCGCCTGCAGTCTCGACTTCAGCCCGGCCATCCAGGGTAGATCCTGCCCAATGAACGAGGCGGGGTCGTCCCAGTCGAGGCTTGGAGGAGCCCGGTCACGATCGATCAGGTCTCGCCAGCGAAAACAGAAGATCTTTTGAAACCCAACTGGTTAGGACACGGTAAACTGAGAACTCTCGCCCGCCGGAAACTTACATAGAGCAGTCCTTGAAAGTACGCACTGAAGATAGCTAGTAGTCAGCATCACCGAAGATCGGTGCAGGTGTCCTGGGCTAACCTACTAATACTGGCTGTACCGCCTCACATCTGGGCCCCGGCAGCTGGTGTGCGTGGCGCGATAGAGGTCGAGGTGGTCGAGGAAAGTCTTGGTGATCATCTGCACTTGCTCGCTCTGTACCCTGGCCCCGCGCGCAGTGAAGCTTGCCAGGTAAGCAACTGCAGCCTGCCTAATGACTGGTTGCCGATTCGACTCAAATCTATTTCCGGTCAGCATGCTGGCTTTACTCCCGCGCGAGGCATGGCGCAACATACGCGATATTGAACAAGGTCCCGATGAACATCTCCATGAGTTGATTAGACTTCATGGCAAATTTAAAGAGAAGATACTGAGTGTGGCGAGATTTGAGGTTCTGCGATACGATCAGTCGTTGAACCGAGCAGGTCCGGACACCATACACACCGGGAGGATGACGTTGCAAAAGTCACTCAACATGTCCTGAAACGCTTCCAGGGCCTCTGGACTGTCGGGATCCTCAAACACCGGGGTGTATATGGAAAAAAGCAGATCCAGGATAGCGTCCATGGTCTCCAGCTTGCTCTTGATTGTGAGCACGCGTTTGGCTTGCTCGGGCAGGTCGTCTTCCTCGCTGAGCACGGAATCGGCATCACTCTCATCGTCTTCGTCCTCGTTCTTAACGTCGGACGCGTGGAGCTGCCGGAGCACGGCCCGCGTCGTCTCATCATCGTCGTTTTCCAGATCGAGCGTCATCTCGACATCGAGCTTGACCAGCCGAGCGAGGATCAGCTCCATGATATCTCTTTCGAGCTCCGGTCTCGCCGCTTTCAGACGGAGGAGATGGTCGATGTATTCCATGTGCGTTGCCTTCGATGCCTCCGTGTACGGAAACTTGTCAGTGATCAACTTCAATGTGATGTGTTGGCCAGCCGGGAACAGCTCGAGGAGATATTTCAGCCCGACATGGAGCCATGTCTTCTTCGTCTCGGGATCGACAGGTTCGAAGCCCGGAACACTGGAGACGTGCCGTGTTTCGGTAAACCTATCGACCATCATGGTGAGGACCTGAGTGAGAAACGAGCCTTGTACAGACGAAAGCGCCGCCAGCAGCTGGATGTATGCCTTTGCAAAGTACTCATCACGCTCCAGCCATGCACACCGGAGGACACTCCGAAGTAGGCCGGAACATGAACGCCCGAGGAGATGTGCGTAGCCGGTTAGCGCCACTACGTAGACGACCAGGTCCTGTGGCTTCGTAGCCTCCTCTTCTTCGTCGTCTGGTGTGAGCCGCTTCGGACTGGGCGAGAAGATCTCCTTCAGGTTGTCGTAGTCCTCGTCGTCACCACGACTGTGTCCCTCCACGGCCTGCCTCACCTCCCGTTTCGCGTCCTCCAAGCTCTTGCTGCTAATTTCCTTGACCATGTTCAGGTCTTCATTGAAGACCACTGTTTTCTTCTGCTTCTTGGTCGGAGGCTCGTCCTCCTCCGCTCCGTCGGAATCGTCGGACCGTGATCGCGTGCCGAGCACGGACGTGGGCTTTCGCAGAATCGGTCTTATCGGAGAGGAGGTAGCGGTAGGCGCAGACGAAATCCGCGCAACAGATGTTAGTGTGGTCATCGTGGCCGACTTAGGTTGCTTGCTGAGCCGCGAGAAGAAATCCGCCGTGGGGTGTGGTGGTGGCAAAATGGGCGACAGCGGAAGGCACGGGGCGGCAAAGCCGACAAAAGCCTGAGGGAGGTCAAGGCACAGGCAATATGGCGTATCGCGATGTGTTTGGAAAAGGCAGCTGGTCAGACATAATTGTTCCACTCGCCCCGATGTTGAAAAGAGACGATAGGTTTCGGTGGTTGAACCCGAGCCTCGAGACCCTTCTGCGCTCTCTGAACTTTCTGCCGGCGTATCCACCTTTCTCGAAGGAAAATGTTTGAACGGAATTTCGACATGAACGTTTTCCCCGCGAATAGCACGTGCACGGTGGGGACCATGCCGGCTACGGTAGGCGGTCAGAGTTGGACCCACTTAACTACCTACTACGTATCAGTGTGTGAAAGACCTTAAGCACCACCGCGCAACTTCACCACAACTACCTGATCAGGTCAAGAGGCATGCAATTCGAACACTTCTCTCTTGGTTTAATGCCTAGATCGAGCTGCATAGGAATGAGTAGGAGTTCGATGATGTGGAAGGGAAGTAGCATCATCGAAACTGACTCAGTTGGGCGTTATTAAAATCCTTGGCTGGAGGCATTGGGGAAAACTTCAGCTACATCCTGGCGGGTGATCATAATTGTATGTATCACATACATAGTTTGGAGGCAGTCATGGTGACTATGTCACCAATTCACCATTAGCACCGCGGGCCATAACCACGGGGCGCAAACATGCAATATGAGGCACATCAGTGGCGAGCTCAGAGCATGTCATATAGGAACTGAGGCGGAACGCCCGTGAATGCGAGAGACTTCCTCCCTTAAGGTTGAGCTGTTGAGCAATGCGAAACACTGAGATCCTACTGCGCGTCCCTCGGTATCATTGCTGGAAGCACCTCTCGACTGCTGTGGTAACCCTATCGTTGTGTGTCGTAACAGCTTATGCGCTGTAAATTCACCAATTACATGTAAACTTACAATACCCCTTCCTAGGTTTAGCCGAACTTCAGCCAATGCTCTCCGCCAAGACTTTAATACCCCACACCGTGTATGCCCGCTGTCTGCCTCACTGCTGTGCCCGTGATAACCAGACTGATCAATCCTAGTAGTCTGTGCCAGCTCCGTTATGCCCAGGCTGTGCTCCGTAAAGGTTATAGCTCTGCGCATCTCCGCCTTCCTGTTGGCCAGGGAGACCGGCCCCGAAGCCGGCCGCGGCGGGATTGGAGCCGCTGGCTGCGCCGTAGCCCTGGCTGTTGGGCCGGTTCTGTTGATTATCGCCCCTGTTAGACTGCGATTGCTGCTGTTGAGGTCAGTACACATCCTGCCCGGAGCGGCGAGGTGGGTGTGGGAGGGAACGGGAGAAGCGAAGAACTTACCTCTCTGTACTTAGTCAGGTAAATCTTGAGTGCCTCGGCGTAGTTCTCAAACCCAAGGGAGCTCATAGCGAAGAGGATGTCCTCTCCATTGACAGTTTTCCTCTTTTCTTGATGGCACTTCTCGGACGCTGTAATAAAGTCAGGCTTGTATGTACAGACAACCGCCTGTTTCATGGGGCCTCAGCAGACTTACCCTCGCTCGTGATGAACGAGATGAACTCGCTCACACATTCTTGCATACACTCCTTCGCCTCTTTGGCGATCTTCGCATTCTCTGGGAGCGCAGTCTTCATGATGCGGGCCACTGGCGCAAAGTTTCGGATGTTAGCATCGTAGATATCAGACCTGTCGATCTTGGACGAGGACGAAGCGCGAAGCGCTTGCGGCGACGACTTGGGCGACGAATGGCCCGACATGGGCGTGGAGCAACCGTTGGCGTGGGCGGTTATCTGATAGGCAGAGCGGAAGCGACGCCAGTCATAGGGGGTTTCATCGCCATGCAAGCGGCGCGCAAGCGTTGAGCGGGAGACGGGCCACCACCACAAGCCCACGCGAATCAAGGCCGCAAGTGCGAGCATCTGGAAGCATAGAATAAGAGAAACGTGACGTACCATTGGCTATGGGCAACCACCGATCTTGCTCTTTAACCTCGAACTCATAGCCGAGCCCGGTCGAGTGTGGGTCTTGAGGGTCGTTCATTTGTGCTTCCTCGTCACCCGACGGTGCACCTTGTTCGACATCCTTCGTATGGGATTGGGGGGAGTCGGACATATTTGGCTACCTGCAGCGGCTGCTGGCTTCTTGTAAATTCCTTGGACTGTGGGCTCGCACAGCTGGGGTAGAGTGGATGATGTGTCGTCGGACACGTTGCAGGGTAGTAGGGCTTGCGGCCTCTTCCTTCTGACGGCTTGACCTGCAAGAGTTGCGTCAAGCGGTGCCTCCCCGCGCGTGCCAGGCCCGATCTTACTGGCTACTCTGCCCGAATTTCAGGCTGTAACGAACGGAGCCTTTGGCACTGGCGCAATGGTGGGGTGGAGGTAAGGGGCAAGGGGTGGCAGTGACAGCCGACCGACTGGGTATCGTGGGGTGAGCCGCGCCGGTGGGTGCAAGGGGGTGTGGGATGTGCAACGACTTGCAGTGACGCAGTCCCTTCCGCGAGTGGTCAACAGGGGGAGCAGCAAGCTCAGAGTGGAGTCTCTTTCTGCTCGCCCAGATCGCCCTTGCTGCAAGACTGTTTTGCCGTACACGAGGCAGCGTGCACCGTGCTGGGATGTATGTAACCAGGTCTAAGTGTGGTCGGATAGGCCTGGCCGGCTGTATTCCGTCTCGCCGGGTTCAACTGTACGTGATATCGCTGTGTGCTATTGTGTCCCGGTTACACGCCGACTGCGATGCGAGAGCCGGTTGGCTAGGTAAGGCCGGCACCGGGGAGGACGGCCCCGAGTTTGCGTGGACAGGGGATTGGTTGTGCTGCCACGACCTTGATTGCGTGCCTCGTGGGATATCTGCATAGTCGCGTCAGAGACCAGTTCCTGCCCAGAGCGGGAAAACATTGTCAGGTGCCGACAGTGTTGACCAGCAGCGTGCGCAGTGCCGCTGCCGGCGACGCGATGGCCTTCGATGTGCCGCGCTGACATGCTATGTGCGACAGCTACCGGACGTACCTGGGTCCCTTGTACCAGTGACAGGTCGCCGGGGACGATAAATGGGGCGGTCGTGTCTCTCGGTCGAGCTTTCGCCTGACTAGCGGGTTGCTGTGGGTGCTCCTACTGGGTGGTAAGGGAGTTGGCCGCGACCTACTAGTGTCGACTTGGGTTTGGGGATGCAAGAAGGCTGCAGCGCGCGTGGGGTTAGGTGTTGCGGAAAATCGAGGTCGGGTGAAAAGAGGAATGCGCGAGTCGCAGCGCCCAGGCGCGACCCTGGTCTTGCCCCATTGAAGCTAGTTAGGTGGCCGGGAAGGAACCTAACCTGCTAACGTTAGTTAGTTGATTCCCCGGCCAGCCACTTCAACTTCATGGAAATTCCAGGTTGAAGCCCAGAAAAGCACTTGTATGATTGAAATGATGAAATTCCCGGGGCAAGAAGTATGTATCGGCGGACGACCTAAGTTAAACCCACCCGTTTCAACTTGAACATTCAGTGTGTCCAGGATTGGCAAGGGTCATATTGAATCACGAGGATGAGAGCGCTCACAGTCTTGCAATACCAATTGCCCAAATCGTCCTCCGGTCTTCTTCCCGCCAAGAGCGGTGAATGCGCAGCCGAGATCTGCCGCCGATAGGATCTGTAGGTCTTATTAGCTTAGGTAGTCTTTCAGCACATTCTCTGCACATCATCTCATCAACTTGAGAGCTGTCTTCTTCGGTAAGTTCAATGTGGTGATGCCGTGGGCTCGGAGGTTGTCAAGATACCTGCTCTCTTAGAGCCTTGGTTGGGTCACTAAGATGGAGGAGCGAGACGGCAGGTGATTCGACAATTGCTGTCTCGGGTAAACAGGCAGGAACAGGACAGCCCTCTGGAAGACGAGATAAACCTGAGTGGCTGTAAATTCCCGGATTTATTAAACCAATGAATGATTCCAGGACATTTTCAAACATATCATTGGAGCAATGCACTCGAGTTTCATGATCCCAATCAAATCATTTGCCGTTCATTTATGAGCAGCTATCACAGTACTCTGACATAACAAGTCATAGATGAAACTGGCTGGAGAGCACTCCAGAATCCAACACGCGGTCGGAGCAGACCCCCGGTGTCGCAGTCTGGTAATCAGTTCTGGTGAGGTATCCTTGGTTGTTGCTGTCACACTCACGACGATGCCAGCAAGTCGCACCCCACCCCCACTTAACCGGGGTGAGACTCAAGAGGAGCCCAACCATGTGGTCGGCCACCCGGTTGGGCATCCGCAAAAGATCATGCCGTAGGGTTGCAGGACAACATGGTGTTGGGACAACTCAGCAGACCGTCATAAGTGGGAGGGCTTTCTCGTTGCCGGCAAGCTCAGCAAATATAGACTGTTGTCGCTCTGTTGTTTGTGTCCGTTTTTACCTTGCTCGACCGTGCGGGCAGCATTAGGTATAAGGCCCTTTGGCCAACCAAGGTGCCGTGTAGGGGGCCAGGGCACCAAGGTAACTTGCATGATGCTGTCTTCCATGATGCTGTCTTCCAAGATGCTGTTTCCCCTCTGCTGAATGTGCACAAGTTGGCCACACCCGTGGAGTTTCCGGATGACACGCATCTGGAGGGTGGCTCCTTGAACCCTTGCCCGAGTGGGAGGTCTCATGATTGCACAACCTGGACGTTGTTCTTCTTCTGCAGAAGAGGTCAGAGATGCCGGGAGTGACGGCGCGATGAGGTCATCTTGGCCCATACCTTCCACTTCTCAAGCTCGTCCTGCTTGACCTTGTATTGCTTAACCAGGTCATCAAGGACCTTCTTCAGGCCTTCGGCATTTGTGCGGAGAGCCGGGATGACATCTTTGACGGTCCTCTCCACCAGAACGCCATTTATCATGCGGAAGCACTTGCGGTCACCAGGAAGGGGTTCCAAGGTTTCAAGGACAAGTCTGCCGACTCGTTAGTGATGAGCGGTGAAAAAAGCAGCATGAAGCGGTGTGATAAGGTTAGAAGCTGAGCGGGGATAGCTTCCAAGAATAATAAACCGGCCTATTTCAGCTCCACGGTATCGACCAGAAGAGATTTCTTACTTATGCTCCTCGGCTTCTTGCTCAACGTCACCAATCTTCTGCGCAAGCTGCTGTAGTGTGTTTTTGAAAGTGGTATATTGAACCTGGAGGTCTGTCGAAAACGTCAGAAGTTACTTCCTGCAGATATCTCAAGCGATGTCCTACCCTGTTGCCTCTTAGCTGGGGCTGGTTGGGACGCCATGATTGTTGGAACACGCCAGAAGCGCTTGACGTCCTGCAGAATCGGACACGGTTGTCGAAGAAGAGAGTTTAATATTAGGCAATTGGTTCCCTTCTAGTATGAACTGATTGATACGATCGTTGTGGGTCACAGATTCAATATCCGTACGGAACTGGGCCAAATGACGAAGTGGTCAAAGCTCCGGCCCAAGGTTTGTCCCCAGACTCCCCACTCAGCTCCGGAAGATCAACTCTGCAGGCAGTTGTCACGACTCGTTGGAACATCGACTGCTAGATCCATTTGCACAATGCATCCTCTATTGCACACCAAGCATAACGCTGGTGAGTCAAATCTTAAGGTTGCAGCTTAGTTACTGCGGTGCGCTCTCATTCCCCTAACACTGGACGGTTCGAATTAGGGTGTGAGCAGGTGATGCAAGCCCTCGAAGAGTGCCACGCAAAAGGGTTCATGTGGAAGGCGGCTGGCATGTGCAATGATGCCAAGCAGCAGCTTGCCGACTGTCTCCGAGCAGAGCGCGCGAAGAATCAGGACTCAAACCGGAGCGGTGTCCAAGACAAACAGGCCAGGATAAGGCAGAGGTGGAGGGAAATTGAAGAGAACTCCTAAAGCGGCCGATGCTGGCCTCAGCCGAACCTTCGCCACGACACTCCATTCTCAAAATTCGCGACGTTCTTTTTCATCGAGGGGCAGCTTCAACCGAACCCTTAGGAGAACACAGCACTACAAGAATCTGGGCCGCGCGGATAGTGTGCCAAGATGCCCGGCAAACCGGGGGTTAGATGTATAACATGACTTGTAGATGGGCACGACGGCTATGGGTGTATACTATCATCTTCTTTGTTGGTCTGGCTCGTTGCTTCGATCTCTCTGCTAGCAGATTCCAGGCCTTACAGAGCACGACGGAACGCATCCCCAAAGGTAAACAGCCCGTACGCCGCGAACAAGGACAACATGATGGGCACCGGCTTCCGAAGCCTGATAGCGCGGGGAAAGGCAGACCCGCCCAGGACTAGCGATGCGAGCAGACCCAACTCAACGCCGTAGGGCTCGTTGTTTGCGATGCGGTAGCCTCCGAGACCGTCTGGTGGGCGCCTGGATTAGCCGCTCTTCTGCCGGACGCGTATGGAGCAGATTTGGGTGACTTACAGAGCAGGCCAACCGCGGTTCCCGCGATGAGGCTGGGCTTGCTCTTCGTCCGCGCATATCCAACCGCTCCTCCCGCGCCGGTCAGGGCGGCGAGGATATACGCCGGGAGTTCGAGGCCCTAGGTCTGATTTCAGCAAAAGACTCCTATACCTGCTCTGATAGTTGTATACCATTTCAGTGCAATTGAGTAGCAGGTTTCGTCGTGATCTCGTTGTTGCGCAGGATGCTTCGGGGTTCTTGAAGGTTCCCCGACACGATGAAGCCCGGTTGACCTGAGCACGGCATGTGCCGGCCGTAGAAGTGGGGCTCTCTTACCTCCGTCGAACCTGCTTTCCGATACGTTACAACGGCCACCGCCAAAACGACATCGGAAAATCGAGGATAACAGCAGAGAAAGTGTCCAAGGAGGCCCAGATGACACTTACACTTTGTTGTGGATTTTTCTAGACCTGTTGTGCCTACGTTATCGTCTTGCCGGCCGCCTACAATAGCTTTCTCATCCAGTCCCTGGGGACCCCCACTCCACCCATATAAAGCAGCACGGGCTTTTTTCGAGCCGACTCCCGATTCCTTACAACAACGGGTGATTGAACTTCACCGATGGAGTCGTACTGTGTATTCCATGTTGAGTCCTGGGTTAGAAGCTCCCACGCTTGCTTCTCTTGAAGAGATGCGAAAGATTAGACTACCTACCTAGGCGATTAGACGGGGCATCCTCAGACGACGGCCGGCGGCGGCGGGCAAGAGCATGGAATACTGTACAACAGATACCAGTAAGGTGCTGATGAGCAATCTTGAATCTACAGCAGCGCAGCCACGCAGTCAAACCAATTGGTTTGAATTGAGCAAATCGGAGACGAGTTTCTGCGGATTTAAGTTACCCTGTACCTGCGAGTCTGGGACGGAGGTACCGTACCTTATGTCCTAGGTAAGGTTATAAAGACAAGGGTAGCAGCACAGGACGCCGCCTTGTGGCTGTGTTTATTTCAATATTGGCACTCGAACATGGCCGTGTTGTTACACATGACGGCAAACTTGCCGGGCGCCAGAAAGTCGGAATAAGAGGATTTCTACGGACCTATATTCTGCACGTTATCGATCTTTCCCGTGTTCTCCTCAACATACTGTATGTACTATGACGGGATAGCCGTGCTTGCTTTGCCGGAGTTCTGGTTTGTCATTCACCTCATGATCGTCAGCGATGTCAGTAGGCGTGCACGGACCACATCTTATTTTCCTCAAGCTTCCCCCGCCAAATGTGACGACGCAGTGGGCCTAAAGCTGGAGAAGCTCAAGTTGAAATGAAACATAAAGTTGTAGTAATATGTGCCTCGATGCAAGCTTCGCCTCGCGAGACGGAGGCGGCCTCCGTAAGAAGCTGTCGAAGTTTACTTCTACGTTCTAGAATTCAAGGTTGGGGGGCAGCCTAAGGTAGTATACTAGGAGTACATAGGTAGGTACATAGTAGGTGCCCCACTGATGTCAATTCCGCCCTCCACTCAGCCCGTACACTCGAACATGAACTCACACAGCCCCAACACCCCGGTTGGCAGGTGAATCGGCAACCAACCTGCAGAGCAATGGTCATCGACCTGACAAGCATTTCACCGAATCGTCCCTGCATTGTGTGGAGTCAGCTGCCTGGGGCAAAACGTTGGGCGTTCTGTCATGTGGCTTGGGATCGCGGATCTGAACGACGGGACAAGGCGTCTCTCCGCGCCATATCGCGTTGGGGACGAGGTAAACACCAGAAACACGACGAGAGGCCTGGGTATCGAGGCGGATGGCAGGTGTACTGCAGTGACGGGAGCTCTTCTCGGTCGCTGCCATCTAGTTAGATTCGGATTGCGTGTCTCAGTTCCTCAGTCGAGCACATGCGGATAACTCGAATTACTCGACAAGATGGCTACTTTCTTCACCGTTTATTTTCCTTCCTCTACTACGGTGCTTCCTGTGCCTTGAGTGTTAAGCGCTAGCTCGATCTCGGAAGCAGGCTCGCTGCGCCTCAAGCCCAATTTCTCCCGCCCCTGGGCGCTAGTGACCAGGCGATGCGGCTCAGCACCGGACCGCGGCCAAGACATCCCACCAGCGCAGCCTGCCACCTTACCTCAGTTTCTCACTCTCACCAACGATCGCTTGTTCCTCCACCTTCAAGATACTTGACAATCGCTTGCTCCGTGACAGACCACCTCCATGCGAACGTTATTTCCAAGCTGAGGTTGTCGACAGAGCGTCGTTGCCAACGCCTTGCGTCGAGTCTCTCAGCTTGTGCCTCAGACCCCGCTGCGCACCTGCCATCCATGGTAACATCCCCCACACCGTGGACGGGAGATCGGGAGCTGCGCACCGTAACAAACATTTTAACACGCCGCCTGTTTTATCCTGGCTGGGACGGTCCTAGAACGACCCGAGGCACAATATATACTCGCGCGCCAGGCCACCTGGTCGTCCCGCCGCCAACATGTCTTCGACTTACACCTTCTACCCGTCTGGCACCACCGGTACTACTCCAGAGCAACCCCGCAGCCCCCCAGCGCACAACGCTCAACATCACACAGACCGCGGATACCTTAGCCCCTTCTCGCCGCAATCAAGTAGTAACTCGGCCTCTCCGGCGCTGAACACAAGCACGCCGGCCGAATCGGTGTCCGCCCTCAGCCTCCATTACCAGTCCAGCGAGTACAGCGAGGGAGACGACCCCTTCTGCGGCGTGGATTTCAGTAGCTCCCTCGAGCACGCTTCCCCCTCCTTCTTGGGCGATGGTATTCTTCCAGTCGATCTGAACGAGCCGCTTGTCGACAAACCAAGCGTCCATGTTGGGCCTAGTATGACGCAGCGTGTCCACCGGCACCTACCGCTGAGCCCAGACAAGACTCCCTCATTGCCGGGGGGATCACCCAACGGACAGAGAGGGGAGGAGGAAGCCACGGGAGCTGTGTTCCCCGACCTGGCCAGCACATCCGTTGCGCCCCACGAGCTCCTCCTCACAGGCAACTCCTCTCCGGCTGCTATGAGCACGCACGCCGGGGGTACCCACTGGACCCCGAGGACTAGCGACAGTATTGGATCCAGCGACGACGGCATGGCCTCGCCTGGAACGATGCAGAGTCCTCTCGTCACGGTCTCGCACTGGGACAGAGACGATGTTGGACGATCCAATGCCGCGAATTCCGAGCAGTCTCTGGAACGAGACGGCCAGTCCTTCTCCGCGTCCCGCGACAATACTGGTCGGTGGGTCCCCGATCAAGTTACTGGACAGCGTGGGCTAGGCCCCTTGGTTCGTCCTACGGCCCAAGTCGACAGCATTAACGACATTGCGGCGCAGCGAAAACTCAGCGAGCGGAACCGGGAAGTGAACGACTGGCTAGAGCGGTCGGCGCCTCCGTCACCCACCAATCGGGGGGCCGAGGAGCAGCCGGCAGAGCCCCCGAACGATGGAGACGACAACATCCCCCGACGGGCGATTTCCCTGGGCAACAGGACAGAGAACAAACCCGTTCCTGGACAGACGTACTATATCGAGACGGGAGGCGAGCTAACCAGCGAAGACCTAGAGCTTATGCGCCAGGGCCGCAACTGGGATGACGCCCCCATTACGCTGTCCATCTCGCAACCCAACGCTATCGCCTATCAACCTGAATCCTCTCAAGCTGCCATAGACAGATGGAACCAGATGTGCCGGGACACCGATTCCGTAGTGTCGAGAGCGGCCACCTGGGGCACGCGACGGCTCAGCTTGCCAAGCATCCTGGATACCGAGGTGCAGACAGCGGGCAATCTGCTCAAGAAGCTATCCCTCAGCCGGAGAGACATTCGGCGGCCAAGCATCCTCGAAGGCCTTCGCGGTCTCGTCCGGAAACCAAGCATCAACTCGAGCAAACGTGCCCGAGCAGAGGCCGACGATGCGAACTTGTTGCACACCGAGCTGCCTGCAGAGAGGAAGGAGACCCAGCCCCAGGCCAAGCTCGCCCCTCCTAGTCCCAAACCGGCGTGGCCTAGGAAACAAAGTGTGCCGAGCATCAACACTGCGTTCGTGGACGTCGGCAGCAGGGTGGCCTCGATTGGTGCGGTCCATGCCCGCACCGGATCCATCAGCGCGACGCCCATTACCTCGCCGCGGAGCCCGATGGGCCGCAGCCTGAGTGTGAAGAAGCCGCTGAGCCGGCTGCGGAGCAAATCAGAGACCACCTCAAGCATCGCTGACCTCTGGAAGAAGAGTGGTGGCCCTCCGGTGTCGAACTTGGGCAAGACCAATGTGGATGTGCCCGAGGCTGACGACGACGAGGATGAGGAGGACGACCTGGACGAAGACGTGGACCTGAAGGGCGAGACCGACAAAGTCATTGACGACATCACGCCCAACTTTGCGGGTTTCCAACAGCACGTCCTGAAGCTGAATCCGCAATTGGCCACCACCAACAGCTACTTGGTGGACCGCATTGCCCATCAGCAGTGTGTCCGCTACAAGAACCTTCTCAGCTTGCGAGTGAGGCACCTGCAATCAATTGCCGCCAAGAACTGTTCCTCCGGGTCCATGTGTATTGCCCTGGGAGGCAGCGCCATCCCGAGTTCAAAGGGTGATGCGCGCGGCCTCGATCCCCTGTCGGCCACATACGAGGGCTCGGACGGAGACGTAACACCCCTGGAAGGCGCGGTCAACCAGGACAGTTTCCCGCAAGACATCCCCATGCCGCCGACGGCCTCGTTGCCAGCCGAGTTCGAATGCCAGCTGTGCTTCACGGCCAAGAAGTTCCAGAAGCCATCCGACTGGACCAAGCACGTTCACGAGGACATCCAGCCCTTCACCTGCACGTGGGAGCGCTGCAAGGAGCACAAAATGTTCAAGCGGAAGGCCGACTGGGTCCGCCACGAAAACGAGGGACACCGCCACCTGGAGTGGTGGACTTGCGACGTCGACGACTGCCGCCACAAGTGCTTCCGCCGTGACAACTTCCTCCAGCACCTCGTCCGCGAGCACAAGTTCGCCGAGCCCAAGGTGAAGACCAAGGCGGCCATCAAACGCGCCGGGAACGTAGATCCAACCTGGGCCAAGGTGGAGGCTTGCCATAAAGAAACCATGGAGCTTCCCCAGAACGAGCCCTGCCGGTTCTGCGGCAAGACCTTTCCCTCGTGGAAGAAGCTGACGGTCCACCTTGCAAAGCACATGGAACACATCAGCCTGCCAATCCTCAAGCTGGTTGCCAGGAAGGAGCTCGACGAAGACACAATCATCAGCCCCGTGCAGGAACCGCCTCCGCGGTCTTTCCCACCGGTCTTCCCAACCAACGTCAAGGCGGAGCAGCTCCCCTTTGGGCACTCACCGGCCATGTCCCACGGGCCAATATCCCGTCAACCTAGCCCGATGGCCTATCCCCCGACAGCACACCACGCGCAGCCTCTGGGCATGTATCCCATTGCGCCTCCGCCACAAGGGTACCCAATGAGCCTCTACAGCGCGAACTTTGATGACCTCTCCCATGGCATGGCCCAAGCAGCACAAATCGATATGTCACCAATGACCCATCACGGCTTCCAAGGGCTCAACACCCCTCACAGCCACGCGGCGCCTGCTGCCTTCCCCACCACCTTGCCCACGACCACTTCGGCGGCCGGCGCATACATGTCCGCTCCGCACCAGACGAGCGGCTACATGTCGATGGCCTCACCTTCCGATCTCGAGCCGTTTCCGCCGCTGGGCAACATGGATGCGCTGGGGCTGGGCCTGGCCTTACAGCCCAATCCAACCGGTAGCAGCACCGGTGTGGCGGCGGGCCAACACCACATGGCATATTCGATGGGGCTGCCGGTCGTTGAGCAGCAGCAGCAGCAGCAGCAGCACTTCTCGCCCCAAGGGTCGGTGTCGCCATACGGGCATTCACCGAACATGCCGCAAGCGGGTTTCTATCAGTGAAACCGTGACGACGTTGCGACCCGAGTTGTTGTTTGTGGTTGAATCTTCTTGGATTTTGAAGTTGCCGTACCCTTGGTATTCTACCCTGTGTGTCAGTGTGATACCCCTTCTCCGTTCTTGCGTTTCCGTTCCCGGTCCCTCACGTTACTGTGTACTACGCTAGTCGAGTTGCTTTGGTGGCATGGAGCATATACCCTGTTTCTCGGTTCCATTTTCTATTCTTGTTCTTCTGGATCGTCCGCATTTAACGTCTTCCGGTCTACAATATAAGGGGGTTGTGGTTGGGATTTTCCTCATTTCCAGGTTCTCTATATCGAACCGGGGTTATGGAATGCCATGTGGATCTACGATATAAATAACATTTCGATACTCATCATCATCCTCAATAGACGGGGGCTTTTTCCAGCTTTCAATATGACGCCGAGTCCTTCTGAGAGCTGGTACTTCCTATTGTCAGTTTACCTTTTGGGTTGGCTCTCTTTTGTTGGCATCGGAATTCGGTACTTGTTGGCTTGGATCAACCCCGATTTCAGCGTTTGCCGACATCACAAACGGCAACAGTGGATTGGAATCATTTGACAAACCTCCTACACTAACTCTTGGATTCTAGTTACTGTGTACCTGCACTATCTGCAGCTTGCTAGAGAGATTCTTCATAGCTTCCAGGTTGACATTCGGATCGTGGTCGAGACCATTCGATCTTGCGAGCATCTCTCCACTGGGCTGCCGCCTAGCCAGCCACAGGTCCACACGATTGACCCTTTGCAACTTCATTCATCAAAATAAAGAAGTGGCAGAATCTTTGCAATGACCTTGAACATAGGAAATCAATCTACATACACTACACGGCCGAATCAAGCATAATGCTTAGTACGTCAGTCAACCGTGGATACGAGCTTACCGAGTGGCGGAGCGGAAACCTATCACAGCCCTACAAACAAAGCGTCAGCACACTGGTGAGCACAGCCGCCCAAAAAATACCGGACTGGCGCTGAAGAGCTTCAGGGGTCCACCTCGCACAACTACCCCTGCGGCTAACGTTTCAGATGGCCCACAGGCGTCGCCAGGCGCAAACGGTTTTCCCCTGAACCGAAGCTCAACACGGAAATTCCTCCCTCATCAACCCACCCCTGGGACCATCCCTAGTCCCAAGCGACTGGCCCGGACGCTCCCGTCTGACAATGGCGCATCTCGCCAATCAAGGACATCCGGCCGCGTGGGCCCTGGCGCCCTTGGCAGGCTTGCAGCGCTGGATCTTGTTCGCATTCTTCTGCGCGGATTGGATGCCGACGCACGACGACGAGGGAAAAGACAAACTTGGCGAAGACACCTCCGTGTCCGTGATTCTGGGATTCTGGAAAGCCAAGCGAAGCGAGCGAGGGCTCCCTCCCTTCCTTCTTCTGCCCACCCAGCACTGTGTACTAGTGTACTGTGTAGGTAGTCGCGTACGCGCTGGCATCTCCATACCTACCCGTTTCAGATACCCGCTGGGTCCCTGGCTTTGCTTCGTCACCGGTGAAGCGATTCTCTTCTTTTCTCGAGGTGGTGCTTTATTATTATGTACTGTTATTATTGCTTTTACGGATATTTATTATGTGGATAACGTGTTGTGTGTTGTAGTTAACGTGCGTTATTCCACACAGCTCCCCCCCTTGTTTCCTTTCTTTCGCCGCCTTTCCCCTCCGTTGTGGCTTAATGTTATGTCTTCATTTCGCTTCTCTTGAGCCCCCCCTCGCTTTCTTTCCACTTTGGCTGGTGCCAGACCTCGTGATTTGGACGTCGAAGACACACGGATCATTCCGTTTGTGAATTGCAGCTCTGTTGCCCTTGTCTGTTCTCGTCTTTCTGTTCGTTCCAAGGTTGATCCTCGGCCGTGTTATCCTTAGACGTCGACAGTCTTTCTTTCCTATCTCTCCGTTCACTTCCAGTTATCCGGCCGACTTCGACACCCCGTTCATCCGACCGACGAGTTGTGCTAGCCGTTTTCCCCAGGGAACACCAAATCCACGAGATACGAAAGGATCGGCAGAAGAATACCCATCAGGGGTAGCGACAAGAGGGGCCGCTGCTTGGCGGAGGAGGAAGGAAATACATGAGCTCAGAGGCTCGACGACTGTGAAAGTCTGTTTTCTCTCTTTTTACAGCCTAAAGGAGGGAGTGTGATATCATAAAGACCAAGATGGGTGGCCTGAACGGCCGGCTGCTGAGGTCGGCGGTGGTCGGGGCCGTCCTGGCCGGCGGCGTGCTGGGGGCGGATATCCTCCAGACATCGGGCTTCAGCAGCTGTAACGCAGACGCCGACATCTCGGTGCAGAAGGTGGACATCACATACAACAACGAGGACAAGACGGTTTCCTTCGACGTGGCGGGATCGAGTAACAAGGTGCAGAACGTGACGGCGATCCTGGACGTCACGGCGTACGGCCAGACGGTCTACTCCAACTCGTTCAATCCGTGCCATGCGGATACATTCGTAGACCAACTCTGTCCCGGTATGTCTCTCCATCACTGCAAGTCCGAGTACATGCCCCAAACTAACGCATTACCTCCAATTGCATCTGTCTAGTTCCCGCCGGCAACTTCTCCGCGAAGGGGACTCAGAAGATACCCGACCAATACGCAGACATGGTACCCGCGATAGCCTTCCAGGTTCCCGACATCGCGGCGATGGCCAAGCTGCAGCTGCAATCGATGGAGTCCGGCGACAACGTGGCGTGCATCCAGTCCCAGGTGACCAACGGGAAGACAGCCAGCCTGCCGGCCGTGTCGTACGTGGCCGCCGGCATAGCAGGAGCGGCTCTGGTGCTGGGAGGCGTGTCGGCGATGGGGGCGGCCATGGCGGGGGGCGGCAGCGCTGCGGCCGGTGGAGGCTCGGCTGCGGGCGCGGGAGCGCCCAGTCCCACGTTTACCGAGGTGGCAGGCTGGTTCCAGAGCATGGCGATGAACGGCATGATGTCGGTCAACTACCCCAGCGTCTACCGGAACTTCGCCAAGAACTTTGGCTTCTCGACCGGCCTGATCTCGTGGCGGCAGATGCAGCTGTCCATCGACGACTTCCGCGCCGCCACCGGCGGCAACCTCACCAACAACAGCGTCGAGTTCCTCGAGAAGGCCACGCTGGTCTACCCCGACGGCTACATGCAGACGCCCGGCCAGAGCCTGGGCAAGAGGGGGCTGGATGAGCTTGCGCGTCTGGTGGCGCGCCAGATCGAGACGAGCGTCAACGGCACGCTCGACGAGAGCGGCCCGTCGTCGCAGCAGCAGGGGGGCGGCGGCGTCGAAGCCACGGTGCACACGGCGGTCTCGGGCTTCCAGGGATTCGTGGAGCAGTACAGCGTTCCGTCGGGTAACACGTTCATGACGGTGCTGCTCGTGGTCGCCATCGTCGTCGCGGCCATCGTCGTGGGCATCCTGCTGGTCAAGGTCGTGCTGGAGTTCTGGGCGCTGTTCGGCAGCTTCCCCAAGTCGCTGGTGGGCTTCCGCAAGCACTACTGGCGCTCGATCGCGCGCGCCATCACGTCGCTGATCCTGCTGCTGTACGGCATCTGGGTGCTGTACTGCGTCTTCCAGTTCACCCAGGGCGACTCATGGGCGGCCAAGGTGCTGGCCGGCGTCACGCTGTTCCTCTTCACCGCCGTCCTGGCCTTCTTCTCGTGGAAGATCTGGAGCACCGCGCGCCGGCTCAAGGCGATGGAGGGCGACGTCGGCGCGCTGTACGAGGATAAGAAGATCTGGGTCAAGTACAGCCTGTTCTATGAGTCGTACCGGCGCGACTACTGGTGGATCTTTGTGCCCACCATCGTCTACATGTTCGCCAAGGGCTGCGTGCTGGCGGCGGCGGACGGCCACGGGATGGCGCAGACGATCGCGCAGCTGGTAGTCGAGGGCGTCATGCTGTGCCTGCTGCTCTGGAGCCGCCCGTACGAGCGCCGGTCGAGCAACTTCATCAACATCTGCATCCAGGTGGTGCGGGTGCTGTCGGTCGTGTGCATCCTGGTCTTCGTCGAGGAGTTCGGCATCGCCCAGACGACCCAGACCGTCACCGGCGTGGTCCTCATCGCGCTGCAGTCGGCCCTCACCGGCATCCTGGCCATCCTGATCGCCTGGAACGCCATCATCGCCTGTTGCAAGGAGAACCCGCATCGGAAGCGCCGTAAGGAAATGGGTGAGTAATCCCCCAACCCAAACGTCTCGTTCTCACCTTTTTCCTTGTTCCTGTATTGTACATACTGACGAGTGTGTGAATTGAAAAAAATGAACAGAAAAAATGCAGCGCGACACCCTCACCCCGCTCGACCCGCGCAACTCCCTGCTGATGGACCGGCACATGAAGAGGGCGTCCGCGGCCAACGATCTCGAGTCGTCCCTCTCCCTGTCCAAAACGGGCTACGCCGCCGTCGACTCCAAGCAGATCCCTCTCCAGGAGAAGTATGCCGCCTCCAAGCGGCTCTCGTCGAAGCCCAGCGGATACGCGCCGTTGCCGCTGCCGGAGGACAATTCGAGCCGGGAAGATCTGGTAACGAGCGCCGCTCCCTTCGGCGGGGTCGGTGGTGCTACGGATCCACGGCAGCCCACGCTACCTCATGTTGGCACCGCCGGGGGGTATCGGCAGCCGCAGGCCGGGTATGGCGGTGGCTATCAGAATGGGTATCGGGGTGCGGGTGGTGGTGGGTACGGCGGGTACTGAGTTGTGAAGAACGGCGGGAGAAAAAAAGGGGGGAGTGAGATGGGGAGAGACGTGGTGGTTGTGGGTGCATCTACCTGAATACCTGCCTGACTGGGCTTTAACACTGCGAGCGACGACTGCATATTGGCGACTTGATATCCTATGTATTTATTTCCTAGACTACTACTTCCTATTACTACTAGATCTGAAGAGCTAAATCAAACATTTGACAAGAATTGAGGGCGTCAATCATGGAGTGCGAACAATGTAAGGTAGACGAGCACGTTAGATACCAGATACTAGTCGTACACAGTAAGGTATCCTTACATAATACTCACCTTTCAATTCATTGTATTATTATTGTGGACAGAGTGACAGAGTATGCGAGAAGGACCTACAATGATAGGATAGAGGCTTTTTACACTTAAGGATATTACCTCGGGCTACCTAGGTAGTAGGAGTCCAGTACCGTACGATGAGCAGCTGGGACCTCCATGATACCTAATAAGGTAAGGTACTGCACTGGCATTGACCATGGTCCGACTCGACGCTGCCGTCCCGAGCCCCTGAAACTCCGGCTGCCAATGAGGGGCAAAACCAGGCCGTGGATGACCTCAACTTCCCGCCAGCTGGGCGCATAAGCTTCAACAACGGCACATTCATCTCATCACGAACCATAGTCGTGTGACATGCTGACACGCGCAACAAAGTTCACGAGCCCCAACGACAAACCAAGCGACTCCTAGTGTCTGCGATAGAAATCCTTCTTACAAAACAGAGACATCTTTACAACCCGCCAAACCCCGCAGTGCTGGAACCATCGAACAAGTGTTTTGCGAAATAACACTGACGGAACAACTACACTATTCTAGATTACTGTATTCCCTTTTGCAATGGACCACAGAATATGAGCGACCTCCAAAAGAAGTGGGCCAAGGCTAAGATGAGCAACGCCTTGCATGCCATGGCCAGTCCGCCGGTTCCCGAGTTCAGCGAGTTCGACGAGGATCGCTATGGCTCGAGCTCGGTGCCGAACACCCCGCAGGACGACGACTCGTCGTCTGCATCGTCGGTGTCGTCCACAGGAACCGTGATCCCGTCGCCGGGGCGGGCGCTGTTTGCCCGGCCGCAAGGGTATGAGTGTATCTCTCTCTCTCCCTTCCCACGCCCTACCATGCGCATTAGCATGTAGTGCAATACTACGTATTTATACATGGAAAGACTCACCCATGATTCTTTAGCTTTCCCGGTCGCTCTCTTGACCCGATCCCATGGACAACCTACTTTGAGCGCGAGCTCTTCCTCCCGGCCGAAGACGGCTCTATCACGTACCACGCCTATTTGACTTCACCCGCGCCCTCGCCCGGGCCGGGCAAGCCCCCCGGTCCGCTCTTCGTCACCCACCACGGCGCGGGCTCCTCCGGCCTCTCCTTTGCCGTGCTCTCGTCTGAAATCAGGAAACGTCTGCCATCGGCGGGCATCCTGTCGCTCGATGCGCGCGGGCACGGGCTAACCACCGCCACGACCACGACCGGGACCACCATCCCCACCCCCCCATCCTTCTCTTCCACATCCACCTCCCTGACGGCGAACGGGGTAGAAGGAGTGCCGGAAAGAGAAAGAGAGGACCTCACCCTCGCCACGCTCGCATCTGACCTGCTCTCCGTGATTACCCTCACCAAGACAGCCATGCACTGGCCGTCGCTCCCGCCCATCATTTTGGTCGGGCACTCCCTCGGCGGGGCCGTCGTGACCGAGCTAGCCTACTCGCTTGCCGCCACCACCACCACGTCCTCCTCCAACAACAGCAAAAACAACAAACCAGCGCAGCGGACGGGGTCAGTGCAAGGGCCATTGCCAGGATCAGGGCAGCTTAGAGGCCCAGACCTCGACCTGCTGGGCTACGCAGTCCTCGACGTGGTCGAGGGCTCCGCCATGGACGCGCTGCAGAGCATGCACGCCTACCTGGCCACGCGACCCGCCGGGTTCGACTCGCTGCGCGACGCCGTCGAGTGGCACGTGCGGTCGCGGACGGTGCGCAACGCGGTGAGTGCGCGGGCGAGCGTGCCCGGACTACTGGTGCATTCTTCTTCTTCGTCTTCGTCTTCGCACTCTCAGTCGCAGTCTCATTCTAGTGGCGGCGGTGGTGAAGCCCATGATGGCGGGGTTAAAGATGGGGGGGATATAGAGGAGGAGAAGGAGAAGATGAAGAAGAAGAATGGGGAGGGGTTTTTGGTCCCTGGGATGAATGGTGGCACCAGGGGGAAGGAGAGGAGTAACAGCAAACCGTGGCGGTGGCGGACGGATCTGGCCAAGACCCAGCCGTTCTGGGAGGGCTGGTTTGGCGGCCTGAGCAAGAAGTTTCTGAGTGGGAGGGGCGGCAAGATGTTGTTGCTTGCTGGGACGGATCGGCTCGATACCGAGTTGACTATCGGGCAGATGCAGGGTGAGTAGAGTCTCGCTCGATCCTCCTCCTCCTCGTCCTCTTTTAAGGCACAAGGCAGTTAGTTTACTGACTTCAATCAACAGGAAAATACGCACTGCAGGTGTTTCCCGAGGCCGGACATTTCATACACGAGGACCTGCCCGAGAAGACGGCCATCGCGCTGGTCGATTTCCACCGGCGGAATGACAGGAGTGCGCTGGTGCTGCCGCCCAAGGTATCAGAGCTGCTGGCGCAGGGGAAGAGAGTGTGACGTGCCGAACGGGCTACGTAGTAGCCTGGGTATACATAGTCGGTCCGTATATGTACTAGGGCCCTTAGCTGGTTGCAGCAGATATATACCACTGATGTATATTGTACGAATTGCTGCTTTTGCGCCGAAGAATATACCTAGATGATTCTTGATGTTTACCGCTGTAAAGCCCCATCTATTTTCTTTCCACCTCCTACGCGCCAGGATATCATTTAAATCGGGCCCTTGAAAAAATGCTAGATCACCCATACACGCCGCCACCCTAACCAACACCGACACGCCGCTAAAAGAAAGAAAATGGCTAGAGCTACACAGCAACCGAAGCGGGCGCGGCGACGGACGCAGGTTCGGGCATCTCCGCTACCCTCTTCGCAGATTGCTCCTCCGCTTGCTCATCCTCCCACTTCCTCTTCTTAGACGCCTCCTGGTCGCCACCGCCCTGTTTCTGCTTGTTTTTCTGCTTCTGCTTCGGCTCCGGCTTCACCTCGAACTCGCCCAGCCCCAGCACCCTATCCGTCTCCCTGGCCATCTCCTTCAGCTCATCATGCCCAAACAGCTGCACGAGGTCGCTGTACGACTTGCACGGGTGCATCTGCTTGTACACGGGCGCTCGCCCGGGAACCATCTGCGTCAGCAGGTACTTGGTGTTCCCCATCTTGTTCTCCACCTCCATCGCAAACCGCAAATACTTCTCCACCGTCTCCTGCCAGCTCGCCAGGCCGCCCTGTTCCGCCGTCCGGAAACAGCTCGGGTTCTTCTCCGCCGCGGTCGCGATCATGGCCCCGTCCGTGCCGAACTCCTTCACGAGCTTCTCCGCCTGGTCCCGGCACTCCACGTCCCCGTTCATGAGGCACGCGACGCCAGCCTCGCGGCAGACACGCGCGATCATGGCCAGCTGGCCGCGGATGGCCCGCTCGCGGGGGCGCATCGGGGTGGTGCGGCAGTGCACCGTCAGACCCGTGATGCCCGTGCGCACCAGGCGCGACACGAGCGCCTCCGTCTCGGCCGCCGTCTCCAGCAGCCGGATCTTGACGCTGATGCCGATCTGGAACTGCGGCGCGATCTCGCGCGCCAGCGCCTCCAGGATCCCCGCCAGCTTCTCCGGTGTGCGCAGCAGCGCCGCGCCCATCCCGCCCGACACGCTGAACGGCTTCGGGCAGCCCGCGTTGACGTCGATGCCCGCCACATCGGCCGCCACGAAGCGCGCCGCGGCCACCGCGCGCGCCGGGTCGGACGTGCCCAGCTGGAAGACCAGCTTGTTCTTCTCGCGCACCGGGTCGAGCCGGTAGATGACCGATTCCGGGTTGCCGTTGGCGTTGACGTAGGCCGGGCTGTTCGAGTGCGACGGCTGCCGCGTGTATTCGATCATGCCCGTGCGCGGGTTGACGCGCCGCGTGGCGCCGATGAGGGCGTGGTCTATCGTTTCAGGGCCTGCGTTTGCGGGCTGGTCAGTTCAGCGGAGATTGTGAGAGAGACGGGGGAAGGGAGATTGAAAACGAACCCCATACTAAATCGGCGCCGTAATGGAGAGCGAGGAGGCGCGAGGGCAGCTCGCCCGAGCGCACCATGGGCGCCAGAACCAGCTTGCCGCGGTAGTCGACGCCGCGGGGCGGGATGGGCACACGCGGGAGATCCGTTGGCGCAGGCGACGGTGTTGGTGAAATGCCATTCGTGGTCGCGGTCGTGGCTGCTGTCTCCTCAGCGGTCGCCATGCTGCAAATACGTCGGATCCCGCGCAGATAACCGGCACGAGCGGTACGAAACATAGCGCGGGGTGGGAAGCACGAAGCTTGGAGGTGGGTATCGAGTCAAAAGTTATTCCCAAACGGGATGCTTATCAGAATGGTGATAAGGGTACTGCTGTAGCGGGGCACAGTGTCCTAGACGCATCCATACGGTAAAGACCTGCTGGCCGGCCGCACATTCCCGGTTCCCTCAGCTACAACCCTGAGATCGTTACAGCGAACCCTCTTCATACCGATCGGACTGCGACAGCTGATCTGATCGTCGACTAGGTACGGGGAACTTGTCTCTGTTTCTTGGGCAAGCGCTCTCCTCCTTAAGTCAAGAACAGCCATTGGAGTCAACTCGTGCACAGGTAAGGTTGTTACCACATTGTCTCAAAAGGCCATACACAGTGCACCAAGCCTTTCAACCCCAAAGTTGATACAGTGAGTCGAACGGAAGAATGAATGTGGGGAAGGAGGAGGCACACGAAGAAGAAGGAGAGGACGAAGAGAAGAGAGAGTAACAAAAGAAGGAAAAGAATAGAAAGGTAGAAAAGAAGAATAGGAGGGGAGGGAGCAAAGGAGCCTGTTTGTTAGGGTGCTAGGGCTGGGGTTATATGTAGGCGGAATCATATGCCATAGCTCCACGGGACCAGCTATGATAGTCCCAAAAGGCCATCCATGGATATCAACTTTTATAGCTCAGCGGGATATGTTTTGAGCCGAATCCGTCGTCTTCCCTGAGCTTCGGGCGCGGCATCCTTTAATAAATTAATACTGACTACTAGTCCTCTACACGACATTAGCAAATTGCGACCCAGATATCGGCATATCTGATGAGAAGCTGGAAATAGCCCTCGACAGTCGTCGACACCCATTCGACGGGTGGAGGTCTCATCTCTTTCTGCAGCGGCCTCAGACGGCACGAATCAGTCTATGGAACCCTGTGCCGCCTGTCGGAAGCAATTTTATATCTCTAAATCTAATCTGCCCTGTCACAAGAGCCCTGGTCTAGCAGAATCGGACGTCGCCGGGTGAACTTATTCTAAAGCAACTTTGAATTTCCGGGAATTCCAAGGTGATGTGAATCCATCTCTGAATCGCGTACGGGTTGTGAATATTATGATGACCCAGGCTCAAGCCTGACTGCCTCCGTTGACTGTCCTCTCCCGACTGGGAACTTGGACCTAGTAACTCCTAAACTGTCGTTGGACCGCGCTGTTGCTTCTAACAACGGCGTAAGTCAAGTGCTATGATCCTCTTGTATGAATCTGGGCTTTTTGAAATCACCTCAGGGCGCGGTCATGCCCGAATAGGATGTAGGCAGCTTCGACGGGTGAAGCGTGCCCGTCAGTCAGTCTGTGAGACTCACCAGTTTCTTAATGATAGCTGCCTGATATTACCCCTTTTGGCGATACAACAGCTGACGGCAAAAGGGACGCCCTTGCTGTAAAGACCTCAAGGTACCTTTGTTCTGTCCGTGTGGGAGAAGTCTAATACTTAGTCCTAGAGGATGTCAGGGCGAAGTCACCCGGGAGTCTTTGAGAGCTGGTACATCATTATCTTCACAACTCTGTCAACTTGTACAGCTTGATGGAGCGAGCCCAGCTGGACCTTCTATGGAAATGTTACCCATGTGCAACGGTCCCAAGGGAAAAGATTTCCACTGTACGGCGAGCACAGGCTTATGTCAGTACGCGCGTTGCGGGTTCGTCCGTATAAGCATATACTTGTACGTACGTAGGTAGGTACGTAGTAGGTGGCCTCGTATTGCCTCATTGCTCGGAGCTGAGGTACCTGAATGGAAACCAGGTTTAAGGGAAGGAGATGTTCCTTTTCCGAAGGCGGAAAGGGGCGTCAGAATGCCTAAAGAGGAAGGAATCTGTCAACCCTGTTTGCCACTGCCCGGTGCCGGCGGCCCGTCTTGGCAACAGCGCCGATGGTCCTCCCGGTAGACGGTCTCACAGCTGGGATACCTACATGGTAGGTACAATACCTGAGGTAGTTAGGGCTCATCGGGGATGAAAACGTGATCTGTATCCCCGGCTCCCCCCGGGTTGGCTGCCTCACAGATAAGGCGGTGACCGGCCAGCTGTATCTGCCACGGGCCGTCGCTCATCGCCCTTTCATCAGAGCATCAAACATTCCAAAGAGCCAATCCTCCATGTTTTCGACCAAAGCAAGGCGAAGATCGCCGTGAGCCACCTGACCCGCTCTTTCAGGGTCCTATGGGACCCATCTCCATCAAGCGTGGAGTGGAGTACATAGTGTACAGCACAGGTGTTGTGCTGGCGCCTGATCCGAGGCAAGGCAAAAAGGAGGGGCGAGTAGGTTTGGGCTTTTGCTTGGCTCAGCTTGAGAACTGACTTCTCATTCTCGGATCCGCACAAATCCCATAAAAATCTGACACACGGCGGCGCTGTCGGCTCCTAGATTGTACATGTATTGTAGTGACGCAGATGGCTTGGCAGTCGATCTGTGTCGGGCTCGAGCAGAGAAAGGAACAATGCCATGAAAGCAGAGTGTACAATGACGACTCATCTGATCTTCTACTATACCGGTATCGTATACCTACACTAGAAACTACGTTGAAAGAAACACGAGGCGAAGGAATCGTATGGGTAAGTTGAAAACCGGTAAAAGGAGTGTCTTGGCACGCCTACTCGTACTGTGCGACAGACTGCTCGTCCAATCTTCAACGAGTGTGTGTCGCGTGGCTGTTAGCCGACGAGCCGACATGGGTCTGGTGGGGCTCCGCAACCACATCGGCTCATCGTGGGACAGAAATGGACTTCGTCGATTGGATGTCTCAGAAAGGCTGCGGAGAGAGGCCCAAGTTTTCCAAACTCTCCCTCCACCTTCGTTCGGAGCGGCCCCGGGCTGCTCCTTGTTGGCGGCCTTGAACGCGGTCCCGACTAGTACTGTGTACAGCAATTCAAGCAAATACAGAAGCTCGGATACTTGCATACGGTGGTACGATCTATACGCCAAACTTATCGCGTATCACAGTACGATACATGGACACTGCATCACTTGCAACCCTTCGGCAAAGCCGGCGGATCTCACTGCTTTGGCAGGACACTCTTGAGGACATCAGATGAGGAGTTTAACAGTGTCCGTATCTGCAGCCCATCCGGTTTGCTGCTTTTCTGATGTAACCCCGCAGCGATTATTGGATGAGGTGCCTTGCCAGATCGTCCCCCTCACATCGAGCTGTATGCCCGGGAGTATTGTACATATATGTATTGCAAGGCGCCAGTTCCCAACCCCGCTTTACATACTATAGTTACAGTGAATACAGAAGCCACAGCATCGGGCGCAAGACAATGGAAGGCATCCTCTCTCTCCATAAAAATACACATTGACGAGGCGGGACTGCCGGTTGCCTTCGAGCGGGGAAGCTAGTGATGGAAGGTCTGCCAGCGCTGGTTTCCGGACCCAAGGAACAATACCCGTGGATGTGGACGGCCTGGATCCGTAATCTGCGTTGGATAGTTATCGGGAATTGGGTGGAAAGGCAGCCTACCTAGGGATAGGTAGAGTGAAACAGCTAGTGCTGAAGTTATTTTCAAATCGCTCTTCCCGTCACCTCAGGGTCCTAGCGCCGTTCCCGAGTCATGACAGGTCGCGGCAAACAGCGTGTCCATTCAAACTCTTCAACAGTGCATCCGAGTAAGTCCCTGTAAACCTGCACTTCCATGCTTGAAGATTTCTCTTGAAGCCCGGCCCAGAGACCTGACGTTGCGACTGACACAACGACCCGCTAGATGCACGTAGGAGTCGGACGGCAGACTTGCCCGAATTTTGGGTTTTAGACACCGCTAAGCACTAAACGGGAATGGCAATGCAGCCAATGGGCGGACCGATGATCCCTCCCCGACTTAGCGGCCCTCCCCCCAGTGTCTCCCTCCAATTCTCTTCCTCCTCGCTCTCCCTGCAACCTCTTGCTATGCTCTAGTCCAGTGGTACTAGGTGCTGGATTTGGTTCTACTCCTTTTTAACCCCGTCTCCTGCCTTCTTCTTTCACCCGCCCCTTCTAGAACACGGGCAGAGGTGACGAGGGGGGCGAACAAAGCTCAACCACTGCCGCGTCTCCGCTTCGTTGGGAGAACTGGCGCGGATACGGGCAATTCGGCCTTTCGCTTGGCTTTCCCCTTGGGATTTTGCATGCTGCACCGCCGAGCGCCCGGCCCACCGCCTACTACCCACCGCCCACAACAGATCCCGCCACTGTCTGTCTTGCCCTTCCCCGACAACCAAGTTAGGCCGTTGCATCGAGCAATCCAGAGTCAGCCGATCAAGATCACAATTCCGTATGAAGACGCATATTCGACACGCGAACCTCGATCCTCTTTTTTCTCGGCCGCCTGTTTTCTGCATCCTTTGACAGTTTTGCTGCCGTATCGCTTCGGCCGCGCGGCGTGAACGCCGTCCCCCGCCGCAACCATGAGCGGCAACTCCTCGCTGGCAGCCGCCACTGCCGTCATCAAATCCCTCGCTGTCGACGCGACAACGCCGCCAGTCCATTCCGGTGATTCCCCAAGTATCAAGCTCCCGGGTCCCGACACTGCCGAAAAGACAGAACTCGAGCGGGAGCTTGCTGCCCTCGTGCGCCGGGTCCACCACCTCGAAGCCAGGGCGAACTCGGCCAGGACGAATGTGTTCCCCGACACGCCGAACGAGACAGCCGACACCATCTTCGCTGATGACAGAAAGGGACCTCGAATCAGGTACCCCGCTGTCCTGCCGCGCAATGGACTCCCCATCGACGAGGCACTGGAAGGCCTGCGGGAGCACGTCGACGATCAGTCGAAGCTCCTCGACAACCAACGCCAGGAGCTAGATGGGGTCAATGCGCAGCTGCTCCAGCAAAAGCAGCTTCAGGAGAAGGCTCTCGCCATCATTGAGCAAGAGCGCGTGGCGACCTTGGAGCGCGAGTTGTGGAAGCACCAGAAAGCGAACGAGGCCTTCCAAAAGGCGTTGCGTGAGATTGGTGAAATTGTCACGGCTGTGGCCCGCGGTGATCTCTCCAAGAAGGTTCGCCTGAACAGCGTCGAAATGGACCCTGAAATCACGACCTTCAAACGCACCATCAACACCATGATGGACCAGCTGCAGGTCTTCTCCAGCGAAGTGTCCCGCGTCGCCCGCGAAGTCGGCACCGAGGGCATCCTCGGCGGCCAGGCTCAGATTGAAGGTGTCGACGGCACCTGGAAGGAGCTGACTGATAATGTGAACGTCATGGCGCAGAACCTGACCGATCAAGGTATGCATGATGAGAAAGCTATCCAGAGGGGACCATGCCCAACTAATTCTGGCTTAAAACAGTGCGCGAGATTGCATCCGTGACAACGGCTGTGGCTCATGGTGATCTAACCAAGAAGATCGAACGCCCTGCCAAGGGTGAGATTCTTCAACTCCAGCAGACCATCAATACCATGGTGGATCAGCTGCGGACATTCGCCTCTGAAGTCACACGCGTAGCCAGAGATGTCGGCACCGAGGGCATGCTCGGTGGCCAGGCCGATGTCGAGGGGGTACAGGGCATGTGGAATGAGCTGACGGTCAACGTCAACGCCATGGCCAACAACCTGACCACCCAAGTGCGAGACATTATCAAGGTTACTACTGCTGTCGCCAAGGGCGACCTCACCCAGAAGGTGCAGGCCGAGTGCAGGGGCGAGATTTTCGAGCTGAAGAAGACCATCAATTCCATGGTGGACCAGCTTCAACAGTTTGCCCGCGAAGTCACCAAGATTGCCAGAGAAGTCGGAACCGAGGGAAGGCTAGGTGGCCAAGCCACGGTCCACGATGTGCAGGGCACGTGGAGAGACCTCACCGAGAACGTCAACGGCATGGCCATGAACCTGACCACGCAAGTGCGTGAAATCGCCAAGGTGACGACCGCTGTCGCGAAGGGTGACCTCACCAAGAAGATTGGAGTTGAGGTGCAGGGCGAGATGCAGGATCTCAAGAACACCATCAACACCATGGTGGACCGCCTGGGGACGTTCGCCTTCGAAGTCAGCAAGGTGGCTAGGGAGGTCGGAACGGACGGTACCCTCGGCGGCCAAGCCCAGGTCGACAATGTCGAGGGCAAATGGAAGGACCTCACCGAGAACGTCAACACCATGGCAAGAAACCTTACCTCACAGGTATGTAAATGACCCTTTGTTCGGAAACCGAGGTTCCCGCGAGTTCACGCAATCCTAGGTCCGGGGTATTTCGACCGTCACGCAAGCCATTGCCAACGGCGACATGACCCGCAAGATCGACGTCGAGGCCAAGGGCGAGATACTCGTCCTCAAAGAGACCATCAACAACATGGTTGACCGGCTGTCTATCTTCTGCAACGAGGTGCAAAGAGTGGCCAAGGACGTCGGTGTCGACGGCATCATGGGCGGCCAGGCCGATGTGGCCGGCTTGAAAGGTAGATGGAAAGAGATCACCACAGACGTCAACACGATGGCGAATAACCTTGTAAGTCGCCCACTCTCCCGTTCGCACTCGCATGACCAGATTGGACTGATCCGCCTTGACAGACTGCCCAAGTGCGAGCATTCGGGGACATTACGAATGCAGCGACAGACGGCGACTTCACGAAGCTTGTCGAGGTCGAGGCTTCGGGTGAGATGGATGAGCTCAAGAAGAAGATCAACCAGATGGTGTACAACCTCAGGGACAGTATCCAACGGAACACGCAAGCGAGAGAAGCGGCCGAACTCGCTAACAAGACCAAATCCGAATTCCTCGCCAACATGTCGCACGAGATCCGGACGCCCATGAACGGTATCATCGGCATGACTCAGCTTACCCTAGACACGGACTTGACGCAGTACCAAAGAGAGATGCTCAACATTGTCAACTCATTAGCCAACAGCTTGCTGACCATTATCGACGACATTCTTGATTTGTCCAAGATCGAAGCGAGGAGGATGGTCATCGAAGAGATCCCATACACCCTGCGGGGCACCGTTTTCAACGCCCTTAAGACCCTAGCAGTCAAGGCGAACGAGAAGTTCCTGGACCTCACGTACCGTGTCGACAGTTCCGTGCCGGACTATGTCGTGGGCGACTCGTTTAGGTTACGTCAGATTATCCTGAACCTGGTCGGCAACGCCATCAAGTTCACGGAACACGGCGAGGTCAGCCTTACGATCCAGAAGGCGTCCCAGGTGCCGTGCGCTAATGGCGAGTACGCCATTGAATTCATCGTGGCCGACACCGGCATCGGAATTCCGGCGGATAAACTCGACTTGATCTTCGACACATTCCAGCAAGCCGACGGGTCCATGACTCGCAAGTTCGGCGGCACTGGGCTGGGTCTGTCCATCTCCAAGAGGCTTGTCAATCTCATGGGCGGTGATGTCTGGGTCAAGAGCGAGTACGGCAAGGGCAGCAAGTTCTATTTCACCTGCGTTGTCCGGCTGGCCGCCGATGACATCACGTCGATCTCGAAGCAGCTCAACCCCTACAAGGGCCACCAGGTGCTGTTCATCGACAAGGGAAGGACCGGACACGGGCCCGAGATCGCCAAGATGCTCAAGGCCCTGGGGCTGGTCCCGATCGTCGTCGACACCGAGAAGAACCCGGCCATGGAGAAGGCACGCATCCCAGGCAACTCTCCTTACGATGTCATCATTGTCGACTCGATTGAGGACGCCAGGCGTCTGCGGTCGGTCGACGACTTCAAGTACCTCCCCATCGTCCTCTTGGCGCCGGTGGTGCACGTGTCCCTCAAGTCGTGCCTTGATCTCGGCATCACGTCTTACATGACCACACCGTGTCAGCTGATTGACCTCGGCAACGGAATGGTGCCTGCTCTGGAGAACCGGGCCACGCCGTCGCTGGCGGATAACACCCGCTCATTTGAGATACTTCTGGCCGAGGACAACACTGTTAACCAGAGGCTTGCCGTCAAGATCCTGGAGAAGTACCACCACGTCGTCACCGTCGTCGGAAACGGCGAAGAGGCCGTGGAGGCAGTCAAGCGGAAGAAGTTTGACGTTATCTTGATGGATGTTCAGATGCCGATTATGGTAAGCTCCGGGCCCTGATTGATAGCACGTACCAGTCGAGAGAAAGCCTTCGTCACTAACATGGGGTTTGTACAGGGCGGTTTTGAGGCCACGGGCAAGATCCGCGAGTACGAGCGCAGCCTCGGCAGCCAGCGCACACCCATCATCGCCCTGACGGCGCACGCAATGATGGGCGACAGAGAAAAGTGCATCCAGGCACAAATGGACGAGTACCTGTCCAAGCCGTTGCAGCAAAACCATCTCATCCAGACCATTCTCAAGTGCGCCACGCTCGGCGGTCAGCTGCTCGAGAAGAACCGAGAACGGGAGCTCGCGCGCGCCGCCGACGCCGCCACCGGTGGTCGGCGCGATAACAGTGCGCTCACTGCGGCGACGCATGCGCTGGCCGCGAGTCGGCCGTCCCTCGCCGGGCGTGCCGCCACGGCTGCGGAAGGGATCAACACTGGGCTCGACAGCCCCTCCATCGTCACGGCGGACCAGGATGACCCTATGAACAGGGCACGTACCGCCCTCTCCGAACCCGCTGTCGACACGTTGTAGCTGACCACAGCGTGGGCCACTTTCGCCCCTTGGTTGCCCACGAATTTAGCTGCTTCTAAGGGCTCATAGCAGTTGAAATGATCGGACGAGAGATACCATACATACCTTCGGTGGTCATGTCATGTCATGCTCTTGCCTACTTCGTCTGAAGCTTTGATGTTGTTGGGTTTGCGCCGGGAATCAATCTATCTGGGTGGGTTGCTTGGATTAGGTCTTTAAGGGGCTGTGGGTTCTCTCTTGGGTTGGGGGTTTTCCGGGGGGTGTTGCGCTCTTGCTACTACACTGGTTTTTCTCTCTTACGGCCTCTTGTCGACAGCTCTCCGGTCTCCGTTGTTCTTGGCGCGTTCGCGGAGCGTCGCGCTCGCGCTCTGGCCATGATCGTGTGTCTCGCTCTGACATTTTTATTTTCATTACTGTCGTTGCATGTGATACCTACACCTGGTTTCTAGAAACGTCGTGTTTCCTTTAATACTACCGAAATATGCTGGGTCTCTCTTCATCCTCCTGGTCTACAATCGCCGCTTGTGCCATCCGTCGTCGCCATTTCACTCGCTCCTTCTCTTTGCGTCTCGTCTCCGCCTGGATTTGTCGCAGCCTCGCGGCAGCCAACAAGGCATAGCGCGCAACATTGAATCTCAGCACAACATGATCACTTTTGGGAGGGAGCCAGCGCGGTTCCGGTCCGGTTCGGCTTGGTCAGCTACTTATAAGGACCCCAAGAGATGTGTGAACGGGCCAGCTAGGACTCCACTAGCTCTAGCGGAATGAGTTGGAGGTGATAAGCGCTTTCTCTCGGGGTTTAATCTCCCGCTGTTTGCTTCTGGTCTGATTAACGGGAGCGGTGATCAGCTTAGATGAGCAGTTGAGTGTCAAGGATACTGGAGATGAGATTGAGACACACAAAAACACATGTGGATGGCATGCTCCCTTATGCGGAATGGGTACATGAAGGAGCTGGGAGAGGCTTGACTACCAGGTAGTTTGGTGGTGCTTAATTCTCAAAGTTCTGTCCATGTACTACTATACGAAACGATGATGGACTGTTTCTGCGATGGAACTGCTTGCGGCCTACTCATCACCATCATCAGGGACCCCAATGATTCTCGAAGTCCGGGCGAAGGGAAGATGACAAGGAACGGTACACTGCGCGGGTTTGTCCTAGGGGTCTAGCTTCGTGCCTTCGGTCTGACCGCATTCATTCATCTACACAGTTCTAAGCAAGCAATTCAGGGCTAGAACCCGATCACATACATGGTCATGACAACCAACCTACAGAGCACAACTGGATACCTTACATAAGATAGTAAGCGTACGCGTGTAGAGGGACGGATGAGGTTTGGCCGGATCACCCCCTGGTTGTGCGATCAACAAGGTCTTTCGGTTCGGCTCCGAAAGTAAGGTATGGAGATGCTTCAGAAGCCCAAAGTTCGACAGCCTCCGTTAATCCGTCCTACGTCGTGGAATCTCGTGGCACCAGTGGAGTTTGCTGCCGCCGCCCATTGTCCTGAATTGATTTGATTCATTTGTCTTCATATTTCCGGACCCCGAGTTTGTCGACAGCCCCAGCGAAACATATCATGTCCGTTACATGCCTATAGTTTCCCCTGGGCTACCCTTGAGCACAAGCCTTCCATTTCCCGACAGTGCCGGGCTTGCTTTGCTTTGAGCTGCAGGGAAGGATACTCATCCCGCCTGTGTCTAACTCGCATATTATACATACTACGTAAGTTGTGGAGGTTGGATCCCCCACCAGAAATCCACACGGTCAAAGGGTATCCTGACTATGCAAAGAAAAATAGGGTTGAATAGAACAGAGATTGCAAAAAAGTGACACCTCAAGTCACAAGCGAGTGGGTATATGGTTGAGCGAAACCTCCGGGGAGGAAGTTGGGCAACGCCACCCATTTTGGTAGGGCGAACGGCGACGCCTCGAGGATACCCATCATCAATACATGCGACGATCGACAAGCTCGCCTGCCTTTAGCAAGGCGCTCATCCCATCGAAATTTGTGTTTCGCTTTCCATGCTGAGGCGACCGATCCGGAGACGCTGACGCTGTCGGTTGCGACTGTGTGGAGAACCCAGCGGTGATATGGACCGGGGTCACAGAGGCGTGGTGCTGTGGGAGTGAGGGTGTGACATGGTGATAGCCTTTGGTACGAGGGTCAGCAACGCTTCAAGGTTTTTGACTCTTGAAGAGTGTAAGGTACCATTGATCATTGGAAGGCCAGCGGCACCATTCGGAGGCTGGTGCACTGGCCTAGGCTTCGGGTCGACGTGGTACGGAGTCCCGTGATGTGGGTATGGTAGCTGATTTGAAGAAAATGGGGGCTCTGGCCTGGAGGCCAGTAGCGCGTGTATCGGCAAGGGCCCCCCGTCAGCCGGCGCCCGAGGCTGTCCAAAGGACGGATGCGTAGACGAGTTCCCGACATAAGGTTGTCCGTCCAGGGAGAGCGCCGGACGCATATCGCGGCCGGCATGGGCCATTGAGTGGCCAGGACCGCCAGCAACATTGGTGGACAGGAAACGGAACCTGCTGGTTTCAGCCGAAGGCCTCCCCCCCAGTGGCAATTCGCGCCCATCAAACACATCAGAAAGCGATGGGAGATGCCTATGCATGCCCGTCTGATCTCGAGCCTGCTCATCCCCGGTCTGATCCCCCGGTTCTTGTTTGAAGGTTGGCGAGCGGCCTGATGAGTCGCTTACGCAGGGTGAGAATACAGGCTCGTCTGCGGCGCCGATTGGCGCAGATGCGGGTAGGGAACCCGTGTGCTGCGACTCGCTCGAGGAAACGCCAGAGTCGACTCTCTGTCTGCCGGGAGGCGGCTCGCTTGTCCTGCGGCTTTCTGCCCCGCTGCCGCTCCTACTGCTCCTTGTTGGCGTCGCGTTAGGGCTGCCGCGTCCTTGGCCCCCAGACTCGGAGAGCCTAACTCGTTTTGACGCATCCTTGTCTGCAAGGTCCGGCGAAATGTTAAAAAGCTAGTTGTTGTGGGTGTGGACTCGAGACATGCGATGTACACACCTTGTGATGGAGAGCCATACTTGGCCTTGAACTCCTGAAGATAGACTTGATACTTCCTGAACTCGGGCGTCTTTTTGTACTCGGCAAAATCGGCCAAGAATTTATCCTTCATGGCTTGCGCCTGGGACTCAAACGGCTCCTTTTCGGCCGCAGTCAGGTTCTGCCAGTTTTCACCGACAAGCTTTGCGATCTCAGTGAAGCTTAGGTTCCGGCCCTTGAGCTCTTCGCGCATTTCTTTAATGACATACCCAGTCAGCAGTCGCTTCACAGGAGTCACAGGGAAAACTGTCAGGGGGGGTTTTGCGGCTTACTATTGGAGAAGAGCACATAAGCCGAGGGAGGTCGCTCAGGCGCATTGTCGTCGGGCTGGCCACCGTGGAATCAGCGTCAATCGACGTTTACGACACCCAGGTGCGCACCATTCGGGGACCAACCTTTGGATGTCGCCGATATTTTCTCTTTGTGACGATGACGCCTACAGTCTCTCGCACCTCGAGCGTTGTTGTTGGTTCAGCCTTGACGACTACATCCTGAGGCTTCACCTCTTCGGCGGTTGACTGTGTCGGTGATACTAGGGATGCGTCCGGCGCGACTCCGCGGGAATTGGCGATGCGTCTCTGCAATTTCTACCGAGCATTGTCGTCAGTAAACCTGGACCCCTTTGCGTTGCTGGGTGATTGGGAGGCTGCCAATGCCGCAGAGCATGGCACAGCAGGAAGTAAAACCTACCCGTCGATGGCCGAGTTTCACCCCTAGTGCGTCGCTACCGAGAATAACTCCGCGTCAGCAAGGCCCAAGTAGAACTGGCATTCGGACAGGCATCGCCCCCACGTACAGGTCAGACTCAGTGATGTCCAAGATGGTCTCCCATGTGTCAAATCCCTGTTCTATGAATGCATCGAGGTACTGGGTGATTCCCAACTCCCCAAAGATGGCCTCTATTAGTTGCGTCATCCAGACGGTCACCTCGATGTAGAGTGCTGTCTCTGGACCGAGACTGCAGTGGCTCCTTCTCCAGTTCTCACACCCGAACACTCTTGTTGATACCCAAGGGCTATCAAGAACTCCACGCTCTTCCGTCTGAGAGATAAGCCTCCCTGACCAAACGAGCCCACTACGTTCAATCAAGGTGAAACAGGGGACAGAAAACTGTCCGTTGCGCCTATCACCGTGTTGATCGAATCGCTGCGCCGACCGGCTGTCGTTGAGGCGCCTTGGAGCTGTAGGGCGCGCGCGCGACGGGGAGCGGACTCTCAAGGGACCTGTGGTGGAGATGCGTCGTGCCGGGTGCCTGTCGTGAGGGCAAGCTGGCGAGGAATGGGGAGCGCAGATGCTTATGAGGATCTGGGACCGGGAAAAAGCTGTCTAGGGAGTCAGTGACAAGTCGACAACATCAGGTGGAGCGTCGCTTATGCCATGGCATTGCTCTTGAAGATCGCGACTTGTCCGCCTTTTGGTTGGTGGGGTGAGGACCAGAGATGGTGATGACATGCCGAATTGTACAGGAAGCAGAGGGAAGGGGAATCGGAATCAACAGGCCAGGGTCCCACGATGATGTACGTATTGAAGCGACTAATGGGAGAGGGTACTTGCACGCAATAGGTAGGAACGGGTCTGCTGCTCGGACAGGGACGGCTAAGAATGGCTGGCTGGCGTTACGGGATCCGGCTCGCGCCTGGCCGGGGGACTTCTCGATTGCGCAGAGCTCTGGCAGCGTGAAACTATCTGGGACCTGAGGCAAGGCCTAGACTTCCTTCCCCTCGACTGCGAAAGTCTGGCCGTTTGATATGGAATATCTGGGGTTGTGTTAGTATGCATACACTAGACTAGACTGATGTGCAGACACCAAAGTCTACAGCACTGTGGTAGCGATGCAGAGAAGACGGAGCAACAATGGTCAAAAGTCTGTGGGAGTGGGGGGCTCCAGTTGAACAACATGCTCCCATGCGAAATCACCGGGGATGATTCACCAAAGAGAGAATAGTCGGATGCGATTCTCAAGTTTGTTGACTCGAGCCCAGCTGCACCACCGGGCAGATGCCAGAGGAGGGTGCGAATTCCAAGCCAGCAGGGAACCTCCACGATCCAAGAGCGAGGCTCCACCCCCGGGCTAGTCGAGGGACCAAGATGCTACCGAGCTGCAGCACAAGATAGAGAATTCGCCGAGTACCCGGAGGTACAAGGTACTTACATTAGGGTGGTTAGTTAGCGTGGAAAGGCCGTCAAGATCACGAAAGTTCGAGCGGATCTGGTCTTCTGTCGATTGGACGGCTTGACCCTCTTGATCAGGCCGAATGTCCGTGTATCCAAGTTTGTCTTCGTTGTGAGCTCTGGCCAAGGGAAATGACTTTCAGTTCGTGCACTGGATGGCAAATTCCACCTAGTTGTATCCGTAACTGTCGGGTAGGGCAAGGTAACTTAGTACAGTAGGTAGCGTCCAAAACCGCGTCCGGCCGTCAAAGTGGCTTCGGGATTCCCATTCTCAACCCAATGATATGGCAGGTGCACGGATGCAAAATGGCGCCGGAGACTGTGTAACAGCTGACATGCTTGGAAAGTGGCAGGGGATGGATCGTCGCGCTTTGGGAAGACCAACGACCAGCAAAGCCGTGGGCGTGGAAAGGAAAAGGGACGGGGAGGATCTCGATCTCCATCGAATTCATGAGCGCACATGAAAAACGTACGATTCTGAGGGAAGCACGGCGATGTTCGGCCAATGAGGGGCAGCCTACCCGCCGCTTTGCCAACACGGGCTAGCGGCCGCAGCATTGCGGTGGCATGAGCGATCAACGAGCCAGCCAATCTTCTCGCTTTTGGTGCGGATTTGGCGAGTTTGTTCCGCAACCGCCTCGTGCTGATCGACCACAACCAACCTGTGCGCTCTGTTGAAAAGCAGGAATGCCAGGGCAAAGGAATGGAAAGCTGATGAGGAGACTGCTTCTCGTTAGGCCTAGAGGGGATACTGTGTCGTGTACAGGTGGATGGAGTGTATAAGAGAGGCCCGGCTCCCCGGTCAACACCAACGGACCTGTTGTCGACATCGTGGCGGGGCACTCCGACCCAACTATCGACACTGGGAATCCGCGCTGCCACCCAACTCATCCCTGTCGTGTGCTCTGTTGTTGTTCCCACACGGGCAAACAAGCAACCAGAATCCAGACTGTCAGAGCGTTGAGAAGTTTGCTGTGACCCCGGGGAAATTAGTTACACTGCCGAGCGTGAGCGCACTACCTAGCCTTTCCTTCGGCGATTTAAGGGCGGCGCTGAGGTTCACAACCAGTACCCGGATTGCGGCGCAGTAAACTTGAGACTCTCAAAGGCTGTCCGTTGACCGAGGAGACGGTGTTTCGACAGTCCGGAACCATGCGTCGAAACCACCATCTTGCGAAGGTCTAGTACTTCGGTAACATGTAGATAAGGTACTTGTACCTTACAGTTTGCCTCTTGGAGCCGAAGCCGGGGCATCTGAGAATCTGTGTGTACATTACTAGTCTGAATAGTCCCCGGGCCGTACTAGAAAGAGAACCATGGCTCGTTACCGCAAAAGTGAAAACAGTGGGTGCGATAACAACACGGAAAGCCGCGCCGCCATTGTCCTCTTCCACTTGAGAATTGCCGGTTCGGCGCTTATGGGATTCCCGATTTTGGGATAAGCAATTGGGTGCCACTGATCAGGTCATGAGTTCGTTTTGGGTGGGTCAGACAATGTCCAGATTCCTGGAGATCAAGTGAGGGCCTAGACCGTTCGCCTCAACGTCACGTCTGCCGCTCCCCTGCTGCTTGTCCGAACTTGCATGTTTGAGCTCGACGTCTGGAAAACTAATCGAACAAAAGCCCAGGGGATTGGGCAAACACCCCTCTGCCATAAGCAGTACACGGTAATCCGTACAACGAATTTAAATACGTACCGAGGCTCTCATTATACCACTGCGGAGTGATAGGAGTTCTCACACCAGGTAAACTGACGGCTGCATCGGTCACGACAAGGTACTCTGTACGGATACACTAGACGGACCGAGCCACCTATGTGGCCCAGCAGCGCCCCCTCAAGCGACATAGCCTTGCTGCAGGTGTCGTCGCGTACATACGTAAGGTACTGTATGCATGTACCTATGTATGTATGTATGTATATATGAGTATGTCCGTGGTACGGTACAGTCTCGGTTGTCGGAGCGGCATGCGGTGCCTGAGAGGAACCACCGATCACGGAAAAGCTTCATCGGTTTGGCATGCTGGCACATCGCATTCGCCCCTTTTCCAACAACAGCCTGATAGGCCGAGAGCGGTAAGCTTGCCGATAAGAAAAGTGGACACGACACAGATGCAACTTGCTGCAAGTTCTGCAACCGACCGGAAGCTCGAGCAGGGAGCGGAAGAAACAGCGGCGATTTCCCATCGTCGGCAACACTGCTCCCAACTGGACTCGACCGTCGCCTCCCTGCCGGCAACACCCACATGGCGCCAAACACCCCTCCCGGGTCTCGCGGCGCTGACGCCTCCAGCAATGGATTGAATGGAAGCAGTGAGAACTCATCGTCATCATCGTCGTCGATCAACGACCATCTGGCGCAGGTAAGTTGCATTTATTACCCACCCACCTACCTACACTGGCTGCTCTGTCCTGCCTGCCTCATCGGAACCGCCTCGGGGGGTTGTCCGCCCCGCGCTCTTCAGCCCTGCGTCTTGTCCGCCCATCCAATGCTTTTTGGCTGACGTCCCGCCCAATGCGTGCTTGCGGTCTAGGCCCTCAGAGACCTTGCGAGGTATGATGCGCTTTCCCTCTTCTCCTTGGCGGCCAATCCCCATGCTCAGCTCCCGGGAACCGGCTCAAAACACCGCAAAGCTGCCATAATAACGGGATGATGGGATCTGGTGACTCTCCCATAGCAACGGATCCCTGGAGCACGCATATTGAAAACCCATCCCTCTCCACCGCCTTTACCGCTTCCAGCAGCCAGAGACAAAAAGTCAGGCAATCGCTCCGTCAACCTGCACAGTGAATGACAGCGAAGACACCAACTGCCGGCCGGCCTCCGTAGCAAGTGCTCCTGGATAGGTGGATCAGTTAGACTGGCAATCACCCTCGACACCCACAACGCTATAACGATAGTCATCTCCCCTTCAGGTCAACAAATGCGCATGCAAGGTCGGTTGATCCATCGAGTCTACCTCCCTATCCCCCTTTCCACGACTCGCATGGCACGGCACGGCTTGACGCGTCGTTAGTCCTCATGGGGCACGGAAGCAGACGCGAGGTGTAGCGTTTCGCGTCCGCCTTGCCCTTCGTATAAGACCCGGTTTTGCCCTACGATGCCCTCTTTTCTATCCACTCCATTTACCAGACTAGCCTTTGCGATATCTCCCGTGAGGCCGAGCTGGCCCGGTTCTGGTTCCTGCTAAGGGATGCACAATGCAGATCCGGCAGTGCCCGGAGACGCATGTACCCGCCATAGCACTGCCGAGTACCGATTGCTGTGCTCGCATCTGCTGACAGTGTCGTTTATTACATAAAACAGGGGGGAGCAGACTGCCTCAACCCTTGAGGCGAATCTGAGCAATCTGGAGAGCAAGGTGGATGCGATACTGGCGTCGCTCGGCGTTTCGGCCGAAGAGCTGGACGCCGTCGCTGATGGGCGGGATGGAACTCGAAAGAACGAAGATGGGAAGAGTGCCTCGGGCGGCAAGAAAGAGGGCGAATAGAAATGGCCTCCACGCATAAACATATGCCAGCTTCCGTTCAGATTTACACCGGCTTATGTATGTACGATCTTCGCTATAGGCGTCCCAGAATCCAGCATCAGAACCTTGATACACGAATGCTGTGCCCCTGTCTTGGTGGCGTGGCTGGAAGTTTGAATGCAAATCATGCAGGACAGTGATATTCGTCATCATAGAAGCCATCAACTACAACCAATACTGTTGCAGGCGCATGTGTGTTATCCCATGCAACGCTCATCGACCCAGCCGGGAACCCCGAAACATGCCTGCCCAGACATATCCATCTATACACTGATACCACGCGACAGGAGACGTAACGGCCCCCATTGTTCAACCAAAACCGCCACCTAACAAACGACCGGCGAACGAACAGTCCGCCAGAGAAAGACACGGATGATGAATCACCCTTATTCACCCCCCTCGGTAATCTCAGCATTCCAATCCTTCCTGATGTACAACTCGTCCAGGCTCTCCGTCTTGTCGATGACCAAGCCCTTCTCATTCGCCAGATGCAGCAGGCAGATGAAGCAGAAGCTGGTCGAGATGTCGTCCATGGCCGGCTTCGGGTAGACGCGCTGCAGGTTGTTCATGACGTCCGTGAACTTGAGCGTCGGGTCCTCGCCCCTGGAGTCTGCGGGCTTCTCTGGCGATGTTGGCGTCATCAGGCGGCTGTTGTCCCGGTTCGCCTACGAACCGATGTTAGTAACCAGCAAGATCAAAAAATGCGTGCACGGGATGTATATGGGTGCACATACAGCCAGGGTATCCAAGTCCATGCCCTTCCATAGCTCCTCCTTCAGGCGCCTCACATCCACCTTCTTCGCCACGCGCGCGTACTGCACATACTCGGGTTTGACCCGTCTGTTCTGCGTCACCAGCATGGTGCCAAACGCCAGGTCGGTTGGGTTAGTAACCGTCATCCCGCCAAAGGCGCCCGTCATGCCCACGTCGGTCGTCATGCCCGGCTCCCCGGCCTCGGGGGAGAAGTGCTCGCGCGCGTCGGCAAATTCATCCATGTCGTCGTCGTCGTCGAGGCCGCCGCCGCCTGCGAAGGGAAGTCCATCGTCTTGGAAGAAGTTCGCGTCGTAGTCGCCTTGCGGGGAGTCTTCAGAGTGGGGACGACCGCCGTCAGAATGGAGGGGCGCTTTTTGCGAGGCCCAGAAAGCCTCATCCATCTCGCCCTCAGGGATGTCGTTCTGACGATGCGCGTCAACGTTGCCTATCCGGCTGCTGCCGAGGACCCGCCGCCGGCCCATCCGGGCTTTCGGTTTGAGGAAAAGGCTAAGGAGCTGCTTGGAGCTGAAATGCTTATCGTCGGGGAGCAGATTGCGCGTTTTCGACTTCCAGTCTTTCTTGGGCATGGAGATAGTCGAGTTTGAGGAGGCCTGGGTGTAGATCACCTCGGCGACTGCTGGATCTAAGGGGGCCGCGAAGTCGATCTCGAACGGCTGCTTCTCCTTGCGTTGTCTCGTAGGCTCCGTAGGCTTGTTGACATCTTTGATCTTTCGTATCCTCCAGTGCTCTGCGCTTGTCCAGTTCTTTTGGAGTGCCTGATCAAAATAACTGAGAATGTCTTCGTGCATCCTGTCGGCCTTCTGCGCGTGCGTCATGGATATGGCAAAATCACCATTCCCGGCGTCTAGCAAATCAGCCCCATCGCCTTCCCCGTCCGCAGCGGCGCCATCTCCTAGACCTGCATCCAAAACCCGCATCATCTGTGGCTCGAGGGCGGCCTCCCGCGCCCATGCTTCCCCTCCTTCGCCAAAGTCGGCATCGGCCCCCAAGTCGAACGTCCCGAGCCCGTCTTCGTCGTCAAATCCAAGGGGATTCTCCTCGTCTATGAACATGCCCGACTTGTCGCCGATGCCACCGGGTCCAGGTGTCTTTTCCTTGTCCTGGCGCCAGTCTTCCGGGGCCCTCAGGAAGGGGATGTCCAGGGAACCAGATGGGTCACCGAGCTCGAACGTCTTTAGTTGTGGACAGACATCCATGCTGTCAAGAATGCTCAAGTCCGGAAAGAAGCTGGCGCGAAGTCCTTCAATGTCGATCTCAACATCCTCCTCTTCTTCTGGCTCCTCTGGGACCGGGGTGTTCTCGTGGTCGGTCATAGAAAGATCGCCCTCGCCGTCAACCTCCTCCCCGACGCTTTGTTTGCGGGACTTGGAAGCAGCCTGAGCGGCGTCATCGGCGTCATCGCTGCTGTCAAAGACAATTCTGCCTTGCGAGTCGATCATCAAGTGGTTTAACAGCAGACCCTTCGCACCGCCCTCGTCAAAATCTGCAGACGCCTTCTTGAACAGAGGATCAACAGCAAACTCAAGTTCCAGCTTCTTTAGTTGTAAAGAGGCGAACGACGGAGCCAACGTCGCTTCCGAAGATCTTTGCGCCTGTGGGAAAGTTAATGATGGGGCCAAAGGCAAATTTGGGAATTGCGGAAGAGCAGACCTTTCTCTTGGATTTCTTGCGCACATTCCCCTCCTCGTCGACCTCATCCTCATCCTCCTCGTCTTCGTCACCTTCGCGGTCCTTCCTCTTGTTGTCGCGGCTATCAGCCAGACCGCTCAGAAGCTTGCCTGTTTCCGTAGCAACACTGTCGACTCTGCTCGTGTAGATCTTGACGCAGCCGTCGAGAGTGCAGCTGGCCTTCTGAAAGTTGACGCCATCGCCCTCCTTGAGCAAGGACATGTCGTGGAAGTAGTCGATGAGCGCAAAGTTCCACGAGTTGGCCGCGTTGATCTTGTTGTCGGTCGCCATCTTCATCCACTCCTCAAAGTTGGCCAAGATGGGCACTCGCTTCATGGGGGTGACGGCCTTGCCGCCAACAACGAGCTGCTCGTCATCGTCTAGTATGATGGTGTGGTTGCCGCTCTTGCGTCGTCGGGGTGTCCGCGGTTCAGACCCGGGCGTGTCGACATTCTGCAGGTCGTTGAGCGAGGTGCTCGACTTGCGCGGCGTACTCGTGGCCGCGGCCCTGAGTTGGTTTATCTGGGCCTCATGGGCGGCCTTACGCCCATGCGAGCGCTTCGCTTTCTCCTCCGCGTCGTCATTGAGTGGGATTCTACGCCATGTCCGATTAACCCATGTCGCCGTGGATGTGCCGGAGCGCGCTTTCGCTGCTGCGAGAAGAACCACAAAATCAAGACAACGCGAGCGACTCACTTGACAGGTGATTTGAATGGCGAGTCGGCGAGCGAACCGGAAACATTCCGGCTTACGCTTCTTCGCGATGCATGGGCAACTCTGGCCATCTTTGTATCGTGGTGTCGCTGCAATCCAACAGTGGTTGCCGGTTGCCGTCACTGGCTGCAGTTGAGATTTGGCAACCCAGCGTGTGTTTGTTTACTACAGCCGTTCGGGGGTGCGGGGCGATCCGCTAACTATTGGTTGAAGCGTATCCAGAATACGGGGTGTGGCTAGGTATTACCATGCGAGCCTCGATGTTGTATACATACTCCGTACATCGCCGCTGTATACCGTGCGAATTCTCCTTGGCCTGGAATAGGAGGAAAGTAAACTCTGTTTCCTGGAGCTGATTGAAATGCCTGTAATGGTGTCAAATATCACGAAGCTCTACCCTGTCCTGCGTTGTGCTGTATATTTGTCGGCGATACCATTACCCTAAGGTACCTATGGTAAAGGTGGTGTGGCGTTTGTGTGGCTAAGCCTAGTACTAGTAACCCGTACTGTTAAGCAAACTGCGCCAGTATTGAAGCAAGCGTTGGCGGCGTGGATAAATGGACGGTGCCCTCCAAAGTGTGGAAAGCCAACCTGGGAGTTAGAAGAGTATCTCTTTTACCTTATCCATGTATAACTGAAGCGCTAGTTGTGAGGTTATCCGAGTTGGTCACCCCCTCTTTACCATAGTATTGCCCAACGGATGCTATACAGGTTCCAAGTTTGCGTCCCAAAACAGGCAAAGTCCGGTCCGTCCAATTACGTAGCGCTCGGATAGCTCGAGATTCCAGGGCCAAGCAGCCCGTTGACGATGACCACAACCGTCAACTCCGCTTTTAATACCGATTAACTACTTACTAGTACCTTACCTATGCACCGACCTGTGGGCTGCGTGCGCCTCGCCGCGACTTGTCATGGAAATGATCTCATAACCTCTGGATGTTGAAAGCGCAACCTAGAACCATTGATTATCCTACCTAGTGCGCCCGCTTCTTATGGGCTCGTCGCGCTGTGTCCTCAGTTGCGCCATGCCCCGGTGACACAATGGCACCATCTCTCCCAATGCGGAGCCGATATAGCGGCCGCCCGACCGTTGCAGCCCTCCTGTTGATCGGCGCAATCACCTTCCTCGCGCTCTTCCAGTCGGCGGCGGGCCCTAGCAGTCGCAGCCATTTCGGGTTGAATCCTAGAGGCTTGCAGGCGACCGATGTCGACTGCCGCAACGTGCACCATGCCGTCGACCAGTGCGCGTTCGTCCTGGCGAACTGTGAAGATGACGAGGCCGGCCTGATACACTACCTGTCCTTCTACTACTGCACGCTAGGATCTGCGAAACCCGTCGCTTTCGCCATCCTCACCGCCTGGCTCGGTCTGCTGTTCACCACCATCGGAATCGCTGCGAGCGACTTCTTCAGCGTCAATCTCAGCACCATCGCCAGCGTGCTCGGGCTGAGCGAGAGTCTGGCCGGCGTGACCTTCCTCGCTTTCGGCAATGGTTCTCCGGACGTGTTCAGCACCTTTGCCGCCATGGGTTCCAACAGCGGAAGCATGGCGGTCGGTGAGCTGATCGGTGCCGCCGGCTTCATCACTGCGGTTGTCGCCGGCTCCATGGCCTTGGTTCGCGAGTTCAAAGTCAGCAAGCGCACATTTGTGAGGGACATTTTGTTCTTCATCCTCGCCATCAGCTTCACTATGGTCTTTCTGGCCGACGGCGAGCTACACCTGTGGGAATGCTTCACCATGATCGGCTTCTACCTGTTCTACGTGGTGGTGGTGGTCGGGTGGCACTGGCTCACCGTGCGAAGGAGAAAGCAGAGACAGAGAGATGTGGCCTCTCGGACACACTTCCATGGCGTCTCGCCTCGCGGTGCCGACGAGCTGGAGCCTTATCGTGACGAGCCGGACGAGGACGAGGCAGCTCCCGTTGGCGGTAGGTCTAGGGGTGCTTCGGAACCTGGCGATATCAGCATGCTGGAACGAGGGCCGCGGATCGAGGTCGACGGAGTGCCATCTGCCGGACCGGACGAAGAAGAGGAACAGCGGGAAGTCCATGTGGCCGCCGAAATGGCGAGCAGCATGCGAGTCAACCGGCCCCGCTGGGGACGAAGCAACACAACCATAACCCCCATTCGGCCAAGCTTACTGGGCGCGCTGGAATTCAGATCGGTGCTGTCCTCCCTCCAGAAGGAAAGAAACATGCACCTAGGCCCGCTGCATGGAAGGTCGTACTCGGTCCAGCACTCAGCCAACTCCACGCCCGATGATCCTCGTGGCCGCCCACGAACCAAAACAATGCCAAGCGAGGTACGACCTGGGCCAACAGAGCGTTCCCTATCGTATGGAAACCAGCCCCTGAACCTCGACAATGCTGCCCTTCCCCGGCGCGATGCCGTCCCGATGCCTGAATCCCGGGGGAGTTCGGCTGCTCGTACCATCGACGGAATGCTTGCGCCGCCGCTTGGTTCTGGCATGCCTGTCGACCATGCGACGCAACACTCTCATCCAGCGGGACGCGTCCACCGACTCCCGCATATCCAGATTCCCTCCCCCAGCGGACGCTCCAGCGGACGCTCCTCTCCCTCGTTCTCGCCTTTCCCCGGTCTATCCGAATCCCCTGCCGTGCTGACCCCCATTCCCGAGCCCGGATTTCCATTTCCGCCACTGAACGCACTGGACGCGAGACATCACTCATTCCCCGGCCTTGACGATCATGCAGAGCATCCTAGGCCGGTGAACTGGTGGCCGTACGGATTGCTGCCGGCTCCCCACGTCCTTCTTAGCACTATGTTTCCCACCCTTCAGGGGTGGAAGGAGAAGGCGCTCTGGGATAAGGCGGTCAGCTTGATCTCGGTTCCAAGCATCTTCATCCTTGTGGCAACATTGCCGGTGGTGGAAACCGAGAGTACACACAATGACACTGAGATGAACTCCCCGTCAGTTGGCCAGCCCGGAAGCGCGGCGCCACTCGTCTCTGTAGACGACGGTGCTCAACTTGAGCCAGAGACAGAGTGGCAAGCGTACAGACGACGAGCCCGATCAACAGGGTCAAGGTCACCGCTCAGCATGTCGCCATCGCTGTTGTCCCTCAATGCCCCACAACCGCCAGACCACCATCAGCCTCCAGCTGTGCAAGTTCCGCAGAGGCCAAAACCAACTGATGTTGGCTCTGATGGCGCCACAGCTTCGTCCGAGACAGCCTCCGGTTGGAACAGGTGGCTGGTCGCGCTCCAGCTCTTTACCGGGCCGCTCTTTGTTTCCTGCCTCATCTGGGCCAACACAGCGGACAACTTAGAGCATCCGGTGAAGACCCTCCTGAGAATGGTGTTATACTCCCTCCTGATCTCACTCTGCCTGTTGGCTGCGCTCCTCAAAACCACCAGCGCGGACCAGAAGCCCAAGTACCACTTCGTCTTGTGTTTCCTTGGGTTCGTCATCGGCGTCGCGTGGATCTCGACCATTGCCGGGGAGGTAGTCGGAGTCCTGAAGGCCTTTGGCGTAATCCTCGATATCTCGGAAGCGATCCTGGGCCTGACCGTCTTTGCCGTGGGCAACTCACTGGGCGACCTCGTGGCCGATGTAACCGTTGCGCGGCTGGGATATCCCGTCATGGCATTAGCTGCGTGTTTCGGAGGCCCGATGCTCAACATCCTCCTGGGCGTTGGCATCGGTGGCGCCTGGATGGGCATCAACTCGGCCAACCGCAAGCATCGGAAGCACCCTGACGCACCGCTCCATTACAAGCCGTACCGCATCCAAATCGGCGGAACGCTCATGATCTCGGCGGTCACGGTATTGCTGACCCTGCTTGTGCTGCTCATTGCCGTACCTTGGAACCAGTGGGTAATGAGTCGCAAGATTGGCTGGGGGTTGATATGCATCTGGACGGTTGGCACCACTGTCAACTTGGTCGTCGAGCTCACGAACGGATTCTCGGACGTGTCGTGAGGGTTTGAAGGACCAGGGTGTTTGTTTATCTACCTTACGAACCTGCCCGTATAGTATACCATTTATCTCATCACGGCTATCCATTCCTGTGCACCCGAAGTCTGCTGCAAACTTTAACTTTAAGGTTTTGACACAACGACCCATGACTCCTAGGTCGAAGTGCGGAGTTCCGTCTGGTGGACTCGATTCAACAGACTGTCGACGGCGACTCCGACTTGGAGTGCGAGCTATCGCCACGCCATGAGCCCGATGTTGAACATCCATTGGATGAGGTATAACTGTTACCTCGTGGCGCGCAATCGTTTTAAGTTAGCCCCTGAGTGCTCCAAGGGAACACCCGTTTGGCGGGGAAGGTGGGGCCATGCTTGGCCGCTGGCGGCCAGTGGAGGAAAGGGAGGGGTCAGGAGGGGCACCGCAATCCAAACTGTCCTCTCAGCTCCCCTTCCTGACGACAACGTGGGGCAGGGGTGCCGATTGTAGAAGAGCTGTGTCTCCCTTCACCGATTCTTTGGGAGTAAGAACAATTCAGTGTCTTGCTTTACTTCAATCGCCTGTTTTGCTTCTCTCGCAAGCTCACTGCAGTACTCCCAATCGTTTTCTCGGACCACAAATCCCCACCACAGCCATGGCGTCCTACCCGCCCCTCGCCGAGCGCGAAATCAAGAACACCATCTGCCTGTTCGACGTCGATGGCACTCTCACTCCGGCGCGCCTGGTATGCTCCATCCCTTTCCCTCCCGGCGTCTCTCACCTTTCCCGACCCGTTCCTTATCATGCTAACCCAAAAACCAATTCGAAAACAGAGCGCCTCCCCGGAGATGCTCAACCTCCTCTCGCGCCTGCGCCAAAAGGTGGCCATCGGCTTCGTGGGCGGCAGCGACCTGGTCAAGCAGCAGGAGCAGCTCGGGACGTCCGACATCAACGTCACGTCGCTCTTCGACTTCTGCTTCGCCGAGAACGGGCTGACGGCCTACCGGCTGGGCGAGCCGCTCCCCTCCAACAGCTTCATCAAGTGGATCGGCGAGGAGCAGTACAAGGAGCTGGTGCGCTTCATCCTGCACTACATTGCCGACCTCGAGATCCCTGTCAAGCGGGGCACCTTTGTCGAGTTCCGCAACGGCATGATCAACGTGTCGCCCATTGGGAGGAACGCGAGCACCAAGGAGAGGAACGAGTACGAGCAATATGACAAGCAACACGGGATCCGGAAGGCGTTTGTGGAGAAGCTGAGGGAGCGGTTCGGACATTTGGGGCTGACGTATGTTTTTTTTTCTTTTCTTCTCTTCCCCGCCTTCTCCCCCTTGGGTTTGTTTCCATTCCGCAATGTATGTACTAATAACTGAACTTCCCGGCCAAGGTTCTCCATCGGCGGGCAAATCTCGTTCGACGTGTTCCCGACCGGCTGGGACAAGACGTACTGCCTGCAGCACATCGAGAACGAGGCGAAGCGTCCCGGCGGCGTGCACTACACAACGATCCACTTCTTTGGCGACAAGACCTTCGAGGGGGGCAACGACTACGAAATCTACTCGGACAGCAGGACCATTGGGCACTCGGTGACGGGGCCGGCCGACACCATGGCCGAGCTGAAGAAGCTGTTCAACCTGGAGTAACCAGTGGGGAAAACGCTGGATAGTAATAAAGTGATGATGATACCCCATCAAAAGATACCCGCATTGCAATGAGGGTATGCATCCAATAAGAATTGGGGGGTGATTTACCAGGAATGTGTCGACAGTCAAGAACGCGCTGTTCAAACACCCGCTGATATAAGACGCTATGAACACCAAGAACAGGACCCATCTAAGTCCCAAACAACAGGCAAGATGCGCTTAGAGAGATCCATCCAACATCACTTGGAGTAAAGGGCAGACATACCAAAATCCAGAGATCATCGCCATCATCATCATCACCACCACCACATCCTTCAAACACACATCAGCTACTACTTAGCTACTACTAGTATCTTCAATGCCCAAACTCCAGATGTGGCACGATCACCGGGCCGTACTTGGTCGTAGCCTGGTATGCCCCGTCGCCCTGCACGACAAAGTCCACCGCCAAGCTTAGCTTGCTCAAGCCGCCCGAATTCCCGCTCGCCACGCTCGCCGCATACCCCTGAACCTGCTGAGCAGCCTGAGGAACACCTGCTCCATTCGCAATGGCGTCCGGGTCGTACGCGACAATGGCGACGTAGTTGCGGCGGGCCATGAGCTTCTTGTGCTCGCGCGCCGCGCCCGTCGCGTCGGTGTGGAAGATCTCCATCATGTCCTCCTTGGTGTCGGACACCTCGTGGGTCGACTTGTGGCCGTTCTGTGGCACGTAGAGGAGCTTGTTGTTGTGCAGCATCTTGAGCAGGTAGCTACCGCACGGTGCGGCCACGACGGGCGAGGCGATGATCTGGTACATGGTCTTGTGGTCGGACGGATGGGAGGGGTCGTGGACGAGACCTGCGCCGCAGCAGTTTACGTCTGCAGGGGGTGGGATGTTAGTTGAGTTCAACTTTGAGAGTAGGGGGGAGATATGGGGTGAGGGGGGCTTACCGCCAGATAGGAAGGTCATCCGGATGCCCTTTTGCTGAGCGATGCCCTGCAGCGTGCGGATTAGGTATGTCCTCTCCAGGTCCTTAGACTCGTGCGTCCACAGGTCTTTGAGCTCCTCGCCGATGTCTATCTCGCCGAACTGGTTGAGAACGTTGCCCATCAGCCCGGACTTGCCCACGGCCTTCTTGACCTCCTTGAAGCCCTGCGCCACCACCTCCTTGCCGCCCACCACACCTGCCACCGAGCTGGTGACCTTGCCGAGGATGTTGTACGTCGTGTTGACCGCCTTCTTGCCCGTGGCGAACGTGTTGGCCAGCGTCTCGACCGTCTCCAGGCGCGGATACACGACGGGCACCGAGATCATCCAAATGCAGTGCTGCACGCTCGGCGGCAGCGTCGCGACCTTGGGGAAGATGCCCTGGTACGTCGGGCCGGCCATGACCCGGTTATGCGTGCGCTCTGACCGGCAGTCTGGGCCGACAACGACGACGGCGGGGCCGAGATACTTGATGAAGTGCCACCCGGCACCGGTGATAGTGAATAGGTCCATGTCAGAGCTGACGTTGCGCAGGATCTCTACCGTCGTGTGGTGCTGGAAGAGCAGGTACATTTCGATGGCGATGCGGCCGATGCCCTTGAAGACGGCCGACGACTGCATGTAGTCGGGGTAGGAGCCGAAGCCGTCGAAGCTAACCAAAGGGGGTCAGTACAATCCACGGATCCCATCGAGGATGAGGGACAGAAAACTCACATATCATGGTCGTCAATCTGCAAGACGTGCGGGATCTGCGCAAACGCCTCCCGCATGAACGGCTGGTCGAAGTGGCTGGTGTAGTAGTGGAAGTACGCGTGCAACACGTCCTCCTGATGCCTCGCGGTCCAGGGGGCATTCTTGCGGTTCTCCCTGCCCTGCATCGACAGCCACTGCCTGAGCAGCGGAACCTCCTTCCACAACCGATCGCCATAGATCTGGGCGCCGAGGCCCAGCTGGACGTGGAAGCCGCCGCAGTCGACGTTCTTCTGCAGGATGTCCTTCCACATGAACCCGACGCCTCCGAGCTTGGCCCGCTCGTTCTGGTTCGTCGACGGCGCGAAGTCGTTGCCCGAGTGCGCAATCATGCGCCAGCCCGTCTCGTAGCGGCCGGCCACGACAAACTCGTAGCGCGTGCACCCGAGGTGCGATGTCACGGCGTACGTCCACCGCTCCGTGCCGTGGTCCGACATCTGGAGGTCTACATCGTACTTGTAGAAGACCCACCTCTGGTGCGTGTAGATGTTCTGCGGGATGAGCTGGCGCGGGTTGGGAGACAGGTCGACGCTCAAGTGGATGTGGATGGTCGGAGGTTGCGGCGCGTCAGTAACCAGCATGATGCTGCCCAGCCAGATGCCCCGTTCCAGGTCCATGTTCACATAGCGCAGGTACGGCCCAAAGTACACACCGTTGGTGGGCATGACCTTGTACACATCAACACCCGCAGAGGGAGGCGGGCCGGTGAAGCCCGTCGTGGGGGCCACAGACGTCGTGACGCTCATGATGCTCTCGGCATAGCCTGGATGGCCCTGTGGGTGGAACATGGGCGAGGCAAGACCTGCCTTTCCTCCGCCCAGAAGTGGCGAGCCCAGGGGATTGCCGTAGGTCGACGCTGTGGGCGATAAGGGGGCAACATCGTGGTGGTTTAGAGGGGTGGGTCCCTTGGGGAATTCCCATTGCGTGGCTTGCGTCGCTAGATGGATGTAGTAGTACTTGCCCCGAGTTCTGGTCGAGGTGTGCAATCCAGCCCTCGGGGAGCGGCGGCGGCGACTGGGCGGCGGCCATGAGCGAAGGAGTATGTGTCAGCGCCGGCTGCCCGTTCTGAGCCGCCGCTGGGTTTAAGTTGCTCTCGTTGGCAAAGGCAGGATGGCCCGCAACATGTGCAGGAATGGTTGCAGCAGCGGTGGTGGCTGGGTTCTGTTTCTGAGGTGTCGGAGAGGCAACAGTGGAAGGACCGGAACCCGGCCGAGCGTTGGAGTTGGCAGAAGCCGAAGGCACGGCAGGAGCGCCGTTCGCAGAGCTCGAGCTCGCTTGTGCCGGTCGTTGCTTCTCAGCCGGGTACTGCGAACTCGCGCTTGGGTTGACGCTGGTGTAAGCCGGCGGAGGTGTGGAGGCCTGCATGCGCGCGAAGTCCTGCTCCAGCACGCTCACCTGCAGGTTGGCTCCTGCTGGCACTTGTGTAGCTGGGGTGGGGTTCTGAGGAAGGTTGAAAGCCGGTGTCTGCTGTGGAGGTGACGGATTCGATACCACGTCGGCGCCCTGGTACACAGTAGGGGGCCCGAATGGCTGCTGGCCCGGTGCCTCAGTGGGTGTCCATGGACGCTGCTGCTGCTGGGGTTGGGCCGGAGGCGCCTGGTTACCGTACTGTGCTAGTCGCGATTGGGCGGCGGCACTCGGGACCTGGAGGCTGTTGAGAGTCGCCGTGCCCGAGATACCAGTCGCCGCATACCGCGCTTCGATGCCTCCTCCGGGAATGGCGCCCGGCTCGACGATGGGTGTCTCGGGCGGCGGCGGCGACCCACGGCTAGCCCGGGTGGTCGAGTTTGACGCAGTTGAATCATAGCGGCCGATATTTACTCCCTGATTTTGACCGGGAGGGGGGTAGTAAGGCTTCTGCTGGTAGGCGTTGGATATCTTGGGCGCAGGCGCCACGGGGTTCCTCAGGGGCTTGGCGAAGAGGCCGCCCTCCTCGTCCTCGGCCGGGCTGGTTGGGCTCAAGGGTTTCGGCACCGCTCCACGTCTTTCAGCAAGGCCGCTCTTCCTGTCGCCCGTGCTCACTGTTGGACGCGGCAACGAGTCCTTCTGCGCTGGAGACCCTGAGCCCGAGCTCGTGGATGCGGGCGGGGGACTGTAGACCCTGCCTGCGGGGGAAGACAATCTGGGCTCGTCGTCGGGGTAAGGAAGGCGGCTGGGCTTTGGCTGCGGCTTGGCCTTGCGGTCGTCATCGTCGGGGTAGGGCAGGGGCGCGGCGGAGCTCGAGGCGCCGAACGGGAAGGACGGCAACGGCGGGAGAGATGCGATGCTCGGCTTGGGCGCCGATGTCGATGACGCCGCTGCCGAAGATGACGATGACGGCGGGGCGGGGTATCTAGGCCGATTCGATGTCTTGTCGCCTGCTGGACTTTGGGGCTTGAATATTCTCAGCGGTTCAACGGTCGGGCTGTCGCAGTCCTCGGTATCCGGCCTCGGGCGGCTCAGGAAGAGCTCCTCGTCCGGAACGTCGCGGGACCGAGAGCCCATGGTTATCTGAAGCCTATGTAACACGGGCACGGGCTACCGAGTGCGACAATCGACCACGCTTGCCCGACAGGCTCGAGTCCTGGAGCAAAAAGGCGGTGCTGCTCCTGACTGATGGCCAAGTGTTTGGAGCTCAGGAACCTCTGACAGAAGAACCCCTCTTCGAAGGCAACAACCCCCTGTAACCTGGAAGGCGGGGTACTGTATCGTACCTGATGTGACCTAGCTGTTGCTGCTGAGACGAAACACCTTCAAACGATGCTGCGGAAGCTGCAAAAACCAGAAAAGTCCTCGCTATCTCGACAGAATCTGCTCAATGATCAGACTGAAGCTCAAGTTTCGGAAATCCAGGCCGAGAACATCAGGCAGGCCAAATATGCGGCCAGAATGCGCAGGCCGCCCGCGTTGCGATCGAACAGGGGGGAACGGGAAGCCAGGGGGAAAAGCCAAACAGGGGTCGTAAGGAGGGACATCGTTGGCGGCTCGAGAGCAGCTGCTCTGTGATTGGCCTCGCGGCTTGGGCGGGCGCTTAGCAGGCTTGGGAGGGACCCTTGAGTGGTGAGAAATCATAGTCGGATACTATTTGACCTGATATCATCCTGTCACTGGACCCTCATGAGCGCTTACACAATATGGAATCCGTATATGGCCGCCCCTTTTTGGTCAATAGGTAACTGTTGGCGCCATGAAGCTTTGCACTGGAATTGGGAAGACGAAGATGCTTGCAGGGACCTGATGAATTTCAGAGTCAGAAGCCGTTGAGAGCCTTTAGATAGTATTAACTCCAAATCCAAATACAGGTACCCTTGTATAATCTCCTTCTTGGATAAGTTTGTTTATTTACTATTGCTATTGTAGTAACTCAGGTAGTGCTCGCCACGAGGTTAGTTCTAAGGAGCGTTCCGGGCTTGAGTCGGACTTGGTGAACAATCAGGTCTGTAAATGGGGATGTCTTTTGAGGCCGTGCAAGGTCAGGCCGTTGCTGGCTTCGTATTGGACCTCACATCTCACATGACATTGATTCTGATAGATGAAAAAATGAGGATGTTAGATCTATGATTGCCCCTGTGATCCGTCCCGAGTTCTCGGCCTGGCCCGCTGCTTGCCGCGTTCATGGACGGCCCGGCCAGGCCCACTACGAAGGAGTCCCCAGAGCCGAAGACCCATACTATCGGGCTTGGCGCCCGTTTCTCGTCTCGAATCCTCCATGTACATACGCTGGTTTCCCTCACAATCAGCATATGATATTGGCCACTGATCAATACCGCTAGTTTCCTATGCCGCTTATACACCCAACATCAACTCAAAACTCCAGAGCCTGCCCGACGCCTTCCTCTCTTATTGTCCGTAACCCATCACTCTTCTCTTCTTGCTCCTCCTTTAACCGCGCTTCAACCTCATCCCTGATGGCCTCTAGATCCGACGGAATTCTTTGACTCTGCACGCTCGGCGCGTGTGAGACAAACCGCAGCTGCTCGTGAACATGTGTGACGATCTCCCGCAACCGTTTTTCAGAGTTGCGATTATGGCGTGGCTCGTTCATGCTCTGCTCGAGCGACGGGAACAGCGTGTCGTGGATGAAGTGGCCACGCCAGGGCGCATGCTCCGGTATCGTCTCGGGAATGTGCGTGTCGGCGCCAATGGCGATTGACGTCTCGTAGGCCCATGCGCGGGCCACGTTTCTAGGGGTGTACCCGCCGCCTCCAAACATAATCATGGGTAGGCCTAGGCTCTTGCAATACCTGACACAGGCGCCGTGGCCTTGTACCCGAAGGTTGAACCGGCCCAAACGATCCCCCGCCAATGAGTCGGCTCCGCACTGAAGGGCAATGGCGCTGGGCCGGTAGCGCTCGTTGATGGCGCCAATGACGTTCTTGAACAGGGCTTCGTACTGCTCATCGGTGATGCCGTCCTGCAGCGGCACGTTTATCGCATGGTGCGCCCCAGGGTTGTGCTCATTTTTGGGCCCGTTATCCTCGAGCCCGCCCGTGCCCGGGAAGAAGTGTTCCGGTTGGTATTTGTGAAACGAAACGGTCATGACACGGTCCGTCGAAAAGAAGGCTTCCTCGACGCCATCGCCGTGATGGACGTCGATGTCAATGTACAACACGCGGGGATAGAAGCGCAGAAGCTGCAGGATGGCGAGCACGATGTCGTTGATGTAGCAGAAGCCTGATGCCTCAGACTTCTTGGCGTGATGCAGCCCACCGCCCCAGGCGATGGCAATGTCGGACTGCTTACTGCATATCTTGCGCGCGGCGTCTAATGAGCTGCCTGCTGACATGGAGCAATAGTCGTAGAGCCCGTGGAAGAGCGGACAGTCACTTCCGCCGAGGTTGAACTTAACTTCCTTGTCGGGGTTGTCAATGTCCCGCGGCTGGTCTTCTGGCTCCGCCGTGATCAGATAGTCGAGGTAGTCGTTCGAATGGAACGCGCTCAGCTCCTCGTACGTGGCCTCCCGTGTGAGATAGTTGTCCATGGCAAATGGCATGCCGTATGATGTAACCAAGCTTTTAGTTAACGTCAAGCGCCAGGGCTTCATGGGATGTGTCAGGCCGAAGTGATGCTTCTCCATCTCGGGTGTGGCGTGGTATGAGACTGTGTAGCCCTTGGGCCGGACGATGCCGTACTCCTGGGCCGCGAACTTCATTTTGTTGAAGAAGATTGCATTTTCGCGGTCATTGGCCGTGCCGAGCGGGAGGGTGTAGTCCTCCACAACGGGATGATCGACTTCAATGTCGTGTGGAAGATAGTTTGGCTTTGGTGGCCTATACCTGTAGGCCGTGGCATCCATGGCGCCGCTCTAAGATATATGCCCAACCACAAATGCCTTCTGATGCCCTCTCGGCGACAATCACTTCGCAAGGTGGCGGGTTCTAGCGAGCCCTTATTGTGCAAGATGCAGGTTGAGATTCAGCTGGAGGTCAGGAAGTTGAACTGATATTTTAGACAGAGATGGCTGCAGCTGATGTCCACCGATGAGTTAGCTGCTCTTAGCATATCGGAGAACTGGGTGATAAACACACAAACTTGTTATAGCCATAAAAAGGGTAATGCCACCAGGAACGGGACCAGTCAGATCGTAACCACGGCGCCTAATCTCTGTCTGTGATAAAGGGTTGGTGGATTAAGAACTGAGATGCACAAACAAATCGCCTGTGGATTCATCCAATGCGGCGATCCAACTCCTGAGAAAGACGCTAGTCTCAATCTGGCTAGCTTCTGGCCCCTGCAAGCCGGAATGCATGCCAGGCGGGCCGAACTGGGGCTCGTTTGCAAATTCCAGGTTTGGCCGAGAACCGAACTTCTTCCGCTGCGTGAATCTGACAAAAAGCGCCATTCTTGCTTGCTCCCCCCACAAGCACGGTGGCTTCACCTCCAGCTCGATCTCTCAATTTGCACCACTCTTTTTGGGCGACAGGGGTGGCTTGCTGGTCGAGGAAGGAAGATTTACTGTTTTCGTGAGGTGAGCGCTGTGGAATTCTCTCAGGCTCCTGAACCACATTTCTTCTGCCTGCGTTTCCTGCTGCGCAGCCCGCTTGGCCACTCCGCATCATCGTATCCGTATTTTTTCCGCATTCCACCTGCGCGTTGCTTTCTGCACTCTTCAGCCCACTCGGGGCTTCTTCTGAATATAACGTAACACCAGAGACTTCTCTCATGGAAAAGGAGCGTGCTACTGCGGATCTTGTCTCTCTGCCGCAGCTCCCAGGGCGCCTCAGAGTTGATGCGACTCTGGAGTGGAGCATCCTTTGTCTTAGGCCTCAAGTTGTCGCAAGCTCTACACCACGCAGGCAGTAGCGTTCGCCATACGGCGGGTTAACAGCCATGCCTAGAGACGATTTATCCATCGACTTCGTCAGGAAGATGCCGCCTGTCGAGCTCGACCCGGCATTGATTCTCGACGAGTGGATCAATAGGACACAGAACCTGCCCGAGGAGCTGCGCTTCCTGCAGGATGAAATCGCCGATAAGGACCGTCAATATGACAAGCTCGTGAGGGAGATCGAGGAGCGAGACGGGCGTATACAGAAGTGGATCAAAGCCCATGGCAGCCACCATCCAAACCCGAAAGAGGACGAGTACAGGGCAACCATCAGGAAGAACTTCGCGCTGGCAGAACAGTTGTCCAACGAGAAGATCTCGCTTACCCAGAAGCTGCAGCAGACCATGGACAAGCACATCCGCCAGCTGGACATGCAGCTAAAGATGCTCTACGACCGCAGCGAGCCAGGCTTTACAGACCCTGATGAGCTGCCCTCTCTCCTGCGCCCCAGCGCCGCGAATGCCACGAACGGGACGCCCGCGCCCCGAGCCGTCAATGGCACCCACCCCTCGATCTCGGCGTTGAATACAGCTGGGAATGGAACCCAGGCTCGAGTAGCCAACGCCCAGGTACGGAATGCTCAGACACTGCACCACGGCTCGGCATCTGCGCCGGCTAGCCCGGCTGCGAGCATGATCATGGGTCGCCAGGTGCGCGAGAGCTCCGCCGGTCCCGGCGGCGGAGCGCCTAAGCAGCGCTTGAACCGGCCGGGCAATCTGCCCACAACCTCCAGCGGACTGGCCCGTCATTCGTCCCTCGGCCCGGGCACACCGAAAGGCCACCAGACAGCTGCAGGCATCCAGCGGGCCGGCAGCGCAGGACCACGCGCAGCGACTAAGGGCCTGGGCGTCGGGGCAGGCCGCAAAGCAGGGACGCCATCCAGCACAGCGGGGCGCAAGAAGGGCACGCCAGCCGGGGGCAGCGGAATTAACAAGTCGGGACTGTCCCGCGTGAAGCGCGCAGCCAAGAACTCGCCCTCCTCCACCGCCGAAAGCGAGCTCTCAGACGCCGATTCAGCTAGCGACGATGAAAGCGACAGTCGCACCGGCGGGCGGCGCACCCCCGTCGTGCTCTCCCGCTCGGGCTCGAACCAAGCCGCTCTACCCCCTTCCGCGCGGGAAGGAAGCCACCATACGCCCACGGCGGGCGGTCCGGACGGCGTCCGTGCCGTGACCCGCCCGAGCCCGCACCATCGCACCACTATCAAAGACGAAGACGACGTGATGGAGATCGACGATGACGAGGCCGGCGACGACAAGAAGTATTGCTCTTGCCAGAACGTCAGCTTCGGCAACATGGTGGCGTGCGACAACGACGACTGTCCGTACGAGTGGTTTCACTGGGGCTGTGTCGGACTCAAGAGCGAACCCAACGGGACCTGGTATTGCCCTGAGTGCAGCGAGAAGTTAAGGAAGAAGGAGAAGGGCGGGGCTATTGGAGGGGCTGGAGGTGGGAGTGGAAGGGCCGGTTCGTAATGCATGACCGGCACAAGGCGAGAGCGGTAACTTCGATGGAGCCGGCAGCCGCCGGTGTCTGGGTGAGGTTGGTTGGGCGAAGGGTTGGAAAGCCAAACCCTGTCGCGGACCTTATTTGCTTCGGAGTCGTGGCGACGACGGGTAGGTTTCTGGTTGATGGGGCGCCAGCCAAGAGGTGGTAAACTCCGGCCATGGAGGAAGCCGGTGGGGAGCGAAACCCCGTCGGGCACCTTTGTTCCGGCATCGCGGCGATGACGGTTAGCAGACTAGTTGGGGTTTGGGCCGGTTCGTAGGGCGTGTGCGGTCATGCTTCCTACATGCACGGACAGTGGCAAAGGCTACTCTCATCCGGGATTGATGTGTCGGATTACAGCTGGCTGGGACCGTCCATAGCTTACACTCAGGCTACACTCAGGACAACCCCTGAATGATTGTTAGGGCGGAATTTGCGACAAGGGTTCTACTCTTAACCCCGAAACAACACTCCTAAACTACGAAAAGAGCTGATTTAACGCAGGAAAATAGAGCACCTTGCAATAACCTAAAAGGCTGAGTTCATCTGTACGTTTCTTCCGTAGAAAGATTGGCTGTTTTGACGCTGAGACCGAGATTTTGGGGTAGATCCTGGCCTTCAAGTCAGGCACTAACGAACATTCAGGGGTTGGACTGTACCTAGTCCGTATGTATTACTATGTACTTGTACAGCTATTGCTGGTGTTCTGGCGACGACGCTGCTTGTTACCCCCACAGGACGTACCGGAGAGCTTAAAGTCAAGGACGTTATATCGAAACTGTGTCCAGCCGCGAATTATGGCCCAGCTTACCAGCGGGCCGGAGGCTTACTTGCGGCTTTGCATTGTCTTTACTGCTGGTGAATCATGTAAATGGACATCGGCCACATCATCAGATCTGTTGGAGGTATCAATGCCACCTGTGGGCCCTGTACTGGGCGCCAGATATCGGATGAACTCCGCAAGTCATTGTAGGAACACAGCAGGTTGCAAAGGAGCAGTTGGCCACAAGGCAAACTACCCCAAAAACCCCCCCGAGAGGCAGATTTCGAAGAATGAAATTCATAGGTAATGACCGAGCGTCTCACAAACTGGCCACATTCCATCTGCCAAGGGTAGGACAGACATCGACGAGGGGGTAGCCACCATAATCTCGCGTCATTAACCCGTCTACATTCTCTCTCCGTGGAGCATATGCAAAGCTGTGTATTATAAACTCGATTGAAGTAACAGTGCAACCCACAAGAGCACAGAGAATCCCAACAAGAAGCAAAGACCGCCTTGTGCTACGCTAGAGTCGCCCGTCCTTTAGTGCTCAAGCAAGCGCAAGCTGCCCTGGACAACCACATTCTCCAGGATGGATCCAGGCGGGATATCGATGGTCTGGCCCTCCGTAGCGACAATGATGACGGTGCCCTTGAGCGTGACCCCACGGCCGAGGTTGACGGCGCCCGTGATGGTCAGGTGGTCAAGCTCGATGATCTTGGGGATACTCGGGATGCGCTTCTGGAAGTCAGAAACCTTCTTGAAGTCGCTACCGAGCTTGATGAGAGGCGCGTCGCCGAATCGGCTGGCGCTCATCTGCAGCTGGCCGTGCTTAACAGTGTACAGATCCGACTTGACGAGCATCAGGTCCGAGCACGTCTTGACGGGCAGGAAGCGGCGACGGGGTACGTTAACGCCATGCGCGTTCTTGAAGTGCTTGATGGCAGCACCAACGGCCGTCTCGAGCTGGAGAATGCTGATGTCCGACTCCCCCTTTTTGTCGCCGGGGATGGTCTTGCCGTTGGGGATGATCTCCATCTCGAGCTCGTCGTTCTCCACCACGCGCTTGATGGCCTTCAGGTTCATCCAGATGTTGTTGGTGTTGAAGTACTTGAACTTCTTGATCGACTTGAACTCGTTGACGTGCTCCTTGGGGACCTGGGCGATCTCGAGGAGACGCACGCTGCCCTCGTAGTCGATGATGGTGCCACCCTTAACGTCGGCCTTGGTCTTGTTGGTCAGCTCCATGATGTACTCGGCCTCGCTCTCCACCATGTGCTGCAGGATGCGCAGATCGACAACGGCGCCAAGGTTGTCAGCGTTGGAGAGGAAGATGATCTCGATGCCGCGGTCAAGGAGCTTGTCCAGAATGCCCGAGTTGTACAGCGACTCGAACACGTCACCGTGTCCTGGGGGGTACCAGTCATGAAGAGCAGAGTCGAATGACTTGGGTACCGGCAGGAGCGAGTCCTTATAGATCCTGGGGTACCGCGACTGGTTGAAGGTGAGGATGTCCACATTATGACCCTCGTACTTCTTAATGATGGCCGCGGTATCCTCGTCGGTGTTGAACGAGTTCATGAGGACAATGGGCACATTGGAGCCGTAGGTGCGGTTGAGGTACTCAACCTGTCGAACCGACATGTCGAGGAAGGACATGCCGTCGCGGACTTCGATGACCGACTTGGGACCGACGCAGCCCATGGAGGTACCGAGACCACCGTTCAGCTTGAGCACAGCCAGCTTGTTGAGGAAGCTGACGGATTCAGAGTTCGCAAGAGACTCGTAGTCCACAACTTGGCCCTCGGCAGGAGGCGCAATGCGGTCCCAGTTACTGGAGAGAGGCACGTTAGCTTTACCTCCGACCCTAAGCTCTACGCAGGGAAAGCTTACACCTCGTTGCCCTTCGCCTTGTCATTGAGATACCGGCGGAAGAGCGAGAAAAAGTTGTCCATCTCCGTCTCAAACAGCTGTTTGACGAATTAGAGCCCGCGTTTTCCTTTTTCAGCTCACTGGCCGCAACTTGCCTTCTTCTGCTCCGGGTCCTTCACTGTTTCGGCGAGGTTCGTAAGCGCATTGCGCATTTGAGCGGCCGCGATGTTGGTTGAGGTGTTCTCAAAAGCCTAGAGACAAGGCTGCTGGTTAGCCCGGCGATATTCTCACGATAAGCGAGCGCTAGTATCAGTCAACATCGAAGGGAACGACTATGCCCCCCACATTGTATTCTTCAACATTTGCCATCTTGAGTCACAGAACAACAGTTCGTGTAGAAGCAGGCCGTATTGTGAGTGGTTAGAGGTAGGCTGCCAGCGTCCAAGCTCTCTGGCTGCCCGTTGGGGAAGCTGGGGGGCTTCGGGTATCGGCCCGGTGCCAGATCACAGTGGCCAGCCCTGTTGACTCCTTTCAAGAAGGGATGTCTCCAGAACCAGGGGACTCTTGTCGAACGCAGTATGTGACCTCATGACGAGCATGCAATGCAAGTCGCCCAGCCACCTCCTCAATGCGACCCTCATGTTGTCATCCCTTTATTCCTCCTCGGCTGGGCCCCACAGAACGCTTCCCATAAAAACCGCCCAAAAAGAAGGCTAAGAATTTGCAGAACTCACCATGTGCGATCTTGTCTTGCCGTGATGTCTCTTGGCAAACTCGGAGTCATCGCCGTTGCCGTTCCCGGGCTTGAGGTGCGAGGGAAGGGCGCTCTTGATCGCTTGTGCCGCCATGTTGCCGGGAGCTCTTAAGCTATGCCGCTAAAAGATGGTGTTGGCGTGGTTCAGACTCTCGCCGAGAACCGAATTCGAGCACCGTTTAAGCTTCGAGATCCTAGAGCCCTTTTGAAGTCTGCCGAAGGGTGTGACAGGGAGGCGCTGCTTGACAGAATATATTAGCCCATTGACGTAATGAAGGCTGCTGCGACACCTTGGGAACAAGTGGGATCGACTTGGATCAACCCCTCTTGCCTGCGGTGGAACTAAGAGCGCAGCAATGATTTGGCAGAGCTCTCGAGGTGCGGGGTTGTTTGTTTGGAGGGGAAGCTCCTGACAGTTGGCAGCAACACTGGTACGTACGATTTGAGCAAGTGGCGTGGGCTGCTTGTCCGTCGAGAACGCCAGAGGGATGGGTTGCACCTTTGGAGTTGGTTTAGAGAGGAAGAAGGAGGGACGACGAAGGACGGAAAGAGAGGCGGTCTGTACTTGTACATGTATTGTAGCTCAAGAGGTGCCCGCCCCTGGGAAATGGATGCTTTTATGGGGTTCCTCATCGATCGTCAGAGCTCCATCGACGGACGTGTTAGTGGGGCGTGTATTTACCGACGGAGCCCACTCCCGTCAAACCAGGATTGACGACGAGAACGGCGGCGAAGGCACAGACAAACGCATTTTGTTTGCAAGGTACTTATACGGAACAGTAGGACTACAACGATCATCTTTCTCGACATACAGGGCAAAACATTATCTCTAGTGACTACTGCTGTTGTCTGATCCGTACCGTTTAGTTTCACTGCCTGCTTCTAGCCAAGTCCGTTTGCAAGGTAAGGTATTGTATGTACGGTCGCGGGACGAGAACTTTACGGAGTGCAACCCCTCGACATTTGATTGCCGTTCCCCAGTGGCATCGCTCTCGACATTGCTCGACATAGGATCTTCCTGCGACTTGACGTTTCACATCAGCTACCCGTCAGCCGAAAGCAGCTCCAGATTTGATTCCTTTCTGCCCAAGCCTCCCCCTTATGCACTGGGCATCAACTTCGCTCACGGGCTGCAATACCTCGGACACTAACAGAGGTTCCAGCCGAAGTGTTCCATTCGGATCCCTGTTCTAATAGAACCCAGATTCAGCCCAGCGGGAGCTGGATGTAAACAAGGCCGACGCTGGACTTCCCGTCATCAAGCCTAGATCCACCACCCATCAGCGGGGAAATTTGACAATATCTGTTCTGGGAGCCGAGGCGCTCCAATAATCGTCAAAGAAGAAAGAACCAACCCGGCCTGCATTGATAAGAGGCCAGCTCACAACTTGAACTGAGTTCAAGCTCACTTGAGGCGGATTCGTCGAGGGACAAGCCGCCTCAGCTCGCGGGAAGGCTCGACGCTAGGTCGGGGTGGTAGTTCTGGACCTTCAAACTGTCCCTTAGTAGGACATGGAGCTTGTTGAATCTCGAAAATTCGCATTTACGTACCTATATTTATGATGTTTCCGGGCCTTCTTTCCTCTTGCTCCACCTCGCTTTGATTGAATGCATCCACAAGGAAACGAAACGAAGGTCTCGAGAGCACTCCTAATGATAAGTTCCCGCGCTCGCCGCGATACCAGCCGCACTCCCAGGCCGTTCAAGTTCAGGGTGGCGACCCACGTGGCGCAGACGGCTAAGATGTTTTGTCTCTCTCTTCCGAGCTGAAGATCTCGGATATTTCTTTCCTGTTCCACGGTGAGCCTGTCAAATAGGGATTCGGCAGCTTCCGGATCAACCCAAACGCTGAGCCGCATACGGATTACTCTGGGAACAAACGCCATGTCTTTGTAACGTTACGGCTTGGTGCTGGGCAGAAGCCGTATCCGAAGGTCAAGGTGCAGCTACCCTGCGGCTCCACAGCCCCTCGACACCACGGTTCAGACTCCGAACTGCATGGCCTTACACTAATAATGGTGTGCTGAGAAGACCAGTGCTTCGTGCTCATGTCTGCATGGTACTAGTATGTAGCCCGAGTACGAAAGCAGTGTCAGAAATAGGTAGTTCCAGTTGAAGGTTCGCAAGAGACTGCCTATCCCCCGACCCCACCTGGCCGAGAGCCATCACCGCCCGAAACCGGCATGATTGAGTCGGTGAAGTTCTTGATTTAAACCTCCAGGTTGCCTGGTGGTTGCTGCATAGTCCCAGGGAGTACCTACGTTTCCAGCTATCACTCCGTCCCTCACCTGCCGCCTACCACATAACACCAACGAGCATCGCAAATCGCGACTTGGCGACTCTGAGCCCTGACTGCTACAACACCTTGAACAGTCAGCTATATGGGCAGCGCCGCTGAGGACCTGCCTTACTGGCAGGTCAACGTCCCTGAACACCTGAGGACCGCGGAATGCCCCGAGTTCCTGCGGGACATCACAGAGAAGGACCGGCGCATTATCAGCACGCCGGACAGCGAATTTGAGCTCGATTCTTGGGAAGTGGTGCGGCAAAAGGTAGCACAAAACCGTCTGGAGTTGTTCCAGAGAGTACCCTCAGACCTGCGCCGATACCATGCCTTCACCTGGAAGCTCAAGCAAGACTATGGCAGCGTCATGAACTTTATCCTGACACAGCGGTTGCAATGGACGCTGCCGATCACGCCCAGGGGCCGGCCATTTGAGTTCGACGACGACATCAAGGTCCTGAGGAATGACTGGCCGTATGGCATTGACAGGCGCATCGTACACCTCGTCGTCTGGACCAAGTTTGCGCTCGAGGAAGACCCGGAGACTGGGGATCTGACTGACAAGGCACGGGCCGAAATCGATGCCTATGTCCGCATAGTGTTCTCAAGGATACCCCAAGATCATGTTCGTTACGAAACTCTCTCCGCGATGCGCTTGTAACACTGACGGATAACAGGTCGTATGGTTCAAAAACTGGGCGTCGCTCAAATCTGTGAAATCGGTGGAACACTTCCACATCATGTTGTTCGACCCGGATCCCGAGGTGATCCGGGAGATCACAAATGGTGACGTTCCTCTCTGCGAGAAAGAATGAATGGAGCCCTCGGAGTTGGAGTTGGGGTTGGGCAGATAGGACAGACATTGGACGCTATACCAGAGACTTATCCCCAGAGGTTTTAGACTTAGATCACGCGATTCGCTCTCCCTTGCTCGAGAGATGCCATTGTCGCCCTGACCTCCACAATGGGGCAGTCCGCCATGGGTACTGCGATCGGCTTCTCCATGCGGACGCAGACCTGCTGGCGGTCTCTGTGATGCTGGCAAGAAGGCCCCAGTACGGGGCATGTCAGGACACGTTCTGCTATATGGGCGCCTAGTGCCTCGAGCGTCCCAAATTGCGAGCTCTCCAAAGCCTATTTCCGTCAGCATATCGTATCGTGGGATGAGAGCTGAAATGCTCACCTTGACAATAACTTCCTCCACCTCCGTGTAGACATCCCGTGGCGCCATACCAACCAAGTCCTCGATGGTAACTGTCACGATTACAGGCTGCTTGGCCAGCCTCTCGTTCGAGTTCACTCCGATCAGGGTCGGCACCCTTAGCCTGCTGATCTCCAGTGATTCTGCCCTCGCCTGCATCTTCCCCGTGCCCTCCTCAAACACGGCGCTGGCGGTCAGACTCACCCCTTCGCCCAGAAGTGACGCCTTGGGCAACGTGATCGTCAGCGACAACAAGGGAACCTTTCTCATGAGCAGAAATGGCGCCCAGTCGGGATTACCCGGTTCCCCTTGCACCGTGAGACCGGTCAAGGCGTGCCACAAGCCTGCGAGCGCATGGCCGACGCAGTAGTCATCCTGCCTGGGATCTGACAGAGTCGACCGGCGGTACCCTTCCGTCTTGTCGAGATTTGCCAGTATAAACTTGCTCAATGCGCCGTAATGCACGGTATCATCGGTCAACCTGTCTTCTGACGCGATGGAGGAGAAGGGCGCTGAGAAGGCCACCTCAGCCGAGATCAGCGCCGGCTGCGGCTTGCGCCCACGGCCCCATGCGTCGTGTCCCGCGTACTGCAGCACGGCGGACAGATTTTTAACGCTGACTGTCGCGGGCGGGTCTGGGACCAAGGCGCGGAGGCGAGCAGTTGTGAGGAGGGGGACTTCCATTCTGCCTGGGGTCCAGATGTATCCAACAGGCTGGTGACGTCGAGACTTGGATGAAAAAGCGATTTGCGGAATGGAAACCTCAGCCTCCCGAGAATAGCACAGGTATTTTGGAGATGAGCGGACGGTCGAAAGACAAATGCAGAGTTGTAACGATGCTTTTTTGCACGATTGATGATGAGCGTGCGACCTCGGAGGCTCTGCAGCTAAGGTTACCTACCTTAGGTAGTAACTTTAATCCACAGCACAGACCGCCCAAGCAATCCAGAATGTCCGCAGCGCTGAACTTGCATTCACTTAAAAGTTGACATTAACTTGGAGATTGAGTTCCTAGACTGACTCGGATGGCGAGCAATGAAACGAAGCTGGACCAGGTACCTATGATACAGCCAAGAGAGGTTAGTAGAGTAACGGCCCGGGGAGTTGAGATCAAGATCAAGTTGAAATGGCAGATGATAATCTGGGGTTAGGGTCAAGACGCAGAGATCCCATCTCAGCCATGACAGTGATCTAGGTAAGGACCAAAGCGAAACCCATTGGATACTTTCACTTCAGTTGATTCATATATGTTAATTTGTCTGATCAGACGCCTAGTGGGCAAAAATATTCACGTCTCTTTCCATGCACTCGTCCGGGTTGAGCGAGTCAAGCATGCGATGTGTCCATTTTGCAATGAGATACGCCTTACATCTACATATACAGCGTTAGTCAGAGTGCTACTCACCGCCTTATACCCCCAAGGAAGAGATGGACGTTGCCCTGTCTGCCGCTCTTGGGAGTCATATTCTGGCATGACGTGGCCTGTAGGAGGTTTTCTTGTGTGAGCATTAGATATTTCAGCATCAGAAGAGTATTGTACCAACTTTTGAAAGCGGCTGATCCCGTGAAGTAGTGATTACCTTCTGCATATTGATGAACTGTGGCAAGGGGTTGTCCAGACAATCAATCAAATACCAGGTACCTATGTATGGGAGCTAAGGGAAGGGTCATCCTTAGAATTTCGGCATTATGACGTGGTCAATGGCAGAAGCCCTGAACCCTCCTTGTTAGACTGCAGACAGGATATTAGTACCAGTAGGTAGCCCATCGAATGTAAGTCATGACAAGCTACAGAAGCATGCTACCGTTCCTCAGCAAAGGTGCCATATCTGTAGAGCTTGGATCTATTTTACTCGGGCCAAGAAGACACAAAATCTCCTCTCTACAACCCTCGAGCAACTGGCCACAGAGTGCTAACAATGACTAACACCATGATGACGCCCATACCATCGGTCACGCCGGTGCCGCCCGAGCCTACGAGGTAGTTCAAGGCTATCGCTGAGGTGAAGAATGCAGTCGCTATTTCTCGCTTGTGTCTAGTATATGTATAGCAATTCACTAGTGAGAGGCCAACCAGCTCGGGCTGGGTGCAACATACTCGAAAAGATACCGCGCGTGGCAATGAACAGAACTACGCTGTCTATGAGCCAGATGACAACCACACTAAAAACATTGTGTGTCGTGCGTCAGTCACCGAACGTAAGGATCACAAACCGACAAACTACCTAGCAAACTGCCCTGCCCCGGCGCAGGGAGTGTCTTGAAGAAGAAGGGAATTATCAAAAGCCGGAGAGGGACGTACAATATTTCCACAATCTTGGATACACCAGGCTCGTCCCCAAAGAGGTAGGAGACCATTGGACTTAGGTTTTCGTATTACTCCTTTAGATAACCTTAACCCAGGTCATCTAGTTCACTCTCTATATAAGATGTCTAATAGACTATTATAGGGGCAACAAACTATTAATGAAAGAGGCTGCTCCGGTCTCAGCTAGTTTGTTCAGTCAACAATATGGTAGAGGCCCTAGGTCTGTTGCACTTGTCATAATGTTTTGCGTAGGGGCGTTGCGCAATGCTGTTCCAATGGCCAGAGTGTTACCGACCTAATACATGACCAGAAGCTGTGCTGTATGACACCGCCCTCCCCCTAGACTGACGTGACACTACCTAGGTACCTAAGCTTTGTTTTCAGTTGTAGTCAGGTGACTTTCGGCGTACTGTGTATACACCGCGAGGATTGAGCCTCACTGGCCGCATACCTCGCTCCATGGCTAACATTAGGTATTGTGGAAGCCAGATAGCCTCGTCGCTGAAGATGGGTATTAAGGGTCGGTGGCTCATCTAGCACGCTACTTGCCTTATATGACTTGTTGTCCTCCAGAATCATCACCTCAAACGACGAGGCTGACAGCATCGACGAGGTTGAGTTGGCCATGCAGAAGTATCATTTCATTCCGTCGTGGGTTCTATGTGTAGTCTTTGGCTCTGTCATGCTGCCATAGTACCCGAGTCCTGGAGGAGGCAATATGACCACCGATTGAGAGACCTATGGAGCTTGAAGAAGTCTAGGACTGAGCGGAAGCACGAGGGCATCAGTGTTGTCGGCACTGAAATGACCCCAACACGACGTGCTCAGGGCCGGGTGTCCGTTCCGAACGCGCAATCCAATTACCTTAGGTTCAACATCCATGATCACCGGTCTTGCGCCACACACAGTTTCGCCCACATCAATCAAGTGAAATGAACTGTTATTCACTAGGCAGATGAACACTCATCGTTAGCATGCGCAGACGTCACATACGAGAGTTCCACTTATCCAAAGTCGGCAGCTTTAGATATGCTCGGTGTAAAACACCATTCCCTACTCGGTTTGAAGTGGACGAACGCCTATTGGCGCCGGCCGGCGAGATCTTCGCGGTTGAGACTCATCCACCACCAAGAGACCCCGAGGAAGGCATGATCACTGGCGAGGTTGATGGTGCGTTGATATAGAAGAATTCACACCCGGAAAACAAGGGCATGGCATGGTTTGTGAACAGTTCTCTTCTCAAAAGGCGATGTTATTCCGTTGCCTGGTGAGTCACCAGTTTATCTGATTGCTCTTTGTCCGGGCCCATCAGCCGATCATGATCTATCACTCAGTGTTCGAACAAATCGTGGGACACTTGAGCTTGGAGCTTCCGTTGAAGATCGTTTCCCAAGCGTAACAGCGGTCGAACGGAACAAGACTTCTTTTAGATGTAGTCTGTTAGAGACTGAGCTCGCCGCTAGACTCCGCGGCGTTCTACGTAGAGTCAACGACTCGTTCCGACCCTGAGTCGAGCTGGGCCGAGAAGAAATTTCCCAATTCCATGCGAAGGACATCCTTCGTATACACTTTACACAGTGTCGCTCTCAATTTTAGCCCAAAGTTCATAGCATGTCCCCTAGGTGCAATTCAGCAGACCCTCATAGTTTCGTTCCAATAAGGTAACGCTACGGTAATGATCAGTGGCTGACCCTCAATAATTAGGGATGGCTCTGTTATTATAGACGGACGTGCAAATGGCATGAGCAAATAGAAGAGGAGGAGACAAGAATTCGGAAGAACAATCATGCGCGTCTTTGGAAGCTGGTCGCAACCGTCGCATTGTTGTCGAGTTCGTTGCGGATAACGCGGCTATCCCCGGGCGCCGAGAGGGCTCCAGGGCTACAATAACCCGCCTTCCTTTTTGAGCGCGACAAACCGCCGCCTGATATTGGTGCATCACCTTGTCCCGGTTTCAGATCCTTGCGTGCCTCATGTAGATGTCGATCCGAGCTCAACTGGTCGACCTCGGCGGACGGGTTCCGGGAAAGTGAAATCTGCCTATATTCGACAGGCAATCAGAGCCGCAATGCACCAGTGCAACCTCAACATCTGCGGCTCTCCCGCATGGGGTTCGATGGTAATCAACGACTCAAGTTGAGCTCTTTGGAACCCTATGCTGAATAGAACGTCCTGTGCAGCGACCGCCCCGTCGGGAGATCGTCCCGTGTCGAGCCGCCGGGGCAAGACGCCTGGAGCCATCCTGTGAAAGCGATGTGGATATGGGCGGTATGTTTATTGCAACGGCTCAAGAAAGGCTCAACGGCGTAATGCTCATGATGCCGCGCGTTGGAAGCGCGGTGACGGGTACGGGATGTCGGAATGTGACTTTGTTTTCCCCATTGAGTGGCATAACACCGGTTCCGCGGTTCCAGAGGAGGAGGTTGTTGGATATGTTGCCCATCTTGGTCCGATGGTCGTCCTCGAGGAAAGTATATAAAAGGGACGGTGTCCCTTGCGTTGTGATCGAGAGGACAGAGCAGCAGTCCCAGCCCTCTCTGTTCATCCAGTCCACTCCTTTGTCAGCTGATTCCTCACCTTCTCCATCCCCAACCACCATCCGTCGCCAGTCACCATGTATACGCGGGTAGCAACTGCACTGTCTTTCGCCAGCTTAGTGCTCGGCCAGCAAGTGGGAACGCTCACCGCCGAGAAGCACCCTTCACTCCCCATTGAGGTGTGCACGGCGCCGGGCTCATGCACCAAGGAAGACACCACGGTGGTCCTCGACGTAAGTCATATGCTCACCATGCTCGTTGCATCCCCGACTAACGCGACCCTCCCAGGCCAACTGGCGGTGGACGCACGTCACCAGCGGCTACACGAACTGCTACACGGGCAACTCGTGGAACGCGACGGCCTGCCCGGACGGCAAGACTTGCGCGGCCAACTGCGCCCTTGACGGCGCCGAGTACGAGAAGACGTACGGCATCACGACGCCGCAATCGGGCGCGCTGCGGCTCAACTTCGTCACCAAGAACGACAACGGGCAGAATGTCGGCTCGCGCGTCTACCTGATGGCCAGCGACGACAAGTACCGCATGTTCAACCTGCTCAACAAGGAGTTCACCTTCGACGTCGACGTGTCCAAGCTCCCCTGCGGCCTGAATGGCGCCGTGTACTTCAGTGAGATGGACGAGGACGGCGGCCTGTCGCGGTTTGCCGGCAACAAGGCCGGTGCCAAGTACGGCACCGGCTACTGCGACTCTCAGTGCCCGCAGGACATCAAGTTCATCAACGGCGAGGTGGGTTAATAAAGATGCGCTCGGTTTGTAAGGCGCCAAACGACGGCAATGACTGACATTGTGAGCAAACCAGGCCAACGTTGAGGGCTGGGGCGGCGTCGACGGCAACTCCGGGACGGGCAACTACGGCACTTGCTGCGCCGAGATGGACATCTGGGAGGCAAACCTGGACGCCACCGCCTACACGCCTCACCCGTGCAAGGTCAACGAGCAGACTAGGTGCGAGGGGACTGACTGCGGCTCCGGCGATGAGAGGTACTCTGGCCTGTGCGACAAGGGTATGCTACCCCTGAATGGATGGATGGAGAGAAACCGAGCAGGATGAGCTGACACAATCCTCGTCCAGATGGCTGCGACTTCAACAGCTTCCGCATGGGCAACAAGGACTTCTACGGGCCGGAGAAGACGGTCGACACGTCCAAGCCCTTCACCATCGTGACGCAGTTTGTCACCGACGACGGCACCGACAGCGGCACGCTCAAGAGCATCCACCGCTTCTACGTCCAGGACGGCAAGGTCATCCCCAACTCGGAGACGGTCATCGAGGGCGTCGACCCGGTCAACCACATCAGCGACGAGTTCTGCGCGCAGCAGAAGACGGCCTTTGGCGACAACAACTACTTCGCCACCGTCGGCGGCATGGCCGCCATGGGCAAGTCGCTCGAGAAGATGGTGCTCGTGCTCAGTATCTGGGACGATCAGTACGTTGTCTCAAGGAAAGAGAGAAAAAGAGTTACTAGTACTAACCATCTCTGTAGTGCCGTCTCCATGAACTGGCTCGACAGCAACTACCCGACTGACGCCGACCCGAGCAAGCCCGGTGTGGCCCGCGGCCGATGCGACCCCGAGGCCGGTCTGCCCGAGAACGTCGAGAAGGAGCACCCGGATGCCTATGTCGTCTACTCCAACATCAAGCTCGGCGCCATCAACTCGACCTTCACAGCTGCCTAGATGTCTGTCTGGGTTACTGGACTCAGGAGTTGATGGTTTAGGAAGATGTTGGTTTCAGATGCGGCGCGCCATGTCGTGTATATGCGGCCTTCTTGTTTGGGTACCTAAATTGGCAGTTTTGGGATAGAGAGGACGAAATAGAGCCTAGATGGTTACGACAGAAACGATCACAATGTCACCATGACTGCCCTCCACGAGACCTTACTTCGAGATGGACGTCGAATGGGGCGAATAGGGTTTGTTTGATCTGCAACCTCGGTTCTATAGTACTTGGGTCTTTTTACCGGGTAGCAGACAGAAGTTGGGCGGGAAGAAGTAGTGTGCCTACACTATTGACGTAGAGAGATAACGTTAAGGCAAGGGCATCCCGGATAGCCCCAGTCAACTTGCAGACGCCCCCGTCGCCGGCCGACACGTCGCATGCTGCAAACCAACTTGCAGGACTTCAGAGTACAGACGGCGAGAAACAGCGCAAGTTGAGCGGTATGTTGCACTTGCCGACGCGCTGCCGACCTGCAGCTTGAAGGCGAGATGCTGCAGCATGCCGTGATTTGTCGAAGTGCAACTCTCTCAAGCCCAGTGAGTGAGCCGCGACAAAGTTGCGACCACACTGGAAGTGGAGACGCTAGCGTTAGTGGTCGTGTTCCATCCAATCAGGTACCCGCCTGTCGGAGTTGGAGCTCCTCGTCCCAGCTGAACGAGGCCCATCAGGATCGGCCCGGGGATCAGGTGGGGGCAGTTCGCTCACGCCTCAGCGTCAGCGAGCAGCGAGCTCACTTCAACAGATCGCATCCCTGCCGACACCCAAGCACACCTCACAGCGAGGCAATGTTGGGCAGCCCCAGCCGCGGATCCAAACAGTGAGGAGAGGGGAGCTCCAGGGTGGTGGCGCTTGTGGATCGCGGGCAAGACCCCAGCCTCCCGTGGCCCAGAGCAAATACCGTAAGGTACCTAGTGTAGCAATCCAAACAACACACACAACATCAGATTGAAGACTTTACGGTTCTCTCAGCGGTATACGGCGCGAAGGCACATTTCCAACCTGATTGATACCCCTGCCATCCGTCGTGTGAATACAGTACACAAATACACAACTGAGCCCAATGAATGGACCGTGAAGGGATTGTGGACCCTTTTTTGACCCGTCGAGAATGATGCGAGAGCCTCGTCACCGGAGCCCCGAGAGCTCCCGACGGCGACGCGCCGGGCGCCGGGATTCTAGACAGGCGCTCGCCGATGCAGCCGCCGCCGCCGCCGCCGCCGCCGTGTCGTCCCACCCCCAAGGCCGCGCCCGCGCCGACTCGAGCTCCTCGTCGTCGTCCTCGACCTCGTCCTCGCTGCTCAACATCTCGCGAAAGAGCCGCTTTGGCATCCGCAACTTCTTCGCCTCAGCCAAGGTCAAGAAGGTCAAGAAGCGCCGCTCCTTCCGCAGGAAGAACTCATCGTCCTCGTCCGTGGATAGCGACCTAGCCTATGGCGCGGGCTACATATCGCGGTCCTCGTTCGAGAGACAACAAGCATTCTACGAGCAGCAACTCCACCACCACCACCAACAACAACAGCAGCACCAGCACCAGCCCTCGCAGGAGGACTCGTTGTTTGGGCCTGATGGCCGCCCTGCGCTGCACCGGGCCCAGACAGACGAGGAGATCATCGCGCTCGGCCGCAAGCTCTCGGACCTTGCCCGAGCCGAAAACCAGCGGGATCTCGAGCGCGCCGGTAAGAAGCGCCCTTCCCGCATCGTAGCCGCCGCCGCGGCCATCTCGCAGCTCCATCTCCAGCATTCTTCTCATGGCCACACATCCCGCGGCATCGGCACCTCCAAGCCTCACAGTGGCAGCGACGAGTCCGACTCAGATTGGGAGTCGGCTTCCGACTCGGACTCGGACTCCTCAACTGATGACTCCGGACTGGCCTATGGCCCGATGCCCAAGTACTCCGATCCGGAGCTGCCCCTCCCCGGCCCCTCACAATACCAGCAGAGTGTCGCCTCGACCACCGCCCCCCAGCGGCCTCCCCAGGCCCGCCGCAAGAGCTCTGCCGTCGATCCGGCCCTGTTCGGCCCCGTCAACTCCTTGCGCGGCTTCGTCAACACGCCGTGCGGCTTCCAGCCCGGCGAATACCCGCCTCCACCACGCAGCCAGACGCTGGACCACCAACATGCCCCGCTTCACGACCCGATCCCGCAGCCGAGCAGTGCATCCATCGAGGCCAGGCCCCTGCGCAACGTCTACCCGGTTCCGACGGCCGATCCCTCCGGATTCGATGCCGCCGCGGCGATTGCCGCAGGCGTGTCTGTCCCGCTTGCTGCCGCGGCCGCGGCTTCTCCTTCGACCCCCACGCGCCACGACCGGGACAGAGACGGGGAGAAGGTGGCGTATGCCTCCCATCCTCGCCCAGACTCGGTCGAGATCCAGGCGCCGAAGCCGTGGGCTCCGCGGTCGCCGCGCGTGTTGGTTGACGAGGAGCGCGCTGCCGCTGCGGCCGAGCGGGCGCAGCAGGAGGCCTACCAGGGCAGTCCCCGCGAGCGGAGATCAAAGAACAAGGGACGCGGTGAGCAGGTGAGCGCCGTGGAGGCTGTAGTCTCCGGGGCGCTGCCCGCTGTTGTGGGGGCTGCGGTTGGGGCGGCGGTGGCCGGTGGTGTGGAAGGGAGGAGGGAGCCGAGAAGGCAGGGGAGAGGGTATGAGGGGCCCGACGATCACGTGTACGACCTACCTCCTGACAGACGTCACGTCGAGGACCGCCGGTTTGGGGTCAACTTCCCAGATGATGGAAGCAGCGCTGTTGGGACTGGACCTGGCGGCTCCCGTTCGACGGCCGCGATTTCAGATCGCCCGGAGAAACGACGTGATGGCCGCGATGACCGGGGTTACGACCAGTCGTATGACCGGCGTGTCGGCCTTCGGGATGAAAGGCGTGGCCCGGAAGACCGTTTCTCCCGTCCTGCCCCGGACAACAGAAGCATCGCCGAGATTGCAGCATCGGCAGGTATCGCCTCAGCAGTTGTCGCTGCGGCCGGTGCCGCAGTCTTGTCGGACTCCGGGAAGCAACGCGAGCTCGACGAGCTCCGCGAAACGGAGGCGCGTATCCGTGAGGAGCGCCTGGACTACGAGCGCCAAGCGCAGCGCGACCGCGAAGCCCGTGAGCGCCTCGAGCGGCAGGATCCCCGTCCTCGCGAGAAGAAGGAGGAGGAGGAGGAGCGCCGCTGCCAACAGGAGCAGGACGAGTACGAGCGTCTTGCGCGCCACCAGCGAGAAATCCGCTACAAAGATGAGCGCCGTGCGCAGATTGAGCAGGTGCGGGCCGAGCGCGATCGCATCGCTAGGGAAGCCGAGATAAAACGTGACCGCCAGGATAAGCACGAGCGTGAGGCACGCGATGAGGATAAGGAACGAAGCCGCGATTCCGTGGAACGCCGCCGCTCCAAGGGCAAGGATGTCGTCGTGGTTGTTGACGACCGTCCGCGCAGCAAGGATGCCGAGCCGCGCTCCGTGGAGAAGGACAGCTTGCAGCCCGGCAAATCAAAGCCTAGCCGGGAGGAGCGGCGTGCTAAGCGCGAGGAGACCCGTCGGATGATCGAGGCCCTCCAGCGGGAGATAGAGCTCGAAAAGGAGCGACTCGCTGCTCTCGAAGCTGCCAAGGCATCTGCCGCCGAAGAGCGCGCTGACCCTGGCCCTTCGAGCAGCAAGGAAGAAGAGGCGGTCGACCCGTTCCAGTTCCAGGTTGCAAATGATGCCTTCGAAACTCCGCAATTCAGGACTCCAATGAGGTCGCGCACTCCGGTTATCCAAACCGTCGAGCCCCCTTGGGCAAGCAAAGAGCCGGAGCCGGTTGAGGAGCGTGAGCCGTTACGGCCGACCCGGCGCGATCTTTTCGAGCAAGAGCAGCGAGACGCCCGGGCCATCGTGGACGAAGCCAACCGCTCCACGACGCCGGGCGAGCTTGGAGTGATTGAGCGTCAACGTTCCCCGTCGCGCTCACGCGGACCTCGGCGAGAGAGAGATCACGAGCCAGTGAGGGACCCTGTGCAGGAGGAAGCCAACCGGTACTACCGCGAGCAGAAGCTGGCCGAGAAGATCTACGAGGAACGCTCCCGCAGCGCTTCTCCCACGCCATCGGTGGTGGACAAGTACGAGGATACGGATGGAGCCCCGTTCCGCATCGTCACCCCGCCGGAGATGAAGCGCCCGCCGAAGAAGACGCAGTTTGACGGCCCGAACGCGGACGTCCGCATCGACAACATCATCATGCCACACGAGCTGCCCAAGTTCCTGGCCCCGCCCCTAGGCGCATCCGGCCCCGGGGCGGTGGTGATGATGCCCGTCTTCAAGTCGAGAGATCCGTCGTGCGAGCGGGAGAGACCCATGCTCAACATCGTGTTGCCGACGCCAAGCACGTCTCCGTCCCTGGAGAAGATGAAGGCCAAGCAGGCTGCCGCCGTCGCTGCGGCCGACGAGAAGCCGTCCGAGGAAGAGAAAAAGACGGCGGAGCGCAAGCCCAAGGTCATCATCAACGCCCGCGGCCAAGCGGTGGAGGTGCCCGACGACTACAACACGGGACGCGCTGTAGAGACTGACAGCGGTGACTCCTCCCACGAGCGGCGCGCCTTGAATAAATTCAAGTTCGGCAGGAAGAAGAGCGCCTGGGGAAGCCTGATCGCTGCCGCAGTCCAGTCGATAGAGCAGAAGGCTGCTGAGAAGGAGGGCGCCGCTGTGGTCGAGGGAGGGAATAAGCCCAAGGAGTCGGTGGCCTTATCCGAGCGGAAGCCAGAGTCAGTGCCAGAGCCGGAGCCAGCATCGATGTCGCATCCGAAACTGCAGCCTGAGATTGGTTCGACACCCTTGCCGAAAACTCAGCAGCCAGCGGCAGAAGAAGCTGCCCCCAGGTCTGTTGAAGAACCAGCCCACGAGTCAGTACCGGTGGCCGAGTCACAGCTTGAACCAGCCCGCAGCGCCTCGCCGGCAGAGTCAACGCCGCCTCGGAGATCGCGAGTCCCCTTCGACTTCGACGATGAGCCCCCTTCAGTGGGACCAAAACCCTTTAGTCCGGGGTCGGCTCAGGTGCCCGGCACCTTTGGTGAAGACATCGACTTCACGGCCACTCTCGCTGCCGGCCTGCAGAGCTCCGGTTTCGATCCCAACATCGTGATCGAAGATCCCGCTTAT